CAACACTACAGAGCAGGAAGGTCTGACAGTCCATGTAGAATCAGGTTACTGGTATGTCTTTACTAGATATTTATAAGACGCAGAAGTGTTTGGTGCATTAAACAGGCAGGATTATCAAACTTATTGGTGGCAAAAATGATTTTTTAACTTTTGAAAATCTAATTGTTATGAATTAATCTAACATTTCAAGCCAGCATTGTCTTGTTTCTTGCTTTTGTTAAAACTATACAGAGCCCACAGTCAGGTAAACTGAACAAAGCTCCTCTCTCGATGTGACTCACTACTTGTTTTCTGTCTCACTCGGTACTTTTTAACAAATATGACAGCAAGAAGATTATGATTCCATCGGAAATTATTCCCCTATTGTCTTCTGACTCACTGCAACTTATAATGTTACGTTTGGACAAGTTTTTTGTTTTTTTTTTAATTCCTGCCATCTTCAACATTCATACAGGGATAGAGATAATAGTTTGATAAAACGAATCTACATTTAAGAACCAAAACGTAAGTCAGGATTCCTTTAGTGGGCTCATAATGCTTTCCAACATTTTACACAAAGTTTAAAATGCATTTAACAGGAAAGTGTTTGCAGTGCTTCACAGAAGATAGAGTAACATGTAAATAAATCCTGTTAGTGTGATGTTTTTGTGTTTGAGTGTGTAGCGAATGTTTGCGGTACACATTAACACATGTTTTGCCCAATGAACCGATCTCACTATAAGTGCATGTTTACTCCATCATTACTTTTTTTCTTTTTTTAATGGCAGAGAATCCCTGCCATTTATGTGTGAGATGGATTTCATTATGTTGAAAATTTTTGACCACTTACAACACATCTCTCACATTTGGGCAACAGGAGTTAGGAAGAAGAGGTAAAAGAAGCTTAAAAGTATAAAAACTGCTTTGACCATTTCCAATTTTGTTTCCTTTGAACTTTCCCACCCACGTAAGTTGAAGTCAGAGATTATGACTCCAGTTTTATGACCGTCACTTTTCCAACATTTTAAGAGAAACTGAAAATGCAGAAGCTTCTAAGAAAAAAAAGCTCAAGAAAGAGTTCCTGTATTGGATTGCATTAGATTCAACAGGTGGTCCTCGGGTTATGGCTGATCAGCGTGTATGACTGTACATTTCATCTTCTACATGAAGAAGCGTGTTGTCGCTTTGCTAATTTGTATAGGCACAATCAGAAAAAAGCCTTATGGTTGGGGAGTTGGCTCTGCTTTAGCTTTGAAGGGTGTGCAAAAAATCTAAATTTCCGACATGCCAGATATTCATCTGACTAGTTTGGAGCAGCTGATTGTGCTGTGATTGGCTCTAGTGCTTCCTCATGTTCTGCACGGCAAACAGCGTTAAAATGGGCCTGACTTCACAGTAAGGTAACTGAAAACTGAGCTCAGACTCAGTCTATATTCACAAAGTGTCTGGCCAGTTTTGTATTGTCATGCAGACCATGGCTAAAGGATAAGTCCAGTTGTATTCCACTGTTTTCTAGTAGTGGGAAATTGTTTTCTAAAGACCAAAATGAACAATGAAAGAATCTTTAAGAGTCACCTGTGCAACCACAACATGGCATATCTCATTCTTCTGCGCCCCCATAGCGCAAATGCCTTTAAAAAACACACCAAAACAAGCAGATCAGTGAGTCACCTCCTTTGCAGCAGGTAATGTGGTTTTCTATATATACATGAACGCGGATATGTTGGATTGTTTCAGGTCAATCCCACATAAATACTCACTGAGCACCAAAGCTGTGACTGAAAATAGACCCCAACGAATGCACCATTTACCATGAGGAACATCTGCTCAAACAGCAGTGTAGTAGAAAATAACAAGCGCTTTTAAAATAAATAAAACTATCTTTATTCCCTGTTTGATGTTTCAAAAGAAACTAACCAAACTATAAAGTGAAGAAAGAAAGAAAGAAAAGATGTTGATTAATTTTGCTTGTTATGTAAAATTGCTAACAGTTGACTTCAAGCAAGCTGCAATTTCGCCCCAGTACTGTAGACCTGGAGGTTTACATATCTTTTAACAAAGGGTTTAGGTCAGTGGAGAGTCATGAATCAAAATCTTTGATCAATTATAAAAATATTCAATCACAACTTTTGTATTTGAGGTTTCACATGCAGTCCTATGGGTTTGTGCCTGTGTTTCATGTATGTGTGGCGGTGTTGATACAGTTAGAATTGGGTTGGAAGAGAAATTTTTGGGCACTATGAAGGTGTTTCTTTGGGAAAAAAAAGTGTTTGGAAAACCTCTGTGCCAGCACTGCAAGGTGAGAGTATTTGCTAACAGGTTAAGCCGTTTCAGACACATTGGAACAAATACGGATTGGGTGTTTCTCAAAGTCTGGGTTTGTCAGCACCTGCACATAGAAAGTGCACAATTTATATTCACCTCAGTTACTGTTCACATTGAGACATTATTCTTTTCTGCAGGGTCTGCAGTCACTTTAGCAGCTCTCATAGGCGGCGCACTCAGAAATACTCAGAGCTTCATGCTAATATAAACATGCTATCATTTTCAAAATAACAATGCTAGCATTCTATCCAATCAAAGCCAAACAGGCAGCACCAGCGATGTGATGGACAGTGGTAAAGTAGGTCTCCTTCAGTACTGAACTTAGGTCAAGTTTTTAAGTATCTGTACTTACACTACACTTGAAAGACAAGTATCCTACTCTCGACTCCACTAAATCTTTTCAAATTTCCTTGTTGAATGACACCTTTACTTTTGTCATCTGATTGACTTTCTTTTCTTGTCGAAAATCCAGTCTGAGAGACGAGAAACTGGGTTCATGTAGTTCTTCACGTAGCTCCTCCAAGTGGAGCTGCAATACTTGTACAGTGTGAGTCTCCATAGTTATGCAGAGCACATATTACTCAGCTCAGGCGGTTGACGCAGTGGTGGTCATGATGGCTACATAGAAGAAGGGCAGCCCTCCCCCCAGATCACCACTTCTTAAGATGATGTTTGAAGCTTTTGAAATGAAGACTGATCATATCTGATGGTTGTTCATTTTATATTGGAGCTGCAAACTTGGAAATCTGGCATCTGGTATACTCATGTTTTCCTATTTCCTGGTGAAAATACAGATGATTCTTTGACTCAAGCAGTGACTCAAGTTGTGCACTGAGTCCAGGATGATGATGCTAAAAATAGTGTTCACAGTCAGTATGTTTACATCAACAGTTAGGTCAAGCTACAGTTGTAGCTCCATTAAGCGATTTCGCTGGACTACTGTCCTTGTCCATGTTTATATGTACGGGGAAAAATCCAATTATTAACAGAAGAATGTCCACCTCTGCTATGGTAGGTAGCGACATTATCTATTTCAGCTTGTTACTACTTGGTTGTCTCCTGGGTTGACTTATCATGTACCAAAATAGATGGCAAAACAAGTTACTAAGAGACTACAGGATGATTGGCGAACAATGAAAACACTCAGTACGTTTACATGACACTCAAGAAAACTGACATATTGCCTTATTATGATAAAGACCGAACAACTGAAGTGCACGTAAACATTTTAGTCTGACTATGATCGGAGTTTGAGAACTCTGATTGGAGTTGGAGAACTCTGATTAAGACACCCAGATAATGCGATTGGAATTTGATTTTCTCTACCATGTAACCAGCATAGTCGGAGTATGATTGGACAATGCATGTGCCCGTGTGCTGCGCCCCCGTTACCCTGGAACAAAAACACCAGAAAAGAGTAGTAGCGTGCATCTCACCTGCAGAAAAAGTAGCGCGTACATCATGTACGACAAAAACAACGCTGTACGATGATCCATCTTCTTGCTTGAAAATGCCCAACAACAGCTGTAGCCACTTCTGATGTCTGGCATGGACCAGAAACAGCGCCGCTGAAAAGACTCATATCGCCCCCTGGTTTTGGGGAGGATGGCACGTTCACGTCAATAATTTAATTTTCTCAGCTGCATGTATACGCGGACAAGTAGAGAAGTCCAATTCGGCGAAAAAAACAGAATTATGAGCTCAGTCCGATTAAGCTGTGCATGTAAACACACTGAGTGTTACTTTAAAAGCTCTGTACTATGCATGAGCAAACTTTCCTCTTTTTTACATCTTCTGTTTGTCTGTTAAAGTTTTGTTTATACCTGGCTGAGGCGAAGATTGAAAATCAACCCTCAACCGCATTATCCAGGTCTGCTCACCTGACTACGAGAAGTTTGATTTCAGTGCTATTTCAGTCAGACTGGCATGTTTACACAACTTTTAAAAATCCAAGAAAGGTAAATCAACAGAGTTATCAGAATTCACCCACTATGGACTGTGAATGTGTGGGTTGAATTTCACGGCAACTTATTCAAGAGTTGATGGGATAATTTATTCATGAAGTAACTGCTGGATCATCTGAATCTTATCTACGCAGTCCCTCCTGATATCACTGTCAAGCTTACACAACCTTTCTCCCAGCAAACATGCCACAAAAGGCCACCAAGGCCATAAGATGCTAGTTTTACACTTCTGTTGCACTTATAGTTGTCTTCTCTAAATGGAAACCCTTTATGGATCTTACCGCAGCCTTCAGTGAGAGTTGCACTGACACTGAGAAAGTGAAAGATACAACAACACCGTGTGCTTCTATCTTACTGAGGCCTGGAAAAATAAGTCTGACAAAGCAGCGGAGAAAAGAGTGGGAGCGAGATAAAACAGAGGAGAGAAGGACAAAACTCGGGTGGGAACGACGCCGCAGTGTGGAGGCATCTCATCTGGGCATAATTGGCAGTCTTTGTTAAAGGGGGCCTTTGATTTAATCTGCAGGTCTGGTGACTCAAACAGTGAGGAAAGAGCTGCCGCTGATCCGGAGTCTTCTGGTCGGCCGCCCCTCCCCCCCTCTGTCCCTGCAGACAACTGGCTCACAGCCTGTTTGCCTGACTGCTTGCCCCGGAGCCACACTGCATACCTCACCCCAGTGTGGACAGCGCATGCAGCACAGTGCTGCACACTCAGAGCACCAGGGCTCTATCGATGCCTTAGCATATTAATGATACATCTCTGCAGAAGACCGGTGGATAAATGTAGAGTAAAAACCGCTCCTGGAAAGTTGATGACTTTGACGTATTCTGTATATTGTTGTGTTGCTTTGGCGTTACTTAATCAGCCTCTCAACCTCACACTATTGTCCATATCAACAGAAACCAGTTGACTGCTCTCAGTTCATATAAGCTTTAGAATATTCGATTAGAAGTCTAATTTTTGTTAAACCCAAACAACAGGATCACTAGAACCTAAATGTGAGCAGCCTGCAGACTTATAAAAGACATCCCAGTAACTTTAAAGGCATGGTTGACGATCTGAGAAGCAGTTGGAAAAAACTGAGCCGTTGAGGCAGATTTGAAAAAAGCACACACAAACCTCTCTCCTCTGTGCTCCACGATAACCCCCCCTCGAACCTGTATCGCCCTCTCCACGACACACCCCCTCTGGCAGAGCAAGAAGCCGGCCAGTAGAAGATCCTACGCTAGCTTCAAATAGGATTCACCATGACGGATTGCTAGTGCCTAGCGGCAGCCTGGACAGCTACCTTGTTGAGACTGCAGAGACTAATAAGAGTTATTTATGTAACGTGCCTCGATAAAGGGCAAAAATTACCTGTTTGACAAAAACTCTGCTGTCTCAATGTCTGTTTTTAGGCCTAAATCCTTGCAGAGCTTTCTCCACCGCTCGAAGGATGAATCGATGTTTATTCCAGTTAGATTCCTCACATGGTCACATTTCCTCTTCGACTCTGCCCTTTCTTCTGTCGGCTTGCGTTTTCTTAGCACATCTGGCGGTGGGGCAAGCATAAGTGTTTCTTTTTCCATCCTTCTCCATCACAGCTCCTGTAGCTAAGCTGCTACGCTACTTTTAGCCGCTCAGAGCTCAGAGGAGGGTCGGGAGAGTGGGAGGTGACAAGTCAGAAACACGGTAGAGGGGTGTGTCGAATACAGTGAGGTGATTGGATGGAGAGACAAAGCAGGAGATGGACCAATAGGAGCTGTCCGGGATGGATGGCTCCCATTGGTCAATGTTTTTGCAGCCCTGCACCTGGTAGGGTGAACGGATTTTTTCTATTCTTTTTTTATGCACTATAGGACCATGATCGCCATATAAACGAGGTTCATAATGATTACCGATCTCTCCAATCGTCAACCATGCCTTTAAATGTTTGGTTTTTAAAATCTGGATCACGCCAAACTGAGAAAACAACTGTCAATAAGGGAACGCTGCAACAAACTAGCTGCAAAGTAGCTAGCATGCTCCTGTTGATGAAAGTGAAAAGGTGTAACCTCAGGTGCAGTTCTTGCTTTAGACCAGTGGTTCAAGACCTTTTCCGCCTGAAAGTCGGAGCCCCCACAAAGATCCAAACTAAAAACAAAGTGATGCATTTCTATTAAAAATAAATACCAAGTGTGTTTACCAGTTCTGACTTGATGCATGAACTGACTTGAAAAGTGTGTTTTTTCAGAAACAAAGAACATAAAAAGTTCTTCCTGTTGCAACTTCATCTTTTAAAATACTGGGTCTTTAGAGTTAATGATGCTGAGTTGGTGTTGCTCTTGAAGTGCCACATGAGCAGTAGCAGCAGTAGAGTTACAGCAACATGAAAAAATAATGAGTGCCGCAGTAGCGTGGACACCTTCAACAGACGTCCTGTAGTGTGTGCCGGATCTATGTTGAGCCTTTTACAGACTCTGCATGCTTTTAGTGAATGAAAGGCAGTAAATACAGAGTCAGAAAGAGATATCTCATCTATAATCAAAAACAACACAGCACTCGCTTTTAAGGTCATTGTGCTTTTTATAGCTGAAGCATATCTAGATCACACACAGAAATGTAATGAGTGTGTATTTGTTTGCTGTAGTTTTAAATCTTGATTGAGTTTAAACGTCTCACTTGTTTAACACAGTTTTTTTTTTAACAATCTCAAATGAAAGCTGAGGAGAAAGATTTAAAGATATAAAAGTATGAAAACACCATCCTGTCACTCCTCTTCCTGAATAGGCATTAAATAAGTTTATGAAAATAGAAATATACATAAAAGGAAAGAAGCCTTTTTACAGCTGTGTTGTGACTGTCACTGAACCTTACAGCTACTGTGAGAAACTTTCTGTTTGTGTCAAAGTATCATGTTGCTCTTTTTTAACAGTAAGAGGTATCACATGGTGAAAACCTGCTGTGGTACTGATTTTTTAGCTTGTTTTTAAGTCATTAAGCTTGACACCTACCCCCCGGTGAAGGTTACAGACTTTCAGAATTACAAAATAAAAACTTTTATTTCTTGATAATGGTCTTGTTTGCTTCTGAAGGTGCCAAAGAGGTATTACTGTTAATTTCATGACCAGAGGAAAACTTCTCACGGTAGCTTTAAATGGATAAAGATGTAAGGATAAAAACAGCACTACAGAAACTATTTAAAATAATATTTTAACAAAGCATATACAACATTTGCGAAGGGGAGCTGTACATTCAAGCAGGAAGGCACAGGATGATGTGAATGCACAATTACACGTATTCCCCCAGCATCAGTCACTTGGCTCTTTTGACTGCAGTTAGACGAATCCTATGGCAGGGCAGAATGAACCAATTTATGCATTTAATAGGGGTGAGAGGGGCTTCAGAGAACAGCTCCACATTTTCTCCATGATTGTTGTTACAGACGATTTTACTATACTTTCAAAAGATATGATTTATGAAAGAAAGAAAAATTCAGCAAATATTAAATTTTTATTGTAAGTCAGTCGAGGGCCTCTTCCTCCATCAGGGCACTGTGAAGTCCATATATCTGTTCCCCTCACCCCTACGCTCATGAGTCTTTCTGCCATTCAGTGCTAGAGGAGTGAACAAGGTGCTGGTGCTTTGGTAATAAGGGAGCTAAAAGGTGGAACGGAGGCTAGTGGGGATGTGTGGTGATGGGGGGCGGCAGGGCGTGAGGCTGCGTCAAAGCTATGATTAGCGCCGACCACGCTCCGCTCTTATTGATTGGCACAGTGGAGACACTGGGCTGCCTTCCACCACACTCTAATGAGAAGCCCTGACCTCCACTAGTCAGCAAGGTCACCAAAGCCTACTGTAATTGCACTTTCTCTAATGGCGTCAGTCACGCACGCACTCCAACCCCGGTAATGACAATTACCATAAAGTCACTGGGCTCCATAGGGGCGCTCCAATCATCCGTCATTTTAAGGAGAGGGGATGTTAGTCAACTGCTGCAGGAGGCTCACGGGGGTCAAAATTCATGAGTGATGGAGGCTTTTAAACTTAAACCTGTTTCTTAAATGCTGAACTAAATTCAAACCCATACACAGAGTCAACATCAGAATGTCCCCTCTTTGTTTTATTCTTCAATACTTGGCTGTCTTAAAGGTATTAAAATAACCTTTATTTTTTATCGTTAATCATGATCTGTTCTCTGTTTACTTTTTTCTGATTCTTGTCTTTCTCCTAGGTACATGATTCTGATACAGGCCTTTTGCACAGAGTTCAGGGTTTTCTTGGAAACCTAAATTTATTCATTTGGTCAAGTTAATGTAACTGAATGTGACCATTTAAAACATGTTTAAAGGTCCCCTATTATGAAAAATCCACCTTTGTGAGCGCAAATGGGCGAATGGAGAAGCTGTGCGGTTATGACAACATAACCGCATTGGGTATTCACCGAAAGAACTCTAAGTAACAACGAGACAGCGGCACCATAGCTAACAGATAAGCTAACCTACCTAGCAATGTAACATAACACATTTACAAAGAAAAAAGACAACTATAAAGACACATATTTGTAACCAACCATTCAGAAATGGAGATAGACGTCAGAGGAGCTAACCCACCTAGCAGTGAAACATAACACACTGAGTAAAAACACAAATATAAAGACACATAATATTTGTAACCAGCCATTCAGAAACATCCTGTTGCAGCTGCAGAGTTTGAAGTTTGACTTTCTTTGGGAGCCTCGCCCTTTGGGTCAGACTCTGGGTCAAATTGGTTGGGCTGAACCACAGCGCTTCTATGAGCCATCACACTACACAGGCTGTAAACATTAGCGCATGGTATCGGAGCAAAAGCCACAGCCTCTTCCAGAGAGGGGCGTGGTTACACACAGCTCATTATCATTTAAAGGTATAGACGCAGAATCAGCCAGTTCTCAGTCAAGCTCAAAAAGAGGAGGGTACAGACTGGCTGGTGTTTTAGACAACAAACTTCAAACTTACTATTGTGGGACCTCTGGGACTGATTTAAACTTGATGAAAAATGCCACAATAGGGGACATTTAAAACCTTTTTTTTCTGTAATTCCAATATTCATAGTTTTGTGTTTGAGTGAAATGAACCATTTTGTTTTGTGACTGTGACACAACAACTTTTTGTCTGACTTTTTACATTTCGAATAAAAGACTCTCTTCAGCATTTTATTTGTAGAACATGACAGCTGGTCAAGATCAACAAACAAAAATAACTAGAAATTTTTTGGCTGCAAGTGATGGAAAGAAACACAAGGCCATGCCCATTTTTTAAAGGCACTGTGAGGAGTTTTTAAGTGCTTGAGAAACAGGCTGGAACTGATACTGATGCCTCTCCGTGACCTTCACATCAAATGAGATCATCAGCAACACGGCTGAAAATTCCTCTGTCATAATTTTTGAAGTCTGGAACTGCTGTGAGGGGATAGGTGTCAGACCAGATGATTGGTGGCAGGCCGAGGAAACATTTCCCTTGGTAAAACTCACAGTAGGTGCTACATTTCATTTTTAAAAGACAACAGGATGAGGTTTTTGAAAAATACTCTTACAGAACAAGAAATATGACTTTTGACTTTGCCCACAGGGGGCACCAAGAGGGCCATCACCCAAAAGTTCCTCACACCAGCTTTTTAAAGGGATGCAAATATTGTTTTTTGCCGATGACTGACATGTTTATATTTCAGTCTCACTTGCCGTGATACCAATACATCATTACCTGGCAGAGGTCCAGATTTTCCACCGTGTTTAGAGGTTGGTTATCAAAAGCAATGAAATCAGTGATGTCCTTGTCAAGCTCCTTACCATTTGGTGGTGCTGCTGTGTGTCTTTGTTCTCTTGTATGACTGAAATGAAGACTGATTACAGGTTTTGTTGCTTCTAGTGCCGAGGAGGACCAGTCCTGAGATGCATATTTGAATTGGTAATGGTAAAGGATTGTTTTGCTCCTCTGTCTGAGTCTGACATTTCCAAATACTTACACATATAGGAAATTTTCCTTTCTTTCATAATGATAGTGAACTGTAAGTTAGCTCACGCTGATGCAGAGCCTTTATGAGAAGACTTACTGAGTGACTGGATGCATTAACTGATTCTTTCATCAGCAAGTAATGAACCCAAGGAAGTCATGCAGTTTGACACCTGCATTTTACCAGGAGAGAGCAAAGTTGCTGCATCTGTGGAAAAGGTGAGGTTGAGAGCAGGTCAGGAGGAGGAGATAAGTGGGTCTGATGTGATAATAAGTGAGGTGGTTTTATGGGTCAGTGTTTGACAGCGGTTGAGAAGAGAAAGATGCCAAGGTGAAAGAGAAGGAGTTAGCTGCATGTTTCAGTTTTAAACGTTAGAGTTAGAAAGCATATTTCTCCGATATCATTAATAGTGTGAGAAGATCTGACGTTGGTGTGAAGTTGTGTTGCTGTGCTCCAGGTCATAAGTTGTATTATTGAAGGTAAACTGAGATATTAATTATCGGTTCAGTTATTATTAATCAAATGACAACCTGTAATTTTCTGCCAGACAACAGCTAATATTAGCATCCAGTCCCACCATAGCTAACATCAGTGGGGATGTGGCTGAATGCTTACACTGGCTGCTCAAGGATGTTAGCTCATTATTATTCGAGTATCATCATATGGCTAGAAATTTGGCTGAATGTCTCTCTGGATTGTCATCTTCAGTTTCAGTCAAAAAGGCAAAATACGACACCATGGACACAGTGATATCTGAGTAAATAGCTGTGATGTGACCATCGTAAAAGTAGACGTTTAAGCGATTGCTTCAAAAATAATTCAGCAAAAACGTCTGCCACTTTCCTTAACTTGTTTTAAGTCATTTTGTTTCATTTCTCAAAAATAATCTCTAAGACCTTGGTTGCAAAAAAATTAGCACACTATATATCTTGTTAATAAGAATAGGTTGTCAGACTTAATTTTATTAATTCAATATGCAGCGAAATAAAAGACATAAATGTGCCGAAGTAGAGAATTGACTAAAATGAGCCTTACTCTATGATTTAAGCAGATTTGTAGTCCTACACCCACCATCTATCAGGTTAGCCCCCAAGCTAGTAATAGCCAAATTCTCATCCAACATTAATGGTGGGATGTTACACAGTCGTCATTTTTGGCATGAACATCATAAACTTAACAGTACATGGTCATCCGGTTTGCCAACACCACCATAGTGTGTGTGTGTGTGTGTGTGTGTGTGTGTGTGTGTGTGTGTGTGTGTGTGTGTGTGTGTGTGTGTGTGTGTGTGTGTGATGGTATCAAAGAGGTTAATGATTCTGACAATTATATATTCACCATAACATACAGTAGCTCACACCAACACACCTTAATAAACCTCACACGTCAGTACGGTTGAAAGAGCTCCATCCTGTTCATCCAAACTTGTCTTGTTTTTAATACTCTGAATATGAATGGATATATTTTGTACTTGAAGACATCAACTTTCATTCCAGATTATCATGGAAGAGCCTGCATGTAGTCAGATCACAGTTTTGTTTTTTTGTTTCAGGTAATTATTTATTTTTTTGCTTATTCCCTCTTGATTGCCTTAGCAGAGAATATTGGGTTTCCTGTGTACCAATGCCAAATTGCACTGTGGGTTTTCATAGCCTACTGTGTTTGGCTTGAGTTGGAAAATCAATGTGTCTTTTTTTCCTTACAATGCATTATGATTTTATTGAATATGTAATGAAAAAACTGAACTTTGAATAAGATGCAGTTAGGTTGTAATACTTTCATTTATATCACTCTTTATTTGAAGGATTTTTCTATATTTAGTTGAAAGTTTTTACAGAAAAATGTCATAGTTTTAGCTTTTTTAAGTGTTTTACCTTTTTTTTTTTTTTTTTACCAATCATGAAATAGAAACAGTTGTTGCACTAGCATTGGTATGTCACAGTATTAGTTGAATAACAGCTGCACCAAGAGTGCTAATGGTTTCTTTTAACAATTTCTATCAAAAAAAGAGTTTAAGTCACTTTTTGGTGAGGATTTTCTGCATGAGTTGGTTTGGCTACAAAGTGATGTTTTGATTAAAATCACTGCAGGGCCAAAAAAAGCGCTTTGCAAGTTACTGTAGCAAGGAAAAACTGCGTTGGGTTTAGACCCAGTCCACACAAAGATGAAAATGATATATTGCTGTTTTGTTTTGAAAAAGTTTTCTGTAAAGAAGGAATATAAATATCTACGTAAACATGAAAACCACTGAAAGTGACTCAAAACAATGTTGTGCTAAGTAACGCTGCTCCAGAAATGCAATAGAGCATGTGTATAAAGGTTTTGTGCCATATACAGTTCAACAGTCTGTGAAGAAGACACCAGAAAAGGAAGATGGCATCAATTCAATGCCCATGAGAGAAGGGAGTAGCTTTAATAGACTGATGATGCAGCACGAACATAACCCTGTAGTCAGCCATTGTTGTTTTGGCTGGACCAGGGCACGTGCCTGAGGGGGCTACGCTGTGCGTGATGTAATCGAGAGACGCGAATAGGCACCCAACACGGCAACATAATGGTAATCACACACAGATTTAAGCACTCTGGGACCCGTTCTCAAAGGTATCATTCACAGTCTCCCGAACAGCCATTTCCGTGTGGCTAAAACACCAATACGTCAAAAAGCGTTTACTCCTGAATTCGTTGGAAGTGTGGACAAAAGAGAGAGATGGATGGGGACAAACAACAACAACTATGGCAGAAAGTGAGAGTTAGCTAAAGGTAATGGGTGAACTTGAAAGAGCTGGTTATGGTTAAAGTTAAGCAGTTAGAAATTAGAAGAGTATGCTTCTTTTAACCAATGACTCAATGAAGAATAGACAGAACAACATCCATTCTGTGTGTAGCCATAACTTTAACAGACAAGGTGTGACATCAGTCGACCCAGTCCGTCAGCAAGATCATTTTTACACATGTTTCATTCATGGACTACATCAAGAGCAGGACAATAGTGAGGGGGGAAAAAAAGGATAATCTAGCTCTCAGTGTCTGTTGCATCCTAAATTCGCAGCTTACAGACGTCACACCAAACATCAAATAAGTATGAAGGTTTTACCCGGAGACATAATAGAAACAAACCCGGTTAAAAAAAAAAATCACGTCATATCCACCACCACATGCTAAGAAGGTATTGCTCCTGTGTCAAAACAGTAGTAGTGTAAACAGAGGGAGAGGTAGCGCTTCAGAAACACGACCCATTATCAACATCATCTTTGGCAGCAGCAGTGTGAATGTGCTGCAGGAAGGAGTGTGAGCCTCTCTGCCTTTAACAGAACGACTTATTGTCAGTCTGATTGAAGCATGTGCTTAAGGGTCAGCTGATTGTGCACATGACTAAGTGTCCTTTATGAACTGCTCCATGCTGTATTATATGAGAGTGTGGACTTTTGAGACTTAACATAGCCCCATCTACAGGTGAGTCTGGCTGATTCATCATGTAAGCCTTCCTGAACTGCTCATTAAAATTTGGCTATCATCGAGGCAGCAGGGATTAGGTGATATATTAGGTGATTCATGATTTCTAGAAAACATTACTTTTGTTTTACTATAAGCTAATGAAAAAAGGTGAAAGACAATAGGTCACCGTGGTCGCATGAATACCCGATGAAGGTCTTTGCTGTTGGGAAGAAAACGTGCGCTCTGCTGCTGGCTTTCATTCCTGTGTCTTTAATTTTAGCACGTTCGTGTATTTAAGTGAGAACCAGGGTCATAAAAAAAACAAGGAGGGAGAAAGAAAAGTAAAAAAAAAAAAAAAAAAAAGATGGCCAGGGTAGGTGGTAGCTAAATCAGTGAGAGCACAAAGAGGCAGGCGTCTGAGAGGTATTGACCCTCCATTGATCGTCAGAAGCTGCGTGCTGGTATTGACCAGATAGAGGAGAGACCCGGGGAGGCTGCACACAGCTCCACCGCTGAGAAAGAGAGGGAAAAAAAAAACAGAGAAAAACAACCATATACGCTGCCTACTCTGACCTTGTGGGCCGTCGCTGTCCTACAGCCCACACCACTCTACCCCCCACCACACATAGAGATACGTGTGTGTGTGTGTGTGTGTGTGTGTGTGTGTGTGTGTGTGTGTGTGTGCAGGAGACCCCTGCAGAGAACTATGCAGAAAGCTTTATCTCACTGAGGCCATTTCCTATCGTGCCTCTTCCGAAGCCTCGCTGTTGTGCCGGTAAACACTGCGGCAGTTAACCGTCCACAGGGCCTTCAGCTGCTCCTGCTACACAAACATACACAAACCACAAAGTCCCAGGCACCTCCATACATAGAGCTGCACCTCTAAAGTCATCAGGAAAGGTCAATATGTGTGTTGTGATCCTGACTTTATGAATTATTCTTTAGCAGACATTCGTGTCCACACAGTAAACAAAGAAAAACAAAAGCTTTTCATCGTCGTTTCCACACAAAAGGGAGATTACTTTTTTTTTTTTTTTTTTACAGCACAGGCCAGCACGGAGACTAATTCAAAGATCCTTCAGCTTGACAACAGGTGCAGCGGCCATTTTCTCCGAGAATCGTTGGTGCTCATTCTGTAATTGGCGAGCAAAACGGGCAGCAGAAAGTTGGATTGTTGATGTCTGGTGACAAAGAAGAAGCAAGGAGAAGGCATACAGGGAGCGGCGGAGGGTGCGCATAGTTTTTTTTTGTAACTAATGGCCTTAATGCCGGTCAATAAACAAGCATTATTTATTTGTAAGATGTGTAGCAGCACCGTGCAGCTGTAGGAAGCCGAGCTTGCAGCCTCAAACCCACGAAAGTCGCAGGGTAAAAAGCAGGGGGAGAGGAGGGGGGTCATTAAAGTGAAAACCAGGAGCCACATGGGAGGCAGAATTTTAAATGACTCCCCTTGTAGCAAGACCAGCCCAACAGAAGGACTAAACCTCTCCCCCTCTCTCTCCATCCATCTCGCTCTCTCCCTCGCAGAGATGCAATTAATTCGGATAGAGCGTGCCAAGTGTGCAGAGATAGAGCGAGCGGGATGCGCCCTCGCACATGCCGGAGGGAGGACAGTTTCGCATTCCCCAGAACAAATACAGATTCAGGGGCTTTCAGTCCAGCACGTCGTGACCAAACTTCATCTCATCATTTCCACCTTGTCTCTCGGAGTTTTTCAGCGAGAGCTCAATCCTTCAGCAGCCCTGACAGGGAAAGAAAAAGCCTCCCTTCTTCCTCCTGCTCTGCCGCAGTAACACCACCCAACTTTTTACACCAACCGCACTCGCAGTCAGTTGAAATATACAGCATTTAAACAGGTTTTACCCTGACTCTGAGTACACTGAGGCGGAAACGTTGGTGTTTTTTTGATAGCTAGTTTATATCCCTCCTCTGACACACAGTTACCCAGCTGTTGATATTCCTCAAGGCCAGGATCGCAGGACTGCAGGTGGGAGTGCCTGTGGTTGGAGATGGTGTGTTTGAGTGTGAGTCATGTCATGGTACACAAAGCACGTACCATGCAAAGAGCAGGAGGGAGTGTAGCTCAGGGCCAGGGAGGCCATCGATACCAGGGAAATTGATCGTAATCAACCAAGTTACAGAGACTGAGCAGGGATTGGCCAACGACTATCTTTCCCTTCTTCTCCTTCTCCTCCCTCCTCCCCCTCTTCTTCCCTTTTCCTCGTCTTCTTCCTCCATCTTGTGCCGTGTGTCCTGATGCATTTTTTTTTCTATCCAAACTAGAAGAAAACTACCTCCAATTGCTGTCAATCATAAATATCCCCAAATTTGTAATGACAACACACAAAAGATTCGTCATAAGTTGATGTTTTTCAGCTGTCACTTTACTTTGTTGTGTAAAACTTGTCCTACTCTCTCTGTGTAATTCGATTTGATCAAACAATTTAAAAAGAACCACAAAGGAAGGGAAAAAAAATGCTCTTGAAAATCAGTGGCATCTCCTCTGCTGCGGCTCCACTCTAATTTCTCATTTGAAGACAGCGGCGTACCTGGCAGTGCAGCTGCACCATTCAAAACGCTGGCCCAATTATAGCATAACACCTAGCCTTATGGTTTCCATGGCTGCACGATGCATTTTCCCGCGGGACGCAGCGTGGAGAAACGAGTGTCTTATCAACCATCACCCTGGTAATAACACTCCCTCCAGCCTTTGCCGCATGTGTCAGACCTTAACGAGAACCCTGGGTGAAATCTCTCTCCCAGTCCAGCCACAGCCATTGATTTGGACTTAATCTGTTCCCACATGTCCTCGTGGGTGTGTTTGTGTGTGTGTGCGTGTGTGTGTGTATTAGAGAAAGAGAAAAGGAGATTTAGAGAGAAAGCGTATGCATGTTTATGTCTGTTCAAATGTGCGTACGTCTTTATATTGTGTAAGATTTAGAGCAGGAGTGAATTGTTCATGGTGTGTTTTTATCTTAGCTTTTTAATTGAACCATCTGTGTCATATTTTCATTTTGTATTACGCTTTGGTCGTTTCTGCCGTATCTATTTACAGCAAATCCGTGAACCGGAGAAATAACTTTATACCTAAGATTCGTGTTTGCTTTTCCAGGCCTTGCGTCTGTTTGCAGGGAGCGGTACAAGAAAATGTTGTCCTGAAATGTTGAAAATGATTCATTGAGATTTATTTAGTTTTAGTGCAGACTCTGACTCCATGGTTTTTTTGTAGTCCAAGGCTGGAGCAGATCTTGGCAGTGTGCTCTGTAGAAATTCATCTCAGTCTGCCGGAGCAGACAAACAGTTGCATATTAAGCAAGTTATTTTAGCTCCATTCACAAATGGCCTTTCCCATCAGGATGCTCGAAGCACTTTGTTTGGAGTTGTGTCAGGTGATTGCGCCTAAATATACCTACTGTGCTTTAAAACTCAATTAGCATCAATGTAGTTGTATAAGTAAGGATTGTAATGGTCCGCTTATTAAACGTCTAAAATTAAACTACAATTCTACTACCTTGGCCTTCTTGATTTATTCCTCTGTCCTGTAATAATCTTGACTAACCTTATTTTCTCTTTTCTATAGTTAATGTCAGTGAGACTATTCTTTAAAAATGATGGCTGTAAACCTGTGAGGGATTCCAGTTGCAGCAGGTGTTGAAACTGAGTATAAAATGTGTTTCACGAGGTGTGTGAAAGACCTTAAAAAGAACAAAAAAAAAAGCATGAAGGTCCCCCTGAGCAAGGTCACTTGTAAATTGTGCTGATTCCCAGTAATTTTCTCTCTGATGAACATGCCCTCAGACATCCCTACAGCGCGCTGGTTATCAATAATGTATTCAAATACAAGAAACTGATGATGAGGGAAGTGTGCCAGATGTGACTTTTATTTAACTTGTGAATTTTTATCATGTACGACAATCTTACCGCAAGTTCTGGTTCTAATAAGTTTTAAGACAAAGGACTGGCATTAATGTGCAAATGTAATGCACAAGTGTCGTGTTAGAAATGACCACCAAATCTGATCTTAAAAACGCATTTTCCAGAAAATTTGAGGGCTAAATTAAGGATCATTCTGGCTCTCTGTTTCAGTGAACCATTATCGAAACTGAAAATGTATTTTAACATTCAAAGCCATAACACAATATTAATGTATCAGTCTAAAGGGAAGCTGTTTGAGGGAGTGTTGATTTTTAAGCTCATTTAAGGTGTGAACAAGAAGTAATCTAAAAGGAAAAGGCAGCAAGTTTTTTTTTTTTTTACAGTTTATATTTAACGCTCAGACCAAAAGTTAAGAATACTAAAAATGAACAGCTCTCCACTAAACACAGATTGTCAGTGACTCATGTTTGTGATGTTGTTTCAGCAAAAATACTCACTGAAGCACATCTGATCCCATCTGTGGAGTAGTTAAGGTTAAAATTGTATGACTGAATTTGTGAGACCAAAAACACAAACACTAAAAATAGAAACATAACTTTATAAATTGTATCTTTTTTTCAATAGGGTGTATGTAGTCTGTAGTTTTCTTTGTAAGTATCTTTACAGAGAATATATAGAAAACAGGACAAGGGCCATGAGAAGAGAAAAAAATAATAACAGGAGGAAGATTATTTCATTTTCATTTCCAGATTAAAGTCAAAATTTTGAGATAAAAGTCAAAAATTTTAAAAGTCTAAATGAAAAAAAAGTTGAGATTTCAAGATTAATGTCGAAATTTCGACAATACTCACAACATTTCATATTTTGTAATCTCCAAATTTCGACTTTAACGTCAAATGTTTAATCTCCAAATTTCAACTTTATTCTCCAAATTTCGACTTTCATCTTGGAACTTCGACTTTTACATTTTGACTTTAATCTCAAAATTTAGACTTCAATCTTGAAATGGAAATTAAAAAAATCTCCCTCCTGTTATAATTTTTTTTCTCATATTTAAAAAGACATAATTCTTTTTTTTTCTCTCTCGCTCCATTGACAGACTTTGCTGCTTCTTTCAAGTCTTAATTTTTGGCTCGTAACATTTCACAAGGAGATAAATATCTGGACTTGTCAGACCAGTGTAGCTTACATTAAGTGCAATGAGATACTTTAATCAGTAATTACACAATTAATCTCAGGAAGATTTGCAAATTTGCATTGCTCTACAAAAACTCAGCACTAAGTCAGAGTTCGGTCTCATTTAAGGTTAAAAAACATTGACCTTCCAAGCAAGAAAGAAAATCTGCTGATTTACTTGCAGATTAGTTTTACTTCAAGAAACTTAGAACAAGGAAATTTCTATTGGAAATATCTGGGCTTGTCTGGCAGGTCATTACGGCTTATAATAAGTTTAACGATATATTTTTTTACTAATAGTATGACAAAAACACTTGCTTAGGTCTGAGTTTTTGCAGTGAGGATATCTGCTGAGTCTGAGCTTCAAAAGGAGCGGAGGAGTGTGAATAATCCTGCGACAGCAAATTAGTATTAGTGAGAGAGAGCATTACAAGACATAGACATCTCAGTCTACCAAGTAACATAAAAACAAACCTGTGTGAGTTTAATTTGTGTAATTTGTGTAATGAATGTCGTTGAATACAAACTAAAAACAAATCTCTCTAGCCAGACTTCAGACATGTAATGTACTCTTAAATTGATTTTTTTTTTAATTGAATTTGGAAATTTATTGAATGTTTTCAATAAAGTTCTTCTCATCTTATCATAAAAAGCCTTGTCCATATTAATTTGTACAGTTACATGTTTCAAGTTTACAACAAATAAATACTGAGTTTTGATGATATGATATAATGAGAGGAGGAGAGAGATTAAAGGATGTAAACATTTCAATACAGCGACCTTCGCCACACAGCAACCAATACCTTGGCGTTTTCTTGAAAGAGACAAACTGATAAACTGAAGTCCATCTTTGAGTTTTAACATTTTTTCAAATACAATAAGTTATCTATTTTAATAATAATAAAAAAAAACATCAAAAACAATTACACCAAAAATACATACATGCGTCATGTGACTTTTATTGAAATTTTCTCGTCCAGCAAGTGGTGGGACAGAGACATTCAAACTTTAACTTTGTCCTTCACCCGTTCATCCGTAAACTTAAATTAATGTCCTCACTCGAGCACCAGCTGAATGAGCTCGCTGTGCGTGTGAACAGCTGTAGGTTTACCTTCCACTGGTACACTGCTACAGTGCTGTCAAGAAAAGAGACGCAGTTAGAGTAAACCCTCCTGAGATTTTCTTTTTATAATGGAAAATTTAACTTTTTTTCTTAAATAATGGATTGTTTTAGTGAAAAAGTAACCATGTAACAGATTACTTGAACCGCAGAGGTAACATAACAAGTAATCTGAGTACTTTAACAGACTATTTTGTAACGCAGGACCCACAACAGGTGAGGCATTTACAAATAACTACATCTAATCTAATACTCAGAAAATCAAATTATGTGATGTTATTATGAATGGGGCACTCAAAAGTAGAGTTGGCTTTATAGTTCAAGTTTTTTGACAATGTTGTGGTTATTTAAAGGTTTAAAAAAAACAACTTTTAAAGTGAAACAGTGGTCACCTTTAAGTCTTCAGCGCCCCGGTTGTCTTCTCTCTCGCACTTCCTGTGTTTTTCTCCCTTTTCTTCACATTTTACAAGCAGCATTCCTCCCCTCCTCAACACTCACGCCACATCAGTTCCTGCTATCTCCCTGCTGGAGGAAGAAGGTGGCAAGTGGGCCGAGAGGGGGCCAGCCCATGCAGGGGCATTTGGGTGGGGGGAAGGGCATGTCTGCTGGCAGTGAGGGTGAGTAGATCAGTGCTGCTCAGTGTCTGTGAGGCGGTGATAAGATTCCAGGATTTTCCCAGTGTGACAGGCCCTGCTCACCAAGCCGTACACCCCTCTGCAGGAAGACAACCAACACCACAACCACCACCTGACCCCCCCCTCCTCCAACCTCCTCCGGCAGACAGGAGCCTGAGACACCTGCAACCACACCCAACACCCACACCACCAACCCCCCACCCCCAACCACCACAGCTGAAACTCCACACATTAACCTGACAATGTTTACATCTCAGGTGTGGATTCAAAACAAAAGCACATGGATGGATTCCTACTTTATGCTTCTACACGACACCAGCCCCTCTCTCTCTCTTTCTCTCTCTCTGGCTCACTTCTCTTTCTTTATCTCCCCCCTCCCCCCTCCCTTGGATGGCAGGTCAGGCAGTGAGCTGTGCAGGCTCAGAGGAGGTAAGGACGCCGCGGTGCACATTAATAATGAAAGGCCTCAGCCACCAACAGCCCCCCACCACCACCACACACACACACACACACACACACACACACAACACACATACACACTCCCCCATCTCCATGGCGATGGCACAAGCCCAGCAGTGTCACCGGTGGAAGGGGGGAGTGGGGGGGTTTTAGCAACACTCTCCAAGCTGATCACGAGCTGGTACACAAGCCCACCATACTGGGCCTTCCTCTCACTAATTAGAAACACTCGGTGTTACGGCTGCAGCAGAAATCAGTATCTCTGCCCCCCAACCCCACACCCCCAAATAAAGAGTGACTGTGGAGCTGAGGAAAAAAAACTGAGAAGGAAGCAGGAAATAGAAATTCACTCCTATGTCACAGACCTGAGGCATTAGAATCTGTAATTATACCAGGGCCCATGTGAGATTGTCCACATTTTGGTTTTTTTAATTAGCAATTCTTCCATGTCTTCCTCTGGACGCCCACTCTTCTTCAGTGGATACAAAACATACTTACAGACAGGAAGACTGATGAAATTATTAGATGGGTATTGAGATCTTAGGGTCTGTCTGAAGTGACTAATTTCCTTGTTGTTTAAAAAAATATATAAATCGCAACTGACAAGCTAGTCTAGATAAGAAAACAATCAAAACTAGAAAGCACTCGGAGAGCGCAGACCTCCGCCAAGCAGCTCGTGTCCCCCCTCAAACAAGAAATGCCCTGACCAGCATTCGAACCCAGGACCATCAGGTTGTGAGGCAACAGTGCTAACCACTACACCACTGTGCTGCCTATCTACACCACTGTGCCGCCCATTGCTTATCTTTCAGCATTGAAAATTCCAACGACACCCTTATTTTTGGTGTGTTCTGGATCACAGTATCCAGAATTTTGTCCGGATCACCACCAACATTTAATGGGATCCTCCTGGGGCTGAGACGCACCTCTGGTGAAAATTTCAGGTCAATCCGTCTGTCTGTTAGCAACTTTACGGAGAAAGTAACAAACAAACAAACAAACAAACCAACGCTACCTAAAACAAAACCTCCTTGGCGGAGGTAATAAAGTCAAACTTTAATAAGACTCTTCAGCCTGTGGTCCTCCTCACGTTTAACATCCACATGAGACACAAGACACAGCCAACATGCAACTTCACTGCTGTTTTCTAGACAAAATACTACCAAATGGTGCCACGCTTCAAGGTGGTACTTGTTTACATCCAGGTGGTAGAGCATCATAGCAATGTGGCAAAAGTTATTTACCATAACTATGCAGGCTGGAGGCTTAGACACAACACACAGCCAGCATTTTCAGGCCTATAAAATAATAAAAACATTGATAACTTGTTTACCTAACAAGGAGTTTTAGTACTGACTTGAAAAATTGTGAAAGTTTAATCAGCCAACACTCAGTTCTTCATTAAAGCATTGAAAAAGGTTTGTTATTTTAGTCATTGTTTTTCCAAATGTTAATTTACTTCTGTAAATGTATAAATAAATGAATGTAATGAGTATAAAGATAAATAAACAGAAATATCAATTGCAAATTTAAATCAATCGTATCCAGCCCTAAAGACAGCCAGAATAACTCATGTGATGACAAAGTGATACCTTTGGTAATCAGACTTTGTTGTAGAAATGATTTTCTGTTTTTGACTGGAGTCCACTAATGCTTCGGAGATCTAAGAGAAATAATGACATTTAGGATTTTTGATGAAAGACCACTGCAAACAAAAGAAGTTTTCACTCAAACATTTTCAGTCTTTTTGACACCACGGAGGTAGAGAGAGAAATGTTTTAGTCAAGGATCACCTGGTTCACTTTTAACTTCTGCTCATGTCAGAATATTTGACTTCTCCTACACCATTAATATCACAAAAGAAACATGTTTTTTTTAGTTGTTTTAAGGTTTATACTCAATGTTTCTTCAAGTCAAAACCAGCTGTTTTTGTCAAAAGAAACATGCAAATAGACGAGTAGACAAACAGCAGGATTGTAAAATTTGACACGAATACATGCATTCCTTTTTATTCACAAAACCAGTCCAATTTTCTAAACAAATACAAAGATTGGTTATTTTCAAAAGCTGTAGCTATCCAGCAACATAACAAAAATCATGAAATATAACAAATAAAACAAACAAATACAAATAAAAACATGTAATCTTGTCTCAGTGCGTTCAGTAGGGTAGACTCAGAGCAAGTGCTGTCTCTCAACGCTGTCACCCTGAGCTGTATTGGCACATGCTCAGTAGGGCCACAGTAGCATGAGGTTGCCAGTCTCACTAGAGGGAAAGTTTGGAGATGCAGAGCAGGGCTGATTGAGGAGTTTACAGTAGTGACGGCTCTGGCGAACTGTTTCTTCAACCCCTTGGAAGTTTGCCTCTTTTGACATAATCATACAGCAGCCATTTTCCTGTGGCATCAGTCTGAGAGGCCCGATAGCCGCTGTAATGTTGTGGCTATCATGACATAAACTTAAAGTGCAAGAAATTAATTTTGTTCCAACATTACATGAGCTATAAATCCACGCATTTCCCATTGAAATACAACAGTCAAATGGTAAAATCAGATTTTGGACAGTAAATAGATGTTAACATTGGCTCTTTTCTGACTGTAGCTCATTGTAAGGGAGTTGTTAGTTGCTGTAATTTCAAACCAATGTAGGTCTATTAGGAGTCATGAGTAAGTCTGTTATGATTTCAACTAAACCAGCTCTATGTTAAAGAAAAAAACACATCTATCTGGAGGATGGTAAAGTGGCTGAAACCAGGATCAGGGGGACGGTCTGGAATAACATGTAGTAAAGGGCTGCTGGTGGGAGTTGAACGCAGGCCTTATAGTTTATACAACTTACAACCTTTAACACAACAGTGTGGCCAAACAGTGCCCAAACCTCCCACCTTTAGCATAACATCAGAGGAAAATGGCCGCTGCATGAGTACGATCAGTATGTTTGAATCCAAAATCTACAGTGTCACAGTTTAGGACTTTTCTCCGTTTTTGAAAGACGACCACTGATCCGTCTGAAAACTCAACATGAATCTTAAAATAGACGAGGGTTTACGTAACATAATGGTGAAGAATTACAATAATGTTTGCCATTAGCCACTAGTTTTGAAATATAGCTGTAAATTTACATTCTCTACACAAGTACTGTATCTTTCCACACATGAACAACATTAACACCAAACACAGAAATTAGTTGATTGTCCACACTCAGTCTGTCATTTCTGTTTCTGGCAATGAACAGTTCCATGTTGAAGCGACAGAAAAAAAACCTGCTGGAAAAAGGACAAAAGGTACCAAAATGGAAACATAGAAAAGGGAATGAAAATTGCCATAGATGCTTTTCTTTACGCTTCATTTTTGGTTCAAGGAATAAGTAGGTGCATCCATTACCCGATTGTTTTTTTTTCCGTTGTTTTTTTATTGTTTTTTTTGTTTTTTAATTCTATTATTTTATTTGTTGCTTGTTTGTTTTTTTAGCCAGTTTCTATTCCGGAGACAATCCAGGAGTTGGCATTGCACTTGATGGCAGAGCTTTGGGTAGGGGGTGGAGGAGGAGGAGGAGTCCTACTGGAACCACCGAAACGCCGCTCCTGTAGGAAGCATCACCTTCTTGGAGAAACAGGCGACAAGAAGGAGGGGAGGGGAGGGGAAGGGAGGGAGAAGAGAAGGTAGGTGTTGTTAATGAAAAATAGCACTTTTTTTCAGTGTTAGAAAAAAAAAAAGTGAATGTAAAGACAGTATCGCCTTTTCTTATTGAAGCTAAACTGTGATTGTCATTTGTCCCGGAGATGTTTTTGGGGGTTTCTTGTGAAATGGGGGAAAAAAACATTTTTTAGAACCAAGTTATGAAAAAGCCTGTTTTATCTGACCAGTTTTCCAAATCAAAACACTTAATTCAAATGGCAAGGTTTCACAGCATCACAAAATTCTCAAATTTAAAGAGCCCTTGAATGCCAAGCAATTTTAGCAGCTCGGTGTTAATGTTCTTCAAATAGACAATCAGAGAGTCCCATATAAACTAAAATGGACTGCAGAAAAGAAATTAAATAGATCAGAGGTCTATGGAAGTAGTGATTTTTTTCAGAAAGTGGCTCCAACTGTTTGGCAAAAGCACTTTTCAATGTGTTGTTAAGGAGCATCATTTCAATTAACAGGAGATTCAGTTTACTTCAGAATGAAACAAATTACTTTGTCACTTTTCTTAGTTTTAAAAAGGATTCTGGATGTGAATATGAAAGAAAGGCAGAATAAAAGAAGGTGTTGAGATTTTAAATGTCATTAACACCCCTCAAACGCACAAAAACAGGCGTATACCCGCCCCTCCTCTCATCCATGCACAGACAGACACACATTGGCCACAGAGAGTGGTTTTATCAAAGTGTCTAGTAGCACAGCATACCGCTAAAACATGAAAATATCCCAAATTATATATTTACGAAACAGCAAAAGCCTTCCCTTATTCAGGTGGTTAAGTCCATGGTTGTTCAATATTGAGAAGAAGCGCCCAAAGTGGATGAGCCTTAAAACAGTAAGTTAATGGACTGACAATTTGAAGCCCAAAACAGCAAAGGTTATACAGTACAGTAGGTATCTGAACACCAAACTAAATGAGATGTGAGAAGACAACTCCTCTCAGAAAAACTCAGGTCAAAACATAAAAAGGTATGTTATTTTGGTAAGACAATATTTAGCTGTAGACTCTTTTACTCAGCACAACACTGTTTAAGTGGCTCGAACAGGACCATCTTTATCTTTCATTATCATCAATCTGTGGTGTAAAAATCAGATTATTGAGTGTTACCATTAGAAAAAGAAGTTCCAACTGTAGAGAAATATGCCTTGTTTGTTATTGAAATTATTGGTAAAGTGTTAGGATTGAACTCTTCAAATCACAATCTCCTTGGGAGCTGATCCTCTTCACAGTTTCGTCTTAAAATTGCCCCTGGTTTGGAGACTTTGCGTGTTGTTGTTTTAAGGGGAAAACTACAGTCAACAATAGGTTTTCTTGAAAATACAATATCTACATTTTTATGCCGTGTATTTTAGCTAATATCTCATAATTAGAAATGACTTATTCCTACTTAAAAATCTAAAACACTATTTTATCTGGTTTTAGAAAGCTGACTCTTTTGGTATTTTCAAAGGAAACACTTTTATTGCGAATTAAGTGTCTGCATTTAGAGAAAATCAGCTGTTCCTACATCTTTTATGGCGTTGGTTCTTGATTTGGTACAGAAAATGTTGTCAGTTTGACGTCAAACAACAGATACACTTCTATTTCAGTATGTATCCCTATGTGACTCCTATGTGTGAAATCTCTGCAACCTCCCTTCTCCCCTCAGCTCCACCGCAGGAACGTGCTTCAGTCCTGGCTTCACACAAAACCCGATATGCCACATTTATTATTTAGCCACCACACACATCGCTCTCCCACACCATCACTGATGATTACGCTGCTTTTTGTCCCTCACCCCTCTCTCTTTGGCCATGGTTATCCGTATGTGTGATTGCGGTGAGCAGGAGCAGCACACATGCATGCAGCTGCAGAGCTCAGCAGCAGCTCAGGGGCCTGCCGGTCCGGAGACACAGAGCCAGGGTCCCTGGAGCTGCAGCATAGCTGGCGTCCTGCAAAGTGCAACTCGATTCTGCAGCATGAATTCTTCTTCCGTTAGCCAGCTCTGCCTGAAGCAAGGATCTCGGCAAACATTTATGCACCCACACACACTCTCACACCGAACCAATATGTATTCAAGTACAGTCACACACCTCCACACACAGTGGCACATTAACCGACACTCACAATACACCCCCGAAATCACACCAAACAGTGAAGATGTTCAAATAAAAATCTCATACAACAGGTTCTGGTTCACTTTTTTACCTGGACTCTAAAGCATAAAGTTTACACATATCACATACAATCTCATACACCTAATGGCGGGAGAATTTACCCTATTTAAAAGACAAACAGATGCAAATTCAAATATTTGTTTTGCCCTTTGAGAACATGGCACTGTCGGCAGGATAACGCCATGATCTCAAAGGGCATGGTGTTATGGCATTATTCTGCTTCCTATCTAATAACATAATAAAATGTCACTTAAGCTTTATCAGACATTTTGTGGATCAGTTCTTTCACAAAGCGGTAAACTATGAATTTTTCAAACAAAGGCAGGTGAGATTATAATGGTCCATTAGTTCAGAGAAGCTTGTTTGAAACCAAAAACAATTCCACCTCTAATTACTTTTCAGGCCCACTTAAACCATTCCCGTAGTCTTGAATCAGCAGCACAGTGTTCGTTTTGGATGCTATTGTTCATGCCTGGACATGACACTGAGCGACGGCACGGTTTGTGCTCCACAGGTTTCATTTTACTTTCAATTTGAAAGTTAACTCCTGCTGACAAAAATGAAACATTTTTGCTTGGGTAAAAAGACCTCAAGCAAGGTTATTACCTCAGTGATCTCTGCCAAATATAGCCCACACTGTGCTTTATTTAATAAATTGACTCATTATAGAACACTCTGACAGCAGAGACATTGAAAACCCCAGTGCTGTTCATTCATAGCCCACATATGTTTGTGCCAGCTCACATCTGCCTCCAGACTTCACATCACTCTCTTAATAATGAGGAAAATTGTGTTTGTGCTTCTACTAATTTTTCATACACCGACCTTTTGAGGCAAAAAGCATAATGGGGCATTTCATATTGTATCCCATCATAATGTTTTGCATTGTGTTATAGCATATAGTGAAGTGTTGCACCACATTGTAGCTCATCGTATTTCATTGTACCATATTGCACTATACCATATTTAATTGGTCTAAGTTGTGCTGCATTGTATCATATGGGAGCATATTGTATTTCATAATGAAGTATAGCACGGCACAGTGTCATACCATATTGTATCACACAGTATCATATCAAAATGTATCCTATCACAACCTATCGTATTGCAACATATCATATCGTAATGTATCATATCGTGTCGCAACGTATCATAATGTATTGTATTGCAATGTATCATATCGCAACGTATCATCGTATCGCATCGTATCATGATGTTTTGTATTGCAACCTATCGTACCGCATCGTATTATAATGTGTTGCACCGCAACATATTGTATCACAACATATTGTATCAAAACGTATCATAATGTATCGTATCGCAACGTATCATAATGTATCGTATCACAACGTATCATAATGTATTGTATCGCAACGTATCATAATGTATCGTATCGCAACGTATCCTATCGCAACATATCGTATTGCAACATATCTCATTGTATCATAATGTATTGTAACGCAACGTATCGTATGGTATTATAATACATTGTATCACAACGTATCGTATCACAACGTATCGTATCACAATGTATCGTATCACAATGTATCGTATCACAACGTATCGCAACGCATTGTATCGCAACGTATCATTATGTATTGTATCGCAATGTATCGTATCGGAACGTATTGTATCATATAGTATCATTTAAAGTGCCATTTCCTTCCATCACATCACATCATATATACGGTATTGTATCAAATATATATATTTTTTGGAGAGACAGTTATAGGCGCGCGCACACACACACACACACACACACACACACACACACACACACACACACACACACACACACACACACACACACATATATACATATACTGTATGCTGCATTGCATTGTACCATATTGTATGATATCAAGAGAATACACAGATGAGATACTTTGTGATTCCAGTGAATATTAATCAGAACCACAAACCTGCGGGTTAACAGCAAACATCTTGCCAGCATTATTTCATGGTCTGTGTGTTAAGTATCGTTAGCCTGCCATCCATCTCCATGGTGACCTTTTTGCAGCAGCACTCAGCTGTTACAAAGACAGTCAAAGGACAGCAACATCTGCTGCTGCCACAGATGTCAAAAACCTGGTGAGGTTTGGACCGGCCATGACGTAATGTGTGGGAAGGAAAAACAACACATCCCTCGAGTGAACTGTAAATGCTGCTTTTCTCTCGTTATCAAACATGAGCAATCAATGGAAAAATGGCTGCAGTTCAGGAATAGAAAAAGCCTTTCCTTACCAGCACTGATTGCACGGGTTCAAACAGATGGGGTCTGTGGGTGTGAAGTGGCCAATCACTAAAATCAATGGATGTGTTTTTTTCCAACAAGGCGAGCACATTTGTCTTAGCATAGCACAAACAGTTTGTGTGTAACAGAGACCACCACGGAAGAAAAACTAGAAAAATACTTTTTTTTTTTTGGACTGCCTCCTCCTTAAACCATCTCTGTACTTATTTCACTTCAGAGTGCATAACATATTGTAGTGTGTCTCTAAAGTAAAAAGTGAAGACGTCACTTTTGAAAAAAGAAAAGCTGGGCTAAGCGTTATTCAGTCTTCAAATCAGCTATGATAGGACTCCCCTATGGACGCCCACGAGGAAGAATCAACAATGAACGCAAAGCATCTCCAAATGCAGCAGAGCATGTGGGCTGTAGAGCTGTCTGCTGTTCACAAGAAAGGGAGAAGAGAGACCTTTAAAACAACTGAATAAGATCACCTTTGACCTCCTGCTGGTATAAACGCTTACTTTTTGTCTGACTGAAGGGCCAAGATATTTTTCTACAACTGCTTTATATACCAGAAGTCAATTGTGATCAATAAATTAATACATTACAAGGATTTCTTTTCCTGAACTAAAATACACGTCTTAGAGACAAGGTGACTGCACCGACAGGTTATGAAAAACAGAAAAGTGACAAAGAAAACAATGACTCACATTAATTTAAAGGCTGGGGCCTGAAAGCTGGTTTAATAATGGAGTCGTCATTGCTTCTGCATTTGACATATGAACTGTGCTAAACATTACAGTTAATAATCAAGTCTTTGATTCTCAGTCACAGTTCAAAAGACAAATTGATGTATAAATTCAAACAGGACAAGTCTAGCTTCGAGTTAGTAGAGTGAGCAGATTATATTGGTTGCTTTTACAACATATAATGACAAAACTCATATTTTGAAATGCAGCTACCTATTATCATCAAAGTATCAGATTTTGTTGTATTATCAAAATTAACTTGTTTATTTTGTACATCCTGATGAGATTTTTTCCGTGGTTAATATGTAAATAAATAAATGAAAAGTAGGGCTGCAACGATACGCTTTTCTCCCGATTTGATTCTTCTACGATTTTTTTGGATGCAAAATTTAAATTGCAATTCTATGATACTGTCGATTTTCTCAATTTTTAGTCTGGATTTTTAACACCAGTGAAACAGTTGAATGATTATGATTGTCTACTGACTATTCAAGGAACCATATTTCCCCAAAAATACACATCACATTTAAGTCAGTTTTTTAGATTTATTCTTAAATAAAAAAAAAAAAAAAAAGATTTTTGAACACAAAAATTGATTTAAAATTTGTAAAACAAAAAAACGCGATACTTATGTGAATCGATTTTTTCTCCCACCCCTAATAAACGGCTCCACCTGTTGTTATTGTTGATGTCGGTGAATCTCTATCTGTAAGACTTTTTATCTCTCTCTTTCTCTTGTAAGACTTTTTATCGCTCTCTTTCTCTCTACAGCTTGACTGTCAGTCTTGACAGTCTGATGGCAGCTCAGTCTGGTCCTGCTCGAGGTTTCTGCCTATAAAAAAGGACAGTTTTAGCTGCAACTTTTGCCAAATCATGGATCTAGGGATCAATTCTTTCAAAAAAAAAAAAAAGGTTCATCACACTGATACAGAGCATAGAAGCTGATAAAAAAAATGAATATTATACAACCTTTTGACCTGCAAATCACCAAGTCAGCTTTTACTGAGAGGACTATAACCTGATCTCCTTTTCTCTTTGAGTTAGGAGCTGATTGCCTGATCTGTTTGGCGGCAGCATGACACCCCAAGTGCCCTGCTGTCTTTCCTCTCTTTCTGTCTTTCTGCTTCCTCTGTCCTCTCCAACTTGTCCCTCTGTCTGCCCAGCAACTTGCCCGCACATCCATGTGTCTCGGTGTCAGTCTGCATGCCTGTCAGCTTGCATGAGCTTCTTCTGTCCTGACTGTCTGGTGTTCGGTGTCTGGGAGGCAGAAAGGACCATGAGGGAATACGCATCTCCCATATCAATGTCTGATCCTGGCAGAAGAGTTCCCATAGGACACCTCTTGTATGTTCAGGTGTTAAATGTGTCTCGTGACAAACAAGCATGGTCTGTGACACAACCAGAAGCTTTTCTATGACAAAGTTTATTTTTAAATGGGAAAAAGTTATAAAATCCTCTCTTATCTTTCTTCAAACATTACCCACCCACCTGTACAGTACATCTTGAACGTACAGTGACATACAAGTAAAAAACACTACAGTACACTACAACTCCCTAACCCCGACTCTCCTTGTTTCTCTGCATCGCTGAGACTGACACCACTGGAGGGTATTCAGACTTCGAGCACAGAGGAACTGCCTTCCCACTTATTTCTCTCAAATGTAGCATTCCCAGAATAAATCCAGACATCTTCAGCCAGTGAGCTGTGAGGTGGCAAAGGCCTCAGCTTGCTTACTCCCCCTCACTTGCCAATTTTACGCTCCTCTTTGAGCTGCCGTGAGCTTTCAATGGAAAACCGTCAACACCCTTAAAATAAGCACACATGGCTGCTGGACTACACTCATGTACCGACACGGCTACGCTTGCAGGCTCACGTAAACGCAAGAACAGAAGCTTCAATGCAAATGCAGCTCAAAACAAAGGGAGGACATGCCAGCTGGTCTTTTTTTACTTAAATGTGAGTGCATATAGACGAGAAAAAAGAAGTCTTAATCAGCAGACAACCTCTCCAAAAGACACATGTTTGGATAGGATCATTAATGGCCAACCTGACTTGGATAAACATAAAGAAAGTAGGACGTTTCCTCACATATTTGCTAAAATAAAACCACATACGTATCTGACTGACTGCTGTCTGCCTGATCGGCTACCTTACTCCTGACGCAGCACATCCTCCATAAAACTCCTCCACAGACATTTGACATTTCCTGATGACATCCCGCTCACTGACGCTGCCGCCCAGGCTGTATTCTCTGATCTAATCACCTGCTGAACAAGAGCTGTTGACTTAATCACAAAGCCATCTGAGACAACTACTACACTGCTAATGGGAAATGTATGAGCACACAAGGACAAATAAAAAGCAGGGGCAAAATGGGTAATGCTGTGGTACTGTCAGAGCTCGCTTCAGGAGCAGAAACTTGATACAGAGAAAATCACATTTGGGGGCAAAGTAGTAACAGGTTGCACAACCTTTCTCAGTGGTTTTCCTGATTGAAAGGGAACAGCATTCTCATTGGAAATCCAAGAAAATGAAGTAATAAAAGGAAAGTTCAGGTTATATGACACCTGGCAGAATGGGGTACTTATCTTTAGTGAGTATGCAAAGAAATTATGAACTTTAATAACAAAAAATATACTGCCAAATGGAAGAAGTATAGTATGGCAAGGTAAAGAGATGAAATCAGGGACGTCACCAGGAAATCTGGGCCACAAATGACCCCATCACTACAATTAAAGCTGACTCTGCCAGACTGCAGTAGCCATTACAGCCTTACAAGCTTGATAAAACTATGACTTTGCATTATAAGCTAAACATTATGGATATGTCTGATACGTCCTCGGCATCATCCCCCAGTCATACTTTTACTCATGTCAAGTAACACAAACAAACTCTTTTGGGACATTTGGTTAGTGGGAGAGGAGCCTCAGAACGGGATCCCAGATGTTTTCCGGGTTCAAAGTGAGGAGTCAGGTTCATCTGCTCAGACGGTGTTTTTTTTTATCAAGTAAGGCTGTATGATTTCTGCAGTGTGGGAAGCAGACAATGACATCTCAAATCTAAGTGCCTGATTCACCATGGATGGACACTAACTGCTAAGAGCACCAAGAAATGTGCATCATTTGCCCCCGGCCTTTGCTCTGTCTCAATGTCTAATTCCAAAGGAAAACAGCTGTAATGATATTCAAGCACAAAAACACCCACAAAGGTCTGGCTTTCTGTTATGCAGTTTGACTCTTTTCACAGGTATGGCGAGCGCAAAAGCCATGCAGTCCTTTTGTGAATCACACCTTAAGTGTTTTTCACAGTGCCTGAATGAACAGATAAAAACTATGTCAAGTGTCTCTTCCATATTTTGGCCACTGCAGCTCCTATCAACCTGACCTGCTCTCATCTCAGGTGGGGCTAAAGTCTTCTTTCATGGAAAGCCATTGTAAAGAGGACACCTCAGATTTCTAAGTCATCAAAAAAAAAAAAAGAAATAGGGGTGGGCCGATTCTCAGCCTTAGCCAACTATTGGGGCCAATATTCAGTATTTGGCCAATTATGATCATTTTTTCACTGCCAAATATTAGTTATCAGTGTCAGAAGTCACTGTATCGGCTCCAAAAAAACTGTATTGGTCAACCTCTATAAAGAAACATGACGCTAAGTACTGAGTTCATATCAAAACATTCTCTCCACTGAGCAATAGACGGCCATTGGACGTCTAGTTTTTTTTAGACCTAATTTCAACCGTCTAGATTCTGTATACTGTTAATCGGAATTTAGACGTTGCACTTTAACCCATTATTCGATAACTATTTAGTTCAAAAAGCAACTGTGAGTTGCAAAATTGATCTCCAAGGACTTAACCAAAATAATTATGAGAGCTGTTGAGCAATATACAGTGTAGTATAGATATACAGTAGCCCAGATTTAGACTTGGTCTAAACTTGGTCTAAATTTAGACGTCTAAAAAAACTTTCATTTTTAGACCTGTGGTAGCCTGAACTTAGACCAGTCGTCTAGGCCACATTTAGATGTCTATTAGACCTCTTTTGGACCAAAAAATGCTCAGAGGGTCTGAACCACAAGAATACATGCAATGAATCAAAAACTCCTCAAAAACAAGGAGAGGCAGCGAGCTAGCTAGCAGGAGTCCATAACTTGGCAAACTCTCCCTCATGCAAACACATCAGCAGAAGAAGAAATGTAAGTACACTGAAGACTCTGTAGCTGTATTTTAAACATGGAGGAGTCATGAGAGTATGTCAGACTCACTCATCCCCTGTGTTTGAGCAGCATAAGGAGGCTGTCTCACAGAGGATCCATGGGTAAAAAATGTCAGAAGATGTCAATGGAACAGCTGACACAAGAGATCATCACTGGTTCATTAGGACATAAGTCCCAGTACAGTCAGACCTCAGCTGAGATCCATTATAACGATCACATCGATTTCTCACAGGAGTGATATATATTTTCCAATTGAATTGTTGGCACCTCATTCAACTATCAGGCACTTTTTATGTGACAAAATGTGGTTAAATTGTAAAATACAGAACATAATAGAATTAAAATTAAAAGAGCAGAATTTTGGAAAAATTAAAACAGAATCACAGGACAACCATCCTAAACTAGAAACAATAAGTGCAAGTGAGGAGTGCTCTTATATTGAGGTTGTGGATGATGCTGTAAGTCCATTCAATTAAAAAAGTGACATTATTTGAATATTACCAAGATTACATGATTTAGTGAGTTCTATATTGTTTGATTCATGCCTCCAGTGGGTAGATTTGGCAGGAATGTTTCCTGCTTTTGCCATGGTAATTTTGATGCCAGAGACCTTTTATACAACTGTTCAATATAACCATTGATTTTATGTAGAGTAGAATGGACAACACTGCCTCGTTTCTGCCTATAGTGAGATATTAAGCCAAAAGACCTCCTCCATGGGTGCTGACATATTGGGATGGTGCAGCCAAGAAAGGTGCAGAAGGGACCTGGCTGATAACGTTGTGGGACTGAGGTCACACCTGCGGCGCTGATCGCAAAGAGTGGTTTTAGTATGCCTTAGCCCCAGTCAGTGTATTTTCAGTCGTGACTATTTGTCCTCCTTTGTATATATCTTTAAATATATTCAACTTGAAATAAATCTTTATTATTTCAGTGTTTTTTTATATATCCAAAAATCACATAACAGCTCCTCTGCATTGCATCTGATATGGCTTTAATTAAGACCCCCGCTCTTGTATTTTCATCCATTCATTTTAGTGATTGGACTGCCTTCATGGCGGTAAAATGCAGGTTTGGACCAAGTCAATAACACCTAAATTTGGACCTCCTTCAGAACCAGAACGTCCAGAATCAACCCAGAATTTGTCTCATCCTCATTTCTGGTCTGAAAAGGAGGGATAGTCTGAGAGACTGATCATAACATGATTGAGTGGTACATATTTGTAGATGACAGGAGTAAAATAAAAATAAAAAAAGGATATTCTGTATATTTTGACAATAGTTCGACCAATAACTGAAGTCAACAATTGGTTTGCTAGAATCAGAATTTGGAGGACTATGCAGGCTTATGTTACCCTGAAGTTCCTCCCATGTTTGGTGGCCATCAGCGACACCATCAGCCCGTGACGTTACAAACAGCATGATGACCTACATCAACATCAACACTCATGAATATTCAAGCCCCCTCGGGTTTGGCATGGTTGGTGTGAACAACTGGTATTAGGCTAAGTGCCACGACAACATCAAATGCAAATCATAAATTCACATTAAATTCCTTTTCTGTTGCAGACATTGAGTCATACCACCTACATAGAGAGCTGCCACATTACACCATTCAGTTAATCATCAACAGAGACAAAAGAAGCCGCTCATTAATTATAACTGAACAATGCAACACTAAAAAAACAACAGGCTGATATTCAGACACATCAGTCTGATTCTTAACAGTCAGTTTTTCTTTTGTTCGAAGGAACCGTGGTGACAACCATACAGTCCTTAAATTTCACTTGATTTAAGCTCTTATTACCTCCAATACAAACAGTATATACATGCTTTTTGAAGTGTTAACATGATTTAGATGATTTTCTATGATCTACATTTGAAGGAATTTCAGTCTGATTTGCTCATAGAAGAAATAGTGAGATTGTCAAAGTGCATATTCCTTTGTGTAATGAAAGCGGACTTTTCACCTCAATCTTTGCTTTCACCTGTCATACAAGACAACAGTGGAAAAACCAGACTGGTGTTTCACTGTGATGGATTTCCTGACACAAGCCAACAAGCCCTCCAAATAAAACGACACCATAAAAGAGAAGTAACTAACTGTCAGAGCAGCATGTTTGAGGGTTTCCTCTACTGGCTGCAGTATTTGCTTTGGCTCTCAAAAACAGTGACAAATAACTTTTAGACTAGAGCTGTCTTATATGACAGTTGTCAGTACTGGTGGTCTGATGTTGCAGGTAAGAAAATAAGCTTTAAGACATGATGACTGACATCATAGTGTAGGTTTAATTTTGTTCGAGCACCCTACTGTGCATCAGGTAAAAGGATTACGATGTGGAAAAGACTAGAAAATCATGATCATGGTTAAAATAATGATAAATAAAATAGAAAACTGATTTCATTGGGTAATCCTACATGTAGTTGTTCATCCTTTTTTATTTTTGCTCCTAATTTCAGCACAATCTTGTGTAGTTTTGCACTTTTAGCGGTCAGTGTCCCAGTGCAAAAAACACTGGTGTAGTCGGCTTTGTTTATGTCCTGCACTCTCTGTTAAAAAACAGTTCAGCTGTTGAATTAACGCTGTGCTTGTCGATCAATACATTTACTTGTCCAAAAAGTACATTTGTTGCCTTAGTCTGACTGAAACAGGACTTTTAAACAACAACTAAACCGAACTTCTCATAGTCAGACTAACATACCAGGATAATGCAGCTGGGGGTCAATTTTTTCTTCCATGTATTTTGCTCATGCTGCAGTATTCAGACGCTGTGAGCCGGAAGATGAACAGTACGGATGCGATTCTTGGAGGCCAGGTAGCCAGTGAAACATTGATAGGTGAAGATAGGACGTAAAAAATACAAAACTTTCGAACTGTACAAACAAACACACAAATGGTAAAGAGCTGTAAAAGTGACTGTGTTTAAATTGTTTGACATACATCCTCTGAGCCTCTTGCTACTGCATTTTGCTGACTGGTTTGATACATAATGCCCCAACTGGGAGAAGACCCAACACCAAGAAGCTAAAAGAGGAAACATTACCACATATCATAGTGGAGGCAGACATGCATCTGTCAATAACTTGATTCTCGCCAGCTGCTTGTACACTGGGACAAGGACAGTAGTCCAGTTAAATCACCTGATAGAGTTATAACCATAGTCTGACTTAACTGAGTATGTTAACATACAGAGTGTTGCATTTTCCTCATCAACCAATCAAAATTAAAGGGGACAGAATCTCTGATGTGAACTTTGTCAACAAAAACTGCCCGAGGTCTGTACATCATGAACTCGATCAATTGTTTTCATACTTCCTTTGTAAAAACACCTGAAAAAAACGAGAAAAAAGACAGAACACAGAGCAAGTTAAAGGGATATTCAGGGGTACAATTAATTTTGGGTCAAACACACCGTAAAACCGAGGAAGACCCCCCCTCGAGAGATGAATGTTACCGACCGCTTGCTTCACTAGTTATACCAACTTCAGTAACGACCACAGGATAGCAATACACAGTGGTCTGAGGAGCCACACACAAACCTCAACCAAAAAGCCACTCTATAGCCACAAACAATGCTCAGAACAGCACCTAACTTCATCAACAGAACATATAGGGACCCAGCCACAGCACTACCCACCAAACTTCGTTGTAGCTTTGCCTAAAAAGAGACTAAACATAACCTGCAATAGTTCTTCTGTCCTAGTGTCTCGGTCTGATTGCATCTCCATGAGGAAATGATCATAAATGTTCTTCCTTGAGCTGCGTCACCCCGCTGCAGTCCATAATGGACTGGCCCAAGGTCTTGCTACAAACAAGCGGCTGCTGGAAGAGTTATTAAATTAATTTTACGCCGGAATATCCCTTTAAAACAGACTCAGCTGTCATGTCTATGGGAGGCGGAAAAGGACAATTTTCCAAACCTAGCAAAAAAGAAATAGTTTTGCTCTCAGACTTTAAACAGTATTTGTGAGCAATAGCAGTGCAGCATGTTGGATTATGTTAAAAGAGCCACCAAGTAAAATAGCAAGCTAACAATAACATCAGCCTACAAGTGGCTGTGCTGCAGGTACCTTTGAGTCTGTTTGAAACCTGTAGTGATTTCAGAGTCAGGAAGTGTGTTCCCTCAGTTAAAGAAGTGCAGTGTGCATTTTTACACGACACACAGCATTGTAACTTCATTGTTCATGTAAATCTCCAACATGACACCAACACCAACAGGATTTGTTAGACTATAATGTTTTTTCTACACGTCCAACAGGTCCCGTACAATCAGTCCAGGTTCACACAGTCAGTGGCATGGAGTAAAAGAGCCATCCTGTTTGTAATAAAGTAAAAATTTTATGTATGGTTAAGAACCTATAAACCATTTCATTGAAGCAAGTTGTGGCAAATTCTTGTGCCCAATCAGTGGTTGACTTTCATAAACAACTACGCCATGCTTGGTGAGTTTAACGTCCAAAACGCTGTGGCTCTACTTCTTCCTCCATTTGTAACCCTGAAAATTCTATAACAACCCATCCGTCCCTCTAAGGAGCATCTCGCTGTGGATGGCCAAAGTCAGCACATGGGGATTGACCGACCAACATTTCAGCCTCCAAACAAGAGGCCAAGCTGTCACCCTCAATCAGCATCAGAGAGAGGAAGAAGTAAAGCCATTAGCAGTTTGAAGCACATGTCCAGTTTGTGTCAATTAGACCAGAGGCCTCACAGCGCGTTAAGGTTCACACTGTGTTACATATTTATTAATTTATTAACTCACACCAAAATGACACTATTAGCCATTTATCTCCATTTTTTTTTATTCTTAATTTTGACAGTGTCTGCTGAAGGGGTTTCCTGATTATAGCAGCGGTTAGTTAGACCCCTGTGTGTGTGTGTGTGTGTGTGTGTGTGTGTGTGTGTGTGTGTGTGTGTGTGTGTGTGTGTGTGTGTGTGTGTGTGTGAGGTAGGAGACGAGAAGTTTGGAGGGCCATTTCGATGAGCAGGAGTGTCACCGAGAGAAGGGCAGCGGCAGCTAAAGGGGGCGCGTGTGCCACACTGACACCTGGTGCTCCAGATGACAGCTCAGAGGCCAGATGGACCTTGTTACATACATACACACACACGTGCGCACAAACACATACAGCACACATATTCACATTTACTGCCACTCTGCCTACACACACTTTTTCAGTTACGATGGCGACATATGCAGAAGCACATGGAGAACGAACATGTGACTAAACAGGAAACTCTCCACTGAAGCTCACTGCACAACAAACATAAACAATTGTGTGTAAAGCCAGTGAACTGACCTCTCAGCTGAGGGATTGGTGAACGTATGGTTCTGGTGGAAAGATTAAGAAGACCCCATGGTGCACTGCTTACCCTGCACACATACACACCACCTGTCATTGCCCTGTGTGTGGAGACATGGCCCCTAACAGAACCCCCCAATCTACCTCCCTCTCCATTAGAAGAAAAGCACTGAGGTAGGAACCAAAATATCTTTTCCGTGTTTGCATGTATGAGGCTGAATTTAGTTTGTGAAGTTTGCCCGCTCTTCTATGTTTATTTATGCCGCAGAGAGATGACAATGATTTCGTTTAAAAGCTTAATTCTCTGGTTACTCTTCTGGGTCATAGATTAGGTACTCAGGAAATAAGTCATCTGTCACTGCACTGTTTTGTAGAGGCTTTCTAGTCACTGATGGTTTTTAAGTCTGAAAAAAGGCACACGATAAAAAAACAACATTACTTTCAGAGGTTCTTACTTGTTATGTGGAGTGTAAAATATTTTTTAGAGGCACACAAATTCTGTTTCTTTACGATTCAGATATACTTTGGTTTCTAATGGATTTATTTTTGCGGAGGCTCGAAACATTTAAAGTTGGAAACTACTGAAGTGTAATATTAAACAGACCTGCCAATATGTGCTTACACCTGCTTTAAAACACTTCTTAACACATACTGCATAGAATTAGAAGTCAAAACTCTTTTCACCACCACCTCTGTCTTACCTCCAGAGCAGCAGAAGGCTTTTTCTTTAGTTCCTCACATTTGCGAAACTTGCAGATCTGATGGCCCGTTTTGCGGTTCCGGCAGCTGCTGCACTGCTCGCAGTTAATCCGCCGTCGGCAAGGTGGGCACATGCCGCAACGTTTTCGCTTCTTTTTCCCGGAGTTGATAGCTGAGGCCAGCTCGCTCTGTGCTGGGTACTCGGCCAGGCCGGCCATGTGCAGCGCGCTGTCCGCCAGAAACACTCCGGCCGGCGTCATGATGAAAAGCCCCGGGTTGAAGGGGAAACCACCCCCTACTCCATATGGGAAGTCAACGGGAGCACCTACGGCGTCCGTGACAGACGTACCCTCCAAGTCGCTAGCCCCCGAGCCTGCGTCTCCGCCGCCAACTCCCACTCCCATGCCCCCGGGCAGGAGCATGTGCTCCATACCGGCCCGTTTCAACAGCGCTGCTGCCTGGGCAAAGTGCAGCAGGCCATTCTGTCCCTCCAGAACCTGTTCAAGGGTCCGGTCCAACTTGGCCGCTGCCAGTGCGGAGACAGTGGGCTGGGGCTGTGGGGGAGACTGAGGCTTGGCCGAGTGGCTCTTCGCCTCACTATTGTCCGTGTGTCCATTGGTGTTGGCCGAGGAGACGGCTGTGTACTGGGAGAGGGTGCGTGAGTTCTTAAGGCTCTTACTGAGGGGCTCGCTGATGATGCCACTGCGGTTCCTCCGCTCTATCACAGGAGAGTCCTGTTTACTGCTGCGCCGCTCCTGGTCCTCTGTCCGGCCCCCCTCCGGCAGCTCGCTAGACATGGTCCAGAGAGTACGTGCCTGGGTTGGGGGTGAGGGTGGAAAGGGGGCAGGGGTGAGCGAGGAGGGGGAGAGAAGACCTGTTCCTGGTCTGTTCTCTTCCCTCGGTGAGAGTGGTTCCTCACCTCGATGGACGAATCAACCAGCCAACAACAGACAGGCCCCAGAGCCTTCTGCCCCGCTACAGCTCAGGTCTCATCCACGCTCTCCTCTGGGCCATCTGGAAACTTCACAGAGTAAGAGGAGAGAGGTAAATTACTCATCAACGATCAACTCAGTGACAAATTCAGGCACTAAACATGAATAAAGAAACAAGTCATCAAAGCAGCATTATTATATCATCACCTTAATGTTAATGTACTTTACACTGACACTATGGTGTCGAGGGGCAGTGTCTCTCTTAACTTTCATGATCTGATTGAAAATGAAACCCAGGTGAACATTTCTAAGACCCTCTGATTGTTCAGTCAAAGTGACGAACACAGTTATGATCTAAAATGTATGTTTTCATCATTTAGTTTCATCTTTAGAGGCCTTTTTCAGATTAATTTGATGGAGAGTTGATGCTTTATTAGTGCAGTTAAGTTTTGTTGACTTGCAATTACATACTCATTGATCCAAGCATATGATTTATAGTATAATATGTGAGTAAAGATATATTTGTCCCTTAATTGACTTCTTCACACATCAAGCTGATATAAATGGAACCCAGAAGCAAAACAAAGGAAATTGGTTATCATTTAACCCACTTTGGATTTCTATTTAATGCTGTGATTTTATTCTATCACTTAACTTTTTCTCCAGAAATTATTTTCATTTTTTGACTTTCCAAGAGAGCAATAATTTTGAAAATTATTCTATCAAAGTCGGTGGTAGGGCTTGTGAAAAGGATGGACTCCCCACTGGACTCAGATGCATCCATCCAGTGGCTTTTAGCGTAAGATTCCTGTGACCGCTCATCTATGAAAAGAAAAACTCTGCTGCGATTCTCCTGACCTGTCCGTGCTCACAAACAAGCCCACCACCTCCCACAGAAACGCTGAGGAAATGGCCGGGCTAGTCCTTATAAGGGAAACAAAGGGAGAGGGAGGGGAAGAGGATGGAGGGGGGTGTCTGTGCACTGTGTGGAAATTGGAAGGCCAGAATTAGTGGGAGGTAAAGCTTCAAAGGCAAGAGCACAGCCCCCACATTCTCACCAGCTCAGGGGGATGTGGCGCCAGCGAACCAGAGCCAGCTCCACAGCCCCTCAGCCCTGTAGTTTCAGTTTCTCCTGCTGCAGCACTGACCAGGCTCTGGTTCCCTAAAGCATCTCAGACTAGCTGCATCTCTGCTCTGCTCTGCTCTGCTGTGGTTGAGCGTATAACAGCATGGCAAATCAGGAGGAATGCATCAGGGAGTTTGTGGTCTGCTGGATCACGCTGCTATTGATCATCTATGAATATTTTAATGTTTTTAATAATGGCAGTCTAATTTTCAAAATGTCCCAACTGAACTTCACAACAGTTTAGCATGTCCAAAAGGTAATCCAGATATCTACTTGAATGGAAGCACACTTTGTTGATTATTCGTGGCTTGAAGGAATACCAAGCTCTGATCTAAGTGCTTTATCAATGCTCCAAATACAGTAAATGTGCTAATAGATCTGAGCACTCCAAATAATTAATGACACAGCCCATTATCGATAGCCAGAAAAATGACCTGTCATGTCGGCTACAAAGCGCATGAGTTGGCAGTCATAACTTCTGGAAAGAGTTTCAGAAGTTTCACTTATTGGCTGTAAAATGACAGTCCTCACAGGAGCTGTAGATGATCCCAAAGGTTTAAAGAAACAAAAAAAAAAAACTGCATTAATCAACAATTGGTGTTAAAAATGTTGATAATCACCATAGAAAGGATCCTATATAAACTGACTGCAGCTTTTGGATCTCATTCAACTGTTGATCATGTGATTCAGTCAAAGTGTGAACCCAAACACCTGCAGTGACAAAAAAGCCTGGTTGGAATCACCTCCTCTCACCTGGCTTTCTTTCTAATTACCTGGCTTTATTAATGCTGCATTCGAGTTACCTTGGAAATCAGATGTCGGAGCTAAAAAAAAAAAAGAATTTTAGCGCTTGCCTTGTCCTTGATATATTCGGACAAGGTGGGCGCTCAAATAACTTTCGTAGATTCAGCCATCTTGTTTCCGCCTCCGATTTCGCTTTTTTCTGACTTGGTAACTGAAATGCTGGTAACTCGGGTGTGACGTCATTTTCAGCTCCGGCATCTGATTTCCAAGTAACTCGAACGCAGCATAAGTACTTGGTTCTGATTGGTCAAAAATCCAAATCAAACTGTGACTTATTTTCAACAACAAGAGACACCAGCAGAGCTGGTCAGTATATCTTAAATCAAAGTTTTAGCAGTGGTGATAATAGCAACTTTATTTAAAGTTTGCTTCACTTGTGTTTTAAGGTGTTTTAACTGCAAAGCTCAGAGATGGAGCTGAATGAGGACAGAAATATCAATAAAATAATTCCTGCAGAAGTCCCAACTGAGTCTAAAATTATCTTCAATGGAATGTGAACAATAAAAATCAAGCATGTAATTGTTTTGATTTGACAGTGAATTAAAATGTTTATTTTCATGTTGATTTGTCACATAGAGGGGCTAATAAGATTCTGTTGTCATAGAAACACAGCTGACAGGGGGTAGTTCTCAACAATTACTTTAAAACCAATGAAATCCTCTTTAAATCAATATTTAGTGTCAGCTTGTTTATGTCTTTAGTTGTTATCAGGGTAATAAGTAGGCTAGTGTAGAGTGAACAGGTGATTATGCATATTAAAATCCCATCAAAGTGAGACAAGACCACTCTGTTTCACACTGGGGTCATAAAAAGCCATAAAAAGCTTTTCATGGTTAAACATTTGGTGTTTTTGTTTATGTGTGACACAATGCTGAGTTTTGCTGCACTTGGATATTCATCACTGACTCTACAACTGTCCTGTATTTATTTTAAGCAAAGTCAATGAATGTGCGGTGTACATGCTATAAAACTGTTACAGTGTTATTGTCAAGAATTTGTTTACTTGTTGTTTACTTCATATTCAACAACCTACCAGAAGAAAATAAAAAAGTAAAACACACATCACATTGTGCTTCTAGATGTGCTCACTTTTGAGCATCTGATTTACATTTTTTTTTAATGAAATGAAAATATTTGACAGATGATGGGACATTTTATGTAAGCTGTTTTGTTAACACAACAGTATGACTTGCCAGATACTGAGCGGGGCTGCTTTGGTAGTCTTCACACTTGTCAGTGATTCATATGCAATGGTGATGTAAACAAGCTTTTCTGAACTATAGTGGAAAAATTAGATAATACTTTCACACCCTAGCTTCAATTCAAAAGACAAACAGCTTCCTATAATTAGATATAGTTTAACCACTTTACATGGTTTTGTACATACTTATGAATATCCTCAACATGTGTGCACATTGACATTTTAACAGCTACAGCAGCAAAAACTGGTGTACATTGGTCCATCTCCGATACACCTGTTTCATCCTCACACTCACCCCCCTCTGCTGCATTAGTGCACATCTGTCCTCCATCCTCCTGACCTATCCGTCACACTTTCTATCCTCATCAACCCCGAGTCCGGCATATATTCACTGGCTAATCACCCTCCTCGACTTCCCGTGTCATGGCTCTTCAAATCCCCTCACCACATAATTTACAGACGGTTTGTGTCCTCACATGAACTGCCTCCTGCACCCCAGCTGAGTGTCGGTGCCATGCTGCTCTTGTTTAGCATTACTTCACTTCCTGTGATGTAGAGTTATTGTGGTGGTTATATGAAAGCATTAGAAATCTGGTCTCTGTGAAAAAAGCCTGTATTTTGCTTGACTGTAGTGGAGCTCATTCTGTATGAGACAAAATCCATGCAATTTATGCTGTCTCAGCAGAATAACAGATGTAAACATCAGCCACCCCTTACATTTGAACTGAGTCTTTCCTGCCTTTCAGCCAAACATAAACTCTTTCAACAGTAAGGAGAGCAAAGTCAGAAAACTATAATGATTATGGCTATTAGGTTTTTTTTTTAATTTACCAGAAATGACCATATCAATGAAACATAATTCGTTGCCTCTTGATTTTAAAAAGTAACTGGTTAATTCTAGGAGTTCCAGGGATGATCATGGTGTTTGTATTTTGCTTTTAATTAATTTCTGATTGACAAAATGTGAAGCCATTGTGTTTATTGTTATACCTTAAGGACAGTCAGTCTGAGCGCTGAACTTTTCAAGCTTAAATAGTCAAACAGTCATTCAGTGTGGGCGCTAAAATGTAGAAATGTTAGATAAACGTTGTTAATCTGAGTATAAATGGTGCAGTTAATACAGTAAACACATTTAGTGAAAATCTTGAGCTTGTTTTGATGAATCAGCAGACTAGTGTCCACCCAGTGACTTAATGGAAACTCTGTCAACAGCAGTTTAGATCCACAGCCAAAGATTTTTAGATGCGGTTACTTAAAAAAAAAAAAAATCACAGGATTTGATGATTTTGTTTTGAAATTTAAAATCTGAAAGTCTTATTTTGTTCACTTTAGGCATGTAATTGGGCTGCTGCTGTGTCATCGAGCATGTGCGCCACATTTGGATCAAACAGCCTCATAAAATGCAGACCTAAAAGGGGACCTTTTTTTCTCACACAGTCATGTGAGTGTGAAATGTGGTGATTTCATCCTGATATTCCAGCCCAGCAGAAAAATGTCCTGATCCTTTCAGAGCTTTTCAGTGTTTCTGTCTCTGCAACCAAACCACTGTCTGGAAAATAGACGCGTCACATTGGCCTATTTTTATTTTCTGTTTATGAAAACAAGAGTTTTTATGAAACATGCATCTCCTAATTATAGACCTTAACAAAAACTAAATTTTAGCATGACAATTGACATTGAAAGGACTGTGGTTATTTGTTGAGAGCTAGCTACCAATGTTGATTTCCGTTCACTTCATAAAGAGCTATAACCGTGAGACAGTTAGCCTAACTTCGCACAAAGACTGGATTCAAATTACCCAACCCTGCGTCAAAGTGAAAACAAAAGTTACTCCTTGTTAGCACTTTTTAAGGTCACTTCTAAACACATCCAATAATCATTGTTTATCTGTACAATATAATAAGGTGTGAAAATAGCAGGGGTGGGGGGCAGTTGCCTGGCAACAATGAATGGGAAGTTGTTGTTCCTGGAAAATAAAATTAACAGTAAATGACCACTTTAGCTTTCTGCTAGCAGTACATTTAACTTTGTATACTAATAATCGAGTAAAAGTAGACGTGGAAATATTCAGCAAGATGTCGTGGTGAGATTCTATTAGACTAACATCCTTGCTCACCCTGACCATCAGTAAACAGAAGGTGGCCTTTAAGACAAGACGTTCCTGTGAGGCATGATAAGTATGAGCCTCTTATCAACGTCTTACATCTGTCAATAAAATGTCTGGTGCAGTTGGCACAGCCACTCTCTAAATGCGTTAACATTTATGTTACAAGTTTGTCCACTCTGTGCCACCGTAGAAATTCAGTGGCACAAAAAGGCAGCCTTGATGAAAAAGGGAGCTGTTCATCATGCAGATATAAAAAGTTAACAAAAACAGAACAATTTTTACACTCAGTTGACTCAACACTAATTTAAACATACTTGTGAATATTAAATCCCATTTCAACTAAGTCTACACACTATGACTGTAACTGTAAGACTTGCCAAGAATTCAATTAAACATAATTAAGAAACCTTTTGTAAACACAGTGAGTGTGTTCAGCTCAAGTTCATGGAGCACATCAAAGAGTGTGTCAAAGAGAAGCATCAGAGTCTCAGTATCTAAATTATCGGCTAAATATGGCTTATAAAAATCAAGCATGGGTGTCATTCTGTGAGAAACATTTACTAAAACTTTCAAGCTGAAACATTTGGTGAATAAAGTGGTACTTCAATAAATTATACTGTACTCACTCTCCAATTCACATGATGAGAGCTTCCTGACAGCCACAGCGCTGCAGGGTGAGTGTTGTCAGCAGTGTGATACTTGTATGAACAGCTCATTTAACGTCCACATTTAGCACTCAGGTATTAGTAGCTCTAAACTTTTACAGCTCCCTTCGATGGATAGGTTATTGATGTTTGGTTTGGATTTGATTTGGACTGATCCTCTCAGATGTCAGTTTTTTGTGCCAAGTGTTGTGCTACAGCGCTAAAGGAGGTTAATGTCAGTGCACAGTAGTGACAGCTGATTGATGGATGAGTGGTGGGCTGTTTCAGGGGATCAATAGGTGATGGAGTAAAGCCTTTAGGGGTCATGTGTTTGTTTATTTTCTATTGTTAAGGCGACGCAGGGTTATAATCTTACTTAGAATTAGGGCTGGTCGATATAGGAAAAGGTTTATCATGATACATTTTTTTCATATTGATCGATATCGATGTATATCACGATATATCACGACATGTACTCAAAATAATTTGCAGTGCACATTACTCTGCTTCATGTCTGACCTCAAAAAACCAAAATACCTCCACACCACCAACGTTTTCGTGCCAGTGTTGTCGACAATGTCGTCATCTGTTGCAGTGTTGTTTTTTTTGACGATGACATTGACAAAAATATTTTGTCAATGCCATTGTCAACGAAAACAACATTGCAGAATATATGTTTAACATTTGAATGACGAAATGCTCATGAATTTAGCAACTCTGTTCGTCGCCCACCACTAACGTTTTCTTCTAGTCTTGTCTCATCAACGTAAACGCACATTCATCTCGTCACATTTTAGTCATCTAAGACTTATGTTTAGCTCGTCAACATCACGTCTTCATCGTGGAAAATAAGGGGTGTCGACAAAAACAACACTGATCTGTTGAGCCTTCATCTACATTTCTGCCGGGGGTAGCACTCATTTTCTTTTTTTCTCACAGACAGTGCTGTCGGCTTCACCTGTTAAAGTGCTATGGTTGCTTGTAGCTGCAGTCTGATACTTCGCAGTTGTTTGCTACTTGGTTCTAATTCAGCACGTGATTGGTTCAGCAAGAAGCGTATTCATATAGTCTACCAAAACATGGCAGAATGCCGGCTATCGAAAAAGCATATTGACCGTGTTTAATATTGATATTGAGGGAAATTAATTTTCGATATATATCGTTTTATCGCCCAGCTCTAAAAAAAAAGGAGAATTTGGCATGAATGTGTGATGTTTTCCTAGGATTCCTGCAAAAACAAACAAACAAAAAAACAATCCCAAACTGATTCAGTCCTCACAGTAACTTGGTGGTCATACGTCCCTTCACCCCCCATAACTTCCACCCAGTGACGTCAGAGTGTGCGCAGGTGCCAGGTAATAGGAGCCTGCTTTTTTTTTCAACAGGGGAGGTGAGCAAATATTGCTTTCTTCCTTTATGGGTTGTGAGGCATTTGGTCCACCAAGAACTCTGGAGCAGCTGACTGCTCCTCAGTAGACGCGAGAATACTTAATGCATTAGTTCAGGCGATGCACGATGCAAATGCAGCGTCTCCCCCCCACTCCACCTCCTCCTCCTCCTCCTCCTCACCCTCCCTCCCTTTTCCCCTCCAGACGCGCTGTCTGCGGACCTGTCTACTCGTGAGCTTCTCTATTCCCAACCTCCTGTGCACACGGACACGCACACGCACTCACACACAGAGAGAGAAAAAAAACGGTGGCAATAATTAGACTCAATGATTCATCTATGGCTCCAGACCTGCTGCGTCTTATTCGGATTAATTGGGACAATGCACACAGAAAGTTAGGAGAAAAACAAGCGCGCAGAGCATACAGTCACTTTAGATGATTCATGCACATATGGAGCAGTTGGAGCTGAGATACTAATGGAGGATTGCAGGGGGTTGACTGTGGATCTCCGGGAAGTGAAAGCCAGACCTGTGCAACTTTCTAATGATGAAGAGAAAGCGCAAAATGTGAAAGCAAACTAACCTGACAATGTTGAATAAAAGTTTCAGTCTGAAAGGGTGACAATCTCAGAGTCTAGTGTCAAATGTAAGCTTGACCCGGCTGGCAGGCGCGCTGATCTTTTCTCTCACCGACTGCAAGCGTCAAGTTTAGACGCGCATCATTAACAGCTGATTCACAGAAAAGCGACGGGCTCGTGCTTCAGTGTGGTGCCGATCCGTATCAGCGCCCATGGCTACTTCTCAAATAAAGCGCATAATGAAGATTGTTTTTGGGAACAAACTGGGACTAGCTTGTCAGATATCCACGAGAATACATGTCATGACCGAATTGAACCCCGTTTTTATGATGTTTTTCCACGAGTCTCGCAGATCCAAATGGGTTTCTTTTGTGTGGACCCGGTGATCTATGAGGACTGGAGCCTATCTGCGGTACCAGCAAAGGGCTGCAGTCGCACAAATGATGATATAGGTAACAGAACAACCCCGGTCCCCCCCTGTGCTATAACTTGATCCTATGTAAGGATGACATCCCAACTTTGGGGAGACTTCAACAAAGTATGATCCCCTCCACCCCACACCTCCTCCCTCCCCTTCCATATATCTGCATATTTGCAAACACGGGCCCGATTTTTATTCGCACCTACCAAAGCAGATCGGAGCAGAGGGGAGGGCTCCCACAGTCCGAGCGGTCCGTCTCTGAGCCTGCCGTGCAAGAATGGTGACAAAAAAAAGAAAAGAGCAGGAAAAAAGGAGCTGATTCTTCGAGAACACAATCCAACAGAGTGGCTGCCTGTTAATGACAAACGTGGAGAGAAAAAAATGACAGAGCGTCAGTTATTTGGGAAAAAGCCGTACTTTCTCTGAGGCTGAACGCGTGGGTTCCCCCAGCTTTCTCGGTCCTTGCAATCCCACCTCTACATCCCCGCTTGCAGAGAGGAACATGCAAACACATTTCATAGATTTTTGGAGCTTCGCGGAAAAACCGAAGTGGACTTTTGGTGCGGCGCGCAAGAGGGCCGTTCAGGACAACTGGGGCGGTTCAGGACTAAAGTCTGACTTAATGACATGAATGATTGAGAAATGATCGACTAGGACTCTCCCTAATTAAACTATAGCTCTAATGGATCCCATTTAATGTTGTTAACATGTTTATTTTCCATTTTAATAGAGTTGAATCCAGAATTAGCCCCTGCTTTATGATTAAGATGTGCGTAAAAGTAACATCCAACCTGTATTTTGGCATTGTTTACACTTTATATTTATTAGATTATTATACAATTATGTGTTTTTGTAAGAAAAAAATGTCCTCATTCACAATAAGGGATGTATATTGGTAAAATATATTCACCGATGAGTACACTCCGAGTGTAAATCCACTATACCAGGCTGACAGAGATGGTCCTCGTGGCTGGTTACTCCTCCTCTCAGCTCAGCCCCAGAGTCCACTCCACCTCTTTCAACCGGCCTGTCTGCTGGCAGGCGGCCAACCCAAGTGTGTGGAAATGACACCGCCAGGGCGGCAGAGATTTTCCTTCATTTCTCTCCTTCCCGATCGCAGACTGGCTGACATTGGCTAGAAAGTGGAGCAGCTCGTCAGGGACAATCAATGCGAATCGATCGAGCTGTGCGGTGGAGGCTCCAGAGCTGGAAAAATATCGCGGCAGCTGAAGAGAGAGAGTGAGAGAGAGAGAGGGAGAGAGAGAGAGAGAGAGAGAGAGAGAGAGAGAGAGAGAGAGAGAGAGTGTTCAACCAACTCTGTCAGTAGCCAACCAACCTTCCAGCAAAGAAATATGCTCTGGCCCTCATAAACATGACACTCACTTGGTAAACAACAAAGTTAAAAACAACCACAAATGTGTTGTTCCCACAGGTAAAAATGTTCTTACACGTGTTGAATCACGTTTAAATCTGGGTACAAGCTTTCGAAAATGAATTAAAACAAAAAACACATGTTTCTGCAGTACTTTCCCAGGATTATGTGAAAGCAGAAACTTGAAATGATCTTATAATTGAGATTTTTTTCATTTAACTGGAAAGCCCTGAATGTTATATTTCTTTTGGCTCCTCGTGGCACCGTAATGACTGCAGAATATGGCAGAGCAAACTTCCATTTTTGTCCATTTGTATCAGCTTTATTCTAAGCAAATGGGAACTTATGGGATGTCACTTTGAAAAAGAAAGACAGTTTTAATTTTCAATTTCAAGTAATAATATTCACAAACTTACATTTCATCAGTCTAAATGCAAGAGTGAGTGTCAATTATTAAAATGATGACTTGCCTGTGTTCTTCTTAGTCACACATTTATTGTTGCAAATTAAAATTAAATTCTCCCAAAGATAGGTGTGGTTAATATTCAGAAACAGTGCTGCACCACTTGAGCAGGGAAAAATACTAAAATGTTATTATTTATTACATATTCCTTATTTTACCATTAAAAATGTCTGTTTACTCTGAAAAGTGAAATCAAGCCACAAATTATATCAAACATTAGATTTTTGAAGTCAATAAATGTTATTGACCATATCATTTTGCCCTGGGAAAGCAACAATACGATATGATACTACACAATATGGTACGAGACGAGACAATATGAGGCGAAATGCGACGATACGATACTATACAATATGATAGAATACAAGACGAGATGATTCGATACAATATGATTTCATATGAAAAGAAAGGATACGATATGATGCGATACAAGACAAGATGATTTGATATGATATGATGTGATACAATATGATATGATTCGCTACAGTACAATACGACAAGATACGAGACGATTCGATACGATATAATGCGATTTGATATGATAAGATAGGATACAAGACAAGATGATTTGATAGTGTATGATTTGATACAATATGATTGGATATAATATGATTCGCTACAGTACAATACGATAAGATACGAGACGATTCGATACGATATGATGCGATTTGATATGATAAGATAGGATACGATAAGATACGATACAAGACAAGATGATATGATATGATGCAATACGAATTGATTTGATACAATACAATACGATAAGATACGTTACAAGACGAGATGATTCAATCTGATATGAATGAATATAATATATCGTAATATGATACGATACAATATGATTCGATAAGATACGATACAATACACTACCATACGATATCATACAATACAGTAGGCCTACAGTGCGATACGATAGCACAACACAATACTACTAGCTATGATATGAAACAATTCAGTATATTAAAGTAAGATAAAATCCCAAACCATATGATACTATACAGCACGACACAACTTGACATAACATGACCTGGTGTGATGACTTGTCTAATTTGAGTGAAGTGTGGCCTTAAGTATGTGAAGGGGAAATTATGCAGAGAAGAACAAACAATGGTTTTGAAGAAATGATCCATTGTTTCTTTAAAAACTACTCTCAGTACCACATGTCCCTCTGCATGTTCGCCGCCTGCCTTCAACACCTATTTTTTTGCTAATTCTTTGTTTTTTGTTTTTTATTTTTTTCTGCAGTATGATCCCCTCAGTCTAAAGTTGAATAATTTTTCAAATCAGACTCACAAGAATAAGCAACACTCTTTTGGGTGTTAGTTCAATTTAACAACAAACTTTTAAGTGAAAAAATGAAAAAAACACACCCTGAATTGGTGCCCAGGCTGATCCCCTGCCATTTTTTTTTCTTACATATAGGTTCAGGCATGATTACGGCTACTTGGTGACAATTTAGGAAATATGGTGTTTGTGGTTAAATAGGGGTGTGTAACAGTTGGTACAATTACAGGTGATGTGAAACTGGTGGTAAAGTCAAACACTGGACTCGCCCTTGGCCTCAACACCCGTACTTTCAGCTGCATTAAACATCACACTGCCTCCATCGGTACTTATCACTATTATTGGGTTGCATTTTTGAGAAAAATCTCACAATGGAAACAAGAGCTACAGCCAAGTCTGCAGTTTCCAAGATGTTTGCCATGCAGCTGAACACAAGATTAACTCAGGACTTTTCTGTTTTGTTTACTAATTTCTTAAGAGTATCAGGCTGCATTCAGCACTGTAATGGTAAATGAATCCTGCAAATAATGCATGATTAGGGCTAATGATGATTGACTGTAATTTGTCTAATTGGATGGAGCCATTTGTTAACCAAACAAACTGTGTCATTGATGTAAACCAGAAAGACTCATCTTAAATCACGACTATCACTAACAAACGAACAGGGGTTCACAAGCATGGGAGTGCCGCTTAACTATACATAGACTGTAAAGGATGGATCTAGTATCAGTGGCACACCTGGTTTTCTGTGTAGGCATTTCAAAGATTTTTTTTTTCTATTTCTGTTTTGACTTATTTTGTTTTTTTTGTCACCAAAAGTTGCTGCTTGTCCCCAAACTTAGTTTAGGGCTTCAGCACAAATTTTGCAAATTTTTGACCACAACAAAGATGAACAACCTCACAACTCCCTTTAAAAAAAACAACAACAACAAAAAAATAGGTTTAAGGCACTTCCAACTAAGTGGCTGCAGCACAAGTCATAAATGGTGCCTCTTCTATGTTAAGAGGCCAGACATGGTCCAATGGAAGAGGTGTTGGAGATCAAACTGCTGACAAAGTAAATGCAGGTTCTGATAGGAAAGTTTAAAAACACATAGTTTGTTGTATAAGGGGCTACATAGACCTGTAAGGGATCCTATGCTGTCCACTTCAAAAAGAACCTACAATGAACTTTAGCAGAGGGGTAATAGAGGAAGATGGAGTCCAAGGTGTTAATTTGGCCTCCATATTCCTCAGGTCTCAGTCCAGTCAAGCATCTGTAGGAAGCGTTGGACAACTAAGTCCGAACCATGGACACTGCACCTCCCAACTTTCAAAACCAGAGGGATCGACGACCATGATCAAGGTACCAGATACTACAGCACACCTTTAGAGGTTTTGCAGAGTCCATATTTTGTGCGATCAGAGCTGTTCAGGCCCTGACCTGACCTGATGTTAGTAGTCTGTTTGTAGTTCAGCAAGTGTTGACAAATTATGTTTAAGAAGTATTTTGGTGCCAGCAGGAAAAACATTCGTGTTGAGAACAAAAAAGCGTCCCATCAGCTGTCTGATAACAGTAGTTTAACTTTTCATAAGCTTATTGCCACAGTCATAGGTACACTATAAAGAAAAAAACATTTTCCTTTTTTAATTTTCTGGTTGGACTACATGACCATCACATGGAAAACAAAGAGCTGGGCTGGACTTTTGCTATTTGTGTCCTGTGACTACACCAGAAAATCCTAAATTGTTTTCAGAGCTTTTTAGAGCCAGTTCACTGTCTAGCATCACAGACAGTTTAAATGTCTCAAACTGAAAAAAGCAATAATCAAAATGTAACAACACTACAGTGCACCATATATCTGTATGTTATTTTGTCATCTCTGAAGCTTTTGTTTAAGGGATGTTGTTTTCTGTATCTTGTTCTATTCCATTTTGGGATCTTGCCAAGGGTTTTGGGTTTGTTTCTATTTGTTAAATATGTTTCCTTTCAGGGTCTCATTTCACTGAAGCCATGTCAAATTATTTAAAATGACAATGGGTGATCCTGCCTCCATAAAAAAATCACCTTGACCACTTTCTTTACCTCCTTTGTGCCCTTCTGTGTCACCTCTTTTCACCTTCCTCCATCCCTTGTATAAAACAGAAGCACATTACATTGCAGTCAGCAATCATACGTGTCTTTCAAAGGTTGAAAAGGAGGTCAAAGAGAGAAAGCCTGAGAGAGAAGGGAGTGTCATGCATGGATAGATGGGTAGGAGGGAGCAGCAAGCTGTGACTCTTGGACATGTTCTGGTGGGTGCACTGAACCCCGGAGGCTGCAGCCACACTCGGCTCTTTGTTGTTTTCGTTCTGCACAGGGAGGCAGGGTACTTTCCTGAGCCGGGGAGGAGGATTAGAGTTGCACGGCCTCCATCCCCAGCTGCACACATGACCGGCACCGTAGGAAAGCCCCCGAAGACAGCCCAGAAAGAGGTACGTGAGGGATGAAGGGAGTGGGGCAAGACATGAACATCGGTCCAACTCTGAGGAATGTTGCAAGCCCTGTAAACTCCCCAAATGATCAGTGTAACACCCTGTCGACAGCCCCCTTATTACTGAGGGACTCTGCTCTTCCTCTCTTAGAGGTTTCCTCCCCGCAGCAGAGGCAATTAATACTGTGTCCAAATGGTATCTGCAGCAACAAAAATCTTTAAGCCACCACTACCACATTTGGCTTTATACGTCTCTTTGTTCGTACCAATTTCAGCCCAGGACAACCACTTCTTACTGATATAATCAATACTAATAGATTCATTACATTTCTAAGTCAACCCTGCATTGTCCCAAACTGAAACATGTGCGAAACATGACATCTACTGGCATCAAACAAGGGTCTGGCTCTCTCCTATTGGCTGGTCACTGGTGCCAGGTGATGTCACTTCCTACAGAATACCATAGATCATCTGTCAGCAACATTAACCAGCTGTTGGAGCAGATTGTTCCAGTTGCTGCTTTCTTTCCACAGCCTCGAGTAAGTCACCGTGCACAAGGGGAAGTACTTGAAACACAGTGAACTCCAATGATTTTTTTTGTATGGATTAAACAATCAAGATAGGTGTGCATTTGAGACTTCTGATATTTTCAGACCTTTGATTCAGCCATGGAAGTTGTTTTCCCTTTCTGCATCCTCTTACTTAAGGTCGTAATTATGCAAAAATAAGCACGAGTGCAAAAAATGACAGACAACATGCCAGCTCTCCTAAAGAAGCATCTCCCACTGACCAGCTGCAGTCTAATGCTGCGTTCGAGTTACCTCGGAGATCCACGCAAGTTATTTTAGTGCTTGCCTTGTCCGAATATACAAAGCAAGCGCTAAAATAACATTTGTAAATGTAGCCATCTTGTTTCCGCCTCCGATTTTGCTTTCTTCCGACTTTGTAACTGAAACGCTGGCAACTCGGGTGTGATACCATTCCCAGCTCGGACATCTGACTTCTGAGGTAACTCGAACGCAGCATAAGTCATAAAGCCTGCCTTCTCCATGTGAACAGACTGGACATGGCAAAAACTATTAAATTAAAATACACACCGAATACATTTTCCTCCAACAGGGTTTCTTTCATGAAAGTTATTTTGTATCATACTAAATAACATCCTATCATTCATTTTTCTAAGGAGTTTAGTTTTAGCCAGATATTTGATGCTACATAAATAAGAGACGGGCAGCTCTGTGGATCAAAGATGCAGTGTGTACAGTGAAGATTTTTAGTGATACAGTATTTATGCTGCGTTCAAGTTGTACTCGGAAGTCGGGATTTCCGAGCTCAGAGTTGGAAATTCATCTGGAACGTCCCCCTGAAGTCAGATTTCTGACTCAGAAAGTCAAATGATGCTCACCAATCCCAACTTGACGACAACGTCATAATCCAAGATGGCAGCGCAGTGCATCAACAGTAAAGAGTAACAGTGAAAGCTCCTGTAATGTATTATTCATTAACACTTCTGTTTTTTTCATTAAATAAGTGGTATATGTTGTACTGCCCAACGTCTAACTGTGAACACAGTGCTATGGTGTTTGTAAGAGTAAAATACTGTTGTGTGCTGTTTACAACTGGTATCGCTAACAACAAACAACAACTGACAACGGCGAACAACAACTGATAATTGTAAGCAACAGCTAACAGTGACTAACAGTCGGTGTCCATTTTGGTTTTTCGACTTGTTTACTGAAACGCTGTCAACTCGGGTGTAACGTCATTCCCAGCTCCGACATCCTGTCATTTTTGTTATTTTTTCTGCATAAGCACAGTTAATAGCTCGGTATTGAGATATCGATTATGAGTCTTTCATTGTTTTGGCGACACAAGCTGACATCAACAAAGCAATGCAACAAAAAACAATGTTTCTTACAACAGAACAGAATTTTATGTCTAAATTTTTAAAATTCAAGATTTTTTTCTCTTTTCTCGCAAGAATAAAGCCAGGAGAAAATCAAGTCATAGTATTGTGAGAATAAATTCATGATGTTATGAGAATAAAGTTGTGATAAAGTCATAGTTTTGGCTTATTGTGAGTGGCAAGCTGCCTGTGTTAAAATGAAGGAAATGGAGTGTCTCGTTGAATTGTTTCTAGCATTTTGGCACCTCAGCACCACGCTGCCATGAGTATACAGACCGAAAAGACTACAAAATACTGAGGCGTGTTACTGTCAGAGACAAGCGCACCGTCAACTCATCGTTGACTCCTGTCTTTCTGACAAAACATTCGCAGTATCTGTGAAAGCAGCACTAACTGAGATAATTCAGGCTTAATTTTTTTATGAATGGCTGTCCTAATCTAGTTTTACTTTTCCATACTTTTGTTTCTTGGACAAAAACTCTCACACTTATGGATTCACATTTCTGTGATAAGTATGATCCCCCATGTGTCAGGTATTTAACCTTAAAAAAAACTTCTACCAATATAAATTCATTTTTGTACAACAACGACTGATCTCACTCTCATCTCCACTCCTTTACTGTCATACCTCACACAGCCTCCCCGTAATTAACAAAACACGCCTAGTTCCTACTAGTTTGTGCATTCTGGGCTACCATAGAAAACACAGCAGCCTCTGGAGTGAGGACCTGCCACTTTGTGAATATAAAATACTTTTTTATGTCATTAGAAATGAAACAATTGTCATATTCCATTCATTAAAACTGCTTTAAACATACTTCTGCACAATACCAATTCCATTTCTTTGGATAAATATAATTGAATTAGACACAATGTACCTTTAATATGGATCCTAGAGTACCATTTGTACCAGGTTAACAAAGTACAATAAGGACAGGTTTCACCAATACTGCAGCTTTACCAGTCGATTTTATCTCTGTAGACTTGGACTCTGTCACCGGTGCAACATGTCAGCACCAATCACTGGGATATTTTGGCCTCACTTTTGTGTAGCAGAGAGAGGTGGGAAGTGTTTGTTTTCTACACATATAAGTGGATATCTGTTTGAAAAGATAAATAAAAGCAAAAAAAGTGTCTAGATAATCACCAATGGGTAATGGGATTGCATTGCAGCAATCATTATCTGCTACTTTATGGCTTTTTGCTCGTTGTCAAAACTACAATACATGGTCCACAAACAGACATCCATAGTTTTGCTGCTTAAGTTGCAAAAAGTCAGGTAATTTGGTAACAGAATCCACACTTTTGTGTAATAACTGTGGTTTGTTCTGCGGTGAAATCCAGTCATCATATGGCTCCTAAAAGTCACTTTGAAAATGACAAATTATTTTTGTTTTGGCTAATCTGTGGTGAGGGTAACCAAAAACATTTGAAGATGGGATCTTGTGACTACTGTCTGAGTACCAAGAAATAAAGATTCATGTTACAAGCCAGTGCATTTTGCCTGTGATGAATTTGAATCACATACAACATGGCTTGTGATCTAATTAATGGCTTGTGCTGTTGACGTGACTGTGAGTGAGTGACTGTGAGTTAATTATGTGGGAGCGTACAGCTGGATAAGCTTCATTCATATTATGCTGGAAGAGGCCATCTCTTAAAGCCATTTTCTCCTAACTGTGTGCCAGTACAGCATGCCAGCAACAACAGTGTTTAAAGGAGGGTTCAACAAATGGAGCTGCCAACGGGTCATTGCCACCACTGAAATACTCCACACTTATTCCACGCCTTTTCATAATGAAGGCTTGTTTATAAATTTGACATTTTGAGTTCATTTATGTCACACTGTGCTCACTACATAGAGAACATACTATTTTGATGTAATGCAGGGCTTTTAAAAGAAGTGAATCAAAGTCAGAAGACAATCTCTTTGTGGATTATACATTATACTGTCTGGTGTAGTTTCACTTTAAATTTCACTACTCTTCTTGCAGTGGCATGTTATACTTTGGCAATTTCAACTACAAATCGTATGTATGCTGACATCAATCTAGTGTCTAAAGTTGGCAAGACATTGTGGCGTGTTTTCCCCATCCTGCTGAATAGATCCAAGTCCGTTACGCCTTGTGTGAGGCTCACAGCCTGGCTCTGCAGAGACCCAAAGAGTAACACTGGCTCCATTACTGCAGATTTATTACTCATCCTGCCACTAATCACACGCTCAGCCTCATCTGTCAGCAAGCAAGAGGATCTATTGTCCTCCCTGACAGTAAGAGGACAAAAAAGCATGACAAAAGACTTCAAAAGCTGTTTAACTTGTGTCATTAAATAATCAGTGTCACTGCATTCTCATGCCATCATGTGTCTCACTGTAATGTAGCTAACACTGCCTCTCCTGCAGCAGCACCAGCCGAACAGCTGTTGCTGCTGTTGCTTTTAAAATCAAGGTCAGGACTCCATCTAGTGGTATATACGCACAGACACTGCAGACTTGCCACTAGAATGGGAACTTCTCTAAAACAGAAATGAGAAACACAGTGAAAGGGAAAAGAAAATAACAGAGTTGGCTGAATGTGGCTTGAACATCAGTTCACTGCAGGTTATTGAAATAAAAACAGCTGTAGTAGCATTGCTGTTGTTGTCATAATAGGTCATCTTGGTAATAGTGACTGGTCAAGCTGTGTTTCATACATATCACACAAGAACAGACAGGAATCAACAGACACTGAAGTATTAATCATGAATTTAACTTGATGTGATTTTTTAATTGATCAATCAAAGACACTCATTCATTTTATATACTTCAAAACTAAAGACATGATAACATGGGCTCTGATGCGACATTGAGCCGATGTTACTTTCCATGAACTCCATGAACTCTTCTGTGCCACTTCATGTCCTGCAGACACTCAACTTAGTAAACAGCACAGTTGCAAAAACTCTACAAGTCACATTGCGTTAGAGGTTGTAAACAAGAGCGATGAGATGGCAAAAAGTAAGACAACCGTGTAAACATCAGAGGGTCTGCTCCAACTTTATCAAAGCTGTTAACAAGAGCAGCAGTGTGAACAAAGCTTTCATTGCCAAGAGCAGCAATAAAAATAAAAAAGCATCATGCCCACAGAAATGAGTCATTCCTATGTTTTAGGCCAGTTCTGGTATTAGGAGATAAATCAGATTTTGAACGAGAGAAACACTAAGTAGGCCTACAGCACCAGCAATGAAATCCTTGATACTGAAGATTCACAACAAATGTTAGTTCCTCCATATATCCTCACCTCTGACTCCATAACCTGACTGTAGGACTTGAATCATGTTATTTTGGTCGTAAACAGATCAGTAAGAAGCACATGGGTTTGACTCACTGAATCAGGAACAGCTGATCTTACCGTGAAACTGAGAAACTGAGTTGTTTTCTGTCCCTTTTAAGCAGGACAAAAACAGTTTTTCACTCACACGAAGGGATCCTAATACGATGAAAATAATTTCTTCAAATGGCAGCAATAAACAAGTCAAAATGAGATTTTAGTATTTTTCACTGACCTTAATTTGTTCAACCACGGTTAACTCCCCTACAAATACTTGTTTTTCAAGACTGTTTAGCTTACTTCAGTGTAGATGTCAATTTGTGTAGAGTTTGTAAAATTAATGAAGCAATCTATATTAAATAATGCAAACAGAGTACTCAACTAACACTCAATGGAGTTGTTGCTTTTCCGTTGAAACATCAATTAAGTGTCAATGCACAAAAGTAAACGTAAGCTGCCTCTGCTGGTGGTCAGCAGGAACTACAACACAAACTCGGGACTGCTCTAAGGTTTTACATACTCATATATCGATGAACAACTTTGGGAATAAAAATGTATTTATCATTTGTTTATCTATTTCATATATTCTGTTTGTTTGCTGCTGCTCTGATCATTAAGTGTCTCCACAAACTTTTAATTGAATTCACACCCCTTTGTGATGATTAGAATAGTAGTCATGAGCTAACCTTGGTGTGCAACATGCATGCAAAATAATGTTAAATAATATCAGTCTGCACCAGTAACACTATGCAATAACAACAATGTGTAATATCCCCTGTCTTCCCTTTTTTAATAGTTTACATTTCACAAATTGTATATTCCTGGTACTGGCTGGAATAAAGATACAGTTTTAATTATTCTGATCTGTAATCTTTCTATTTATATACATTTTTATACCTTTTCTGTTTTTATAGAGCTAACTGTTGTGGTATCACACAAAATCTAAAATGCACCTGTATCGTCTTGTACCTGTGCAAATGGTGATAAACATATATTCTAACAGAAAGTTTAAGCAGCAGCATGCCCTACAGTCATTACCCAGGGCATAAACCTTGGGTCTCTTATCAGGCAGTTTTTGGTGTTGCAGAGTCTAATTACGGTGGCCAAGAACAGCCACTGCTGCAAATAAAAAAGAATGCAAAAAAAGAAACCACAACGGAGTTACTGATGAAAAAAGAGAAAGAAAAAAAGGAACCAAAGCCCCCTGCAAATAAAAAAATAAACGGTGAAGATTAAAAAAAAAAAAACACAACGCAAGTTTATGACACAAAAAAAGTGGTGATGCCAAAAAAAAAAGTTACTTACTGTGAAAATAAAAGGATGCAAATAAAAAAAGCTTCAGTTCAACTTCTTATCGACTCAGGCGCTACATGGCCTAACCAAATGACACACTGAAAAGTTGACGAAGCGAAATTAAACAATAACCTTTCCACTTACTTCCTTGCTCATCTTCTTGCCATCGTCTTTTGTGCCTAGATCGTTAAACATCGGTGCATCATCACTATTGTCCCCGGCAGCAGCTCAATTCTGTTGTTAGTTTTTTTTTTTTTTTTTTTTTGGGGGGGGGGGATTTGCATCCTTTTATTTTTATCCTTTTTCTTTTTCTTTTTCGTCGCTTCTATTTTTTTGCATTGTCAACTTCCATTGTGTCTTTTTTTTTTTAACTGCACCGTTCACTGTTTCTTTTTTAATTTGCCGTGGGCTTTGGTTTCTTTCTTTCTTTTTTTATTTTTTTTATTTTTTATTTGCAGCATTGGCGGTTCTTGGCCACCATATTGAATAAATATTGAATTCTTTTTTCTGATTCTGATTCTAGGTATCAGATTTTTTTATTGAAAACATGTAAATTGAAATACACAGTAAAAAATAATTGAAATATATTTAACGTACAGAAATTTATAACAGCAGAGAACTATCAGCTTCACTTCTGACTCATTGCAATCACCACAAAATAAATCCATCAATATCTAATTTTAAAAAGTCCATTTTAATCAGTTCACCAAAAACTGCTGAATTGAAACACCTAGAAAATGTTTAAGATTTCTTGTAAACAGCTTAGTTTGCAGAAACTTTGATGTTTTGTCGCCACCAAGTGAATTTTCTCTGCTATTATTTATAGAAAGTAACCACTCGAGATGTTCACGTGCGCGCACCTGTCTCTTCCTCAACATAAATGAAACACATGTTCTAACCAGCTGGGGCCCACGCGCTCTCTCCTTCCTTCAAGCGTACCAAAATTTTGAGAGTACCGAAACATGGCGCTCCGTGCGTGCGTGGGGGGCAACCCCGTCTCTGCCTCCATCTGATGGCAGCATCAGGCAGTCCCGTGAAACATTTGCGTGGGAGTTCCCTTCACCGCCATGTCGGGATATTGCACATCTCTCCCCCCTCCCTCCCTCTCTCCCTCTCGCTCTCTCGTTGCATCCTCCCCCACATTAACAGCTTAGCACAGCAGCAGCAGCAGCAACAGCAACAGCAGCTCCTACAGCATCCAGCATCCATCCATCCATCCATCCCCGCCTGCCTGCCCGCCTGCTTGCCTGGGGAGCAGCAGTCCTACCCGGCAGCACCGACGCACGGAGGGGGCGCATCATCTAAGTGATGCCACATTATCAGTCGAATTTCGACATCAAACACCGCCAGTAGATCCTAAAAGAGGGGAGAGAAATCGCTTCAGCCACGAAGACAGCAACTGCCCATGAAGATGTCTAACGCTGACATCGTCTTAAACGCCGCCGACAGGCAGGTGAAATGTAAGTTCGCCTGCATTTCATGTTTGCTTCCAAATAGGACATGTGAAGTGTTTGTGTAGTGTAGATTCGTCTGTACGTGGCCTTTACTTTCATGTCGTGCAGTAATGGTGTGTTTGCGGCCATCAAGTTGTGTTCATGGTGGTGGTGGTAGTAGGCTGCTGGAGCTTTGATGTTGATAAACAATCCGGTTATCTGCTGCTGCACAGCCCCCACGAAAAACCAAGATAACGCCAAGAAACGGCAACACTGCACCGGGAAATATGTATTTTTATCATGTGGTGCAGAGATGCTTTTATATTTCAGTTTTTGCTGTCACGGCTTGACTGCATCCTGGCTTTAAGAGGAGAGGTAGAAAAAAAAACAGCTGAATTGCTGTGTGAGCTTGTGGTTGGTAGGAGCTGGGGCAGTGATGCAGCAGGATTTCACAAGCTCTGACAGGGTCAGTGGAAGAGGAAACGGGCATGAAATTGACATTTAATGGGGGTATATTTTACCAGGAGTGAGTCATTTTTTAATTTTTATTAGGAGGGATTTCTGAGAAAACCCAGCGTCAGGAGATGCTGAGAAAGCAGCCCTAGATGAGGGAATTACTGAGGACACAAACTTGGATCAATGAAGGATGATGAAGTGCCATAACTCATTTAGCACTGCTCATTCTGACCATGGATCAGCTCACTGACAGCACAGAGTCCCAATATATTCTCATATCCTGTATTGTGGGAATCAGGGAGCAACTCAGTCAGCATTAACAACTTTGTCCTTTAGGCTACAGAGTTGTGGAAACAAAGTAATCTGTGGTGTGACTTACACTAATGTGACAATGGCTGCAGACACCACTAATACCCTGTATGTAATCTGTTACAAGTGAAGAAAAGCTCTACTTCAAAAAAGAGAACAATACTGTCACAAAACCAGTCATGATTGCTGTCTAAGGGCCTGCAACAACAATCATCTATTCATCATCATTATTAGTCAAGCATTCCGCTGATACTACAAAACAACCAATAGTATTGTTGCTGAAATAGTTTTTCTATCAAAAATTGACACTGAAGTTTTACAAAAAACGCACCACAAGGCATGAATTTTGGAAACTAGCAATTTTGTCCTGTCAGGACATTCAATCCAAACATGTCTATGATGTGACACGTCATGATATGTCGTCTATATCGTATTGTATCATGACACGACATGATGCGAAACGATATAGACGGAAAAACATCACTAAACAATGTGATACATAACACAACAAATGGATGCAACATGATTCAACAAGATGCTGTGCTTGTGTCTGTGTAGGGAAATTTGTCTTGGACCTGAATGTTGCAAACGTAGATCCTACAAAGTACAGTAAACATGCCAATAAAGTAGCAATACAAAAAGAAAAACGTTACTATCCTGGTGGCTATAAATGAGATGCAAATTTGTCATTTATCAGTCAGTACTTTCCAAATATCGCACAATATTTAGCCAAAAATGACACTGGTTTTCCACGTTTTATCTATATTACACAAGAAAGATCAAACCACTTGAGTTGTTCCCTTAGCCAAGATTTACTGGCATGCAGGTGTTCAAAAATATGTCAAGCAAAAGGTTTACATCAGCAAACACAGCCAAGCCAAAAATTCTGACTCAGCGTTCTACTTTGGTAGTACGGTCACATAACATGTAGGATTTTTGCACAATGTTAAAGCATCCATGTCTCGGCTTGAGCACAGTGATATTTACTTACATTCATGCAGCAAGGCTCTGTAGGATGACTCCAGATCTTCATCAGTTTGATCTCTTCAACAGAAAATAAACAAAATTTGCGTTGTCAGTCAGATACTCTCGGTATTTTCACATTTGTTCTGGCTTAACTAACACTTAAATTTTCCTCTCTCACTTCTTATACTCCACAATTCTTAATACTGAAAAGCCGTTTCCAATCTTGTAAGACCCTAAACGTAATCAAAGGAAGCCTACAAAATTGTTAATACTTAAGACACTGGCGTTTCTTAAATTCAAGTGTGTGTGTGTTTGTGTAGCAATCTACGGCACGGATACTACAAGCTACACTGAGTTATTTTTATCCCTGCACACATTCAGTGTCTCTAAGTTAAACCCCAGCCAGTTTCTGTTTTCTCTCACATGTTTAAACCCGACAGAACATTTCTTAAGAGATACAATAACTGCTGGCCTGTGCAGTTTGTTTTCCACAGCTCTGTCACCACTGTGCTGTGGGCATCAAGCGGCATATTCAGGTCAGTTATTTCAGGGATGAGGCCTATACTACTCTGATGAAGTGTTTTACTCTAAAACAGCACCTTACAAAATGTATCCTTCGTGTAAATGACTCTGAGACTAACCAAAATATGCTGTCAGTGTGCTCTACAAAAGCAGGTTATAACATAGACATAATAAAATGTTTATTTAAATAATTACTTTATGAGAGCAATAGTGCTTTCTTAGGTCCAGAGCTGACTGTCATACTTTCTCTCAGTTTCATTGCCTATCAAACATACACTCCTTTTCTACTTGAGTTCAATTTGTGGCTATAAAAAGATGATCATCCAGCAAGTCTTGAGATCAAGATGAGTTTAATGTGCATAAAAAATGTTAGGCATGTTGACCTTTGTGGCCTAACGCTAACCTTTTGGAAAGCCGTAAAAGCCACGAACAGTTCCTTTGAACCGCTCTGGGAAAGAGCAAACAGATCCAGCTCCCTTCAAAGAGCTGTAACTCCCACTGTATTATGCAATAATATGAAAAGCATTGCAATGATACATAATGTACTAGATTTGAACACAAAAGATCTACGGACAGACTAACGCATTTCCTGCAGCTTTTAGTAACAACAATGCAAAGTGGTCCCATCAACACCTTCGCTGACGTCAACCTGTTAATTGTTCGGTGGAGCAGTAGTTGGGATCGGCACAACAGAGGAGCTCAATCTGTACGCAGTCAGTTGTAAAAGCATGACACTTTTTGTGTTTTACTCGGACCTCTCACAAATGCACACTGTGTCCTCACTGTGTCCAATCAGCTGAAGCCGTCCAGCTTCTCCAAGCACCACTCACTGCTAACACAAACCACACAACTCTCCACTTTTTTTGAGCAGGCAGAATTGAGGACAATATGTTTTGTGTACATCACAGTCTGCACATTATGATGGGATAATTTGACGTGTCTATAGCTTGAGCATTTTCCAACAGCATCTCTGTGAACCTCTGATGCAAATTGCAGTACTCCGCGGCGGCACTGGCTGTACTCCAACAGTCAGCTGCTGCTGCTGTTGCCCGGCAACATACAGTATTTCATAGTTCAACTCTGCTCGGGTGCTGAGCAGAAGTCAGCTTTTCATCTCATTTCATCTCACAGTACATCTATATCAGAGTGTTTCTGTGTCTACATACCCCTGTGTCTGTGAAATGTGTGGTTCAAGTAGATGCTTAGTGAAAGATCTGGGTCGCTTTTTTCAGATTTCTTTGTTATAACTGGGAAAAAATTTTGTTGCTCTATTCTGCCTACAAAAGCTGAGTGTCATTTCCTTTGAAAAGCATCTTCTTGTGACTTCTTGTCAATTCATCTTACTGATATAAAGGTGCCGGCAGTTAAAGCGGTTTGAAAACAATATTGGGGAGTTATTTTTGTAATTTTTTTTGGCATTCAATTGACATATTTTCATGTTTATTCATGAAAAAATAAATAAAAACAGATGTTGCCAACATCCTCCTAGTTGCAGAATACCACATTGATGTTCATCTCCTCTTTATAACGAATAAAGCGCTGTATTTCAGAGGTACATCCCAAAGTATCCCAGCAAAACCAAGAGCAGCTTGTCAGTGAACAATGACATTATCCAAACTCAAACTTGAGAAACTTGAGTGATGACTGTGCTGACTTTGTACTAGCTGGTAAAGTGTAAAAAGCACACGACACCATCACAGATACACACTGCATACTGTGAAAAATTGGAGTCCCATTAAATCCACTAGCCTGGGCTCGCCTCATTATTCCAGGAGCAGCGACTTTGAGATTCCTCCAGTCAGGCATTTATTATTAAAGAGCATGTTGATCATGTTTAGTATACGCTCGAGCTTTGAGATTCCTCCTTTGTCATCGCTGTGTTTGGCACTGCTCAGTGGCTCTGTTTGCAATACACTGCACAAATCTGGCAAGCATACTCTTGCATATAAATATATACCACTGCTGACAGTCTGTGTTGTGTGTACACATGTACTATTACTACAGGATGTCTTACTACAGCCAAAACACTGTTTATGAAAAAAAATATTTAATTGAAATAAAATTTTAATCCCTCCAAAATTTAAGATTCAGCCAATAGTTCCTTTTAAAGGTTCTTAGTCATGGTTATTAACAAGTATTATTGTTTTAGCATTTATTTAATAGTAACTTTAAGCTTAAGTTTTTGTCAAACTTCGCACCCCCCTGTGAATAAACAAGTACCCCTTACATGTTTGTTGATGTATATTTTTCATCACGCTTTCTTTGAACACTTTTGGTAAATATTTACTTTAGAAAAAGGTTTTTTAAGGCTCCTGTGAGGAACTTTGAAGTTGTTTCACTTTTTTTGTATCCTGCTCACTCCAAACAGTCAAACGTATCATTTATTGTAAATTTTTACCAAGTAAACTGTATAAACAAGGGCATTTATCTAGCTGCTCTGCTGACACGTACCCCTTCTTACCAGTTTGCAGTATATCACTGGTCAGTCTTGTCACTGATACTTGTTTGCTTTTGTATATTATAAAAATACATTAATTTGACTTTCAGTGTATTTCATTCATTAAAAACTTCTTACAGGAACCTAAAAAAGTATGTTCCTCATAGTGCTGCACAACAGCTTGTCCACATTGACCCAATGAATATAGACACAGCTATTGTTCTTACTGTTGTCATTTTGCTTCTGTAGGTCATACCGAGGCATTACTGTTAATTTTAAAGTCTGATAAAAATCCCTCAGGAGGGCTGTAAGTAGCAATTATTAAAACCGTATCCTGATTTCAATGGCAGGTAAATGTTACTGTAACTTTTATCAAGCTTTTTCTCCTGTGTTTTAAGTGTGTGTATTGCTAAGTACATTTGTTAAGATTGATGCAAAACTATCAAATTCCCTGCTTGTGTGCTCATACACGACACATAAAGCAAATTTTGCTTACAAAAGTTAACCAGAAAAAGGAAGTAATGAGTTAACTACATAAAACTACATAGATTAAATAACCATTGTAACAGCTGAAGCAAAAAGATTTGCCCTGATTTTGCATGGCATGTACTGCAACATATACAAAACTATGTTTGAAGGCAGAATAACGAGTAGTTTTTGTCAATGTAGGCCAGCTGCAAGATCGTCATTCTGCTGAGCACTAATCTGCTCTCTTTGTATATATAAAAAAAGGTCTTCTGTATGGGTGTCTGTTTGACTCTTCAAAGTTTTAAAAAATTTTAAGCTGAATGGTCAGTTAACAGTCACAGCTCCAAATGAAAGCGACAGCGCAGACAGCAAATGGGCCTCAAACATGTCACTGTAGGCGTAAGTTCCTAAATGTGCTCCTCGGTGCTGAGTGATCAACCATATTTCCACAGCATAGGCATTCTGTTTAGATGATTATAGCAGACACGACATGCACCTGCTTCTACAGCTACATCCTTGTTGTGTTTGAGTCACTGAGCCTGTTAGATGTTTGTGAAGCGTTTATTCGTACTGTTTAAGATTACACTTTTCAAAAGAGCTCATAAAACCACTGTAACCTACCGTATGTGAACCTGCTTGTGTCTAACACTTCACATGGATTTTACTTTTCCTCTCGTTCGAATTATTGACTCTCACTTACTCTGACACTTCAGCAGGAGTTTTCTGTGTTAAGCCAGATAATCTGTAGATTAAATCAATACATTAGACCTGAAAGCTGGTGCTCATACAGCACAGACAGCTCTTCATATGATCTAATGAATAACCTTTGCTGCCACCAAAGTAATGAACTGTGGTTGGATTTCACACTTTCACAGCCAGTCTGTTTGGTAGGTGACTGGTGCATTTTAATGGCCACAGGCTTTAGCAGTCTAGGGAGATCTCTGGATGAATCAAGTGCTCAGATGTTAGCTGGGTTTTATCCTGCACTCAGAAGACACTTAACAAGTAACCACACATCTGTGCTGGATTTATTAAGCGAGAGGTTTTTCATAAACTTGTCCATTTTGATAAGTGATCAAACCTGCTGACATCTATATATACATGAAGTGGAGTTGATCACCTCAGGATGGATTTTTTTTCATTCATTTGACTAACAGAAAATGAAAGCATGTTGGCAAACATATCATTGCCAGGACTGTAGTGGGTTTGATATTTACAAGATGGATGTAGCAGCACAGCAACACTGCAGGAAAAACATGGATTGGGCTTTGCAAATAGGATTTCTGCATGGGTCCCTTGATGTTCTGTTGCCTCTGTAATTCCTGCCTGGTGCTTGCCTTCATGCTCCATATTTCTACTCTCACAAAAGTGCAAAAGAAAAAAAGAGTCACGTATTGTATTCTTGTTGGCATAAACAGTAGCCATAGTTACTGCGATGTCCCCTCTCGTTAAATGTCACCACGTGCCTGTGCTCTGTCCTCAGCTGTCCCCTTCCCCCTGAGCCACCGCCTTACAATGAAGGAAGTGTTCGACTGTGAAGGGAAACCGCGGGTGGATCTCTTGAAGGCCCACCTCACCAAGGAAGGCCGCGTGGAGGAAGCAGTGGCTCTTCGAATCATCAACGAGGGAGCATCGATCCTGCGTCAAGAAAAAACCATATTGGACATCGAGGCGCCAGTCACAGGTAGAAAAAATTATCTGGAGCTTGTTCTGCTGCACTTTTATCAACCTGACAGACAAGCTTCAGGTCATTGTAATGACTCAGTGATCAAAAGCATGATTTTGATGAAAGGCTTGAAGTCAAAATGGTCACAGACTTCAAGATTACCAGTATGTAACAGCAAATCTGAAACAGCTCCAGAGTGATGTTGATTCAACTCTGTCATAATGGAGGTTGTTGTTTCTGGGGCTGTTACATTGTGTTGCCTATTAATGCAAGGTGTTTCTGTATTACCTTCACCCCATCATAATCAATAAGGACACAGGGGCTCAAAATGTGATGCTGTGATCCTGCCTGTACTTCTTTTTTTGGCTCCTTGGGTTTGTTAGAGGAAGAAACAGACCTAAAAAAAAAAAAAAAAACACAACTTGAGGGAAAGGGGGAAAATTTGCCAATAAAAATAAAAGGCCTCATGGCTTCTTGCCCACTCAACCAGCATGACACTTGTCTGCTAGTATGACACCCCCAGAAAAAAAAAGTAATGTGCTTTTGGTCTGAAAATTCTCTCTGTTTACTTCCAGTTTAAAAGGACAATGTCACAAGGGGTGTGACAATACACCCACTTCACTAGACGAGACAAAACGAAAGGGGGTTTAAACTATTTCAGATAGATAGGTGAAATATATTGCTGCAAAAACAGTCTTTTATTCAAACTAAGGTCAGGTAATAATAAACAATACCAGCCTGTTTTGAAATGTTTTATCTTTAACATATGAATGTCACAGTAAGTCTAATTTTTCAGTATGAAAACAAACAAACACACTGTAACCAGGACATGAGGGTGTTTGATATTATTATAATTAGTGCTTAAACATACTGTTTTAGACCTCAGGGGTGCTAAATAAAAAAAAAAAAGAATGCTCCAGACAGACAAAATAAATGTGAATATGAACATTCACAACATGAAGAGGGCATTTGATCACAGAGTCTGCTGTTTCTCTGTGTATATATGAGGTCTGTTGGTGTATGAATTTAACTCAAGTCTGTCATCAGAAACAAATGGTGACAGGCGTCTCGAAAACATGATCCCTCTGCAGGTTTAACGTGCATTTGGAGATCAGAGCTGTCAATAGGGAAGCCCTCACCCGCAGCATAAACAAAACACTCTCTGTAGAAAGTGTGCTTTTCCTGTTCTTCGGCAGTTTTGGCAGCACCTTCGATACTGGACTGATTTTGATTCAGCGCCATTAACATGTTGTTGTAATGCCTTAATAACTGCTGTCGAAAACTGGAAAATTCGCCAAGTTCTGTCCTCGGAAAACATGTTTATTATGAACGCAGTCAGACTCTGTCAGGGCTTGGGGCAGGGCTGTGCGATATGGCCTCAAATCAATATCACAATATATTGAGCGGTTCATGTCAATAACGATTAATCGATGATAACTACTCCACATGCTGCTCACCCTCTCCCACTTTAGCCTCATCTACTTCAGCTGCCACTCCAGCCGCTACAATTTTTGAATCGTCCTCCATCTCCTCACCTTTCTTTCCCTCTTTGTTACGGACTGGATGGGGTGAAGTCATGTCTCCGACGTAGGACAGCATCTTAAAGGGACATGAGACCATAGCCTACCTACACACATTCATAAACAACTTTTATTTAATTTTTTTTTTAACACAGAATTTATCAACATGGGCAAAATGACAGTTATTGTCATAGATTTCAGTATCGGTAAATTTACGGTTTATCGCCCAGCCATAGCTTGGTGTAGTATTATTTATTTAAATTCATTTAACAGTACGGGTATAAGGCTATGGCAGCCACTTCGCCGTGTACTGCATGAACATATTCAACATCTCAGTGAATGCTAACATGTATTATCAAACAGTCACTAAAGTTTTGGATGACTGAAACACAGTTCAGACGATGGCATTTAACAATCTCAGTGGTTTACTTTCATTTAAGGGTGGATATAAAAGCCTGGACCAGCTCTCTGACTTTAATAACTTCCAGTAGTATTTCTGTTAAGAGAATTGGGACAAGAGTAAGAAGAGATGTAAGACCAAAGAGGGAGCGAAGGGATGACAATGCTGTTTGTAGCTGTAGTACAAAAATAAACAAGGCACCTGAATAGAGAACAGACAAAGATAAGAGCAATATGTAAATTCTTTTTGTAGAGGGATGTCATTTTGAGGAAAATTCACCATTATCTTGTCATGTAGGTGGCCAGCAGTATTACAGATACACTCTATTCTATCAGTCATCATTAAGTCCTGTCAGTGGAAACTACATCCTAAGTCTGTACAAATAAAGCTGTTTGAGTTGTGAAGATGAACAGGAGACTGCTAGGTCTTGCTTGTTAAATCAAATAAATCAGATTCAATCTTGCTCAAAGTAATAACACTGAAAATATGTCATCTACCGAAGTTAGTCAGAAGTTTAAAGCATCTGAAATTTCAACATGGACACCGTGTTAATGTTATGTATGGGGATATTTGCCTGAACTGGACACAGACTAGTTTTAACACTTTGTATTGTAAATATCAAGAAACATCACCTTCAGACTTATTTATCAAGCTAATGTGGAGGATTTGTTTCTGCTTAAATTAAGGTTTTTACATATTCAATGACCAGGAATAATCAGTGCTGAAAAGTGATTTATCTCTCTTTTTGATACATGCTCCAGGTCTTTGATATGTGAGCTGACAGATACTGAGTTCCCATTAGAAATAAAGATTTAAACTCACTCTGTAGATGTGGTATTATAGTATTCAGGGTTGCATGGCTTGGTTCAGGTTTAAAGCCTTTGAAAGAGACAAAAAAAGTCACAGAATTGTGTTTCAACATCCAACATTAGTAGCAATGTTTGCCCAAGCATCTACTAAAGCATTCAACAGATTTTTTACATGGCATCAAGTAGACTAATTTCTCCAACACGGACTATTTTTACCAGCACTAGTAATTTTGTTATGTGCCATGGCAGAGCAAGAAGCCGGCCGGTTGAATATCCTAAGCTAGCTTTAAATAGGATTCACTATGTCGGATTTCTAGTGACTCGCGGCAGTTAACGCCAGCTCTGCTAGCTAGCACCGCCTGTAGCTACCATGTTGACATTGCAGAGACTAATAGGAGTAATTTATGTAATATATGTCACCATAAAAAGCAAAAATTACCTGTTCAACAAAATCTCTGATGTCTCGGCGTCTGTTTTCAGGTCCAAATCCTGGAGGAGCTTTCTCCACCTCTCAAAGGATAACCCGATGTTTATTCCAGTTAGATTCCTCGCTTGGTTACATTTCCTCTTCTCTGCCCTTTCTTCTGTCGACTTGCGTTTTCTTCCCACTTTGGAAGTATTTTTTTGCGTCCTTCTCCATCACAGCTCCTGTAGCTAAGCTGCTATGCTAATTTTAGCCGCTCAAAGCTCCGAGAAGAGCCGAGAGAGTGGAAGGGGACGAGCCGGAACTACGGGAGAGGGGTGTGTCGAAAACAGCGAGGTGATTGGATGGAGAGGAGGAGCAGATTGACCAATAGGAGCTGTCTAGGACGGATGGCTCCCATTGGTCAATGTTTTTGCAGCCCTGCACTTGCTAGGATTAACGTTTACATACTATGAAGGTATTTTTGGTGCAAAAGGTTTGTGCATCTGTAGCATGTAATTTGTAGTTGTGTACAATGATTGCGTTTGTGTATTAGTGAGTGTGAAATCCACACTCTATGAGTTGTGTTCTTGTAGATTTTTTGTGTTGTACTAGTAGATTTTTTTTATTTCCACAAAAGCAACACAACATTTACACATTCACAAATCTTAATTACAGGTGCACAAATCCTATTTTACAAGTCACACATTCAAACTCTGACACGCTCACATTTTTGCTCCAAGTGTTGCAACATATTTGGTGCAAAACATATTTGTGCACCTGCATGGAGTAATGTGAACTTGTGGACAAAATTTGAATATGTGTGCAAAAAATGTTATATTTATGTACAATAAGCTTTCACAAAAGTAGTTGTGTTGTTTTAAAACACAAATACAAATCGATAATTACAACAGCTGGTAAAAACTTTATTTTAACTACCAATTAACATTTTTTGCACAAGTTCGCATAAAGATCTGCACATATTCAAATTTTGTCCACAACTTCACCAAATATGCTGCAACAATAGGAGCAAAAATGTGAGCGTGTCAGAGTTTGAATCTGTGACTTGTAAAATAGGATTTGTGCACCTGTTATTAAGATTTGTGAATGTGTAAATGCTGTGTTGTACTTGTGGAAATAAAAACAAATCTACAAGTACACAACTCAGAGTGTGGATTTCACATTTACTAATACACATACACAATCACTGTACGCAACTATTACATGCTACAGATGCACAAACCTTTTGCACCAAAAATACCTTCATAGTTTTCTTCCTTTCTTTTTTCTCGTCACTTTGTGGAGATCGTACTATACGACCATGATCACCATATAAACGAAGTTCACAATAATTACCAATCTCTTCAATCGTCAACCATGTCTTTAAACTATGTCAGCTCCTCTAGCTAGCTAAGCCTATAAATTACCATTTACGTTGTCAAGTGTAGGTAAAGCATTAAAAAAGCCTCAATGTAACCCTTATACACCCTCAATTATCCTGCGGGATGGGATGCCTGGTCTATTTTGCTTTACTGTTGCTACATCCCACAGCTCTGATGGGGGATTATGGCCACATTGAGGATAAAAAAGCAATTCCAAAAAAAAGTCAAGAATTCATAAAACAACTACATAGCATTGTGAGATTAAAGTCATAAATGTACAAGAGTAATGTTGTAAATTGTAGTTTTATGGGAAATGACAAGCTATGGTTAATCTATCAGGGCTCAGAGGCTTAGGACAAACAATGGTAGTAGAAGCGAGCACAAGCTGTCTATTGGCCGTCCCTCCTTCATGACAGACTCATCCAGTTTTTGGATGGGTTCAAAATTCAGATTCTTGTGAATTCTGGAGCCATTACACTATTTATACCTTTTCTGTTTTAGATTTATCTTGGGGCTTTTTGCCTTTGTGTAGAGAGGACAGGATAGCGTACAGGTAGGACACATCGAGAGAAAGAACAGGGAGTAACATAAAGGAAAGGAGCCACAAGCTGGAAGTGAACCCGGGCTGACTGCATGAGGTGAACCTTTGTATATGGGGCACACTAGCAGACCGCTAGGCTGGGGTCACCTCATTTAAGAAACCCAGACTGAAGTTTAACTTTACAAGATGCTCCACGTCCCTCAGTTTGGTCAACCAAACTTGCAGTCTAAGCAGCTGATTGAAGAAAAATTGACTGCCCCCAAAAGACTTATAGGGAAAATATATTTTTATTTCCTGTTCATGCCTATGATCCATAACCTCCTTCAATATTAAACAACCCAGGTTTAATCTAAAACTGAAAAGTGTTTTTATAAATTAAAAGTCATCCGTAGCTCTCTTATATTCCTTAAACATGCTGCTCAAGTGTTTCATACCTGGGACATTTGAACTTGGTGATCCTGTGATCTTTCCGCTTCACACTTAACCGTGCCATATTAAATATACATGAAGTTGTCTTTGTTAAAAGTAAGTACAGTGTTTAGCTGAAAGAAAGGTGACGTACAGATGAAATGCACTTTGCCTCGAGGAGAGTCCGGGGCTCCTAATCTTGACTGGCGTCAGGAAAATGGAGGCTTTATGTATTAAGTATGAAATATAGATGAAGAACAGAGTATTGTGTACGGGTATTGTGAGAGTGGAGCTCTGTTTTACATCTTTGTAAGCCTGAGTTATCAGATATCTCTGCAGCTGTATGTGTGTGCATGTGCATGTGCATGCGTGTAGTCATATATTATGTGGCAGTTATGCACTTGTGAGTCTTTACTTGCATGGATATGATCCATGGGTGTGTGTGAGCGTGTGTGTGTGCTTGTTTGATTGCTTTAGTCACACAAGCAGTCTCCCACTCACATTGCTCTAAGCTTTGAGTGGGCGAAGGCCACTGTGGAGCTGATAGGGGAGACAGAAAAGAGAGAGGAGATGGAGGATGAGTAGGAGAGAAGGAGACAGAGGAAGATGATAATGAAAAATTGAAGGCAGTGAGGAAATGAGATGTAGGTTTGCACTCCAGAGTCATAGTGTTCACTGTGAAAAAGTATGCATCTCCCTAGAGGCTTGAGCTCTTTCTGCCTCTTTGAGGTGAGAGCTTCTACTTTCCTGTGGAGGACAGAGACCTTTCAGCCTAAGACAAGAGAAATGTCTTGGTACAATGATAGCTTAAAGACAGAGACATTTATTCAAGAGTTAGACTGATAACATGTTAGATATCAGCCTCCAAGACTGAATTAGCAACTATGTCAACTAATGCAAAAAAATTGCTGTGGTAATCAATCAGCCTGCTTTCAGGCACATAAAAGGGTTACAACAACAGTGTGGTAGTAGCATAGTAAGGAAGCTTTAATTGTAGTCCAAGCTGTTTAATGTGAATTACAACCAATGAACAGACTCATGCTGCTTGACTGTGAATTTAAATGTTTAGTTGAAAATGTTTTGTAAGGCATTGTCTCCCAAACAATGTCAACATAGCACCACCAGAGTTGTCATAGTTTACAGAATGACACTTAAATCAAATGACAACTTCATGAGCCTTATTCATGTTAATGACAGGTGTCATGTCATAGTTATGACAGCGTAATATCAGTCTTATGTTTAACCCTTCAAATATAGTGTTACCTACTTTATAATCAGTGACATCCAACTGTAGCATCAGCACCACAGTAAAATGTGTCACCGCTGTTGGATCTAAACCCCAGAGACTGTTGAGGTGCTGATATGAACACAAACTCTGTTGAACCTGTAAAGCCAAGTTACAGACTTCCAATACAGACTTGAGATCTCACCAGATTGTTTTGTTCTCTTGTTTTCTGTCTTGGAACCTTTATCTAGCATTACTAGTAGAAAATATGCCAAAATGACCGCATGACAATACAAAACTGTTCAATCACGTTGGAGTATTTTTGTTACACACACTCAGACAAAAAAGACAGATGCTCAGAAACACTAAAGCCAAAGACACAGGAGACTCAATCTGACTCTTTGATTCGGTTACATTTGCCATCCTGTGTTCTTGTTTTCTCAGTGTGTGGTGACATCCATGGGCAGTTCTTTGATCTCATGAAGCTGTTTGAAGTGGGAGGATCACCAGCCACAACGCGGTACCTGTTCCTCGGGGACTACGTCGACCGTGGCTACTTCAGTATTGAGGTAAAACCAGTGCAGCATCATTAAGTATGTAAACGTATGGGAACGAAAAATTTCAAGTAGCACATTTACATGATCAAAAGTTGTGCTGTTTCCTGTAGGGTTCTACTAACAACTTTAATGGATCTATTTTTATTTTTGACAGTGTGTTTTATACCTCTGGTCGCTGAAAATCCTCTATCCAAAGACACTATTTTTACTTCGTGGGAATCATGAATGTAGACATCTGACAGAATATTTCACCTTCAAACAAGAATGTAAGTACCTCTTAGTGCTTCTTCTTTTTTTCTTCATCAGAGGTCCAGATCATGTGCAACCTGACGGGCTCTTTGGAATGACACAACACATCATAATTATCTGTTTACGTTTACGTCTCCCGCCAGGTAAAATCAAGTACTCAGAGCAGGTGTATGACTCGTGTATGGATGCTTTTGACTGCCTCCCCCTGGCTGCGCTCATGAACCAACAGTTTCTGTGTGTCCATGGTGGACTCTCACCTGAAATACACACCTTAGACGACATTAAAAAGGTAACTTACTGCTACTTGTACCTATTGGATGTATGCTGGTTGATTTTTGTTTGTACATTCAAAGAAAAAAATTTGACAAGTATGTTTCTGCATCGTTATGTCAAGTTGGATCGGTTCAAGGAGCCTCCGGCATTTGGGCCCATGTGTGACCTGCTGTGGTCTGATCCTCTGGAGGATTTTGGCAATGAGAAAACCCAGGAATACTTCAGCCACAACACAGTGCGAGGCTGCTCCTACTTCTACAGGTGAGCTGACTCTGCCTCTTCTTCCCTGCGGCAGCTTCAGGCCCCTGGACCTTTTGGCTTATTGTACCTTTAATACTGTTGTTGTTTGTACTTAAATGCTAAAGAGTATAAAAACACTGGTTTTAAATACAGATCCAGCTCAATGCTTCAACACGTTGTCACTCCTCAGTTTTGTCAGGTACAGGAGTTGGGTTGTGTACTTGTAAACATGTAAGGATTAGTTAGAGAGTGAAGCAGTTCTCATGGTAAAGGTGGTTAAAGAAAATTTTACATTTTAAAACATTTGGGCATGCAGTTACTATCAACACATGGTCAGTATTTCAAAACATTTCTATTTTGGTTGTGTTTAAAGACAAAAACTACTTGAGTATGATTCATCTCACGGTTATGTGTTGAACCAAGTACAAGTACACCAGTTTTGTAGCTATGACACGTTACTTAAAGATCTGGTGAGGTAACTTCTGGTTTTGCCAATTTTGGCGCCCCTTTGTCCTCAACATATGGACAAGAAAAAAAGGAAAACACTCTTCCTGCTGTCTTTACACTCATCAAGAATCTTGGCTGTGGAAAATGTCAACAAAGGCTGTTTCTGCTTTGGTGACAAATTTCAGATATTAAAGCACGGAGTAAAAAAAAAAAAGCAAAGTAATAATATAATCAGTCTTGTTGCAGATGATATAATTACTTTAGTAGGAAATTAGAATTAATTTTTTAGTTTGCTTCTTGAGCTGCCAAACCCCCCTAAATGAAAATTGTGTTTGAGTGACCCATCAGTTTCCCCTGTCTAACTTTAACACTCTTCATTCCTTGTGTCCTACCCTCCACTTTAAAAAAATAAGCATCCAAAAATGACATCAGCGGATTAGCTTTATATTTGTGTTTTTCCACTTGAGAGTAAACACAGGCTTTTGCATTCATGCCCCTTTGTCTAAAATGTTGTTTTCGGCGTCCTGCTCGCCCTCAGCTCCTTTAAATGCTCATCATACAGTACACTGGATCCATTAGGGTTCCCCTCGTGGCTCTTTGATGGTCTCTAATAACAGTTCAGTCTTAAAAGAATGAAAGGTTCACACTGGGAATCTGCCAACTATAAACCCTGCCTCATACACAAAGCCAGTCAAAAAATGGTTAAAAAGGGGGCTTGTCCTCAACCATTAGATGGTTAATTTAAAATAAAGATCAGGGGGAAAAAACTACTGTAATACAAGAAAGAAAAACACCCTAAATGATCAGTACTGGAGAATTGCTAGAGTACAGACCCAAATCTGACTATGACACAGAAGCCTAGCAACTTAATATCAAAAATAGATGTTAAGATGATGAATTATAAATAGATATCAAACATTTAGTGCTGCCTGAGAAAAACCAAAAAGAAAAAAACAAACAATAGACTCAATTATCAACTTTTATTGGTGAGAACATCAGAAGGAGAGTACGAGTAAGAAGATTGAACAATTTAATGATCACATATGAAAAGCCAACAGATAGAGTCGACACCTAGGAGTAATTGGGTCATGTTTTTTTTGTAGTAAAGTGGTGCTTTTGATGGGAGGTCGTCTTTTTGACCTGCAGAGCTGATAATGACAGACAAAAGACCAGCTGGTTAAACCTGGAGTTACGTAGAAACCGAGGTAGCGAAAGAGAGACACAATCGAAAACATAAAATTGAGGCAAAAATGGGAATAACTTTGTTATGCAACTATTCAGCCTCCGTGGCAGCACATGTAAAAAAAAAATAAAAAAATGGAGGAGGACTGAGCACCATCCTAATGCTGTTGTGAGATGGGAGAGAGCTGTGGGAAGTAGGTGGTGGTGAGGAGAGGAGATTAGGTGGCGCTTGTTGTGAGTTTTCTTAATGAAGGTTCAGAACAGTACAGACCCCTGCGTGGGAGCTGCGGCTCTGCTCGAATCACCGAAAGTAAAGCCGGGAAGATTTAGTCCTCCTCTGAGAGGAAATGACATTCTGTTTGTGCAGAGTAATTGCAGTTCGGATTCACATTATTACCTAACTGTAATTTTCATTTTGGTTCTAGGAGCGCCAAAGGTGGGTTCAAATTATATCAGAAGTTTCACAGGAAAGGTCACCCTTTTATTGTGGGACCAACGAGTTTGTGGTACTGCTGGTCTTTTTTTTTCTGGAAAATGGCAGTTTAATAGATTTTTAATGTGTTGGGTTGGGTTCAGAAAGGACAGAAGATGCGCAATATGAAGAAAATTTGCACGTTAGTTCACCACAGGCAGTTTTCTGCTACACTAATACAAAGACGCACAAGTGGTCCCACTCATAAAGAAATATGAGTATCTTTGCTGAGATAGGGAAATTGAGGGCCAGATTCATTAAGAATGGACTGCAGCTGCTAACGGCACCAAGAATTGTGCATCATTTTTCCCCACTGATTTGCCGGATAGTGGGAATGTGGGACCCATGTTTTCACAGCTCAGCGTTTTGCAAAGTAGCTGTACCTAGGACTGCACCTTTTTCAACACCACGCAATGAACCCAATGGCAATTTAAAAGTAGAAAATGACAGTAAAGTAAATTTTCAAAATCTAAAACGAAACCATTATGATCTGAAATCAGTCATTGTCTTAAAATATCAATCTAAAAATGTACCCCCAATTTTTTTGAAAATGGTCTATAGTACCTTTGAATTAAAATTGATAATGGTTGAAGGATGTTACTGTCTTGATGGAGTTTACTAGCAACGATGAAAAGTATCTTAAGTAGAGTAAAAGCAGGTGTTGGGTCTCTACTCCCCTTTTTTACCACTCCTGAATGGTCAGCAATAGGAATCCATTTATTCACACAGAGAGAGGAGCTTAGTGAGGATTATTCTGTAGATGTGTGGAGGATGCTTCTATTATAGTCATCTATCTTCCTGTGGCTTTGTTCTGCCTTCACTCTCAAACTTACCTCTCCATCATTATGATTCCTGCCAACTATACAGTGTGTATAAAGTAAAAAAAAACACACACACACTCTCTGGGGGATTTTTGGGAAATGCAAGAAAGTCTCTATATGATATAGAAATGGGTATAAGGCTAAGCAGGTCAGGAAGATAAAGGGTACATTAAAATGCTATCAGATACACTGCAATGATTTGACTCTCTCTGTATTCTGATAATGACTGATTGTTGTAAGACATGAACTGTACGAGTTTTTTGAAGCACTGACCCAAAAAAACAAAAAAATCAATATGGAGCCTCAGAATAGCTGGATCCTAAAAGATAAGAAGTATTTGAAAGAACTGCAACTAAAAGCCTTTTCTTATTGTTTACATCCATGATTGTCTGTTATCAGTTATATATGATACTTAATTGTACGTCTTAGGTAACAACCACAAGATGTTGTTTCATTGTCATAGCTGTCTACATCTAAAAAGTAATCTAAATCAGTCAGGCTCCTGAAAATGTTCCTGGTACTGGTTACAAATCTATATATTTTTTTGAAATTTTGAAGGTAACTTAAAGTAGCTAACCAGTCCTAATTTCTCTACGCTGCCATCCATACACAGTGGTAGCGTTATACAGGGGTGTAGATAATTTGTGCCCAACTGGAGGTCTGTGCCCCCCCCAGAGGAACCACCACAGATCCGAGGGTGGGCACAGGGCCTTGTTTTCTCTGTGGTTGTCAAACTTAGATTCAAATCATAAAAACACTAACTGGATAGTTTATAAAAAAAATCTGTGGATAACTCTCTGGAAAAGAGAAGACTTTTCTTTTCCTCTCAAAAATATCAGGCTGCTTAGTCAGCCACACCTCTGGGACTTCTCTGCCCCTGTGACCTGTGCTCCCTTTGGTGTCATCACCATTTAAGGTAATTAGCTCATCCTTGGGTTTATTGCAGGATGTCCTTATCTGAACTTGTGAGAAACACCAATGTACAGATGACTCATAATTGCTAAAAAAAGGAAGTAAGACGATCCCTCGAGAATTAACTTGACTTTGGTTCGATTAAGAGACAGGATGGGTATCAGCCAGAATGTATCATCTGTGGGAAGATGGTAGCTAACAACAGCATGAAACCCAGCAAAATAAATCAACACCAGGGCAGCAAACACCAGGAGACTACAAGTGAAGGTTTAGATTCTTTTTATGGCTAAAACCAGTTGGCTCTTTCAAAAAGACCCAAATGTTTGACTAAACGGGCTGTGATTTGCACAAGGATACAGAAACCTAAAAATATTGGAGAGAATGAAGTCTAATCAGTCTAATCAAATCTGCTTTCCTAAAAATTGTAGGCAGACTATGTGGCTCACAGGTGGTGGACCAACTGCATGTGAATCTGAGGAATTCCCTCTTTGCAGTCCAGTTTGATGAAACGACAGCAGTGAGAGGGGAGTTGATGCTCATTTCTTGTGTCTACTAATCTAGCCTCAACAACAGTGCATAATTTGACACTGCATGCTGCATTATCAAACATTATCCAGTAAAAGCTTTTGGAGGACCTCTGTAATACTGTAATTAAAGCTGTAAACTTCATCAAGGCTTGCCCCGCAAACGAGAGACAGTTAGCCTAGCTGTGCGAGGATGAAGCGCAGGTTATCTCAGGTTGTGCCATGAAGTGCTTTTTCGTTTCATTGAACTGCAGGGAACAATAAAGGAACTTTTGCAAGGTCACTGGCAAACAGCTGACAAGTGCATTTTAGATCAAAACAGCATAACAAGCAGACACATTCGGGCTGTGCAGGGAGACACATAAGCGAATGTAGGGCCTTGAATCCAACATTGTGCATGGTAAAAGAGGCCCTTGGTGCTTTTGTTTGCAAACTGGAGAACAGAGGTGAACAATGTTAAAGAGGGAGCTTCAACAGTGCTAATGAAAGTCTGATGATGCTGAGCATGGGTATGTACCACCCTTGGTGCCTACCATAGACTATGGACAACTTGGTTCCGCCTTTCGCCAGTTTACAGATTTGAAGCCGAAAAGCTCTCGGTAATAACGCAATTTTTCTCCACTTCCTAAAACTAACATTGTGCAGTAGCGTTATATGCTCTCCACCACTTGCGCAGTAGCATTGTACCCATTCGGCGGGAGAGTCACCAAGAGTCGCTGTGATGACACTCGGCTCAAACAGCGTATCCTGGGGTGAGCTATGCAATCTTAGTGCGCCCATAGGTTTCAATCATAGAAAACATGAACCCCCTAATTAAGTTTGTCCACAGCACTATAAGCTTTGGTGGAGGAGGCAGGATTATGACCTATACTGCAGCCTGTCACCAGAGGGTGCTGTTCTCAGAGTGGCTAAGCTCAGTGAGAAGCTGTCCATTGTATATACAATCTTTGTTGCCAATCCAAAATCCTACACTTTGATTAGCTATTGTTCTTATTAGAGGCAAGAGTTGTGTTGAAGCAGCTAGTTTGACTTTTTTGCACCAGACTGTTAGTTTCTTTCCTTATTGCTAAATGTAGCACTTTTTTTACATTAGACAAACATGTCTTACTGAATCTTTAGACAATTAAACCAAAAATATTTATAGGGTAAATGCTATCAATTTGTATATGTGTGTTCAGAAACCCTAGTTACCTCTGCTAACTTCAGTGCATTGGGTCGGCCACCTCAATCAAAACCCTTGGACCAGTTAGTGAAAAACCAATGGTCTCCACACTAAACAAGCTTTTTTGGAGCTGTTTCAGGGAGTCATGAGAGTTTATTGTCATTTTTATTCTTTTGACAGCCAAATAAAATTGAAACAGGTCCATTTTAACTCAGAAAAGCCAAAATTCTTGAAAGACATGCTTCTAAGTCCATAAAAATGTCTCAATATAAGATAACTTACTTACATCTGTTCTGCTAAATGCCGCTAAAAGCTACACATTGTACCTTTAAGTGTCACTTGTATGCGTTTCTATTCTGATTCTGCCTATTGAATGAGGTTGTGATTATAAAAGGAGCTTTTATAAGGGGAAAGTGGATCTGATGACCACCAGCTTGATGGGCAGATGGATTTATTAAGGGGGAAGAAAAAAAAAAAACCTCTCAGCTTCTCACTCACACCACAGCCCTTCCATCCCTCTCTGTCTCTTTCACTCATACTCACTTGTCAAATTTCTCGCTGTCTTTTGCTCACAGGCTTACCGACACATTATTGTGTGTATTTTCTCAAAGGGGAGAGAAGGAATGTGAGCCTTAGGCAGGCAGGCAACGTGTGTGCTGTGTTCCCTCGCAGTAATCAATAGATACTGTTGGAGTGGACAGAGAATAAATTAGAATACAGTGTTTGTTTGGAGTTTTATGTTTTATTGAATGACATTTGTACTTTACTGTAAAAAAAAACAGCTTTGCTGCTATGGTAAACATGATTGTTATGAGTGTAATGCAAAAACTTGCTCTTATTTCTAAGTTAGAAATGCATTATGGATGTGTTTTTTAATAGAAACAGTTATATAATGGTTTCTGAGAACAGCGTTTTGCAGTTCTATCAGGCTGCATTGTCAGCCATAGTGAAGAGAGCCACAGCATATTCGTGTTAGTGTGTAACTCAGCTATTCCTGTAACATATACATGGACCACTGTGGGGATGCTGGTCATGTGACCTAGAAGATGACACAGTTTTGCCAGGTGCTCAGGGCACGGCAGTCTCCTTGTTTTTCTTCCGGCACAAACCTTTGAGCACTTAAATATTTAAAACACTTGTGAAAGTTTGATGGGTCCATGGATGGCAGTGACTGTGAGAAAGAGCAGGAACAGAGGGTTGTTGGGAAGGATGTACTGTATGTTACGCTGAGGCTGGGAAATTTAAGAGAAGGATGTTGAAGCAATAAGTTGGTGAATTGTACATTCAGTATTAAACAGCTTTGATGAATATTTCCTAACATTTGGATCATTTTTTTGTTGCAGCTTTTGAAAAAAAAGAGGCTTGGTAAATTGAAAATCTGGGGAATTGCACTGCTGTTTGGATGAAATTTGAAATTTGAAGACGCCACCTTGGCCTCTGGGAAACATTCTGATGTCTGTTTATTTGTTTATTGGCAAATAGTGAAGCATATACACAAAAACTGGGGCAAATACAGCCATTACTTGCTGCTTTTTTGGCGATAATGATCAGAGACAGCTGTCACTGTCTCCGCACAAATATGTCTCATTTGTATTTTAAATTTGGTGTCGATGGCTCATGCTTGTCCCCAGAGCACTTACAGATTCTTCAATAGCATGAGGCAGACATATTTAGCCTTTTTATCTGACTACCCAAGTTATCAAAAAGAGAAAAAAACAAACTTTGATTAGCACACGAACAAGCAAACTTGATGGCAGATTCTAAAAAGTTTAGAAAACATGAATGATCATTCAAGGATAGACTTCAGGGATGTGACAGACGGAAACAGAGCTGAGGTGCATTTTGAAAGAGCTAATCAAACTGTTGTCTACAATCTTTTTCTAACCCAGGAGACACATTTGAAAGGGATGATACAGTCTCCGAATGACATAACACAACCTTTTAGGTGTTACATAACAGCTGTGATGAGAGCTGTTAAATGGTGGACTGCATTAACACCGTTGCTGGAAATGTCCCAATTCTTATTTTTTTGTTCCTCCTGGGCAACACAGGTCTGGTGTTTCTGTTTTCCTTGTAATCTTACTGTATGTGTTCATTTTGTACTTTGGGAACATGTCTGATCCAAACACATGAAGCTCTAGTCTGAACTATCTTATAGGGAGTTATCTGATATCGCTTCTTTCAATGGAATATCTGACTGTAGGTCTATATATATATGTATAAGTCCACACTTTAAAGGTTGGTTAATTTAAAAATTTCTCCTGTAGGCTATGTGTATTAAATTAAACTCACATAGCCTACAGGCTATGGATTACTGTGACATGTGTAAGTGCTTGTTCTTAAAGCTATCCAAATATGATCAGATCACTGAGGAGGCATGTTGAAACAAGATATATAAAAGACCCCGTAGACTCTGTAACTGTCCCCTGCTGTAGTTTTATTTAACTTTAACAACCTTTAGCTGTCTCTTTGTCTTTTTCATCACTTACTTTGGCCTTTACTTGCAGTCATTCATTGTACTTATCTCTGTGTACAGCAAATTGTTGCAATGAATTATTTTCAACTATGCAAGTTTTGCACAGAACTTCTTAATGATCACCATCGCTACACCTGAATCTATGTTAGTCGCACATGGTAAATAGTCATGTGACTAGACAAAAAAAAAAATCCACACATAAGCTGTCAGAACCAAACAGCCAGTGAGGTTGTGACATTATCACGCACAAAACGGCTCATCCCCACAAAATGCTATCAACAATTAAGAAGGTATTGTAAAGTATTTTGACCAAACCAAAACTGAGAATGACAAATGTGTACATCATCTAATTAACTAAACAGAAAAAAATGATCTTGCTGCCAGATATTGTTAGAGAGATTTCCTTGTAGAAATGCAGATACTGGAAATATAATGGGTAAAGCAAGTCGTGTAAAATGAGATTCTATCTCCCACCAGCAGCAGAACTGAAAGGGTTTCTGTCTGACTGCTGGTATCTTAGGGGCAGTAAACCCTTTATACGAGTCTCTATGTTCCCTAAATTTGCAACAATTTCAGACAAAAATCTCCACTTCTGGCTTGAAGTGCAATTTCGTAGCTGACAAAAATGACGGATGAATGGGGCTGCGAAATTTGGGTAGCAGCCGTGAGAGATTGTGGGGGAACAAAATTGCTCCTCTGAAAAGTTGTCCTGAGGCAACATAATATCCAAGTGTTTGAAAAAGCTTCCTGCTCATATTTTCCAGCAGTAGCAGATAAATAAAGAGCCACTTAATGCAAAGAACAGCCAAAGAACACTGAATTAGGTATGCGTACTGCAGGAAGGAAATATTTCCTACTCATATTTGAGAGAATCGGTGTGTTAGCTCACAGGCTTCACTTCCTTTCAGGCATGTTTCTGTCAAATTACAGCTGCTGGACAGGACACTCTGACTGAGGTAGTTTGTTTTTTCAGTTCAACAGGTAGCATTGGTGGATTGGTTTTTCACACCCTTGCATCATCCTCAGAAAGACTTTCATGAATGTATTTACAAGTGATAGATCTTTGTTCGTTTTCTGGCAAGATGGATCGAACATGAAATTAGTAACCTGCAGCTCATTGGACAACTGTTCTAGATGATTTATCCTCTTACATACTCTGTTGTTCGACATTTTTAGTGATATCTTAACCTATTCTTGTTTTCTCTTTTCCAGTTATCCGGCTGTATGCGAGTTCCTACAGAGCAATAACCTATTATCAATCATCCGAGCACATGAAGCACAAGATGCAGGGTATGTTGTTCACATAATCTTAAAAAGTTGCACATCATAGTCAAATGAAAATAAGAGGCATACTTGATGAAGAGAATGTGACCTGTCTTAACCTCCTCCTGTTAACACTTTAGCTACCGGATGTACCGCAAAAGCCAGACTACTGGATTCCCATCTCTTATAACCATCTTCTCAGCGCCAAACTACCTGGATGTTTACAACAACAAAGGTGGGAAAATCCCTTCATTTAAGACCCATTTAGGTTTCAGTTTGATTTGCTACTCTGTCACACGTCTCAATTTGTATCTGTATTCACAAAGGAGTGCTCTTCAGATACTTGTGTGCTTGTTTCATCTCGTTCAGGGCTCATTGCATGTGTGGAGCGTGAGTTTTAAAATAGCCAGCCTCAACTGAGGTTCCCTGATGGAGACCAACTTGGTAGCAGCACATCTGCTATTTAAAACACACACTGCCCTGCAAAATTAAAAGCGCTCATATTTTGAACAAATCCTACAATGTGCCTCAGACTTTATTAAAAGAAACATAAATTTTGCATGTCTGAGTGATATCACATTCCACCAATGAAACAAAGCTTGGTGAAATTAGGGAAATTGAAATAAATATATTCGTCCTATCCTCCTCATGTTAATTATCATGAGGGAACATGCCTTGAGAAATGCATTTACTGCTAAATTAAACAGCTAACAGTGGAGCAGTGTTGTGAAAGATTTGCCCCAATTCGAGTATCTCTGTAACACCTGAACCACTGGCAGTTTAGCAGCATCTGGGTTACATTTTAACACTTCAGGATGGACAAAAAGAGACTCCTCTGACTCCCAACTGAAAAGGCTTTCTTAACTCAAGGTGGATGGTATAGATGATCGTAAAACTGCGTTGAGCTCATGAGCAGGCAGAAGAATGCATCAGGGAGCCCTGTTTGTTTGTGTTCTCAGATCTGTGTCCTGGTTGCTATGGGCTATGGGAGATGGGGAGCGTGGGAGGGACTGTCGGCATCACTGACTATCTCCGTGTTGCTTTATCCCTCTTGATGTAACAGTGTCAGCAAACCCTGGCCTCAGCAAGGCCATCTAGTGGTTAAATATCTAATGTTCTGCTGTGTGTCTGCTCTGGAGCTGAAGGGGGGCTCACTGAACAATGAAAACAAAACACAGAGAACATGAATCTACCTGTATGTACAGATTTACAGTATGTGTTTAAAACAAGGACGTTCATGTGGCAATGAGAGTGGGAGGTACAAAGTAACAGTTTCATACAGAACGGTCTGACAGTTTTACACATGAAGTAGTTTTTTAAACTGCTAATTAAGTAAGCGGGTGCAAGAATTGATCAGTCTGAGTCTAAAGTTGCAGCAGGGGTCCATTTTAAGGGATATTCCTAACTTCATCAACAGTACATACAGGGTCCCAGCCAAAGTACTAAATTAGGAAAAAGTTAAACAGATGTTTGGTGGCTAGTGCTGTGGCTAGGACCCTATATGTATTGATGATAAAGTTAGGTGCTGTTCTGAGCATTATTTGTGGCTATAGAGTGGCATTTTGGTTGAGGTTTGTTTATGGCTCCTCAGACTGCTGTGTATCACTATCCTGCGGTCGTTACTAAAGTTGGTATAAATAGAGAAGCAAGCAGTCTGCAACATTCATCTCTCGATGGGGTGTCTAACTCGATGTTACAGTGTGTTTGACCCTAAATTGATTTTAAGCTGGAATATCCCTTTAAAGTCCAGTCAGACAATGCAAAACAAACCACACGAAAAGGAGACATCCTCCGATACAAATATGCCAGAAGATTGATTGCTCTGCTCATTTGCCTCTGTCCTGTAATGATATACAGCTTATTAGTAATGCTATATCAATACAGAGCAATACTTAGATGGATTTAACAGTTAAGGACTCAATGAGGAAAGATAAAGAGAGGAGATACAATCCATGTCATCCTCTTAAAGATACACCAATGACTGGACATGTCCATGGTACTTCTGAGTCACAGTGTAAGTACAGTTCTAATCCAAATTGTAGGAAGATAATGGCATTGAAAAATCCAGCTGTGTTTGCTGACAGACGTAACGGTGAGATCTGGTTATTTTTCCCTCTTCAGAATATATTAGTGTGAATATTTTAAAGGAAGAGAAGTCAAACAATGTTCTTATAAGATAACATTCTTATCATACAAAATCAACCTGCTCTTGTACAAAACATTGGCCCTCATGTTCACAATATGTGATTGAAAAGCCCACACAACACAACCAGGCTCCAACATCCAAGAGGATTCAAGGAAAGGTTTTGACTCTAGTGTTTCTCTTCTGCCTCTCATCAGCTGCTGTGCTGAAATACGAAAATAACGTCATGAACATCCGACAGTTCAACTGCTCACCCCATCCTTACTGGTTGCCAAACTTTATGGATGTCTTCACCTGGTCTTTGCCGTTCGTTGGAGAGAAAGGTATGGAGTATTTTCCTCTGACCTCCTCAATTCGCTCTCAATCTAATGATCTCTGAGGCTCAGTGACGTCACCTCTTTCCCTCACTCTGTTTCCTCCCCAGTCACAGAAATGCTGGTGAACATCCTGAGCATCTGCTCTGATGACGAGCTCATGAATGATGAAGATGAGATCTTTGATGGTAGGATGTTTAGTAAATAATGATTGAATAATTTATTCCTGTTATTTTCATGAGTGCATATGGGGTTTGAGTCAGACTCCATACAGCAAGTCAGGTCTTCCATGGAATAAAATCTGCAAAAACTGGGCTGTGCATTCATGCAGTTCATTTGATGTGTCGAGCATTGGTCTTATTTGTCACCAACAAGAAAGATCATCTTAGTATTTTATGCATCAGGGAAGCTTACATGCATTTCTCATGCATTATAAATGACAGCATCCATTGTATAAGAGTATATAATAAGAATACATATACATGTTTATCTTTTCAGCCAATGCAGCTGCAGCACGCAAGGAGGTGATCAAAAACAAGATACGTGCCATTGGAAAGATGGCCAAAATGTTCTCAGTTCTCAGGTAGAGTTTATGATTATATGTGAGCATTTATACTCATGTGAATGTTAACAAATGTTTCAACTGTATCAGGTTTGGATATTGGGTCAAGTGCTGTTGTCAAAGTGAGGGCATAAAGTAGATTTTTTTTTTCCAGTTCGATCGAGGTTGAGAGAATTTTTCTGACCTGTTTGTGTGTTTCCTGCAGAGAGGAGAGTGAAAATGTGTTGACGCTTAAGGGCCTGACGCCCACTGGCATGCTGCCGAGCGGGGTTCTCTCTGGAGGCAGACAGACACTGCAGAGTGGTGCGTACACACCTCAGCACAGGCCTTTTCTCTTCCCTGAGCTCCATCTTTATTTTGTTTCATTCTTCATCACCATTTTCAGTCCCACTGATGAGCTAATCTCTATCTTTCTTCCCCTCTACCCCTCTTACAAAAATGTAGAGTGGCCAGATACCTCTTTTTAGTGTCTTAATGCTCTGATCACATTTATACTCAAGAGGGAGGCACTAATGTTGCCAACCTGACCAAAGCTTACAAGACACAGCAAGAATGGCTCCTAAATTTTCACAGCATGTTCTTGCACATCCTGCACAAAACAGAATCCAACGGAGTCCAGTTTCTGACTTTCTCAAGCCTGTCATTCAGTTGTAACTTTAACAGGACCAGACTTTGGAACGGGATGTTTTCTGGTTTGGTTGTTGTTTGTCTGTAGCCTGAGTAGTACTGACCAAACAGCAGGCTGCAGAGTATACAGAAGAAAACAGTCCAGGGAGACAGAATGTAACAACATCCTGGTAATATTGGTAATCTGAGAAGAATTTATTCATCTCTATGAAGAGATGTCAACATGCAAGTGAAGAAACAACCTGTTCTGTATCAAAAAATTGAATTTGGGTGGTTTCCCTAAGAGTGTATTAAAAATGAGTGATCCAACCAACACCTCAGGATGTTGTTTTCTTCTGCTTCTGAGGATAACCTTTACAAATGATCATCTTGATGCTATTTTGTCAAAAATTAGACCAAATCACTGCAAGGAAATCACAAGAAAACTGGTTTCTTTACCAGTGCAGAAACCTCTTTGTAACTTATTTCATTCAGTGACACTGAAACTCACAGAAAACTATAATGAGCATTTATACTACAGCAGTTACTGTATATTCAGAGGATTTGCTTCAGATTTGATCTCCCAATCAGCTCTCGAGTCACTAATTGGATTGTAAACAGTACGGCACATGCAGAAGAAAATCTCAGCTGGTTGTTTTATTGCTGCCGGCTACACTGGAAAAATGTAAAAGTTGGCTATTATTCCCAGTGGCATATATGATCATTAGATGAAAGCTGGTGGGTTCTGAGGTTGAGGCTTGATCAAAGTCGGATCTGTGATGGTGTATTACAACTGGTATGCTCACAGAGATAGCAAAATACTCCCTTTTTCCAACACAACATGGAAAGAAATCTTTTTCGACTATCATATGCGATGCCAAAGTAGGTCATTTCTCTTCTCTTACCTTAGATGTATTACTAGAAGTCTCGTTTTTTTTGATAACTGTGTTTTATCTTGTACTCTTTTCTTTCACTCCCAACCTTTGAAGTACCTCTCCCCATCTATTGTTTTATCTTCTTTATTTTCTGAACTGATTCCATAGCTCTCTATTTAAACTAACTCTCGGTATTAATGCACGGCACTCATCCGACTTTGGCTGCACTACCAGTGAACATGTATTTCTCATCTGGCCTAACATGAGCCACCTTTTCGCTGGGGCTGCATTTTACATTTGCATGGCTTTATCAGCAGTAACCTGCTCCCCTCCTCCCCCCTCAGCCACCATTGAAGCCATTGAAGCCATCGAGACGCAGGATGAGGACGGAGAAGGTAAACCTGTGCTCCTCCTTCAGCCCTTCTCAACATGACCCTCCAACCAACAACTCACACAATAACAACTCCATCAAGTCACATTCAACGGGATTGGCAGCACTTTTCTTTGCAGTAGTATTAATTAAAAGAAAGAAATCACACTGCATTTATAGTTTTAGATAAGAAGAAAGGGAATCCCAATGGACTATAACTATAATGAAGCCATAAGTTGAAATCAGTTATTAGTAAAGTAGGACACCTAATGCACAGAGGGGATTTTTATCTTAAATGAACCGTTTTATAATGGGGTCCCAAAGAGAAAGGATCTCATAATTTTCAGTATTTTTAGGAGAGGAAGCTAGTGACGGGTGATGGCATATCAGTGTTTGGTAAAGACACAAGTACCAAGGGTGATTATTTAAATTATGCACTTTGACAGTAGCACAAGTCTGGTGATGAGTAAAAGAAATATATATATATTTTTTAGGACATTGAGTTAAGTATGTGATAAAATGCTGCAAAGTTAATTGCTGCTACGAGATGCATGACTTAAAACACCATTGTTTTGGGTTCGGCTTGTAAATGACCTTACTCTGGTTCTAAAATATGCTGCATGCACAAAAGCAAAGACACACACCAGAGTCTCGACATGAAATATGCATCATGAAGCTTCAGTTGCTCGGGATATGTCTCAGGTATTTTGCTCACTTATGAAGCCTCACTATTATCTAGCAATTCACAGCACCAGTATAAGTGACAGTAATTTAGGATCTTATGTATATTCAAATTTTATTTTGATTTAATTTCCTTTGGGACTTTATGCTGGCTTGAAAATTGGGAGAACTAATAAATTTGTAAACAAAATGAGGTAGGAGTTATACTTAATGAAAGACCGTTTTACACTTGTACCACCAACATGAAATGAAAGGCTTTTAAAAATGCAGATGTCAGAGAGATCTTGCTGTTTTTTAGGAAACAGATTTACAACTTAATTTCTTTTTTTAATGTATGTAATTGGTAAGTGTTACAGTCGTTCAATAATCACATGGAGTATTTGAAAAGTCAAACTGCAGTTTAGGTTTTAAGTTTCTATTACCGAACAAAACAACTATAAGTGAACAGCCGGTACAGTAGGTAAGTGCAACTCAAAACATACATTTTTAAGGTAGGAAGAGTCCATGAATTATCAACAATATTATTTGATCATATGCTGCATCAGAGCCGGCCCAAGCCTCAATGGGGCCCTAAGCACAATTTGATTTTGGGGCCCCCTATTTCTGCCAATAATATTGATTGTCGATTATTCACACACCTTCACAAATCTCTTTGATTAACATTCCCTGTCATGCAAACATACCTTTATTTTGGCGTTTTTTTTTTTCTTCCTCTTTCTTTTCTCTGCTCCTGAAGGACATGTCCTTTTTTGTGACATTGTTTTGCCCGACAACTACCTGCACTTTAGATGCTCAGTGCACGTTGCACAGCAGGAGGCACATAACGGTAGCGGAGCTTTGACATATCAGCAGTAAGAATCATAGGCCTACATCAGCGGCAGCACTAAAATATTTTTACTTTATTTTTTCAATAATATATACAATAATATATATTTGATCATACAGAAAGCATCACTCATACATGCAAAAATATATATATATATTTTTGATTGCTCTTGGAGGCCCCCTATTGGCTGCGGGGCCCAAGTAGGCCCTTAGTTCGCATATGCCTTGGGCCGGCTCTGTGCTGCATAAAATGAAAGTTTAATTGTCTGTCTTCATACAATGACAACAAAGTGCCAACAATTTCAGATGTCTATTTTCTTGACTTAATGAATAAGGGCACATACAGAGCAGCCAGGGATAGAGCTGCAGATTAGCCACAACTAAGTATACTGTTCATCTTGATTGTACTGACAACTTTTATATTTTTATATACAAAGGCCAACTACTGTGTCATATTGGGTCAGCTTGTTGATAAATCATCAAGACCAACTTTTATGTGCTGTCTTTATTGACTAAAAATGTATTATTAATAAAATTATATTCCATTAGAAACCATTAGTTTATTGGAGCAGTATGTAGTCATCCCTATTTAATCATAAAATTAAGCCTTTAGGAGGCTTTTTAGCTATCCAAAGAGACCCTGACCCTCTGGACTCACGATTTTTTGAGTTGTGATGTTATAGAAATCCCAAAGGACCTTTTAGGGAAATATACTAATTCAGGTTATATCAACCATTAATTTTTACTGTATCCTCATATATGTGTTTTCCTCTTTTCAGCCATCCGTGGGTTCTCCCCCCAGCACAAGATCACCAGCTTCGAGGAGGCGAAGGGTCTGGACCGCATCAATGAGCGCATGCCCCCTCGCAGGGATGGGGTGAACCACGTCGGTCACTCCATGGGGAAGATGAATATGTCAGAGGCCAACGGCACCGATGACAACAGCAACCTCCAGTGATGCGCTGACTGAGCCTCACAACCGTGCCGCTGTCAAGCTGTGCAGCAAGACATTGCCAAATCGGGAATTCAGGCCTCAGAAATAACCAGGCCCATAGACAGAACATGAAATCTGCAGCAAATCTTCTCTAAATGGCGAAAAGGTCATTTTTTTCATGATGGTATGTCATCGCACAGATTGGGGGAAGGGGGAGCAGAAGGCAGAGGTAAGGAGAGTCCAGCAGGCTGCGGCGTGACTGAAAAAGTGTGGTTGAAAGATGTTTCAGCCTGCTGTTCCTTTTCTTGCGAGAATTACAGACTGAATTGTTGGGGGTTGTGTTGCACCGAATGCTGACAAACGTCTGCTCCTTCAGTGCAGGGCCTGACAGATGACATAATTGCAGTATCCATGCCACATGAATCATTTTACAGTTTCCTAAGTGTTAATTATGAATCACTCACGAGTTCACTTCATGAGGACACTAATCTTGTTTACCTTCATGTTTTGCTAGTATTAACGAGTCACACCGATTTATGAGCAAGAAGGCAAAAAGAAAGGAAGCGAACTGTGTACCTCTTAATACTCGCAGTGCAATCTTACCAGTGGACTTGAACTTTATTGATTTACCTTGTAGTAAGATGCTGCCGTGCTGAAAAGGGAAAGAGGACAGCGTGCTGTTGTGTTGTTACTGCTCTTGCTGGGACCGTCCCCATACTTTCCAGGACTGCTCCTTTCCTCCCCTCCCTTGTTATCAGTCATCTCCTAGCAAGAGTTTACTTGGAGGAGACGAGGAAAGAAGGGGAAGGGAAGAAAAGAGCTGATGGAAATTTTTAACACCAGATTCAACATCAAAATATCAGCGCAAGAGTAACAACTTACCACACATGAAGAAGCAGCTTCATCAAAGTACATAGGTGAATGTCAATCCAAACCATCCTAGAGTTATATTTTAGTCCCCCTGTTTTAAAAGTTGAAGTGCACATCATCAAAGCATGGCATTTGTTAATACTATACCTCACACGTGCAAAATCATGCAATTCACTCTCTGAAAAGTGTACACCTTAGCATCCTCTGCTGAAGATCGGATAGTGTTTTTTCTCATCTTTTCGGCATTGCTGCATTGATCTCAAGTTCCTGGATCACAGGGAAAACGAGAAGATGCCATTTTTGAACTTCAGGACGAACTTTGCTGTTACACACTACCTGATTATTTCTCACGTACTTGTTGCTGAAGAGAAAGTGAAAGAAAACATAAGCGCTCTGAGTTTTTTCACTTGTTGCGAGGCTGCGACTTCAATGAGACTTTATTCCCAAGAGCTAAACAAAGAAAAACAGTATATTTGTGAAAAAGTCTGTGGATTAACACAATTTAAATAGCTGTTGTTTAAAGAGACATCTTCATACTGTTGTACCATTGAAATAAGCAGACTAAGATTTATTCAGATTTGATGAAGTGATGTGAAGAATGTATCCAGAACTGAAACTCTGATTAACTGCAAATTCAGATAAGAAATGTTACATATTTTCTCTAAAACTGATCTTGATTGGATTGAAAGTTGTTAACAAACTAACTGAATCATTGATTTTTGAATCCTTCATATTAACATCTCAGTGTTTTAACATGAATTGTTTCATATGAACTTTTCTCATCCAGTTCCACCTCATCATAAGAGAAACAGGCTATGAAAAATGCCACTGTCAAGTGCAAACACACTGTGATCCAAATAAAACATTGATTGTCATATTCTAGTAGTAGGCAGGAAATATAACATAAAGCAAAAGTCCATTTGTGTTCTACATTGCTGTGATGCACTAAACATGTCACTTTGACAGATGGAGAGAAGAGAGACAAAGTTAAAACAGAGAACTTTCTGGTTCTTTTAAAACAAATTTTTGGAAAAGGTTGATGGCAGTGAACCCCCAACCTCAAATGACACATCCTATCACATAAATTTCTAGAATTTCCTTTAATACATTAGTATTTTTTCTACTTAATATTTCATCTTCCTATTAAACAATAAAGGTATGTGAATTAAGGGTGGAAAAGATGATTTTTAACACAGCATCTTTGGTATGGAACGCATCAATGCATGCAATTAAGTTCCTAATTGTCATGTGAGATTATAATTGTGATAGTTGTGTTTCAAATAGTAAACTTGAATTATTTTATTTTTTAAATTATATTTGGAGTTCTATTTGTCTTGTTTTATAACTTTTATAAATAGGCTTCCTTTAATTGTTTTGGTTCATTTTTTTCAATCTGTTATTTATTACCACTGCTTTTAATTTTATATCGATTTATTGTATGCAGAGATGCCCTTTTAAGGTGTGAAGCCTTGTGTTAATTTCTTTTTCTGTTGTACTGATGTACAGAAAATGTTCAATAGTGTGAATGAATATAATCTCAGTGAAAAGCAACTTTCAGGCTGCCAAAGCATGATAGCATGGTTTTCAGATGTAAATGAATTGGACACACAGAAAATCATGTGTCGCACTTACATTTAACAGGAAACATTGTACTCTGGTTATATTAAATGCTGATATTATTATTGTTAAAATTTAGCTTATGGTTATTTTCCTTCCTCTGTTTCTGGTTCTTGTATGGTCTACATGCATATTTCAACAAACAAATGTTATGGATTTTATCTTGCAACATTTTTTATTATCTATGGAAATATGTTTTCGCATTTGACTTCCTAAATGATACACACATTGTAAGCATGCCCTATGGGACAAATCACATTTTTTTACTCTTGAATAAAATATGCATGAACAAAAGTGTGTTTTAATGCTTTTTTTCAAAGATGTAAGCATAAATGATGACTTTGATTTTTGCCCCTTCAAAAGTGCAGGTAAATGCCCTTAGAAGATGAACAATTGTTTTGCGTATTTTCATAGACATAGACAACCAAGATTATAACCAAGAGTGTAACTTCCTATAAGCGTATTTCTCTGTTTTACTCTACTTTATCTCATAGTTGAATCAATCTGCCCTCAAGTCCTGCCCAAAAGTGCAATCATCATCTTTGTGATCAAGTGTCAGAAAGACACATGGCAAAGTTAATATATGAACTCTGTATATAAGAATAAGAACTTTATAATTCTCCGAAGGGAAATTCAATTGTCTGTGGTCTCACATAATATGTCTCGAAAAGTTATCGATTATTTACACAAGCGTTATAAAGCCTGATGGCTGATGGCATTATTCATATAATGTAAACACTTAATTTAATGCTTATTCCATTTTTTATATATTTTTCTGCTTTGTTTTTGTTAGATTTATAAGCTAATTTAAATCTTGCCCAATCTCCCAAAAGTCCACTTGAGCTATATCAAAAAATATGTATAATTCAAATAAAATACAGTTTTAACTTTTTTTAAATTGAACTTTTTTTTAGATAATATTTTTTAAATTAATTTAACAACAATATTCACAATAAACATAATATAAATAGGGAAAATGATAAGAACAAAAATACAAAATATCCTTCCGTCTCCCTTTTTGCCAGTACACACAGTAAAATAAAGTAACGTCATGGTAAAATAAAAGGAAATAAAACATGTTTTGTTAGTAATTCCTACCAGAATCACTTGAATGCATCATTATGTGGAAACCCTGCCTCTAAAATCAGTGGGCCTTGAATGCAGCACCACCACTGACCTAATTGTGCACCTGCTGATGTTATTCAATATGGCGCTTAATGCTACTTACAGTTTGATGATGGACTGTAAAATATGGACGAATAAAATTACTTTATCGAAGTAAACAACCAAGAAAAAAAATACTTTGTAGTATTCTCAGTGGCGTTTATATATTTTAGTTTTTTTTAGCTAGCACAACAGGATGTGACGTTGTGTGTCCTACCGCCTCCTTCCCTCCTGTCTGTTACAGCTAAATGGTGTAATGTAGCTGGGTAGCCTTTTACACCGTTATAAAAAAAAAATAGAAAGCAAAAACAGTCCATTTATTAGACTTTTGCATAATATGGCCCAGCTGCAGGCCAGTGAGCAGCAGCTGACAAAAACCATCATCATCATCTGAAAAAGAAAACTGGATCCTGCGGAGGACTGTGAGTGACTGCAGGCTCGCGCTGGGGCTAACGTTACGCAGCTGCCTGAAACCAAAGCTAACGGCTATCAAGCGTTAGCAGATAAAGCTAACCCCTTGGACATATGATATAGGTGCAGTTAAACACAAGGACAGACCTCTGTAGACAGCGACCCGGGTAGGAAAAGATACCCTGCTGTGACGCTGACATGGACAAAGCAGAAGCAGACCGGCTGATAGAGAAGGCGAAGCTGTGTTTACGGTCAGGACGGAAAGACCGGGCGCTGCAGCTGCTTTATGAAGCCCAGAATATTTTCCCCAGCACCCGGGCCAGAGGTAAAATTAGCTCCACTCTCTCTGCAATGGCAGTCTGACTATCAGACATGAAGTTAACTGGGTAACTTGTCTCAGCTTGTTAACTGCTGCCAATACATTATCATATTTCAGGTGGGTTGCATAGATTGCTATTTTCAGACAGGACAAAAATTAACCATGTTGCTATAACTCAAAGCTCCAGGTTGTTCAGTGCTGGAAAAGTCTCCCGTCCCCCTTTGCACACCTCTCAGGTTGTGGGACATTGCTGTGTTAGAACCTGCATTTTTCTATTTGCTTAAACTTACTTGATTATTTTTGCATTAATGGTGCTCATGACCAGATTAGTTTGAACTCAACGTAGCACGTGATGCATATAATCACAACCGCGATTGGACATGGAGGAGTGAAAACCTTGATGGAAAGTACTAAGTCCCTCTACTTTTGATGTTTGTAAGAAGTGTAAGAAAACTGAATGCCACTAGGTGAACTTTATTTAAAATGCCTTGCTCCAGGGCACAAGTAATCAATGATCTAGGGCTGGGCAATAAAACGATAATGAGATATATCGAAAATTATTTTCCCTCAATATCAATATAAAACACGGTCAGTATGCGTTTCAGTAGTCGGCATTTTGCCATGTTTTGGTAGACTATACAAATAGTCAATGAAAATGGGAGTTGCTCCAGGTCGCAGATTTTTTTTTTTTTTTTTTTTTTTGTAGGATGGTCGGGGAAAGTCCCGCCTTCTTTGCCTCTGATTGGCTAGAAAAGCTGGAAATGTCATCACATGCTCAAGCCAAACGTGGGCTGTCGGCTCTGTACATCGAACAGAACATTACAGAACATTATCGCACTTCTGAATCTACTAACCCTAACCCGACAGACGATAAGGTATCACAGCCATAAGGAATAACCAATCGGAACCCAGCACTTCAATAAGAGGCGAAAGAGGGCGGGACCTTGCCCTACCATCCTACAAAAGAAATTTGCCTACGGGTCCGCTTCATGCTGAACCAATCATGTGCTAAATGAGAACCAAGTAGCAAACAACTGCGTGGTAGCAGGCTGCAGCTACACGAGATGCAAGATACTAAGTTCAAAACAAGATTATATTTATGATTAGTTATTACCAACACAAAAGAAGTTGACAACAACCACAAACAATCAAAATCGTAATCAAAGCAATCTGAAAAGCACTCAGATGTTTTCCTTAACTTTTCATCTCACAGTTCTTTGTAAACAGCTGACAGTAAAACATAAACAGTCACTTGTTTGAAAAAGATTGACAACAAAATTAAACATGTTTACAGCTTTGTAAAAATGGGAGGCGTAGTTTTATAGCCCAGTAGTTTTGAAGATATTAAGGTTAAGGCTTCAGCTAAGTAAGAGGTTTGGCTGATTTGACTGCCAAGTGGGAACACGGTTGCTAATAACCAGCTCAACTCCAGCTCTTGTTCTCTTGCTAAGTTGACTGAAGTTAGGTTGAAAGTATGGCGTCCCTTGTTGATGGGCTTCAGAAACCAGTGGGTGACTTAACTTAGACTGTGTCTGTTTTTTATACAGTCTATGGTTTCTACTGACAGCCAAACAATCCTCCCTCCATCTCAAATCAAACAAAAAACAGACCCACTATCAGGTGGGTCAGCTATTGTGTTGAAATAATATGAGACTCAGTAACTGTTAGTGCCCCGTCGTGTGACTTAATTTTACATTTTCACAAAACATTTGGTGAACCATGAAGTTGATTGAACCCAGAAATTTAATCCCATGAGCAGCACTTTTAGCTGAAACACGAGACAAAAGGCTGAATTAATAGCACAGAGTTAATGGAGTGGTCTGAGACGACCTCCTGCAAGTGTTTTTTTTTTTTTTTTTTTTTTTTTCAGATATTAGCAATGTACTCCTTTTGATGATAGTCTTGTTTTCCTTTTTTAGGTTAGTACTTCTTTACAAAATTGCCTTGGGGGAGTTGGGGGGGGATGTTTTCACAGATTCTACTGTTCTACTGCCACTGTCTTAACAAAATGTATCTCTGGACATCGTGCAGAAAACCTTTGAATAAGGATCTGATATTGATATTGGACCAATTAATATTGGAATATCAGATTATATCGGTCTGCATCTAAAATCTCCAATATCAGCTCTCTGTTACAATCAGTCCATTCCAGACTCTGCTCCGGCACCTCCATCTAGCAGCACCCGGATCCAGCATGCAGAGCCCATGTAATCAAAACAACATTGTGTACTAAGGTACTAACAAAGTAGCAAGAAGTAGGAGTGATGTCGGCTGTAAGGCAGTATTTTTCATCTAATTCTGAAAAATAAGTTGTAGTTGAGTGCAAAACTTGTCATGCACAAGTTTGTGCTAGTATTGGATCAATATTGGTAACGGCCAGTACCAACGGCTACAATATCAGTATTTTATTGGAATTAAAAAAGTTGTATCTGGACACTCCTACCTTTAAATAAAGTTACTGTTAGTTGTCTTTCTTTAAAGTCATCCTTCTGTACAATTAGGGCCAACCAAGTAGATTCCATGTCATGTACCATAACATTCAATGGGATTTGTATTGCCAGCTGACCTCCCATCCTGTGCTCTTGTGTGCAGTACTCATAGATGCCATCATAGGGAATGAAGGCCCTGCTTCTCCAGAGGCAAACCACGTGCCCCCTCCAGCAGGCTGGAGAGACGAGGACATCAGAGACAATGAGAGGAGCAACGCAAGTAGTGATGACAAAAAGAGCTACACCGAGGATCAACGTCAGGGTGTTTCCAGGTGAATGATGAATCTTGAAATTGACTTTTACGTTTGCCTTTCAGCCTTTTATGAAGTGGTGAACTGATGGCTGCCTTGTCCAAGAGTTTAGACAAGTTTTTCCTACTCTTGCTATTCTTGAACATCTGTTAGCAGTGTGCCTACAAAAACATATAGATTGAACATGGGAAGACTAATGTTTACGTTTGCTCGTCATTACTTTAATATTTGTTTGAATTGGCTTTTGTTTTGATATCCATAATGCTCTCTTACTGCAGAATAAAGAATTGCAAGGACTTCTACGAAATCCTCGGTGTTTCCAAAAATGCAAGTGATGAAGATTTGAAGAAGGCATACCGGAAGTTGGCCCTCAAGTTTCACCCGGATAAGAACTTTGCTCCAGGAGCTACAGATGCTTTTAAAGGTAAGAGGTTTTACAAACAGTATAGAATTATGTCCTTTTTTTTTCATGCTCTGCAGTGATGGCGGTATATTTTTAATTGTTCTTCTTGTTGTATCAAAAAATAGTTTACTGATTGCTGAACACTGTCATGTAAACTCAAGGAAATAAGCTTTTCTAGTGTCAGACACTTGACCTGCCAAATCAGAAGTTATGGACGATTAAAAAAAAAAAAAAAAAAACCCTCATGCTTGTGATGTTTCATGTAAACAGATATCAACAAGGTAGAAGGTTCATATAGGCCATCCAGTTGTGCCAGTTTTCACTAGGTCCAGAAGTCCTTGGTTAAGATGTAGACTCTATAATGCCTGAGGTGCAAAAGGGGGTCAAAGGAAAGGGTGATATCTCTGTTTTGGAAACAAAGGGAACTTGGTCACTGTAGTTCTTCCTGTTTTAGAGGAGTAAAGGTGCATTGCGTAGAAATTTGAATATTTAGCAATACCTAGCAGTGAGATTCTAAATTGAAATTCTTTGGTACTCTCCCGTATTTCAGACCTATCTGCCGCCCACCTCCCGTATTGTCATTTCTCCCGGGAATCTCCTGTAGTTTGCATGGTCCATGTTCATTCATGAATCGGATCACAATATCACACTAATATTAGTGGACTATCTAAGTTCAAGGCATATCATAGCTATACGTTTTTTTTATTATCATTTGTTATTGTTAAAACAAAACAAAAAAGTGTGACGCTTCACTTATACTTATTTAGATGAGCAATTTAATTATAAAAACTCTCAAAATTGGCTCATATCCACCATACAAGGTAACCCCAAAAATTTCCTGGATTTTGTAACCCAAATGTTGGCAGGTATGCTCATAGTAGAGCCAATTAAGAAATGTTAAAACCCCATGCATCCATTTACCACAGTTTGCACACAAAAAGTAGTCTTCTAAGGGTCAGTCGATTCTGTCCTGGTTTTGCAGGGTAAGAAGTTCATGCTTTGGCTTTTGGCGTCACAGTGAAATTGCTTCTGGATCACTGAAGGTGCAGCTGTGCTCCATGTGAAATCAAAAGGCAACAATGATTCACTTGAAATCCAAAACCACAAGTTTTTTTTAGCCTGACTGAGTCTTTTATTGCCTAAACCAAAGGAAAATTCTGCCACAGTTTTACCAACTTAGGGAAGGTGTATGTTCAAGTTTCAAAACCAAAAGTACTTTATGAGGCACAGAAAAACTCACAATTCTCCCACTTTGACAGTGCATTCAGTCTTTTTTGTCTTAGCATTCAGTGAAATGCTCTAGATTATCCTTTAAATGAAGATATTAAAGTTGTACATATTTCCCAGCATAACATTGTGTCCTATTTCAGAGGTGAACTACACTCGAAGTCATAAGTTTTCCATGTAGTCTTCTGGGTTGCAGCTGTACCAGAGATTAAGTGAAAAGGAACAAGACTCCAACTCTGCCCTTTTCAATATTGATAATCAGAAAAGCTTTGATTTAACTTAAGATGAATTTAGAATTTGGCACGAGGCCTCCTCAGGCTTAAAACTTTAAAAGAGCGGGTTAAGTAACAACATGTTGTGTTATAGTTTTGCCTGTGCTCCAGCCTCCCCGGTGAAATGCTATGTGTTTAGACAGTCTCTTTGAAAATCGGTGCTCATGCTGTAGCCCACGACTAGCCAGCTGGATTTGACACGAAGAAACAAAAAGTTGTCATGTTGCTATTTAATATTTGTTTTAGAAATGAGGGATGGGGTTATCAAAGTTCAAGGTTTATAAGTACAAATTGCCTTCCAGCTAATTCGGATTTACTTCGGCCACAACTGAATGTCTCCTTCCTCTCCCGCCAGCAATAGGCAACGCATACGCTGTGCTGAGCAACCCAGAGAAGAGGCAGCAGTATGATCAATACGGAGATCAATCCACAGCCTCGAGTGCACCCCAGCACTCCAGCCACAGTCGCCATGGATACCACAGAAACTTCCACAGAGACTTCGAGGCGGACATTTCCCCAGAAGAACTCTTTAACATATTTTTCGGGGGAAGATTCCCAACAGGTGAGCGTTGTTGTTGTTGTTGCAAGTGTTAATTTGGTGGATGAAACTTTGTCTGAATGAACAGAGAAGTAAAGATACTGTAAGCTCACCGCCTGGGTTTTCATTTTAATGATCGATCGATTCATAATTAAGTTTTGTGAAAATGAAAATAGATGTTTGAACAGTATTGAAAAAGCTTGTCTTGGTTAATAATCTCAAGGAATCACACGACAGCCTAGTGAGTCATAAGTGGGCAAACTGGACATTTTCAGAACTTTTATGTCAAATGAAATCCTCTCTAATAAAGCCACCTCTGATTATTATCTGAATTATTGTGTTCATGCTGGTTGGTTGTAGTGTGGGGATATCATCTTGTTTCTTAGTATGAAGGTGCAGATTTTGTAAAAACATTTGTGTGTGTATCTTTCTGCAGGAAATATCCACGTGTACACAAACCAGGGAGCCTCCTACTCTCAGTTCTATCAGCCTCGTCGTCGACGTGCTTATGAGAGGCGCGAGGAGGTGGTGGAGGACAATCAGAGTCAGGTCAGTGACTCACAAACATAAATGCATGCTTAAAAAAAAACAGCACCATGTGAAGATGTTATTCATATCTATCATTAACATACACTCTAGACTTTAGATGATGCATTTTTTTAACATGGCTGCTGCCCTGTAATCACTGATTCCAAAATATCCGACTTGTTTTGTTCATTTATTGCTTTGGGAAAGAGTGTTTTGCCCCAAAGACACACAAGTACTTTGCTGGCATGAGTACAGTGGATCAGTGCAGCCTACATACAGTATAATACAGTATGCTTTGTAATCTGTGCTGATTTTATCTTCCCACAGAACACCTTCACAGCTCTCCTGCAGCTGCTCCCTGTGCTAGTGCTAATCCTCATATCAGTGTTTACTCAGATGATGGCTACTAACCCGCCCTACAGTCTCTTCTATAAGCCGTGAGTCTGTCCTAACATCAGCCTTTTCAACAAATCTTGCTGGTCTGATTTGGTGGACGGTTAAGTGTCACTAAAAATGTTTAAACACTGTGTGTTTCAGGGCCATGGGGCTAGTGGTATCTAGGGAAACACAGCACATGGGTGTACCATACTACGTGGATAAGAGTTTTCAGAAGGAATACCGCGGAGCTGCACTAGATGAACTAGAGAAAACCATTGAGAATGACTACATTGAACATCTGCAGAGCAGCTGCTGGAAAGAGAAACAGCAAAGTAAGCATGAAGCTAAATTGGCCATGATGTTTACAGATTTGTTAAGCAATTAAAGGGATATACCGGCGTAAAATTAAGCTAGGGTCAAACACACCGTAACACAGAGTTAGACACCCCCTCGAGAGATGAATGTTGCCGACCTCTTGCTTCTCTAGTTATACCAACTTTAGTAACGACCGCCGGATAGCAATACACAGCGGCCTAAGGAGCCATAAACAAACCTCAACCAAAACGCCACTCTATAGCCTCAAATAATGCTCAGAACAGCACCTAACCACATCAACAGTACATATAGGGTCCTAGCCACAGTACTAGCCACCAAACATCTTTTTAACTTTGCCTGATTTCATTAGCAAAGAGACTAAACACAACTCACCCACTCTCTTCCAGCAGCCGCTTGTTTGTACAGAGACCTCAGGCGAGTCCATTACCGCAGCGGGGGGACGCAGCTCAAGGAAGAACATTTATGATCATTTCTTTATCATTTCCTTGAAGTAATAATCATCATATTAATCATTTTGCGCTGCAGATGTGGTAGTTCTTCTGCCTTAGGGTCTCGGTCTGATTGTATTTCCATGAAGAAATTATCATAAATGTTCTTCCTTGAGCTGCGTCACCCTGCTGCAGTCCGTAATGGACTTACCTGAGGTCTCTATACAAACAAGCGGCTGCTGGAAGAGAGTGGGTGAGTTGTGTTTAGTCTCTTTGCTAACTCTGTGTTGCGGTGTGTTTGACCCTAACTTAGTTTTACGCCGGATTATCCCTTTAAGAATGCTATCAGAAACCTACTTTTTGCCAGAGTATCAAACCACAGAAGTGAAATGTGCTGATTGCTTCAGTATGATGTGTATGATCAGGTTGTTCTCGGCATTACTTTTGCTGTCGAGAATCAAAAACCTTAAACCCTTGTGCCTTCCAATCTGATGCCAGTATTTGACAAAAATGGGTAGAAATATATTTATATTTTTTGTAACTAACGATTATCAATAAAGCTGACCTTTAACCCTGCTTATTTCTCTCCAGAGTCAGACCTGGCAAACCTGGGACAGCTGTATCGAGATGACCGCTTAAAGCAGAAAGCTGAGTCGATGAGGCTCGACCACTGTGAGAAACTGCATCGACTGATAGGGCGTCAGAGGGGCAAATAAAGACTGTTTGAGGGGAGTTTAGGTTTCTTTACAAGCTGTACAACACACATTTTACTCAAATGTCTAATTTATCCAATCTGGCCAGGATGTAAAGAAATCTCTTTGTGGTACAGCGCAGTCAGTGGGAGATGATACTGATGAAAAATGTGCCTTCTCTCCTCCTCAATGGTAGAAAATAGGAGTTGCATGTTGGCTGCCAGCTGTGGCAGCAGCACTGAACGCAAGCTCACTGGGGCAGTGTGTACGATGTCTCCGAGCCTTTAGACTTTCTTATAGAAATGGTACGACATACAAGGTCCCCCTTTTGGGTCATGAAGGCAGTTATGTACTCACATGGAAATGTTTTATTTGTGCAGTTAATTTATTTTCTTGAATGTGTTCATGTCTACGCTGAAATTATAGGTCTGTTTGTTTATTTATTAGTTCATGGAGTGAATGTTACTGGAGCAGCTTGGGTCATACTTTTTCTTAAGGCAGGATTTCAGTACACAGGCTAAAACTACACTGTAGTCTTTGGACTAATGGTGGCAGAGCTTCTGTTCTGTGAAAGGAAAGAGGACCTATTATTTATTCTCAACACAGACACTGTCAATGGTTTTAACCACTGAATTGTTGTTAATCAAACAGTTCGACTTCTGGCACTGTAAAAAAAAAAAAAAGAGGCAATGTTGGAAAAAAGACATTTTCTAATTGAACGTTTTCTTTTAAAAGGCTCTCTACAGCTTACACAAGTGTTAATACTGGTCCTAAGGAACATCAGTTATGTGGTAGAAGAAAAGGTTTTTGATTTTTCATTTTCATTTGTAAAAAGTAAGGAATCCACTTCAACCAAAAAGACAATTTGAACTCCTGCACAGTTTTTCTGACGGACCTTGAAGAAGTGGAGAACTCAGTTGTGATTGGTCTTTGTTAGGTTACCAGACGAAAATGGTATGCAGTATCTTCCTTTCCTCAACCATGCACAATTTTAAACGTTTTTCTACACAGAAGAACTTTTTATAAATGCACCTTTTGACTTATTTAAAAAAAGGCACACATTTCATATCATGATTTAACTTTTAACAAAGGTAGTTGTTCAATTAATAATCAGAAACAAATTAAACAAATTCAGACAACTTTCTTGGAACTAAGATGCTTTTCTTTTGTCATCAGTGGGAAGCTGTATTCGCAGAGCTGATAACTTTCTTTTTTTACACTGAACCTGGATCATTCGAACGCCTCACAGACATTAATAGTTGTTGCTGTGCACTAAGATTGCCAAACTGCCTTAGCTGTTCTCAGACTTATGAATTATTCAGGTTCATTTCAAGCACTTTTAGGTTAATATTTAATCCTGTGTTCCATGTTGTTCATGTTGCATGCAGCCCAGTGAGAGTGTTTTATTAGTTACATGTTTATTTCATGTGAAAACATCTTCATGACTACCGATGCATTAAACAATGAGAATATTCAGGTCCACTCTGTAACTCACAAACATGTTGAACTCTACCTGTGACACACACACACAAATCAGGTTTTGGTATCGGTGAGTGTGGTAGTGCACTTCAGAATCACTACAGAATTCAGTTTTAAGCCAAAAATACCAGAAAATTAAACATGTATACAGAAAATGTGAAGGTTTGACTTGTTTGTTTGCATAATCATAGTGGTTTTACTCTCTGAATGCTCCATGTACTTGCCAGCTGGAGATGTGGGGGGGTCACAGACATTTGATGGTTATTCATTAATTTTATTTTTTAAGTGGTACCTGGCAGTTTTAAATGTTGAATTCGCTTCATTAAGGCTGATCATTCAGAAACTTGATGCTAGTTTCATATTTCATTCAGTAACTGTTCACTTTTATGGACACTGCACCACTATCTCCTTCGACTGTAAGACCTTTTTGATGGGAGACCCAAGGCATGTGCAGAAGTGAAAAGGCGAGTTCAGCAACTGGACTGACTTCACACCCCATTATCTGAGCAAAACACATTTAACTCGCAGATAAAAGGAAAATCCCTCAGGTTGGTACAGTCCACAGCAGAAGAGAATCTTGTTTTACTTAGAGCTGACAGCTGTGAAAGTTTTTCAACTCCTCTGTTAGTGTTTGTCATATTTTTTCTCTTGCAGTTCCTCTTCTACTCTGCTAATTCAGTCAAGCTGCAACAGGAGTCCACGTTTTTCATCAAAATGTCAATAAATAAAGTACGCTTTCAAAACAAAACTTCTCTGAAAAACAGTGAATGATCCAGCTGTTCCTGCAAAAACTGCAGGATGTCCTTAGTGTAAGATGATCCTGATACCAAGGGGCAGAGAGTCCCCATTGGTACACGTAATAAGTCCTGGAAGACTCTGCCCAGGCCTCCGATGACTTCAGCCCAGCTGGGAAAAGGTAGAGCATGGTCCTGTTCACTTGAGACAGCAGGTCTCTCTATAGAGGAGGCTGCATTACTTCGCAAACCATGGCATGTGAGGCCACAGAGGAGCACACTTAATAAGCCATCTGAAGTCTTCAGAGGGTAGGTATATGGCAGGCCCCCAGACCACAGGTGCCAGGTGGGTCTTCAGAGAGGAAAAAGAGAGAACAAGTTGTTGTTTCTTTGACTTGTCCCCCTGCCACAGCGTTCAACAGCCCTGGTACACGCTTAGGCCTTTGTGGGCAGGAGTAGGGGTAGCCAGGCCCACAGCAACAGCTTGGTTGCCGGCTTGCACACAGACTTGGTCATCCAGTTTGTTGATGATGGCTGGTGTCATAGTGCTGCCAGTCTAGACAATGGCATGGTGAGTTCTTGGTCTCAACAGACATTTGTGGAATACTAGAACAGACATTAGTCCAAGTCCAACACTTAAAGGTTGTGGCCAGTCCACTGTTCATTAACCTTACGGCCTTAATGGACTGTACCCAAGCCTACTTCGGATGTGTCTGGAAAGACCACCTTGCAATCTACCACCAGTATGAGAGGACTACTTCTTAGGTTGGCACCAGTGTAGGGATGTAAGTGCCCCCCCAGACACCATGACCTTGGTTTTGTGGGACCTCTGCAGACACCTGCAGGCCCAAGATCAGCAGGTGTAGCTGGACAGGTTGCAGATACAACCGAGCCAAAGGGGTACTTGTACCAAAGCTGCCACAAGACCTTTGAGACAAAAGCATAATCCAAGTCTGCTCTTACCCCTACCAGAAGAGGGAGAAGGGGAGAATGGCTCACTGCTAGTGTTTCCACACAGTACCTTTTTACATACCCGTCAGAGCTACCATAAGGAAAAAAGAGCTTTGACTGACTGGAGCTTGCATCACACACTGTTAGTATACAGGGTCTGCATTCAGCATGGAGCCGCAAGCAACATGCCAGTGGACAATCTCAGCAGACAATCACCTCAATCCTACCTAAGGAGAGAGCGAAAACACTGGCTTGACTAACCAGAGAAAGTGCTGTTGGCCAACTTGCATCTGTGCCCGGCATGGATTCCATGCCACCGCAAGTAATATGCTGGTGAGAAATCACAGCCACCACAGCAGAAGGAAGAGGAGAAACAGAACAGGGAAACAGCAATCTAGGAGAGCTGCCCACAGACAGATGCCCAAACAAAAAGATTCAAGGCTGAAACCCAATGCTCAAAATACTTTCCTTCTGTCAGGAGGGAGTCTTGGGACAACCGAGAATAAATACTTGAAAGGGAAAGACATCTGCATAGAAACTGCATAATGCTGAACACGTCTTCACACAGGAACGCAGTTTAAATCTTTATCACTGTGGATCCTCCCCAAAACAAACTTATTCTTACATACCATTGCCTCTTATGGTGAATTCTTACTGTAAATCAACATCAGAGCAACTCTAATGGTAAAAAGCAGATTTAAGAAAATGTATTTTTTATTAGGGCTTTATGTCCTACACTGCAGCCAGTCACCAGGGACAGCTCTAAAAGTTTTGGCCTCATCTAAGACAGCTGTTGTTCGGTCCATGTTTTAAACAGCTTTCAAACCAGTTTGTGGCTCTTACTCCTGTTTACTTTGAACGTGAGTTGAACTTACTCTCAAATATGCGCCGCTTTAATGGAAAAGTGTCTGCTAAATGTAGTCATAACATTATAACAAACCAATTTGTGATGACAGTAGTTAACTGAAACACCTAATTTCTTGTGCCATTTTAGCCAGTCCTCACATATTTTTGCACACACCCCCTATATTGATTCACTTGAGAATAAAAAAGGAAAACAAGCAGGTGCTTAAAAGCCATGCTGTGTAAAGTGTTTTTGTATTGAAGGTATTTTTGCTTTTTTTGTGTGCAAATTGAGACTCAAACTGACAGTTTGGGGCTCTTTTAGAACTTTATTTGTCTGAAAGCCCACAAAACAGTTAATCAACATGACATTTTTTTCAAAAATACTGCAAACAACTGAGAATATATATTAAGGTACTGTTTCACAGGAAGTTTAGCATCAAGAATATCAATCCATCACAAACGACACACTCACATCCAACAATGATCTGAAAGAGTTTTTCTAAAATGAGAGAAAATCAGTTTAAAACCAGCCATGAAAATGTTTTGAGAATTAGTATGTGCCCCCTGATCTTTCAGATAATCTCGATTTAAATCAGACTCTTTGGCCTCTGTGTTTATATACCAATCCCCCCAGCCCCCACCCACCCACCTACCCACGGATGCCTGTTTGTAGACAAGGAGTTAGTTTTGTTTTTATTCCTACAACCTGTGGTAATACAGAGCAGGCAAGCCTTATGATCTGCATCTACATCTGTGAGTCTTTCTGGAGGCCCCATTGTAATCTGGGATTATGAAGTATGTCATATCAGTTTCTCCAGAGTCAACCTATTTAATCTAGAGTGCAAATAAAAGGTCACACTGCCTCCTATGCAGGGTGAGAATCTGTGCAGCTGACAGAATAGATTCAGTCTGGTTGTGTCGCACCTTTGATCACCTGTGGGAACACACTCCCATTCTGAGTCTTCATTTCTTCATCTTGAGGTCAGCTTCTATGGCACAACGGCGCCCTCTGGTGCCTCCATCCTACAGTCAAAAAGAAAAACCGGAAAGAATAACCTGTCAGATCCCATTGAGTCGTCACAATACAATTCCTTTCATGAAAATCATCTGCTCTGTAAAATGACCAAAACAAGATTCTTTGTGTTTGCTCCATGAAAAAAAAAAGTGAGGGAGGGACAGCTTCTGTTTCTTTATTTGTTTAATTTAAGGATGTGTACTTACAAAAAGAGAAAGGAGGAAGGCAGGAGAGGACATGGAGACACTGTCCTGTAGGAAGGAAATTATGTATATCAGAGTTGTGACTCAAAGGTGTCCGAACAAGTTCAAGTTTGGGGAATTAAAAAAAACAAAACTTAAAATTCAGCCAGGAAAAAGCCTGAGATGGGCTTAAAGACAGCTGCTGTTCAGAACATATTTCTCTGCTGCACTACTACAGTATATGCTACTTATGTATATAAGCTCTTATTATTGAGCATGCTGGCATTTCAGCTAATTAATCACAAAACATTTATTATGCATTCGTATGTTATAGCCAACTATTTTTCAAAGCATAGCACAAAGTTTGACAATTATCTCCTACTCTTACTTTTATCATTCCAATAAATCAACAATACTTACTTAAGGTCACTAAACACTAAAGTGTGCTGTTGCTTTCGCACAAAATGACTAGGTGCATGAGAGAGAGGTAAGAAAAGATAAGAGAAAAAAAGGGCTAACTGAGAAAAATCCACGTTGTAAATGCTTTTGTGCAAATCCCCACAAAACAATAGAAGCAGTTCTTCTCCGTGTCACGTTATCAGGCAAAGAGGCCCCTAAATATTTTCTTCATTGCGTTACCTCACAATACTCCTGCATTCCTACAATATACATTGCATTCCTGCACAATAGTGGAAAGCAGCCAAACATCACTTCCCAGTTCCCAAAACAACAGCATAAAAATACAGGATTTTATATTTTTCCACTTGGCCAGTGGACAGTAAAGAAGTAGCCCTGTAGCTTTGGGCTAAAAGAATATGAAATTGATACAATTTCTAATACCAAAAATCATGGTCCAAAAACCATAAAAGCCAATACTTTACTAGCTTGAGTGGAGCTTGTTTAAAATTTGCTTTTATTTGACTCCATAAAAAGATAAGGAGGTAACGCAGTAAAGACAATTCTCACTGAGACTCTCTGAAATCTATGTCGAGCGTTAGAGTACTGTATGCTTTGGTAAATAGTTGTCAGTAAAGTTCTTTGAATAACTACAGTCTAAATTATCGCCTGCCATTTTCCAAAGCATCATTTCACATCTAGTAATATTAATTAATTTTTTTTGGCTTTTTTTGAAGGGTTATCTGTTCAGTGCTGCATCCAAAGACAACTCGACATTCAAGATAAAACAGGCCAGAGCCGTACAATCAATATACGAAATAAAAAAATTGTCTTCCACTAAAATATTTTTCACTGTAATGGATGACCTAGTTCTTGATTGTCTGAAGTTCAATCGTGTTGATTTTGACACCATATCTAGGCAAGAACCTTTCCTTCTGAGAACTGTAATGCTTTGGAAAATTACAGACAGCTCTACTCAAGCATCTCTATCCTCTACATTTAAGTCAGCCTGTTGTCTCACCCTTGTCTTTTCTTCTGTACTCTCTGCTTTTGAGAAAATTCTAGTGAAGCACCTTGTCAGTGGAGTCCTGTTTGCGTGTGTTCTCACGGCCCCTCAGGCTCTTGGCGCTGATGCCGGCCTCTGATGTCTCCATGATGAGCTGGGTGGCTAGAAACTGCTGGATCTGCTCCAGGACGTCACGCTGCATCTCCAGGGCCATGTGGTACACATCATGATCAAGACTGTTGTACATGACGGCATTCTGAAACATCAGCATGATGTCCCTCTGGAACTCAGCTGTGGTCCGTATCAAACCGGTCTCTATGTTCTTTTTTATGGTGGCCAGATCCATGGGCCTGTAGAGGCAAAGAGAGGAAATGTTTCTTTTTTTTCTTTGAACAGTAAATTTGAAATTTTTAATAAATGACTCAAAATATTCGATAACTTGTGCTCACCTGTGCACAATACTGTGGTATCCAGGTGCAATTTCATCTGTTACTGGCTGCAGGAAGACATTTGCATACCTACAACATAAAATATTTTGTTTATTTCACTGATGATAAAAAAAATTAAAGTGTATATTTACATTGACTGCAGCGGGGTGACGCAGCTCAAGGAAGAACATTTATGATCGTTTCTTCATGGAAATACAATCAGACCGAGATGCTAAGGCAGAAGAACTACCGCGTCTGCGGTGCAAAATGATCAATATGGGGATCATTACTTCAAGGTGTTACTTCAAATGTTCTTCCTTGAGCTGTGTCACCCCGCTGCAGTCCATAATGGACTGTTCCGAGGTCTCGCTGTGTATTGCTATCGTACGGCCATTACTAAAGTTGGTATAACTAGAGGAGCAAGCGGTCGGCAACATTCATCTCTCAAGGGAGTGTCCAACTAGGTGGTATGGTGTTTGACCCTAAATTAATTTTACACTGGAATATCCCTTCAAGAAAACTGAGTCTCAGTGACTAATGTTACTGTTATTCTCACCTGTGATTGGCAGCAGCACGCCACACCAGCATAATGGCTTTCTTCCAGATCTTCTGGGCCTGCAGAGCTTCTAGGTCTTCACTGCACATGGAACTGCACAATTTTCATGTGCAACAGGGAAGGAAGTAGAAACAGAAAGGTCAGAAGAAAAACACCATCTAGCAGAACCTGATCTGTGGCATGACTGCAAAAGAGGTTTTTATTGACAAAAATGTAAAATGATCTGCTTACACAACATCCGAACCAGTATCTGGACAGCAGTCTTTTCACATTTGACAGTTTCTTTCCTTGCAGTGTGCCAGAGGGTGTTATACTCACAACTGGGATGAGGCAGGGCTGCTGGGGATGGAGTCAGCAGTGGTGTGAAGCTGCAGAGATGAGGAGGCCGTGTGGAGGCTGTATCCATCCTCGCTCTCACTGGCCACAGGTTCGAGCTCCATCTCCCCTTCTGGTTCTGACAAGAACCCTTCCGCTGTATCCCCTTCATCGTCATCATCTTCTCCACATACTGGCGGCCCGTTAACCACATTGTAAACTTTAATCCCTGAGGCACTGTCTCCTCGTTCAACATTTTGTCCATTGTCTGCTTTCATGTCCTGCTAGGATGAAGTAAAATCCAGATTCAGGTTTATTTACATTTTAGAGGAATACTCTGATTTTAGTGCAGAAATGACAAGCATTGGGTTCACTGGATCCTCACAGGGTGCAATACCTTTGGATGATTTTCTGTCAGTGGGCAATCTTCCAGGACTGAGTCTGTAAGGAGAGCAAGATAATTATACAAATGTGCATGTTAACGGTTATTTTTAACACTAGTATTTATGCATGTGTGTTCATACCTCCAGAGGATTTATCATGTCTTTGCTGTGCCCACCTCTCACTCTCACACTTCATGGTAACATTTGATGAAATCTGTTTTTTGTGGCGCACCATCTCTCCAGTCTCTCTCACTGCCTCCGGCTGTGGAGTTGTTCCGCTGTGGCGATGCTCCAAACTCTTTGAGTTGCATGAGGATGAAGAGGCTGGAGGAGGGCCTCTCAGTTCCACAGGGAACGCTGCAAAACAGTTATCTTGACGGTTGCACAGAGAGGGGAGTGAGGCAGAAGTCTCACCCTGAGCTTGGAACACCTTTTTCTTTCCCTGCAGGTTACTGTTAGGATTCAAGGACTGTTGGACCCCTGTGGGCACTGCAGGGTGAGGGTCATGGGGCTGGAAAGGCCCAGCCGCCCAGGCACCAGACAAAGCATGGCTGTTCTCTTCACACAGGGACAGGGCAGCCTCAACTGCAGCTGCATCCAAAGCCTCTGCAGTCTCATCTCCCTGTGGAAGAAGAGATGTCTCTAGCAAAGAATAACCGCTTTTTTTTCATCGTTTACCGTGGCTCAGAGGGGAATGTAACTTAGTAAACTGTTGTCATTAGCTCAACAACATTCAAACAGCTGCCCTTATTTCACGAAATTAGAACCAAGTTTAACTGCAACCATAGTGTAAGTCTTTTGTACCTTGTCCTCAATGATGGCGATAATGTCCCCCACTGTCTTCAGGTCCAGCTCATCTCCCATGTAAGACACGGTGACATCCTCCTCACTGAGTTCTGACACCTTTACATCTGCAGAGACAGGCTGGCATCCAGGGGGCACCATCACATCCACTTCTACACAAAGACAAGAACCGATTTTCAGCTATATATTTTGGTTTTTTTAAACTTGCAGAATGAATATTCTAAAAAAAAAAAAAAAGACAAGATTTTCAGGTTCTTTCTCTCAGAACACTAAATTCGAGCTCTAGAGGAGTGCTATCAAGATTAAGCTCTGTTTGAGGGGGGCCAAAGCGGACAGACCTGTGCCTGCTGAGGCAGTCGAGCCAGTGGGAACAGGAGTGGCAGCGGAGAGGGGAGCACTAGAGGGTGGATCTGTACTGACCATGAAACCCAGTGGGGCAGAAAACTGGGAGGGACCTGCCTCCAGAAGACGAGACAACATAGGGGCGCCTGCAAAGCAAGCAAGCAAAGCCAAGGCGTTCAGCTACAAAATTAAGCAAACAACTTCAATGATATTAGCAGCAAACACACACCTTTACACACTTAATTGACATTAAAAAAAGAAGAAGAAGCTGGCGCAATCTTTTAAAAAGAAAATGTGAAAAACTCAACAATACATTTTGACTAGAACATTTGTACCTGTTGCCTGGGACAGAGGTTGGCTAGGTGGAGCCAGCTGCAGGTCATGAGCGCTGGCTATAGACAGGTCTCCCTCCCCTATCTAAATGCATAGAGATTGACAAACATTACACTCTTACTTTTTTCTTTTTCTCATGCACAACCTTCAAAGTAAGAACCATTATTTGATTCCAGCCTGTATCTTAAATGTTTTAATTTCTTCCATTTGACAAATTCACCTGCTGGGCCCCTACAGGCCAGCCTATGTGTCTAGAAATCTTATCAGAGAAAGGTAAACTTATTTTACTACATTTCTTTCCTAATAATTGTAAAGAAACACATACAGTCCAATCTAAGTCAATTTAAGTGAGTAAAAAAGAAAAAGCGCAGTTTCAGTGCACAGTATTAAAAAACAATGACCTTAAGCACCAAAACAGGACAGTAGTTAATGATAAGCTTCATAGTACATGTGACTACTCGTAGAAGAAATACCAGAAAACAATTAAGGTTATTTAAAACACTGCAAGGACTTCAAACAGGCTTGTGAATGACTTTAGGTGTTTCAAATCACACAAAGCAACTCTTGAAAGCTAATCTTGAGACAGAGTTGTCCTGAGGTGAAAACAGACTGAGAGTTTTAAATCCAACAAAATCCAAATCCCAAAGAAATAAAGTAGTTATAAATGAAATACTTTCAAAACACACTGCATGCCAAGAACTGGTGTAATAGCATGCACTGTTAGCATGAGACAAGAGGTACCCTCCACCTACAAGTCTGGCATTGGTAGCCAAGATGCTCCCTTTTTTCAGTAACTCAGACAGCAGTGGAGATGGTGGCGGTGTGGCTTTCTGGCCCAGAAGCTTCTTTTGGGTGGGGTCATCGAGAAGTGACCCATGGCTGATGTCATCATTAATGGGTCCAGAGGACTCAGGGATGGTCATTAATCTGACTGATCCTGACACCTGGAGACAGAGAGGAGAAAAAAAGGACTTGTAGATGTGCTGCTGTCTCCTCATCTGTGGTAACTGTCAGGGCATCATATTCTCAGTCTGGTTCAATGCGTTTCAGCGATGCAGGCAAGTCAAATTTCAGTTATAACAGAAAAAGGACAAAGAGTATATAAACAAATTTTTCTTTAGCAAATCTCATTTGGAACACAGGACCCGGCTCATTAGACAAAAATAACTGATCTGCTGTAACACAGTGGGAAAAACACTCCTGATCATTTCACCTAAGTGAAACTCCTACTACACTACTACTCCTTGTACACCGTAAGCACTTACGCTCTTTGTTGACGCCAGATCCAGTGTCAGGCACTCCAGTGGGTCACCTGGTGAGAAGTCCTGACTCGGGGAGCCGCAGCCTGAGGGTGAGTGCATGGTGATGCCGGGCACTCGCTTAGGTGTGTTCTTTGCCGCCTGTCTGGCTGAAGAAGGGAGAGACACAACAGAGAGGATTTTCTTATCAAACCAAAGCTGATATTAGACTCTCTTTTTCTATTAGCAAAAGGTGCAACATTGCTTCCTTACTTTGAAGTAAATGTGTTATTTCAGTGTAAATATCTAGTCGTCAGATTGCTGTAAGAGTTGGTATCATTATTTTAGGCTAAAAGAGTATAAATACTACTGACAGCATACATCAGAAATATCCTTGACGGCCGTCTGAGAAAATAATGCTGTCAGTATCTTATTCTATACTACAGCAAGTCCTAATATTATCCCTACAGAACAAGTAGCATAGCAATACATAATCAGTTAATCTGGTTAGATGTTAAATGTAAATTGCACTACTTCTTGGTATCTTTCCTAAGAAGTATCATTATATACAAAGTCCCAGAAGTACTCTTTGATAAATTAAGCTACTGTATGAATGAAGTGTTGTATGAGTGTTATGTAAGTGTAATGTCTGTAAGTGTATGTCTAAGTTCAAAATGGAAAAGCAATATAAGGACATAAGGAAGAAGAATAAATGCATATCTTGTTGTAACTAATGGTGGATCCAAAATAAATCAAATAAAATCAAATCTCTTTTAATGTTTTATTGTTAAGATATTGCTTATTTTTCACAATTTAACAACAATTTTCATTTTGCTTTTTCAATGGTTATCTTTAATTTTCATTAAATCTTTTTTTATCAATCTTCAAATTTTATACTTCAATTATATTCCTTATGCTCTCACTCATTTTCATCTGTTTCTCTTATTGTTTTGATTGCATGTATTTATTGCGATGGATTATAGATTACAGTACGTGATGTCATTTCCCCAGAATACCCGTTCAAATTGAAAGAGATACCCTGATAGGCAGCGTCTGTGTTTTTTCTTTTCAACTCTGCTTCCTCTTCCTCGTGTTTCTTCTTCCTAGTGGTCACACAAAAAACATGTATTTTTCTTTCAGCCACGCTGAGCAGGATAAATGGGACATGCAGAATCATTATGTCAGATTAAAAAGAAAGTTTCTTGCTCCTTACTGCTGAATTCCTTCCCATATCCCTTCGAGTTTGGAGTCTAGATGTCCTGCTTGAATTAATTCAGCTTCTCTCTTTAACTTTCTGTTGAGGAATCAAGTCAAACAATTTTACTGATGCAGTTTATAATGAGATATCAACAAATTTTCATTTAAGAAAGATGTGCACATGCTGTTTTATACCTGTGTGTCTCCTGTGTTTCTTTGATCAACTTTTTCAGTTCATCAACTCTGTCAGCTGTCAGCCTGCGTACTATCACGTCCTCCACTGTCTCCACCACTTCACCTTTCTCACCACGCTTTCGCCTAAAGGTAACAATGCTTTGTTTAGTTTAGTCACTGTACTCCTGCAAACAATGCGAGGGCATGAGTCAAACATTAAATAATGTCATCTATTTCATCTTACAAGTTTACAAAAGCATGCTCGAGAAAAAAAAGTTTTTTATAATCTTACTTTGGGGCTTCTGTTGTTTCCAGAAGCTCAGAATACTTGGAAGCACAGTGCTGTGAAAAGCCAGATGACAGTTAAGGATGCTTTTTAAAGGACAAACACACAAAATTATCATTGTTTTTGTGACATACAGCTCTGGTTTTATCTTACTTTTTGAGAGAACCAGTCAGGTGGTCGCCCAGATTCTGCAAAAGGTTTGATGGCTCGACTGACAGATACCCTGTTTAAGATAATCCAAGATGATATGCAAATGTGAACTCAAACCAGCCTTCTTTTTCCATATTAGTTTATAACTGTCTTATGACATTTTAAACTCCAGTAATAATCCTTCTTATGTGTTTCAAATTTTTGAACATCATTATTATTTTTGAGAAGTCCTTTAGCTGCAAAGTTCTGCAATGATAAGAGCAGGCATGCACAAAGTAATATCATGGTTAATATGCCAGCACATCACAAGAAGTTATCTGCATCCATGTCTATTCATTACGTACGCAAGTCTTTATGAAAATATGGATATATTCAGATATAACTGTGTGTTGCCATTTATCGTCTAGCCTCTGAAAAATACATATTCACACATCTTGCCAAAGGAATTTTCCTCCCACAACAAAGAATAACTGACCCCAGCTTCAGTAGCAATAAAATAGCAGTTCAATACCAGTTCTGGTCCCCACTCTTCATGACAGATGTGGCCAAACACAGCTTCTCCCTTACCGACCATGGCTCTGTTGGTAAAATGACAAGCAGCTTGTGCTCTGCACAAGTGGAGAAAAATGATCAAAGCGTTATATATTACATTTTGAGTTATACAACTCCCATATGTTTTGCATATTCATTTGAATGTCTGCTGCAAATCTCAGGCCTGGCATTCATTGTTAATCTCTTGAGCTTCATTTTGATGCCACACAGGGCTGCTGCCCACCATACCGACAGCTCACTATGGACAAATCCAGGCACTGCCCAGGATAAAGCGCACACAAAGAAAGCGCCACGTTTATGGAGCTGGTGTGAAATATGAATCACCACTTAACGGAGCTGTCACATGTTTATGACAGCTATTAATCCTTGCAAGCTTCCCTGCAGGGAGGCTGCCGTGCAGGAAGTTAGAGCTGATAACATCCACGGTACGACACAGTCAGCGCTAACAGATAGCATGCCGTGAAATCTGCTATGTACTCACTTCCAACCCCGTTTGCCATGTTCCTGTCATCCCGACATGCCATACATCGTGGTAGATAGAAACCAGCAGCTAATAACACTGGTGAGGTCCAAAAACGACTCAAACAAACCGATGGACGTTAACATCAATAAATGTTAGCTGCGTTTAGGATGAGGAGGATTTTTCTTTCTTGGCTAGCAGGCTGAGGAACCGTTAACCGTGAAAGTCTCTGTCTGTCTTTAGCTGTTGGTAACTTAAAAGATTAAGTAAAAAGCTCAAAACGATGAATTAACCCTAGTTACGAGTAAAGACTCACTGAAACCGCTTAAATTCGCGTTCACCCCCAAACAGCCCCTGCTAACAAGTATCAACCATCCGACAAAATGCATCTTAGTGTGGTCACTAACATTATTTCTCATTTAAGCTAGCAGCGACGTGCTCGTACACGCCCACCACAGCAGCTTTGTGATGGTACAATCCTGGATGCTGATACACAGACCTTTACCTGTTAACTCTTTTAGTTTTGAGACACAATTATCAAACTTTGGCAGCTGGTAACTGTCGAAAATATAACAGCAACTGATATATTAAAACACGTTTTTAACTACTACAGAGGCTAAAGCCTGGGGAAGAAACTGTTAATATGCCTGAGTGGTTCCTATTACAATGGAGTAAAAACCGGTGTCAATGACAGTGCATCTTTGAGCCAAAATTAAACAATACCAACAATTACAACATTTGACAAAAATGCTGTAGCTATTACAAAGTCTCCAAATCAAATTAGGGCTCAACACGTACCAGGGACTCCAATATCTTTCCTTCTGATATTAATAGTAAATTGGAGAATGTTAGGAAATTGATTTCTCTTTTGTTCTTCTATAATAAGATTAAAGGGGACATGCCCCCCACCCCTTTTGCTGCATTTACCTACACAAGAATACAAAAGGGGACCTGTCAGTAGAGTTATCTCAGGGTGATTTGCTTAGAGCTCTTTGAATTTGGGTGATACCAAAGAATGATACCAATCAGTCTAACAGACTGGGTATCTGAAGCCAGAAAAACTGGTTTGAAGCCTGTATTTGAGAATAAACAAGTAGGGGTGAACAAGAGACCCTGAGCAGTAAACATGTTGACTATACTCTACACAGTCCAGTTGCCTGATTTTGCAGTCTTCGAGATAACCATGACCTGGATGAATGAGAATCTACATGGGCATTTTGACTATAGTTTGTAGAATATGCTAGATGTTCATTGTTGTTTTATTATTCTTGGATTTAATTCTTGTAGATTTGTGAGTTGTTTTGGCTGTGTTTTAACATAACTCAAAATGTTTTGGAAAGTTAATGGTCCATGCAAGAACTGGGAGGACAAATTGACTTCTCTTTAAATTATTTTCTCTCAGTAGACAACCAACATCAGAACATTTTCATCATATTTTTTCAAATAGTAAAGCAAAATATGTACAGGAAGTATTTCAATTGCAATAAATTTGGCAAACTGTTTTATGATCCACTTAGTCTTGTCTCAAACTCACTTACAAAAGTAATTTTTAAAGTATCATAAATTAAATATTTGTCCAGCAGGATAGGGATGAAGGGGGATACATATTTTCCTGCCACTTCCTTTCTCCAGGTTCCCCTCCTTCCTCCTGACTCCTATCATCACCTTACATATGGAACCACTACCTGCGCTGGTCTGATTAACACCAACTTTCAACCAGTGACCCTCTCACTTTAAGGCATCAGTGCTCACCTGTTTTGGTTAACTTTCTTCTCAGTACATTCTGGTGAATTAAAAGCATGATCCAGACTAATGTGGGTGGAATCCAGAATATTTTTACATAATAAGGAAATATTGCGCAGTAAGAATCATTGTATATATTCTCTTGGGAGGAAGGCCATCTATGCTTTGTGACAAGCCAGAGATCACTGACTATAGTTTTTCACGTGGCACTCCTTAAAATGAGATCAAAAACTATCTCCTTGCTCTCCTTTTCCCCTCTGTCTTTCCTCCTTGATATCCTGATTGCACCTTTTCGGTGGAGGACGTGGTGCTTCAGCATCAGTCCCTTTGCTGTATTGACAGCAGTCAGATAAACCCTATTGTGGAGCAGACTGAACCATTTTGTGCGTTTAGGGGTGAGAAGGGCCGCAAAGAGAGACTCTCTATATTTTCCAGATAAAAAGTTCAGAGCCAGAAAATTTGACCCTAGTTAGAAAAAGTGTATAAAGAGAAAAAACAAAAACTTAAGTTTCATTTCCGGTCCATTTCCTCCATTTGGGCCAGTTCCACTTCACCCTCCACTACAATACCAACAATATTTTTATCTAAAAGTTAACATAAAGAAAAGTTGAGTATGTATTTGTCAAGCGATGGTAACAATATTTAGCTCTTTCTAAAAGGTTTAAAATGTAGAAATTGAAATACTTTGTGAAATCTAGCTGCCAGATTCTAGCTTGAAACGCTCCTTTGCTCTCCCCTCCTGTGGATGAAATACCAGGAGTGACTGTGGCCTTCAAGGACAGGAAGCTTCTTGTGTTATGTAGATATACGAGCCTCATTCAAAGTCAACAAAAACAAAACCAGTCTTGCATTCAGGTGATTACATACAAGTATAAACATACTAATCAATATTATATTCCATTTCTTTTAAGATAGTTCTGCTAAAGTAACTGTACATTATACTACACACTGTACCTGAAATAAGAGTACTGAATCCCAATATTTTCTCTGTGAATTACAAAACACAACAGTGTGAACTTAAATTTTTTTGGTCCTTCATCTAGAGGTTGGTATGTCAGTCAGCAGCTCTTTCAACTCACATGGTCTCACATCCCTCATAGTGATAGGGACCAATTACTACTGGGAAACAAATGTTAATGAGGCATTTGACATTTAACTCCATAACACTGTCACTTTACCCCCTGCTGCTGGGTGGAATAACTGTCAGCTCTGCAGGAAAGACCAGCAGCCACAAAGACGATCACTAAAGCGTGTGACAAATTATTCTGTGGACTGAGAGAAACTTAAACATGGTAAAAAAACACAGGAAACTTACCTTTTTACTCCCAGATACATGACTGTGCTCCCCTGTGGAAGGAAGGAATAGGAAGGAATCACATTCAAAAATGAAGAGGGTTTTTTAACGATAAATAAAACAAACTTGTCTTCAATAGGTTGCTGATCACCTCTTGTGAAGTGTTCCTGTGTTGAAAAGTTCAACATAAATTGATCTAATAAGATTAAGAGCGAATTACAGCTCACAAAAGAAAGATTAATGAAAGCCATGGAAAACAATCTTGCCTATTCTCAAGAGATTCTTCTTTAACTGTCATGACTCTTTATGCTACTATCAAGTATGAGGGGAGTTGTATTTTTTTACTGAACTACCTAAATGGGAATTTTATGAGTGCTATGTTCAGTGTTTGCTGCTGAACAGATCCTGGCATTTTAATTCAGGTGAGAAAGCAAAGGAGAGACCCCAGAGATGAAGGTCACACCACATGTTGCCGTAAGTGCTGCACTGAGCCCATCCTGAGGGCAGAACCACAGCACTTTATTTGAAGGAGGGAACCTACAGAAAACCTCCCTCCTCATCTTTGCCATTAATGTCACTTCATTAGCTCCACTGAGGGTGTGTGGTGGGGACCCTGCATACGACGAGAAGACTTTTCTTCAGGGAGCCAGGCTATTACTGCTGGTCTTTTGGTGAGTAAAATTGTTTATTATTTCAAGTAAAGGTGTGCCTTGAGAAATTTTGCAATTATTGCTTAAGTTTAATTTTGTACACAAATGATGAAAGAGTTTATGTCTAATCATATGTTACTGCGTGTCCCTGCATGAGTGCTGACATCAACAAGTTTTACTTAGTAAAGATGATTTGATAAGTGCCACTCGTTTTTTTGATGATTGGCTCTTACACTTAAAGCCCTGACAATTTTTCAACAACATTGATCCTCTGTATCAGTCTATGCATTTAATCAGAATATTAGCTGCTGGCTTAGAGATTTGTAGCATTAGCTGCATATATCTTGATCTTTATTTAATGGAAAATACATTGTGAAGAAGCAACAAGTTAATGTTAATATCAGGTGTATTTACATTCTCAGCTTGCGGTTTCCCTCCCTTGGGGAAGCCGCTTTGTCCCCCTCCTACCCCTCCCCTGCCCTCGTCCTCTGGGACCCTCCCTGTGCCACTTGCAGCTGAGACCCAGGGAGCAGAATTAATGAGCAAATTGAAACAGACTCCAATCATGGCCCAGATGCTCACAATACACTATCACATAGCGTTTGCTTAGGTGTAACCGCATTTGTGATTGTTTTTCTAACCAGTGTCTTCATCAGTCAGGCGTGTTGTTTGTGTGTCTTGTCTTTAAACTCAACACTTGATGTGTTGTCTGCAGGCTGGCTGACAGGCTTTCATGCCAAAGGTGAAGGATGTCCAACAACATGGCAAAGATTGCAGATGCCCGGAAGACAGTGGAACAATTGAAACTGGAAGTGAACATAGAAAGAATGATGGTGGGTCAGCATTTTGTTAAAACAAATGAAAAAACATTTGAAATGTAACCCTCTATCTTTTTAATGTCTGACAGAAATATGCACGGTCATGACCTTTCTGTTCAGGTATCTAAAGCAGCAGCTGATCTGATGGCTTACTGTGAAACTCACGCCAAAGAGGACCCACTGGTGACACCTGTACCATCGTCTGAGAACCCGTTTCGCGAAAAGAAACTATTCTGTGAAATACTTTAAGTTTTAAAAGCACAAAACTAATGTCTGTGATTTAGTATTCTTAGTTATTTATAATGTGTGGATTAAATTTCAGCTTAAATAACAACAATAAGAAACCTTTTTGTACATCTGACTTACTTTTCCTGAGGACTTATTATCCTGTGAACATGACAGTGACAGCAATAAAATGTGTTGATAATGGGTGCAAAGTTCATTTAAACAGACCAGCAGGGTTGCCTGACAATGTGCACATAGTTTGAATCTGGGCTTACACATTAACTCAGTTTTCTCCCATTGATGTCCTTGTAAGGAATTTCCAGATGATTTTTTTTTCACTGTTGGATATACTATGAAAATTTTGGACCCACATTTCTTTTTTAGCATTAAAAATATTCTACAGTTACACATGTGTGTGTTTTTTTCCTCTTATCGATTAATATGTGACTGAACAACATGATCTTATATCAGGTTTTGTTTTCCTGCCTGAATGTGGCAGCCTTTCCCCTGGAGGGTGTCCCTTGGACACACAGGTAGTGGTAATGATGGGCGGGGCTGAGCGATGATGTCAGAACAAGGCAGAGGTGGAGGTAGCAGGTGTGCACAGTTTACTCAGTCAAGCTTGCCCTCATTCTGACAGCTACTAAGATTGGATAATTTCCTAAAATCCCTTGGGCATTTGAGAGTTTTCTCTACACAGTAAGGTAGGTACATACTGTTTGCCATCTAATATAACTGCTAAAAGAACAGCTTTATTAAAGTGAGTATCTGCCTTTTCCTGCAGTAAGTAGAAACTATAAGGAAATTAGATGTGTAAAGGGAGCTGATGTTCAAACTAATGGATGCAAACAATTCACCAGGCTGATTGAACTTCTTAAAGTTGTATTTATTTATTTAAGTGTAAATTCTTGTGTAAAAGTGTCAGACTAATTGTCAAAAGAGGGAATGTGAAATCCTGCTGTGTAGCCACATCATGCCAAACAGGGCGAGTCAAGAAAAACTTGTCTGACTGAAAGTGTTGATTGTAAAAACAGCAGTCATGCACAATCCCGTGGCAGTAACTACAATAAAAGAAAGCTGAAACTGGTCAGCTTAAAAATCTGTGAAAAATCTGTAACACCAGCCGTGCTACAAGTGTGTTTATTCTTGAGTTCACATGTAATCTCACTGCATTGTTGTGTTGCTTTGCTGTGACATTAAATGAGGGAAACCGGTGTACCTTTGATAAACCCTGAGTCTTAAATTTAGGAGGCCAGCGTGTTCATTGACTTAGCTTCATAGTGTGATTTGAATTTTCAACTTTGCAAGACAAATCAGCAGCTCTTGTCTAGACCAGAACGCCTTCTCTTCTTTGTAGTCCTGATCAGATAAAATACGGCATATTGTGATGGGTAGTTAATGTCTCAAAGTTTCCTGTATGCGTGGATCTTCTAAACTGTATTTCAGAGCCAAGTTTTAAAAATATAACATAAATTTACTAATATTAGAACACACTGATTTGAAACTAAGTCAATCTCACTCTCTTTATAGAAGTGGCATTTATATCTGACAATATTTTTACCCTTTAAGTTGATAAAATCTAATTAATGAATTAATTAGGTCACTGAGTTATGGCATTAACTCTGCCATAACCTGTTTTTCTTGTTGCAGTGTTTTTCAGGTACTTAGGTGCCAGCTGCCTTTTAGTTCCTTGATCTGAATTTTATTGCCTGTAATACTTTTAAGGCTGTGACACTAAATTAAAACAACAAGTGTGAACTTTGACCACAAAGTTAGGTACTATTTTACTCAAAGATAGAAGAGTAAAGGGCCTCATGTTTTGCTTATGTTTTCAGGCCCAAGGATGGCCAACTTTGGAGGACATGCCATTCCTGGCTCTTTTTTCCTGCTCCTTGGATTCTGGCTTACGGTGAAATACGTCCTCCAACACTACTGGAGGACAAATCAGCCCAAAGGAAGACAAATTACTCCACCTTTCTTCAAAAAGATGGAGTACTTTGAGGGAGGATTTCAGATCTTTGCAGCATTCGTAGGTCAGTTTTCAACACAAACATCTGCACAATTACACTTGAAAAAAAGCTACGTACCAAAATTGTCTGATGTCGTCCTGTCTTAGGAATCATGGTTGAACAGTTTGTGGTAGACGGACCACACGCTCACCTTTTCAACAAAGATGGCAACCCATGGGTGAAGCTGATGAACTGGCAGCACAGCACAATGTATCTGTTCTTTGGAATCGCTGGAATCGCATTGGTGGCCAGTAATGTGTCCAAGCTGGTGCCAGCTGGTGTTGACCGCCTAACCATTTCACTGGCTCTGTTTGTTGAGGGTAAATATTAAAGATAATTGATTTCCAAGACATTCAGACTCAAAATTTGAACCCTAATGTTAAGTGTTGGTCCCCTCCAGGGTTTCTATTCTACTTCCACGTACACAATCGCCCACATCTAGATGCCCACATTCACTCCCTGCTGCTGGCAGCTGTGTTCTGTGGATCAGCAAGCGCCATGCTGGAGGTGTTCATAAGAGACAATATCATTCTGGAGATGCTCAGAGGAGGCCTGTTCATTCTGCAGGGGTCATGGTTCTACCAGGTGATTTACAAAAATGACTTAAGAAATCAGCTCAATCGTCACCCAATCATAGAAACTAGGGGGTAGTTCATTATGACCGTCTTCTTTTAGGTCTGTGTCTATTTAACAGAATATTTTGCTTGAGATCACAAGCTGGGGGGCTAATCTATCTTGGTGTCCATCATTTCAGATTGGATTTGTACTTTACCCTCCAAGTGGAAAACAGTGGGACCTGGAGGAACACAGCAATGTCATGTTTGTGACCATGTGCTTCTGCTGGCATATAGCTGTGGCTCTGCTTTTAGTGACCTGCACCTTCTCTCTAGTTTGGTTGTAAGTATTTCATCCTTTGCTTGAATGTTTTTACGGGAACTTGGACCGCTCAAGGAAGTTTTCAAGCTTTAAGGACAGGTTCAACCACTGCTGGTATGCGGCAAAAATCTGTGTGTCCGTCTTACATTGGTGTTGGGGTAGCTCAGGATCTGTTGCATAGATCAGAAGAAAATAACGGGTCCTCGCGAATTATGTTCTATATTAGCACTCTTTATGGTAACTAAGATTGTAATTCATAATAATCTATTTCTTCATTCAGTGTTTTTGTACAGGAACAATTATAGAGCATGCAGACCAATGCTGTACACCAAAGCAGTTAAAGTCTGTGCTAATTCTCTTTGCTTGTTCGTGGATGGGGCTTGAAAATACATGAAAATCATAGGGACTTTATTTTAAAATGTACAACAATTTGCATGTCAAGTGAACCAAACCTAGGAATGAGATACTTATAATTACAAACTGCTCTGGAACATTAGTGTTAATCAAATTTGAGGTCTCAGTCTTTGTAATTTCCAACTCTTAAATACTCCAGAGACAGTGCCAGCAGAAATATGATCTTTTCTTTACCTTCATGTTGGTCATGATTCCTGAAAGCTGGTTTCTCTTTCTGTTGTAACAGCACGGTGAAGCGATTCTCAGCAAGAGGACGAGATATTGAGATTGGAATGCGAAACACCTCCTCCAAGTCAAATTCCCAGAAAGCTTTGCTTGAAGAGTCGGATGAAGAGTGAATCCATGTTTACAGCTGTTGGAAATTAACTTAAATCTAATTTTATATTTTATGTTGTTGCTGCGTTTAAGACTAAGTCAGTTGTTTTGCACAATGTCTGTATGCTTTAGATTTTTTTTTTTTTGTAAAGAGAAACAAAAACACATTTCTGTTCAGCATGTTCACTTATTATGGTTGTTAAAGTATTTCAAGAACACGATATGGTATAATAGTATAAACTGAAATGGATGACTTGAATGTCTGCCTGCTAACTTGCCTTTGAATACAAAGGCTTCTTAGACAGCAAACAAAAATCAATGAGTCACAATCCAAATAAGGCTCTCATTACTTTGAATGGTTTAAAACAAACAGATATACCAATGGCAAACAAAACACCTTAGAGACAGCCATTAGGAAATTTGAGCTTTTAAACACGACAAACCATGAATGAAAAAGTAATCTGGGATTTCTGATATTCATTTGAGTGTGTTTGTACCTGTAAAAACCCGGTGAGCCGTTGTATTAATTTCAGATCACGACACAGGTAGAACGAAACAAGGAGGTTTAATTTTGTTAAGATTGAAAACTGTCCAACAGTGACAGGTTTAATTTGAACATAAATAAAGACATAAGACACACCTTTTTGTCAATAACTTCACGACAGTTACTGCAAAGAGGGACTCCAACCGCTGAACGCAGACACTTATTTTGTGCACCAAACCTATGATTTGAAAGGATCACTGCTGAGGAGCAGGCGGGGGATCAGGGGCGCATTTGGGCGAAGGTGCTGTTGTCACTACAACTGTGGAAACAGACTTCGGGGAGCCTGTTGCTATGTGCTGCTGGAGCTGCTGCGCTGGAACTGTCTGAATGCGAACCTGAAAGAAGAAAGACCAACCCAGCCTTCGAATTAGCTGTGTTTGTTCAGGTCTACAATCAAGCAGTCATTTTAAAACAGACTGTATGAAGAAGATGAGACTTAAGTCTGAACTCAACTGAAGCTTTTTAGACCATGAGTGATTTATTTCAGCTCGATAAATGAATAACAATCAATCATATAAAATCAACATATTAGCAATTGTAGTGCACTGACACTCTTTCTTTCTGACAAATGCATTACAACAGAAGTGAACAGTGAAATATAAGCTCACCTGTGTGGCTTGCCCCTGCTGCTGAAGCTGCTGGAACTGCTGTGCTGTGACAAAACTGACCGGTTTGTTTCCTGCGATCAGCTTGGTGCCAGCAGGCATGGTGGTCAGGATGATGTTCCTGCCCAGACTACTGATACTGCGCAGAAAAGAGGAAAACAAGGGAAACAATCAAGCAGCTGAAAGGGAATAAATGATTTACAGATTAACAGAAATAAGAGGTGAGACTACAACTACAATGTAGACAAATTAAACAACACACCAATTAACTATTTGTATCTTAATAAGAAGCCTATTAGAGTCTAAAATAAAAGAAACAATCTTAGCACACTCCACATAATACACTTGAGATCTGTGATCATCTGTGATCCCTTCTAACAAATTATATTAAAAAAAAAAAGTTCCAAACCAGAATTAAAAATTAAACACACAGTTTGGATGAGCAGACTCACTTTGTGTTCAGACTTCCTTTGACAATAGGTGTGGTCACGACACTCTTACTCTTCAGCGGTTGGTTCAGAACAGAGAGAGGCACAGTTATCCGTGCAGGTAACTTCCCCTGTAGTGTTATCAAACAGCAAACACAACAGTCGCGTGACTATCAAAGGGCTTGGCTCACATTATAAACAAATGGTGCAGAAGGATAAACAGTGATGAATAGACACTAAAGTCCTGCACTTGATTTTAGGAATACAAACCAGAGTCAATGTAATTCAATGAGTGAAAAGGGACTTGAACGATTTGGGGCAGCTGATGAATAAATCAAGACGTTTCTCATCAAATAATTCAGATTTTACCCAGAGAAAACTACACAAAATAATCTATATATCAATCAAGAGTTCAAACAGGCATTCAAGAGGAAGAAGGAAATAGTTTCAAGTATGTGTGCCAACCTCCTAACCTACATCCAGACACCGAGACTCGAGTTTGTTTGAGTCGAGACTTCAAGTTCACACCCAGCTGGCACACAACTAAAACTACTGGTAACCAGCTTTACTCTTACGATAACTGATAGTTTTTCCCTTTTAACTCCTGATATTTAATAAACTGGTTACTGACCTGGATAAACATTTGGTCAAAATGACAAAAACTCCAGCAGCCTTTCCTAATTAAAATCACAAACATGACGCTCTGCTCTATTGTCGTCACAAAAGGTGAAGCTCTCTTTGTTCACTGTCTGTGAAATTATCTATAATGTAAGAGAAAGGTAACTCAATATCGCCGCTAAACGCTAGCGTTTGTCAGCTGGGCATTAGATTACAGCTTGAAACATTATATTCCCTTAAGACACATGAAGGAAACCAAACTGTGAAACAGCAGCTCGACAGCACCCTCTAGAGGCCATGCTGCTACTTACATGAGCGTCCTGAAACTCAAATGACTCAAAAGTTCTTCGCTACAAATTCTGAAAAGCAGGGCTTAAAAAATAAAAAATAAGTAAAACAGTTTTCTGGTAAAGTGCAAACAGAGATGGTGGTGAAAACTACACAGAAAACCTTACAGTTCACCTGAGAAGAGCAGAAAACTGAAGAGTTCTCTTACCGTTTGTGTGGTGACTACTGTCGCTGGAACCTGCCGGACTGTGGCTGTGGCTGTTCCCAGAGTCAGAGGTGAGCCAGAAGCTCCTGGGGCTACCGTGATCCCCTTAGCACCAGCCACGACGCTGGCAGCCATGGTCACTACATTTGCGCAGGTAGATGCAGTGAGTGGTTTACCGCCAGTTGTGGTTGTCATGGTTATAGTCTGACCCTGTTTCTGTGGAATAACACCAAGTCCGGGCATTATCCGAATGGTGGCGCCGCTCTTGTCAGGAGAGCTCACCGAGGAGAATGTCCTTGTCTTCTGGTCGGCTACAGAGACTGCCAACGTGGGCATCAGGCGTATGGCTGTGTCTCCTGCTGCCTTTAACAGTGTGGAGGTCACAGGGCCTGCTTTGGAGGTCTGTATTTCACCTGTACAGGATGCGGCACTGGTGGTGGAGGTCGGCGAAGGATGGGTCGGCGTCACGTGAAGAGTGGCTGATATGCTCTTGCTACCCGAGGCAGCGCTTCCAAGGAAGTCAGGGGTGAGTTTGACGGTTGCAACTGGGGACTTGGCGAGAGTTGCCATCATATCAGGGGTGATCCGGAGCACTGTTTGGCCTTTTGCGTCTGTGGTGATGGAGGAGGGTGGGAGACGTAGGACGTCTTTACCCTGGATGCGCAGGTTTGTCGCTGTGATTGGAATTCCTGCTCCTCCAGTTGTCTTCATTCCCAACTGGCCTGTGATGGACACCTTTAAAAACATATTAAAACATATCAACGGAAAATTATTCACACGGCAAATAACATGATGATACACAAGGTCAAAGAAATGTTACAGTCAGATCCATCATGTGCAGAAAAGAATGAAAAAATAAACTAAACAAATATCCCAGTAAAACAGACGGATTCACCTGTTTGATATTCGGGCTGGCCACTCCTTGCAGCACAGCAGGGGAAGTCGGGTTGTTAGCTGGGCTTCCAGGCGAACCAGTCTGAGGTTTGGCCACAGCGACAGCAGACACAGACAAGGAGGTCGGCACCTGAACTGGACTACTCGCAGACTGACTCCTCAGAGGAACAGACACCACTGCCTGCTGATAAACAAAGGTTGAATTAAACATGTGTGTGCTCCATAACACACGGCTAAACCAACTTCAAATTATCTTATCATTACCTGTGAAATGCCCTTCGCTGCTACTGACACGGGCATCCTGATCTGATGAGGGGTCTGGTGCACCAGTGTGGCCTGCTGATTCCCGGCTGATGAAACCAGACCGGGCTGAGCCGAAACAACCCGCACCTGAGGGAGGGAGCCCGCCGCGAGGTGACTCACTAACCGAGCTGTGTGTTGGGATGTGACAGATTGGGAGGCTGGAGGAGCAGCTTGACTGCTTGGTAAGATGGCACCGAGCTGCGGTAGTGAGGGAGGTGACACAAGAAGAACCCTGGGAGGAGCAACAGGCAGAAAAGAAGTTTGTTAAACTTCTGAGCGGAGACACGGGGACATGTTTGTGAAATAATAAGAACAAAAAGAAATCATCGGTCACACTGACCCTGAGCTGGTTTTGATTGCATCTGGGACTCCAGTCTTTGTTGGTGTTGTTGCTGCACAGGGTAAGGGGGACTTAGGGGTTCCAGGTGTGTTCTGGGTGGGTGTTGTTGGGGTTGGTGACATCGGATTGGAGACTACATCCTGAGCTCCCTCAAGACATCCGGGGATTTTACTGCCTCCATCTTTACTTCCAGACTTCTAAAACATCAAAAATGAGAGATACAGATGAACTTCTCAAAATTTCAAGTGCAGCCACAATGACTCACACGGTTTACAGAGAAAATAACTTCATAGAACTACATAGAAATCTTTTTGTATTAGAACTGTGGCACTCACAGGCTTAGATGCGGGTTTCGGTTTCTGCTGTAGAGCTTTTCTTGCTTTTGCAGCAGCAGCTTGAGCCTGGTGGATCCTCTCTGGATGGGAGCAAATGGAAAATATATGAGAATCCAAATCAAAGTTATCTTGACAATCAAAAATATTCACATTTGGGTATAATCATCAACAAAGACCAAATTACAGTTAATAAAAGGCTTTAGACTTTCTAATTATACTCCTTAAGTGAATGACTACAGATCTACAGGGGGTCTTAAAGAAACTTTGGTAAAACTTTACTTGATGCCTATCTCTATAATATAATGTGTTAATTAAATATTTGTTTATTATATTTGTTATGCTTATTGTTATAAAGCCTTATAACTAATGAGTGTTTATAATGATGGTTATAAAAGTTTATAAGCAAATTATAACACATCATAAATATATGTTTAATGCATTATATATGTGGGCATTGTCAGTGAGTTGTTAACAGTTGTAACACATTATAGTACCTGACCTTGTAAGTCATGATAAAATGTTTTAAAATGTGTTATGATTATTGCTATAAAGCATTATGATCATTAATGAGTGTTTATAAGTATACTCATACAGTGCTATAGCATGATTATAATGCTTTATACATGTATATATAATGCATTATAGAGATAGACGTCAAGTAAAATGTTACCCAATTTTTTATATTCTCTATTCTGAAACATTGCAATCAAAAAATGTAAAAATTCATTAAAATCTACAAGGGTGTCCACAACCTTTCTAAGATCTTTAACAAAAAGCTCTTTGTTTCTCACCGAACTCTTCTTGACTGCGACTGCGGTGCAGGTAAATCCACAGTTTGCGGCCGATGTCATACTTCACACAGGGATCTTTCTCATAGTGGAGTCGATCCAGAGCACCACTGACAACTGTGTTCACCTAAATGGCCAAGAAAATGTCAGCATGAGACAACAATTTAAAAATAAAAATAAAAACAGGATAACATGGATAACGATCACACCTGTGCACTAGTGACATCTGGAGCAAGAAACTGTGAGTCTTTCAACAGCTCACAGATCTCTGCTCTTGTTCCTTCTCCATTGGGTAACCTGGCAGCAGCATCGCGCACTGCAGGAGAGAAAATTGCAGAACAGTATTATTGGTCATCCGTGCATTTCATTAAATCTGCAAAGGTAGTGAAGAGCAAAAACACCAAGGTCTAACCCAGAGAGAGAATGGTGACATATGGTGGACGGTCTGAACGGAGCAGCGTGTGCTCCCTGGCTTTGTTGAGGGACATCTCCTTGTCAAAGACTCCTTTAACAGGCCCCACCACAGACTCAAAGCCGTGCATCCTGAAGGTGAAGGCTTTATGTGGCTGGTTATATCTCTGCTGCTCCTAATGCAGAAAAAAAGAGTGTGCTTGTTTACAGAGTTCACGATCACAAAAGAGGCATGATGTTGGAAAAAATACTCTGTAGACAAAAAACAAACCTGGATTTGAAAAACTTGTCTCTCATCTCCAGTGCTGGGCCGCACCACATAATCAGTTGAACTACATAAAGTAAGATATTACACAGTTAACTCAAACTGCTTCAGTATGTTAAAAGGCTTTAATCAACTTAGTTTGCTTCACAATCAATCTAATTGTCACTCATCAAGTAATGATTTGTTTGCTTTCTAAGGTACACAAAATATATCAGTGCTTATCAGCCAGCAAAAACAGTCACATGAATAATCCTTTAATAAATAGACTAAGAAAAAAAGTTACTTTTCAAACAATTTTGGTCATGTTTATAAGACTTAAGAAACCATGAAACATACACTCTTGGTGTTGGAGAAGTAATCTCTAACATGTCTTCATTTTCTGTCTGTGGGAGACAAAAAAAGACAGCTTGAATAAAACAATTAAAGGTAGCATACACACAGTTGTATGGCAAATATTAAAGGTTATAATGTTATTTAATAATCCTACTGTTAAAGAAAAGTAGTACCTTGACAACTAAATCTTTAGAGTCCAGCCACAGCTGACAGAGTGCACTGAGATCCTTCTCTGTATCCTGAGTGGGACCTTGAATCAGTAAATGGCTTTTATTTAGTCATCAGAGATACAACAAAGCACCAAAGCATCAATCTGGAATTAAAGTCGTTAATTTTTCTTACCAATCCATCTCCACTGTTGAGATTCTTCGGAAAATTCCACAAAAGGAGAGAAGCCACTGGGGAGGGCCATCATGCCATCTGTTAAACACATATACAATGATTAACATGTTTGGAAATATTAAAGTGAACAGTTTTAGTTTGAGTGATCTCTTCTTATTACCTTTTGTTTCTCCAGCAAGAAACTGCAGGGCCTGAAGAACCAGGTCAGACCAACAGGGAACGGATGAAAACCAGACGTTGAGAGAGCTGGCTGGAGACGACTGCCACATTTGAACTTTGTCCTCCAGCTGTGAGATCAAAATAAAAACTTGTCAGTGTTTTATCAGAGAATTGTTATCTACTTTAAGAGACATATGAAAGACTCTGTAATGACGGCATACCATTAAAGTACTGGCCAGATTTTCTGCTCTTAAGATGCTCTCCAACAAGCTGAAGAAACTGACAGCTATTTCCTCAACTATAGGTGGGCTGCTCTGGGATTCCTCCACAATCCTGCAGTAATGATGCCAAATTAGTCTGAGACAACGTAAGAGTCAATACGTACAACAATAGGACATAAAGATCCTGTGAATATTCTTAACAACAGCAGCACAGTTGACTCACTCCTCCTTGATGTTGGTCAGCGGAGTTGATGGAGTATCCGGCAGGGAGTTGATGATATTTGTGGGTGGAGCTAATTGGGTTTCTGAAGATGTTAGAGTCTCACAGGGATCCTCAGATTCCACTTTTATCGTCCTCATCTTTTTCTTCCTTCTCTCATCTTTCATCTTCTTTTTGGGCAGACACAAATCAAAGAGAGCTGCAGGAAAACAGGAAAGAAACAAAATTAGCAGTTCATCAGGAAATCTATCAGTGTCACACTTAGGGCCTGATTTACTTAAGGTATGTGTGTTTACATGTTTAAGTTATTCACAAACAAACCTAGAAGTTGATCTTCAGATGGCTCATAGATGGCTCTCTTAGGAAGACGTCTACAGACACACATCAGTCTGTTTCAAAGTCACTTCTCATTGGCTATTTTTTTTTTGTTAATACCTGTTTAATAATGTTTAACTTAGAAAAATGCCCTGATTAAATATACATTAGCTGTGGCCTATTTTTGCAGCCACACAAAACTGAATATTCAAAGTCAGTGTAACCTGAAGAAAATTCAAACTCAAATCTACGTCTTCTTGCTTTCCTCTTTTCCCCAATGGTAAAACCCCAAGCAGTGCACTCCTCTCTCTCTCTGCAGTCACCAGCCACTCCACGGTGGGACTGCTTTGATAGAGAGACCTCACCACCGATTCCATTTAGAGCCATTTTCGGGCCAGATACAGTGCATTTTTATTTCTCTTTCTCACTTATACCTCCAATGGTGCTAAATTTCACTCTGCACGTGTTGCCAGTCTGCTTTCAATCCAAACCCTACACAGTGTACACATGTTACATACACAGAACCCTGATTTAAATACCACTATCTCCAGTGTCTTTGCACCTGTTGACATTATAGTTCTTCTTAGTTGATAATGTGCAAAACACACACCAACTAAATGTTGAACTTGCTGGAATATACACAGCATTTAGCTTTCATTGTGTGGTACCTTAAGTAAATCAGGCCCTCACTGTTTGAAAAACGTATTTACTTACACACAGCTCCCTTCCGACCAATATTTGCTCTTGATAGTATGTCTCCAAGGTGAATATCAGAAGTCAATAAATCTGGATGATCCTGTGAAATAAAATCAATAATGTCAGACCATAAACTTCAAACAGAATCACATGTCTTTCCCTTCTGGTATCACTCACTGGCTGCCGCTTCCTCTTCTCTCGATGGTTTTGCAACATGGCTTTCAGGTCTCGCTCCCCAAGTTCAGTTTTTTCTGTAAATTGATAGAACACTTTCAACCGTTTATCCTCAAATGTTTGTGAACCATAATCTGAATTCTGTAGAAATTACCCACCAGTAGTCTTCATGTCTTGTGTGGAGAGGCTGGGAAGAACTCTGAGTGAGACAGTGGGTGTGGGGGAGGAAGGTGACTGTGGTGCTGGATTCCACAATGATATATCTGAAAGTGTATGCAGGGGACATTCAGAGTGCTGGTCAGTTTCACTCATTTGCCTGCTTGCACATAGATTTTACACTCCTAAATGTCTACTGTTTTAACGTCTGAATGAATACCAATTTGACTTTTTTTTTAGAACCTTCTTTATTACCATGATAATCTGAGTACAAATGTATAAACAGTTTTATTGTTTGAAATGACTGACCATCATCATCAGATGAAGCATTGCTGTCTCCACACTCAGCTTTGACCTCCTTCAATATGCGGCTGATTCTTCTTCTCACCCTTGGCTCACGCATTTCAGCGTGAGACTTGGTTGATAATTTCCTTTTTGGTGGAAAGTCCATACCATTCTGAACTGCAAACTTCAGCAGCTCCTACAACAACAACAACAAAAAAAACACATTATGACTGACTGTAAAAGGCCATTTGCCTCACACTTCAAATTTGCAAAAGTACCTTTCTCGAGATGAGTATCTGCTTCAAAAGTCTGTGGTAATACTGCTGAAGGCAGTATAACTGTCGCTTTTTCTGTGACTTTGCACATAGTTGTCTGTACTTGACAACCTCTGGATTGAAATATCCATCTAGGATGAGAAAATGAGAAAACACATGAAAAAGCATGTCATGAATTCCTTCAACATTATATATGGTTGTATTTATTTGTTTATTTATTAACCAGGAAACACCTCTGAATAGTTTTTGTGCAAGATGAAGAGGATTTCCAAAGTTAAAGTTGATGTTGTTGAACAGGTCGCTGATGGAATCGTCCTGCTCCACGATGTTGTTGTCAGGAAACTGTGGCAAAAACTGGCGAAGGTGCTGCCTCTGGGATTCTGACAGTACATCAGTCCAGGTACTTTCACTCATCACGGAGAAGAAGATTTCCGGCTGTTGAAAACAAATGCAAAGCCCATAAATGTCTGAAGCTTCTGCAATGCGTGAAAACGAGAACAGAAAGAGCAGAAATGTGTGTCAGGACACTCACGTCCTCTAGCAGGTCCTCTGGAAGGTTGACTCTGCAGTCTCCCAGCATGCATTCCTCTGTGATTGGGCCATCGTTTTCTTCTTTGGGCTCCAGAGGGTCTGTAAGCATATGAGTAAGGGCATCCATTCTCCCCCTTTGAGCCAAGCTTCAAGTTTTTAATGGAGAAAAACAAACATTAGCCACCAAACATCTTTACGGACACTTCAAGTCACGCAGCACGCAGGTAATGTATGATTGAACGGAACAAGAACTCTTCATTGAGTCTACTGCTCCTAAAAGCAGCAGATACCAATGTCAAAACATCAGATGATGCACAGCGACGCTGATGAGAAAGCTAAGCTAGCAGCTAAGTCAACAATACAGCTGCTTCCAACTACTGGGGGTCTATGTCAACGTTCAAACGATTTAATGTCAAATATGCCTTTGATAAAGTAAATACTGTGGATTAAAAACTGCTTCTAAATCTTACCTGTGCCTGACACTGCTGTTTTGTTTTGGGATTGAAGAGGAGGGAACAATTTGTCCGGCGCACCACCTTCTTCTTCTTCGTCTCCGGACCGGAAACCAACACCGGATGTCGCTCGGTTTCGCGCGCTCTGCTGCTCTCATTAGGGAACTACAGTGGATGGTTGTTCACAACAAAAATAGAAAATGAATTTACCTTTAATGCTATTTTTCACTTCTTACTCTACTCGTTTTATGTATTTTCATTCTCAGTCTTGACTTAATTTGGTGAGGAGGACATCTCTTGTTCTGAACAGTTCAGCTAATTTAATGGTGGCATTATTTTCTGCTCGCATAGAACTGGTTTGTATTTGTAGTTTTTTAATGTTATTTTATTTTAAAAATAATTTTATACAAGACTTTTTCGCTCTTTATAAGCCATACGATTTAAGCCCTTTCCCTATGCATTTCGTACTCTTGAGATAAAACGAAGGGGATGACCGACAACTGGACAAACAAACTCCACAGGTCAGACTGCGCTGAAGTTTGGATGTGATGAAAACAAGCTCCTATTCCACAACTACTACCATAGACTGTATATTCTATGGACAACGCGTTTCCTCCTTCCGCAATTATACGGAATACGGATTTGAAACCGAAAAGCTCTCAGCAATTCCGCGTTTTTTTGTCCATTTCCTGAAACCAACATTGCGCAGTACTGTTGTACGCACTTCACCACTTGCGCAGTAGCGTTGTGCGGCGGGAGAGTCGTCAAGAGTCGCTGTGATGACACTCGGCTCAAACAGCGTATTCCCCAGGTAAACTATGCAATCCTTGAACACCCATAGGCTGTATCAAGTGTCAATCATAGGAAACATAAACCCCCTAATAACTTTTAAAAACAGAGCTGCACAGAAAAAAAGCAAATACTGGTTTGACAATTACTACATGTCAGCGTCGCAACCAGGGGGAGGAAAAAAAAATATTCTGTGTAATTGATTTCTAAAGTTTGTTCACAGCTCAATAAGCTTTACTGGCGGAGGCGGGATTTATGACTTATACTGCAGCCTGTCACCAGGATGTGCTGTTCTCGGAGTGGCTTCACCTAGCAAGGAGGCAGACGGCGTCCGTTCTATATACAGCCGATGACTACTACACATTGGTCTAGACCTCAACGAGATCACTTGAACGTTTTCAGACTTTGTGCTAGTTGTGGAAGCTTTATTCTACCTTTAAAATGGCAAGGAAGGGAAGTTTTCTCCCTTTTTTTTTTAAGTCTTGACCATATTGTACCAGGTCCTGATCCTGAAGCTACCAGCTTTCTCAGACGTAGCTTCACTTATTCTTGAGAGGCTAAAGACTCCTTAATAGATTATATAGTTTTAGATTTGAGAAATCCTCATGCTGAGTGTAAAAATGAGCAGATAAGATGAGTTTTGTGCTTCAAAGGTTAGGTTAATTCCTTAAGAAACTTATTGGGAGATCTTTCAAACATCCAGTGTATTATTATGTTAAATATCAGTGTTAGTATTAGTAATATTAGTGTTCAATTCCATTATCATTCATTCAGTGGTAATGAGATAAGAGAACCTGCATCTTTTATAACAATAATAATAGTAATAATAATAATGATACATTTTATTTATGAGCACCTTTCTCGTCACTCAAGATCACTTTACAGATAAAAAGATTAAAATAAAACAACAAAATAAAAGCAAACATAGCATTAAATGGGACAAAGTAATTACAAAGAGTGGGCTATTAATACTTTCTTGTGGCAGTACAGTGGGAGAGCAGTCATTTGATCCAGTTTATCATCTATAATATCACATACCGTTGTAATATAATGCTTTAGCTACAATAACACAGCTACAGTTCAATGACTGGTTCAGCCTGGTCAGCTTGCTCCACCTCTTTGAGATGTTGTAATGAACAGGAATGAACAGTCAATCTGTCTGCCTCGTAGCACAGCCAGAGAGAGGCACAGGACCCACATTGCCCTTCAGAAACCTTCATACACTTTGCCCTGCCCTATGTGGTGGGTATAGAAGGATCAGAATTGCCTGAACTCAAAGAGGAACATTTTCCCATTTCTCTTAAGGTTTTGCTTTTAATGCCTTGGGAGGATGGCAGAAGGTGCAGATGGAGAGGAGGAGATTCAGTTTCTGCGTACGGTAAGTGATGCTGAGGTCTTATCTGTAGTAGAGTAGAACAATTAAACTTTATTTCACTGAATGTGCAACTATTCATTTTGTTTTTTAAGTTCCTGCTTCATTTTAGATGGTAGACAAATAACTGGGTTACTTTCTGTGCATAGACTGAGCACTGATTGACAAAGACAGGTGGCTGCTTTGTCGGCATTGTTATCTATTTATATCCCAATGGTTACCTGATCTGTTACTGTTTTGTCAGAGAGAGAAACTTCTAGTGCAAGGTGACAGTTAACTCATAAATGTTAAACAAATTATGAAACTCAACCACACTACGGTTACGTTACAAGCTGTAAAACATTTAGACACTGAAACCGTAGTGTCGCTCATTAGCATTTAGAGAATTTAAACACTTCATAAAAACAACACGGTCCTCATGATTTGTAAGTCAGTTTTTGATCATGTTTTTGCTCAGTGAAAAAGCATCACACTTGCGGTCGCAACTGATAAAGATTACTTTCACTTCACTAAAAGAAGAATTCAAGTTTTGTTGCAGAAATCTACAGAGAGGCCAAGCTGAGTTTGGAGTTGTGTTGGAGTTTGGATTACATCATCAAACAGGAGCATCTCAGAGCTAGGTCGAAGTTAGCCCGTCATTTGATGATAAATGTCTGAATTAATATGCTAATGTGAATGCTAGTGTGACCTGTCTGATAAATGTGGCTTATTTTATTGACTTGTCCTAGCGAGCTGGTTGAAGACCTTATATTGGACAGTCCCAGCACAATTGTGAATCTTATCCTTAAATAATTGCAGATTTTATCGTCCAAATTCCTGCCATTATTGATCACTTCACCAGCACATAATAACAACTAAATTGTTCTTTATGTATTCCACCACCTATAGCAAATTTCTCATTGTTGTTGTCTGCTCAGGACAGTGGCGTCCTGGATCTATATCTAAGAGTTTGATTTGTGGTTGCTCAGGACTTAGTTACAAAATACCCTGTTATGTATACTCATGGTGTTGCTGTTTGATGATGGATTACTGTCACAGGCGGAGAGACACTCTTACAGGCTGCAATGCGAGTGTCATTGACCTCTGACGCTGTCAATAAACAGTTTTGACACTTGAATGTTATATGCCTGTAAAGGATGAATCCACTGGGTGTTTTTGTTTTGCCACAACCTCAATTCATTAACTAAGAACAGTTTATTCTCAATACAAATATAATAGTGCACTTTCTTACCACAGTTGAAACTTGACATCAATTTTTCAACTTCATTTATTTGCTCATGTTAGTACGCTGTTTTGTAAGACAATTATTTTAAACCCGTTTATTTCGGCTGTGTTACTCATTGGGGAGATATCAGATTTCCTCTTCAGATCTGTGAGCCAAAGCCTGCAGAAGGGCATTGTGGCCTTGTTGGCAGTCTACTGTATGTAACACCCCTCTATTTGGATGGTCAGCGTTGATGCTTAGGCATTGTAGACGTTCCACATAGTGACACTTGAGTCTCTTTGGATCCGGGTAACTCGAACTCTGGTGTCAGCATTAGTCAGACACTGATTATCTTTAGACTGCATCATGAGAATTACTTGAAAGCTAGTCCCGTGTAGCCACTCGATGATAAATCATGTAGAGCGATCGCACTGTTGAGGGTTTGAACCTGGCTGCCAAATGGGGCCTTTCTATCTGGGAGTTGCATGTTCTTCTCTTGCCTGTATCACGTTTCTCCAGGTTCTCTTCCTTCTTCTCACTCCCAAGGATGTCAGCTAGACCAATTAATAACTCTAAATTACCCATAGGTGTGAGTGTACAACCTCTAGCCCTCTACCTTCACCCAACACTTGACCCTTTGTGGGTAAGCAGAAGTGGGGTTTTTGTCACACTAAACTTTTTGCCTCATAAATCTAAAAAAAAAACAAAAGACATGTTTTGAAACGGCCTTCTCCTGGAGCGTTAAACAGCTGTAAAGTAAAATATGACAACAATGTGACACAAAGTTACTGTCAGTCTGTTGCAGTTCACCCTGAACTCGGCCGAATTCTATATTTAGCGTGTGAGGATTAACAGGTTCCAAGCTTGGCCCACTTCAGCACCTGCTTACTTCAGTCCATGTGGGAACTTTACATCTATAACTAGATCAAATTATGTTGTCCAATGATGCTCTCAGGACATCACCCCAGGCTTTCTTGATGGATGTTTTAAATGGCAAACCAGGGGGGAAAAGAGAGAACATTTGGCGAAAACTACATAGTCAGGCCTCGAGTCATTCAGTCTATCAGTCCATTTCTGAAATAGTCGCTGATGTTTTGATTATGTTTATTGAGCTGTCTTTCAACATTGTATTTTTGAGTCTGTCTGGCACAAGTAGGTGGCAACTCTATTAGTTGTTGAACCACTTAAAGTAATCATCAGTTTTCCATTGCAGTATCTGTTGTTGACAGCTTCAGATCTTATTATGATGACGTGCACATAAAACGAGTCACACAATAGTTTTAACAGCTGTCTAACACTCACTTTATTTAGATGGAACAGAGTGAGTGTCTTGTTGATGGCATGTGCCTTGACTGAGATGTTTGCGGATAAAAACAAACAGCTAAAGTTTTAGCCTAAGGCGACTCAGTAGATTTTTGAATACTGCTCCCCTCAGCAGGAAGTTAAGTGCTGATTAAGTTAGGGTAATATGGGCCAATCATTGTACTGGCAGTCAAACCCCGAATATCTGTTGCTTTCCAGAAAGGGATGTGTGAACAGCAGGTGCAGCGGCTTGAAATAGAGAGCTAGAGGGGAGTGGCTGGTGTCTGACGCCAGAGAGGTGGGGATTTTAGAGCTGGGTCAGGGACAGCAGGCACAGAGAGAAGCACTGATGGTGAAAAACGTATAAAAGTTTATGAGAGGCTGTGTGAGGACATAACCGTCGCCAAAGAAAAAAAGGGGGGATCTAAAAATAAGATAAAAATACTACATTTGAGAGAAAAGGTACTAAAAACAAGTAAAATTATCTGTCCATGCAGCGAGATATATCACTTGACAAGATTTATTAAATGAAGATTATTAAATCTAGAAATAAGCATGTCTACAAATGTATTGGAGGGCTAAAAGTGAGCCAGAAACGCTGGTTTTGAGGTCAGATTACTAAAAATTTAACTTTTACAGCCACCAAAAAAATACTAAATATAAGCATAAAATAACTATAAAATGCTGGTGTTTCAAGATTAGATTACTTGAAATTTAACTTTTACAGCCCTAAAAGAAATATAAGTATAAGGTAAGGAGAAAATCCTGGTTTTAAGATGAGATAACTTAAAAAGTAACTTTTTCACAGCCTCAGAATAAGTGAAATATACTAAATATAAGCAATTACATATTTTGTTTTCTTATTTTTAGCAAATCAAGCTGAAGATTAGTTTAACAAAAATAGAAATTTAGAGAAAAAAAACAGTATTAGTGAAGAAAGACTAAACTCTGTCTCAATCTAAGCAGGCATGTCTTGAAACAGGGCTTACTTAATCTTTTAAAAAGTTTCCTTATGATGAGGAATATAAATTATTTTAACAGTTATTTTCCTCATTTTAAGATTTCCTGCCTATTTGAGACAAAAAAGATAAGGTTATGCTTGATATAAGATTATAGTGTAAAGTTAAACACTTACACTAAGAAATTAAGTCTTAAAACAAGAGAAATTATCAAACACTTCTAAATCTAAGTTTTTTTTGTCTTGGTAAGAACCAAATAATTTGCAGTGTATGTATTTGTTGGCCCCAGGTTTCATTTCTTTTATATTTCTTTTATGTATATCTATAAATATAGTTATTATATAAATGTTTCTTTTATATTTGTTGTTATGGTGTTGTTTTTTGTGTAAAGACTGCCATTTATGTGGTGGGATATAGTCAGACAAACATCTAACTATCTGTATTTTTTTATTATTATTACTCTCCTGGTGTACATAGCTTCTCCTTGATTTGTTCAGCTTGTCATGCAAGCCCCTATACTACACATAAATATACCATGTGCCTTATGAATCTAGTCTAAAAGATGATTACATACACCAATTTTATTATGGTAACACCCATTATTCCAGTAACTTTGCAAACTTATATACATAGATGTCTTAGCAAAGTAATGTGTAGAGGATGGATTTTTACTTAAGTCATGAAATAGAAAAAAAAAAACATTAGGTTATACAGTATGTTTCAGATCATGACTGATATTTATGTCAGAAGCAACACTAGACTGTATCATTTTATACATTTGATCAGCTTGATTAATTGGCTGGATCAATAAATCAGTCCATCTCTCCTTTGAAGAGGTATTATGCATCAAGATTTGTTGTAAGCACTTTCACATATAAAGTATGATAACAGGTTTTTCAGCGTATATTGCAGATTGTGGGGGAAATATTATTAGAGGCTTTTTTGGCTTTGCGGGTAGCTGCATCACTAAGTGTAATTTGAAGAAGAAGAAGAAGAAGAAGTAGAACTTTATTGATCCCCAAGGGGAAATTTAATTATGCAGTATATCAATTTTGTTGTTTTATTTTGTGGTGAAAATGTAAGCTCTTCGTCTCTTTTTAGTGCTCGCAGATCAACAACCTTACCCAAACCTCTAAATGAACTGTTGGAAGATGTTTTGCCGCGTGGGGGCCTTGTTTTGACAAGAAAAAGTGTGATAGGACAAAAGATTATTCCACTGGTTCTCCTATAGCGAGTTTTCAAAATCACTAGCTATCTTTTCCCAGAACACCTAATTTTTTTCCAAGCTGGGGGTCTTTGCTACGATTTTTTTTTGTGAAAATGTCCAAAAGATCCTCACTTTGAGCTTCTTTATTTCTGTAGGATGATCAAGTGGTGCTGCAGTGTACTGCAGCTATTCTGAAGGAGCAAATCAAGCTGTGTCTGTCATGTGAAGGATTTGGGAATCGACTGTGTTTCCTTGAAACAACCTCGAATGCTCAGGTAGAGACTGTTTTATGTTTTGTTTTGTTTTTTTGACATGTGTCTTTGAGTTTTGAAGTCAGCACCATTCACCAAGTTTTCTGGTCACTCTGTGTGTCTAGAATGTCCCCCCAGACCTCGCTATCTGCTGCTTCATTTTGGAGCAGTCCCTGTCTGTGCGGGCACTACAGGAAATGCTGTCTAACACTTCTGTCGATGAGGTAAGAAAAATTTAGTACGGTGTGCTTCTTTTCAAGGATGTGAAAATGATATGTAACAAATGGGTTGAGTAAACTGACAGCTGAAACTCTCTTTGTTTCTTTTTGACTCATCACCTCATGTTTCTTCATTCTGCCAACCACAGGCTGTCGATTTGGACAAATGGGTATGTTTACACTACAAGTACCTTAAAAAAACAAATTATTTTTTATCATTGAGCAACTTGGTTTGGAAAAAATCTAGTGATTTTTGTCAATTACACCTAGATAAATTCAGCTGAATTCAAATTTACAACTTCCTCCTTTTTGTCCATGTAAATGACTCGATCTATTCCCTCAGTCCTCACAAGGTGGAGGTCACCGCACTCTGCTGTACGGCCATGCCATCCTTCTGAAACACACTCACTCCAGCATGGTAAAGAAAGGATGTGGCTCTTACTGTTGTATGACCCCCGAACCCCAGTCCTTTAATGTTTTGATTTGACACTAATTGGTTATCTCTTTATTTCACTGCAGTATTTGAGCTGCTTGACAACTTCACGCTCACTGACAGACAAACTGGCTTTTGATGTGGGCTTGCAGGAAGACTCCACAGGTGGCTTTGCACTTCACTGGACATTATTCCGAACATTTAGAGATGTAGATTTATGTATTCTGAATCTATTTGTCCGTCACAGGGGAGGCCTGCTGGTGGACCATACATCCAGCCTCCAAACAAAGGTCAGAAGGAGAGAAGGTCAGGGTGGGAGATGACCTCATTCTCGTCAGTGTTTCCTCTGAGAGATATCTGGTAACCATGGCTCTAAACTAGATGCACCCTTATTGACTTTTTCGTAGCTGATTTGACCAGTGATACAAACTCTACTTTACACAGCATCTGTCCTACGCCAGCGGTGACCTGATGGTTGATGCCTCCTTCATGCAGACTCTGTGGACAATGACCCCTGTAATGTCGGGTTGTGAGCTAGTTGAAGGTTTGTTATCTAGATAATCTAGTTGCTTTAAGAGAAACTCTTTTTTTTTTTTTTTACCACAAATCCACTTGCTAAGTAAATGATACCCTTTCTTAAGGTTTCCTGATTGGAGGGTATGTGCTCAGACTTTTCCACGGTCACATGGATGAATGTTTAGCAATCCCTGGAGCTGACCAGGGAGACGACCAGCGCAGGTGAGAACCTTCCTTGATCCTAACATTATAAATAAAAATCTATAGTGCTAGGTCCTAGGAGCTTTTCTACACTACCTTAGTTTAGACTAGTGAAAGCCGAAAATAACAACATTTTATTAAACAAGTCTCTCTCAGTTCATCAGAAACATACAGAAACGATTTTTCCTGCATGTTTCTGCCATTAAATAAAGTTGAAGTCTGATTGTTAACATCTTATCAAAACATTTGTAATTATCAACCCTAACCACTGATGACTTCTATAATGTATTTTCCAGAGTTGCTCATTATGAAGGAGGAGCTGTATGCAGTCACGCTCGCTCCTTGTGGAGGCTCGAACCACTTCGTATCGCGTAAGAGTCCTAAAACGTATATTACAAATATTTGCTGGTATTTAATGGTTTTCAGTAAGATGACTCTTATGAATATGTGTCTGTTTGTAGCTGGAGTGGGGGCCACATCAAATGGGGCATGCCTTTCCGGATACGTCACATCACAACAGGCAGATACCTTTTTCTGGACGAAGAGAAAGGGCTTTTGCTGGTAGACGCAGAGAAGGCAAACTCCAAGATGACAGCTTTCTGCTTTAGGATTTCAAAGGTCAGTGTCATTCAGAGACACCTGTGCCAGAGTTCCTCCTGATTTCTGAGACAAACGTGTGAAACATTGAATCTCTCTTCAGATTTTATGAACACACTTTTTTTGAAACTACAGGAAAAAATAGAGGTGGCACAGAAGAGAGATGTGGAAGGAATGGGCATACCCGAAATCAAGTATGGAGAGTCCATGTGCTTCGTACAGCATGTTTCAACAGGCCTCTGGCTGACATATGCTGCAGTTGATGCCAAAACTGCCCGCCTGGGTCCTCTAAAGAGAAAGGTAAAGCTAGAATATACAACAATAAGAACTATAACACATCCAGCTGGCCTGTACTGTATGTATTTTTGTTGAGTGCTGTTTGCTCACCTCTGTGCTGAAATTTTAGGCCATACTTCATAAAGAGGGTCACATGGACGATGCACTCACTGTGGCTCGATCTCAAACAGAAGAGTACCAAGCAGCCAGAATGATTTACAGTACAACAGCTCTCTTCAACCAGTTCATCAAGTACTGAAACATGACTCCACTCATATCTATCTAATAATTTTCTGTTGAAATCATTCTTTAGATAAAGCAAACGATCTTTTGTTTTTCTCTTTGCTTTTTCATGTCTTCAGAGGTCTGGATGCTCTAAGTGGGAAAAACAAATCTGCCAACCCCCAATCCCTGCCCATGGACATGGTGGTCCTCTCCCTGCAGGATCTCATTTTCTACTTCCGACCTCCAGAGGAGGAGCTGGAGCACGAGGACAAACAGTTCAAGCTTCGCTCGCTCAAGAACAGACAGAACCTCTTTCAGGAAGAGGTAAATCTACCTACAGAGGAACTGAACATGTAACATTTGCAAGTTTTTTTGGTTGATGTGTTTCCATACAATGAAAGTATTTCAGTTCCCTTAAAGTTTTAGTTTTCGTTAACAGGGAATGATTACTCTTGTCCTGGACTGTGTCGATCGGCTCAACGTCTACAACACGGCTGCCCACTTCTCAGAGTACGCTGGAGAAGAAGCTGCTGAGTCGTGGAAGGAGATAGTTAACTTACTCTATGAGTTGCTTGGTATGCTAACCTGATTTCTCTTTGGATTTTGGATCAGTCATTTGTTTCCAGCATTCTTGTTTGTAATAGTGATCCATTAACAATCATTCACTGTACTTTTGCTCAGCTTCTTTGATCAGAGGTAATCGTGCCAACTGTGCCCTTTTCTGTGATAACCTGGACTGGCTGGTCAGTAAATTGGATCGGCTGGAGGCATCTTCAGGTACCAGCGATGCAAATATTTATCATGGACATATAGAAGACATTTGCTCTACAAGATTAAAAAAAAACACCAGTTATCTGTGCAAATAGTCGAAGCTGCATTCATTTGAATATCTAATAACTTAAAGCAGTCTAAAGCGATAATCATGTAAAAATGTTTCTCTTATGTCTCTTATGTCCTTTTCTGTTACACAATGTAAACAGTTGCTGCTAACCTTTAGTCACTCATTGTGATATTTCTCTGACAGGGATCTTGGAGGTGCTTTATTGTGTTCTGATTGAGAGCCCTGAGGTGTTGAATATCATTCAGGAGAACCACATTAAATCAATCATCTCCCTGCTCGATAAGCATGGACGCAATCACAAGGTGAGACAAATGTAACACTGACTTCGATGTTTATCATCTGGTTTCTATTTTCTGTTGTTGATAATCAGCTACTGTAACATCAAATATCTATTCGGGTTCATGGGTTGGTGGCTCCATTTCTTTGACAGGTCTTGGATGTGCTCTGTTCTCTGTGCGTGTGTAACGGGGTGGCGGTGAGGTCCAATCAGAATCTCATCACAGAGAATCTGCTGCCGGGTCGTGACCTCCTACTTCAAACCAACATTATCAATTATGTCACCAGGTGGGTCTAGTTGTTAAAGCTTTGTTCTCTTTTTTTCTTTTTATATGCCAAATCCTCTAATCCTCTGCATCGACTGAAGTTTTAGTTTTGTGGTTCTCCTTTAGCATGAGGCCCAATATTTTCCTTGGAACTTGTGAAGGATCCACTCAGTATAAGAAGTGGTATTTTGAGGTGATGGTGGACCACGTGGAGCCGTTCATCTCAGCTCAGCCATATCACCTACGTGTGGGTTGGGCTCTGACAGAGGGATACAGTCCTTACCCCGGTGGAGGAGAGGGTTGGGGCGGCAATGGCGTAGGGGATGACCTCTACTCCTATGGTTTTGATGGACTTCACCTCTGGTCAGGTAAAGTAAAGCTAATCATAGATAAATATGTATTTATTGCCTTATAATTAAATCTTATCTTTTGCATTTGTGCCTTTACAACTTAGTTTTCCTACAAGTCTACAAGTCATGTAGATCAGGTCTGCACAACAGTATCTACATTGACTATTAGGTGTTAATTCATTTCACAGGTCGTGTGCCACGCCATGTTGCTACACCCAACCAACACGTCTTGGCAGCAGAGGATGTCATCAGTTGTTGTTTAGATCTGAGCGTGCCCAGTATTTCTTTCCGAATCAACGGCCATCCTGTCCAGGGCATGTTTGAGAACTTCAACCTGGATGGCTTGTTCTTCCCCGTTGTCAGCTTCTCTGCGGGCGTCACGTAAGCTATGACGAAATAAAAACTGAAGGATTATGACAAAGTCTTTCTTGTTAAATCAAATAATGAATTATTCTACTCTGGCTGCCAGGTTGCGTTTTCTGCTCGGAGGGCGTCATGGAGATTTCAAGTTCCTCCCTCCTCCAGGCTACGCTCCGTGTTATGAAGCAGTGCTGCCAAGGGATCGTTTGCGGATTGAACCCATCAAGGAATATAAACACGATTTCGATGGTGTCCGTAATTTGTTGGGTCCCACTCAGTCTCTCTCACATACCGCTTTCACTCCCTGCCCTGTAGACACAATACAGGTAAAATACATGTTCCACCTCATTTTCCTTTTGGCTCTTCCACTGCACCTTTTTCACCTACACCTTTACATCACCTTTTCAGATCGTACTTCCTCCTCATTTGGAGAGAATTCGAGAGAAGCTTGCTGAAAACAGCCATGAGTTATGGGCCGTCACTCGCATTGAGCAAGGGTGGACCTTCGGGCCAGTGAGTGCTTTTAGTGTTCCTGACTTGTTGCTCAGAATTTGTTTTACACTCTAAGAATTCGTCAGACATTCTTCCTTTTTGCTTTCATCAAGTTTCGTGATGACAACAAGAAGCTGCACCCATGTCTGGTAGATTTCCAGAGTCTGCCTGAACCAGAGAAGAACTACAATTTAGCAATGTCAGGAGAGACACTCAAGTAAGCTGGTGCCTCCTCCTTATAAACAGCATTATTCTTTTATCTCTGTGTTTAATGCCTCTTGTGATTCATTTCAAAGGACTCTGCTGGCACTGGGCTGTCATGTAGGAATGGGGGATGAGAAAGCAGAGGAGAATCTGAAAAGGACCAAACTTCCAAAAACGTGAGTTGCAAACCATCAACATGTTTACTGTTAGTGGCCTTGCCCCACAAGATCAGTTCTCATCAAAATGAATTGTTTATTAGTTACATGCAGAGCAGTGGATATAAACCGGCCCCTCTAGACCTCAACCATGTCAAGCTAACTCCAAATCAGAACACTCTGGTGGAGAGACTGGCAGAAAACGGGCACAATGTCTGGGCAAGAGACCGAGTTCGCCAGGGCTGGACATACAGTATTGTGCAGGTAAAGTCATTTATATGTGCTGCTCCATGTTGCCACAATAACTGAAATTGGAAGTATCTGCAGGGGAGAGTTTTCGGTGATTTTATTTTTTCTTTATTTTTGCATAACTGCTCTAATTTTTATATTTGGTAGGATATAATGAACAAGCGCAATCCCCGTCTGGTTCCTTACAACCTGCTGGATGAAAAGACGAAAAAGACCAACAGAGACACCGTTTGTGCTGCTGTTCGCACTCTCCTTGGATATGGTTATAATATAGAACCACCTGACCAGGAGAGCAGTAAGTTTGCACAGTTTTCTATTAGTAAGATGACAGGAATTTGGACTCAAGACTCAAGTTAAATAATTCTTGAAGTTACAAGTGTACATCGCTGTGTTTTTGTTATTGCAGGCGGGGATGGACCAGGCTGCTCCCGCGGAGATAAGATCAGAGTGTTTAGAGCAGAGAAGTCTTACGCTGTCACACAGGGGAAGTGGTACTTTGAGTTTGAGGCTGTGACCGTTGGGGAGATGAGAGTGGGCTGGGCTAGACCGTGTGTTCGCGCAGACACTGAACTTGGTGCGGATGAGTTGGCCTACGTCTTCAATGGTTTCAAGGTGGGAGTGAGACGTATTTTATATGATTAAGAAAGACTGGAAAGGTAAGGTAAGTCTCTAAAACTGTCAGCTTTCTGTTTCAGGCCCAACGCTGGCATGTGGGGAATGAGCCATTTGGCCGTCAGTGGCAATCTGGTGATGTGGTGGGTTGTATGATTGATCTCACAGAGATGAACATCATGTTCACACTCAATGGAGAGATGTTGATCAGTGACTCAGGATCAGAGATGGCCTTCAAGGATATTGAGGTTGGAGAGGGTAAGTACTGCAGCTACTGGTGGTAAACTCATTTTGAAGTCAAGACACTGTGGTATCCTGTTTAATTGTGATAATTCATTCACGTGTACGACACACCCCAGGCTTCATACCTGTGTGCAGTCTGGGCCTGTCTCAGGTTGGCAGGATTAACTTGGGTCAGAATGTCAGCAGCCTTCAATACTTCACCATCTGCGGCCTGCAAGAGGGATTTGAACCCTTTGCCATTAATATGAAAAGAGACATCACCATGTGGTTCAGCAAGAGTCTTCCTCAGTTCATCAACGTACCTACTGATCATCCCCACATTGAGGTATGTGTTGGTTTGAACTGAGATATCTTTTGTGTTCCCTGTCACCTTACTCCCTTTTCATATGCTTTAGGTGTCCCGCGTCGATGGGACAGTGGAAACAGCCCCTTGTCTAAAAGCGACCCACAAAACCCATGGATCCCAAAACGCCAACACAGATCTGCTGTTCTTCAGACTCAGCATGCCAGTTGAGTTTCACGAGACCTTCAAAGTCCCAGCTGGGACTACTCTCCTTACCCGCGCCTTGACTATACCTGAGGATGAGGTGGTGGAAGTGGACCCAGACTCTGACTTTGAAATACTGAAGAAGTCGGCAACTCGCAAAGAGCAGGAGGAGGAGAAGAAAGAACCGTCTGTGCCTAAAGAGATCCCTGCTGCCAAGAATGGAGAGAACGAGAAGGATGCTTCCACGGAGAAGAGCAAAAAGAAAGGGTAGATAATGAGAAAATGGATGAATTCAAGTTTAGGAGGACTCAGCGAGAGTACTGGATTTTTATTATGATATCTAATTGTTGTTTACAGATTCTTCTCCAAGGCCAAGAAGGCTGCATTAATAAATCCACCCCCTGTTGTTCCCACAATGCCTCGCTTGGTAGAAGATGTGGTGCCTGACGATAGGGATGATGTCGACATTATCCTCAATACCACTACAGTATGAATGTTCCTAAGATTATTTTGTTTATAACCTATGCTGTTTACTCAAAATGTAATCATTCATTAACAACAACAAAAAATTATTAGAATAAAAGCAGTATTTTTACATTGAAGTTTTTTTGTCTGTACTGTTACAGCTCAAACATCTGTGTTAGACCATCTTGACTACAAAATAACTTTATTCCACACCAATGTCCTATTTTTTTTTACTAGTACTACTATTCTGTGCGAGTGTTTGCGGGGCAGGAGCCCAGTGGTGTGTGGGTGGGCTGGATCACCCCTGACTATCACCAGTATGACCTTCACTTTGACATGAACAAAGTGAGGAACGTAACCGTCACTGTAGGTGATGATAAAGGCAACATACATGACAGGTATGTCGATCTAGTAAACGAGATGTAAGAATAGTTTTTGTCTTTAGAAATGATCAACATGTGATAACTGTTTGTTCCTCATCTTCATGTCTTCCCCCAGTATTAAACGTAGTAACTGCTACATGATATGCGGAGGGGAGTTCAGCAGCTCTCAGCAGACCAGAGTGAGTCAAGAGGACTTTATAATTGGCTGCCTCATTGACTTGGACACAGGACTCATGACTTTCACTGCTAACGGAAAAGAGATCAACACATTTTACCAGGTCAGCAATGTTTCACTCGTGTGTTTATACAGTACTTCATAAGGTCTACTTAAATAATGCAAACATGATATTTTTGCTTTTTGTAGGTGGAGCCCAACACCAAACTGTTCCCAGCAGTCTTTGTTCTTCCTACCAGCCAGAATATGGTTCAGTTTGAGTTAGGCAAACTGAAGGTTGGTAACGAATGGTCTCAGTCTAAATCCAGACTTCTGCACCACTTGGCCAACTTTGCTCTGTTCCTGTTTCTATCATCCATAATTTCTCTATCTTTCCAGAACATAATGCCGATTTCAGCAGCCATGTTTCGCAGCGAACGCAAGAACCCTGTCCCCCAATGCCCCCCAAGACTTGATGTTCAAATGTTAACCCCAGTCATCTGGAGCCGCATGCCCAACAATTTCCTGGCTCCAGAGACCGGCCGTGTTAGTGAGAGACTGGGCTGGATGGTGCAGTGCCAGGAGCCGCTCACTATGATGGCTCTCCACATCCCTGAAGAGAACAGGTCAGAGCTGCATCACACGGTATATCAGACAAATTCCTGAGAATTATCAGCGTAATTAATTCTCTTGCACCTTCCAGATGTATTGACATCCTGGAGCTGTCTGAACGCATGGACCTGCTGAAGTTTCACTATCACACTCTGAAGCTGTACGGCTCAGTGTGTGCTCTGGGGAACAATCGTGTTGCTCACGCTCTGTGTAGCCATGTGGACGAGTCTCAGCTCTTCTACGCCATAGAGAACACCTACCTGCCCGGACCAATGAGGAGCGGCTTCTATGACCTGCTCATCAGCATGCATCTGGAGTCTGCCAAGAGGAACAGACTGGGAACCAACAAGGAGTTCATAGTTCCAATGACAGACGAGACACGCGGTATCACCCTGTACTATGACAAATCTCAGGCCTTACCTGGAGTTGGCCTCACAACGTGTCTGCGCCCCAAGCTTCATTTCTCCTCCGTTGGGTTTGTAGGAACAGATCCAGACATCTACACTCTGAGCCCAGTTATTCCCTTACAGGTGAGATTTGACAGATTTGGCATTTTAAGAGAACATTTAAAACCCCTGGACTTATATATTTGCTTGTATTTGCAGGTTTTGAAGACCAAAGCCTTGAACATGCTAATTGAAGCTGTTCAAGATGGAGGTCAAGCCATGAGAGATCCTGTGGGAGGAAGTGTTGAGTTTCACTTTGTTCCAATCCTGAAGCTCATCAATACGCTCCTCATCATGGGTGTATTTGATGATGAAGATGTCACACACATCCTGAAGATGATTGAGCCCACTGTCTTCAGTGCCAAGAAGGCAGAGGAGCCTGCTAAGGAGAGCCCCAAGGCGAAGGAAGAGAAGGAACCGCCAAAAGATGAAGCTGTGAAGGAGGAAGAGCAGGCGGGATTGGAGGAGGAGGAAGAAGAAGAATATGAAGATGATGGCTTGGGTGAAGAGGAGGAAGAAGAAGAAGAAGTGGAGGAAGAGGAAGAGCCTGAGCAGACAGAGTCCGTTGTACCTCATGAAGAAGTGACTGAGGAGACAGAGCCGGTGAATGGTGAGAAAGGAGCAGAGGAAACGGAGAAGGAGGCTAAAGAGGAGAGTAAAAAAGAAGATCTGGAGCAAGGACTTTTCCAGATGAAGCTCCCTGAGTCCGTCAAATTGCAGGTTTGATTTTTCTTCTGCTGATTGTGAACTAAAAAGTTTTGCCCATGTCATGATCGTGTTTATGTGGAAGCAAAAAGTTTAACTGCTCTTTTTTTGCCTTTAGATGTGTACCTTACTGCAGTATTTCTGTGACTGTGAGCTACGCCACAGAGTTGAAGCCATCATCGCCTTTTCAGACCAGTTTGTGAGCCAGATACAGTTCAACCAGAGGCACAGATACAATGAACTTATGCTGGCTTTCACTATGAGCGCAGCCGAGACTGCTCGCAAGACACGTGAATTTCGCTCCCCACCACAAGAGCAGGTACAACCATTTCGTACCAGCACAGTGACGGATCAAAAGAAACTTGGAGGATTGTTCAAATACAGTAAATATCTTTATTTTTTGTGCAGGTAAACATGCTCATGAACTTTAAGGGCTGCCCTGATGATGAAGAGTGCCCTGTACCTGATGAGGTCCGCGAATCTCTGCTGGCTTTCCACAATGCTCTGCTGACACACTGTGGTCAGTTTTTATCCAGAGTACCAAGTTTACCTACATTAGAACTATAAATGACTAACACATCAAGAAAAACTACAGAGTGATTTAAAAACATGCCTTTCAGGTGTTCATATTGAGGAAGAAGAGGAAGAGGAAGAAGTTGATAATTCACTTCGTGGGCGACTGCGCAGATTGTTGGAAAAAGTGAAATCCTTCCGCAATAAGAAGGTTGACGTGGAGCCGGAGCCGCAGGAGGATAAAAAACCAAGTGAGCCTCTTGTTTGTTCCATGACGCTTAGAGCTGTATCAACATCTGTCAGGGAGAAATAAAAAAACACACTTTGTTTAGCAATGAAAGACAAAGGATCAGGTTGTAGCCACCTCCACACTGAAATGTTTAACACAGACGTAATTACTTACTAACTCTCTGTTCCCGATTTTTAAGGCACCCTGCAGGAGCTGATTTCACACAGTATGATCCATTGGGCCCAGGAGTCGTTTATTCAAAACCCAGAGTTGGTGCGTATGATGTTCAGCCTCCTTCACAGGCAGTATGACGGGCTGGGGGAGCTTATGCGTGCCCTCCCCAAGGCCTACACCATTAACCAAGTATCTATCAACGACACCATGGACCTGCTCGAGTGCTTAGGTCAGATCCGCTCACTGCTTATTGTTCAAATGGGTCCAGAAGAAGAAAGGCTGATGATTCAGAGCATCGGGTTGGTTTAACATTTACTCCATCCTGAATATTTGTCCTTCAAGCAAAATTATTAATCACTTCAGTATTAGTAACTTCATTTTGGCTTCTTTATTGTACCTCCATAGGAACATCATGAGTAACAAAGTCTTCTATCAGCACCCTAACTTGATGCGAGCCCTTGGCATGCATGAAACCGTCATGGAGGTCATGGTTAACGTACTTGGTGGTGGAGACTCAAAGGTATACTTTTATTAAACTTTATTTGTCATGTTCAAGTAACACATACACTTTCTAATTTACCACAACATACAAAAAAATGTTTTAACTTTGTTTGTAAAACACTTCCTTTCAATAGGAGATCAGATTTCCCCGAGTGGTGACAAACTGTTGCCGATTCCTCTGCTATTTCTGTCGCATCAGTCGTCAAAATCAGCGCTCTATGTTTGACCATCTCAGCTACCTCCTCCAGAACAGTGGCATTGGTCTAGGTGATTATCCTTGTTTAGTAGCAGCATTATTCTCTGTTTTTGTTTTGTAATTTTTGTGACGTATGACTTGTTATAAACCGGACATTATGTGCGGTTCTGTAGGAATGCGGGGCTCCACTCCGTTGGATGTGGCTGCAGCTTCTTGTATCGATAACAACGAGCTGGCATTGGCTCTTCAAGAGCAGGACCTAGAAATGGTAACACAACCTACTATTCAAAATCAAACAAATTAATAGAAGAAATTTTCTTGATCGTTTTGGTTTTCTTACATCTTTCAAGGTGGTGAAATATTTAGCTGGATGTGGACTTCAGAGCTGTCCAATGCTGCTGTCCAAAGGCTACCCTGACATTGGCTGGAATCCTTGTGGTGGAGAGAAGTACCTCGACTTTCTACGCTTTGCTGTATTTGTCAACGGTATGATTTTGACTTTACCCTATTTGCAGTATTGTCTCTATTTTCCTCCCTTATTGGTCACATCAAACACATACTCTCATCTTATCTGCAGGAGAGAGCGTAGAAGAGAACGCCAATGTGGTGGTGCGGCTCCTCATCCGCAGGCCTGAGTGCTTCGGTCCGGCCTTGAGAGGGGAGGGTGGAAACGGTCTTTTGGCTGCAATAGAGGAGGCCATCAAAATATCAGAGGACCCTGCGAGGGATGGCCCCAGTGTGAAAAAAGACAGACGCTTTCCCATGTAAGAGGTTTCAGATTTGTCTGAAGGTTTTCTGATCATATTGAGGAAGACTTTTGTGATTTTTTTAAATCACTGTCACTTTTTGGTTCCAGGTTTGGGGGAGAGGAGCAGCATGAGGAGAACAGGGTGCATCTGGGTAATGCGATCATGTCCTTTTACTCAGCCCTGATTGACTTGCTTGGACGCTGTGCACCAGAGATGCATGTAAGCTGATAAAAATAGCTAAATAACATGATGAACTTAGTACAGTGTTGAGAGAGAATAAAATACAGCTCTAGTTGAAAATGTCTGTGACTGTCTCAACAGTTGATCCAGGCTGGTAAGGGTGAGGCTCTGAGGATCAGGGCCATCCTGAGGTCACTGGTCCCTCTTGAGGATCTGGTGGGAGTCATCAGCCTCCCAGTCCAGATTCCTTCTTTTGGAAAAGGTAACACATGAAGAACGCAGAACTCATTTAGTTTGGTCAACACATGGAGAATAGTGTCCAAATCTGAAATAGCACTAATTTTCATAGTCTAAGCATCCTTTGTTATTATTTCACCAACTTATTTGTATTACAACTTTACATGTCATTTACATCCTCCCTAAATATTTTCCCTGTCACGCCCAGACAACAGCATCATAGAACCAAAGATGTCTGCAAGTTTTGTCCCTGACCACAAGGCTCCCATGGTTCTGTTCCTGGACAGGGTTTATGGTATTGACAACCAGGATTTCCTTCTCCATGTACTGGAGGTGGGCTTTCTGCCAGACATGAGGGCGGCTGCCTCCCTGGACACGGTGAGCTTTGAAGGGTTTTCAAAGCTACAGTTGTATGTTTATGGGTAAGGTGCAGCAGGATTGTAACCTCACAATATTTACAGCTACTGTTTCTGTTCGACAGGCTGCTTTTAGCACCACAGAGATGGCCCTCGCTTTGAACCGCTACCTGTGCTCTGCTGTTTTGCCACTCATCACCAAGTGTGCCCCACTCTTCGCTGGAAGTGATCACAGAGCTATAATGATTGACTCCATGTTGCACACAATCTACCGGCTGTCTCGTGGACGTGCTTTCACCAAGGCCCAGAGGGACATCATTGAAGAGTGCCTCATGGCTTTGTGCAAGTGAGATTTATATCATGGGATACCGTTGAAGTCACTAATTATCATGAGGGTCATGCTGAGGTTGATTAAATTCATCTTTTTTTAAGACATCTGCGCCCCTCCATGCTTCAGCACCTGCTCAGGCGGCTGGTGTTTGATGTGCCCATCCTCAATGAGTATGCGAAAATGCCACTGAAGGTATGAAGCTCTGACTCTTTCACCCACTTCCTAATTTGTGTGTTTGCTTTCCGTTTTCTGAATTTACATTATTACATCTTTTTTACTTGGCATCGTTCAGCTCCTGACCAATCACTACGAGCGGTGCTGGAAATATTATTGCCTCCCTAATGGTTGGGCCAACTTTGGAGTAGCATCAGAGGAGGAGCTGCATCTGACCCGCAAGCTGTTCTGGGGGATCTTTGAATCTTTAGCACACAAGGTTGAGCTCCTACAGCATGACATTTTTCTGTCCTGAATATTTGAAGGGATGTTGTGGATATCCTGATGTGTGTTGTTTTTGTGCTTCCAGAAATTTGACGCTGAAATTTTCAAGATTTCTATGCCGTGCATTTGTGCCATTGCTGGGGCCATTCCTCCTGACTATGTAGACGCAAGCTACTCCTCAAAAACAGAGAAAAAGGCTTCAGTAGACGCTGAAGGAAACTTTGATCCCAAACCAGTAGAGACCACAAAGTAAGAAGAGTGGTGTTATTTTGTTTATACATTATACATTTATACTGAAGTCAAATAAACTGTGATTCTTCTTCAAACCACAGCACCATCATCCCTGAGAGGCTGGATCCCTTTATTAACAAATATGCTGAATACACACATGATAAATGGGCCTTTGAAAAGGTAAAAAGTCTGACTTCGCACTACAGTGGTGTAACAGTTTTTAAAACAAATTCAGAAGCATTATGCTGAGCTAGTTTTGGCAAAACATCATGTGAAAGGAAGCACAGGAATTAATTCTGTTTTTCAAGTTAAAAAAAGACTTAAACACAATTTTGATGCACATGTGTTTTCCAGATTCAGAGTAACTGGTCGTATGGCGAGGTGCTGGATGAAAACGCAAAAACTCATCCCATGCTCAGACCATACAAAACCTTCTCAGAAAAGGTAAGTTCACGATCACTGCATGCATTTTCCATCGACTGTCTCGGCTTCTCTTTACACGTACGTTTCCCTCGACAGGACAAAGAGATCTACCGTTGGCCAATCAAAGAGTCAATCAAAGCCATGCTTGCCTGGGAGTGGACCATTGATAAAGCAAGAGAGGAAGAGGAGTCGGAGAAGAAAAAGGCTGCATCGCGGAAAATCTCACAGACTGCTCAGGTATGGAGAATTTTGTTAAATGATGTGATACTTTATAATGTTATCACAACATATAATAATGATACTTTCTGCTCCAGGCAACCTATGACCCGAGCCATGGCTACAGTCCACAACCCATTGAGATAACACACATGGCTCTTTCAAGAGATCTGCAGGTACAACAGTTACTATCTTGACCTAAATATCATAGCATAATCATAGCATGGAAACAATATTTATAGTTTATATCCTTTCATAGTCTATGGCAGAGCAACTTGCTGAAAATTACCACAACACTTGGGGACGTAAGAAAAAGTTGGAGCTGCAGGCTAAGGGTAAGATGTTTTTTTTTTTATTCGAAGGAATCTAGATGTGAGGAAAATGAGCGAGTTAATGTTTATGTGTTTTCCTCAGAAATTATGATCACACCTCTGTTTGTGTAGGAGGAGGAACACATCCTTTGCTGGTGCCCTATGACACTCTGACAGCAAAAGAGAAAGCACGAGACAGAGAGAAGGCTCATGAGCTGCTCAAGTTCCTCCAGCTTAATGGATATGCTGTTACACGGTAACTCTGCAAAATAACTCTGTGTGTAGAAAGTTAAGCAGAGACATTTTTCACACTAAAATTTGTGCATTTACTGGTGTGTTTTTTGTTGAATACACAAGTTCAGCACACGATTACAGCAGTAGCTTACGTTTTTATCATGATGAGTCTAAAGTTATTCAGAAGACACAACACAGAAAAAAGTGGCTGCATGCACAGTAACTTTGCCATTTTTGAATAAACTGAAGTAAGTCCACAAATCAAAAGTATGAAAACAAAATTTCCTTAAAACATCAAGCCAGCAATTTTCAAATAGTAAGTACTCTTGTGTACCATTTTAAGCTATTTCACTGTAAGGGGGCCAAATGTATCATCAGTGTAAGTTGATCAATGTAAAAGCTAAAAGTGGAGTTTTTAAATGTCCAAGTACGGAGCTTTAGGAGTTAAACTCTGTTTTGCTTCAGGGGTCTGAAAGACATGGAGTCGGACATCTCATCCATCGAGAAAAGATTTGCGTATGGTTTCCTGCAGAAGCTGTTGAAATGGATGGAGATTGCCCAGGAGTTCATCGCTCATCTTGGTACTGTGGGGCACGGATGAGGAAATAATACTTCAGCATCTGAAAGTGTCATTTAGAGTTAGTCTTTGTCACTATTTGAAACCAATACTTCCCTGTTTTGTTTATGTTTCGTACAGAGGCTGTAGTAAGCAGTGGACGAGTGGAAAAGTCTCCTCATGAGCAAGAAATCAAATTCTTTGCCAAGGTGAGACTTATCGTGTAAAGCTGGAGATTCATCATACCAAAGACCTGATTGGCCCGTATTGTTAATGTGAAACTTCTATGTGATCCTCACTTTCAGATCTTGATGCCTCTGATCAACCAGTATTTCAAAAACCACTGCCTTTACTTCTTGTCCACTCCTGCCAAAGTTCTGGGTAGTGGAGGACATTCTTCAAATAAAGAGAAAGAAATGATTGCGAGGTAATCCCCTTCTCTCTTGTAAAGACACAAAACTGTATTGTTTCTTTTATTTTTCATTTACCACTTTCACCTTTTTATAAGCACTTCTTTATTCTTTCTTTTTTTCCTTTCTTCCTTTACATTTCCTTTTCAACAAAGTATCTTCTGTAAAATGTCCGCTCTGGTGAGACACAGAGTTTCTCTTTTTGGTAAGATGCTTGTTTTTCTATGTCAGTCCTTCTGGATCTTTTCACTCTTTTCTGTGTTTCTCATGTATGTATTTGGCTATAAAACACTATCCACTCAACCAGGTTGGAGTGCATTTGCTCTTGATTGACTGCTTAAACCTTTGACATTCACATTACGATTTGTGCAGGAACGGACGCTTCAGCAATCGTCAACTGTCTTCATATTCTGGCCCGATCACTGGATGCAAGGTATAGTGTTATCAGATTAATAAAATGCATAAAAGCTGTAAAAAATGTTTTTTCACCTTTTTCTTGCGTTATCAGGACAGTGATGAAGTCCGGACCAGAGATCGTGAAAGCAGGGCTGCGATCTTTCTTTGAGAGCGCAGCTGACGATATAGAGAAGATGGTTGAGAACCTGAAACTAGGGAAAGTTTCTAAAGGAAATCAGGTAGGAAAAATGGAAGATACATTCTTATAATATTCCTCAATAATCATCCCTGTTGTTTGCAAAAAAGAAAATAAAAATTATTGTCTCTTAAATGTTCAATGCTGTGCCTTGTCGTCTGTTTTAAGCAAGTGAAAGGCGTCTCTCAGAACATCAACTACACCACCATCGCCCTGCTCCCCGTGCTCACCTCCCTGTTTGATCACATCGCTCAGCACCAGTTTGGAGACGATGTCATGTGTGAGTGGTTTCACTGAAAGCACTGCTTTTCAATTTTGCACTGTTTTGTTTATTTAAAGAAATCATCCTGACACTGCTGTAATTCTCACTGTTGCTCGCACACAGTGGATGATCTGCAGATGTCATGCTACCGTATCATGTGTAGCATCTACTCCTTGGGAACAGTCAAGAACCCACATGTGGAGAGGTAAGTCTGAATCTGCAAACATAAGATTTTGTTAAGTACTAATAAAAAGAGACTCATGGTATTTATTTTTTTAAATATTTTCAGGCAGAGACCAGCTTTAGGAGAGTGTTTGGCTCATCTTGCAGCAGCTATGCCTGTCGCCTACTTAGAGCCCCATCTGAACGAATTTAATGCTTTCTCTGTCTACACCACAAAGACACCCAGAGAGAGAGCCAGTGAGTACATTACTCTTTCCAAAGATTATTTTCCTCTCTTTTAAACGTTGCTCTGATTTGTCTGTCTTTTTTTCCTATTTTAAACCACAAAGTCTTGGGCCTTCCCAATGAGGTGCAAGAGTTATGCCCAGACATCCCAGAACTAGATATTCTTCTGAAGGAGATCGGGGACTTGGCAGAGTCCGGGGCTCGTTACACAGAGATGCCTCATGTGATTGAAATCACTCTGCCCATGCTGTGTAACTACCTTCCTCGCTGGTGGGAGAGAGGACTTGAGAACTTCCCTGAAATGGAAAGCAAAATCTGCACCGACGTCACATCTGAACACCTGAATCAGCTACTAGGCAGCATCATGAAAATTGTCGTCAACAACCTGGGTATTGATGAGGCCTCTTGGATGAAGAGGTTGGCAGGTAAGCTATGTTTAACACCTTTAAAGTCCCACTTCGATAGTTTTTTTTTTACTACTTCAAGTATTCTCAGTGGTCTTTAAATTGTGATTATGAAGTTTTTCCAGAAAATCGCGTTACGTGTGTCATTTTCAAGGTCTTTTCCTCTGTAGAGCTCCAGTTGCTCATTAGCAATTCACCTCTGAATTGTGGGCAGAGGCAGCGCTGCTCTGCACACTTCTCTTCATGCTAGCTTTTAGACTAACATTGCCTGTGTAGTAGAAGTGGCAGGTAACACAGGAGCTGTTCAGCTCTGGGGCACTGATGTCTTTGGGGACACGATGAAAGCTGATATCATAACTAGCTTTCTTACGAGCATTGCAATCCACGGACACACATGCTTGTTCTCTGGCTCTGATCATCCTCTGTATTCCTCCTCTATATGCAGAGTGTGGCCTGCATAGTGGGGCTCCAGGGGGATTGGTTATGTATGAAATCTCACTGTTTCTGAACCTGCTGTTTCTGCCAGAGATTCACAGAGATTTGAATGAAGAAATACTCAGAAAAGCAATTTTGGATTTTGTTTTCTCATGATATTTCCTGTAGCATCAGAAAAATGTCATATCTTCATATGACATATGACAAAAAACAAGAAAAACATGATTTTCATCGTATTGGGTCTTTAAATAGTCATAGTGTAAAAGAGAAGTCATATAGATGAGTTGACAATTGACATTTTTTTCTCTCCCAGTGTTTTCACAGCCCATTGTCAGCAGAGCAAAGCCAGAAATGCTCAAGTCCCACTTCATCCCAACGATGGAGAAGCTGAAGAAACGTACCTCAAAGGTTGTTGCTGAGGAGGAACACCTTCGCATGGAGGGGAAATCAGAAGGAGACGAGGAAGACGGCACTATCCGTGATGAGTTTGCTGTCCTCTGCAGAGACCTGTATGCCCTCTACCCTCTGCTCATTCGCTACGTGGACAACAACAGGTAGATAACATTTAAAACAACTCATTGGAAAACAATAAATCCCTGTATGGAGCAGACAGACATACTTGTCACATGTTGTAAATCCATCAGAGTAATATTTCTCGTTATAGGGCAAGATGGCTGACATGCCCAGATCCAGATGCAGAAGAACTCTTCCGAATGGTTGGAGAGGTCTTTATTTTCTGGTCCAAGTCTCATGTGAGTGTGTTTATTTGGTCTTTAGATGCGGTTATTTTGTAGCAGCTTTTATCCAACACTGTTTACATACGCCGTCCATTTTTGTTGTAGAACTTCAAGCGAGAGGAGCAGAACTTTGTGGTGATGAATGAGATCAATAACATGTCATTCCTCACCGCTGACAGCAAGAGCAAAATGAGCAAGGTGAGTCAACGGAGGGCCGAGCCAGTGCTGCAGTGAGGCAGATTTATAGTGTTTTGGAATTTTGGATCATTACTTTCCTTTTTGTCTTTGTGCCCTTGATGTTTTTTTTAATCAGTATAAGAAGCGTCACATCAAGAATCATTTTTGTCTGTTTGTAAATGTCATCATCATTCAAAACGTCAAAAAAAGGACCATGCCAGGGTAAAACAAATGTTTAAGTGCTTCGGTCATGTCTGATTTTGGACGCCTGTTATCAACCTGTTTATTGGGCGTGGTTACACATGGCGAAGCTTTTGATTTTAACTCCCTGTTCAGAGAACACCAGCAGCCCTGTTAACGATATTCTCTCTTTGGCTGTCCCTTTCTTCTTTTGTGTTGCGGCTGGGTTTCCAGGGCGGGGACTCAGAGGTTAGACTTTGTTCCTGCACGACCGCTGTGCTGACCGCATGGCACCTCACTTTGGGGGAGCTTTTCATCAACCTCTCCAGCACACTGGCACATCCGATCCACACACACTTTTAACACATCGGCAAACACACAACACACACTGAGTGAATTCTGCACAGACACACACATGTAGACGTTGCTCTTCCATTCTGAGAGACATGACTGGAGATAAGTGAGTCAGTGCAGGAGTCAGAGCTATTTGTGAACATGCAGCTGTGTCTGCTAAGTCATATATATTTTGCAGTCTGTTATGAGTGCAACGAAAGTCACTTGAGAATTCGTCATTGCTATAAATACAGTTATTTATATTAATAGGATATGAAAATCCTTGTCAGAAGTTGTTTCAAAGGAGGAACAGATGTACCCATTTGCACTCTCATTATCACCCCTACACGTCAGTGAACGTGTGTCTGCACTGACACACAGATTTTTATATCGTCTCACTCCAAGTCTTAAGACTGCTGTTTATTTTAGACACATACTTTACCTTCAGCACATCAGTTCATCAGTTACAGAGGAAAAAAACACCACCCACATGCAGGGTAAAACACTCGCTGTTCTCATAAAGGATCACTGGACAAAGGGCAAGCCCCGTCTGCGGGCCAACCCCAGTCCTGCCAGTGTGTGAGGGGGGGAGTCTGGAGGCGCTTGATGAAAGTACTCAGCTGTAGAGTTGGGCTCATGGCACTGGGCTGTACACGAAGCCCTAAGTGGCAGTGAGAGCACAGTGCCATCATCCTGTCACTGAGTTTGCTCTTTTTTGATCATAGCTGAGGTGGATTCTTCTAGTATGTCTTTTTGTTAAAGGATTGTTGACCTGTAGCGTTTGTTATGCAGCTTTTTGCCACTAGGGGATGATGTTAGTCTTCTCTGTGCTCTTTCTTCTCTCCTCCCTGGAAATGCCATGGCACATCATGGTTTAGTTTCCTTTTTACACTCCCTAGTATCCACACTAATACATGACTTGGTGATTAATATCATTACAGCAGATTTTCTTGAAACAAGTTTTGGGTTCCTTCTTTAAAATGTGCTCAAATGACCCCGAACCATCTAACCAAAACATTAATTCACTCTTTTATGATCTGAAATGCTTTGCTCCCAGTTTCCTCTGAACTGTCCTGTAACACACTTGCATCTGGAGCTGAATTAAAGCAGAGACATTTGCTGGTGCATTGGATAATCTGCAATGAAAGCACATTTTCTTTTAAGAGGATAGAGAGTGTAACTCCAGGAGTGTACATGTCTAACAAAGGGAACCAATAAAAACATCTGCATGTGAGGTCAAAATTCTAAAACTCAAGGGGAGAGTTTACTCTCTAGAGTTATTGCAAACCATAAAACCAGTGAGTAGCCCTGAGTAGCTGTGAGTACTCTCTAGTAATTAGTAATCTAGTAATTTTTATCTATGTAGAAATCAGTATATCAGTTTATCAATAGCATTGCTAAGTCACCATGTAAAGGGTAAATTTCTTGCCACCTATTTATAAAGCATGTATTTAAAAGACTAAACATTTACAGATGCAGTTTTTTATTGTAAGCTCTCACAGACATTTGAACATTTTGGAGGACTTCAGAAAGAGCGGGTGACAGAAGGACTGAACTCTCAAACAAACAGATCAGGAGCTCAGCAGGAAGTGCATGGGGTCATATTCCTCAGTAGACAGTAGTTGTTTGATTTTAACTGCCTGCAGAGTCTTAAGATTATAAGATGTTTTTAAAACTTCATCTAATATTCTAATCTTTCACTATAGGCACAATAGAGACAATTATATGCTTGTTTATGCTACTTATCTTCTTCATTGATTGCTGAACCGACTCTCTTGAATGTAATTTCTTTCTTTTGTTTTGCATGTTTTTTTCAAATGTAATTTCACTGGTTTACCTCCTTACGAGGCCCATTTCCCGCAGCCAGCTATGCCCCCACTTTGCCCTCGCATTTCACTATTCCCTCTACTTACCAGTCAGAGCTCAGAGAAATAACGATATACATGTGGGATTTCACAACGGCATTGATTTAATGTATGAAGTTTGACAGTAAGATTTTCAGGTGGAATTTTCATTGGTGTGTTTTTCTACAACAGAGAGATCTGTTACTGCATCATTATGTCATAAAGTGTCTAAGTGCTCTGCCTTCATTAAGGGACACGGTGATGTTCAGTAGTTTGTTTTAATTGATCAGCCAGCTTTTTCAGGACACAGAAAGCTGCCTGTGTTTCAGTTGAATATGCATGGTATCACAGCATAGCATCAGTTGCATTTTACTCTTTTTTGCTGTTATTCCTACTACTTTTGGAAAGTAGTTAAACTTTTTTATTGAGGGGTTTTATCCTTGACAAAGACAGCCTGGCACTGAATTAAGGCTGGAATGTGTTTGTTTCAGAGAAAATGTTGTAACTGCGGCAGCAAGCCTCACATGATTCTTGGCATTTCACGAGATACTTGGAATGCTGTCTGGTTTATTTTCCCTTTTTCTTTAGGGTGGAGGTTCAGATGCCGAACGAACCAAGAAGAAGAAACGTGGAGACCGTTACTCTGTGCAGACTTCACTTATTGTAGCTGCCTTGAAAAAGATGCTCCCCATAGGTCTGAACATGTGCTCACCCGCTGATCAAGAGCTCATCAACTTGGCCAAGATTCGATACTCTCTGGTAGTTTTTTATTACTATGAATGAAATTTATCCTGATACAGAACTGTTGTTTAATTTGTGCAAACTTAAACACCAAAATATGCACAGTTTACTTTCAAAGCTGTGATTGATAAACATTTAACTTTCAGAGGGACACTGATGAAGAAGTTAGAGAATTCTTGCAAAACAACCTTCATCTTCAGGGCAAGGTATAAATCCTGATACTACTGAATACTGTTTGACATTCCTTTAAGGAGTCAGATTTAGAACAAAAGATAAGCAGTCCTGTGACATTTCAGAAAGCTTTGTCCTCATGTTGTGCGTAGGTGGACAACCCATCCATGCGCTGGCAGATGGCCCTGTACAAGGAGATGGCAGGAAAGGCTGAAGATGCCGATGCTCCAGTGAAAGTTGTTAAGAGAGTACAGGAGGTTTCTGCTGTCCTCTACCACCTTGAAGTGGTGAGCGGCTAGTTTCAACTGCTGGAAACATATAGAGGTTCTCCAGCACAGACTATAGAAACTTACCGCTGACATGAATGGAAATAACTTAATGAATTAGAATTCACACAACTGAATCTAGTTAATTAAATAAAGTTATTATAGGAATTCATTTCCAATTTGCTGATATCTACCCTCCCTGGCCTAGACGGAGCATCCATTCAAATCCAAAAAGATGGTGTGGCACAAGCTGCTGTCAAAGCAGAGACGCAGGGCTGTGGTCGCCTGCTTTCGGATGACACCTCTGTATAACATCCCAAGGTGAGACTTCTGTCTGACTTTTGACAAAACAAGTACATGTATAAAAACACTAATAAATGTTACTTTTGTTTCCTCCTGCAGACACAGAGCTTCAAACATGTTCCTTGAAGGATACAAACGCAACTGGCTTTACTGTGAGGGTTTCTCATTTGAAGACAGGATGATAGACGACTTATCTGTGAGTGTTTTCCAGCATCTGTTCGATCTATAGTTAGTTTTATTTGCACCTGAACTCACGCTTTCCCTCTGCCGGGGTTCTAGAAAGCAATGGAGCAAGAGGAAGGAGATGAAGAGGAGGAGAGAGAAACGAAGCCTGATCCCCTCCACCAGCTCATTCTGCACTTCAGTCGTACTGCTCTGACAGAAAAAAGGTTTGATAGAGCCTAACTCACAGAAAACTGAGAATTAAACATGCATTATCCCTTCATCACCAAGTCTCTTCTCTTGTCCCTGTTTTAGTAAACTTGATACAGATCATCTTTATATGGCATATGCCGAGATTATGGCAAAGGTGAGTCATCCCAGAGGGTTCTCACTTGAAGTTGAAGGTTGATATCTAAGAGTTGGAACCCTCATATTTCTGTCTCATCTTCCCTGTTGTTTCTTTTAGAGTTGCCATATTGGTGAGGAAGAAGAAGGTGGAGAGGAAATGTTGGAAAATGCTGAAGATGAGATGTCCTTTGAGGTGCGACAGTCAGAACTGGTAATGGGCGGCGAGGGGCTGGGGACCAGGAACACAGTGGAGCGGTAGCTCTCAATGCATTGAGTGACCTCATCATCAGAGCATTACTTCACAGCCACATCCCTCTCTCCCTCTCTCCCTCTCTCTCTCTCTCTCTCTCTGTCTGTCTTTGTTTTGTCTTGTCCTATCTCTGTGCTCTCTGTTTGTCCTCTGTCTCTTCTGCTCTTTGTTTATGTCGTACCTCATTTATTGTGAGGTGCTGGATTTTGAAACTTAAAGCTGCAATCCAGAGGTGCATAATAGATATGTGAACCCAGAATCAAATTATGATGTAAATCCTATTTCAATTTGAGTTAAGATCTTTTTCAAACCCATGTTTTAATAAATATTACAATTATCTATACAGTAGCTATGTTCATACTCTTGTACCCTGAATCTGGATTGGAGTCTGAGTAGATTAGATTAATGTCATTTAACATCAACATGTAACATTAACAGTAACACTGATAACATTCATATCACTAACTCTGACTTACATTTGATAAGGAGAGCTTTATGACGATCAGGTAATGAGTAATAAAATAAAAAGCAGCCGAATCACAGCCAACCAAACTGTCCTCTAGTCCTCTAGTGCAGCTCACAGATGTTAAACGTACTCACAGAGCTTTATATACTTTATGGTTTACATAAAAGGACATACCAGTTGTCACTTTGCAGGCCTCTTATTCCTTGGTAAAGTTAAGGGGGGGTTAAACACTTAACACTTCGATTCATACAGTGCTGAGTGCACCTTGCAAAGCTACTAGAGCCAATTCATTAGGAGCTTAATCGAAATTTTTGTCATTGTGACCAAAAGCAGTGTCTTTGTTTATTGATTATGTCTACATGATTAATGTCTTTTAATAGTGTGTGTGCTTTTAATAAACAAGGCTTGGGAGTTAGACATACCTAACAGTCTACACAGAGTCTGGACATGGTTTTAAGTGTTTTTGGAGAACATTCAAATTCAAAATTTGATTAAAAAAATGTGAGTTTTATGTAACAGAAACTCATTGATTAGTGATGTCATTCCTCCCAGTTTATGGCTGTCACATTGTCTATTTTTTTCTCTCTCTCTCTCTCTTCAGCGCTTCATGTAACCTGTCTCACCCTCATAACACCAGCTTTCATTAACTGAATGTCACTGATCAATGTTCCCCTCCCCCACTCACATAGCATACTGACAGACTACAGTGAAGGCCAGCATAGATCATGCAGTGTTAAAAGGTATTCATTCCCACACATAGTCATAGTTTGTAAAGTCGATTCAATGCTCGACATATAATTCCTAGTTCAGAATCAGATAGCCAGGGACTGCAGTGTAAGTTTTAGATCCAACTGCACCACACATAGTGGGTAAAGCATGGCCAGGCATACGTGGGTGGGGGGAGGGCGGTTGGGTATGGTAAGGGAGGGAGGGAGGGGAGGCGGGGTGGGTGATCGGGGCCTGTTTTAGTGTCAGGATGTGGGATGCCTTAAGTTGATTTGTGCGGCTGAGCAGAAAAATGTTTTGTCCTCTTGATTCAGAGATATTCATTTGACTGTCTTTTTTGTCTGTAACTGGCATTTAATTGCCAGTTGGCTCTTTGCTATAATTTAAGAACTGTTAATTAGCTCAGTTAGAAAGGCCATATAGCGCCTGTTCACCTTATTAACGGATTATTTTCCATATAAACATTTCATAACATTGAAACACCAAAAGAATATCTCTGGCACAGAGGGATTACAGCTCTTGTCCAAGGTATCCTATTTGCAGGTCTGCTGCAATAAAGACACTTTGGTAAGCTGATGACTGAAATGCTTAGCCAGCGGGGCTTTTTCCTGTAGTCTAACGCTTGCTCCAACCAGCAAACGTGAAAAAGTAGTGTAACAACTCCATGACTAATAAAGTTACAGAATGTGTGCTTCAAACAGAAAATAATAAACTATAGTTCAAATTCCCTTTTAAAGACAAAATATTTGGATATTTCTGATATTTCTAATCATGAGGGAAATAATTTGTTGAATAAAAAATATGAATCAGCATCATGAAAAGAGAATTAATGTAATTTGTACTTTTTCTATTGATTTTTAAAAATTTATTTATATATATTTTATTAATGAATTTAGATAGATTATTTATTTAACTTGGAAATAAGTAGAGGAGTCCTCTTTAAAGATAGCTGTGTAAAGATGTGTCATGCCAGAGATTTGGACCTAGAAACAATGGTAAGTGGCTCAGAAAGCAGACAGGTGAAAAAGTGAGGGACCTGAGTGGAAGGAGAGAGTGTGAATTGAAATTGAGAATTTTCAATGGATAGACTGGAAAACTTTTTGAATGAGCATTTTATTTTTCAACACTTATAACCAGTTGCACCGGCTTCTGGTGCAACGTGTTGTAGCCGGGCTTGGTCATTTGGCAAATATTTACACAATGAAGCTGCACAAATGACTAAGTACAAACAGGACACGCCACACTTAATGGTTTGTTCCAGGTTTAACTTGAAAATCAGGTGTAGTACATTTGTGCTGGTGTGGTGTGTCCTAGCAGCAGTTCTGCACATTAAACTCAACCTTTATCCAACAACAACAGCAGATATGACCCAACCCTGGTGTTACAAAGCCTAAATACTTCATAAAATGACTAGAAAGAAAGAATCCAGTCCATCCATTTAAATTCTTTGTTTACAACAAAATTAGCACCAGATTCTCATAAATTTTTGCCTAAACCACAGGAGAAAGAAATGGAAAAACAGAGGCTTTTGTACCAGCAGTCCCGACTTCATAACCGTGGTGCTGCAGAGATGGTCCTGCAAATGATCAGTGCTTGCAAAGGTAGTAACTCGAATAAATACTTTATGAATCCACTGTGACCCACTTTACTACGGCCAAGTTTAAAAGCTTTGTTTTATTCTGTTTAGGGGAGACTGGCCCCATGGTGACCACAACCCTAAAGCTGGGTATCTCTATTCTTAATGGAGGGAACAGTGAGGTCCAACGGGTATGTGTTCACATAGCAAATGGTTTTGTTATCATGCATTAAAAATTAGGTTTTGATTCAACCCCCCACCTGCTTTTCTCTGTTAGAAAATGCTCGAGTACTTGAAGGATAAAAAGGATGTGGGCTTCTTCCTGAGTGTCCAGGCATTGATGCAGACATGCAGGTCAGTATTAGATCAGTGAACACTGGTACACTTTAAAAAGTAAAACAATGTACCGAGTTTAAAAATGCACATTTCAACTGAGTTTATGATTTCTGCAGTGTCCTGGATCTTAACGCCTTTGAGAGGCAGAACAAGGCTGAAGGGCTGGGCATGGTTTCGGAGGAGGGCACTAGTAAGTCTTAGTATTCTTATAGCAGTCAGTACATAACAACATTGTGATTTTGAAATATCGTCATGCCATGGATTATCTGCATCTTATCAGGGAGCAGATTACATTTTAATACACTTACCTCACCAGTTTGATCACAAAACAATGTACAGAAACCACCGGGGATGGGATCAAAGTGAAGATGACACAACATTTTGTCTGAGTGAGGAATCAAATGTGTTTAATTTTCTGCCGTTCAATTGTTTGGCACAAAAATAAAGTAAATGTGAAGGGTTAGTATCAAATAATACTTTCAGACCAACCCCCTCTGCATCACACTCAGGGGGGAAACTTTCCAAACATGTTCACCGTCACGGTTTGCCTTTTTTTTTTTTTTTTTTACCAGAGATGTGATTTTTTTTTTGGCTCAAATCTGCACTGAACCAGGTTTAGTTTGAAAACATGTAACTTTACACCCTTTATCACCATGTATGACCTAAAAACAACTTCAGCAGGTTTTCTCATTTTACATTCAGTGGTTCCTTATCATGCTGCATCATATTGTTAGTGATGCAGGATTTGCTGCTTGTGCACAGTAAGTGGTCCAAATTCAAGATTCAAGGTCATTTAAGGAAATAAGTCAGGGTTTTCAAAATGAGAAATCTGTTTGAAGAAATAACTGGTCATGTGGTCTTCTCGTGAGTGGCTGTAAATAAGGTAATGGTTGACTCATCCCCATTAACATAAAAATAAAAGTCATTAAATTAAGATATGAATTAATAGATACATTAAGGCCCTCTGAGCATCTATTCATTCATTCAGAGTGTGACTTCAGTAAAAGCATAAATCAAATTGGATGATCATTTTTCTAACATGAGGTATTATTAACACCTAGATAACTATTAGCAGATTAGATTGAAGGATTTTTTTTTTCAGTGTTTTGTGTCAGTATGTTTCCTAGTCTGACTAGTTGATTTGGTTTCACCAACTCTTTTCATGTGAAATGAATTTGCCATGGAATGTTGTTAATCTCCCCCTCCTCATCTCTTAGTCCTCTTCTGTTGTCAACACACTGATCCTCTCTCCCTTCCCCACGATCACTGCCACCTCTCCCTTGTCCCTCCTTTCATGGTCCTCAGACTTGAACCTAGGACGGGGTAAATCATGTTTCAGTCCATCTGCCTCTCTGTCCTCTTACTGCTCTTTCTCTTTACACTGTCCCTCTCGCTCCATCATGCCTCCATCCTACACTAAAATCCACAAAGAGAGGGTTGGATGCCTCTGTCCATCTATTCATGTCCACAGCTGGTACCTATAATTATAGTCGTTTGTCTGTTTCTAAAGGAAAGGAAACATAACCAGCTGTTGTGAATTGGCAGAGATTTTTATTTTTATTTTGTAATAGCAGTTTATTTTTTTTACTTGTCTGAAAAATGATCTGAAATTTTGCCACAACCATTACAATATCATCCTTTATATAAAACGATGAAAACTGCAGACACATCGAGTTTGAAAAGATTTGAAAATCATAAATCTTGTAGAAAAAAAAAATAATATGTTTTGAGAATATTCAGGTATATTTGAGCAAACAAACTCATTTACTTAATTTCCAAAGATCAAACCATTTTATTATGAATTATTTAATTAATTTATTCATTTATTTATTTAGATCCCCTTTAGCTACTACCTAAGTAGCAGCTGCTCTTTCTGGGGTCCGCAAGAAGACAGTAAACATCTGTATAGATTAAAATTAAAAGTCCAAACAGGAGATTTATACAACATGTTAAAATCATAACTAAAACAAGAATTATGATGAAATTACATTTCCAGTTACAATAGACACCAATAAAGGCCAAGATAAATGTACTAGAAGTCAAAATCTCATTGGCATGTATTTGTTGAATGAGTGTAAAAATCCTTTAAGGATACACAGTCGATTTTTTGTCATGTAAAATAAAAAGCCTAGCTTCCCAAAATGGTGGGTCTGAACCCAAAAGTGAGTCACAGAGGCATTTTCAGTGGGTTACGGTTGTGTACCTGGAAAAAGTCTCTGTTACCTTTGCTTTGAAGGACAAGCAGGTTTATGGTCCAATCTGGCAGCTCGTTTACACTCTAAGGTAGGTTGCAGTAATACACCTTAAAGCTGAATGACATCTGTGATTTAAGGACAAATTTGAGATATTTAGACACCGTTAAGGTCGTGTACGTGGTTCTGAGGCTCGACCAGCTGATAACCAATGAACTGAAACTCTGGACTCCTTCAACATGTTGATGGACGATGCCCCAACCTCTCAGTCATCTAACTCTGCTGTATCAGAGCTCACTCTCTGTGTGCTGCATGATTCTGTGAATGTGTGTATTAATCATGGCTAGCGGGATTTTTAAAGTATGAACAGGTCAATTGATCACCAGAGAGGCTTAAGATGACCGGTTCACTTCTAATTACTGCGATGTTTTAACGTTTATCCTGCCTTTATCTGTACAACAGTGTCTGCTTAGTCTGTACATGTTGTTAATGTGGCTCTATGTTTTTATGTGTCTTTGTTTTCAATGCAAATTGTTTTCACGTCAAATGTAAGCATGTTGTGTCGAGGCCTCCTTTGTGTTGTTAGACATTTGACGATGTCGGATTCATTGTCAACCCACAGTCATTCCTGTTCCTTTTTATTAATATTTATTCAATGAAGCATGACTCATTCTTTCATTTAATACGAAAAGAAAAACTCCTGGTCAGAGGTGGTTGTGTCAGTGTGTGGATCCACTGAGACACGACGGTGAGCTTTGAAATTGACTTACACTCAGGAAAACTGACTCAGAAATCAACAGTCAGCCTTTTCGCGTTGAACGTACTCTGATGCCAACCTGGTTTTAGTTTGTAATTTAACACTTATCTCTTCTTTTAGATGAGAAAGTGATGGCAGATGACGAGTTCACCTGCGACCTCTTCCGTTTCTTGCAGCTGCTGTGTGAGGGTCACAATAACGGTGAGGATGTCTCAGATTTGAGTAAAATTCAGTTTAAAGCTCCAGTGAGGAACTTTTAGTCTGTGTCAACTTTGGCGCCCCCTGTGGACAAAACAGTCTATACTCATCTTTTCCTCTACGTGCCTCCTTTTTTTGTGTGTGTGTCTTCAGACAAAAATCTCATCCTGCTGCTATTGTGAATATTATACACGGAGGATGTAAAATCAGAGCTGTTTCTTTAGCTGCTTGGCCCCCCTCACTTGTTTCAGGCATCAAAAATTAAAATATAAAATGTATAAATCTTGTTGCTGATGGTCCTGTTTACTGTTGTACATCATATAAAGGCATTCATAAGAATTTTTAGTCTATTTCATAAAGATAAAAAAACTCCCCACAGGAGCTTTAAATCAATGTTGTAGATGTCAGTAAATTATAAATGCTGTGAAACAACCCTTTCCTTTTTTTATTTTTTATCTGTAGACTTTCAGAACTACTTGAGGACTCAGACTGGCAGCACAACCACCATCAACATCATCATCTGTACTGTCGATTACCTCCTGCGACTTCAGGTGCAACTTTTGATGCTGCCTAATGATGGTGATATTTGTAAGAATAGAAAACTAAAGTCATACAGGGAATTATATTGAAAGAAAAATAATCTTCTAAAAATGTGCTTTTGAATATATAGCTGGTTGATCAGCCCTATACATTCAATCTTATTTTATAACTCCACCTTCAATCCTGGATTTTGAGTTGTTTTGAAGTTTCCATAGCTTTTTATTTGGTAGCTCAAGAAAGTCAGATGATCGGGACACTGTAAGTACGTTGGTATAGTATTTTTTGGACTGCAAAGAGTTATTAAGCCATAAATTTTATCTTTTGATCTGATTCGAACAGAAACATAACAGCATAAACTTATTCCAGTGTGGGAATACTTTACTAACCTCTCATTTTCCTCAATCAAGGAATCCATCAGCGATTTCTACTGGTACTACTCTGGCAAGGACGTCATTGATGAGCCTGGCAAAAAGAATTTCTCCAAAGCTATGACAGTGGCAAAACAGATATTCAACAGCCTAACTGAATATATTCAGGTAATGTGAACGAACTAGGCTCTGAAATGTATCTTTTCCCAACTTGGCTTGACTGTAATTTCTCCTTTCAGGGCCCATGCACTGGGAACCAGCAGTCCCTGGCCCATAGCAGGCTGTGGGATGCTATTGTTGGGTTTCTTCATGTCTTTGCCCACATGATGATGAAACTCGCCCAGGTATGCACATGAAACATAATTTCCTGATGAACTTATTATTCGTCATAAACATGTAAAATAATGAAACCCAAACTCATCGTGGCCTTCACGAGTAGACTGAGCTCCCTGACCTCAAGCCTACACTTATATAATACACATTGACTGAATAAATCTGTTGTACAACTTTGATCTCATGACAGATTTGGTTTTCAGTGACCATGGCAGAAATCAATGGTAACCCTGAAAGGCACAATGCTATTCAGAGCCAGTCTCACCCAAGCCATGCATGATTGCTTTTCATGCTCACATTTGGCCCTTTGCAGTTATTAAGTTTCTAAAATGTGAGGTTCAACATGGCGCTTTGAGTGCATTATGTCGGTGGATATTCATTGAATCACCCATCATTGCTTCTCAAAAGTTTCGGTAACACTTTACAGTAACCATAACTTGTAAATGGTAAATAGACCATTTATAAATGGTAAGCAGATAGTTTATTAATGTTTAATCATCATTTATAAATAGCATAAAAACCATGAATGAATTGTAAATATTACAATTTTAAAAACCTAACCCTAACCCTAACTTTACAATAACCATCTAAGTAATGTTTATAGGTGGTTTATAAACCACTTATTAATCATTTACAAAGTATTACAAACATCAGTTGCAACTTATATGCAATTTAATGTTTATAGATGGTTTAAAAACCAAATATTAACCATTTACAAAGTGCTACTGACACACATTTAAATCTAGATGTTTTACAACCAATATTTAAACCCTGTATACACCTTTAATAAATAGTCCATTAATAATTAATGAACATTATTGATCATAATTTCATTGCTTGTTATTAGTCAGGTAACTATTAACTTACATTAATAAACTATCTATTTGCCATTTATAATTGGTTTATGTGCTTTTTTTAAATGATGATTAAACGTTTATAAACTATCTATTTACCATTTATAAACTATAGTTATTGTAAAGTGTAACCAAAGTTTCTGCTTATGTCCAGTTGAGTTTATTTTGACTGCAGTTAGATACACGTAACAGTACAAACCATACAAAAGCTCCTCACATGTGCATGAAAAAGAAATTATTCTGCCACAGTCTTAATTGTGCACATGCTTGTAAGCTTTTGTTTAATATACAGCTACACACTGCACAGAGTACACCTTAATATTTCATCAAGAGAGCAAAGTCACCTGGGATCTCTTGATTCCATAAGTATTTCAACCATTTATTTGTACCTCCAGTTTGAGCTGAATTCAATGTCCCCATATCTGAATGGACACCTGATCAGATGTCATAGCAGGAAAATTACATTTAAAATACAATTAAAAATCTGATTTTAAAATTCAATATTTTTTATAAAGATACAAAGTCCTCTGAAGAGGGGAACTTTTTATCTTAACTACTAGGCCTAAAGTGTGGAGGTCAGTTCATTTCAACCAGTAACCTGATACCTACAAATAAAAGGCTAAAATACTTAAACTGCAATCATATGACTTTTCCTCTCTATTCAGCACAGTCATCTTCTCTGGATAACCGAGGCAAATGTCAGACCTTTACCATAGATAGACATAACTTTTGCATGCGTATCCCTTTAATCATACATGACCAGCCCAACCATTCTCCATCCATAAGCTTCCAGCTCAGCATACGCTTAACACACATGAAGCACCTAACTCAAAATCACTTTCCTGCGCACTGTCCTTCTTGACCTGATATGCTCACAAATTTCAGCTGTTTGCAGCTTTACAGCCATCACATTAGAAACAGCCAACCAGAGAACGGGATATTTTAGATGTGTAACTTAAAGAAGTAAACCCTTATCCCTGTGCAGTATGTAGAAGATGTCTTCTGTTAAACTCTGTATATCTATAGCAGCCCAAATATTGTTTTATTTTGAAACAGAATGTCACACACAAAAGTATTTGAAAATGTCATAATGTCTTTTACCACTGAATAATTTATGTATTATTCAAACTGTCTTCCACATGGTCAATGCAGGGTAAAGTATGTATCTATTTTATTTATCTATTGATGTGATATTGTGCTTACTAGTTTATAATTTATTCGGTGTTTGTTTCCCTTATCAGGTTGTTCTATACCCACCTGCTTTTAATGAAGAAATAGGATTACTTAATTTGAAAACGTCATTAAGGGTTTGTACTGTATGGAAAACAAAAAACATCTCAGTCTTAAGAAACAGCCAGACAGGGATGCATCGTAACACGCCATATGCCGTTTCAACTGTTTGTGCTCCTCTGCAAAGCTATGAAGGCCTGGCAGGACCCAATCTAGGCCTCCAAGAGAGTAACTCATGCACCACCACAAAGCAGTGGTGCCTGAGCACAAACAACAGAGTTTTAGTGATCCCCTGTTTGTTGGCCTTGTGAGAATCCCAGCATCTCTCACCCTGAGTAGCTTGGAAAATAAAATTGTGTGTCTATGGGAGCCCAACTACGACTGTTCACCAGGTAGGTTAATGCTCCACTGCCTATCAGGGAGATGTTTTATTTATATATTTATTTATTGCATATCTAGAGTCAGTCTATGCTGCCTGAGATTTCCTTTCCTCATTACCCCTGTAAAACAGCAGAGTTACTTTGTCTGGATTAGAGTAACCAAGGCTTGTCCTTGGAGCCATCTCTGGGTGATGCTCGCTGGTGAGCAGCTGGTAGCTGGGCTCATATTCATAGGGCAAGGCTGTTGTTTCAGATTGACCACCTTGTAAGTCGCTTTTAAAATCCAAACGGAAAAATCACCAAGAAAAGTCACAAAATCCTACAGCTGAAACAAAAATATTACAGAAATCATGTCTGTAAGGTCCAGAAAGAAAAGTCCTGAGGGAAGTCTTGAGATAAATCTAAAGGTACTACTGTTTAGCTGCAGTTTTGCTTTGTTAAACACAATTGTTGTGTCCACTCAGTTTTAATGAACACAAAGAAGCAGGTGGGTATAAAACTTCCCAAGAGAAGGACTGAATTTTAACCTCCGCTGTTGGAGTATACACTTTAATGTGATATTATTTTGTGTTGGAATATACACTTTAATGTGAGATCTACTCTGTTTGCACACATTTGCCATCTACATTCACTAATAACTAACCTTGAGGAATATGCACCTTAACTGTTTTGTTTTGTGCTTTGTGGCTTCTGTGTTGCTTTGATGATAACACTATTTAAGTATTAATAAAAAGTTTAATAAAAGTTTATTTTGACCGTATACACATCTGTTGTATACATACAGTTTTTCTATCCATATTTTTATGGAATTCAATTCAAATTCCTACAAAATTATCAAAAAGTGTGAAAAGTAAGAGAATAGTCAAATGTTCTGATATTAAACAAACAAATCTATTGAAAACGCATATATCATTATCTCTTCTATTCCTGATTTTAAGGATGAAGGAATACTGAATTGAATCATTAAATAGTTGGTTTTGTAGTGTTTGTTTACAAATGAAACCTGTAGATTTCATAAGTGTACAGGTTGAGACTGTGATGTTGTAGATGTTGCTACAAACCAACATGTTAATTCTATGTCATAGATGTTTCAGCTGTTACATCTAATGCTCACTGTCATGAGGATTTATACACTATCAGGAGAGACAGAGATGACCTTTAACCAGTGATTTAAATTTTGTGTGTAGAAGTGTAAAATTTAAACCACTTGGGTTATTGTAAAACTGTTGAAACTGGAAAGTTATGAAAAAAAAGGCTGGTCACATAAATTGAAATCCTAAACTGATCATTCCTTCAAATTCTCTCAGCATTAGGGTTTTGTCATTTAACTTGTTTTTGCAGCACCCTTTGTGAATGCGAGTGTATGCAATACACAATATCTTGAATGTACACCTTTTATCATAACATGTATTTGGCCCACTACACTTGAATATTATTTTGTGTGATAACAGGTGATCCCATCGAATCATTATTGCATCACTAAAGGCACATATAAAGATCTTCATTTTTACAATCATATAGGATCTGCTATCATTACTGTAAGTTCTTTTCCATCTTTTTATGGTCACAGGACTCCAGCCAGATTGGGCTGCTCAAGGAACTTCTTGACCTGCAGAAAGACATGGTTGTGATGTTACTCTCACTGTTGGAGGGTAAAAGAGTTTTTACCTGTTCTTTTGGTTTCAACAGTTTTCATCTTTTATTGTGTTGTTCTCCACAAACCTTTGTTGATGTTTCTGTGCAGGAAACGTGGTAAATGGTACAATCGCTCGCCAAATGGTGGACATGTTAGTGGAGTCCTCCAGCAATGTGGAGATGATCCTCAAGTTCTTTGACATGTTCCTCAAACTGAAAGACATAGTGGCATCTGACGCTTTCAAGGATTATGTCACAGACCCTCGAGGGCTGATCTCCAAGAAGGACTTTCAGAAGGCCATGGACAGTCAGAAACAGTATTCCCCATCAGAGATCCAATTTCTTTTGTCATGCTCAGAGGCAGATGAGAACGACATGATCCACTATGAGGAGTTTGCCAACCGCTTCCAGGAACCTGCCAAGGACATCGGGTTCAATATTGCAGTGCTGCTCACCAACCTATCTGAGCATGTTCCCCATGACACTCGGCTTCAGAACTTCCTAGAACAAGCAGAGAGTGTGTTGAACTACTTCCGCCCCTTCCTAGGCCGCATTGAAATAATGGGTGCCAGCAGAAAAATCGAGCGAATCTACTTTGAAATCAGTGAAGTCAACCGCAGACAGTGGGAGATGCCCCAAGTCAGAGAGTCCAAACGACAGTTCATCTTTGATGTCGTCAACGAGGGTGGTGAATCAGAGAAGATGGAAATGTTTGTCAACTTCTGTGAGGACACAATCTTTGAGATGAATATAGCCTCACAAATCTCAGAGCAGGAGGAGGAGGAGAAGTGTGAAGAAGATGATGAGATAGATGAAGGTGGAGGTGAGGGAGGAGCAGGTGGGGGGACAAATGGAGGAGGTGATGAGGAAAGCAATGGAGAGGAAGGGCAGCCTGAATCCAGCTCTGCCTTTGCAGACTTCATCAATAGCTTGTTAAGCTTCCTCAGTGTCTTCACCTTCCGTAACCTCCGCAGGCAGTACCGCAGAGTGAGAAAGATGACCATCAAGGAGATCGTTGTTGCTTTGACCACATTTTTCTGGACCATCTTGATGAGTATACTGCACTTCATTTACAATGTGTGCAAAGGATTCTTTATGATCATCTGGCAAACTCTGTTTGGAGGGGGTTTAGTGGAGGGGGCGAAAAATATCACTGTGACTGAGATCCTAGCGAGCATGCCAGATCCCACACAGGACGATGTGCATGGAGATGTACCAGGAGAACCGGGGACTGGGGAAGAACAAGACACAGGGGGTGTAACTGACACCGGGGAGACAGGGAGTGGAGAGGAGGAAGAAGAGGATACACAGGAAAAAGAGGGTGGGAGAGTCCCAGGTATTGATGCTCCGGGTGGACTTGGGGACATGGGTGTTGAAGCTACTGTTGAACCTCCTACTCCTGAAGGAACTCCCATAGTGAAGAGAAAAATGGTGAGTGTTTAAAACCGTTGGTGATTGAAAAGTGTGAGCAGATATAAGTCATTTAGCTTAATCGATCAGCAGCTCATGAAAACTATGACAGATATAGAGGTGAAGTTTTGTAAGGTAAGTATATTAAATAAAAAGTGACAGAATGAAACTGAACAGAGGTAAAGTTGAAATGTTGGTGGCTGTACTGTGCTACTGTGCATTGACTTCTTTTGTCACAGCCACCGGAAGAGGCTGATGCAAGCCAGAAACCACCTGAACCTGTTCCTGTAGAGGAACCTCCCCCAGAGCCGGAAAAGGCAGAGTAAGAATCTTGACTTGTTTCCTTATCTACACTATCCCCCCACCCACCCACGTATTTCTCTGCCATGGGTCAAGATAACAAATCACCACAAGGCCACACTATTACTCTGTAAATTACAAATGTTTTTGGGGAGGAATGCTTTTGTACTATCTGGTAAAGAGCAGCATCAGCCGTTTTATTTCCAGCATGTTATATACGGTCCTTCTAACTGCATTTTGTATAATTGGTTCTCAAAGTAAGGAGTATGCCCCTAGGTGGCAGCTCTGGTACATCATGATTGTTTTTTGTTGTTGTTTGAAAAGAGGTCATTAAGACCCCCCTTGTTTGGTTAAAACAGTGTTGAAACCGGAGAAAAAGCTGAAAAAGATTCACCGAGCAAAGAGGAGGAACAGCCTGAGGAGCCAAAGACAACCGTGAAAAAGAAAGAAAAGAAGCCGAGAAGGGAAGGAGGTTTCCAAATCTGGACTGAGCTGGAAACTCAAAGAAATAAATTCATGGTGACAGATTTGTTTGCGTTTGTTTCATGATCCGTTTGCTTGCATATTTTGTCACTCTGCACTTACAAGCCTACACATAAGCAAAACCCTTTCTTCTTTGTAGAACTACCTCTCCAGAAACTTCTACAACTTGCGCTTTTTGGCGCTGTTCCTTGCATTCGCCCTGAACTTCATCCTGCTGTTCTACAAGGTAACCACACAGTTTTAGTGTAACATCCAGTTATTGCTTTACTGTGCTTCTTGTTGACTCAAAATATCTATTTGTTCTTCAACCTTTTGTTTCAGTACAAATCTGTACAAATCTGTATCTGTATTTATTTCAGGTATCTGACACCCCACCTGAGGGTGAGGAGATGGAGGGATCTGGTTTTTCAGAGGGTAGTGGTCTCTTTGAAGGCTCTGGGTTGTTTGAAGGCTCAGCTGAAGAGGCTGAGGGGTCTGGGATGTTTGAAGAGGGCGATGAGGATGAGGAAGATGTTCCAGTTTATTTCTATTTAGAGGAGAGCACTGGGTACATGCAGCCCACATTGGCCTTCATTGCAGCCCTGCACACAGTCATCTCTTTCATTTGTATCATCGGCTACAACTGCCTCAAGGTATGCTGGGAACATATTAAAATCATCTGATGAGGATGAACATATTTAACAGCACTTTCAACTACATTCCAGATTCCACTGGTGATCTTTAAAAGGGAGAAAGAACTTGCAAGAAAGTTGGAGTTTGACGGCCTCTACATCACCGAGCAGCCAGAGGATGATGACATTAAAGGCCAGTGGGATCGACTTGTCCTCAATACGCCGTACGTGGACACAGAAATACTTAGAGATGATCATTTAGAGTGATGAGGGGAAACAATTTTAAATACTTACAGGTTCTTTGATAAAGAAATATTTTTTCCTTTCTCGCAGCTCATTTCCGAACAACTATTGGGATAAGTTTGTCAAACGGAAGGTGAGTTGAAGTTGGTTTTCATGGTAATAAAAATGGACTCTGTAGAGGATGTTGGTTCATAATACTGTGTCTGTGTCCAGGTTTTGGATAAGTATGGAGACATTTATGGCAGAGAAAGAATTGCTGAACTTCTGGGTGTGGATTTAGCCTCTCTGGATGTGAGTCAACAACATGAGAAGAAGCAGGAGGAGCCAGACAGCTCTGTATTTGCATGGTAAATACATATTAGACCAATGTTGATATTTGATGCTGGAATTAACATCACCAAATTAAATACTGATAAATGTTGTCGATTTTAGGGTGACCTCTATTGACCTCAAGTACCAGATCTGGAAATTTGGTGTTGTGTTCACAGACGGTGTAAGCAGACCTGCGTTTACTTGTGCAGTATGCCATACTACACTTTCCTGCTCACCGTGAACCAAAATGACCTTTTTTGTTTTTTTCTTTTCAGACTTTCCTTTATCTCTGTTGGTACCTGATAATGTCTCTGCTGGGCCATTACAACAACTTCTTCTTCGCCTGCCACCTGCTGGACATCGCCATGGGCGTCAAAACTTTACGCACCATCCTGTCCTCAGTCACACATAACGGCAAACAGGCAAGTGCAGGAAAACTCACATTATATGACTGCATGAGCTTCAGTTTTATTGTTTTAACTCTGAATCCTCTTCTGTTAGCTCATGATGACAGTAGGCTTGTTGGCTGTGGTGGTGTACCTTTACACCGTGGTTGCCTTCAACTTCTTCCGCAAGTTTTACAACAAGAGCGAGGATGAAGATGAACCAGATATGAAATGTGATGACATGATGACTGTAAGTTACTGTATTTTTTGATTTGAGTAATATCTGTGTCTGCCCTACTCCCATAATGATAAAGCCTTCCTTTGGTTTCCTTTTCAGTGCTACTTGTTCCACATGTACGTGGGAGTGCGAGCAGGTGGAGGCATTGGAGACGAAATCGAGGATCCCGCTGGGGATGAATATGAGCTTTATCGGGTGGTCTTCGACATAACGTTCTTCTTCTTTGTCATTGTTATTCTACTGGCCATCATTCAAGGTAAAGACAATCACTCTTGATGTCACCTTAGCTCCTATTTCAGATCAAGAATTTTAACTGGACATGTCTAAAATCCCCCTTAAGGTTTGATCATTGATGCCTTCGGAGAACTCAGAGACCAACAAGAGCAGGTCAAGGAAGACATGGAGGTACAAAATTTGTCAAGTTGACACCTGTGCTTTAAGTGTGCGCAATTTTGCTTGAGTACTAATCAAAGATTTCTGTGCAGACCAAATGCTTCATATGTGGGATTGGAAGTGACTACTTTGATACGACTCCACACGGCTTTGAGACGCACACTCTAGATGAACACAACCTGGCCAATTACATGTGAGCGCATTTCTTTGGTGTTGAAGTGAATATAGGGAATTTATATGCAACAAATTACAAATAATTACATTCACACTCTTTTCAGGTTCTTCTTAATGTACCTGATCAACAAAGATGAGACAGAACATACTGGACAGGTTGGTCTAACTTTAAACATTTGTTTTTAAATTGAATTTCTTCTGACAGCAGTGTCATGTTCTTAAATTCTCTCATCATCTATTACAGGAGTCGTATGTGTGGAAGATGTACCAGGAGCGTTGCTGGGACTTCTTCCCTGCTGGAGACTGTTTCAGGAAGCAATATGAGGATCAACTTTCATAACCAAACAAGTCCTTTACTCAAAGAGAAATAACTACTGCTCTGTCTGTGCTCATCATTCCTGACACTTTGCGGGGAAAAAACGGTCCTGAAAAACACACAAATACTTAAATTATTCTTTTACATTTCTGTAAGTTTCCAATAAGAGATAACTTTCAAAATGTAAACAGTCAAGACCAGTTTCTACTGATGCTATTGTGATTTATCAAGGGAATTGTCGGATTGTATTGATATTTATTGACTTTTTCCTAAATTTAGGGATATTAAGCTTTTCTGTTAACAAGTTTCCCTCATTGTCCATGAAGAAGAAGAATTGTTTTGACGAAGGTACATGAAGTGCCTACACAATCACACAAGTTGCCTCAACCAACACAAAGCACTGGAATGAGATTTTTAGCACCATACTAGTGTTTCTGTCCTTTTTTTATCACGTCTACTTGGATAAAGCGGATTTACCTTTATATATGCTCAGTTAGTATTTTTTCTGTTTACTTTTCTTCTGATCATGTTGCATATGTACTTGGTTTTACATTATTTATTTATTGCTTTTGAACGATTTATTCTGTGATGATAAATGATCTCTGTGTGGGACTTAAATGTGATGTTGATTTAATCTGATACTGAAAAGCATCATTCTAATGTATCCGATTAGTGATGATGTGGCTGCTGTGTCCTCTCTTTATACAGATAAGCTACGTTCAAAACCCTCATTTCAACAAATCTGCAGTTTTTATGATTAATTTCTTTTGAAATATCATGTTTGACAGTATTTAATATCTTTACCTGACCCATTTAGTAAATGCTTCCTAAATAAGATGATTTACTTAAGACCCTTGACTGCAGGGGGGAGTGTTTGACAGGTGAATGATAACCTAAAAAGACTCGAGCCATGGTGATAACTGTGATGAAGTTATTACATAATAAAAGTAGACGGCTCCACAGTTGTTTCTGTACCATCTGGATTTGAAGAGAGGGAATAAGTCCCAGAGGTTTAGTGAGACTGTTTTCTTGTAACTTTTGATTCTCAGTTTGTAAAACTGAAATTAAAGCAGTAAAATATTAAACACAGTTTACTCATTGTTTTGTGTACAGTAAGTGCACACACACAAACACACACTGCAACAGTTTGAGTGTAACATCTCATCACGGTCTGTCTCCATACCACACTGCTGAAGTGTTGCTCAGTGGAACATCCCAGCTGAATGGGGATTAAGCCTGAGCATTAAAACTCACATTGAGGCTCATGTGCTTTTCACCCATCCCTTCGTCAAAACACTTCACTCTGAGCTTGGACCGCAGGACTGCATCGACTGTTACCATGAACCTCTCTGAGATCCATCATGGGGTGCTGAGAATGTACGGTAAGGTGATCCTTTTCTTCACTTTACAATCACTGCTTGGATTTAATGAGCAAAAATGCACGAGGAGCTCACAACAGGCAGGACAACATAACTATCAAGAAAGCCTATGATAATAAACATGAAGTGTTGCCCATGTATTGTAAATGCTAGATTCATATTTTTCTTTAAGTTTAAAAGGCACAGTGAATCGTGGATGCGCAGTAATGTTGAATAAATTATCATTTGGGCAATAAATTCACTTTATGTTTTATAAAACCCTAAAAACATTTGAGTTTTGTTATATATATAAATAACTTTGGTTGGTTATAAAACTGGTGACAGTATCTGATTATTTTTATTTTTTCCACCCAATCTACTTGCCAATTCATCAAGGGTTTTAAGAGCTTCATTTTTGGTTAGAAAATTTTAGTTTTTATCTTAAACACTCAAAGCATAATAGTATCAAGTGACTGCTGAAACTGAGTAAAAAAGATTCGTAATTCAGACTGCATTTTTCCCTCTGCCACCACCCCTTTACGTTCTGTGATAATACAGCACATTTTCTCTCTGTGTTTTTCAATATATCTTCATTGCTTGATCAAATCCAGATGTGCGTGTGAGTGTGGTAAACATCCTGATTGGTTGAGCACTACATCCCCATCCCCTTGATCCCCCAACCACCTGACTGGCTCTAATCTGGTGGGATGATGGAATGACAGCGTTCATGCTTTAATCCAGCTGTACACTGTTCCCACTGCTCTCAGGATCACTATGACCATGCTGAATATTGTCAATAAGCTTTGGTGTTCTGATATCAAATGTTTTCTCCTGTCTGTTTTTCCAACCTGTCCCTTTCATCCAGGTGGATTTATTTTCAAACAGTGGAAAAAGAGGTTTCTGCTCCTCACAGCTGAGGGCAGTCTCCTGGTGTGTCATGATGCTTCGTCTCCCCCGGACCAGCTGGTTCACTTGCAGGGCGGCTGTGAGACTATTGTTGAAGGCAAGGAGATCCTTGACCTGCCTAAATTACCCTCTGGGGGGAGCAGAGACTGCTGCTTTGCTCTGATTCTCCCTCAGAACAAATACTTGCTGCTGATGACTGAAACTGCGACAGAGTGCAGGTCTGGTTTTATATGCTAATTCTTTACAGTGCCATATCACAGGTACACCATCAGTTACTCTGAGGAACAGTTCCAGTTTCCTGCTTTTAAATGTGGAGTAGAAAAAAGAGGAAGGCAGTGTAGCATTGTAGACACAATTTTAAATCCAAGTCACTTAAGTCCTTGAATACTTCAACCAAGTTGAGCTGAGTTGAGTTGAGTTGAGTTGAGTTGAGTTGAGTTGAGTTGAGTTGAGTTGAGTTGAGTTGATAGGCCTACAAGCCCAAAGAATAGCCTGGCACCAATTCCTAATATAACACAGCAAACTTTGACATTTCTGTTTTTGTGCAAATTCAAACAAAGAGATACGTCAATTGCTAAGACTTAAAGGTGCTGTTGATGTGATTTTTCTTATTTAATGGAGTCCAGAAAGTATTTTTATGAAACCTTTACATTTGATGACATTTGGATTACATTTAATGGGACTACAGGAGCCAGTCCAGTCCTGGATTATTATTTCAATAACTCTATCTATGCTTTTGTTTTTTATTGTTCTCAGTTGGCCATCACACACCTTTGAAAGTGTCAGCAGGTCTACTGATAGGCAGAAAGTATGATAACTTAGAGAGACACACAGATTAGCATGTTTTCCCTTTGACCTGTCATTTCACTTGCGTGACCTTGAATGCTTTAGATGTTTGGAAGTAACTGTCACTCTTACTCTTTTTAGTCAATGGGTGAACACGCTGAAAAAGGTTAAAAAGGTGAGCTTTAAGACTGAGCCACTAGCTGCTCTGTAAGTTCAGCATACGACATGTCATTATCCAGCATTCCTCCTTATTACCCAGCTGTTTATAAATACAAGGTTCTGATTGGATTTTTTAAAAAATAAAACTTGACAATAGTTAAGTCTGAATTGCAAAAGATGCTTTGGACAACCTGATACACATACCAAGTTGATCTGCAGAAAGAAGTTACAGCACATCAGGTGTACTCTTCATGATGTTAACTTTACTTGAAGCAAAGATTGTATGTTTAATGTAAATTTTGGTTGGTTCAGAATACTGTTCTTGTGAAAACACTCCCATCTGTTTCAACTGTGCTTCCATTTTTAGCTGTGTAAATAGATAAATCCTTTCTAATCAATAGAATCAACTTTAGATCAAAATCAACGTTTCTTGTATATTTAGTTGTTAGCTGGGTGATGAACAGGATATTGTAAAGTCAGCCTGTGGTTCAGTTCTTAAAAACAAAATTTAAAAAAACATTTGTTTTGAATTTCTCAGAGTATTTCATCACCTCTCAGTCCATGCAAGAGGCATCAGGTGATCCCACCTCACATTACTCTCAAAGATTTGGTGCCAGAGCAAATCCTGGAAAAAGATCCACCGACACCTCCGGTCAGCGACACAGAAGCCCCTTCCCCAGGACCTACAACTGGTGCTTCACCTAGGGAGAAAGGTGAGAGACGGACTTGTTATAGTTGAACATTTACAACATGAACCTATTTTCTTGAACATTACCAGCTGTAGTCCAGCAAGTTTTATGAGACACACATGTTAATCAGGTATTGTTAGACCTCTGTTAGAAAGTTTTTCATAAAAACATGCTCTCTGTTCCAAACAGGCAGGAATTCTCCCCGCTCAAAGACCTACAAAGGTGGGGCACATTCTGTCGGCTGTCTGCGTCATGGTACCATCAGTAACGCACAAACAGCGAAAGCGGTTTACCTCCTGATGGGAGGGGCTGCTGCCTCCTCTGCCATGGGGTACCTGGGCACATGCTCGCTCACTAATCTTGAAGCCAAAGGTCCTGACATGCCACTCAACACAGATTTCTCAGGCATGGGATCAGCAGGAGCATACCATACCTGTGGTCCTGCACTCGACTCCCCTCACTACAACAGCTTTGATTTCGAAGTGGGTGACTCTGATTTTGATGCTTTTGATTGTGGTGCATTTACTTTCTAAAAATGTGACCACTAATTGCAGAGGTTATGGACCTGTACAGCTTTGTTTGATGCTGAAAACTTACCTGGTTCTTCATCAAGATTTGTCAGAAAGACATGACTGTACGAGGACCTTGAAAGCAGACGCTAGTGAGTCATTCCTATAAACCTGCTTTTAACCTGCTGAAGGTGAATTATCTTTTTTTTGTCAAAATGACGATGGGAGTCGGTGTTGACAAAATACTGGCATGTCTCTACAAAAAAAACTTAATATTGACATAAACAGATGTAAGGGAGCAACAGTGGCGTGCATTCAGAGTTGTATTGGCAGCCAATCGCTGTTTTTGATTCAAATCAATGACTGTGAAGCCAAAAGATCACTTTGACAGAGTCTGACAGATGCACTGGTGCAGAGGTGATCCGGCTGGTGGAGAATTCATTCACACCCTTTCTAATAACTAAAATGCACAGATTCCCGCAAACAGATCCCTGAAGCGGTACAGCAGAACAGATTCTTGTTTTGGATTGAAGCAGACATTTGTGGCTGTAGAAAGGTCACTGACTCTTGTGTCAGTGTTTGTTCTGTCTTCTCTTGCTGTTCCTCTTCTTCTCTGCCAATCCAATGCTGAAATCTTCATTTGAAAAATAAAATTTAAAAAAATCAAGTAACCCTGACTCCATTCAGAAAAACGAACACTTGAACATAGACCACCATAATATGAACTATATTAGCACAGAGCTTTGATGTGTATTTTGTTTTTGTGGTTTGACCCGGGTTTGATTCAGACCTAACCTGCAGCTTCACAGTCTGTTAATACTTGTGGTGTCTTTGTTAATAAACAGCCTGAGGTCTCAATGAGTTGTGAGAAACTGTAAACGCCTCTTTAAATGCTTAATAATCTGCTGTGTCCCAGCTAGTCGCTAACTTTGTCCGTCTGATGTTTGGTGCTATTGCTAATGGTAGTGTACACAATGCACAATCTCTTCCTTTCGCTGAGTTTTGTAACATGTTTAAAACTTACCATGTGATTTTGAATTATTTACATTATGTATGTAATTGACACTCTGAGAAACCTATGTCGTGGTTTGGACTCTGCATTATGTTTTACAAAACACACTTTATGCCCTCCCTTGTTTTATGTGCATTATCTGTCACCATAGTTACACTGCAAACACCATCGGTGATTGTGACCGAGATCAGAAAACAAATTTCAAACTGATACAAGCAACTAATGTTTTTATGGATCTAGTTCAGAGATGAAATTGGGCAACATGATATACCATTTGCCATTACAATGCCATAGTCAGAATTTTCAGCACATTGATAGACTATAATAGATTTGTATCAGATTTTCAGTAGACTTCTAAATGTGAACAAACTCCTTTTTAAAAGGGCTCTTCTGATTGTCAACATTGTCCACTTTTGTTTATGTCCTGTGTGTCTGTCACTGCGTTTTAAATCTGTTGAGTTCAAATTTGATGTTTGATCCATTTGAGCCTGCTCTACCGATATGATTAAAACTGTCATGTTAAAAATATTCAGTCTTCTTTTTTTATGTCCCAAGGAAAAAGAATTTCTGAGAACTTAATGCAAAAAATAAGAAGCTTTTAATGATGTGTAGGTTTTCAACCCCCACCCTTCTCTCTCTCTCTCTCTCTCTCTCTCACACACACAAGACCCCCTGAGAAACACAATTGTAGGCCTTTTCTGAGACCACAAAACACATGTAGACTGGAAACCCATACACCCCCCTCCAGAACCCTGTAAGGGTAACGAGTTGGTCCACCATACCACAACCAGGACAAATCCCCATTGTTCCTCATGTATCCAAAGTTTGACGATTGGCCTCCTATCCAGTACTTTCCCCAGAATTTTTCATCAAAATTGTCCTTAACACCCTACTCTAGAAAAAAGTTAAAAAGTTGGTATATGTTTGTAATATTGTTATCCTTTGGGGTCATGTGTTGAGTTTTCAGGGCTAACTTTTGTAGAGGGAAAATGACCTACCTTCAAACATGTGTTGCCCAACAGGAGGCAGAATAAGTTTCCCTGGTAGCCTACTTGTTTTTTATTTGATACAAGAAAACATAGTATACTCTACTTTGCCTTTAGATAGTTGAGCAAACATGGTGCTCAGTTCAATGGGTGGTTCCATTTGTTTGTGACTATGAAGGGATATTCCTGCGTAAAATTAAGTCAGGGTCAAACACACCGTAACACCGAGTTAGACACCCTCGAGAGATGAATGTTGCCGACCACTTGCTTCTCTAATTATACCAACTTTAGTAACAACCGCAGATAGCAAAAGTGGGTGAGTTGTGTTTAGTCTCTTTGCTAAAGAAATCAGGCAAAGCTAAACAGATGTTTGGTGGCTAGCACTATGGCTGGGACCCTATATGTACTGTTGATGAAAATAGGTGCTATAGAGTGGCTTTTTGGTTGAGTGTGTGGCTCTCTGTATTGCTCTCTGCAGTCATTACTGATGTTGGTATAACTAGAGAAGCAAGCGGTCGGCAACATTCATCTCTCGACGGGGTGTCTAAATCGGTGTTACGGTGTGTTTGACCCTTACTTAATTTTACGCCGGAATATCCCTTTAAAAATCTGCATCTACAGAAACATATATGCCCTAATTGACATCAGTTTTACTCCACTTGAGCCCATCGATTAAAAAAAATGTCTGGGTATACCAGGATCAAAAACCTGCATTCAGGATGAACAATTAAAAGGAAACACTGGTGGACCACGAATGACTTTTAGATCTTTTTTTTAAGGTTTGGTAAACATGTAAAATAATAAACTCCGGGGTGAGTTAAAAAAAAATCTACTCTGTGCGCCCTAACACCTTCCCACCTCTCTGCTAAGTGCGGCTCTGTACAGACAGCGGAGGGAGATTACTCTCTTGCCTCATGGTCCGCCTGCTCTCTGCTCTGTCGCCGCACACCCCTCTGGCATCGCCGTAGCCACGCCTGATTTGCTGTAGTAGAGTGGGAAGTGGTCGCAGCGGTTGTTGCAGCAGTGGTAGCAGGGCCCTCCCTCTGTCTCTGCAGATAAATACTCGCAGCCTGTCTATTCCAGGCATGGATGACGGTTGCACTCAGACATGGCACTGCGACATTACACCCTCGACATCAGCCTCTCTACGGCAGGTAAAAAAAGAGCGCGACGAGCGGAGGAATACAGCCGGTGCATTCAGGTTACATTCACTGCATCAGGGCTGCATGCTAGCTAGCTGGCTAGCCTGCTAACATCAACCTGCTGCCCTTCAAAATAGCGACAGTAAATCGATTTGGAGTAAACATAGCTGTTGACTAATTAAACATGTTTATTTTGTGACAAGGGCTGGTGTAAAGCTTAAAATTAATGTGCTTAAAATATCTCATTTTACTGCCATTTGCGTAGTTATGTGTTGTTAGAGGTTACACTTTTTTAACTTGTCTGTTCAGTCATTGCAGTGGAGAGCGGCTCCAAACCTCCTAGGCTAACAATGCCAATACAGTTTTATTCGTTAAGTTGTCGCACAGGAAGTGGCGTATGTCCGCCATTTTTGTAGTTTTCCCCCTCAATATAAGATAAACCATTTTTCAGCCCACGGTGGGGAAATTTGCAATGTTAAGAGCAGCAAAAGATCTGCATAGCAACGTAGAACAATAAGTACACAGTGCACAGATGATTTTAAAGAAGTTAATTTAGACCTGTACAAAATATGATATACAAAAAAGAAAGAAAAACTGTAAGCAACAACCACAAAAAACTAAAAGTGTACAAAAAATAAACTAGACATGTTATTGCAAATTATTTGTGTTATTATAGTTGAGAAAAATGTAGGTTTTTTGCAGTTGTGATAAATATCTGGCCTGTCAATATTGCACATAGAGGTAACATTATGATATTGCCTGTTAGTTGTCTGTGCAATATTCTGTTTAACTGTGCAATTATACTGTACAAGAACTTAATTACTATACTGTCTATTACACTGTGCAATATCCTACATTTCAAAGCCATAAACTGGTTTTGTATATGCTCTCTCTCACTTTCTGTGCTTGAACATAACGTATTTCTTGAACACTCTGCACTTTGTAAATAGCTCCATTTCTAATATTCTGCACTTAGTCATAGCTATTGTAATTTGTTATTGATCCTAATTTTATTCATACTATTATCCTTCTATTAACATTTGTATTTTCAAGAGCAAGTGTAATGACCAAATTTCCCCTGGGAAAAAAATGTGTGCTTATTCTGAATCTGTTTAAAACCAAAAATTATTATCATTTTCAAAAGTTGTTTACAATTTTAAGAATAAGCTTAGTCTTAAAAACACCAGCAGCATAATAATTACAGGAAAATTCCCCCAGCTGTCAGTCAAACTGTGCAATAGTGAAGTCTATTACCCTACATTACATGTAACAATGTACAGCACAATCCAAACACGTATTGCATGGTTTATTAATTTCAAAAGTGTGTGCTAACTGTTGCTATGGATAGATATAGTTCACTAAAACATTCATTGTTTGTCTACCCAGTAATTTACTGTTGGGTAACAATATAAATAATACAGAAAATTCAATGTCCTGTTACAGTATTTTTTTCTGAAATTAAGTGTTACATTGCAGAACAAGATTACGTTACAGTACACCATATTGTCAATTTAATACATTTAAGTTAAGTCAAAACCAGCCACACAATTTAAAGGCTAATTACGTACAAATCTATCTGAAGGACAGCTGTAATCATTCAGTCATGATAAATAAAATGCTATGACATCGCCAGAGTCTATTATCACTGGAGCTTATAGCTGTTACATTACAATACTCACAAAAGAATTATACATTTCACCCAAGTAAAAGTCCTGAGCACTTGTTTCATCAAAGATGGAGATTGTTTTATTTATCCTTGTTTTATTCTCTGTTTTTTCCAGTTGACACTGCTTCTACAGTTCCTGGTCTACTGGCCATATTTCATGAGCAGGAAATGACAGAGACTGTCCATGACACAGATGGGCATGGATACCTTGCTACATTTGTTGGAAAGAATGGCAGGTAGGACTTATGTTTTGGTACCAATACTGTTATTTCAATAGTATTCTCTTCGGCCTGCAAAGATTTAAAGAAATAAGTGCCTGATTTTTACAGAAGTATATGTATGTATGTGTTTGTGTGTGGGCACATGTGTTTGAACATTTATAGTGTTGGGGTCTATTGTTATGTAAAGTATAACAAATAAAAATGCTTTACAAAACTGAAAAAGAAAAAAGCTGTATTTATACCATAGTCCACCATGTAGTTGAAAGCAGGGCTCCTCCAGAATAATTGGTAGGCGATAAACACACTGTGTTTCTTCTTTAAAAGATTTAACCAGAATCCAGATCTGCTTTCCAAACTGTATTTGTCTCATATCCAAATAGCACAGATTTATTCAACTTGAACCGCTGCTGTGTTACCCCATTGTTCTTCTGTGCAGCCGGTTGAATCCGTATAAACTGGCTGTGATCAGAATATGGTTTTATGTTTATTTTTTAACAAAATTCTGACAGAATGAGGCCAATTATTAAATACTCACAGTAAGCAGGTGTGATTACTGATGATTTAATTCCATCTTCTGTAAGATTTAGTAGCATTAAATGATTTGCAAATTTCTCTTTGACCCAATGGTCTTAAAGATAAGACTTGCATACCTCTGAGTTTATCCACACTTTAATCTTTTGGGTGTTGTTCGAAAACGGCCAAAGAGGACATGCAGCTGAATTCAGTTCACTCACGTAACCTTCAAGTTCACCAGTGGTGTCACATGACTATTACTGTCAGCTGTAGTTCAGGATAGTTTAGATTCCAGTCTTGACAGGTTTCAGAGTTTCCTTCAAAATGAAGCTGAATGAAGGGGTGGGTTCAGCTTTTTGAGAATGTTCAACACTCCTCCCCCGTTTCTATTATATATCTGTGTCTGTTAATTCTGTTACAAGGTTTGTTTATCAGCCGTACATTCTATAAAAAAATACCAAAATAACGACTCGTGTCATGAAAGAAGATTCATTTTTTAGCATCAGATGTTTCACCTCAGTCAGTTTAACACACTTGCAGCAGCGCATGTGTCAGCTGCTGATTGTGAGACTGGAGGGGCAGAGAGCATTGAGCGATCTAAACACTGTTCACAGACAGACACTTTACATGGATTATGAAAAAAATTAATGGTCAGCAAAATACTTGGGTGTCGTAAAAATACTTAGAGGTGTCATCTTTGAGTGGAAAACACTGGTATGTACTGCACATAGAAAACAAAATCTACCCCCCTGAAAAACGTGTTAAACCACTCTTGCTTTATCTCTGCTGTCTGTGTCAATGCTTACCAATGATCCTTTCAACACATAGTTCTTATGTGGTCTGGGCGGATTTGGTGGATTACGCAGAAGGAAAAGTGCAGTGAATGCACTTTGGCTTTATACTGTGCAAATTTGGCAAAAAAAAAGCCAATTTACCAAGAATAAAGAGGGTCATGTTTTGGATATAGAGATACTGCGTGCTGCATCCTTTCATTAAGATAGATTTGTCACTGTGCTTTATTGCTCTGGATGCATCTCTTTAGCTCTTCTCTTCTATTCAACAGGTTTGCTATTCTGCGTCTGCACTCCCATGGGTTGGTCACCGTTGATCTGCAGTGTTTTGAGGAGGATAACATTGCACAGCTTGACAATGTAGGTTTATTTATAGAACAATATATTTATAGAATTTATCTACTGTTAGCCAAAACACAAGAGTCCCACTGCTCAGTTTTCAGTGTAATGTTTCCTCATTTTGAAGCTTTTCTAAGGAAGTGAAACTTATTTTTGTCCCCTTTTTGAAAGTTAGCTTTACAGATCTGTACCTCAGAATATTTTAAGGACAAGATGATAGCAGTGCTTTAAATAGTGACTACAAATGTGACAGACAAGTAGAAGGAGGGCGGCGACCAGCATAATTGCCTGAACATACCTCTGGTGTTCAGACATGCACACATCTATAGACAGCACCGTCAGAGTGAAAAAACTCATGGATAACAAGTAGATACATGCAGAAAAAGACATGAGATGAGTGCTGCATTTATGCCTGTCTATGTGTTTTAGTGCATTTTTAAAGGTTGTAGCTAAACTTGACTCATCTGTTCTTCCACAGCTTTTAAATGCACTGGAAAAGAAACTTAAGATTCTCTTAAAAGGCAATATTACGAGGATTAAAAGGTTAGTTTCTGGCGGTTTTGAACATTTGGTGGGGGGTAATTGGCACGTTTCCCTCAGCTTGCATTTTGCACTTATATTGACACATATCATTGTTTGCCAATATTCACTCCCAGACTCCCGGCTCTTGTTCGAGGAGCGAAAGTGGACCGATACTGGCCCACAGCTGATGGCAGACTGATGGAGTACGACATTGACCGTGTGGTTTACGAAGAAGATTCCGCTTACCAAAATATAAAAATATTGCACTCAAAGCAGTTTGGAAATATCCTTGTACTCAACGGAGACGTTAGTAAGTTTATAAGACACACATACACACAGCATGTTTGACATTTTGACAATATGAAATACTTTTCTTATGAATGAGTGCAACTACATCCACTATTTTCCACAAAAAAACAGATAATTCCACATTTTCCATGTGACTGTTGTACCTTGCAGATCTGGCAGAGAGTGACTCGGCCTACACTCAAGCTATCATGGGTGGAGGTAAAGAGAATTACGCTGGAAAAGAGGTGCTAATATTAGGAGGAGGTGACGGGGGCATCCTCGCTGAGGTGGTCAAACAAAAACCAAAGATGATCACCATGTTGGAAATATCCTTGACGGCTTTGCTTCTACAAAACTTTTTTTTTTAATTCATTAATGCATTGTGTCTTTGTTCTCGACTTTGAACTGATCTGATTTTGATCGTCATCTGATCAATGCTTCCTTAATGAAGTTTTCACATTGACCAGAAGGTGATAGATGGGTGCAAAGCACATATGAGAGTAACTTGTGGAAGTGTCCTTGACAGCCTGGAGGGAGACTGTTACCAAGTGAGTACTGAATGAGTACAAAATAAATATTCATGAGCAAATGCTGCGACTGTTTCTCCTGTACTCCACTGAATCTTACATCGGAGACACAGAATTTTAAACATGATGGTTTTCAGGGGGCTGAGTTAAAGCCCCTGTGAGGAGCTTTTAAGTGGTTTTGAAAAACACTGAAATAAACTCAGATGCTTCCATGTGAAGTCTAAAGACAGATGAATGCCATACAACTTCGGTCTCTCAAACATACTACATGACTGAGTGGGTTTGTCATTTCAGAGGTTAGAAATGAAAGTGAAAATAATTTTGCCTCTCTCATTTGTTACAGATACTAGTGGAGGACTGTGTGCCGGTGCTGAAGAAGTATGTTCAAGAGGGAAGGACATTTGACTATGTTATTAATGACCTTACTGCAGTCCCGATATCCACAGAGCCAGAAGAAGGTTCCCCTTTTTATTTGTATATATTTTACATATCATATAAAACACATTTGCTTGGATTAACCCTGAAACCTTTCTAACTTGTCGTTGTAGACTCTACATGGGAGTTTCTGCGTCTCATCTTAGATCTGTCAATTAAAGTCCTGCATCCTGATGGGAAATATTTCACACAGGTGAGCTTTTTGTCCTCTCAATATTTTAAAATGTTTTTACTGGCGTCGATAATATAACGCACGTCCAGCATTTTTGAGAAGTGCTTTTAGGATTAAACAAGTGCAGCTTTAAATTTAAACTCTTTGTTTTTCTTGGACTCATTTTTGGAGTCTTATGTTATTATTTAGAGCTTTTCTTTTTAAAATAGATGTACACTGGGACTACAGTGAGAAAGGAACAGTCCAGTTAAACCAACTTTGACAAGATTCAGATAGAGAGAGGTTGTTAGATTTGATGGGGGATTGATCAGGGATGTTTTTATGCAATATATGCCAACAAAGGGGAGTCACTGATTACATTTCATCTTGGTTCACTTGTTCAGTTCCAGCTTGTATCTACAACCCACACACTACACTTTGAATCTTCTGTTATATTTCTTACACTAACATATATTTCTGGCCACCAGGGGAACAGTGTGAATTTGACAGAGGCACTGAGTCTGTATGAGGAGCAGCTGGAAAAGCTCTCGTGTCCTGTGGGCTTCTCCAAAGAGGTGGTGTGTGTGCCCTCCTACCTGGAACTGTATCCTTGAACCAAATCCAAAATTGTCACCGTCCATGTGTCGTCAAAAATAAAGCACACTGATTCGATTAATGTTAATGAAGTAAATTGCTAGGCAAACTAACTCTTGTGGTATGTGTTGCGTTCGCTAATAGAGAAAAAACAAAGAGGCTTTCTGATGGCGAAGTAAAGCACTGAGATATTTCTACATCAGGCTTTCACTTGCTTTGGCTTTAATGTCGGGGTCAAAGTTTCATGCTCGGTGTACCTTTGTTCCTTTTTTGTCCCTTAAAGCTTTGTTTTAGCAATTTGCCAAGTTCTTATTCCAGCATTTACTTTTGTGTGCAGAATTAGTAAGGAATCATGAATTTATGCCTTCTGTGATGTTTTGCTGTGACCAGTCCTTAACTGCAGTGTGTCAGATGGGTTTTCTACACTGTGTGGAAGAAGTAAAGAGCTCCAGTTTTCTCTGCTTGAATCGCCAGCAGCTGGAATGTGAAAGCTCCTCCCGTTTTCTGCTGTAGCCTCGAAAGTGTGTTCAGACTGAACCACACATGGAAATTAAAGGCATTTAAAAAGCAAATAAATGAATCAACAGGGATATCAAGCCAAAGCTGATATCTGAGCTGTAATTAGCTTTTTTTCGTGAACGAGACTGGACTGCAAAACTCTATCAATGTTAAAGCCAGACAAAAAAAAAAAACGTACTTTTGTGTTCAGTCTGAACACACCTTCAGAGGCACAAAGACAGTTTTATTCTCCCCTCTCTTTTTAACCCCATTCGACTCTGTTCTCTGCTCTGTCTCTCTGTTTTAGTTGTGTTTTAATATTGTTTGCTACAACTCCTCAGTTGTATTCGATTGTGTTACTTGATTTGGAATGTCCATTTGCATGTGTGTTGAAGGAACTGTTAGATGTGTGAACAGTGGTTCAATAGACTGACGATGTGGTGTAACTCCTCTCGCAGCGGGTTTGTGTTCTCTTGTTTTCTTTACGTTTACTCTGCGCCCTGAGTTATGAGCTCAGACGATGTGATGATGAGCAAACAGCTGAACCGAGTTGCTTCTTATGCTCTGTTTTTGTTACGGCCTCTCAAATGTGATTTGATTCTTTCAGGTTGTTTCAAGGCAATGTGACCATGTCCAGTGAGACTCAAGAGTGTTTGAGTATTGAGTCCACGTGTGTTTTAAAAGGGAAACGATTCCACCACTTTAATGCCACCTCTGTGCTTGTGCTGTTTATATGTTATGTTTTATTGGCACCTTTGGTTTCTCCTGATATATTTTAAGTTTTTTAAGACTGTATTAGGTGCATGTAAAGGACAGTGAATGTAGCTTGCGTATACAGTACACAGCACGTTTACAAGTGATAAACTCTGTGGGACTGAGTTACATTTATTTATTCTATATGATTTCACCAAATGCTGTTTTGTCCCACTGAGATGATTTTGTGATCACCATAATTAAAGTGTTTTTGGGGGACAGGTTTTCAGCTCTTTTTAAATACATCAGAATAAAAGCAACTTAAGGCTAATTTAGGCTATTTAGAAGAAAGTAAAGAAAACAGATTGTGGCTGTAAAAGATCTGCACACCCATAGCACAAAACACATATTTTCCTCCTTTCTTCAGGGTGTGGGCAAGTACTAACAGTGTCTTGCCTCTCCCGAATTATTCAGCTAGATTTGTTGCATGTCAAAACCATCAAAAGGCAATTTTTTTTTGCAGCTGAGTTGTTTTAATTAACTGTCATTTCCATTATTAGAAAGTTGGAAAGCCAACATTTATTTCCAACGCATCAGGGCGTCGACGTGTTGATTTTGGATAACACACTTGTAACAGAGCCACCGATTCCTTTCAAAGGAAGTAGCCTGACAATGAATTCAACATGTGTGAAAAAATCATTTGGAAATGTGACATTCAAGAGCATGGTGCATAAATTATTTTATATAGTTACATTATGTACAAATACTTCAAAATAAGAGTCTGTTCTGTCCTTATATCAGGATGCGTGCTCGTGTCTGTACTGCCTGTTGATCTCGTTGAGGATCACGTCTGTGCCGGGCTCCTCATCAGCGGTGATTGCTCTGTCATCAAACGGGCCGTCTGAAACACAAAAATCCTTCAGTATTTTAAAGATTTTTTTAAGTCAGTGGAAAACTGACGTAGATATGTCTTCCTATTTCTAATTATACATTCATCGTAATGACATAAATTTTCCTATTTTTACATGGTAGACTAAATTGTCAAATTGAATGATCAAAATCTTAAGTATTAATTTTTAAGAGTCACCCAATTTAGTTAGCCTGTGACTCTCAAACCCATGCAGGTACATTGACTGTGTTCACTTACTGATGCCATTAAGATGCTCTGTGGAGTCAGTGACAAGGGAAGAGGAGGAGCCGGATGAGTTTTTCGACTGGGACAACTTTGATGAACGCTTGGATGTCAGTCTGGTCACCGATGACTTCTTCATAGTCTTCTGTGTCATGGTGCGACTCCAGTCTGCAAAAGCAGGAACGTTAAAATGCAAACTTCTCGTCTGTAATTCAGTTTGATACGACAGCATGTATCTTTGACAGTTGTACGTTGAAGGAACATGCAAATATTAGAGGCAATAAGAGACCATAAAGAGAATGAAATGCAAAAGTTGTGGAGCGGTTAACGTCTCTCACCTGAGTTCTCTGCTAGTCTCAAAGTTCCACAGCACAAGTACGTCCTCCACTGTCTCCTCACGTTTTCTTTCAGCGCACAATAGAACACAAATATAAAGAAACCTACAAACCAGGAGAAAAAAGCAAGATTTCATTCATAATGTTTTGCCTCGTTAAAATATAGTTTCAGATTATGAATATTTGGCTGTTATATATGTGGCACAGGGCAACATTGTCCATGTAACTCCACAGTGTGCTGAATTTCATCGCTAAGTTTAGGGGAGTAACTCATGCTGGTAAAAATAAAGTGTCTTAAACAGCCATGTAAACATTCATCACAATTTAAAGTCAACTTCGACCTACTGTACTTACACAAACATTTTGTTATGCAATGCGAGATTACTGCTGATGTGTCCCCCCCATGTGCTCTTACTTTGAGCTTTATCCCCAAATCAAGTGGTTTAGATAATCTGACTTAAGTGTTGGCATGTTTACAACCCGTCGGAAGGCATATCTTGTCCCATTAGAGTATATTGTGGTCATATCGCCATGTTGCCATATTTTAGCAGCGTGTTTTGTAAATGCAATACTAACAGCACGGATTTTGTAACTAACGTAAAATCTCTGGGTTTTAAACTGTTTCTACTTGACTTACATTACCATGTGATGATGGGCCACCACCATTTTATGTAATTTTCCCCTTAAACATCTGTCAATGAATCTACCCATTACTCAAAAATATTTTTAAACCAAGGGTTCAAACACAAGCTCAAATGCACTAAAATGATTAAAAAAAAATTTAATCGACCCACGACATGAACACCAAGTCCTAAATTAATTGACTCACCTTGCAGGGTGTTAAAGATGGCAAAGAGGTACATGAATGGCAGGTTAACAGGACCCCAAGCGAAGAAGGCAAAGCCCCACGTGAGGCCCAGGAGGAGGGTGATCCCCGCCACGCTGCGCACATCTTGCATTGTGGTACGGTGATGTGAATTTTGAGGGTTCTGCCTCTTTATTCGACACAGCTGCACTAACACCACGACAAACATGACCAGGTTGAAGAGGAAGATGACACAGAAATAGGCCACCACTGCCACATAGAAGGCTATGTCATTCTTGATCCAGCAGCTATGGGATGAAAACAATGGAAGACAATTAAAACTTGGTCCTTACATGTTTTATACTGTACTTTGGTATTTGTGTAATACTAAATAGTTTGTATCGAATACTGTGCGCCTAAAAATGCAAATATAAGTTCATAAGGAGACTTACAAGTCATCACTCGTGCCATCAGAAAACCTTCCATAGGAGACCAGACCGTAGTTATCCTTGTCGATGGCAATGACAATTATGACCACAATCATTGGGACACCCCAGCCCACGAAGGAGAACTTCAGCATGTAACGTGATATGTAGCTGTTGAAGACTTTCACCAGGGCCAAGTACATATGGACAGCCTCCAGTCCCATCCAAGTGAAAGCAACCAGCAGGAAGTAGTGGAGGAACCAGGCAGTGGAGATACAGAGGCCCACTGCTTCAGGATAGAGAGCCAGCCAAGCGTCAACGAGGAAGACCAGGTTGAGCAGCAGCAGAGCCAGGCACAGCTGGATGAGGATTTTAGATGGGATGTCCTTGCGCAGCTTCCTGCAGGATCCAAAATATCAACAGTTTTTTCATAATGAGGGTCATGTAGATGAAATATATCCATGTTTAGTCTATTGTCAAGTTTGCACACTCTACAAACCTCAATTCCAATGAAGTGGGGATGCTGTGTAAAAGATTTCTTTGGACTCTACATTGAGAAACAGTCTTGAACTGTTGGACTATTTGCTCATGCTTTCATTCGTAAGTGGTGCTCAGCCCATCCTTATGTGTGAACATCTGAGCCTTTCAGGAATGCTCCTTTTTTACCCACTCATTACACCTACCTGTTTCCAATTTACCTGTTCACCTGTGGAATGTCCCAAACAGGTCATTTTTGTCCCTGTCTTTTGTTGCCCGTCTCAACTTTTTTAGACAATATTTGCAAACAAACAATAAAGTTATTCAACTTTAACATTAAATATCTTGCGTTTTTAGTGTATTTAATCTAATGTAGGTTGAAAGGGATTTGCAAATCATTGTATTTTGTTTCTATTCACGTTTTCCACAGTGTTCCAGATTCACTGGAATTGAAGTTTGTAATTCTGAGATGCGAATCAGATTCATTAGGGAGCTGTAAAAAGAAATGATGGCTAACTTAGGGCAAAATAATGTAAATGATGTTTAATCTGATTGTACACTCTCATTATTCTAATATAAAAACAATCAAGAACACAATTTTCATGTTTCTCAATTCCACTAGTTGACAAATGTCCAAAAAATGGACAGAACTGTTCTTCACTTCAGCTCCCTTAGTGTTATTCTAACAAACAAATCAGCATTTGATACATTGAGAAGACAAGAATCTAATCAAATCCGACTTCTTGTGGCCATAGACTGTATTGAAACATATCCAGTGCAACAGTTTCCTGTGAGTGAAGCAAGAACTTCTAGAGCTCCCCCTGGTGACTGGTTGCAGTATAAGACTTAAAATCAGCCCAAATAATGTGTCAACTGCATGTCAGAACCTTCTGTGGAGGTATTCTTTCACTTCTCACAATAGAAGTTGTAACATTGTCCATATTAAGACGAAGTAAATGCTTATAAACATCTATACTCACCCAAAAGACAAATAGGTGAGCAGGGTGATGGCCAGGCAGATGGCAGAGATCCCACAGCCGATATAAGTGATGAAGGTGAGGATGGTGGCCTGAACACGGCTGGTTAGCGGTGTCCTGGAGAGGTCCTGTTGGAAAAAATAAACATAGGTACCAGAATTATAAGGTGTTTGCATGAATGACAGAACATTATTCTGATTTTTCACATATCCTAGAAAGATCATGTTCCTACCAGCAAGATGGCAAAACTGGTTAAATGGTTGCAGCTACAAACTGTCTCGCTATCTGTGCTGTTTTGTAAGGTGCAGCCATTTCCATTCCAACCACCTGACCCATCTGTTGGAAGAAAATACAGATACACCACATCTTTCATCTCTTTTGCTCTCCTTCCATTTGGTCTTGATCAGATAGATTCTGCTGGAAAACTCACCATTCAATGAGAAGTCCCAGAAAACACACGTAGCCACAAAATTAGCCTGTAGTTTAGAAAGGACATCAGAATTGTAAATCATACATATTTTTATTTGCCTTTCAGTAAAATCTTACAGAATATATCTATATTTTGAAAATGGACTCACAGGAACGGGCTCTGTGTTCCTTAGGTTAATGACAACAGGATCCTGCAGGCCTGTGATTGACAGGTTGGCCACACTTGCTCCCAGGATCCCACTGTTAAGTCTGCGCTGCCCTAAAGATTGATCCTGGATAAACATTTAAACAACAAAAGCAGTCATGAAACATTTAACAGTGGTGAGAAAGATAATTATTCTTCTGCAGATCATGTGTTTGTCACTTTTCTTTTAACATATTTTTAAACGGAGGAGAGGCTAAGCACCTATGGGCTATTTCTTAAGTGTATTGACCTGGAAAACTGTGCTCCTCTGAAAGAAGTTGAACTGGACTCTGGAGGCCAGCTGCTGGTCCCCGGCGCTGAGGTTCTGTGTAAGGGACGGCGGCAGCCTGATGGAACCCTGAGGGATGGAGGAGTCTGCTCTCACGCTCCTGCTGTGTCGGGAACCCCCGCTGAGCTGCAACACACATGGGACATGAACAAAGAGACACAGGCAAAACAACCACACTGTGTCATCGCATAATTAAAGTGTCTTTATCTATATGAGGGAACTGACATCCATCTGTCAGGACTGACTATTGTTTATCCGTCAGAAATACCTCAACTCATTTTTGCTTCAACAGGTTGCTACATGCACAAATACAAGCATAATCCCAGGATGAACGCTCAGAAATCATGTTACAAAAAATAATCTCATTGTGATGAAGGGAAGTAGGTTGCCAGACTCTCTGATCTAGTTCACCTCTTTGGCATTTCTCATTTCTAGCCGAATTCGTGTACAAGATGAGATGGACACAATTTGTATGCTTTAAGGGCTACAGTGAAGTAGGCCTAAACTTTGTGGCAGACAACAGCTCTGCACAAGAGTCAGTTTTACTCGTAACACTTAGGGTTAAACAACAACAGAGAGGAATTATTCCTCTGAAATGTCTCAGTAAGCCAAAGCGGGAAAACGCCAGGAACTTGGACTTGGTCCAGTCAGATGCAAAACCACCATCAACACTTTTTTTTTCTTTGGGCATTAATCATGTCTGAGGTTTTCAGGCTGTTGCATGACATCGTCTATTCTGTGGAAAATGATAGTGTGCCTCCAGGCTTGTTCTCATGACCTGAGCCAATAAGTTTTATGATGGTGAAGAGATTTTGATTCATTAAGGGCTGTTTGAAAAATGTCCAGCAGTCCATAATAGGTTCATGCTAGTCCACAAAACGCTGCATTCAAAGTCTTATTTGGATGAAAATACATAAAGGTGGGAGAGACTTACGAAGTCTTTTTTACTTAGGGCATCAAAAGTACTAATTCCTACACAGGAGGGCACATCAGTGTGTTAGCGGCATTTCAGATTGATAAAAATACTACTTTATTTTATTGTGTCCCATAAACAAGGCCAGGTCCCCTCTTTTGGATTTTGAGATATAATTCACAGGCCTCCATATGATAAATATAAGAAAGAAAAAACATTTAATACTCAATTTTTTTTGGTCTTTTCACTAATTGATCGATTTCAATGGGCCATCTGAAAAGTCAGGATAGCATTTTCCTTTTTGTGAAATTGATAAAACTTACAGACAGAAATTTCTCTCTGACATTTGATGGGGTGAATTGAAATTCAGATGACCTTTAAAACTGAGAAAAATGACTATGATAAAAACTCACTCACACTGTCTATCAACTTTTGAACTTCTAAATCCATGGTAAAATCACCTGTATCATTCAGGTTAGCACTTGCTAAAACATCCACAAATGCTGTGATGAATTACCTCTAAGATGTTTCCAAAAGAAACACGCCATGAACTGTTTTCATGACATACCTGTACGTCACTGGGGTTTAAGATGGAGAACACGGTTTCCTGAAAGTTAGTGCCATCTGCTGGTTGGACAGACAGAGCTACATCAGGAGAAAGGAGGTTCTCCTCTGCGTCTTGAAGGACCAGTTTCAACCCCACTGTGTCAACAAGCCCAATAATCCTGTTGGATAAAGAAACAGATTGTTCTTATGAAACCAAATTAAGATTTAAAAAATTGTTTTGTTTTTTGTCTACCAGTGTATGCCATCTACTTTCTTTCAAAGTCAACAAGATGTTGGTAAGTATCTTATAAAGACAGCCAAACCTGTTGGAGGACTCAGACAGCACTTCAGGAGAAGCACTCTGCAGATTGCTGACGATCTGAACTGAAGTGTTTCCCAGCGCCAGGCTGACGTTCGGTCCTGACAGAAGCTTTTCCAGCTGAGACACCAGCCGATTAATCTGGCTGGAGTTCAGGTTGGACACATCTTTGGTCTGCTCCAGCAGTGCGTTGGCTGCGCTCTCAGCTGTTCACAACAAAGAGAAAATACTAATGGTGTAAATGTTTCAAGGGGTAAATGTTGAAACTAAGCTCTCCACAATGCTTGGGTGACAACAAACCAGTTGATGGAGCTGTAGTTGTATCAGGCAACACTGTGACATTGGCTGTTGTGTTCACTGACGTTGTGGTTACATTTACTGACAGGGTGGTGTCTGGTTGTATGGTTGTGACGTTTGGTGCCAGTGTGGTAGACGGCTGATCACACTGCTGGTCAAGCAGAATAAGCAAAGTTTCTCCCTTTTCACTATAAAAAAAGGAGCAGAAATAAAGATCTCTGAGGGTTGTGTAGAAGTGAACAGCTGCTATATTGTATAGTGTTTGGATGATGATGATAGGGAAGGTAAACAACTCACCATTCAAACGGTCGTCTCGGACAGAATTCAGCAGGTTTTAGGTCAATTTCCTTCCATGAGAATTTTAACTCTTGTAGACTGGCGTCTAAATTTCCACAAATTGCTGCATGACATAAGAAAATAAAACACAAAATAAGTTTTAAATATCACACCCCCATTTTTTAAGAGTATGATTTGTGTACCTGTAGTGAATAAACTTATACACACCTGCTCGGGTCACTGGTCTTGTGAAAATGATTCGCTTTTCAGCCTGAAGCACATTTGACACGGCTTCTGACACATTACAAATATCAACTGGATCGATGAAGTTTAACACCACTCTGCAGTTTTGACGGCTAGAATTGTAAAGAGAAAGCAAACACAGTTTTCAGTCACTGACTTGATTCATCACATGTGCAAGTGCATAGAAATGGCTCACATATGCATGGACTCACTTTGGTGTTGTGCTTTCACATCTCAGACTGAAATCCTGAAAATGCAAATTTGTTTTAGTGCAATTATTTTAAGTGATCATAATAACAGGAGTTTGAAAAACATAAGTAGGGATTCAAAAAGACAGAAACTCAGTTTGTATTAATTTCAGAGACCAGGTTATTCACTGCAAACAATATAATCTCATCAATAAAGTCATTTATGTCGTACAATAAAAGATACATATCTATGCAAAATCACAGTTTTTATTAAATTGCCTTGACCACATCAGGATAAGTCTTGCAAAAACAAAGTCACAAAATCACAAGCTATCTGATTACCTTGTATTGTTTTGCAATGCTTGGTGATGGGCATGAAACACTGAAAGGGAATATCACAAAGGTTGATATTTATTTTGAATAGGTTAAAGATAAAGGGATGAAAAAAATGATTTGTTTGAGCTTAAAGGTAAAACTCACTCTGTACTCGCAGAGCAGTCTGGTGTTTCCTCTAGCTTTGAAATCTGTTAGGATTAATGAGGTGAAAATTTAGTACCACAATACTTGATAAATGGAAAATGTTAATATTGAAGATCTGTGCGCACGTGCAAACTTACCAGAGATGAGACGCTTTCAGTGGTAAAGTCGGAATCTCGAAAGGAAATTTGGAAAGCGTAGTAGGCATCTAGATATAAAGGAAAGACATGAAATTAGCCTTGTCTGAACCTTTCACATCTGGTGTTTTTCTGATTGATTTACACTTACCAGTTCCACTACAATAAGAAGAGCAGTCACAAGTGTTTGTTTCTGAAACAAAATCAAAGCAATTTTAGTATGCTGTATTTGCTTCATGTCAAGTAGAATTAAATGTCATCCTTTTGCAGTTTCAAGCTCCTGTACCTTTGAGACCTGTCTTATGTTATTGTATTATGTAGAACTGTGCCACCATTCCCAATTTGACTGAACAGAAATGAGGACACGCTGAGATTGTGCCACTAATCTACACAAAAAATCCCACACATGGGCCTAAAAATTGACAATATGACAGCCTGTTTTTTTTTTTTTCTGCTGCCCTCAAGGCTCTTAATGACATCACAAAAACACAGGGTACCACGAGGTGATCAGCTCAGTCTGGTCTCTACCAGACATGGAGAGATTTTCAATACTAGACTTTTTTATTTTTTCAAATGTACCCTCGGAGATTGTACGTTAGCCCAGATTTGGGATTTGACCTCTTTACCTCAGTCAGAGTTGCCTCTTTTAAAGGACTCCACAGTCCCTTTGAACAGTTTTAATAAATCAAATGAATGAATGAACAGTTACCTTTGTGGTCTCAAAGGACTATAAGTAAATTAAAGCTGAATAACCAGTTAGTTGGGCATTACAGCTGAAAATAAAGCTGGTTTTGTTTTGTTGGAGAGGTAGCAGAAATCTGCTCAACAAGGACAGGGGAGTTTAGCAAACCTATCTTAACTACAGCAGTGTGGCCTCACAAATGGTTTACGAGAGGAAATCACAGTCAATGGGTGGAATTTGGCAAATATAGATTTGAGAAGTTACCACTGGATTAAACAAAAGTTTGGTTTGTAATATGGTAGTATATTGGGGGCTTACCTGTGCCACAGGTACTGTTGTGAAGAGCCGAGAATGCAGACTCTTCGCTGTAAAAGACAAGTCACATTTTACAAACAACAACAACAAAAGTATATCTCAGACAAGCTTTCAGACTTACTGTGGGGAATTCAAAGACACTCATATTTAGAGGCTTTTACTGGAAACGTTATTTTGAAAGTGCAAATTACTCGTGCTTTCCTGTAACTGGACATTAATCCATCTTTATCCTTGGTCACTGAAGATGTAAGTCGACTTTTTACTGCTATGACATTCATTTGAGACAATAACCTATTTAACTCCCCCTCCATTTTCAATGTTTTATCTAACAGTGTTTTGTTTTTGTACAGTTGTAATATAAGGGTTTGTTTGGTTACTAGCCTGACTATGTTATGCTAGTTTAGCTGTATTATTGTGTTGGTTCTGTAGCTTATGCTAGGATTAACTGTGAAACTTGACATTTGGTTTACAGCAGTCACCTTAAAACTATGCAAATTTCTTGCTTTCAGTTAATTTCTATGTTTTTTATATTATATTTTGTTTTTCTTGTCCAATTATGTTTTTTGTGAAGTAAAGGCCAACACACCATTCCTTCAGATCCTCTTTGTAAAAGCTTAAATCTGTTTCATGACTTGGTGTCCATTGACTGGAGCTCAGTAGTGGTCAATTTTATCCCAAAACAGTTGCTTGTCTAATAACCAAATAACCCATGTACCCTTGAATGAACATTTTTCATATGATTCCAGCCTTTTAGAAATTGTTTTGTTGAATTGTGTTTGAAATATACTTCTAATATACTCTATTTGCTCTCTTAAAAGCGTAAATACCATGTAAATATAAAATACCTTACCATGATCCACTGGCTCCACCTGTATATCTGCAGCCGCTTTCTTCTTGAGCTTCAGTATCACATTCCTCTTCCAGCTTATCTGTTCAATAAAGCAAAGGGTTAAATGCAACATGCAGGTTTTTTGTGCAATAAATTTTGTTGTTTTGGAGTATTCAACACTTACTAATGATATCCACTCTTTCGCTGACCGCATCAAAGTCAGAGGATGATTGGCTGGCTTCACAGAGCGTACGCAGGATACAGCATGGAGATACCGTTTGAGACAAACTCAGCATCACAGAACAGTTGGTGTTTCTGAAAAAGAAAAATGTGACTGTTCACAACTAATGGTTTATTTGTATCTGCTCCAATAATTTTTAATAGTTTGTCACTTACTTGATTGCATTTTTCTTAGAGCATGAAACAACTAGGTTCTGTAAGGAGAGAAATCAATTATTTAATCTCAAGAGTTATCTTTTCCAGTGGCCTTTTGTTACCCATGGATGACTGGGATGTGAACTTACTTTAAATAGCTCAGTTGTTCGACCATCCCTGATGCGCACCCACAAAAAAAGAAATGAGTAAGAGACACCATTAATAAGGAGCAAGGTCAGTCTAAAGCAAGTTTCCATAACAGTTTCTCAATTCTTTAAGGTATGTTTTCTCAAGAAACAAGACTGTTTATCTGGAAAAAAACATTTTTATCAATTTTCTTTTAAGGGAAAACAAAATTATTTTTCTTCATCACTCATGTTTGTCAAGCATACTATTACCAGTATAAATAATGCCTTTGATCAATGTTCTATGTGTCTTCTATTTCATTTAGTACTGACTAACAAGCACCATGGGCAGATATCCTCTGATCTTTCAAAACTGGCTTAAAACTTGATTTTCTGAAACTCATAGACAGGCTACCCCAGGCTAGCTTAGAACTAAGGGGTAACACTTTTCTTGACACCTATCTCTATAATGCATTATATATAGATGTACAATGTGTTATAATCACGTTGTAGCACTTTGTAACTATAGTTATAAACACTCATTAATGATCAAAATGCTTTATAACAATAATCATAACACATTATAAAGCGTTTTACCATGACTTAAAAGGTCATGTATTATAATGTGTTATAACTGTTAACAACTCACTGACAATGCCCACATAGATAATGCATTATACATATATTTATGATGTGTTATAATTTGCTTATAAACTTGTAGAACTGTCATCATAAACACTCATCAATTATCATAAGGCTTTATAACAATAAGCACAACACATTGTAATACATGACCTTGTAAGTCATGATAAAATGCTTTATAATGTGTTATGATTATTGTTATAAAGCATTATGATCATTTATATGTGTTTATAACGATAGTTATACAGTGCTATAACGTGATTATAACGCATTATACATACATTTATAATGCGTTATAGAGATAGGCGTCAAGTAAAGTGTTATCAAAGAAAGTTTGTGCTGCGACAACCATAGATGGAAAATAGCTGTTTGAACTCACTGATCAATATAACTGCTCAAGGTTTCTGTCTGTCTTTCTTCATCTCTGCTGCCAAGTTCTTGACCACATTGGGTCTCTTAAGAATCATAGTCTAGATCTGCTATAATTATATATGTAAAGAATAATGGTGAAAAGTAAAACAGCTTTTCTTGTTATGGATAATCTTTTTACCTTAAAAAAAAAACTCGAGCTTCACTAGCATGAGACACTGACATAATAAAAATCCTTTGCAAGCATAAGGGTTGTCAGCCTATGTACAGTATATTTGTACATTTGCTGTAAATTTGACGAGACTCATTCATAAATAAATGTTGAGAAATTACTTAAGTGATACCTGGTTTGTGCTGCTCTGCCACTCACATCACGAGCTACGCGGGGTCTGTTTGGCAGATTGGTGTTTGGCGTTTTTGGCTGTTCTTTCTTTTCGTTTGGCACAACTGAGATAAAAGCAGAGTTGGGTAAAAAGACGATCTCTGTGGTTTGTGGAATTGCTGCTGTTACTTTTCCTGAGGTTTTAGATGCTTTTGTTGACCTTTTGGCCCTAGTTGTGCGAGAGCTTCGTAACACGGTTGTTGCAGCGGTTGTTGTTGCAGCTTTGGTTGTTGCAGTTCTGGTTGTTCCAGCCTTGGTTGTTGCCGCTGTTGTTGCAGTTGTGGTTTTTGCCACTGTTGTTGCTGCTGTTGTTGTTGCAGCCTTGGTTGCTGCTGTTGTTGTTGCACCTGTGGTTGTTACTGTTGTTGTTGCAGTTGTGGTTGTTCCAGCCGTGGTTGTTGCTGCTGTAGTTGTTGCAGCAGTTGATGTTGCAGCTGTGGTTGTTGCAGCTGTTGATGTTCCAGTTGTGGTTTTTCCAGTTGTGGTTGTTGCAGCTGTAATTGTTGCAGCAGTTGATGTTCCAGCTGTGTTTGTTGAAGCTGTGGTTGTTCTAGCTGTTGTTGTTACAGCTGTTGATGTTGTAGCTGTACTTGTTGTAGCTGTAGCTGTTGCAGCTATGGTTGTCCCAGCTGTTGATGTTGTAGCTGTGGTTGTTGCAGTTGTTGATGCTGCAGCTGGCGATGTGCTTGTATTTTGCATCACAGTTGATGTTGAAACTTTGGTTGTTGCAGTAGTTGTTGATACTGCAGCTGTAGTGCTTGTATTTTGCATCACAGTTGATGTTTCAGCTGTAGTTGCAGTAGTGCTATTTAATGTTGTTGATGTTTCAGCTGTAGTTGCAGTAGTGCTATTTAATGTTGTTGATGTTTCAGCTGTAGTTGCAGTGGTGCTGTTTAATGTCGTTGATGTTACAGCTGTGGTTGCACTGGTGGTATTTAATGTTGTTGATGGTGCAGCTGTGGTTGCACTGGTGGTATTTAATGTTGTTGATGGTGCAGCTGTGGTTGCACTGGTGGTATTTAATGTTGTTGATGTTGCAGCTGTGGTTTGTGGGGATGTAGGTGCAGAAGTTGTTGCAGGCACACAGCTCTGCAGGTTGTTTTGGAACACCTCCCTGAGCTAAGAAGAGCAACAAGATTCTCATTACATTTGATCCTGGCATATTATTTTACAGTGTATCTGCTCTTTAACAAGCTAGACTTAAACAAGTTTCCTTACATACCCAGGCATCAATGTCTGACTCATCCTTTGCTGCTCCATTGACGTTAACAGTGACATCAAAAAAGTAGTTTACTGTTGTGGGAGGAGCATGAAATAAATAGTTGAGAAGGCAGAGCTAACATATCGTCCAAACCAATGAAACAGGGGTAAAAAGAAGACATTGTTCACATTTTTGAACCTTTGAAGACAAGCTTAAATATTCTGATTATCCACTAGTTAAAGTCCACTTTTCTTTATCCAATACATTTATTTAACACATTGTCATGAATTTAATTAATATTGAGAAGTGTAAAGGAATCAAAATCTCACTCAGCCCTTGGTTGGAGTTCACTGCTTCCCTCAATTTCAGCATTTAAGCTAAGCTACTTGTCTACATGGTGCAGATTCATTTGATGAACAGACATTTCATATTAACAGTGTTAAGACCTGGCAGCAGCAGTGTCACTCTGGAGAAGGGTTAGCAGCTCAGCAGATCGACAATCTGTCTTAACCACCAAAGACTAAATTTGTCCAATGGTTTGACTGCATCCTTTGCTGATTATTAAAATATGCTAATTTGTTGACCATCAATTGTTTCCCATTGGAGCACTGGTCCTCTTCCAGCTCCTCAGCAGTGTGAACCATGCTTTCAAACCCTCATACTGAATTGACACTGTGTAATGTGATATTCCATCATGACCAATTTGAGTTAAGTTTTTGAATTTAATGAACAAGTCTGGAGCAGTTGTCACAGTTTCACCTGAGGGTAGTACTCAAAGAATTTTAAAATCCTTTGAGAAAATTGTAAAAGGAGCAATTATGCATATTAGCAATAAGTGTCAAACAATTTTGTTGACTGAACACGTTTGCTGTTGAGGTATTAAGAGTTAACCCTACTTAAAGTTCTGTCCCACATCTTGTTTTCTATGTTGCACATTGTAAACTGAGACTAGTTTCTTTATAGTATAATGCATATTTCCACTGACATGGCGGTGTTTTAGATGATTTAGTCAGCTTTTGCAAACTTACCTGTCTGCACTGTTTCTGATGCAGAGGTAGTAGTAGCAGCAAGATTACAGGAAGCCTGACCTGATGGGAGAAAAAAACAACAGTTATTGTCAGTATTAATAAATGACAAAAATGTAGAAGTGTACTAGTAGCTTTCTAGGCAATTAAAAAATCAGAATAAATCAAAGATGACACACATCAGTGAGATGAAAAGGAAGTGTTTAACCTCGGCAGAGAGTACTTCCTACTTTTGACTTTTGTACTTTGGTTCCAGAAATGATGATGACAAAAGAGGTGATTTAGGGGAACATTTATAGCAGGCAGCATGAGAATTATACAACGTAACAATGTTAGCAGACACTTTTATCCAAAGCGACGTACATATGAGAACAACACAGACAAAGATCGAGACAAGAGGAAACAAGATCCGTAAGTACAATACGTGCTTCAAGTTCAATTGGACACAGGTGCTGCCACACAGTTTAAAAGGCAACGCACAACACAGAGCAAGAGTTTTTTTTCCCAGCATCATGTATTATGTATCTGAGATGAGTGTATTCTTACATCTCTATAAGGAATAAACTCATACTTCAACTCCACAACCATAAATATGGGGAAACAGGATTGGTTGTCACACTTTATACGACTGTGTACAATTTACAATAGTCACAGTTTCATGTAGGAAAGCTTAAGTTGTGATATCCTGACACAGTGCTGTGTCTTAATCCTGTGTTTTTATTCTTGTATGTAAGGTCAGCAGATAATCTTACAGACTGATAATCAATATTATTTATTCATTTTGAGATCATAGATCATGAAGAATGAATCAAAACCAATACAGAAACAAAAATAGTGAAAAAAAAATTGTAATAAAACAAATGGTTCCCGTATCACAAGTACAACTTTTCTGTCTGTTCATCTCGGTCACTTCTGTCGTCTTTGTTCTCGTGGTTTAGAAGCTTAAGTGTATTTTGTGGCTGTTCAATTACACTCTAGTTATCAAAGTTTAATCCTCTGCTTCATGTTTTCCACCTCTCAAGAGGCTACACCACAGTTAAGTGGTGTGTCATTAGGTAACAGTGAACTAGAATAACAGGTTACAGTATAGATTAGAAAGGAAAAAAAGCACGATTGTGTGTGTGTGTGCACACGTGTGTGTGCGTTACATGACAAATGACTGGCATGACAAACATTTCAGTCTATCAATAGAGGTGCAGAGATTTCAGGTCAGATAAAGTGACCAGGCTCACTGACAGATAGTGCAGCTCCATTGTCTGCAAACCGTTTTACACTCGAGCCTGTCAAATCATACCTGCGAGTATGACGATCAGCAGCTGAAGGTGAAACCAGCGTAGATTTGTGAAATATGAACCGGACTTCTTCTCTCTGTAAAACCAGAACAAACATTTGAGTTATTTTCCCATTGAAGTGAGATAAGAACATACTGTTAAGGTCATTATTGACGGCTCTATTGTTGTTGAACAAGAGCTGAAAAGGGTGAAAAGGTGAGTCATGAGGAAAAACCTCTCAGGCTGTAATGAGCACCTGTCCTCATCACACCCACATTAATGAATGTTTAGGACCTTTCCTGTAATTATGTCTTCAGAGATCTGACTAAGGTGATCAATCAGTTAGACACGTCTTTGAATGTCCTGAAGAAATGAATCATGTAAAACAATGAATGCATTTCTGTTCAGAGAGATCTTTTGGGTATGTCTGAGAACATTATAATGACAAAATCTTAATGGATTAAAACACTTCATCCTTAAGAGAGCACAACCTTTTAACCATGAACCATCAGCATCTAACATCTAACATCAAAAAGCTGCAAGACAACAGGCTACAAAAGTCAAGGAGACATCCATATTCTATTTGTTAATCATCTGTTTTTAAGAGTTATGAATAGATTTGCAAAAAAGGGGGCTGAGTTCACTAACAGGTGGGCACGATGTCAGTGCTTGCAGCCTTTTTTACTCTCTGACCTCATAGTCTGTTCATAGGTCGTCCAAAAAGTTAGATAGAGACGGAATTTACAAAGTTACAGTGTTACAATGTCATTTAGCCGACTCTTTTGTCCAAAATGATGCACATTTGAGAGCAAGTGCAACACAAGCGAAGATCTAGACAGACAGAGACAACATGAGTAAGTGCCAAAAACTGTGATAAGTGGCAGAGCGCTGACATGTGATGTTCAACATGGCGGCTGTTGTTCAAAGCTCTGTGGACTTCAATGGGTGACGTCACTGAGACCGGTCTATTCATTCAGCGGCTCTGAAGCTGTGCTGAGGTGATGCTTGTGTAACGTGAACTTTGTTAGCAGATGACTGCCAGTTACTCTGAATTTTTATAAAAAAGGAAAAATGGAAATAAACATACAGAGAAAGTTATACATAAAGACCAGAACAAGAACCCCATCAATATAAATGAAGTTCAACCCAAGCAAAATATACTACAAAAACTGTCAATGTAATAAAATATCAGTGCCTTCAAACTTGTATGGATTAATAGGCTTTGTACATGGGGATAAATTAGCTGTTCAGGAACAAGACAAACATTTATCAACTCGTCAGGAAAAGATAAAAGAAACCTATAAGGTAATGTCATTATTACATAAAGAAGGAAGGTTTTGTACTCAGATAAAGATGTTGTGGTTTGTTCAAGTAGATAAATACTAAAAAAAAATCTGTGATGGATCCTTACTTTGAAAGTTTTCTGTACTTTAGTTTGAGCTGTGCTTGGTTGTTATTTTCCCACAGATGGATCCTTTTTTTTTAGTTTCTTGTAACATTACTAACTCCACTTGGAAGAAATACGAAACAGTCTATCAGAAATATAGCCAAAAAAAATCACAAAGGTGATACCACAGACTGAATTAAAATGTAGAAAAGATAATTTGTAAAAAAAACACAAGTCTGTGTAAGAGCTTTCATATTCAAGAACGAGGAAGTAAAGATATGGCTTTATCTGTGTAGATATACAGAAAATAACCAGTGCTTAATCGAATCAGATATGCTATGATTTATAAACTGAGATGTCATCTTAGTTCAGGAAGAAAAAAAAACACACCACCACTTCAATTTACCTGGAAGATGAGGCAGAAGTGTGCCGACAGGAAGATCCATCAGAGCAAATATCAGGAGCTGTCATGACGTCCTCTTCATTTTCGCTGAACATACCTTTCTTTAGACAAAAATCAAAAATCAATAACAAGTCCAGACCAAGAAGATTAAACACACATTTGTTTTTCTAAACACACACACGTCTGTTTGACCATCTGCAGGCAGCCTGTTTGTGTTTCTCATGGAGAATCAATAGCTGAAATATGTGCACGCCTCCTGAGACGTCAGGCTGTAAAGATGACCGTCAATTTTTTTCACCCTGAGCTGGTGTCACTCAACAAGTGGCCTCCCTCATGAGCAGGAAGTTTTTTGATTTTTCTTTTTTTGGATCAGAGAGGCTGTCTGAATTTACTGTCCCTTTAAAACAATAGCTGTACAGCACGTGTTAATCATATAAAGTGAAGAAGCATTTTTGTTTTAGTTCAGCAGCCAAGGTGTGCCTCAGGGTGTGTCCTCACTTGTGTTCTCAGCGAGACAGACATGACTGTAGGCAGGCGTTTCCAAGGCAACCACTACAAAGCCAAAGGAGTGCTGGCACTGAGACATTAACTGTTGCGTCAAAAGAAGTCAGGCAGCAGCCGCATTGTTGTCTGTTCTGATATGCACCTGCTTTTCAGGACTTCCAGTGGGAGGGATTTGTTCACTCAATCTCTCTCTCTCTCTCTCTCTCTCTCTCTCTCTCTCTCACACACGCACACACACACACACACACACACACACATTTATTTCCTGCATTTATGTGGCTCATTCACTCGTATTTTGCCAGACAAACATTGTAATTTACACAGCCTATGAGTTTGCACACACAGACCAGAGAATGTGTGTGTTATTTTTTAAATACATGATACCTTGGTGACTGTAAGAACAACATCAGCATCACTGGTTAAAAGAAGAATAATAAACACAGAGACATGAGGACAAGTTTGAAGAGGTTAAACACACATTAAATTGAAATGGAAACTTTAAGTTACAGTCCCCTAACTTGGAATAAAATGACAAAGAAAAGTATACCAAAAGACATCCTTTAACCCATCAAAAAGCAGTTTGGTTTTTTAGTTTTGTCTCCTATTTTGATTAAAAGTTACTGACATCTAAGACTAACTTAAGTCAAAGTATGTCTCATTATAAGAGAGTCTAATCATGTAGTGTTTCTCAGCCTGCGTATGGTGTAAATGAAAGAAACAAAACACACAAAAGATCGAAAGTTGTAGTTCCCTGTCAGTACACCAGGTGTCATGGATAAGAGTTTTAAAGCATATGACAGGTTTAGTAAATTCTGATGACAGAGCACACATGAAGAGTCTCTTTCAAGATCAAAAACCTTTAAATGACTGATAAGGTTTGAGGGCTAAAGGGTTAATGTCTGTTGCTTATTAATGTTCATGTGTTTGAAACAAATTATAGCTTCAAAGTATCTTGTGTAAAAGATGTAGAGGACTGTGATGCCAAATGTAGGGTTGGAAAACTCTCAAGAAAAGCTTTGCATTAACATGACTCTAGCACCCTTTTTCACTTATTATGTTGACCCTGCAGTAGTCAATGTATTTCTGAATTATTTACAGGTAAAAATTGTTGGATATCTCTTTACACTTGAGCAGCAGCCTTCGATTACCTAATGCTAACCTCCTGCTATGTTTTGAAGTCGTGATGTTTTCTTCGTAACTATGAGAACAGGGTCAATTTTCATCATCATCATCATTTTTTAATAGTTGTCACTCATTTCATTATCCATCATTCACCTCACATGAACCTGATGTCCTGCTGGCTTCATGTACCGCAGCACAATATTATACAATCTGGTACAAATGACCCTATGGCATTATTTATCCCCTCCCTCTATGTTTTCTCTACTCTCCAGACCTCATCTACTAATCGCAGCTGCATTAAAAGATCAAAATGAGGTCTCTTAACGTTGCCATTAATGTATAGCTTACAGCTTTGAAATTTTGAATAATATGCACACTTTTATGTCTCTTTATTCCTATTGAAATCAATGACAAGTGCTCCACATAAAGCTAGCATGTTTAGCATAAAACACTTAAATTAGAGTTTATGCCTCAGAGGTCACATCCTAAAACAGCCAGTAAATATTCATAAGTTGCGCATTTTGAATGAATGAAGACATGATAATATGTTAAGGACAAAATAAGTCAAGAGATAAATGGGCCTGCTTAAGTCCACAGGGGGCGCAATAATGGACGTAATCTGAAATGTCCTTGCAGGAGCTCTAAAAAATATTGCTTTATCAGAAATCAAAATTTGAGCGGTGTTTTGAAGAGCATACTTTTATTGAGTATTCAAGATATTGTACAGTAAGTTTACAGTTTTATGTGTTTGTCTGTTTGAGCTACAAAAAAATCTAAAAATGTGAAGGTGATCGTCAACAACACTTTCTCTTATAAAACAGGCATGTGAAAAAGACAACCGTCCGTGAAATCGACAGACATTTACTGTCAAAGGTTTTGACAGGACACTTCTGCAGTGCTAGATTTCTATGGTCAGCAGCAGCAGCAGCAAACATACCAGGTTATATCCCGTTACACAGTATTTTACTGAATGTCGACTTATTGCTGCTTGTCGGAGAGACGCCTTAAGAATAATTCAAAAAGAACTACTTCATACTCTGCTGTGTAGTTTATGTGTTATGCATACATACTCCAGTAAATGATGTTGAAGAGCAGGTAAGCCATGGGAAATATGACTCTGGAGTAAGAGTCAATCATGTAGCTGTTGCTCATTATAAATTTGAGGTTTTGTTTGACAGGGTGCTTGCGACGTAGTCTGGTGCCCTCTGTGGGAGCAGAGGCAGTGGAGTTGCGAGTCTGGGTGTTTCTCTCTGTGTTTGGGGTGCTGGCAACCTCCGGGAGAGAAGCCAGGTCGATTTCATTGTCATGGAAACAACCATCAAATGCCATAGCCTGGGTGGCGTCATAGGACTCCGGGATCTGTGACGACAGGAGGAAGGGAGAGAGATGGACTATTAAGGGAGCGAGCTCCAGATGGCGGGAAATGATTTTCTGCGGGTCACATGTGTCACATGAGATCTGAGAAAAATTGAATATAAATGACCTTTGCCCTCCTGAGCTTCTTCATCTCCTCCACTGTGGTGAAGTAGTTGACCGCAGCGTACTCAATAACAGACAGGAAGACAAACAGGAAGCTTGCCCACAAGTAGATGTCTACGGCTTTGACATAGGACACCTGCGGCATAGAGGCTGAGACACCAGTGATGATGGTGGACATTGTCAGAACAGTGGTGATACCTGGATACAGAAGAGAGCACAGCATCACAACATAGGTGATCAAAATGTTGCTTTACAACTAATGAAGCTTTCTCAAATGACTCATTTGAACTAGTCAGCAAATCTGAAGCTGCAGCAGTTATACCAATACGCTAGTTTGTGGATCATTACATGGTTGGTATTATAAGAAGCCCTAAATGACCATTTTCTAAAATAAATCAAGAATATGAGTCAGATTTACATAAACAACTTTTGAATATTAAAGTTTTTTTCCTGTTATTTGTGTTTTATTAATCTGTTATTATTGATTATGATGGCTGATGCTATTAATTTGTTGTCAAAAAAAGTGACCTGATTACTTGTTTGAATGTCATTACTTTAACACTCTTTCAGAGGTTGTCAGTCTAAATCTACTCTGTTTGTAGTTTCAACAATTAAGTTTCAAATTAATACATTTTTATAGCTGCACCTAGATTTATTTATTTATTTACATCCGGCCCTTTGGCTGTCCCTGCCCGGCCCTTCGTGAGGTCTGTCAATCAAATCATCAACATGCTATACAAGTGTGTTGCTTTTATTTTGAAAACCTAGCCATTTATGTTTTATTTCCATTTGGATGCACGTGCATACATCCTAGATCTGCATTTGTGAACAGAGACAAGTTTAAACATCGGCAAAATATCCGTAGACGCCTTAGAGTTGCCAAGTCCGCTTATTATGAACGACTTTAGGCTTGTTTCTCTCAGAAGTCGCTTGTAAAACTCGTGAGTCATGGGTGTGCTTTTTTGGGGCTTGTTTTTGACTAGTAGTTGCTTATTAGGGCAATTGGAAGTTAAAATTTGAAGTTAAAGTAATTGTTGGTTGGGCCCTCCAACACAGTTCAGGTTGCTCATGTGGCCCCATGTAAAAATGAATTGCCCACCCCTGCTGTAGAGGATTGATGTTTCTCTGTTTCAGCTCTAGCACTGATGATTTAGATCAACCAACTGCATAAAAACTTGTGAAGGATACAAGAAGAAGAAACTTATTATAGACATATTGGTGGGATTTCGTATGCAAGACTTGGTTACAGTACCCAGAGAAACACGAGCAGGTACAGCTCTCCTGTCTATCCAGAAAGACACCCAGGACAGCATCACCATCAACATGGTGGGGAAGTAAGTCTGTAGCATGAAGAAGAAGATATGCCTCCTAAGAATGAAGTTTATGTAGAGCCGATTGTACCAACCTGGAACACAAAAAAAAATGGACAGAAAGTGGAGGTGGGCTTGACAGGGTGGGGGAGGATAGCAGAACAGCTGAGAGAGAAAACAAGAAAACAACTCTGAAAAATCTGCATTAAGAGATATACAGGATTATAGATCCGAGGAAGTACAAGATAGACCTACAGCGAGAACCTCGAACTCAGATGAACGAGTGATTACTTTCTCAGGCAGATCTGTCTAGAGCTGAGGTTATATAACAGCCTCTTAAAGTGGATTGGTTCCAATAAGATTATTTCACACTGAGAAGAAAATCTCCCTGGCTTCCTTTTCTGTCCTTTTTCACTAAAAACTATGACAGCAGACACAAGCAGGCCTTAAAAAGTGGACTCAGCTGACCAGTCAATCATAACTAGGCTGAAATGATTTTGTAGTTTATTTGAGGATTTCTTTTTTTCATGTTTGAACTATATTTGTGCACTTTTACTACTAAGAACCATGTGAAGTGTTATATAAGCAGAATGAAACCACTTTGACTGAAAACCAGAAAAATGCATCTGCTGACCCCTGCCCATTTAAATCGATAACTGACTGAATGGTCCGATTTGGGTCAGGCCAACCCAACGCCTTCCAGGCATATTTGTAAACAACAAAGATGGCTGCCGCTGATGATGATGAACAATCTAAATTCACTATCCGATCTCAAAATGACTTGGCAGACTTGCAATTTTTGTGGTGGAATATTTGCCCCATCTTCAGCTGAGTCTGTGCCACAAAATAATGCAGTATGGGTTGATGTAATTTTACAGAGTAGTGGTACAACAGATCACAGTCATTTCTTGATTCATATTGACCACCCCTGTGGTTTTATCATGGTGTTCAAATAAACGTAATGCCAATAAATACCCTCGGTGAAAATACACTAGTGTTGGAGTATCATGTGCAGGCACCTTGGTGATCCGCTGGACAAATGGCAGGACAGTTTAGTCTTGTTTTCCATGCATAAGATCACTAGTGTTGGTTTTTGAACTGTGTACTGGATAAGAGGCCAGATTTTACCTCTCCTCCTTGGAGTGGAGGACAGTGTCCATGATTTCCAAATACGGATGTCTAAGTTTGATTTTTCAGACCACAGTTATGCACTTGTCTCGATTGGTTAAAACAATGAATGATGATGCAATGATGAATAGTTTTAGGGTCATATCTGTTTTTATAGCAGAACCATTTTGTGTCCAAAGATCATGGCCATCCAGTATTTATCCAGACAGACATCTAGTGTTTGTTTTTTTCCCCTCTTTGTCCTTTTTGGACACATTTCTCTCATATCGATGGATCTTTTAGTTTTACAATTTCTTGTCATCTTTGTCCTATTTTCAGTAATTTAAAGGGTTTAACTGCTGTGCAAACCATAAAATATATTGAATCAACATTTTACAGTGTCCCATTTTTTGTGGAGTTAAAACTGTCACAATGTGAGATAAACTTTACCGAGTCATTAAATGCACATTTTGAGGCGATAGCTAGGAGTCAAGGAGGGGTTAAATTTCTTGGCTAAATGTTCCAATCCACAACACAGGATCCCTTTGGTCCAAACCATGAAATCTGTGATCCGTTACATCCCAAAACACAGTCTTGGAGCCAGTACTTCTCTTTTGTTTTTTTTATTGACCCGTAGACCGGTTATTCATAACGGCAGTTTCTCATTAAAAGAAATTTTTCTCTGACGTTCTTTAGCTGAGCAGTTTGGGCTACAAGTCAAGCTCCCACTAACTTTAGCTCATGTTCAGTCCCTAAAATCCTCCTTCCTTTCTATTTTGGTCACAACTGATGGAGATCTACAATCTTAATGCCCCCCAAAAAAGCCTTTGTGTGGGGATGATTAAATATTCAGGCTGTACTTATTCTAAACACACTTGTGTCTCGCAGGTAAAACATGAGACTTATGTTTAATCATGAGTCCCAAAAAGTGAACAAGTAGTTATATAATAGTACAGAAAGGGTATGACGGGTAGCTGCTGGCTGTTGTTGCATTGTCAAAGGTTTCAGAGTGTACAGTATTGATCCTTAAATCCCTATCATATCATTCATCATTTATTTAAAGACACATTAATCAAAGATTACTCTGAACAGTTTGAGAACGTTTTGAGAGAAGCATACTTGTAATAGTTTTCACCTGTTTTGCTTTTATGTATGATAAACTGGATATTGATAAGTCAGGAGTCATCCAGTTGTTCCCAAACTGGGTACAGCTCAGAGGGCCCCCATGCTCCCACCTCACATACCAGTACTGCTGTAGAAGGCAAGCCCAAAGGAAGGCTGGAAGTCTTCAACAAAAAACTGAGAGAGCACGATCTCGTCAGTCCTTAATGAATCGTTCCCGTTCTTCCAGTAGAGCATGAGGTCGTTCTCATTGTAAGCATCTTCAAGAGAGGAGAAAAGGGAGGAAAAGTCATGGCTGTGTTTCTCAGGGGAGAGGAGGAAGCACACGTAGCGGGAACTCCTGACGCTCCTCTAAAACTAGAATCCATGCTTTATTCATGTAAAAAAATATATTTGAAATAAAAACAAAAATAGCCAGCCACAGAAACTTAAAAATCCACAATCTTTATACAGGAATTACCACTGACTCTGTGATTATTTGTAATCAAATGCAGAGAATTTCAAAGTTCAGAAGAGGATAGAATAAAAACAATCCCTCGTAAATCTCACATTAGACAGACAGAAATGTATGACGGACCGAGATTGACCTGATTGAGGATTATGACTCACTTACTCTATGTGAAAAGAAGATTGTGAAGGTTAGTGCATGTCTATGGTATCTGGAAATGGACTGGAAGTTTCACGGTATACGTACCATAAATCAATGTCCATTAGCGTTTTGCACAGGCAACATGGAGTCTGATCAATTAATTGAGGTCAGAAGTATCACAAGCAAGCGCATCTAAAGTGCAAATCAATGCTGCCAAAAAAGTGCAACATATTCTCCGGTCAAATACGTTGAGTTAATGCACAACCGTCCGTTACGCTCCCACAAACAGAAGCGCTGTCCCAGATGTAGTGTGATACTCACAGCTCTCCAGCTCCAGAGAGCAGTTCTGTGTGTCCAGAGGAAAACTGCTGAAGTCCATGGAGCAGAGCGCGGTCACTGTGATCCTAAAGCACAATTCATAGTTTAAAACAGAGACACATAATCCAGCAGTCACCCAGCATCAGTCTGCATAGATTAACATCAGTCTACCAGCTAGATTCATGTTAACCTGACTTATTTTGACAGCAAAGATGTGTATGGTTACATAAACTGATCTGTTCATTCAGTTACTGTGTCTGCATCTGACAGAGCCAGTGGCTGCAGCCAGCTGTTTAGGGATGATGCCATATTGTTGATGTCTGTGACTGAAATGGATACGATGAGTCAGGATGCTTACTAGACACTGTCTCAAGTGCTTCTCAGTCTCAGCTCTTTTTACGATTCATTAATAATACATGGATGATATTTTCTTTCATAATATTTGAACGAGGGTTATTAAATTTGATGTATTTGTCATGATATGTTCTGTTATTTTAGTGTTTCCCTGTGATTTGAGTGTATTTTCTTTGAATTTTCCCAAGTGTTTCTGTTCCCTATTGTTCCTCTTCCCCTGTAGTCTTGTCTTGTGCGTTCTCAGTTTGTGTCTGACCCCGTCTCCCTCATGTTCTGTGTTTTGTTCTCTATTATCAGTTTTCAGTGTTTCCTGTTAGTGTTGTAGTAGTTTATTCCCTGTGTTTCTAGTCTTGTTTTACTTTAACAGTTTTCCCTTCTAAGTAATTGTCTGCACCTGTGTCTCAGTGTCTCACCTGCCTCTCGTTGCTCATTTCCCTGTGTGTGTATATATAGTCCCTGGCTGTGTCCAAAATGGATCCCTAGCGCCATTTTGAGGGGTGTCTGAAACCTGAGTAATCAATGCCAATGCCCCATATAGGTGACTCAAAAATTCCCATAAAGCATTGCAAAATGTAGTGACCATCTGATGGTCACTCACCGACGGTTGGCATCCGGTCATCCAGCAGCAACGTCAAAACGGTAGTGTCCAAAACCTTCGGTGAATGAGCTCACTGCATAGTCAGCTATACAGTGAAACCCCATATGGGGATTAGGGGTTAGGGATTGAGTGATTCATTTCAGACACAGCCCCTGTCTTCCTCTGTCTCCTTCTTGGTTCATTTCATGGTGTGTGGTATGTATGAGTGTCGTCAGTGTCTCCAGAGTCAGAGTGTTTTTTCCCCCAGTGCCTTTGTTGGATTTTGGATTTTTGTTTCTTGTGGATTTTGCCTCTTGTTTTTTTCTGTTGGACATTCTAAGCAAGTTTTTGTTGCTTTTTATTTAGTTCATTTTGAATAAATCTTTTTGTTTCTGCATTTGGGCCCTTTCCTTTTTGCTTAACTGAAAACCGTGACAGTATTGCATATGTAAGACTACAACAACATTTTGTAATATTTCTTCAAATGCAGCCTCGTGTTTTGAACGTGCCTTAGAGATCTGCTGCCACATCTTCACATTTTGGGGACTGCTCTCCTCAAAAATACCCTTAAAAGTTTTTCCTGAAAGAAGCCTCTATACGATCATTTTAACTTCTATTGTTTGACAGAGGCCTTTTAAGGCCGCCATTGTGTGGGGCAAAGGGGAGTTTTAGTGTGTGTCCTCATTGAGACCAAAGGACACATTTTTGTTTTGGATTGCATGTGCACTTGAACTAATAGGACACAAAAAAACTATTTTTAACTACAATTGTTCAGTATAAGGACAATACCAATAGGGGATGGGGGTTAAGGAATTTTTCAGAAGGTTGTGTGGAGGGTGAGGGACTATAGACTGTATATACTATGGACAACTTGGTTCCGCCTTTCGTCATTATGCAGATTTAAAGCCAAAAAGCTCTCGGTAATAACGGGTTTTTCCTCCACATCCTGAAACAAACATTGCACAGTACTGTATGCATTTGGTGGGAGAGTCCCTGAGAATCACTGTGATGATGCTCAACCCAAACAGCGTATCCCCGGGGGGGTATTCTGTGTACTGTTCAGAAACTACTCTTGGAAATTCAACCAATGTCTGTGCATCCTGTGTAACCTTGCACATTTATTCAAACCCTGCAACTTTTCTGCAAATCCCAATCAACTATTTTCTCCTGCTGTGTGCATCACTAACTTTTTTGATTGTTAAACTATTAAACCCTCTCAATTGGTGATATTGCACACACGATCACAGGGTATCGCTTATCTATCCTCCGAAACTTTGCATCTTTTAGACCATTTTTTTGGCCATGTCGCTAACAGAAACTCAGATTTGATGCTTATGACCAGCATTTTGTACCTCAATGTAGAGTTAGGGTTATCCCATGGTGATTTACTGTAGTTTAAGTAAAGCTACTGTGAGAAGTTTTTAATTGGTCATGAAGCACATTGGAATTAACAATGATACCTAGTTAGGACCTACAAAAGCAAACGACCTTCACCAAGAAGTCTGACGGTTTCTATTTTGTAACGCTGAGAGTCTGTAACCACTGAAAACAAGATAAAGAAGTCTGTTTTTACTATTGACAGCATCAAATTTTCACAGTGCAATACATGTCCATTAAAGGAAAATCAGATGATATTTTTATCAGAAAAGACGAGAGTTCAGAACAAAAGAGTAAGAGGTTTTAAGAGGGAGCCAAAATTGGCAGAAATCAAAAGCTCCTCACAGCAACTTTAAGTTGTCACAATAATTATGTCACAATCTGATAAGGAAATTAATTTGAAGTAATGTCACAAACTGCAGGCTTTTACAGAACGATTGTGCAATTCACAAAAACAGGAATAAAAAAGCTTTTAAAACTCAGAGGGACAAATGTAATGTACCATCGTTCAGTCTTGATTGTTAACATGTTTTTGTGTAGTAAAAAAGACAGCCTTCACTCACCTAACACTGTAGAGGATGTTTCCATCTGGAAAAACCCTCAGCATGATGTTCTCCATGGTTGTGTCATGGATAAAAGAACGCTTAGAGTGAACGAAGAACACATCAGGAACCCAAATTTTTTTCACAAGACGTGCGTCAAAGGTCCGACTCTTGTTGCTGCTGGAGGGAAAGGCCAGGCGGTCATCCTGCCAGTAATGCCTCAAGTACAAAGTCATGGTGAAGTCCTAGAAACAAAACCATAAAAAAAAACTGACTATTTATCCTCAAGGCCAGCAAACAAAAAGTGACACTGGTAAACAAACTCCAGAATTTGTAAGTGCACGCACCATGTTTACTTCCGATATGCTGTCTATGCTTTCTACCTGGACGTCGATGCCCACAGGAATAGCTGAACCTGCGAAAGGTCAGACATGCAAAGGATCAGCAACAGTTGTGTCATATTTTCCATGAATCATCTGTCTGCACATCTGCCAGAGATTATCCAGCATAAGTGTAAATCCTGTTGATAAGATATAAGCCACATCTGAAACAATGACCCAGACATCAGAGTAGTTCTAAAGCATGACTCGGCGTAACGTTTTATCTGATCCAGCTCTTTTTAAATAACCGTCATGTATTGATTACAATCATCTGTTAGACAGTACACGCCATATTAAGTGAAGTAATTCTTAATCCTGCAAATCTACTGCTTTAGGGTGTATTTGGACACTTTTAGTCTGTAATCTGCTTTTTGTCTTCAGAAGGAGCTTTAAGTAAAATTGAATGCTTACCATTAAGCCATCTTTTATACTTAATCAGCAGGTTGGCAGTTTACTTTCAGCTTTTGCTGTCCATTTGCTCAAACCTCCTCAGTCAAAATACTGAACCCTATCGTGGTTATATTTGTGTGAATGAGATCTGTTAATACTGATCAGCACATCATGTCGCAGCCTCTGCCTTCAGAATACAATGATAAGTAAAACCAGGTGAGTGTTGTAATGCAGTGTGAAAGCTCTGTTCGTGGTCAGAACTCTCGAAAATGCTCTATACAGTCCATTCACCATTTACAAGAAAACTCAGAGAGCATGCCTTGCCTTAGGCAGATGGTATGTCAGTGCTGCTTGTTTTTACACTGCCATAGATAGTGCTGTAACAGTTGGGTCAATATAATTGACTGTGGTCTGGACCCTCGCCAGATTTTTAATGGGTTTGAAGCATTTATCCATGATTCAACCCTGCACAGTTAAATGGAAATTGGTATGTCTTACGTAATCTTCCTTATAACAAGCAAAAACAAAAATCAAGGACAACAAATCCCCTTGGCAAACATTTCTGGACTTGTGTCAAACCCTGGAGCAAAACATTACTTTTTGAAAATCTGGATTTATTGTTATTTGAGCCTCTACAACAACTGCATCTATATGCACACAAACTGGACATATTTCAATGCTCTCTAAATTCTCCCGCATTATGAATTTATTATTTTTTGTGTTCTTTGACGTAACATGTCAGTACTTTGTCTTTGTGTTTAACTGCTTTATAAAAATGCTCACAAACATTTAAGATTGCGCTGAAAAACATTTCAAGCTTCAAATGTTTAGAGGTAGTCAGAGCCAGGAAATAAACCAGGGGAAAACTACAGGACCTTTACGCCATAGAAATAGTGTTTTATTCTCTCATACGAGCATGGCAGTCTAAGCAGTGTGTTAAAAAGTGTAAATATTATTACATGGATGCTCTATTAAAGCATCAAGTCAGCCAGTGTTAGTGACATCTTTAAGTTATTCTGCACTTTAAACTTTGGTATTTCTTGCTGGTTATTTGTATGGTTTGGAGTTTTAAAAAGATTTTATAAAATGCTTTCTTTATCAAGCATTTCCTGCAAATTTTTGTAATCTGGGACTTTACTGGTAAGTAGCCGAAGAACATTCAACACACTTGTTAACCTATGTTTACGTATTTTCATTCAAGTCATTTAAAAAAAGGTGCCTAAACACTCCAACTGGCATTTAAGTTTTTAAAAAATGCTGCCAAAATTTTAGGAATTTTATGTTTAAAAAAAATCTAAAAAAATAAAATTCAGCAAAAGCCAAGGACTGGTTGGAAACAACTGTATTTAGGATTACATAAGCATCCGATGCAGTATGTAGAGAAATGGTCTTCAGGTCATTGTCCAGTTGCACAATACTTCAAACCCATGATGTGTACTGTAAATATCCTGATGTCTCTGTGCCATTATCTAATGAATAAGCTCTCTAAACCGGTGGTCTGTGATAACAATGGAGTAGTCAAGTAGGAAGGATTATATCAGGCAGCCAGGGTCCTGGAAGCAAAGTCCTGTTTAATTTTTTTTACAATACTCGATCATTGATTCTATTTGAACACCAGTGAGAACAAAACTCTCCAAAACCAACAATAGGTGACTGTTGAAACAATCGGATTAATTGATCTGAATCTTACAAAACGCTCAATCCAATCAAACGTTCTTTGTTGATTTTGTAAGATCTAATAGTTGGAGAGGAAAACACAATGACGTAAGAGCTGACACAGTGACGAGGTGTTCAGGAAGTCTTTTCCAGCCCACTTGTTACAGGACAAAGCTTTCACATTGTGTGCCTGTAACAGATTTTTAAAGAAACACATACGTTGAATTATGGTTGAGCTGCTCTTGTTAAAGCTAAACATGATGAAGGAGTCGTATCTCCCTGAGGGCCTGAACCATAAAGTTGTCAGTTTCTAGGGTAGTGCATTAAAAAACTGATAAAATATCTGCAAAGGAGATGGACTGTTTGCTTAGCTGCCAAAAAGCATCCTGTGAGTTAAATTCATGGCTGCCTGGTGCAAAGGTTATCAGAATATGAACTGATTTTTTGTGCAACTCAACTAATAGTGGAAACAATCATCAAAAAATCCAGGCGTATGCTTAGAGAAACAGGAAAAGTAAAATCGCTTAAATATTCTCTAACACAACTACTAGGCACGCATATCAGATTATTTTTCCTGTACTGGTACTGTCTGCAATCATCGTCTCACACGGCAGACTATCTAGGTCACTCAGGTTTTTTGGAGGCGTAATACCAAAGACAGCACAGTAACCTACTTTAACCTCACTGAGATGGCAGGAAAGCATATGGTTATTAAAGATCGAAGCTTTAAAGTGAGATAGATGGATCAGGCGTGTGTCTTACCTCCAAAGCCTGGTCGCATTGCAAAGTCATGGTCCTCGATCCGAAGCAGCTGCTCCGATTTGATTAGCATCGACTTGGTGCTGTCCAGCTTTTTCATCTTGAGATCCACACGTCTGAGAACCACAGAGCAAACATCAGCTTGTAGAAACTCTTTCTCTGTCTGTCACCATCTTTGTGTTTCTGCAACACTTAAAAAGAGCTGACATCTAGTTGATGGAGTTCATGATGGATAATTTGACTAAAACTCTCTTCTTACAGCTTAGGCCTTGGTTTTCAAATAATTGATACTGATGTGACACAGCTGTAAATAGGTCAAAGATTTTTAGAGTTCTCTGATGTGTTTGTATTATAAATTGACTGGGATGCTAAAGTGATTTTTGTACTCTCACAGTCCCATCTGTCTTCCTAGAAATCCACATAATCTGAAAGAGAGGCCTGACTTTGTTTGTCAGCGCAGGAAAGCTCTTTTTTTAATATAAAACACACAGATCACCTGTCACCTCACATGACTCCTGACATTGTAATTCAGCATACAGAAAAGCCCACCAAAAAGACACAAAATACAGACTCCAGTCATCAAAAAGTATTTTTTAACTACAAGAACAACTCCAAAACTATGTCAAGTAAGGAAGTCCACTTGTGCTCACCCTCCATGCTTTGGTTTGGTGTTTTCTCCGACATATTGCTCCTTGTGTCTCCTCTTGTTGGGGTAGTGGCTGCCGTTGAGATGGGTGACAGGCCACAACCAGGCCAAGCACATCAGTCTTAGGGCCAGGAGGGCCACTCTCATGGTTAAAGTGCGGCTGGATAAACGCGAGGAACCCAGACGTTCCTCACGCCGGGTCAGTGTCTCGTCCAGGGAATGCCACAGCTGCCCCCGTCCTTTACTGGCACTTCCATGTCCCGGCGGCAGCGCTCATTCTGCCCCACCACACACACACCAAGCTACTTCTGCATTATCCCGCTCTTTCATCTTCTGTAACATGGTGAACATTAGTCAAGATATATCCGGTGCTTAGCTCCAGTGCACAGGCATCCCCGTGGTTTGCTTGTCTCTGTGTCATCCCTCTGCTTACGTCTCCTGACACAACATGTTGCCCTGACTCTCCCACTGTCCCCTCCCTCTGATTTAAAACCAAATATCAATTTATTCCTATAATGACAAAGGAATACCATTAATTCCTCTCTAATCTTCTTATCTGTGGTTGGTGAAATCTTTCAGTAACCTACAAACTAGAGGCAGCAAAGGGAGGGAGGAGGGGAGGGGAGGGGGGATAATACAACCAGCGGTTTCATCATCATTCTGACCAGATAAAAATAAAAAGCCTGTAGCCTACTTTGTGCAGTGCAGGATTTTCCCCAGAGTTGTGCTCTGTGGCCGGGGGAGGACGCAAATGATCCCATCATTGAGAGAAGACAGATGCGAGCATATGTCTGAGCCACAACAGCAAACATTGGACTTCTGACTCCTGAGCAGAGGACATCATGCCAGGATTTGAACTCTTTTCTCCCCATCAAGTATTACAAAAGAAGGACGAATACACAGAACACGTAAACATCACTTATAGCATCCCAGAAGACGGCCCTGTCTTTCATAGCCCTTATTCATTAGCTGAGGAATCTCCTGCAATATATGCAAGGCTTTAAAATAAAATCTAGTTGAAGTGCAGAATTCACTTCAATTTTAAATGCTATACATTTAAATGAGTTTCTTACTAAAGCAGAAGGAGACTGCTTCAGTTTTTCTTTAAAATGTCCATCCAGTGTTTGTGATGTCCCTGCCTAACTGAGTTTATAAATATCTCTGATGATGTAGTGTTCAGTCTCATGTTTTGTAATATTACCACGTCATGATCTTCTTCAGTGCAGATAGCTAACCGCTGCTAATGGACACTTGGCAGTTTCATGAGTAGACGGGCTGCAGCTGCCAGCCTGTGGCAGTTTCTCAGTTGTTGACACCAGAAAGAAAAAGGAATGCAGTACAACTAGTTTACACACAAAATTGTTCCAGGATGTGGTTTTCAGATACAGACCACTTATTCAAAAGTTTGGCCACCATGTCCTCAAAATGCTAGTCTCCAAAACCTGTTTGCAAACAGCTGCATAAATTTTGTGCAAAAGTGTGAGGAATGTGTGAAAATGATGGAAAAAACTACATAATCAAGAACTGCATGGATTTAAAGGAGGTCAATAACAGAAAAAAATCTAAATTTACTTGTATGCATTTACACAGTTCCAATTTGTTATATATCTGCCAAAAAAACATGAGACCTGCCTTTTTCTTGGGTATCTTTAAATTAATACCAATTCATACATTTAACTGCAACACCATATCACTACAAGCAAGCAATTCTCATTTACAGTAGATCTGCAGCACAATATACTGCAGATCCATGTGAGATACTACACAGTGGCCATACAATTAAACATCTTTTATCACTAATTATAATGAAAAGAATGTAAAGTGCTGAGAAAATAAGAATTTTTTAATAACTTTTACCCACTGGAAAGAAAAAAAATTAAAATGGCTGCGACAACACAGTTTTTAATTATGATAATGTAGAAATAAAAAGCTGAAGCGAAATAAGGGAAACTTGTTCAGAATCGATGATGAAATCGAAACATGGACAGCATGACTCCACTTTAGTGGCATGGTCCCTTTAATCTGGGATTAAAGTTGAATCAGGGCAGACATGAGCAGTGCCATCTTAAAGAATCACGCACGTGGAACTCACTTCTCTCGTACATGTGACCCCACAGCTGCTGGACAGCAAGCAGTCATTCAATTGTGGACTGAACATCTCATCCGTGCCCACTAGAGGTCATCATCATCTACAAAAACAAAAATGTACTGCAGGTTAACAGAGAGGTGCACTCATGCTCAGATCCTGATATCATAATTATGAGAAAAGATACAGAAAAGGAAATGTCTATAAATCCTCTCTCGGTGGCAATGATGGCACTATTGCAAATAATCTGCTTTTACTACCACACTGGTTTGAGACATGGGGAAATACTGAAGTTTCTTAAAAACGAGGATAGTATTAATATTAGTGTTGTAGAGACCCTACAGAAGACAAATATTCCAGATGAATTGTTTAAGTATTCTGTGTTTTCTGACTGTCAGGCACTGTCAGGCACTGTTGTCTGACTGTATGGCACGGGCACGCATGTGGTCGGATGAGAAAGCAAGGGGGCAGGGTGAAAGAGAGGGACAGGGGTCCTGTATGTGTATGTGGATCTATCATAAGGTGTGCTAATCCTATTTCTAACTTTTCATTAAGGTATATGGGACAAGCAAAAAAAGGAGCAATTGTTGTAGTTTTTTTTATATGTCTACTTCTCTGGTTCAGTTTCTCTCTCTCTCTCTCTCTTTTTTTTAATGTATCAAATACTTAAAGAAGGAATGCTCTTTGTTGGTGTGGTCCTTATGTAGAAAATCAAAATGCAACTAGTATTAATTATTTGAAATCTCTGAAGAATCTCATCATATCATGGGCACCCCGGCTGTAGCCTCCATGGCCCTTTCAAAATTTCCCAGAGTGAATTTACTAGTTTCTGTTTGTTGAGTCGCTCTGATGTTAGTGACATGTATTTCTCAGTCTCAGTTTCCTTTTACTACTCCCACAAAATGCATTCACTGACCACATCCATTAAAATTCATGAACTGTCTTTAAAAAATCCTTTCATCTGCAAGCTTTCTTTGTCAATAAGGGAGCTTATCTTTTTGTCGGAGCGCCTCCTTTTAAGTGAGAATTATGAGACATCTTCCTAGACCTGCTGAGATCTCATGTCCTTGTTTGAACAAGAATTCAGAGTATTTTTGGTGTTACACATGTTTTTAAGAACTGTTTCAGTGAAGGTGTTTGGAGTTAAGTCAAGCATTTGCAGCGGTGCTGGTTAAACTTTTACCTGCCTGGTTAATTAGTCAGTGTTCGATGAGTGTTAGGAAGGATGTAAAGTAGAGTCACACAGAAACACTTCAGTGCCCTCACACGTTTTCATACATACTAGCACAGGGTCAAGACCTCAGCGCAGGCCAGCCGACATGGAAGACACAAAGGGACTTGTGGTTATACTGTTTATTTTCCTGGAGACATTTTCATTGACGAACTCCAAAGGTATTGTAATTATTGATGTTGATTTTTTTACAGGAAAATTTTAGAGATAAGCAAAATTAAACACTTTTAAGGTGTACTGTATTTTCATTCATTTGTTACTTTAATTTTGCAAACTTGAAAATGTATGATGGCAAACATAAAAAGATGATAATGATAAGATCTTTGTGATGCTGGACAATTTTTCTTTGCGTATACTTTAGATTTTTGTACTTACTTATTGTGAATCAGGCTTTGTCCAGTTTAAAAAAGCAGTTCCAGATGAATAATGTAGAAACTTTTGCAGACATGATCATAGCATTCTTCCCACCTCTGACATGTTGTTATTGAGAACACAGAATTATGATGCCTATGTTGAAATTATTGGATTTTTTTTCTTTTCTTTTAACCAAGGTTTAACCAAATAGCTAAATGGATAGTTAAATAGTAAAAGTCAGCGCTCCCTATCTCTGCCTCAGCAGCAAAAATGATCTTACAGCTCTGTGGTCCATGTAATGTGTTGTCATTTGAGTAATGTCAGATTACAGCTGTCAAATAACATTCAGTTTGGAATAATTTTTTCTGCAGCAGTAGCTACTGCAGCTGCTCTGTGACCTTGGTGCTATCCAGCTGTGTCAGCTGCAAACATCTGGGGAAATTAAGTTAACATTCATCAGGGGTAAAATGTGACTGATAAAAAAATGTAGAGCAACGAACAGCACAGATGTTAATAAACTAATTTAACGCAGGTATAATTAGCCTTTCATGGCCAGTCTGAAACAAATGATCATTTCCAATATCTATGTCAACCCCCCCAAATTACAGACATGTCATGAAAAGTATAAAAAAGAAATAACAACAGCTTATCGTGAAAATAAGCAAATTATAGAGGAATTGTGCTTTTAGAGCTCTAAATGCCCTACGGAATAAATAATGAGTGCAAATGACGAAATTAGTGCATGTCGAGCATGTCTTGAAATATAAAGTAATAGTCAAGTTGATTCTGAAATTCAGTCAGTCTTAATTTAAATCTAAGTCTTTTCTTTTAAACCAGAATTAGATTAATGTAACATGAAATATAATACAAACACAATATTAGTGTTTTGTGGAAAAGACAAAACCAGGGCTGATGGTCATATCTAAACTGAATTTTGGCAAATTAAAAAAAAAAATTAAAAAGCTATGGCATCTGTATTTAGACCAGTCTTCTTGGCCCCTAACTATACCTTTCACATCTCAGTCTTACTACCAGATGCCAATGTAACCTGCATCATCCCTGATGACTGCATCCTGCCCTGCAGCTTCAGACCCACTGGTACTGTGGTCATCCACTGGTACAAGCAGCAGATCCCAGTTCACAGCTACTACTACAACAAGGACCAGTTTGGGCTCCAGAACAAACACTTCAGTGGAAGGACGTGTCTGTTCAACTCCCACATCCCGCATGGCAATGCCTCCCTGCTCCTCAGGAGGGTCAAAGTTCAAGACAAAGGCAGATACAAATGTTATACGAGTACACGAAAGGGCAACCAGGAGCTCTTCGTCAACCTGGAGGTGAAAGGTCAGTGAAAAAAGACTTCATTTTACTGCCTCTTTGTTGTTTTAACTTTCATTGTAGCTCCCAAGTGTTAAACTTAGCGCTGATAAAGCATTCATAAATTACTCCCGCAGGACGTGACAGCAAAGTGGAACATTTTTGCACTTTTCTTTCCACTACTTCACTGTGGGTTAACTCTTGATTCTGTCTGGAAGGGAAAGCTGTAGGAAACAGTTCAGTTTTGTGTCCTTTTTTAAGACCTAAACTCAGCCTGAACACATGCTGTTAAAAACTGTGAAAACCCCTGCTTTGAGGAAAGTCAGTAGCTGCATTTACATAGGCACAAATAATCGGACTCAAGGCCCGATCGGAACAAAAATGCGTTGTGTAATCATGTCGATCGGAAGATTCTGATCCAGTGCAAAAGAAATTGTATTCCGATCGAGAGGGGTGGTTTATGCCGGTCGTTATTCAGAAACACGTCCTGATAAACACTTATTCCGATCGTGACTCTCTTACCTGACTCGATATCCACTCTTTAGCCCTTTGTTTATTTATTGAGACCAGTAAACAAGGTATTATTATTATAAACACTGGCATTAACCACAAACGCAGGTGCCATTTCTGCTCTTCCGGTAACATAACAAGGCGTACGTACAGCGTAATGATGTCACATCTGCACGCACAGTGCAACCGTTGACAGAGCAGTAAAATAAGTACACAAGGGCGCCATCTAGTGACGAATTTAAAAGGGGGGGGGGGGGGGGGAATCCTGAATTGGATGAAGTGAGCCATTACCGCGTTTATTAGTTTGTTGACAGCACAGGTTTAAGTACAACTCTTCTTCTGCGGTTGTTTTAGCGAAACCAGACAACTCTGCGCATGTCCAAATGCTTCTAATCTGAATAAAGCTTGGTGCATATATACGCACGATCGGATTATTTGATTTTGCACTCATTTAAACAGTGGATTCAAATTATCCGATCCCTCAAATTTTTTATCGGATCAAGAAATTTTGCACATGTAAACATGGCTAGTGTTGTGTTTATTTTTATATTTCCAAAAGGGAATTCAGCGTTATGTTAGTCTGTGGTAATGCAAAATTGAACTGTAACAATTTGCATTTTTAAAGTAATTAAATTATTATTATTATTATTTTTTTATCAAAATCATTTGGCCTATTAAAGTATAGCTGTAACACAGGTAATGTTGCCTTTTCGGAATAGGAACGCTGAATGGTAGTATTTTGGCTGTTTTGAACTGGGTATGATTTAAGCGCTGTAGAAAAGCACCAGTAGAAGGAGATTAATTTGGAACTGCAGCTGTGCTAGAGATCTAGTATGGTGAAGATCAAGATCTGTCTGATTGCATAAGAGACAGATGTAGTCATGTTAGATGCTGACATTGTTGTCTTTTCTACTCCCTCAAGCTCTAATTCATTCTGTTGTCATGGAGATGACTAATGAGACGGTCACCTGCCTCTCTCAAAACATCTACCCCGTCCCTCAGGTGACATGGACCACAGACCCCCCCTCAGCCCAGGGAGCTTTAGAAAATTCAGTCATCAAAACCACTGACCACAAGGGTCTGTTTACTGTGATGAGCACGCTGAGGATCGTGGGTAATCTCTCCAACATTACCTTCTTCTGCTATTTCACATCGGCTGACAAGTCTCAGGTGTGGACTGCCTCACGCAAAAACCAAGGTGCGATTTGATTTTTAATGCTTTTAAAGAGAAGGTGATCTTTAACAGAAACACACGTAAAGCTCAATGTAACTTGATATTTTTCAGTGGATATATCACATGAAGAGGGTCACACACTGTCTATCCCTTGCATCGCCCCACAAAATGTCCAGAATTTCTCCCTCACCTGGACCCACACCTCATTGAAGGAGCCCACAGTCATCCTGAAATATGACACAAAAACAAGACACACGTTCAATCTATGGGAAGGCGAAGCTACACTGGACCAGGACAGGCTTCTTCTTGGAGACGCCTCCCTTCTTCTTCACAAGCCAAATGTGGAGGAACACAGTGGGACGTACACTTGCAGCTTCTCAGGGCTACAGAGCAAACACACAGTTCAGATCAGAGTAAACATCACTGTTTCATCAATAAGTGAGTATTGGATTACACTCTGATTTGGTAGAAGAAAAGAGAGTATGAATAACATTAAATAAAACTGTGTCATGTACACTCTGCAGGTGAGGATGAGCAGAAGGTGCAGAGGTCATGGTGGAGCACTGCAGCATCTGCAGCTTTTGTGTTGTTCACCATCATCGTAGCTCTCCCTCAGTGTGTGAGACAAAGAGGTATGTGAGATATTCTGTCTCTATTCCGGTCAGTACGAACTTAATTAATCCCTTTTGGACAACAATAAACTATAAGTAAGAATTAACAGAGGCAACAAAGGATAAAAAAAAGTCCTTTAAAAATTGTGAAAACCTAAGAAGTATCTAGTATTCTGATTATGAAGGGGATACATTTGAATGGTTTAACAAGCTGGTAAAAGAAGACATCTTGATGGCAACAAAGAAAATTCTTCTAAGGAATTCAGATCTTCCTGTTAGACACTAATGATAAAACAGGTTTTAACAATACTGTTCATACTGTTTCAGTCTTTAACTGTGAGGCCCTTAAACCAGCAGATAGAAAAACTGAGAGGCCTTTTATTTAAAGACTAATACATTTATTGAGAATAATTCAGCCTCCATAAAAGGATGATTCTCTATTGCTTCTCAGTGTTCAAATTCAAGTTGATCATCTAAATAAGTACCGAAGTATTTCCATGATCTTACAGTTTTTATACTCTCTTGAGAATCTGTGCTATCTCTCTTTTGCGTTTAGATTTAAAACCAGCTCCATTAAAATTGTGATGACAAAAGACAGGTTACAAGTAAGTTTAACTACATTTACACATAGTTACTGTTGGTTTTTACAATGGAGGATAGGGATGCAAGATTTAAAGTGAGTCAGACTTTGGACAATTGGATTCATCCTGCTGCTGTGGCAGCATCTGTTAGCAAGATGATATTCAAGTTTGCTCAACATTTATTCAATTAAGCTTGTTTCCATAACAACAAAAAGCTTAAAAGCCAGTTTATACAAGAATGTGTAAGAGTGCGGAAAGTGTTTAACAAAATATAATTACATGCATGTAGTCTGAGAAGAGTGTGTCCGGTGTGTTTTGAACTGAAATTTAACCTGTTATCATTTGTCCTTATTTGTACAGGGCTGGAGATGAGAACTGTCTCACATAGACATAACGGAGCAGATTTTATTGAAGGTGGATCGAGCAAAGGCGTTGATACAACAGCTTCATTTATAGTCAGACAACATGGAGCTGAATGTGACAGACTACAACTACAAATTGAAACACAGAGTGAAATGGCAAGCAGCGCGCCTAACACAGCGGAGGTCTGCACTGCGGATTTACCACCAGGCACTGAAATAGAACAAGAAGAAAAACCAGAAGGACCACCTGAGGAGGGAAATGATGGGCTGCTGTCCAGGAGTGAAGAGGGGGATGGATTTTAAAACACTGAGCCTGGGAACCATGTACCATGAACATCCTGAGCTACACTCAGAGGATAATACTCAGAAACTTGAGAACTCCTTCCAGTAAAGAAATTCATTCAGATCGGTTGGATTTCTTTTTAACATTACGAGCATTATCTTTATCATGGAAACTGTTATCAACTTGTAATGTAAACTTCTTTGCCTGCCTTTAAAATGAAAAAAAAACATATTAAAACTTTCATTTTTTTCTAATTTAATGTTGTATTATATGTCAGAAAGCATGGCAAAATCTCTTTACACTTCTCTCAGCAGCTTTCATCTTCTCCATGAGGATATTCTGGCATAGATTTTGTCATCATTTGTATTATCACACAAAAACAACAGCCTGTACTTGAAGCAGTGTTTTCTATATCTGACACAGTCGTAAACTTTGGCTACCTTTTTTTTTCTACTTGATATTGGAAATTAAGCCATGTTTCTATCATGTTAGACCAGTAGTGTGTGGCGTGCATTGATCAGCACATCACTCCTCCACTGTGTTTCAGCTCACTAATGCTGAAATCAGTCTCACTGCACACTCCATGTGCTTCCCTTTAGTGCATTAAAGTCTCTGCAGGTAGCCTGTTTGAAAAAAATACAAAGAAGAAATTGCAGATATTAACGCTCAAATGTGAGGGATTAAGATAAAAGTTTTAAGACTAAACTCTGTACTAAGTCGGTGCCGGCTATCTTAAAACTCTATTTCAGTAACATGTTTTGTTTTTGGATTGATTAATATCCTCCTCTGAAGATCAACACAGACCAAGAAACAGTCAGGCAGAGCAGACCAACTTTTCATTGCTTGCTCTCCAGGTTTCAAATCTCTTCACTATAAATCAACTTGAATTTGATTTAGATCCGGAACAAAATGGTCACCAAAGTTAGAGACGTCACGAAATTGTCTGAGCAAACATGGCACTACCCACAGACTTGTGATTACAGGCTCGGTGACATAAAAGGACTCAGACTACTTATTTTGTGGTTTCGAGTGGACGTTTAGCTAATTTACTCATTAAACTGAATTAGTTGATCTAGATAAACCCTGCAGACTGCTCTGATGTGGGTCAATCAATGTCCGAGCTTAATTAAAGAAGTAAACTGGACTGGCTCTTTGAAAGTGCTCTGGGATTTGGCTTTTTTCATTATCAGTCAGTTAGTGCACGTGTGTCGGTTTAATCAGTTTAGGTGTGTGAATGCTGAGATTTGGGTTCATGTTTGTACAAAAGCAGGGCCAGATAAGGATCATCAAGTAATCAGGCATCTTCTGCTGCGATGAGTTGACTAGGCCAAAGTTCAGCTGGTAGAAAACAAACCTATCTGCTCCACATCAAACACAAAAAATTGTCTAATGTCTTTGGCCTCATGTGATTGGGCGAAACATCGAGGACTTCTCTCACTATGAGTCAGACCTCCCGACAATTACCAGAGATGATCTTACACCCACTCCCACAATCCGACACCAATTTTTCCTCCATCATCCCCCCTCTTCCCTACACTTTCCATACCCTACACTCAGAAATCACTCCACACATGGTTTTAGTGTGTAGTTTTCAAAACACACATAATCACACTTCAGCAGTAAATGCTGGTTTGAAATCTTACCTTTTTTTCCACCGGTCTCTGAACAGAAAGTGCAGTTGCATTCCATCGCTCAATGACAATTACATTTTTGTGCTGGCAATAAGTTTCAAAGTGTCCCACTTTACAAATGAGAAACTCCTGGAGTTTATGTGTGTCATTTAACATTCCCGAGAGAGGGAGACAAACTTGCATGCGTGTGTGAGTGCATGTGTGTGTGTGTTTTAATGACAAAGACCCCAGCTCCGTGTCTGGAAGTAATCATCTGCTACAGGCTGCGCTCCTCAGCCCCCTCCCAGTGATGTAATTGGAGTTTTTTTTGGCATGATAGCTTAAGATTTTTAGGGGATTTTTACAGAGAGGTTTTTCATTCATTCTTCTCTCTTAAACGATCCTCTACATTTATCTCTTTTGTATGATACTGGCACTACTTGACCCAACATGAAACCTTCAATCGGATCTGAAAACAATCAAAAGGTTGGATGTGTTTCATGTTGCAGTTTTTGTAATGTCTCCAACTGTAAGGTTTTTTTTTTACTCCTGCTGTTCAGAGGGGGAGTGAGGTTGGCTGTATTTCAAACACAGCGATGGGGCCTCCTTCTCCCGCCTCCACATACTGCTGAAACAACAATCGAAGGCACAAAACTTTTTTTTTCTCACAACTTTGAGCACTAATGTCTACTCTCACTTTTTTTTTTACCCAGACTGTGGTAACACTGAGAGGTGGGAGTCTTGTTGTTGTTACAAGTTAAGTTAAAATGTGAAAAGCAGTCAATGAAGATAAGGGGTTTTCACGTGCCAAACCTAGATTTGTGGGAACTTCATTGTCCCCATGCTTTAATATAAAGCAAGTGTTGTTAATATAATACTCCAGGTCAGAGGTCACATCAGCAACAGTAAAACATCTCTGGATTAAAGGGAATTACACAAACTGATTCCTTTTAAACACAGCTGATCAAAGCTGATGTGGTGACAACATTTCACTGATTACTTTCTTTTACCTCTCTGTTTAAAAGCAATTCTCCATCCAACCAGAGAGGGGCACCAACTGCGCCAGATGGTGGAAAGTAAACACTCCCCTTTCCCTCTCTCCGGAGCAGAAAGTTGAGGTGGGAGGGGAGACGTGAGGAGAGGGTCTCCTGTCTGCTCTTTTGTCATGGGAAGACTTTACTCAGATGGTTCATACAGGGAAAGAGAGAGACAGGAGAGTGCAGGTCTAGTCTGGACGGAGGTGTACAGAAAGAAGGAGCAACGATGTGAAAGAGGCAGAAAAGAGACGTAAGTTGTTTGAAATTTACGCACAATTTGTTTCAGTGAGGTTTTGAACCAATATTTTGATTGATAGATAAAGATAATGGCTGCTTTCTGTGTGATACACACCGCACTGTGTTACCCCTGAGGTTAAAGTGGTGTTACAGTTATCAGGTTTTTGGTCTTAAACTAACTGTACACGCTTTTGACATTTGAATAATTAATAACTCACTACAGACACCGAATTAGAGATTTAAAGCTACAAATCTCGCTAACCTTTTGAGTCGTTTTTTTTTTTTTTTATTTGTGGAGAAGGTAACTGGTGAACAATCACACTTGTGGTTATTTGTCTGTACATTTCTGGAAACAATCAGAACCATTAAGACAAAGTGGAAACAGCCTACAGTGGCAGTTCAGATCAATTCATACATGTTTTAAGCGCAGACTGAAACTGTATATGAGTTTAAATGGACAGTTTGTATGTCAGATGGTGACTCAAAAGCAGTGTATTGATTTAAGGCTGAATGTATCAGATAATCAATCATTCAGTCTATCAATAAAGCACTTTTGTTTGTATTAGCTGACTTTTCTCTGTTTTGATACCATTGTAGAATATGTGTTGGATTGTAGATTGTGGTTAAGACTGACAATAGTCTCAATGGGCTCTTAGAAATAAAAGTAAATACTAATGTAGCTGTTTCTAGATTTTATTGGATCTTCTGTCAAGTTGACGGAAACTTTAAAAGTTTCTTAAAAAGTGAACATAATCGTGAATACACGTTAGATCAAATATAAACTTTTATTCAACATCTCAATACAGTTTCACCTTAATACAGTGGAAAAAGTCGCTCTTCCCTACATTTTATCTGTGTCTCTTCTCCCAGCTGTTTATTTCTCTCTCTGTGTTTATGCTCTGGCCTGCAGTCTGGCTGATGCAGTAAAAACTCTCTCCCCTAACATGAGGCTGTGGGTTTCTCCCCCCTTTTTTCAGCCAGCTTGGAGAATGAACTCATGCTGATTGATTGTGTGACTGTGTAAAAGGATACCCTACTTCCTGTAGGCCCTCTCTCTCTCCAGACAGCAGGACGAGAAAATCTTGGATCAGCCATCTCTGTCTTTCTTTGCTCTGTATGTGTGTGTGCTGTCTGTGGGTTCAGGAAACAGCATCGTCTGAGTTTTAAAATCCCTCAATGGAACCAAAAATATTCTCACTGTCTGAGTTATGACCTGCAGTGTGAGGAACCCAAATACGTGGATTTCAGTTTCTATTGATGTAATAGAGGCGATCCTTTCAACAAGCAAAAACAACATGGGGTACCAAACTAAAAGTCCCTCACAGGAGCTTTAACATAAAACTGAACATTTGGATTTATAACCAAATTGAAACATACACCTGCCTTTTTGATTTAAGTTAAATTAAACCAGTGATGCGGTTTACGTGATGTACAGGTATACGCTGTATACCCACTAGGAAAGGTCCTAGATTTCCATACAACTTCTTAAAAATACACAAAGATGTGCAACAGCCGCAGTTGTGACCACAACTTCACAAATACTTGTGGTGACTAAACCTGTAACTCATTACCTTCTGTAATTCCATGTTGTTTTCATAATAATGATATTTTAAAAGACTTTTAACTCTTTACTGTTGGTCAAATAGCAGATATGAAAAGCTAGACTACACCACTGCTTCAAACTGAACATTTTTATTAAAGATAGCGGTGCCCACTGAGCACTTTTTAGTCTAAAAGAAGTCTAATAGACGTATAAATGTAGCCTAGAGGACTGGTCTAAAATCAGGCTACTACAGGTCTAAAAATGAAAGTTTTTTATTCATCTAAATTTAGACCAAGTCTAAATCTGGGCTATATCTATACTACACTGTATATTGCTCAATGGCTTTCAAAATTATTTTGGTTAAGTACTTGGAGATCAGTTATGCAACTCACAGTTGCTTTTTGAAATAAATATTTATCAAATAATGGGTTAAAGTGCAACGTCTAAATTCCGTCTAAAACTATACAGAATCTTGACGGTTGAAATTAGGTCTAAAAAAAAAACTAGACATCTAATATCCATCTATTGCTCAGTGGGTGGACAAGGTAAAATAGACATTTGCAGGACTATTAATGTTGTCATTATTATTATCAATATTATTATTATTATTATTATTATTATTATGCAGTAAGGCACATGTCAAAAAGTGACATCAAGTTTTGCTAAAATCATGTATGGATTAAATCATAATAATCTAACTCTAACCAGCTATGGCCTGGATTGCAGGACAGGATCTTGCTCCACTTTTTGCCTTCGGAGTTCCACTGTGCCAAGTAACTATCATTATTTTTAAGACCATCCTGAGAGAGAAAATATCACTTTTTCCCCAATGTTTACAGATTTTCTTTGCTTCATTGTTTTTGCTGCTGTGTTTACAGCTAATGGTGACAGGATCCAGTCTTGACCCCTCTCTGCAGAGTGGTTTGGTATGACACGTGTGATCAGGTTTTCCTGGTGTTACTTTTACTGTTGGGTGTTAATTAACAGCATCACTGTGTTTTGACCAGTCAAGTTCAAGGCTTAAAGACAGCTGGGTGATAAGTAAGAAAGCCAAATAATAAAACGGCATTTGGCAGTACAAAGGAAATAATTACGCTGCGATGTGACAAAATTAGATAATTTTTTCTCACAACCTGGAAAAATACGTAGTGCTTGAAATTGTAATAAAGTTTACTATGACTGATGTCTTATTTTAGCATGGTCTTCAGGAGACTTTGGATCCCAAGTGATTCCCGTCTAAATTCACCCAGTCTGACCCTCTAACTCTGGCTTGTGTCACACTGAGTCTGGGGCTCTGAGGGAGTACTTTCAAGGACCGGCCATGAGCTCAGGGCTAAAAGATCAAGTACTCCTTTTTTTCAGACTCAGTTTTTATTGGTTAAAAAGGAGAAAGCCAGACATAAATAGTTTCCCCTGTATCTGTTTTCCTACTTAGCCCTCAGAAATGTTGTTTTTTCTTTCCATTCAGTAAAAATGCACATGTGAAATATCTGCCTGAATCGGGGTATTGTTGTACGGTTTTAAGAGTGACCACAAGGCATGGATTCAGCTTCCTGTGAGGCTCTTAAAACCTTTTGTTTCCAGACTACGTTAAACTGTATCATGTTGCTGGAACACTAATGCAGGATGTAAGACAAGAAAGTATGACTGATTTGTGCTCCCTGGCAGATCTGTTATTTATTGTGAATCCATCTAATACGACATAAAAATATCTAAGATGCTACTCTTTTGTAATGTTTGTGAGCTTCATATTGAATTATCCTCCTCAGGAGACAAAGTCCAAAGGGTCCAGCTGAATTGTGCACCCTCAGGCTGAATCAGAAAGGAGGTCGGTGCAATGAACAGCATGCTGCCTCAAAGGAGTGCTGTCGCCACGATGAGCTACGGCTCAGGTAAGATGTCTATCAAGATTCTTTGATAGTTAATTTCCCATTTTAATCACTTAAAAAGGGTCATATAGTAACTTTTAGATTCTTTAACTGTCTCTTTAAAACAGAGACAGCAGAAAAACATTAAGCAAGTCTTGCTTTTTCAGGTGCTCCATAAGGTCAGTTTATTGAATAGTTAAAGAAACTCCTTAAACTGGAGCCTGGAGTGGCTCTTTCCTGCATTTTTCCTTGTTAAAGTCTTTTGGGGGTTCTTAGTTTTGCTCAAATTTGCTTTGAGGCTTTCATGTTTTAATTTTAATGGTAAATTTGCTAAAACAGACATTAAAAACAGACATAAAAAACAGGTTAGAAATAAATAAAACAAACACATCGGAGCTACCTGAATAAAAGAGAAAGGTTCAAGTGTCACCTGGGGTATCAGTAGTCAAACAACTTTAGTAAACATCCTGCATTGAACAAGCCTTAAGCTGCTAAAATCAGAAATATAATAGAGGAGGCGGTTTTAATACAAACACCCCAACCAGTAAGTCAGGGAGGCTCGAAAACTTTTGGCCTCACTCGTTTTAGTTGTTATCCTGTCCATGATTGTATATAGTCTATGGTAGAACCTGAGTTAAATCTCGTGCCTAATGCTTTTAGTATTTGTGTTACTGTTTTTTCCTCCATCAGATTTTTTTTTTTTACCAGTTGTAATTTTAGCATATTCCCTGTATTGATAGAGATTTTTTTACTCGTGGTCTGATTTTTAAAATGTATCTTCATTTTGGATTATGTGAAATAGAGGAACACAAAAGTGGTTACATTTCTATAGTGTCCTCATTTATTCCTTCACTCGAAGTGAAATGAAACAGGCGAAGAAAAATCTCATAAACTTGGTCTTTGCCTAAACATTGAAATACACAGGTAGTTAAATTCACCAACTTCTCATAGCAACACAGGAACTATAAAAGTAGATAGATAGAAGTGTGTACACTTATTTATAAGTATAAGTTACATCTAAGTGCTTTTCTAAAGGAAGAAGACAGAAAAAGTAGAAAGAAAAAAAAAACCCACATTCATGTTGAACTTGGTCAGGTCAAGCTGGACTACAGTTCCCCAGTTTGATACTGTGCAAATATTAACCGTGGTGTACAGAGATAGAAATCATTTTAGTGTTTTCACAACAATGTTTGGATTTCTCCGGTGAATGTCATCATTTTACTCCTGAAAAGAGTTGATGGTCTCTTGCCACACCAAGAAAACTTGGTTTCTTCCTCTGTTTCACTGTCTATGCCGTCTGTTGATAATCTGGCCTGCACGTTCCTACTTTTGTCAAAAATAATACACCTTGTTTTGCTAGTGTGTAGGAGAGGTTTGTTTGTGTTAAACCATTCTTTTAATTATAATATGGTTTAACTTGTTTTCACTCAAAAGGGGAGGTTTATGTCCTAGAAGTACAGGTTTACAAGATAATAAAGCGGATGTCCTAAAAAGTGTTCAGTGAGAGGAAAAAGGCTTCAAAGGAGCTTTAAAAAAAAGGATGGATGAACTAAAGTTCTATGTGAAGACCCAGAGGAAAATGGAAAAGGATTTTTCCCAATTTCTTTTTTTATTTCTTTCTACTTTATTCCAAAGAAGGCAATTTCACAATTTGACAACATCATGGCAAATCACAACGTTTCTTATTCATTGGTTGGAAAGAGCAGGAAGACGATACCTCTTATAATACCTGCCCCTCACTCAATGTCTAGTTACTCTAATAATCTGTCACTGAGCAACATTCCTACCACAAAACAAAACAACAACAAAAAACAGAGTTTTAAGTTGACTTATCGGTCACTGAATGATACTTTAGTCAAAGCATGAAGTAAACAAAACAAGTATAATAAAAAATATAACCACAAGACAGCATTTCAAGCTGACTTTTCTACAAGAATCATTGGTTACTTTTGTCATAATTTCTGATTGTATTTTACTTTGGATAAGATTAGTACAGGTCTTCAATTCATTACTTTGACAATTCCATAGTTTGACTCCCATGACAGAGATACACATCCACTTAAAAGTTGTTTGTGCAATTTAAAGTTGTGCTGAGAGTACGTAAACAATACTGTTTTATTTGTCTGATTTTAAGGCCCAGACTTTCTTTAGATCCAGTTTTCTGTTAAGTAGCTCCTGTAAAGAAAAGGTGGATATTCTTTAACATGACTTAAAGTGTGTGATTAAATGTTAAATCAGCGTCCAGCCACTCATGACTCAGGCCACATTGTAACCCTGCTTACTAAGACATTTGTGCTGAAGTGGACGGTGTCCTCAGGGTTTTTCTCACAGACGAGACTATGATGCATTCTGGCTTGTCTTGGTCCACCAGCGTTCTTCCATTTTTAGAAGAAGCTTAACCACTGATTGAGCCCATGTTTGTGTTGGGCTCAGAACTGTATGGGTTTACATTCTTCACTGGTTTCCCCCCTTGCTCAGCACAAGTTTGATAGCACTGCTCTTAGCTGATCTGGGGCTCATTAAAGCAGCTACATTAAACCTGACACTATTACATCGTCCAAAAGATTTCACACTTTGCCAATTTTCTCTTTTTTTCCATCAGACTGTGGGAAGATTGAGCATAGCAGCAGCGGCTCTGTGGGTGGGACAGTGCTGAGGGGCTCCCGCTCGAAGGCAGAGCTCCAGGAGCTGATGGAGACCCTGCAGCGGAGAAAGAGCGCCCTAGAGGCCAGCTTGAGGGCAGCTGAATGCAGCCGCAAGTACCTCAGTGTGCCTCCACCTGTGGGATCCCAGCCCACCAGGCCTCTGTCAATCCTCAGCAACACAGAAAGACCCCCGTCTGCTTCCAGAACATTCTCCTACATGTCCAGCAGCAGTGTTCCTCCCTCACCTCGCCAGGGTGAAAGACAGCTGAGTCCAAACGGTTTACATCGCCATTCCCACTCTCGGCACATGTCACAAGACAGTCTCCTTGCAGCTGATGGAAGCTCTCTGCTCTCCTCTTACGGACCGCCTGTACCTCGTTCTCCCAGGGTGAAAAGTGGAGCAGCCAGCGTGCCGTCCAGCCCCCGAATGGGCCGCAGGCTCTACTCTCAGGGCAAAGCTGGAGGAGATTCCCGGCAGAGGAAATACTCCACCGGCTCTCTCAACAGCCTGGGAATGCACAGCCGCTCTCTGCCACGGCTTCACAACGCAGCAGACCCTCCCGCTCTGTCCCTGCCGTCACGCCACTCAGTGGGTTCCCACAGAGGAGTGAGTTCAGCTGGGCAGAGGCGCAGTCTTTCTTCCCTGGAGCAGCCACCAGACGTGACAGTACCAGCAAGCATGCCCAGCACTCCCAGGAGGGCCAGCCTGGCCTCTCTGAGCTCTCTAGGTGTGGATCTCGATGGGACTGGTTTGGATCTGAGCTTTGGGGAGAGGAGGTTGTCTTTTGGTAAGGGTGGGCTTAGTCCTGGTCAGAGAGTGGGCAGCATCAGCTCTCTAAATGGCAAAGAGGAGCTGAGAGATTACCACCAGCACCAGAGAGATGAACGACTCAGGGAGCAGAAAGTCCAGAGATTGGTGAGAAGTTTTTTTAATCTGATTCACTGAGATCATGCTGCTTAAATAAGCTTATTTTGTGACTGTTTTAAAAATCTGTGAAATAATGTAGCACGTATCATCTGTCGACAGGAGTGCCAACGTCTGGAGACCATCTTAAATCTCTGCACTGAATTGGGTCAGGTGGAAAGAGAGCCCGCGGTCTCAGCTGTGTCCGATCTGCAGAAGATCAATAAGGAGTTGGAGAAGCTGCAGGTGTCAGACGATGAGTCAGTGTTTTCGGACTCTCCCAGCAGTATGGCTCCAGACAGCAGCTTTGGGGGGAAAGCCAGCAGAGACTTCCAAGTGTCTGAAGAGCAGCAGGCCAGCCAGCGTCAGCAGAGCAGCTACAGAGAGCCCAGGTCCCACTCACCTGCTGTCAGCCTGAACAGCAGCGCACCTTCACCCTCCACCAACCACAGAGCCAAAGTAAGATCTAAACTCATATTCATAAACAGATCCTGATAAACATCAAACGTTCCTAGTCCTGTATTTCAACCAAAAACTCAACTCTAAGACGGTTTGGGTTAAAACTTCCAATTGGTTCATTGGCTGAACAGTTGAGTTTTTACAACCCATGATAAAAAGAAAAAAAAAACTGACAGTGCTTTACAAAGTTGGCATAACAGGGAAACCCACAACCCACTTTGAAACTCTGATTCAGTTTATTGTGGAGTGAATAAACTCCAGGAGCAATCTGAGATACAACCAGCGTGTCCTTTAGTAGTCTTTTTTTTTTTCATTCATACCCAGAGAGCTACTATTATTTTGATAGCCGGTCAATCAACCATGCATTTATACTGATATGCTACCTATCAAAACAAGCTTAAAGACCCACTGTGATGAAAATCATGTTTTTCTTGTTTTTTCTATATGTTCATATGGCGTTTTTCTGATGCTACAGGACATATCATGAGAAAACTAAATGCGAAATTGCTTTCCTGAGTATTTCTTCCTTCAAATCTCTGTGAATCTCTGGCAGACCCAAACAGCAGGTTCAGAAACAGTAAAAGTTCATACATAACCAATCCAAGCTCCGCCCCCAGTGCTTAGCTATGCAGGCCACATTCTGCATATAAAGGGGGAAATTGCCAATGATCTGCTGGAGCTCTGCAGAAAAAAAAGCCATTAAAAATGACACATGTAACGCAATTTTTGGTAAAAAAAAAAAAAACTTCATAATCAGAATTTATAGGCGACTGAGAACAGTTCAAATGATCAGAGTGGGACTTTAAACTGTGAAAACTTGCCACACACACCTGACATTTCTGTAGCTCCATTAATGCAAGTGGATGATTAACAATCTCTTTTATTGATTAGATGCTATTGAATTGATACAATATAAACAAAGGGCTTCCTTTGTGATGGTTATCTAATATTGCTGCTAGCAGTGAATTAACACAGTTTGTCTGAATTAAGAAGTTTTATTTTGTAGGTCCACAGTCAGAGATTGGAGGAATACCTGTATCCAGACTTTATGAGAATAGAAATCGACTTTTGTTTTGTTGACAATTGCTTCGAGGCTATCTAGTTTTGTCCGAGTTCTTTTGAGTCAGTGGTGACCATCTGAGGGAAACAAGGTGGATCTCAATCCCCACTGTGGGGTTCATGCTGATTGCTTCCTCTTTAAACAATCTCCTGGTTTATTGGCCTGTGTTTGTGGTAAACATCCTGATGTTTTCACGATGACATGTTTGTAAAGAATGATCTTAGATGTAGATCTTAAATTTTGTCCCAGACCTCCGTAGCTTGAAAGAGACTGGTTGAGACGCCCTCTTCTGACACCTAAAGAAAATGCAGATTTAAAACTACATTGACTTTTTTGATCACTCGAACCAAGAGTATTTGATGAGAAATAAAACACCAGCCTTCATTCTGTGTTTCTTCACCCTCTCTCAGCTAATTCCTGCTCCAGCTTGAGTGTTAATGTGAGTAGAAAGAGGACTGAGCTGTGGTGAACACTAATGGGGAACACCCCTGCTGTGGAATGTAGTTTATCAGACTCCTGAAACAGTGTTGATCTCTGTTTGTTTACCTGATGTGATATCAGCTTAAATGCTTTCCACTTCAGCGTCCTTTTGCATTTCTCCTCTCACATTCCCAAGAAACCCTAATTTATAAAATCTGCCGCCAATAATACATGCCAGACGTACCATATGAGTCAGTTTGTGTGAATGATTGCGGAAATGTGTATGAAGTTATCCTCAAGCCATTTTGAATTTTCACCATTTTTCATAGGCGTAGGCAGTTTTGTATGTCTGATGAGTAAACTCGTGATCTAAACAATGACAAATGTAGCGTTCATTCGGTTTAAACCGAGTTTGTCTGGTTTAAAACTGCAAAAATATGTGGCTTGAATCTCTCCAGGACTCTGAACCATACTCTGACAACACATCAATGGCATGATGGCTGCATACAAGTGTGTGTTTTCCACTGTATCACTCAGCAGATATAAACATCCGACACAGATTTTCATTCATCACTGGGCTTTTAGTCACAAGTACAGTAAGTCCCTGCAGTTTGTATGTTTCCTGTTTATGTGGCTGTAAACAGGAGATCTAGAGCTACACATCTTTGATGTCCCTGACTCATTTCAGCTTTTCTCTAATCAACGTCTCTCTAGTGTCAGACTGCTAAGTTAATCTTGATATGTTAAATTTACAAATGGACATACATCACATGTATCAAATGCTGTGATTTAAGATCAAAGGTATGCTTCCTCCTCCACTGTCTCCTTCCCCAGTCCCACTGTCTGTGTAAAAGCTTTTTTCCACTCCAGAGCGACCTCGCGGTGTGTCTGGTTTTAATGAAGAGGTCCTAGTTTTGTTTCAGCACTCTGCCCTTCAAACCCTTTAAGGATGGGGGGGAACAGGAAATGACTTTATCCCACGGAGAATTAGTGTGCACATGTGTGTGTGTGTGTGTGTGTATGCACAACCGTGGTTCTGCGTGAATGGGGAAGCGTTCGTGTATATGCATAGCAGAGTCACACATTTTTCCAGATGTTGTGAAATTGGTTACGAGGCTAAATGGATGGAGGACCTGGTGAAAAAGAAAAAGTAGTAAATGTATCATCACAGGTAATTAAATAATGTTTATGATGTGGCAAACAGGATTTACAAACACAGCAGTTTGTAAAAAATCAGCTCACAATTTAAACCATAATTTCTGCAATGTGTCAATCGTGACAGCCGTTTACAGCCTCATAACACCGTGTCCTCCATCTCCTGCATTCCTCCCAGCAGTGTGTGAAACCAGGGTAACTATAAATCCTGGAGCTGTTGGCCACAAAAACAAACCTCCTAAATTCTGAAAGAAGTAAACTATATAATACAGGATCTCTAAATTGCACCCACGTATGAATGAGTATGAATGGACGTTTGTAGGACTTAGGGACGGATGATAGATGTGGGAGGACTTTGGCGTGGATTGCAGCGGCGCTCACTGATAGAGCTTTCCATTACATAAAGTGGAAAAGAATCCTGTTGTCAGTGATCCAGCTTTGGAGGAGTAAAAACAGCAGCTGCTGTCGTTGAATAAAAAAAAAAAAAAAGTATTCTGCTTGCAGGCAAATTACTTTAACAACCTACTGAATGCATGGAAAAAAATTTGTTCCCTGTGTTACATAACCTCCTGATCGAAAATGCAACCACCAAGAGAAGCTAATGCCCATAAATGTCTTCATGAAGGGGTCTTTTTGTGTTGATTAACATAATGTGAAGAGTCCTGTAGAGCACAGCATTTATATGCATTCCTCATGTCACTCCAGGCTTTGGACACAGTACAGCTGAAGCAGGAAGTAACACATATAGAAGAGGAGAGGATTCAAGTTCTGAACAACATCGAAGAGCTGGAGCAGAAGATCAAAGACCTGGACAACCAGATGGAGGAGTCTGTCAGAGAGGTACACAGCGGAGCACAGTGCAGTAAAAAAAAAACACAGCTGAGATCAGAGCAGTGGTGGATTTAACTCTTTCCCTGCCAGCTTTTTATAAAATCGCTGTCACCCACTGCAAATTTCTGACCAAGTTTAGTGACCTTTAAAGCTTCCCCTTTTCCTCTATAACAACAAATGCATCAAAAGAAAGTTTAGTGCTTTAGTTTTCTTTTATAAAAGCTATATTACTCAAACCTGTTCTGTTCGTTTATATCAGCATTAGAAAATTGGTTTTCTGTCAAAAACTCAGAAAAAAGTGTTTTTTTTGTTTGTCATGTCAAAGCAGAAATTTGATTCTTAGATTCTTATACATGATAACATCTACCATATAATTTAAAAACACATAAAAACACATAAAACATCAGACAGTTTGGAGAATTTCTGTCTGCAGACACAGCTTCACTGCAAGCGGTCTGTGCTGTATGGCTCCTGTACTCATGCTGCTGCATGTTATAGTGATTAATATTGATTATACCCACACTCAAAGTGCAGCAGGTCTCTGTCTCTCATCCTGATCAGGTGGAAGAATGACCCCATAGTTTTGTGTGTTTTTGGCAGTGAATCAATCAATCAAACTTTATTTATAAAGCACTCTTCCTAATGATTTATTTACACTCCTAAAGGAATGTAAATAAATCAGTACATACATAGGAGCACTCTGTTTCATTTCATTTAGATATATACAAACATAACAATGAGGTGTTAATCTCAGTGATAAAGAAAACAAAAGTGTATAAATTTGTCATCAATATTCATCAGCTCTGCGTTTGCCATGTGGAAATTACTTTTCACGGCCTGACCCAACCGTCTGACCAGACCGGATGTGTTCACTGTTTGACCAAATAAACCAGTGTCCAATAACATCTTGTCAAACCTTTTGCACCTTACATGGTTGAAGATCTTGAAGTCCTCTTCTCGGTTCCTTATCAATCACTATTAAGCTCAGATTCTGGATCAGAGTTAAAACAGGACTTATCTGAATCTCAGTTGATAAGTATTTCCAACAGATGTGTCCTCTTGAATGCCACCAGGTTATTTCTGTTAAATCTGAGGCCACATAAAACATAACTTTGAAGGTTTATCCATGGGAAGGTAGGCCTGATTATCATTTTGGCCAAATGTACATTTTTCCTCTTTTCCTCTGTGCTTCTGTTTCCTGCAGATGGAAGTGGAGTTAGCGCTGCTGGAAGGGGAGCAGGAGTCAGAGATGACCCAGTTGCAGAGAGAAAAGGAGCTTCTGGACCAACTCAAAGAAAAGATTCATGGTACCGAGAAGACAAGTCCCACTGAGAACTCACAGGTAAAACTACCATTTCACAAATCCTGTAATCTACCAGTGTGTGTGTGTCTTACACACTAAATTTTGTAGTATGTAAATTGACACTCTTTAAATGTTGGGCAACCTTACATTTTTTTCCCTCAGCAGAAATTTTCCACAGTGGCCAAAGGTCAAGTACTAAAAAAACTGTATTGGTAGTTTGTGTGGACAGGGATTTTGGGTGCCAAAGCCACAGTTAGAGCAAATCTCAGGGTTAAGTTCAACTTGACTTAGGAGGTTCAGTTGCATTTTCTTTAAAGACTATACAAACAAACTTCGTTGACAAGAGGAAATGCTCACAGAACCAGACCGAGTGCCTTTATAAAGATCCTCATACTCAGGCCAAAATCACCGTCTGTATGTGGTCCAATTATGAAGTGGAAATAAATAGATTTGACCTAACAAAAGACAATTAAAAATATGAAAATAGACTTGTTAACTGATTCCTCTGCAGCAGCATGTCTTTGAAGAGAAGGCTACTTTACAGCAGCTGCTTCTCTGTACTCCAGGATTTGTTCCTGAGACCTAAAATGCAACCATAGACTGTCCTTCTTATTTTACAACCTCAGTCTGTGTTTTGTCTTCTGATTTCTTTTCTTTCTAGCTTTTTTTTTACAGAGCTATAATCCTGGACCTCTCTCCTCACTTCCTGTCTCTCATTTACAACTTGTATTTCTGCTCGGATATCCTGCAGACCCTGTGTGGGAAGGACCCTAAATAGTTAACATGTGTGAAAAAAATCTTTGCTCATATGAGTCCAATTTAGTTAAAAAGTGAAATCACCTGAAACCTGACATTACTTAGAAAGACATGAAATTTAAATTACCTTTACTTTTGAATAGCTTTTATTTCACATCTTTCTGTAGCAGATAGCCTGCTTGTTGCTTGAATCAGTTTTTCTTTTTAAATTTTACATCATTTCTTGTGTTTAAAACTTGAAAGTTTTTTAAAACACCTACTTTCACTTATTCATGTACTTATAATTGTGTGCCTGTTTTGTATGTCAGGAGGCAGAGGAGCAGACAAAAAGTTCAGAGGATTTGGAGTTTCAGAAGCTGGAAAGAGAAATTAATCAGAACGAGGAAAAGGAGAATCAGAGCCAAGAGCTGCTGCGAGAGATCGCCGAGTATCAGCGTCTTAGTGTCACACGAAAGGTAAAAAAAATAAAAGAGTGTGGTTTAGTGTGTGTGCATGCAGCCTGCTGTGCATGTTAAACACTGCTGACAGTGCTGGCAAAGCATCACTTTGGACCACACATTTTTAACCAAAAGTATCTGCAGCATTATTTCCACTGTTGGGAGTTAAAGGGTTCAGCAGATGTAGATCTTTAGTGTTACCGTGTGCTTTTTTATGGCACGTTTTAATTAATTTACTGTTTAAAGGAAGCTTGAATCTTTTTGATCATGGGTTTTTGTTAATTTCCTTTTTTTATCCATTATTACATTGTGGTTTGTTGTCATTAATCTTGCTGCAGGTTGCATGAAAATAAAGTGAAAATAGTGCGAATTGCTGCACAAAGCATGAACTAATCACAAGAAACAACAATACCAGCGATGGTAAGCATGAAAATCTGTTTGTGTAGTAAAGTGACTAAGATCATTTGTTATTTTTAAGTTGAGGATATGTTCACAGACTCAGCAGAATCAGTAAAAAGGTATTTTCATTGTGTTTGAAGATGTTGTTGAGGGCGTGCATAAAAATCTCACCAAAACTCCTTAAAATCAGAATTTGCTTTTGTTCACTTACCTGCTTCTGCTTCATACTATAACACATTCACGTCATTCCCTGCTATGATATCATCTTTGCTTTCATAAAGAGATCATGCTGTGTTTTCTGTCCTCTCAGGAAAGGCTCATGACGCTGAAGAAACAGTCGTCACAGATCACCTTACAGGCTCAGCAAGAGAGAGAGAATTTCCAGAGAGAGAAAAACAATTTGCTGGTCATGCTTCAGAAGGTAGGAAGGGTCTCTCTGCATGCTGATGTTGTAAATATTTAATGTTATTTATTTCAAGACCCTGCCCTGATGCCTGCAGGAGAGAGAGAAGCTGGCGTCATTGGAAGGAAAGTATGCAGAGTTGTCTGAGGGGCGGAGCTTCACTAACAACCCTGTGGCCATCACAGAGGTAGGATTCAGTTACTGCTGTGATAATATTTTATGTTCCCACCAGCTGAGTGCTTCTGCCTCTTTGAACTGAGCTGTTATTTTTCTTATTTCTGGTCTTTTGATCTTTTTCTGGCCTCTCTGATTGCTGCAGCACTTGCACACTCTCAAAGAAAGGAGAAGAAGCAGCGGCAGTAAAGAAAACTCTTCCCACCCCAGTGACAGCCTGTCTCATAAGAGGAGCCAGCAGATCCTCAACTCTTATGGCAGATCTCTTGGGCGCACGCTTTCTCCAAAGGTCATTACACATTTAATAAAGTCAGACATCAAAGTTTGGATCCAGTAGAGTCTGAAAGAAGGTGTTGATGATCAGATCACAAGACCTTTACATCTTCACAAAAACATCTTTGCCATGATAGATTGAAGTACAAGCCTTACTGCAAGGATAACCCAGATTTTCAAGCTTGCAAAACTGGGAAAATTGAGAGAAAATGTTACTTAAGCGGTCAAGTTTCAAAAGACAGTTTCAAAATAATGTGGTCTGTCTGACTCTGGACTGCACAGAAGGGGATTTCACTGCCCTCATTACTTCTATCGAGAACTTTTCATCCCTAGAGAGTGATCCACCCAGACAGGAATGCTCAGTTTCACTCTGGTTTACCCAGCTGACTCACTCCTTCACTTTTTGATTCAGGCCCTGTTCTTGAACATAATGTCTGCGTGTGTGTGCCCTCCACAGGCCCACCTGCCTCTCTCGCAGAGCTCCAGCTGCGGCAGTGTGATCCCACCAGGCTTCAGCACTTTCACCCCCCGGGACCTGAACGTCCGCCATCGGCCCAAGAGTGAGTCAGAGTGGTGGACTGTCAAACTGAGTCTGCATCAAATCTCTAGAAAACTGTGTGAGCATCTAAAACCTGAGGCCTTTTTCAGAAATAAGGTCAGAAACACAGCTAGTGAAGTGACAGTTTGAGGCTAAGAAAAAAGAGACTCTCAGTTCAAGTCTGACATCAAACACTGAGGGTCTGATTTTTTGAAGAATTGCACATGCTAAATCTCTCAAATCACAGAGGGCGTGCGAAGAGTTTGATGCGCTGCATAAGAAGTGTTTTTCTTCTCTGTTGCAGTTTTTTCACATCTAAATTAGGGATTTTGCGTTCAATTTGGAGCAAATTTTGACCTTTTCCCTGCAAAGGAACTTCAATGCCAAATTGTCTAATTCACAAACACTGGTGATAAAGTCGTGTGCACTTAAAGCTCCAGTGAGAAACTTTAAATTATTAGCATCCTTGTAGATAAAGCAGCCTATATGCTCGTCATAAACAGTGTCATCTGACTAAAAAATCTAATCATGCTGATTCTTTATAGTCAAATGCTTCATTTGTTGTGAGTAATGTATATGGAAATTAAAATTTAAAAAACAGGTCTGTTTCCTCAGCTGATCCCTACCCCCTTACAACAGTTTTACACATTAACAATGAAGATGATCAATCATGTCAGCGAGGGTTTTGTTTGCTTTTGGATGTCATATAAAGGCGTCAATTTGAATTTCAGTCTGTTTCATGTCGAAAACCCCTCACAGGTGCTTTAACTGAGTTCATTTTTCACTGTCTGCTGAGCTGCACTAAGTAAAAGTATGTCGCAAACTAAGTTTAGTGTAACCACAACAACAACTCCAGCTCCAGATTACCTAAAAATTATATATATTTTTACAATCATTCAGTAAACATGACTTTGGCATTAATATTATAATCATATTCAGAGGTTGAGTCAGTGTGGGTCTGCCTGTGCCCCAAATCCAGCATACAAAGGTTTCCACTGGTACAGAGAAGGTCAGGTCCACTTTACTTTTTGGTCTTTCTGACCTTTCTAAACATTCTCTCTCTCTCTTTCTCTCTCTCTTTCTCTCTGTCCCTCTGTTTTTCTCCCGTTCCATTATTCACACTATATTCATACACAGTTGGCAAAACATGCAATACTAATTGCCCGTTAGTACTTATTCTTACTGATTCCATTCATATGGTTATGTCACCTGGAGCAATTTGGGGTTCATTGTCCTGCCTGAGGACACTTTAATACATGACTGCAAGAGCTTGGATCAGAGCTTAGAGCCAGTTAGAAAGGATTGCACTGATCCAAAACTGTCCCTGAAATTCATCCCTGTACATCCCTGTCATATACTAGATAGGAACTTGTAATTTCCACCTGAATAACTACAGGTACAGAGTAGTTCTGCTGGCATCACCAGAAAATAAATATAATTCGTTGGATATGTTAAATGAGGCTTTAAAAGTTCTAATGTAAGGATTACATTGAGTTGTGATATGTCAAGAAAGCATGATGTTGAATGATTCTGGGTCTGAATGGAAGAATTTAACAGTGGCCATAGAGTGACTTCAGTATTTCAGAAGGGAATGATAGTGTGTCAGCAAAATTCGGGCTTCAAAGCACTGCGATAAAAATACTCAGGCTAATTCGGCACACTCTCTGGGAAACAGATTTTATACAAACTATAATCACACAGCATCGTCGACTTGAGCCAAAGAGATAACAAGTTACCTCCCTGTTGTTGTAATATTTTCTTGTGTCAGCAGGTAACAGCCACGTACACATGAATGAAGACAGACAGAGGAGGAGTGATTTTTGCAGAGGGATGGTCTCAGAGCCCAACGTGTTCCTGGACTCCTTCCCGTACCCGGACAACAGCCAGGCCTCTGACACTGTCAGCGTGGACAGCTCTGACAGCCTGGAGACCAGCTTCTCGGCCTGCTCCCCAGACAACATCTCCAGGTCAGAGAGGAAACAAGATGCATACAGATGAGACATTACTTTGAAGAGTCCTGATGGACGAGAATAAATATGAAACAAGGAAGGAAGAGTTGTATTTATAGAAGGAAAGTTGGAATAAAGACTACGGAGGGTGTTCAGGATAGATATTCTTAAAATCAAACAAATAAGAAATCCTGTGTACTCTGTATTGGTGTCAGATGAAATCTTAACATACACAAATTATATAAACGCCCCCTTCATTAAAGGGATATTTGGGTGTAAAATTAATTTAGGGTCAAACACACCGTAACACCGAGTTAGACACCCCCTCGAGAGATGAATGTTGCCGACCGCGAGTTTAGTTAAACTTTTACTCTATTATTCATGTCATCAAACTGGTGTTGAAGTCCCACTACAGCATAAAAACTCAAAACTAATCCTTTTATTCTTATCACTGTATTTGCCGTTGAGATATTTTGTTTATTATGTGATAAAAATAGGTGTGTTCACTCTTTGAATCTCATTCTTTTCACTTTTTATGATATAAATTGTTTTTTTCCCTGCCCCTCAGTGCCAGTATGACTAACATGATGAAGATCGAGGAGATGGAGCGTTTGCTGAGGGAGGCCCAGGCTGAGAAGCAGAGACTTCTTGAATATCGGGTAATGTGACAATCAATCAAAACCCCTCTGTGTACCTTGTGAGTTAAACTGTGGATGACATGAAGACTCTCTGGCATGCGCAGGAGCGAGAGATGGAGATGCGCAGGCAGGCTCTGGAGGAGGAGAGAAGAAGAAGAGAGGATCTGGAGAAACGTCTGCAGGAGGAGACGAGCAGAAGACAAAGACTAGTGGAGAGAGAGGTGAAGCTCAGGGAGAAACAAAGATCTCAGGTATTCAGAAGAACATACAGTAAATCTGTTTCTCATCACAGTTCTCATCGCATAAATGCTTCTTCAAACAAAGAGAAGTACAGTGTTTTATACTCTGTCCACAGTCCCGTCTGCTGACTCGCTACCTCCCTGTAAGGAAAGATGACTTTGATCTTCATGGTCACATTGAGGCAGCAGGACACAACCCAGATGCCTGCTTCCATCTGGCCATCACTGACAAAACCTGCAGGGGATTCCTGGTCAAAATGGGCGGCAAGATCAAAACATGGAAGAAACGCTGGTTTGTGTTTGACCAGAATCGCAGAACACTCACCTACTATGCAGGTGGGTGTGTCTACCTTACAGCTCCCTGTGAGGAAAAGTGTCTGTCACTTTTAAACCAGGCCAAGACAACCATTTAGAGGATACTGGGATTGAGCTTTGACCACAGATTTGTCAGTGCATTTTTGTTTATACTGTATTATATTCTTGTTATATTCTTTGCTGCAGACAAACATGAAACCAAGATGAAAGGAGTCATTTATTTCCAGGCCATAGAGGAGGTGTACTATGACCATCTGAAGAATGCACATAAGGTAAGCATTTTATTTGCATGTTGGTATGTGTGACAGAATCTACAAATTTTCTTTCAATGACATTTTGTTCACATTTTTCTCTCTCCTCCCTCCCTCACATTGCATCACCTCAACCTCTCCTTCAACTTTTTTTCTGTAAACCACATTCACTCCTGCACCCCAGAGTCCCAACCCCTCACTGACCTTCAGTGTGAAGACCCACGATCGGGTGTACTACATGGTGGCTCCGTCACCTGAGGCCATGCGTATCTGGATGGATGTCATAGTAACAGGTGCTGAAGGACACATGCATTTTATGGTGTGACTGACCCTAAGCGATCATCAACAGATCTTTGCTAAATGTTGTGTCACATGAGAAGACTAGCACCACTCTGACTGTCAAAGGTTACATGAAAAAGAGTCATGCAAAGCTGAGACGAATGACTGTCAGGTCAACAAACAAACTTCTGTTTATACATGAAGTGTTTGAAGCCTACAAGGAACACTTATGCTCAAAGTCACACTATATGATACTCCTGTATAACAGCAAAGAATTGATATACAACTTCATAATAAGCTATTTAGGTAATTTTGTATTTTTTATGTAGCACATGTTGCTGAAGCATTCCTAAATCTTGCATCAATATTGTACAAGTTCAGACTTTTCTCCCTACCTACAAATTAACTTGCTCTGCTTTGTTTTGGCTTTTGTACGTTCAAAATTTGATCAGGGAAGCTTTTAAGTATTCAGACACTCATTGTCTGCTGCACTTCATATCTGAGGTACATAGTAATGCTGCTTTTCTGTGACAGATGCCAGTTTGTTTATCGGTCTTTTATGAAGTATGTTCGAGCCAGGGTATCAGTTGTAGGCTTACCTCTGCTTCTTATCCTTCTTCTTCTCTTCTCTCTGTTTCTGGTTGGAAATTTATGTTTCGATGTCTTACATTAGATCAAAACTGATCTTCTGTCAATGTCAGGCTCTCTCACACAGGGATACTGAAGGCTGTGGCTCACAATATCTTGTTTCCTTTCTATATGTTTTTGATTGTAAATCACATTTAATTGCAGTTATTGTCACTAATATTCAAATATAATTGATATATACATCATTTTACATATTTTAGAATATGTTAACTGCTGCTGCTAGACTGTCAGCACAAGCTGGTCTTGTTTAGGTAAATGAAACTGGCCAGTGTCCACCATCAGTGTCCCAAATCAGAGACATCTTCTGCTTTTCTTCACATTTACAAACATAATTAAAGAAGAAGAGATCATTTTAGGCACTTTTTACATAATTGTTATGGGTTATTTGTACTTGTTAGAAAAGAATCTCGTCTCATCAGGAGAAAATGTCATGATCATGATGGTACTGCGTGTACTTGTAGCACTGTGCAGCTAGCTCACTCCATCGATATTAGAGGCTGCAGGCCTGATACAATGAGGCCATGTTGGCAGAAGTGATGCTGAATTTACTGCGTCACTCTCATGTTCCATGAGACTTGCATTATGAGTTTTCACCAGCAGAGGTCCTCAGTGCAGACTTAGTGCACTGAAATGATGTAATGCTCTGTCCTTACTCAGACAAGAGGAGCGACATCAGTGGTCTTGTTTTCCTAATATGCATTCATAAGCACATGTATATTAAGCTGAGATTTGCTTCTTTAAGCAAAATTTGAATCATGAACTTTAGCATCCTAAACATCAAGATATTTTATGTATTCTTAAAACACACTATAAACCCATATGTTTGCCTTTATATCAACTGACTATTAGCAGCAAGCTGATTATATTTTTAATCGAAATGATGTCCTGAACACCAGCTGTTGATCCACAGACTGCAGATTAGGTTGCAGAGCTGATGGTGATATTGAGTTTGTGCCTGTGCTGGATGCCTCTCAGTGAGCAGAGGAACAGTACATCCTCTAACTTTATGCCACAAAAGTCTGAGACCAAATAAGCAACCACATTTATATATATTTGTAATGCGTTTCATATTTTTATGTTGTGAATGAAGAATGGTAATATGAGTGGATGTTATGCTCCAGGGTTTTTACAAATGTCATTTGTACTGTTTCAATATAAATAAGAATAAATAATTTTGATTGTGAACTGTAATTGTGATAAACTGGTTTATTGCCCAGAAAAACCTGATCAAGTTTATAGGGATGAAAAGAAACTTGATGAAAGGTAATGAGTTTTCATGGACATTTGGCATTATTTTGACCTGTTATGTAATGTATTGCAGTGGAAATTTATGGCCTTATCATTAAAGGGCTGCACAAAGCCCCTGCAGCGTAACCGGGAATTTTCACCACATATCTTCTAAATGGTTGTCTTTGTTCAATATCCTCATCTTGAGCTTTAAAAGATTCAATAACACCCTTAAGTCTTTTTAAGTCATCAGCCACAGAAACTCCTCATATACCCCAAACACACACTCCATACATAGAGTGTGCCTCTAGCTATAAATATTATATTATATCTGCTCTACCTCCCTAAAAGTGACAGAGCAGCATTATTAGAAACTTCTCCATCATAATAACTTGATGTGTCCTGGTAAAAACATACATGTAGTTAAATCTGGTCCAATTAGCATGTATACTGTGATTGCCCTCATTAAGGCACTCATGTTTTAAACCCCACCTCTTTCGCTTTCACAGCCTCTCATTGGTTGACCTAGAGGGGTTGGCATGGAAACACAGAATGAAGCATGCTAAATCAGGTTCTGAAGGGGCACGTCGTCGTCGTCTCTCCAGAGGCAGCAGCAGACACAAACACATACAGACCATAGAAAGTGAGGGTGGCCTCAGTGCATTATGGGTGCTGTAATCTGTGTAACATATTCAGGGCAGGGGGCTGGTCTTAAAGACACACAAACAACCAATAAACAGAGGCTGTTGTCACATTTACTTACTTGCATGAAAGCCACATTTCTGAGGAAAATCATGTGAAAGGATGTTGACAAAAGGCGGCTTTCACATTATATGCATGTTTCCTCTTTAAACCTACAGGAATCATTAAGTTTCCTGTAGTAGAGAGCATTAAGTTGATCACTCAGTGCGTTCTCTCATAACCAGCCCCATCTAAGTTTGAAACAGTTCCTAAACTTTTGGACCCCAGACTCCAGGTATTATGAAACAGCTGTGTTGTTTCAGAGCCTCAGGGTCAAATTGTCCTTTCCAGAGAGATGTTTTTACCCTCTGATGTTGGTATCAGCACCTGATGTGGTGAAATCCTCGTGCTTTTCCTGGGCAAAAGATGGCCCTCTTGCAGCCTCTGGCTTCTCAGACTTAACAAAGGTCTTTTTGTTTCACCTCTGCAAAGCTTTTTATTTAAATAACCCTGTGTCCTCTAGTCTCTATTTCTAACACCAGATTCCTTTTAACATTGCCCCATGACTCTTATCAACTTTCCATCCCAAACCTGTGGTTTTACACTCACCATTTGTAGTTTTAATCACCTTTTCTGCTTTTATGCAACATTGTGCAAAGCTTTTATAACATACTCTTCTCTTTTATTCTCTTCAGCAATGCCAAACTGGTGCTGCACTTTCAAATCAAACGATGCATGATTATTCAGCACATCCATTGAGTGCATTTCACACTAAGAATAGCAATGACACACATTCCCAACTCGTTTCCTGATAATAAGGCATGCATGTTAAGCGTTTTCCCTGTATGCTGATTGGCTGGGCTCCACTGACATTCATGTGCTCACTATTCAGGTCACTGAGCTTGGAGTGTGGTGATGTTGGAATTGTGCTCCCATGAGGACACTAGTCTGAGCACAGATTGTAGTAAGATGGTGAGGATCTGTCAGTGAAAATAGAAATGTTTGCCCTTTCTTCTCCGTCTTTGCTCTCATCCTCAGATTTTCTCCCTATTACAGAGTTACATAATTTCTTTCCACATAAGATTAACCAGAGAAAATGTGGTCCTGCTAAAAGCAAAGCTTGTTAATCCTTCTCTATCTGCTCACTTTTCTCATCTGCCTGCCACAAAATGGAAAATGGTGTACTTTACAACTTAAACAAGTCTTGTCTTGCTAAGCACTCATATTATTTTATTGATTAAATAGGAAACAGAACAACATAGATGAGACTATTCACACAGATATTCTTCTCATCTGAGTATAAGTAGGATAAGGATGTGTCAGTGTTCGAGCTGAAGATCTCAAACGTCCACAATGCCATTCACAATGGCCGCAGTCCATTTCTGTGGAAGGAGTTATTTCCTTTCCTTCCTCGGTCTGTCCAATAGTTCACAGTGAGATCTGATCCGTTACATATGAGCAGGCAGACAAACAGGCGCTGTACAGTTCTACAATTTGTGCAAAAGATAATGGCACGTTTTTCTGCTACATACATCCAGAGATAGATGTGGAATGTAAATTTGGTTGTTTTGCATTGAATTTATAGAGCTCCCGTGGTTCTTCTTCTTTTACGATAAATAAAATGTAAAGGGACTTGTTGTTATCAAAGAGACTTCCTGGAAAGAAAGACAAAAAGATTTGACGTTTCCTACAAAAAGTGGACGTAACAAAATTTAAAAGCACTGTAGAAAAGACCGGACAAATATTGAGAGTCTGTAGGAAAAGCACCCTTTAAAAGGCACTCCCCCATGATTTGTTTGTGTGTGTGTCTGTGTGTGTGACTGTGTGTGAATGTGTGTGACTGTGTTCCCAGAAGACCTTTTAACTTGCTTATCCTGTCAACCAATGCTGCCGCTGCTGTGTGTTCAGGTGTGACCCTGAAACCCTTTCCTGAGAGCATGTCCAGTTTGCTCAGCACCACAGAGCCGGGCTCTCTGCTTCAGATCCCTGTGGAGATGTTTTGTGCTTGAGAGCTGTCTGGATCCTTGACTCTGTATCTGTTGCTTGTTGTGACATGAAGCCAAGAGATGACAGACAGACAGTCCAAGAAGTACAGAATAGAAGTATGAGTTAAAAAAGATGCATGTGTTGATGCATTGGGGGAAAAAAAGCAGTCAAAGCCATAATCTGTATCCTCAATGGGTCAGTCCATGTATTATTTTTTTATCTGGGTGCCGCCACCTACAGCTGCAGGTTTAGTTCCAACCCTGCGGACAGGGACCTTTGACACTGGTATTTTCGTGCGTGGTGGTTCTTTAGCTTGAGGGATCTGCGAGGCACCATGCTTCACAGGGATCTTGGAGTCACGCGGTAAACTGGTGATAACTTTCTGCTGCTGACTCTCCTCTTGGCTGTGTTTTGAGGTTGGCACATTCACCTCACCATCTCTGATCTTATCTTTGATTTCTGCATCATGTGAGTTGAAATTTGGCCTCTCTTCCTCTTGCACTGGAGTCGGTGGGTCCCTGCTTGTTTCATCATCCGGATGTTGACTATCCCGAACAGGTAACCTGCCAGCTCTGCCCCCTCCGACCACAGGTATTTTGCTTAGTCCGGATGCCTTTGCTTGTGGCGTCTTCTTCTCTCTCTGGAGGCTCGCTCGTGACTCATTAGGCAGCTCTGCTGTTTTGTCTGCCACCATCTGACAACTCAGGACATCTGTGCTACTTGGACTAGAAAGCTTCTCATCCACTGATGCCTGTTCACGTCCTCTTGTCTGAGCAGAGACTGAGGCCTCACTCTGCTGGGATGGAGGGGGAGAAGAAAAAGAAGAAGAAGAGACGGGGCATGGGGCAGGGGTGGGTGTAGAAGGGGCTTTAGAGTGAGAAAGTTGAATCTGAGCGGGTGCAGGAGCAGGAGTGTCTTTGGATACAGAAATTTGGATTGGAGCAGGAGTATCTTTAGAAACAGAAACTTGGACTGGAGCAGTAGTTTCTTTAGAAACAGAAACCGAGAAAGAAGCTGGAGGGTCTCTAATTACAGAAACTGGGATCTGAGCTGAAACAGGAGCAGGAGTGTCTTTAGGTATAGAGACTGGGATTTGAGCTTGGGCAGGTGGGAGTTTGGATTGAGTAACTTGAGCAGAAACAGGAGCAGGAAGGTCTTTAGATACAGAGACTGGGATCCGAGCAGTGAGAGGAGTATCTTTAGATTGAGAAATTTGCATTTCTGCGGCAGCAGGGACATCTTTAGATCCAGGAACTGTTGCAAGGGCAGAAGGACCTTTAGATTGAGAGAGCAGGGTCTGGCCCAAAGCAGAAGGTGTTTGGGATGGCACAGCAACACCAGGATGACTGGCAGGGACTGGAGTTGTTGTTGGAGCAGGTGCCGCCTTATCTAAAGAGACTGGTGCAGGAGGGGGTTTATAGGCAGGAGGGAATTTGTCAAGCGAATATGAGGGAGGTGCGGCAGATGCAAGGGTTGGTTGGGTCTTAAACGTAGAAAAAGTCGAAGTAAGATCTGGGACAGTTGCAAGGGGAGTAGTCGTCCTGGTTATGTCAATTGAGCTGGATGTAAGTTGGGGCTTGGAAAGTGCAGGAGATACTGAGCTTGAGGTTGTAGTTGGTGTGTGGACTGTTGTCATCTTAGGGGGGAATACAGGTGCAGGAGAGGAGGGTTTGGCCGCCAGAGTACTGGCCAGTGACTCTGCCGCCGGTGATTTAGATTCTGCTGTGACTGAAGTCGTGAAAGGTTTGAAGGAAGTGGAAGTTTGCAGGGCAGAAACCCCAGATGAGTCTGATTTGATAGGTGGATGTTGGGTATTAGAAACAGGAGCTGGAGGGCTATGGGTTACTGGAGGTTTTACTGGGGCAGGTGTAGCTGCAGGGCTGAGTTTACTTACTGAAGTAGGAAATTGAGGTGGTGCAGCAGTCTCTGAAGCCAGTTTGCTAATGGTAGAGGTAAGAGTTGGACTAACTGAGGGAGGTTTGACTACAGTAGCTGGGGTGTTTGGAGGAGCTATGGTTGCAGTAGAGGTGGTGCTCAGTGTGGATTTAGTTGTCAATAAAGGGGAAGACATTTTTGAAGCTGAGAAGCTTGTAAGCACTACAGGGGTAGTGCTGGTGGAGACTGGAGCATAGTCCGAGCTCAGTTTAACTGAGTGAGTGGTCAAAGTGGAAGATTTGGTCAGTGTTGTGATGATGGTGCTCGGCTTGGCAATGGGAGAAGAAGTTGTAGATGTCTTACTCAGAGGGGTAGGGGATTGGGTTGAGGCTACAGGAGAGGGTTTTGCCTTGTCCACAGTACTAACAGAGGTAGAAGTCAGCGGGGAGGAGATGGAGGGTTTGGAGAAGAGAGATGTGGATGATGGTGTGACATCGGTCACCACAGCACTGATGGCGCTGCTGGCTTTTCCCCACTCTGCCTCCACATCAGCCATGATATCACCTCCAGAGATTGATTCAAAGGTCAGGAGAGAGGAGATGTCTGCCAATAAGGAACTCAGGCTGTTATCACCAGGTACCAAGGGGGGTTCACAGTCAGGAAGGGGCGGCACATGCTCATTAGTACTACTCACATTGCCTGAAGTCTCCTCGGGAGTTTCGGTGTCTGACGGGCTCGTTGCTGTTACACTCCTGATAGGCTCAGTAACTGGGCTGCCCAAAGAGCGTGGCTGGGATTTAGGGGTCAGGGTGAGGTCCTCTTTGATGATTTCCACACTGTTGGCGCGGGATGACATGAGGAGTGGGCTCGGAGGGGCTTCCTCCTTGTCCTCTTTGTCTTTTGATCGAAACTTCACATTGCCAAAGAGACCCTTCAGCCCACGTCGTTGCCGACCCACTGGCTGGGACACAGTGTGGGCTCGATGGTCCCCCATTCCTCTCCGCCCTCCTCTCAGTAAAGACAGGAAGCTGAGGGACCTGACAGAGCTGACTGAAGAAATAGAGGTGCGAGGAGGGGCGGCAGCCAGAACGCCATCTTCACTGAGTGGCTCTTCCTCTGCCTGCTCCCTCTCTCCTTGACTCACCTCATGTCCTTTTTCCTTGTCTGAATCCTGCTCTGAATCTGGGCCAGCCGTCTCTGATAATCCATCCAGGGTTTTGCCCGTTTTAACAGGTGACTTGTTGTTTTCATCTCCTTTGTTCCGGATAGAAAAGATGTTACCTGGCTTGCGCTTGCCAAACAGCTTGAATCCTTTCCTGATTTTTCCACTCGACTGTGTCTCACAAGGCGGGGGGTCCGTGCTCTCCGTTTGCAAATCCATCTTTTATCTTCTGCCCCCTACCTCTGTATCCCCCTAGTAGTTGTTACAGTTTATTACTTCCAATTCTTCAGCGATGAGAGCATTGATATCCAGACCGTAATTCAATCTGCGTCTGAATCCTCGCTCTACCTCAGATTCTCTCTGTGTGTTTCTTTATCGGCTGTCTGTAACCCTCCCTCTCTCTATCTTTCCCATCCAGCCCTTTCTCCTCTGTTTCTCCCTCCAAAGCCCCTCCCCTTTGCCTCGTTTTTGTCTGGCTGCTCTCCACGGTTGCCATAGCAACAGAGGAGCTAAGCAGCTTTCGTCAGCAATGCAGAGCCAGGGGCCATCATCAACTCACCCTGAATGCAGCTATCTCTTCTTCTCTGTCTGATGACTTTGTTTATATAAAGAGTAGCAATGATTTCTCTATTAGCAGTGATATAATCCGAGTCATGAATTTTAAATGATCTGACTTCATGAATTTATTAAACCTCCCATCTGCATTTGTGTAATGTACCTTAACACGGAGCTTGATATTCATATAATCTTTCATTACAAATAAATTGCAAATCAATTCAAAGTTGCTCCACTGTCCACAGCAGATTATTGCAAAACATTCAAAGTTTAAAGATTTATTTTAATAAAATCAAACTTGATGAATGACTACAAACTAGAAGAGAAAAGTGACGGCAGTGTTACCTATCTTGTCCACTGAATTTACAGCAAACTACTTGCAAAGCAAATTTGATCACTCCCATAAAGTGTAAATGTTGATAATGTTACCGTAAAGTCAATTTAAAGTGATCAAGGGCTCAACTTTTTCAGAACATCTGACCAGAGGTAAGGTCTTGAAATTAATTAAGACACTCAGTGTGTTTATCTAAATTTGAAGGAGTGACAAAGAGAAGAGGAGGACTAAAGGGGAACTCTGATTCATCCTCTTACGACACAGTGTTTGAACCGTTACTTATTGTTAATCTTTTTTAGATGATTGGTTCTCCTCTGCATGTAAAGCATCTTGTAGTTGATCACAAATGTATATGTGTTTTGCTCAACAAGCAGTTATGAGTAACCATCATTAGTCATTTTGAATAAAGAAAGCTTCAACAAAATTTTTGACAATGTTAAAATATATATATATTAATCAGTTTGAATTAATGATTGAAAATAAGCATCAAACCTTTTCAAGTCAAATATAATACCCCATAAAACATATATGAATGTCTTGAATAAAATCAAAGCTTAGGTTTTTTTGTAGATAAGAGATGTTAGTTAGAGAGGCAACTGAACGGTCCTCGTTGATGCATGGTGAAGTATGGCCTCTGGTGGCAGCTGAAGAAAAGGCATGCAGCACAGTTTGTCGACGGCTGTAAAATGTAAAACAAGTCTTAAAATAAAGCTGCTGCCTCATCTGCATGGATTCCCTGTCCCAAATAAGTAAGTGGGTCAGCGGTCTTTGATCAGATCATGCTGGTTTTGTGCGCAGTTCTCAGACACAGTAAGTGGTTAAAACAGCTCATGAAAACAGCATGATGTGATCACTGACACAGTAAGTGGTTTGAGGGATTGATTGGCATGAGGTTTACACTAAAACCAAATTTATTTATTTTTTAAAGATGTATTTTTTCTGGGCTTTTCAGGACTTCATTTTAGAGAGGATTGAACAGTGAACAGAGCAGGAAATATGGTGAGAAAGTGGGGATTGACATGCCAGAAAGGAGCCACAGGCTGGAAGCAAACCCAGGCCGACTGCTCGAGGCACAACCTCTGTATATGGGGCGCCCCCCTGGACAGCTAGACCAGCAGTGCCCTGACTGTAACCCAGTTTCAATGCGTAGTGTGCCAATAACCAACCCCTAGTACGGTAAATGAATAAACCTCTTTATTAAAAGTATGCATATTTAAGTGCTTAGATCATAGTGTAAGTACACAAAACATGGACCCTGTAATGAACATGCATAACAAAGAGATTATGATCAGAACATAATGCCCTCTATAATAATAAAAATAAAACCAAAAATGACATCAGATGTCTTGGGACTCACTTTGCTCCCTTTACACACATTATCACGCACAAATACACACAGCACAAATAAATAGATGTAAATGTTTACTGTTCTCTGGGTCCAAATGACCAGATGGTCCATTTTTGACTTGTCATTCTCTCAGTGGTTTTCACAGTGTGGCATTTATAGATGCGGTATGCTGAAAATGCTTATTTTGTCCAAAGGCTATTACTCTCCTTAAGAAAAGAATTAGAGGCAGCAAAAAACAAATCACTGCAATATCCCCAATAACGTCTTTGTTTTAGGAAATTAGTCAAGCTTAAGGGCCTGCACCCACTAACGTTTTCTTTTTGTTTGTTTGTTTTGTGCCCAGAGCTTCAGGTGCTCTTAGTCACTGCGCATAAATTGCTTTCAGTCAATAATAGTTTAACACTGCAACAGTTGTAAATGTCAGTTCTCCATCGCTGATCAGTCAAAACCTGGACAGAGTGGGACCACTGATGTAAACTTTGTCAACAACAATGTTGGCGGTCCGTACAGAGGAGATACTAACTATACTTGTTTTATTTTTGTTTGTTTGTTTGTTCAATGGGAATATCTGTAAGTGAAATTTGGTGTACCAGCCCTTTAATTTCCATCTACTGACTGAAATAAATTTTATTGGGAGCTCCTGGAAGGCAAAATAAAAGGTCCTAAGTCAACAGAGAAGAGATGTCTTCCTCTAATATTTGTGTGAATGAGGTAAAATGTTCCAACAAAGTAAAACAGTTCGCTACAACCACGACTGACTTCTCGATGATCTTTCAGGTAAGATGATGTGATACGTCCGTCTTCATTGATGACTCCAGCACTTTAACGGTCTCTGTGTGTTTAGACATCATGCTCCACCAGAGCAGCCTGAGTCAGAGCAACTTCAGCGTTAACGTTGTTGTCGTGCTCTTCAGGAAGGAGTTTATCGTACGTGCGTCGGTACAAAAACCTACATACTAGGGTGATTATGAACATCTCCATGATCATCATCTGTTGACTCAGCACTGCAGGACAAAGGGAACGAGAATCAGGGTTTCAGATGATTATTTTACCTCAGATATCACAGGCTGATGCAGGTGGACTTTCAAGAAATGTTTTCTTACATGATCCACGAGCTTGTGAGGAGAAAGGAGGAGCACAGGCGATGGTTCCATCCAGTGCCAGGATGTTAATGATTGATGTCTGCAGCTGACTCAATACAAGCACTAACTGAGGTGAAAAAGAAGATGAAGTTATGCTCTGTATTTACAGTAAACACGTAGTGACATATGAAAGGCTTCTGCAGTTTAGTTGACGTATCTTCATGATCTTCAAGATTTGGATTAAATTTAAAGTATAAGTAGGACTTAAAATGAGGACTTTGTTATTGTTAAGTCAAGAAATAAAGCAAAATTCATGATTTTCAATCTTATGTTTGGATCTGACTTCAATAAAGCACACATGGTTGTGTTAACTTACTTGATACATGGCATACTTGGGTACTATGTTGAGGCCGCGTAAATAGCTGTTAGAGTTCATGAAGACGATGGCAACAGGCCAGAGGGAAGTGATGGTGAGGACGCCAATGAATGGGTTAATCCAGATGGCTGTACCAGTGATCTCGAGCTGAAAATCAAGCAGAAATTCATTTTCCAAGTCATGTTATGTTAATATTCAGTACAATCAGATATGTTGGGTAGAGATGCAGATATAAGCAGATATTTGGAACAATCTATGGACTTTGTTTAAACTGCAAAAAATAGTTTGAATGACAAAAACTGTTTACATCAGAGAGATCGAAGTTTCCATTTGTCCACAATACCACAGAGACGACTGAGAGCACTGTCTTTAAGATGGCATATTGAAGAGCACCTATCTTCAGCCAGAATAACAATCGCCTGAAAGATTAGGAGCAAGAAAAGACCACATTAGCAAAGTCCACTTTATAAAGACAATAAGCAATTAAAAGAATGTATGCATATATATATATATATATATGCATAAGAGTGGGATTAAATTAATAGAAAAATCTGAATTTATAAGCAATAAAGGGCACAGTCTGATCATTGGGATCAGGGCAGCAACACCCAGCATGCCCTTCAATTATTTGGGATAAATACCGTGTCATGGGCACTCGGGGTAAACAGGGGCAGCAGCAGCAGCAGGGTCCTGTGTTGATCCTTACGGTTTTACCAGAAAACAGCTCCAGGTACTTATGGGTTCCCCCTAACTCCTCGATCATCAGAACCAACACTTTATACACCACGACTGCAAAATAACTACACACAGACAAAGAAGTCATCATGTTAGTGTATTAATACTCAGTATGTTGTATAAAAACTGAGCTTTTATAACAAAAAGGACAAACTACAGTTTTATTTGTTTGTTTTTTAAATCAGATTTAAACACGCGACTCTTGACGCAAGGGGGCTTATCAAAGCGAACTGGTCGATGGTTAATGGATTTTGACCTTGTTAAATGTGCGGCTCTGTATATGCTGGGCAGAAATCCCATAAACCAGAAAACGCATAAAATTTATTACCATACATGGCCAAATCCTGTAAAAGCCTTTTAGGAACATCACGCTCCTGCTTTATGGGGACGTTCAAGGCCACAAAACTCTGTTTTATGTGGTCGTCCTTTAAACGGATTTCACTCAGCGTAGGTGTACTTATGATGACGGCCTGGTTGTTTTAAAGCTAAATTTGTTGATTCTCAAAATGCTATAATGAATTTCCCTTTGGGGATCAATAAAGCTATTGTATTGTTTTGTACTGTATTGTATAGTAAAAGGAGAGATAAATGATAAAGATAGGTTGTGAGAACCTTGACACTTAGATAACAGAGATGATGAATTTGATATGAAAGAGGACACAGCTACTGGTCGAAGCTTTTAGATAACAGGAAACAAAGAGCAGTGGTAGGCTGGTTAATGTAAGTATAGGAAGATGATGCAAGTGAGAACACCAGTAAAAAGTTAGGTTTTTTTTACATCTAAGAATAGATCCATTGTGGTCTTGACTGCCTTGATAAACTGATTTTATTTTGCTTGCTCAATAATGGCACGGTTTAACTGAGAAACAACATACCAGTTAGATGTCATGTCAGTGATCATGACTGCCCTTGGGATCCACAGCCCAAAACAAGACATGGTGGCAATGACCTGCAAGCCAGAGAGACGTTCACTGAAGATGAATACATTTGATTTTTTAATAGCATTCAAAAACAAATCTGAGTCTAAATAAAACAGGATCGTTTTCATTAATTTTTTCCTCCTATGAGCTTTAGACTATTAACAATCATTATAACTGTAGGAATTTAAGAATTAGCATTAATTAAAAACCAGACATAAATACTCACTGGTGCTGCACCATTCACCCACATGATGGTGGTCTTCTTGGGGTAGGGTAAGTGTTTGTAAATGAAGACACACTGCTCCAGATACAGCACCAGAGAAATACAGGACATGAGGGTGAGCATGGCGTACAGGCAGAATTCAAACGCATCCATCTCTGATGTCAAAGAGAGCAGAAAGGGGCAGAAGTTTTATTTAATGGTAAGTTTGAGACACTCCATGTAACAGCACATTATGGAATTTACTCTGGTAAAAATTCACCAAAAGAGGCATCTCTTTACAGTTTGGTTTTAATATTGATTTACTATTGACAACATAGTTCAATACTGTTGATTCTTCTGTCCCTGCAAACGTCTGTTTTGCTTCTCAAGGGGGATATCACAGCGGGGCTGTACTTAGCCCATAACAACTTTAGTATGTCAATTTGATATTTGATATTTGATACCCACAGATTTGACCCAAACCAGAGCCTAGAGCATGTCAATGGACCTCTGCCATCAGCATTTTTAATGGCATCCACATTATCGTTTATGAGCCCAGAAAACTACTCACAAACCCGGCTAAACAGTAGGCCACCATGCAATATAATACATTGAAAGTGATTTGATAGACAAATAAAAAATCAAGTTGCCGCTCATTTGCACAATTAAATTTCCTGTCCTTGTCAAAGCTCTGTCAGCTTTTATGTCTGTATTGCATTGCCGCCCCATTATTACTTGCACCACTGAATCCAGTTTGTCAGAGTTTAACATTTAACCCCAGGTTATAAACTGCAGCAAACTCTAGAATTAAAACTGCTTTATGCCATGTCTTTCATGGTTAGACATATTTTTATCAGTTCATAATTTATTGTGAAGTTGTGTTGCCGTTTATTAAATTTTTCATGTTTTCTTAAGAGAGATTAACAACCTGAGTGAGCCTGACTGATTAAATGATGAATTAATAAATTCAAAATATTACATTCAAGATTCTCAACAAACCACATGAGTTAGTTGTTAATTTGTCAGATTGGTGCGGTAAAGTGTTATCAGCAAGCAGGATGTTTTGCCGTGGCTCACTTACGCTTTATCACGTCAAAGGCTAGTGGAGGCTCCTGTAAACAAGCCGGATCGATGGTGCTGTTTAGCGATTCCTCCATGGTGTTCAGATTGTCCATCACGAAGGCTGAATTTCAAACTTTCTTTTGTTGCATTCACCAATGTGTCCTCCTCAAAGAATCGGTCTTTCCTTCACATTGCAGTGTCAGCCGTAGACTCCAGAGACAGCAGGTGTTGCTTTCCCTCTTACGGTGACTTAAGGAGCAAAAGTTGGATGAGACACTCCGAGCTTACAAAGTTTATGAGAACCACTCCATAAGTAACTTGTTGCTCATTCATTCACAGAGTCACAGTCATTAAAATAACACAAAGGTCAGGGTTTAAGTTAAAATATGAGACCTGTGGAGTAAGTCACAGCAGGTGAACTTTGACAGGGTGTGTAGTTTCCCTCTCTGTAAATATAAAAGGCATTAAAGATAAAGAAAATTGCCTCAAGGTCATGCTCTGAGTAATAGAAATATTTTATAGTCGAGGTCATTCACCTTAATGAGGCGACACATGCAGCACAATGAGGCAAATTAATTGACAAAGGTGTCATTGGTGTTTAAGTAAATCTGTTGAAGCCAAATAATTTTTTACAATAAATGTTTTTGTTGAGCAGATAAAAGATCATAAAAGTCAGTGTATTTGGTGGAGTGAGACGTTGAGCCTTTAATGTGAGGAAATATTTGATGTACCAGTTCTCTTGATTGTTTCCAGCAGCACATTAAACTGCATATTCATCTACTTCATTAAATCTCAGGGGCAAATATAGCACTTTTTACTTCACCACATTTGGCACCTTTGAGGCTGAAAAGCAGCTTCAATTGTATCCTTCTTTATTCATTTATATCTGAGAATTAAGCATGTTTTTATAGGATAAGAAAATTCTCTTTTAATTTAATGAAAAAACTCACTTTTATAGAAACTTCATTATTTGACTTAAAAACAGCTTGACAATTTTATTGATAAACTGTGAAAGATTTTACCACGAAATGATATATAAAGTGATTCAAATACAAAAACTCTGGTAAGAATCACCAGCAGGTTTTTATTTAGAATTATACTCTGTATAGTTATAGTACATTTTTAATAATCACCAATTTTTAAACTTAAGTAGTAATTTTACACAGCAATGTGCCTGCTTTTATAGATTTGAACTGAACAATATTTGGTTTGTGTGATGGCTGTTGTTTTCAGATGGTCTCTTTAACACAAGAATGAACACCAGTGTTGTACCTGTCATGAAAATTACACATAGAAACTGATTATTTTTATCTTTTTTCACCTGTTTGTTTTTTTTATTTTTTAGAAATTTTTTAAAGTGTCCAACACAATACTGTAACAGAATCACTCAAGAAGCTTTCACACATTCACAAGACTCCTGCTGCCAAAGCTGAGTGTTGACACTTTATCTGTGACATGCTAATGAACCGGGGTGAACGACCAGAGGTTCATTCACCTCTTCCCTTGTTGCCCAGTAAGTCCTGTTCACGCCCACCATGTTCAGTGAAACACAACTGTAAATGTGTCAGCCTTGATGAGATGGGCAGTCTTGTGTCACAGCGAGACCAATTACTTTTATATATTGATGTTGTAAATTGCCAACAACACATAAACTTCATCTTCAAAGGTTTTCCAAACATTTTGGACATTATTTCCTGTGTGATACATTAATTAGTTTTATGAATTTTGTCACTTCAATGGGAGAATCCCTTCTTCCACAATGTTTAATTGTCCAAGTTTGATCATGTTTTGAGGAAATATGAAGTTGTTGTAATGTGCTAAGAGAGCTGTAGTTGTGTTTTTTCAGCTAACTGTCACGGGAACCACCACACAAAACAGGCCTAGGCCTACAGCTACAGTTTCAACACTTATTTTTAATAATGTTAAGAGCCCATATGGTTTAGGCCATCTTATACCATTCATCTGATTTGAATTCAAGAAAATGGCTTTGAGAGCTGGTAACAGCTAAGCAAAAAAAAAAATCAATTTCTTTGATTTGTGGCAAGAGATGAGTGTTTTTGTTGTTGTTGGTTTTAAGTTCTTAATCATTCTACATGAACAATCTTACCTTTTTAAAAACACAGGTGTCTTATTTAACAGCCTTTTCTACAGCAACCAGTCACATTAGTAAACAGGCTATTGTGAGGTTAGTTGCCAGAATTGTTCAAAGAACCATTCATCTTCCACTGGTCTATGACGTCAAGCTTATCAGTCCAGGTTAATGCTAATGATCACAGTGAACCTTTATGATGGTATCTTTTCAGAGTTTTATTGTGTTCTCATTTTGCCCTCCCAGTCCAACTGGTAAACAAATCTAATAATCAAACTGGAGCAACAAGTGGAAAGAACACAGATATTAATCATTGGCATTAACACCCGAGAGTGATTAATTAAAACATAAATACATAAAGTGGCAAAGGATTGATCATAACAGTGACAACTTCTGTGGACAAGAGAAACAATGACAATAATGGACATCTATACCTTTAAAAAAAAGAAAGAAAGAATAAAGTAAAGCTGTATATAAAGGTTCTCATTCATCCAGGTCATAGTAATTCAGGAATTATTCTAAAATGACAACTGAACTTCTTAGGTGATCTTGAAGACCCTGCAACAGAGGGCTCAAGAGGTGCCTACAAGACACCGATGATGTGCTCTAGAACCAGTCCCCTTAGACCTGCAGAAGCCTTTTGGAGAAGAGGCGAAACATCTTCAAGATCACCAAAGAAGTCCAGATGCCATTTTTAAAGAATTCCTGAATTAAAGTAAAGCAAGATATTGAAAGTTTTACAATTTTCTGACTCCAACAATTAAAAAAAAAACACTTAAAGAAATAAATTATAAATATAAATAAAGCATTGAAAAATGGCAAACTCATTTACAGTTGTGTTGCATTATATAAAGTCCACTGGTTTGATAATCAAATAAATGAAATAAACATTTAAAATTAGAATTTAACAGTAGTTAAACCTGATTTGGTCCTAACATTAAAAGCTCTTATCAGTTCCATGTGCAACCACAGTATAAAATTTGAAATGTAAAAAATAAATATCTTACAAGTGTAAACAGAAAGACCATAAGATTCCTAATCATGTAAACTGTGAACTAAATAAGACAATGTGATAATTGAATGCTGGGATCTTTATCTGCACTGTGCCTGACTCTCAAAGTGATAAAGCTCAATCTGCTGACATGAGCCTTTTGTGGGTATTATCACAGATTCTGGCTTCATCAGCTCCTCATTAAACTCCACCAGATTTATTGCTTAGTTATTAATGCTTCATTAATAGTGAACAATGATTTTCTTGTTTAAATGTTTAAGGTTATCATTAATCCATGTAGATAGACACAGATGATGGAGTTGTACATCAAGTCCAGAGAGAAAAGCAGTCTTTGAGTTTTCAGATGCAACAATAGCGCAACATCACGTGCATGTCTTTGGCTTAAACAGAGACAAAACCTGTGAGTCACCTCTGCTTCAGGCTTGTTCAGTCTAAGAGCTTGTTGTACAGTCTTTGATGTGTTCTTTTGGTGCTAATCTAAGCACACTTGATAAAAGACGGTCCTTTTAAAATATGTGCAAAACCATGTGGCTCGCGGTTACGGCTCCACCAGGATGCTGATGCCTCTGGCTTAAGGCTACACAGTTCACAAGCTTTTTCGCTGATATGAAGGAGACCTGCAACAAAAGCCAACAAAACACAGTTGAACATAGGAGGAGATCAGAAAAGTACAACTCAACAGCTAAATGATTTCTGTACACACACCAACTATGGATCGCCCTCCATCGTCACAGAGACTGTCTGGCCTCCGTCTGAAAGAAAAAATGAAGGACACAAGAGAGGATTCAGGAGCCGGCATAGCTGTCTTTTTGAGCAGAAATAAATATGAAAAGCTGTATACAATCAAAATTTTAAAAAAATAAAAAAAAAAACAGAGGTTCAAACATACTGAATTTGTCTTTGCTGTCATCCACTGGGTGCTGTATGTTGTTTCCAAGCACAGAGGGTTTGGCCTCCCCGTCCACAGGGCTGTATTTAAAGTCACATTTAAGATTATCACCAAACACAAACTGAACAATTATGTGTTTTTTATTTCAGAAGACAAAAAAATTGACCAATACTAGCCTTTTGCCGTTCTGGTGCAGTATACTGTTCGCTTGCTCAGGATCTATGTGCACCAATCTGGTAACAAAAGAATGTCCATCTCCCAGACTTATTAGACAAAGACAAGAAGAGCAAAAGGAAACAGGTCAGTGTAGAACACATTCATGGTTAATTGTGATTTCTCAATATTTTTATTTTGGGACCTCCACAACTGTGATACATGCATGTGTGATAGCCACACTGGATAACGTGCTGTATCAGTCATAAGACCTAAAAGGCGCATGCATTCACCTCTCCCTTGTTGTCCAGGGTAAATCTATGATAAACATTTGAAAATCATACAGCCCTTTATTTAAACAACCACTGACTGCTGTGCAGGGAGTGTCTCTATCCCTGTCACATGACATGACACCAGAAAATGCTTTATTAAAAGAGACTAATAAAACTGCACTTTCCCTCTTGTCTAGGTTCTTGTTAATGTTGTGGGCACACGTAAAGATTGTAAAACCAACAGGACCACTATGTGTTTACTTCCAAAACATTGTGGTGATAAGGAAGCAGAAAAATGGATTACTAAATAGTAGTAATGATTATGTTGTTGAAATGTAATTGTTTTCAAACACTTAAAAGGTGCTCAAATTTCTAAAAAATTTCATATCCCAATTTATATTGCAAAAAGAAAAAATCTCAACCCTGCTTTGCTTCATGAAAAAGCTTTAACACCATTGATAACTACTGAAATCTTAATCTGCAAATACAGTTACTCAGCTCTGAGCACAGTGCAGACTTAAGACTAGTACTGCCACTTTTCTTAGTCCTTTTTAATTGTTGAGACAAATCATAGCTTTAGTTTGATCAGGTCAGCTCAACAAAACTCACCTTGAGAAAACAGGAAATATCCAGTAGTTCGCTTGATCTCCAAACACCTCAGCTGCATTTCTCTGAAAGCCCAGAGAAAACCCATTTTTATCTGGACCGTTAGTGAAGACAGGAGCCCTGAAAGCCTCTGAAAGAAGAAATACAAAGAACTAGTGGTGACCTTTAAAGGTTATAACCAGGAATTGCATAAAAAGTTATGCGTTTTAGAGCTACCTATTGTGGTCCTGTTCTTCCCCACGAGCCACAGATGGTAGCTGAAAAGTGACAGGATGCTGATGAAGAACATGGCCGCTACAAAGAACAGGAACAAGATGTGGAATTTGGCATGCGTGTCAGGCAGCTGTTTCTGAAGACAGAAAAATAAGTGATTTTAGCCTCATGCATTGTGTCCAGCCGTCTTTATCTGAACACTGACAAAAACATCAGTACCGAGGAAGACTTCAACAATTTGTATTTTCTTCCTTCTGAACAATATTTCCTCTTTGTCTTGGCACTGCAGCACAATTTATTCCTTCATTGTTGGACTAAGTGAGAGGAGCTATTGTCTCATGCAAATAAGAGTTCTGAAGAGGATCTCCTGATAAGACGTCACATGACACTTGTACTCTACAGTGTCACATCTGTAAACCAATAAGAGTCGGTCTTACGATGCAATCACAAGTGTCTGGTCACATGCGTCACCACAACCTGCCCACACTTGACGTTTAACCACCAGATAAAATCAAGTAACTGCCATGATGTTCTGGTGTAAACAGCAATATATCTTTAGAAAACCCCAAACAACTGCAAAAAAGGTGAAGTTTGTACACTTACAGTCCAGAACTTGATGAAATACTGGATGACTGTGGCACAAATGACCGCACAGTAGAGTGAGGCATAGGCCAGAAACAAGACAAAAAACTTGTAGTTGGAGAATCCGACACAGTTATTCACCCTAAAGGGGAAAATTACAGAAACATGAGACTGGTAAAGAATATGAATACTGAACTTTTTACTTTTCAGTGTAATCAATTCAAAAGCTTTTTAATTGCAAAGTGAGAAGCCAAAAGCCTACCATGGGCAGTGATGGTCCATTTTCAGCACACACCTCCAAGAATGACAGAAAGGAAAAATTAAATCCTGTTAGAAAAAAGCCACCACCTTGAACCATTTATTCTTTCTCAACACAACACATTAGCATTTTTAATTTTGATTTTATTTCTACTCTGAGGAAAAGAAATTTTAAAAATAGAAACAACGAGCCAGAACTGTTACGTGAATGACTTGGCAAAAACTTACATCTCACAGGTGGAGCAGTGATGGCAGCGGTCAGGTTTGATTACCTGGCAGTGGTCACAGTATCTGATGGCTATTTAGAGAAAAAATAATGAATTAGTAACCGTGTTAGACTGCTGATTCTTTTCATTTTTTAAAAAAGGCATTTTTTTAAGTGATTAAAGTCTCATTCAGTTCAAAGTCGCAAATTTTTCCTCCAAAGTAGAATTTGAGGCACATTTTTTTCTTGTAACTCTGCAGACTCTTCTTTTGATTTAAAAAAAAAACCCACAATTTTCCAAAAAAATGTATCATGTACAGTATGTCGTCTTTTTGTTTGTGCTTCAAGGTTCAGTATAATCAGAGATGTGAAACCAAGCAAATGAGATCATTATTGTGAGTGACAAAAAAAAGGTAAAGTGTAGTCAAAAGAGCAAACAAAGACCAAATTATCCTCCTCATAAAAGCAGATCTGTAAAGCCAAGACAGGTAAGTTCGGTTTCCCTGGTAGTGGACAAATAATGACTTTCACCTAAACCTTGGGAATAAGCACTAAACCCTCACAGACATGTCTGACATTGTACATGTGAAAATACTTCAGAAATAATAAGCAGGACATATCTTCATGCCAGCAAGCACCACAATGTGGAAAACTGAATAAAAAGAAACTCAAGAAATGTGAAATAACTCTCAAGTTTTCACCTGGTGGATTCCTCTACAACAGTATTCATACTTGGTTTGTGTTCATTTTGCGCAGGACAGAAAAAATCACCTACTTTTCCAATGACCCTTAAAAAAACTGCAGATATGCACATTCACAGTAAGTGTACCCTATTGCACCAGCTGACGTGACAGCTCTGTGCCCTTGAGCTCTTAGCAGAAACTGTTAAGTTTGAAATGAGGTCAAAAATAACTTTCTTTTTCAATTTCTTTTTTTGCTACCAAGATAAAAACAGAGTTGTTGTTTTTTTCTGTCCAAAAGAGGAAGACAAAGTGTGGCAACACATTTGCGCAATTTCCTCTACACTGCCTCTGTTGTGTTTTTCACATGATCGTCAAACACTGCAGTATCTCTGTGACATGCTACTTAAGGAGAATTAACAGTGAAAACTGCAAAACCCTATTTTTGGTGGTACATTTTAGAATCAGCTGCTGTGCTCTAAAACTGTAGGCAATGTTGCAAGTCTCACCTCCTCCTGCCGTGCGCGTATAAACAGGTAACGTCCTCGCCACTTTCTTCAGAATCTCCTGCTGCGCCTCGGCTCGCTCCTCTCGTTCATACAGTTCCTTCTCTGCTCGGGGAAGACCGAACTGACGGGAGAAGAGAAGACTGTAGTCAGTGATGGCCATGTCATCTAATGTAAAAATGTATTGAAATCTTTATGTGACAATCATGCAAGTTTGTTTATTTTTTAAATATCATCAAAACTCTTTCCAGAAAATCTTCATTGTAAACCTTTTTGTTTTTTGACAGAGTGTGACAGATACACAGTCATGACTTACTGCTTTTGAGGGGCCAGCTGGTGTGGACCAGATAGTTTTCCAGTAGGACCATATAAACATGGCAAAGAAAATGTGGAAGATGACCAAGTAGCTGACTGTTGGAAAAAACATAGTTTGGTTTAAAGTTTAAGTAGCATCTTGTCATCAGCTTTTAGAGGAATGATTAAATGTAAAATAATAATCAAATTCATGGACAAAAAGAAAAACTTACTTCTTTCTGCATTATTTGGGATTGTATCTACAAAAGACAAAGAAAAAATGTTTAATTAATAATGAGAGATGACCTTAAAATGCATGACTACTCCCCCCAGCACTCACACACAAACAGCACACACACCACCCCTTTCTCCCACCATGCGGCTGCAGCCTGGCACGGCCAGCAGTGACCCTCCCATGACAGGGCGCTTTGTTTGAGCTGCAGGGATGTCCCTGTCCTGACCACAGTTGAGGAGATGCATACATATCTACAGCACAGCTATAAGCTGACCACAGCATTGTTAGTTCCTCGTTTAAAAAGAAAAGAAAACTACAAGAGTCCTCTCAGTGCAGAGACAACTGGAAATTATTTGTTTAAAACATATGTAGGCAGAATTATTTCAAGATCTACTTGTTAGATCTTAGATGATAAAATTAAACAAAAGCAAAATAATCATATCTTCTCTTGCTTCTGTTTAAAGATGTAAAATAAAAGACTTTTAAAAAACAATGTTTTTGTCTGGACCAGTAGTCTGTTTTGTTGCATTCATGGATTTAGAAGTGTTGCAGTTTAATCACATTAACTCAAGATCAACCTTTGGCCAGAAACACAGATGATTATATCAAGCATTTTACCAAAGTATTTCCATTGTTTCAGAAAAAAATGGGTTGATTAGTAACCTGCTTTTAAAACAAATGTTGATCAGTTTAAAAGATTTGCAGTTTAAAGCCCTCAATTATTGTCCCACAGATTATTTAAACTGTTAATAACAAGTATTCCCTGAAGTTTCAAGTTTAACAGAGGACAAAGGCTGGTCAAAAAATTCCAACTTTGATTTTTATTCACTTTACCTTTACACATATGACAATATTAAAAGCATCTTATAAACTGCAGGTCCACTCATGAACAATAGCATGTTTGGAGAGAAAATCTGAAGGTGTTTGCCTATTTATTTTATGTTTTGACTGCTTCACTCTTATCTACCTGAGGCAATACAATCATCCTTGTAAAGTTATTATCAATTAATAACTAAGCTACCCAGGGACTCTCAACTCCCATTTTAACAGGGAAAAAGTTGTCAAATTAAGTCAACATAATGATAATATTCACCTCCAGAATAACTATGTATGTCAGTGGTTAAATAAAGGTGAACAACAATATCAGGCTGCTGTAATAAAAATAACAGGTATAAGTAAACGCAGCCTGGGGTCATATAGAAATCTCACTTCACTGAGCTTGGCAAAGTTGGCAACCCTGAAACTGTCAACACGACCACACATCGACCCCGTGAAGGCTAAATGCGTGCAAAAGTGAATATACTTACAGACACAGAGCTCCACGACATAGGCGTAATAAGACCAGCCAACAACCAGGTTTATAAACAGCACAGGTATCCAATTCAGAGCCCGTTTACAGCACCTCAGCGCATGAGAGGGCGCCATCTTTAATCCGTGTGTGACATTAGCTGTCGGTGACGTCATGTCCATGGTTTTAAACGACGGCCGAACGCGCTCGGGGACCGACGACACTTAACGGAAACTGAAGCACCTCTGAGCATGCGCAGATGGGTTTGTAGTTCCCACAGGTAATCCGCATCATAATAAAGTCCACAGTCCCACGAGAATATTGCATTGTATTTGATGCAATACCAAGGCAGCAATGTATTTAACGAACAACTAATGTTGGAGACTGATATCCTGCTGAATGGCATCAATATCTTTTTAACTGTTTAGAAATATCTTGCTGTGTTTCTTTAATTCTCGTGCCAAAAGTTTTTGGAATGGTCTTTTTGATTTAATTATTTGGGAAAGGGTATGAATTTACTACAAAAAATATTTGATCAACAATAGTGACTGAGGTTTATTTCAAAATGATTCAATTAATCTATCCAACTAACCACTTTCTCAAAAAATATAGAACTGATATCTGGGACTCTTGTGTATTTGTAACCTTGAAAAAGAAACAATTGTACATTTATTTTTTGACTGTACGCATGCAAAATTTTTCTGAATTGAGGTTGAAAGTTTATTTGAATTGTTGTCTGGATATAAGATAAATCTGCAAAAGAGAGATATTATTTTATATTTTGAAAAAAAAAAGACCATGGACTGAAGTCATATTTTTTGTTAAACCTTTTTTTTTACTTTGTTTTGAAGATTTTATATACATAAATGTAAACGGTCTAAAAAGAAACCAAATATCCACCAGTTTAAAAATAAAATGAAGATATATTTTAAGACACTAACTGGACTAACGAATAAGAAACCGATTTGAACTATGACTTTCTACAAAGCCTCAATGTCCCCTCTATGATCTGAACTGAATGTATGATTCCCCATGTCATAATTTATATTATAACTTATGTACCTTTGTATGCCGGACTATGATTTTTTGTTTTTTTCTTTTCTTTTCATTTTTTTTTCTGCAAAGTCTTGATTCCTCTCAAATGAATTTAACTACCCCATGTTCAATAATATGTTTTTGTCACTGCTGAAGAAAAAGGAAAATAAAATAAAAAATAACATACAATTTTTAAAAAAGTCCACAGTCCATGGCAATCTTACAGCAGTTTGCATTTTTTGGATGGAAATATTGTTCTCCTGTTGCTTTATCTCTACCACAGAGTTGCAAATAGGTGACACCCTTTAAGTTAATTCAAAACTGAGACAACTTTCAATCACATTCGTTTTTGACTTTTTAGTCAGAGGCCATCTCCTTATTAAAAGTCTGTAATGTCATTGAGCATTTTGAAGATTAAAACAACCCAGTTTATAGGTTTGACACCATGAGGTAATTTGAACAATGATAGTGGAAAAATCGTCTTTTTAACCCCAAACTGAAAAAGGTGGAATCTTGTACTATAAAAAAATTAAGTTAAGGTATTACCATAAAATCAACTCTGTTGTGTGAAGACCCCAGAATATAAGGGGAGATAAGATAAGATAAACCTTAATTCGTCCCAGGGTGGGGAAATCTGTGGATCTCAAGAAAACAACCAGATATTAAATCAATCATCTGTTAATATGGGCTTGCACATTGGTGCAAACTGTAGTGTGTTGCAGCCTAGAGGTGTGTAACAGTGGCTTTGTCTGCAATTTTGTCTTTGCACCTGTAGATGGTGCCATTCCCATCACTATCACCAAAAGTTGTTGGTTGCTCTGCTCATACCAAGACTGTCAGCTCAGCACTCCGAACGATACATGAAATATTACAGGCTTTCACCAGTAGATGGTGTTATGTCTATGAGTCTACGAGGCTGAGACTGAACCATTAACATTCAAAACAGATCAAACTGAAATAGTCAGTACTGCTTCTTTCTATACAGTGGCCTTACAACTATGCATGTAGATGTACCCAGGGATAAAAACACAGAAAATTGCACACATTTATATTGCCACTTAGCTAGTTTACAGGAATGACATGCACATCATTGAATAACCCATATTAAGGTGATGTTTGAAGTGAGTAATGTGTGGGAATTTGTGTTTTTCATAATGTTTCATTGTAGAGCATCAAAAAAGATGAGATTGATGAGATTGATTCTGAGAAATTTTAGTATCATTATTGTACCACTTTATTGATAAATATATTATTAATACTCAATTGCTGACATCTTATCCTTTCAGTAAAGGTACATAGTGTACACTTTTATTACACTTTAACTTGTCTGACCCTGCATTAGAGTTCTTAACCTTTGTTCAGTTGGATCATAGGCCTGCTTTCACATTGTATGTACAAGACTCATGCCTGTATTAAATTAAATCAAGATGATCAATGTGATCAATTGTATGTAGAGGCTGCTTTACGAGGTGCCCGTGTCCTCTTCCTACGGGTGGAGCGAGGAGCCGGAGAGAGTGGAGGGGAGAGAGAGGAAGGGGACGAGGAGTTTGTAGCAGAAGCTGAGGCTAAGGTAGGAGAGGAGTCAGGAGACAGTGAACGTATTCTGGTGGGACTGCTGCTTGGAGAACCACGGGGGGACGAGTAGGGTGACAGCGCCTGGAGCACACGGCCACTACGCTCCTGGATGGCATGCTAAACACACACACAAAAGAAAAAATGAAGCATAGTGTTATTGTATCTTAGAGGATTCACTACTACTAATTTTCACTAGTTGCCAAGTTTTTCAAAATAGTAGTTGACTAGAAAGAAAGAAGGTACTGCACAAAGATAACTGTCCTCTGTAATACAAACAGCTCAATCATTTCACTGTGAGATATCCTGCTTTACAGAATCACACTGAATCTGCTTAAAAAGAAATGGTAACCTTGCTTTTCAAAATGACAAAATAAGTCTTCAGCTACATGTTAGAGCATGGAGTTGTTTTATGATAATATCTACAATCTGTTTGTTGATAGTAATTTCTCACTTTACCCTTTGCTCACTAAATAGTGAGCAGTTCTTTCTGTGAAAACACGACAAATGTGATGGTTTTAATTCTTAAAGCAAAAAGGTTGGAGTCACAAGTCAGAGGCGGTCCTTGGAATTTCAGTTTCCGAGACAAATGTTCCAGCTATAAATCTAGCTATCAATCTACACAAAAAAAGTCACATTTTTGACAGACAGGTCGACAAATTATTAGATATGAATCATCTGTTATTTTGTCATCTATCATACATCACTGTTCCCATGTAACAAAAGCTGTGCTGTGTTGAGATTTGACTGAGTTATGACTGTGAGAAACACCTACAGAGATTTGAAACTAACTCCTCAGCCCCCTCCTTATCAAGATCTCAACATACACCAGTGCCCTGTAGGCGATCAACCAAACCAGGAACTGTCTTCTGTAAAAGCCATAAATCAGTGTGTGATCTTTTTCTGCAACATTTGTTATAGCTTGGTGCTGTTTTATCAGAAACTCAAAATAAATTGAACTTGTTCCATAAAAGCTAATGCTGCTAAAGAGAGACACATGCTGTTTCATTCAAACTAAGTTTACAGAATCTAATGTTTACCACCAAAGTACAAAATGACAAATCTTTTTTTTTTTAAATTACTGGCTTATTTTTGATAAATCATCTTTTTTAGTTCAGTCAGCCCAGTTTAGCACTGAGACTGGAACTCAGAGAAACAGCTAACGTAACTATGACTGATACTTTATCCAAATATTTTCAGACCACTGACTCCTCGTGATAATATATCCAACCTTATCAAGCCATGTGTGTGTTAGAAGAATAAGTGTAATAGATGGATGACTGTAAGTCTAATTATAAACTTGCCCAGGCTCCATCGGGTCCAAAGAGCTCCAGAAAGTTTCCGATGAACTCTCGTGACTTTTCCTCCCACTTGTGGATGAGATCATGGCTCTTCTCCTCCACTCTGTAGACAAAGTGTTTGGATTTCTCCTCCACTGTACGGACCGTCTCTTTCATTTTGTCCACTTGGTTCTGAAGCCGGTACTTCTTCTCCTGAAGGGAAAAGACAGAGTAAGACTGGAACATTTGTATGTGTGTAGTTTGATTCAGAAAAATCAGTGTTCTGTTTGTTTGTAATTCTTTTCTTTTCTTTGAACATAAATCAAAGATAGTGCTACTGACGTTGATAAATCCAACGTTAAGTTCCTGGGCTGTGTAGCCCCGTTGCAGATTGCGTCGAACGTAGATGTCATAGTCTCGAACAATCCGAGTGATCAGATCAGATGTGGAGATGCCTTCTGTCCTCTGGGTGGCCACAAACATCCCTAAAATTAAAATAAATAATTATAATAAAAGAAATCACAGACCTCCATTTCCTATTGACACATGTTTACTTGATTTGATCATCTCTACCTGCTTCTTTGATGTGTTTGTATACATCCTGTGATCCAGCAGAAGTGTAAGGGATGTCATCGTGGGCCACAAAGTCAATCTGTGAGAGTCACATTAGAGTTCAGACCGATGTATCACCCCATATCTGAAAGTCTGGCTGTGTCTCTGGTAACTGTGTGACCTTTGACCTTGTGTTTCTTGAGGAACTCTGTGGTGAGCGTCCAAGGAGCATCTCGCACCACCTCATCGACATAACGGCAGTGGGTTAAGGCGTCGTAGCGTTCATCTTCTGTCATCACTGTGTAGCCTTTAAACTTGTGGGTGAGCTCATCGCTGCAGACTGAGGACATATTGACAGAAAGGAATCAGTAAGGAATAAACAAAAAATTCATTGGAAATGCCAGTTAGTATCTACAACTACTCCCAATTTAGCATTTTTGTTTTTTTAATAATCAAATTAATATGAGGGCTGAATTTGCCTTTTACCAATCTTTTAATGCGAACGTTCAGGTCAGTCTTCATTTTGAGTCACTGTGTTCAAACTGTTCCATATTTTATCTCTGCCTAAAGAGAGGGAGTTGGATCCACTCCTTACCTCCCACTATCAGGTGTGTGTTGGGAAACACATTCTTGGCCTGCATCAGAGCTCGAGCATGGCCCGAATGAAAAAGATCAAAGATGCCATCTGCGTAGACTCGCACTGGGCGATTAGCTGCAAGATAAGAAATAAGAGGGCATGTTTTTGAATACCAACATGACGTTTTCAAACTTTATTTCCTTTGTGCTTTTATTTATGGAGATGAACTGAAAGAAAGTCTTGAGGCGGAGGAAATATATCTGATAAGGTTTGTATTTTGCTGCTGAATTGAAGTGGCATGACACATTCCTGTAAAAGAGATAGTACCAGCCCTGTAATCGCCCAAATAATAAACAGTGAAGCAGTTTTACAGTTTTCCCTAATCCCTCTTTACAGCTGATAACAGCTGATAGAAACAGACTCAAGAGAGTATTACCTTTTTTCTGTTGACACTAGCTGGTACTAAATAGATATGTTTGGTTTCACATCAACAGTGAATTAATTTTACCTGGTGTTCCCCTCCTGGCTTGTGTAATGGTCAGCTTTTCATGCAGGACCTCTGTTTCATAGCCGGTAGACTTGGCATAAGCAGCTGGCTCCCTTAGAGCCTGAATGCAGAGAGAGCAGAGGAGAAATAGCATGTTTAACCTGATCAGATGTATTTTTCTCTCTCAGTTCATCAGTTTCTTTAACATTTTATCCTGTATAAGGTGCATTTGGTGCTGGGAGACATACAAACTAATAAACCGTAGCTACATACCAACATGGATACTTTAATAAAAAGGTACTCTTCAGAGCAATTTTAAAGTTTCCAGTTTCTCTAACCTGCACATGTTTGAACACCTGGGGGTAAAGGGGTGAACTAGGTGTCATATAACTTTTAAAACATGCTAACATGTATGAACAAACCAGCGCAGGAGGACAACTTAAAGCAACAGTGTTACTGAAGCGCTGCAGCAGTAATGTTTGTGTTGTAGGTTTGAAGTGTATACTCCTCCTTAGATTACATCTGGTACAGCTATCGTCAAAACCTGATAAGCTCTGATAATATCTTCAGTACAGATGTAAATAATGTCAGCACTCTGAAGACTGAATATGTAATGGACTTTGTGTGGTGTGTGGATGCATGCACACACCTTTATCTGCTCTGATGTAAGACATACTTTGAACCCTGGATCTGCACAAATGCCCAATGTTTTGATCCAAAGATTGTGCAATTTAGTACAAAGTGATCAGGACTTTTTACATTATTATCTGTTTTTAGTTTATTCATGAGCTTCTTTGAAATTTTTCTCTTAGGCCATACAGCTATTCTTACAATAAGTGTTCAATCTATGAGAATTTTTGGAATAGTAGTAATTTATAAAAGACGTGATTTGTGGTTGCATCATGTAACTCTCCACTCCTAGACGAAAGTAAAAAACCTGTATGGCAACTCGTAAATCTTAACCCTTTTAACTGTCCGCTCATTTCAAGCCTCTTAACTCAGTGTAGTTTCAAAACAAACATTCAGGACAACCAAAGTTAACAAAGGGTCATTATTTGCAGCGTGAGAATAAACTTGGTTGCAACATTTGACAGTGATAGTATGACTTACCCTGCGGTGGCCTCCCCTCTGTCCATGTGAAGCCTGCTGCTGCTGCTGCTGCTGAATGTTGTTACCTCTACCTCGTCTTCCTCTCGCCATCCTGGATGATCTGCTCTCCTGTCTGCTAACAACACTGCTGCTGCACCTGTCTGGGATCTGTTACCCTGTCTGGGTTTGTAAGGTATACATCTCATCTGCCTGCCTGACCCTGATGACGGCAGAACGTAGTGAGCAAAGTTCAAACGTCTGAAGTTAATTCACAAGTACAGATTGGGCTTGTCATCAATACTGAGCTTCTTTGGACTTTCTATTTCCGTATGTACAGGACAGCCTTCAAAAACAGGTCCTGATATCTGATGTTAAGCTTAGATGAACTCTGTAAAGTACATGTAAAATCTCAGATAGTGGTGACTGTGAAAAATTCTCTGAAACTTCTGTTGTGAAAATAAAGACTTCTATGTTTTTTCCCTGGAAAAAGTACAAGATCAGTTTTAAAGGTTGATATATTTCCACAGTCTTTGCATCTACAGTCTTCAAAGCAAACACTGTAGCACAGTATGTTCAAACTTATCTCAAACTTGTAACTCTCAGAGCTATAGTGGATATTATGTAATGTCTGTTGGCACTACAGTTCAAGTACACAATGAAATCAATGCTACCCTGTCTTTACTGGTTAGAGTACATTCAGAGTTGGACCTTATCCACCACATAGCCATAAACGATGTATATGATGTAGCACCATTATGGCAGTTCAGTTGGAGAAATGTTAATGCACAGTATATGCTGTAAAAACAAAGTAATATTAACATATTTTAAATTCATATAACACATTGGATGCAAAAATACTTAATACTTTAAGTATTCCTGTTGAAATAAAAATTCAAATTGATATCCAATAAACATGACTAAGAAATACCTGGGGAGGTTGGCTCACATGTTACCCAAGACAACAAAACACATCAAAAAAGATATTTTCAATTCAATTGTAAAGATTGTATTTTTTCCATAGACTGTATATAGAATACAGTATATACAGTCTATGATTTGTCCCTAAGGAGCAATTAAAAAGGACACTGAGCAGTGGTATGAAAAAGAATTGAAGTTGCATCAAAAGGGGAGCATGGTTTGACAATTTTTAACAACTGTAAGAAAATAAATATACAACAGAGTTGAAATGGAAGAGTAAAGTGAGTGTAATCCACAAGGACAGCGATACAACAGCTACTGAATAGAATTGATACCAGATGAGAAGAGTAAAGTGGTCATAGTACAAGTAAAATATTGACACAAATAGCAAATAACCTGCTGTACAAACATTGGCTTGTAGTGAATGAATAAATAGATAAAAGTGGTTATAGTGCATTTCGTCATTTTTGAGTTACTTAAAACATTGTTTGGGATCCTCTGAGGAAAAGACCTTACAATTGTTGTTCTAGACAACATGTCAACAACTGGATGGGGGGATATAGAATTAATTAAAGGACATGCTGCCTGTACTTCTGCCCCCTCTGTATCACATAATATGTTGTCTAGCACCACCATCAGGTCATTTTTTAAACATGTCCAATACTTTGCTGTTCATGAGCTAAATATCTACAAACAGCACACCCAGTCTGAGCTGTGGCTGCTTTGATTAAGTGCGCTACAAATTTTAGCGTCCAAACATACTAGAGACTGTGGGAAAGAAAATTCAGGGTGAAAAGGTGGTTTGAAGGTTTGATTTAATATAAAATATCGTATGATCTTCCCCAGCATTAATTACATTCTTGCTGGCCCTCTCTTTGACCTCAACAAACCCTTGATAGTCTTCTCTTGATATCTTGAAATAATTTGATCACCATAACATCAGGGTGAAGATAATGGAGCTTTTTGAGAAGCTTTGCTATAATTCTATTAAACTATATGGGAGGGCGTCATTTTCCTCGTCTGCTTCATAACACACACATATATTGTTCAAATATTCTTTCACTTTTCCTGATATATCTTGAATTTATCTTAAGTTTTCTTCATGTCATTTTTGTCGTACTGCTTTTCAAAGGTGTGTCATGGTTCTATATTTATGTCTATGTCAGAGTCTGACTGGACAATAATCTCATTTTTTCCTGTAATAGAAACTGTTTCTTTGAAACACCCACAAGACCTGAATACATGTTTCACTTCCACTTTGATTTTTCACCCATATATTTTAAAACAGCGTCATCTGCTTTCTGCAGATTTAAGTCAAGTTTAATGGAGGGGTAAAAACGGTCGCATAACCGGTCTGTGAAGACAGGAACCAGGAGTGAGTTCACAGGAATGTTTCACCTGTGAACACAATGACCTGGGGCAAGGGGTGTGGCCATCCTGCTGAGAGCATGCAGGGCGGGAGTAACTCTGTGTTATTCCTCTTGTGACTTCCTGAAGTGAACACTGACCAAATATGTGGAGTCACAAACTCAGATCAACCTGTAATATACTGAACCTTTGACACGCCGGACTAGGAAGTTTTATCCTCCAGACAAGGTAATACTCTGTTTACAATGAGGGCATGTTGTTATTTGGAATTGATGAATCTGTGAAGTTAAACCTAAGAAACATGCTGAACATGTTTCACTCAGTAAACATGTACAAGGAGAGTTTAGTCCACCGGATTGCTGCAGATTTCAGTTTCATTTATAATCCCCATGTCATTGGTTAGGATTACTTAGGGGTGGAGCAAGAAACAGATTTTCAGCCTGCATATTTCCTAAATGGTACCAGACATGTAGATTAATTTTTCCCACAACAAGCTCAACACCCTGAGAGGTAAGAGTGAAGCTGCTTCTCTACCTGACTTTGATCCAAAGTATGAAAGGAACTCAAGACAGGTTTCAAGGACAGTTCTCTCTGTGTTTGACATTTTCTGTTTCATGTACATACGATTTGAAGCAAAATAATTCAGACTGATGTCCTTGTATGTAACCTTCTGACTATGATCACTCTGCTTTCAGCCTTTTTGCTTGTGTCGGTGTGAAGGATGTTCCTGTGGCAATATCTGTCTCTCCTCCTGTTGATAACTGTTCATGTATGCAAAGGTAAACCCAAACCACACCACTCAAAATGTAAATTTATGTAGACATGTGCATCCACACACAGACACTGTCAGTAAATGTAGCAGCTGTATTCTTGGAGAAAAAGCTTAGCCAAGCAGTAGTTGAGGAACTGCAATTTTCGTGGGAAACTAACAGGACTAAGTAAACAGAGTTCAGTGTGGTTTGCTACAGCTCATGACACTCCACAGACAGATACATGACTCTCAGCTGACATTTACATGCAGTCATGCTGCTATTATGTAATTAGAAATAGTATCTGTTGTGCAATAATTTATCACACCTCTGAAATGAAAGGTTTGATGTCTCCCATGGCAGCGGAATATCTTGTAATGTGAGATAAGACTTGTTGGTGATACAGTGCGTGATTATATTGTTGGGGATGAACAAATATATCATTGATTTCATCTCTGTTATTGTTTTTTTTCTTAATTATTCCGTGATTCTGTCAAGATCAAACAACTTTCATCTGCTGAATTATCAGATTTGTACTGAACAAGAAGCCACGCGCTCACATCCTCCTCACACTAAGTCAATGTTGTCTTACATATTCACTACACCTCCCAAAGGTTTCCTGATAACAACTTGTCCCGAAACATGACTGCTGCATTTCTAAGGTCTTGTGAAGAGGATATGTTAGAGTGATTTCCTGATCAGAATTGCCTCCATCTTGTATTTAGTTTTGATGATTTAATTCGCAATCTTCGACCAAACTTGTGCGTCAGTTTCACTCATAAATCTCAGTGTTGCTAAATAATCTGTTTTGCTAGTCAGACTTGTTCGTAATGTGTTGTTATTGTTGTGGGCGAAGCAGTGATCGACACAGTTTTAGTGTAGTGTTGTTTTAAATACTCCCGTGCTGACTCATGCAGTGTATGAGACTGATGCAACAACAGAAACCTTTGGAGGTTTCTGTCTAGATCCTCTATCTAGAGTGAGTTTTGGACAGTCTGTGATGTCTGATTTTTTGTAATTTCTCCAATAAATGTGGAATCATCTGCAAATCTGGTTGTGGTTTTGATGCCGTGAATGGGATTGCAGTCCCTGGTGAAAAGCATGAAGAGGTGTGAGGTCCCAGTTTATGGACTGAAGGTACAGGAAGAACCATGAGCAACCACAAGTGATAAACTAGGACACAGGTGTCTTAGTTTGCTGACTAGTTTTCAAATATTGACCCAACTTCCACAAATTATCCTCACATGACAGTACACCAACTGCTGTAACTGTGTCCATAAACTAAGCAGGGACTTTCCTTTGAATTAAGTATAACAATATAAATCATCACATCATCTTTTTGGTCATCCTCTCCAAAGTCAACACTCTTCTGTAACTGTCTCCACCTTTTCCTCTTTTCATCACCCCCAGCTCAAGACTGTGATGAATTCACGGATCTAGATCTTAGTCACGCCATCATTGGAACCAGCCTCAAGACCAGGCTGCTGCTGTACACGAGGGAAAATGCCACCTGTGGTAAACTCCTGTCCCACACCAACCTCACCGCCAATCCCAAGCTCAACCTGTCCAGACCCACCACCTTCGTTATTCATGGGTATCGGCCAACGGGGTCTCCTCCAGCATGGTTGGACAAAACCGTACAGCTGCTGCTAGAACGGGAAGACCTGAATCTGATAGTGGTGGACTGGAATTATGGGGCCGCTAATGTGAACTATTTTAAAGCGGTGGAAAACACACACAAAGCAGCTGACAACCTCACTGCCTTTATTGAACTGATGAGGGTAGGACATGGACCCCTTACGTTCATTTTCTCATATCTTAGGCTGTATTGTGTAAAACATGACTAATGTCTTTCTCATTCAGAAAGAAGGTGTCTCTCTGAGCTCCATCCACATGATCGGGGTCAGCCTCGGGGCTCACATATCAGGATTTGTAGGTGCCAACCTGATGGGGGATATTGGAAGAATTACAGGTAAGGGGCAGGTCACTGTAAGTATCAAGAGTATCTAAGATCTCTGCTGGAATAGACTTGAGTTTAAGATAATGTGTTAAATGCCGTCAATAAACCCACTTATATTTCTTCTGCCCTGCATGTGAAAACACTGGCGTACTATGATATCGAAAGTACAAAACAACTATCTCAAAGTCTCTGTTTCCCTGTACTGCAATAATAAAACAGCACCACCTTTTAGCCTATTTGAACCTTTCAGAGAGCTGCAAACACACAGTAAGGACACCTGAGGAGAAAAACATGTTTATTTATGGAGTTTCATGCAAAGTGAAAGAGCATGTACTGAGTTATACAACCTTAGGCAGGGGCACTTATCTCCTGTGTCAGGTCATAAACCGCACAGTTTCAGCCTAGATGCTTATCAAAGAGATTTTATTACAACTGTGACACTTGCATTAACTTTTTACTTCTTATATTACTAACAGTATGAGTAACTATGACAGAGAGTTGTGAGGTTGTAAAAAAGCTTCAATGATCCCACTGCTGTAGAGGAGTGTCGAGGTCACTGACAGTAAAAGATAGCAGATCTTGATATTAGGGGTGCATCTATATAAGGCAAGGGGGGTGGGCTGGGGTGGGCTGATGTTGCTGGGAATAAACTCAAATCCTCTCTGAACTGTTTTGTGCAGCTCTGGATCCTGCTGGGCCTCAGTTCACAGGCACTGGCCCCGATGAACGCCTGGACTCCAAAGACGCCCAGTTTGTAGATGTCCTGCACACAGACATAGATTGTCAGTTAAATAAAAGAATTCATATTTATTTTATGCCAAAGCAGACAGATAAAATATGAATTTTCCATTGTCTTGTGCTGCCTTTGTTCACAGCTCTTGGCTTCAGGGAGCCCCTAGGTCACATTGATTTTTATGCAAATGGTGGGACGGATCAGCCTGGCTGCCCCAAGACCATCTTTTCTGGTAAAGAATTTGAAATGATGAAATACCTTTTTTTCTTTTAAATAACTATGGCTAATAACTTTGATTATTGGTGTTTTCCTCCTCATAGGTGGATCCTATTTTAAATGTGATCACCAGAGGTCAGTGTTGCTCTATCTGGACTCGGTGAACCAGACCTGTACCATCAAAGCTTTCCCTTGTGCTTCATACAAAGACTTTCTAGATGGGAACTGTCTGAGCTGTGAGCGCTTTGGTGCTGCTGGATGCCCTGTCTTTGGTCAGTAGTTTATTTGACCCATAGTAATGACAGTCTTTGAAATTTTGTCCCAGTATTTATAGAGATACTTAAATCCAGGTAGAGGGGTTCTTCAGAGCTCATAAACAAAAAGTTTGACAGTAATGGTGGTGATTTGGTACAGCGACCAAATACCATACTATTATAGTGAATAATTTGACTATAGGTTGTCTTCTGTGTGTTCCCATAGACTTGACTCTCTGTTTCACTCTCATCCAGGTCATGATGTGATAAGGTGGAAAGACGTCCTGCTAAAGCTGCGACAAACTAAAAGCTTCTTCACCACAAATGGCGTGTCTCCATTCTGCAGTAAGTGGTCACTGCAGACATTAACTTAATAACACCATGATATCAGTATAGAAAAAGGTATTAATTTTATGTTATCTCCAAATATGCACTCATATCTTTAGCTGAATTCACACATGCATAAAACTCCTGGAAATTTCTTAAAATTCTCAACCCAAATTCACCCATACATTCACCTGCCATCTCTCTAGTAAAACTTCCACAAGTCAAGGTAGTCAATGTGTGAGTGCAACAGATAAATTTAATGCAAACAACTGGGGGGATTTGTACCCTGACCCAGTGATATTGTGCAGGTGATGAAACTGCTTCATACTCTTTTGTTTGCTGGCAAAATTAATTTCCTCTTTATTAAACTGATTTTCAGTGACAAACTACAGAGTCGAGGTGGTTATCTGGAACGAGGATGTGCGCTGGGGATATATCACTGTTAAACTTCACGGCAATGATGGAGAAGCAGTGGCAACTATTGACCAGTAAGAGCTCATTTTCTTGACCACTTTTTCTAAGCAGATATTTCATCATGACTTCTTGTTGTTTTGGAGTTATCCTGTCTCATTTAAGTGTTTTTATTTTGATTTTAGTACAGCGGCAAAATTTCAGAAGTTCACAGAGACCAGGCTGTTCGCTCATTTCAACAAAGACATACAGTTGGTGAAAAAAGTGTCTCTCACGTTCTCCACTGGAAATGTGTTCAAGCCAAAATACAAGCTCCGGATTCTCAGGGTCCGCCTCACCCATCTGGAGCGGGAAGAGAGGTACCAGACATTTACACACACATACACACATTTATGTTTCAAATCTTTTTTGACGTGCATTTTAGTCTGGCATTTTCTCTTTCTACCTCGCTTCACCTATCTGTAAGTTTATAGTAATGTGACCTTTGCCCCCCTCACAGACCTCTCTGCCGATACGACATCCTTCTAAAAGAGAATAAAGAGGTCACGTTCAGACCCATTCTCTGTGAAGAATCCAACTTTTGAGACTAAACCAGATACCAAGTGGAAAAACAGATCACTCCCTGAACTGAAAGAGGCTCAGATGACTCTTCAAACCCCCTAGGATTGAACAAAAAGCAGAGACTGGAAAAGTGGGAGATCAGATGCACATATTTGGCTCTGGTATGATCTGTGTGAAATGTGATATGATGTATACATCTTTATATATGTTTTTGAGGGAATATATATACCTGTATTTGTGTTTTTTAAACAACTGTTGCCAAAGAAAGGCTATTTATTTACATTTCAGTCCAAAGGGGAACAGGATTTTCTCTTTTTTTAACGAAAAAAACTTCTGTGGTTATTCTCAAATGACATTTATTTACAATATTTGTCAATGATGAACTTTGTGACTACTACAACAAAACAGGCTAGTTTTACAGGACAAGTTTAAATACTTTTCATCATTTAACCAGAAATATGAGAGTCATGATGTTTTACAATCAGTAATAATTATTCCAGACTACAAGAATACTTGTGGTATCATAAATTTCTCAATCAGACTGAAAAGGGAACAAGTATTAACAGCTTTTTGTTTGTTTACTCTTTTTTTTTTCTTACAAAAAACTTCAGCCATGTTCACGGTTCATATTCAACAAAACAAGAGTTTTTAAAAATATATTTATTTGTAAATATCGTTTCATTGTTTTCTGTTAATAAAAATATTGTGAGAAACAGTCAATATCTTTGAAGTTCATAATGCACCTACATGTCAAAACTGTGACATTGTTTACATTTATGTTCAGCTGTTACAAAACTAAATGCATTCATGATATAATAGGAGTCAAAATCCTAAGATCATAAATAAATTACAACTCAGCCTACAGGACAGCAGTTCATCCAGTGGCCCTTATTATAATACACCTTCTATCTGACATGACATTCATGCCAACAGCCAACTTTCAGAGTAAATAGTACAAGCAAAACCAACAAAATATCATGTTTCATTGAGACCAAACAACACAGTAAAATCACAGCGAAAATTTCCCTGCACCAGGGGGCGCTAAAGATGAATTCTTATGTAGGAAGTCAAACACAATGAAGTATACCAGCCATTCCTTTCTGTTGATGATTCAGTGACACTTATTTAAGTGTAACATCAATTTCAAAAACAGCATAAGTTTTCATAAAAGAGCATTAGTACTAGTTTTTACACTTAGAAAAATATAGTTTAGAAGTTATTCATACATTGAAACTGTGCACATCTTATAAACACAGCTTAACATGGCTTCAGAAATTGGTTTACCATGTGTGGCTAAAGCTAACACCAGCTTTAGGTCTTACTTGCAGGCTAATGTCCACATACCCTTGCTGGTTACTCATTACTCCAGATGACCAGTATGATGCCAGTTTAAGTAGACATAGCTAAAAAATATAAACAATATAACAAAACTGCATGTGTGGTGAAGCACTAGCATCATGGTGGTTGCCTTTAGTCTTAGATATAGCCCTAGCCAGAGGCGGGCGGCAGCTCTTTAGCCCTGAAACAGCATATGACTGTCATTTAAGGCCTGCAGTGATAAATATTTATTAATATTTTAACTTAATGTTTCTTCTGGTAGGGACCATTGTGGTTAAGGACCTTTTACCGTTTAGTTGATAAAATGTGCAAGTCCAGTGTTTAAAATTTACAATTCAGGATCTTATGATAGATCGTCATTTCTGTACTCCATTCATTTTGACATGTGCCTCTTCAAGCGCTGAATCTCCATCTAAAAACAACAGCAAAAATGAGTTAACAAAAGTGATAGTTTTTCAATACGTTTAAGGTAATAATAGTCCTGTAAAACATGATTTAGCTCATTCATCTGGCTATCTTATAAGGATTTTATGTTTCTCTATGACCTGCAAAGTCAAGCGGATCCTCTTCTCCTCGTCAAGCTCACTCATCAGCAATTTAATTTCTTTGCTGGAAAACAACATAATCATCAAATGAGCTCAGGGTGGGTATGTGACCATCAGGCCAAGACTAAACAACATCATATTAAAATAACAGAGCTGTACTTGTGCTGACTCTTCATTTGATCAAACTGGTCCTTCAGGTCTCTTAGCTCTGTCTGCAGCTGCTCCAGGTTTGGTGAGGGGTGTTTCACTGGTTTTCTGCTGGGCTGGGGGTCAGAGTTCAAACCTGGAGGCACCTTTGGGTGTAACACAGCGGAAAGAGCCTTCGGCAGCAGGGAGGAGAAGGTGGGTGTGGGCAAACTTTTGGACTCTGCTGCCTGTGGAGAATTATCGACCAGTAATAATTTGAAAAATGTAGTAAAATCTGATTTATTGAAAATGATTTTAGCCTATAAGTTTTCTCTTCCTCTTACAGGCTCTGCAGTCCCATTTTGTTTGCTTGTTTCCTGAGAGTTTTCTTGAAGTGTTAAAGGATCTGACTCTTTGTCCTGGTTTTCTTTTCTTCCCTCTTCCATCATGAGTGTTACCTGTTAAGTGAAATCTAGTTTAAGTCCGTTGATATACAATACATTGTGAGGGGTCCATCTGACAGAAACAGACCCTTCTCTCAGTGAAAATAATGTACCTTAAATTCTGAGGTTTTCCTCCAATCATTAAAGATAAACAACCATATTAGTTTGTTCTCAGGAAGATAAATAAGATATCTTTAGACTGTGGGTGCTGCTTCTCTGAAAAGTTAAATTTATCCCAAGGACATGCAGGACACAGATGGAGGACTCTCTCTCGTAACAGAGAGACATGTAACAACAACGTTTGTATCAAAGTGAATCATTTCACTTTTATCATAGGTGTATACTTCCCAGGGTCTGAAGCTCTGACTGTAACCTCTCATCTGCACCATGTGCTACCTGCTCATTCAGCTTCTCCGCGATCGACACGATTGAATTGAACTCTTCAGTGTCTTAAGAAAGGCAGAGCATAACTGTTAAAACACACCTCACAAAGATCATTTAAAACCCATTACTGCAGAGAAGTTAGGCCATTTTAACACCAATAATCCTTCTCCTAAGTCTCCATCAGCAGTCAGTCTTTCAAAATGCAGTATTCAAGCATGCAGACATTTCAAATCATGTTGCAGAAGATGTAAGGACAACATAGTTGCAAGGCTTACCAGGAATAAGAGCTGAGCTATAGCTGCCCATCGTGCGACAGAGAGGAAAATAAGTGTAGAAACAGACAGAAAACCTGCAGTCTTTAAGTCTACATCTACAAACAACAAATCGAAGCAAGTCAGAGACAACAGGAAACTCAGTGCAGTCTCACATCGTGCCAGAATTTTCAGAAGATAAAAACAGTGATCAAGTTTATTTCAAAGTTACTCCCCTTAGAGTTCATAATACAACAGCGAGTTGTGTTTGTAACCGAGATAAACCTTTATCAAAGTGAGGGGACTCTAAGTTTGGATGTTACAGTAGAGACAGCTGTGTCTCATGCCACAGCAGTGAACAAATGCACAACACATGCCAATGCACTGATAAAGGGGGGAGGGGCACAGTGATAGATCAGACAACCATTAGTGAACAAAGTAAACTAATTACCAGATTATTGTGTAAGGATTTCATGCAAATACACACTCACCTTGTTTGGCCAGAGTCACCAGTGAGATACAGCAGCATCTGAGGTAACATGATACCATCCATTGTAACCTAGTGTTGTGTTCAGGGTATGTTGAAATGAGGAGGGAGAGCACCGTCAGCGCTAAGTTTAGTTCAGCAGCAACCAAATATCACCGGGCCAGAGCGAAGGGTGTCAGAGACTGAAGGGCAAGAGCTTTGCTTAAGGGTACAAGCTAATTCAGCCAGAGAATTCAGCCTGTCAAAACTACTGAGGGAACCTGCTTGTGATTGTATTTGAACTATTACGTTATCAGAATATCCTTCGCCTCTGCTCAAAAAGTAGACTACAAACAGCAGGAGTGAGACTTGGAGCTAGTATAAAAGAATAAGACGTAGGACCACGCAGTTTTCAATGTAATACCAATCCTACAATAGAGTCTATGCTGTAAATTCAAATGCTCAGTCACAAATTGTGGGATGTAATTTCTCTTATTTTCATGTGTTCATAAGCTTTAAGTACTGATTTGGAGATAATATAGACACTACAGACCATGCTACACGTTTTCGTTGTTTAAAAGCAAGGTGATCGAAAATTATAGAAAAAATGATTAAGGTTACGGATTAATTTATATTCTGGATTTAATTTATTATTTTTTTTATTATTTTTTTTATTTCTTCTGAGTCATCTTTTTATGCTTTGTTTTGTTGTGTTTTGTTTTTGTTTTCTATCTAACGTGTGGAATAAGATGTTTTGAATATTTTGATTTAGTAAGAAGGATAGGCGATAATAAGCTTTTGCTTCAGCCTATGCCTTTTCAGTCCGGTTTTCTTTTCTTGTAATTTACTGTATATATTGAATGGATATGACCAGATCGAAATAAACTTCAAACTTCAATAAATGGAAAAGTTACTCAATAGGCAGGAAATTGTTATAAAATCCTGGGTTATGTCATTGACACATTATTTTCACTTTTGTCACAGCTATAAGAAAAACAAAGACCATTTTAAAATTATGCTTGTGGCATTTTATTTCAAATCTCAACCAACAAACTGAAACATGATTATGCAAGTTTTACAAGCAAGCGTTTTTTTTAACAAGCAGCAGTTTTTAGATCCAAAGAACTCAATTAATCCAGGAGTGCATCTCATGTGGCAAACCTTTACAAAGGGAGATACTTAAAAAAAAAAACAAGAAAGAGTCGCTGCAAGTCAAAAAAATTAAACAGTTGAGTAACGCAAAGATTGTCAAGACCTGAAGCAACAGTTTGTGAATTATTATACACTGGTAGTAAGCAAGAGAGTCTTTTTAAGTGAAATATGTTACAAATATGCTAAAACAAAAGAACTGCAATACCTCAAACTGTCTTTACTAAAAGACTCTTAACAGAACCAATAAAAGAATCAACACTGACTGACTATTTACAGACTGGGTAGGTTTGCACTGAGATACACGTTTGTGCAATCCACCCAAAACAGAGATGATATCGATGAGATTCTTCCATATCTTCCAGTGTTGCTCAGAAATGTGAGACCTGAACAGGAAGTAGAAAAACTTCAGACTTCAAACCAGTAAAAAGGACACGTATTCAGACTTCTGTGTTGACCCCTTACAGTCATAACTTACCAGAGTATATCACCAGCGTTGTTGGTTAGGCCCTCTGTTGTAAGGTGCACGCTGGCGCATCACTCTCATGGTGCGGTACTTGGACATGATACTTTGACTTTTCCTGAACACTGGCCTCTGGTTAGGGAAGGGACGTGGGACAAGGCTCTCCTAAAAAATAAGGCAGTTTGAAAAATGAGCTACTAGAACAGATCTACTGTTCAATTTGACCTTTCAGTGACCTCTAAAGAAAGAGTGCATACCATGAGTGGTCTTCTAAAATTTCCGGGTGGTTCAGGACCCATCCTCCTTGGACCCCCGGGGAACTTTGGCCTCTGTGAACAGCAAGTCAGTAATATAAAACAATGATTATTTTTCTTACATTATTAAACCAATTAAACCAATTTCGACGTAGGGTTTAAACAAGTGGCTGCTGGAAGAGAGTAGGTGAGCTGTGTTTAGTCTTTTACTAAAGAAATCAGGCAAAGCTAAAAAGATGTTTGGTGGCTAGTACTATGGCTGGGACCCTATATGTACTGTTGCTGAAGTTAGGTGCTGTTCTGAGCATTATTTGTGGCTATAGAGTGGCGTTTTGTTTGAGATTTGTTTATGGCTCCTCAGACCACTGTGTATTGCTATCATGTGGTTGTTACTAAAGTTGGTATAACTAGAGAAGCAAGTGGTCAGCAACATTGATCTCTCGAGGGGGTGTCTAACTCGGTGTGTTTGACCCTGACTTAATTTTGCACTGGAATGTCCCTTCAAGGCATGACACATTGGGTTTAACTCAATCTCAACCAAAAGCTCAGTCCAAGTTCACTCCATGACACATGCATACCAGCTGCAACTGAGGCTTCAAGTCTCCATTGTCTTGGTAAGAAACTCACCTGCATGGGTCCGGGTCCAGGTCCTGGTCCAGGTCTCTTGAAGGGTCTCCCAGGTCTGTTGCTGTCCTGTGTCATATGAAATGGTCTGCTAAGAAAGAAAAGAAAAGCGTAAGACACTCTGCCTACAGATTGATTGAATTTCATAATAAGTTTATAATGAGAAAGATAATTCATGAAAAGTACTTGAATGTTCTTCTATCCAAATAGCCTCGTTTGCGGGGTTCTGGCTCACTTGACTCGTCCATCTTTGACATTCGGCTGCTGGGAGAGGCTTCAGTATCTGATCAGAGTAAAAACAATAAAAACTTTCAATTTAAAAACTGTGAAAGAAATGGTGAACCCTTGGGCCTTCAGGCCACTGGAGTACAAGAAATCAGTGACTGAACGGACTAACCACTCTTTGGCTTTGGGCTGCAAGACCTCAGGGGGGAGCCATCCTTTGAGGAGCTTGGCCCAGGGGGCCAGTGAGACAAAACGACAAGATCCCGTTTCTCAATGGGAGAAGATCTGTGGAGAGATCATTGACAGGGCTGTTAATGACATCAGCATTTCTATCCCAGCATTGTGTGTATGAACAACATAAATTTGCATGAACATTTCATCATTGAAATCATATAATTTTTTACAAAACAGACCATAAGTAAAAATCAAAAATCACCCTGTCAATTCTTAGAGGTATAGCAATTCAAAACCATAATGATCAGCATTGTTTTGCAGGCAGACAAATGATCATAAAGCCACAAATCACACATGGGTACTTACAAAAACCATGGATTGCTGTGCTTCCACACTCCTATTTCTGTACCCTGAATCAACCTGAGCGTTCTTCCTTTACTCAGTGATTGTTTGAGCAGGACAATCTTGAGATTTATAGATATTGGTCTACATCACATCGTCACATCTTCTATCATCCCTCTCTCAAAGAATTCAGGAGGACAATGCCTTGTTTTCATTATCAGAATGAACTCACAGGGTTTTATGATTATGTCAATCCTGATAACTCCTTCAGTCCTCTTTCATCATCCCAAGAGTGCAAAAAAATGGACGCCACACTCATCATTCAGAGCTTTCCCAGAGATAGACATCACAGAATGTTATGAAGATTCGAGTGAAGGTGAAAGCCAAGGAGAAAAGGATGAACTTGCTGGGTTGATGTTTATGTCAGGTTTATAGCTTCCTGTCCTTAGATTTTGGGGGGTTATGGAGATGATCCTGTTTGGACTGCTCACATCATAGAGCAGGCTTCAAGGAAATGTACTGCAGGCTTTGCAGTTTTCAAGTGTGTACCCTCAACCCCCTTAGTTCTCCTCTTCTTGAAATTTGGTGGGTTGGGCTGGTTTGAAAGAAGGCAGGGTTTTCTTAGGTAGATTTGTTCTGCCGGTGCAGAGCTCTTTTCTCCCGTAACAACAAATTTAAGGGCGAGAAATAGATGATCATCTTTTGTCTGCTATGCTTCCCAATGTCCTCAAAAGTTGGAATATGCAGGTTTTAGTCTGAGACTTTTTGTGCTTGTAGAGTTTCATTGTATTTGCCTTAGAAAAGGGTTCAACTATTTGGATTTCTTCCCGTTTGATGTGCACTTCTGGTTACTTCGTTTAGCATTCGAAAGTTGGAATATGCAGGTTTTAGTTTGAGACTTTTCGTGCTTGTGAAGTTTCATTGTATTTGCCTTAGAAAAAGGCTCGACTATTTGGATTTCTTCCCGGTTGATGTGCACTTCTGGTTACTTCGTTTAGCATTCAAAAGTTGGAATATGCAGGTTTTAGTTTGAGACTTTTCGTGCTTGTGGAGTTTCATCGTATTTGTCTTACAAAGAGCTCGACTATTTGGATTTCTTGATGTTGTGCACTTCTGCTTACTTCATTTAGGTCACATGCTTGATTGTGCTTGAGCAAACCCGAGCAAATGCTGGCATGTGGGTCCAGCCTAAATGCATTCACACCACTAAGGATAACACAGTCGTTCAAGACTTGCAAGACACAACTGAAGTTGCTTCTGTCCACATGCAACGTCAAAGTTGGAATTCTGATTGCTTATCATCTGCTTTCACTCAACTAATTCTCATGTTTTAAAGACACTCTTTGTCTGCCTGGTTTCGTCACTCAGGTCTTGAGTTTGGGTGTAGTCTTCTTGGAGGTTCTCAATGATAGTTTTTTCTTTTTCCATTTGATTTAGATGAAGGTTGAAGATTTGTTTTATCTCAAACATCATTGTGATTATAATGGAAGTGGTTGTACGGTAGTTCCTCTGCCGCAGGTGGAACTTTAGCAAAATCTTTCAGTCATCATCCTTGTTAAATTCTTCATCCTCCAGCCATTTGACAGTTTTGTCAGGGACATATTCTTCAAGTTATGATGACTGCATGTACAAAGAGCAGATAGTTCAGTTGTAATATGGATCCTCTTTGTTCTGATTCTGAATCGGAATGCTGCAGCATCATCCTTTAGGTATCACAGCGCAGGAGAATAGAGTCTCAAAGTGTAGAGCCATGTCTTCTTGAGTGAATGAATACAATTTTCGACGGAGAAAGTGATATTCTTTTCCTCATTCCACTTTAGGGTCTACAATGGACCTGATGAATGTGTGGGATAAATACAAATTCCCTGAATACTGACCGATGTGTTGTAAAGCCCAAATGCCACCGTTGTTACTTCATTTGTTTTTTAACTGTTGTCTACTACATTCGTTTGAGAATGTTTTCTGACTGGTTGTTGCAAAAACAACAAATCCAAAATATAAAATGTTGTATTTTTATCTATTTATTGGAATTAAATCCAGATGCTCTTTGCCATTCAGAATTGATAGTGGCTTGAAAAGGGGGATCCTCTTGGTGTTTTCAGTTGATGCATCTCTTTTTTCTTGAAGTCCATGCATGGCTGATAATGTTTCCAGTAGTTGGGCATTTTTGTTCATGTAAGCTCCATTCCTCTTCACGACCATTTTTTTCCTTCTTTCCCCATGCATCAAAAAATAGTTTTACACAACATCATTTCAGCTTCAATATAGATCTGATCTCTATCAAGGATGAAAAGATTTTTGGAAATACGCTTCAGAGCACTTCCTCTCCAGCTCACTAAACTCCCACAAACAGACGAATCCATTAGCAGTGCAGGTCAACTACTGTTTCCACTCTCCTCATTAAGGGAAATAAACATTTCTCAGGTTTTAGAGCAGCTTGGCTTTACTGACAGGGTACTAAATTGGCACCGTTTCTTCAGCCCACTTGATGTGGAGATAATTTCAAACATATGCAGCACGCAGACAGGGAGGCATTTGAAAACCTTTGCAGCCTTTGTTTACAAGACTCAATGTTGAATATTAAGCTGACATCTCCTTTTTCCACAGCTGGCACCCCATTTCACAAAGAGACATTCTTTGTTGACCTCCTAATCATCATCAAGCCCCTGCGAACAGTGCAAGAAGGAAAATACCGTACCTGTGAGTGTTCAAGGACCGACGAGACTCCACCTGTTCTTTGCTTGTGTCCGAGTCTCTTGAAGATGCCCTGACATTGCTTTCTTCTCTGGAAGGCGAATGTTGGGGTTCTGCCCTTCTTGGTTCTGTTTTTTTCAGGGGACCTGCATTAGACTGGAATCGTTTTTTCCTGATGGCAAAAACAGAGTTCATATTTCGAGGGGCGAAATTTTGCGGGGCACGGTTGCCAAAGTTAGGCCTGGGTCTCACATGTGGAGGAATACGGAGCCTCATGAGAGCCTCAGCTTTGATTTGTCTGTTCTTGATCAGGTAGCCTTTATCCCTTAGAGACAGGGGTCTACCACCAAACGGCCTGGGGATATTGAGCAGCTGAGGTCTGTCTCTTCTGGGTTGTTTCGGATTGCCACGATCCAATGAAGGGTTTGAGGGGGGCATGATGTCAGATATTCTCCTCTTGCGGGGTCCTGCTGCCTGCCCCTGAGGGCTCCTGTTGTAGGAGGATGATGGTGGTGGACCTCCTTTCCACGGTGGAGGTCTGAAAGGGGGAGGGTGAGGGCCATCCTGTGCCCTTTCTCTGCTGTGGGATCTGCTCCCCTGCCTCTCCACTGGGCCACGCTGCCGCCTGGACTCTTGCTCAGATGACCACCTGCATATCCATCAAACAATACACAAATCATTATAATGACAGATCCATTGCCATGTTAAGTGGGAGGTGGGACTTAACTTTTATCCTATATCTTGCAGCCCCTTCACAGTGCCATGAAAAAAGAAACAGGTAGCAGTAAACTGAACGAGCAATTACAGAAGTAACCCTCCTTTCAATGGCATATGAAACCACATTTACATCCAAACCCAACAATCCCCTCTCATAACTATGGGTCAGGGCAGAGCTGAGGATATCATAATGACCCCTGTAACTAGGAGGGGTTGGCCAGCTTTAGCCTCCTTTGTCATAATTTTACCCAGCTAAGATCGCTGGTTGACTCCTGTACCTCTCTGGACCCGAGCCTCTCCCATGCATCTCTCTGGGGCTTCTCTGTGACCCAGAGTGCCCATGCTCCCCATTGTGTGGATGAGAGAAAGCTCCAGCCTCATTCCAGCGCTTCATTCCATGACCTGAGTGCTCATGGGGGCTTTGTCTGGGGTTGTAACTCCCGCGAGGGTCTCGTCTCCGCTGCTCCTGATGCGGAAAACCTGACTGCCTTTTGTGGCCTCTGAAAGACCCCTGAAAGGCTGGTGCAGAGCCTGGTCTCCTGTCAACTGGGTGGTTGCGAAAATGTCTGGGGGAGGGTGACCTGTGACCTGAGGGGTGGCTGTGGAAAGGCGGGTCTCTCTGATTCAGAGATCCTTGTGCCGGGCCACGAGATGCCGACTGATGTGGGATATGAGGGGAACGGTTTGGCCGAGACGGAGAGGGCCTCCTCTGACTGTGGTGTGGTTCCATTTTTGGGGGATATGACTGAAAGGAATCCTGATTCTGGGACCTCCATTGACTGAAACGCGGCTCCCTTTGCTCTCCCATTGGGGGGCCTCTTCCAACTACTGGGGGTCGTCCTCTACCCCTGGACTCTCTCCAGTTTCCTCTATAGCCCTGGACATCTCTTCGACCTTTGGAGTTGGGGTTGTAATTTCCTTCATTCGGTCCATTGCCATGGTTGTCCCCATAAGGTCTGTTAGGGCATAATGAAAATGATAACACTTTGATTAAGAAACATTAAGTAATTTAAACCATTAATGGGCAAAAAGAGCAGAGGTTTTGACCCTGGCCATCCATAACAACAAAAGATTTAACAATCTTAAACAAAATATCAGAGTATCAGTTCAGCTTGACATGATTAAACTAACATTACCTGGGCTTTAAGCGTGGGGGTCCAAAATGCGGTCTGACCATCTTTGAGGGTGAGTAATAATCTGTGGACAAAATACAATAAAAACAACAATGAGTTTAGACAACCAAAAGCAGATGTGCTACAATCCTAACCCAACCCTATAATCTTAACCCAACTCCATAATCTAAAGTTTACACAGTGACGCCAAATCTGAGCTATTTGACAAGAGTTGCACAAAAAAGGTGAAGGACAGAATTCCAATACCTCCAGAGATTGAGTCTGAAATCTCAAGAACTGTTTAAGGCGACTTTTCTGTTCCACAATCAACATCCTTTCAAATCTACTAACTCATTGAGTGAATCTGTTTCATATCAGTTTTTAAATACTTAGTATTAACACCAAATAAAGAAGATCTATAACAGCTGCTTGAAAACAGGTATCATTAGGTACTATTCAAATAAACACAATACTTAATGTGTATGAAACAGTTCAGTGTTTGTTTGTTTGTTTTGTTTTTTTGTTTTGTTTTTTTTGTGTCACAAGTCCATCTAATACAAAGAGAAAGTACAAAGTGCAAATTTCTGTGAAGGTTTGATGATTCCAAAGCCCACCCACAGCAATATAAAGACTGGTAATCAGAGATAAGCACCTGGTCAGTCTTAATCTAATCAGTTCTTTAATCATTGCCTGCTTTCAAATGAAACAGCTTGTAATGCATGAATGAGAGGGAGGACCTGAGAATAGATGCATATCTGCTTCGGACCAATTTTAATTTCTATGATCTAGCACAAATACCATGTCTTTGTTTAACTTTATAACAAGAAATGTTTGTAGTTTAGGGCATTAAAAGTGATCAGAGGTGGTCCAAACCACTGTTAGAAGCATGCATAAAGTGCTTCTTATCCCCTACAAGCATGCTCCTACAACATTACTAGGAACACCTGGCAATCCAATGCAAAGCAACAGTAACAGCTCTACCATAAACACTATTTTCAAGAAGCTTGTAAACCTGATCACAATTACAGAATCACATATAAGTGATTACTGTAATTTATGTTCATTGTTAAAGATGTAATAGGTGGTGGTGGTATACTTAAAGGGATATTCTGGCGTAAAATTAATTGAGGGTCAAACGCACTGTAACACCGAGTTAGACACACCGAGAGATGAATGTTGCCGACCGCTTGCTTCTCTAGTTACACCAACTTTAGTAACGCCCACACGATAGTAATACACAGCGGTCTGAGGAGCCACACACAAACCTCAACCAAAACGCCAATCTATAATCACAAATAATTCTCAGAACAGCACCTGACTTCATCAACAGTACATATAGGGTCCCAGCCATAGCACTAGCCACCAAACATCTTTTTAACTTTGCCTGATTTCTTTAGCAAAGAGACTAAACACAACTAATCTACGCTCTTCCAGCAGCCGCTTGTTTGTAGTGAGACCTCGGGCCAGTCCACAATCAACACCCTCTACAACTCAACCACCAACAACAATAAACTTCAGGAACATTTATCACTTGTCTGTCCATATCAACAAACTCTGAAAGTGTCGGAACTTCATTAAAGTCTTATTTGTGGTAAAGCTGTTGTTGTATTGTGCTGGATCGTAGTCAATCGGCCGCCGGGTCCTCGCCATGTTAAAGCTGGTCGGTGTAAATTTAGTTTCATGTAAGCTGACGTAACAGCAAAGTCCAAACCCGGATCTGCTGTTTCAACACACAAGCCGTACAATCATTTTGCTTCATGTTTACTTACTACACCCTAATTTAACTTTACTACATGACAGGATCGAAGTCGTATGAAATGGCTACATGAGAGATCCGCGGATTGGTCAGACATGTTTGGTCCAGTTTCAGACCTGATGTTTCCATTTTTGGTATCAGCAAGACGGAACATGAGACGACAATCTAGGCCTTTACCACCACATCGATGTTAGTAAGCACCTACGTTATATCATCCGAGGTAATCTTTGGCGTTATAAGCTCGGACATGGACACAAAGGTCGGGCTAACGCGAGTAACCTTATCTTCTTACCAAATTCACCTAGACCATATCAGCTAGCTACACAGGCTCTGGAGCTAGCTTTAGCGGAACGTGGCTCTCGAAAAAATTACATTTTAACTGTGACTTACTTGGACAGCGTGGCAGTAAATCCCTTCACAATAACTTTGTCAACACAAATGAGCTATTAATTCAACAATTTAGTTCACTACTTACCAAAGGCCAACAGTCGAAGAGGTAACGCAGTAGCTGCGCAGCTGACCAGTAAAATTAGCCACTGTAGCGCATGCGCGAGGCGTTTCAGCTCGTCCTGTTGAACGTGTAAGCTGCAGTTTGACGACCGCAGTTCTGGGACCGCATCTCTCGTTGTAGCAACAGTCGACGATAAATGGTTTATTAAAAGGCACTAAGATATTTGTTTTGTTCTGAAACCTCCACTTTTATAAAGTTCAAGAAAATATCGATTTACAGCGTCGTTGAGATGATAAAAGAAGACGAAGTTAAAGTTTATCTTATCAACGCTTTGGAGACAATCTGTCTGTGATGTTCAGAGTCCATCATGCATTATATCTTGAGCTGGGATAACTTTAGCTGGGAAGGGTAACCTACAGGTTATACTCCACTCTAAATCTTACTTTTATGGTGATCAGAGTTTTAGTTTTGTGAGCAGTTTTACAGGGATTAAAACAACTTATATTTGGTCAGTTTTCGCTGACATACCTGTATGTTTACTCGGGTTGGGATGATATGCTTTTCTCCCGATTCGATTCTTGTACAATTTTTTGGATGCCAATTCGATTTAAATTGCGATTCTACGATATTGTTGATTTTCTTGATATTTATAGATGGGTTTCTGTGCAACGTCATCGCAGGTATGCGCGTGATGTCTTAGGGCAGAAAGCGGGACATTTCTAATTTGTTTACTAGCGGAGTCAACTGAGAAAGAAAATGACAAGGAGCTGTTGTGCTGTAAACTGCACGAATCGGCAAAACAAACAATCGGCAAACATTACAACCCTGCTCTTGATATTAGAAACATCTAAAACAACGTCACAACCTGGTAAATTAAGTGAAATTCATGTACATTTACGCAAGTGTTTTTTTAATTTTGATGCAATCTAAGACACAGCGACTTTTCAGTGAAATGACATTTTATTGCAGTTGTGTCAGGGAGAACTTGCAAACAATACGGCATCTTCATTGATATCAGTTCACTCCGAAGCAGGCTTTTGCCCCATGGTTGCGCGCGCACCTATTATTGTTTGTACACAAGAAACCCGTCTATTCTGCATTTTTAACACCAGTGAAACAGTTGAATGATTGTGATTGTCTGCTGACTATTCCAGGAACCATATTTCCCCAAAAAATACACATCACTTGTGAGTCAGTTTTTAAGATTTATTCTTCAGTTTGAAAAAAAAAAAAAGTTGTAAAACAAAAAATCACGATACTTATGTGAATTGATTTTTCCTCCCACCCCTAATGTTTACCCTTTGCCCAGCCGCTCCACCATGCCATACACTATAAAATAATAAATTACTACTCATCAAATTATCTTTTACGTGTTCCCCAAAAGTGAACTATATGTCAGTCTTTAATGTTAGATTTTTTTGGAGGTGTTATTGCAGGGGTCTTCGTTTTGATGGGTAACAAAATTATTTATTTATTGATCCTTATGTGTAATCAGCTGTTTAATGTGTCCTCTGCATACTTAGCCACCCACTTTATGTTTGTCTTTGAGTCAAGGTAACAACTCAAGGAAACACACTCACAAATTGAAATCTAGGTTTACAGTTTATTGTTTCTTATCACATCATGACCATGCTAACCATGCGCAATGTCTACAATAGTTACATGACTCGAAGCTAACCGTTTTGTAATGTGGGTATGAGTGGGGTGAATTTATTGTAGTATTACTCTACGCTCATTTGCATGTGGTGAAATCACAGTGAGCAAAGAAAGCAGTATCGCAGTTATTGTGAAACGGCATCATTTGCAAGATACAGTGGAAACATTACAATTTAAATACTGTATGTATTTATATGGCTACCCCACTTTAGGAAAAAAAATCCCAGGAGTCTGGAGAACACAAATCTTAATGCCATTTTACCAGTGACATAATCATGTGTACAAGCTTTTGGCATAACTTTTTGCAGCATCATGGACAGTGATGCATTAAAACCAAGGTTCAAGTATTACAGGCCAAACACTGTAATTCTAGAGGAGAAATGTATACAGACATAAATTAGGGAAATGTTTTGCTCAAAAATCCAGTCCCTTGTAAGGCATCGCTACTGAAATTACATCTAGACATACCACAAAAAGAAGCATTTCACATATAAGTCCTGAAATAGTCACAGAATTAGAGGAACCCAGTACAGGACCACTTCTACCACTGAAGAAGAGGAAATATCTTCAAAGTGAATCTACAGCTACAAAAAAAGACTTGTTGATCCTGTCCTAGTTCAATCTGACACATAAGCAGCTGGATATCTATGTCCAATAAATCAACGCATCCCTTAGTACTTTGCCTTGGAAACCCTTGACATATCGAGGCACACTTACAGAAAAGCCTACAAAAAAAGAAAATTATGACATTAAGTTGCTCAGCTATCAGTATTTTAAACACTAGAAATCTGTTTCGTAGAATACTTTAGAAATGTGCAACTCGACAGCGAACTAAGCTTTTATGAATGTAACTAGTTGCTACAGAGTCCAACTCAGCTCTTCAATTCAGTCTGCAGCAAACACACAACAATGCAGCATTTTCTTTATGGTGGCAATATTTTTAAATGCATCGACACATTCAAGTCGGTAGCATCAAAATGAATTTCCTTTGTTGCATGCAGTTAGAAAGTCCCTGTTTAAGAATATTAAAGAATAAAGGGAGTCATCACATTGCCATGAAATTGAAAATGTTCACTGATGGGACCTTGAAGAATAAGTAAAAGTGAACAGCTGCTGCAGTCCCAAGAGTCCTAATGGATCTGAGTTTAGCTGATACATCCATTAGACCAGCCAAATCAGTCATCAACACATGCATTAAGGACATGATCTCAAGAGAGGAAGTGTTTAAAACTAGCCAATCATGAAGATGGTGAAATCATGCCTTTTCCAGTTAAACACTGAATTAGATATAAAGACTTAAGAGGTGGTAAGACAGAGGTTCAAATGCAGTAATCAACACTCTGAGCAGGCTTTATCACTCTCATTCTGGGACTTAGGAAGGGAAAGCTAGGCAATTTTAATGCTACCGTATGTTAGCACAACTGCATTTTCTTCATTTATATAATATTCAAAACCCTGATATTTTTCTCTTTGTCATTCTGTCACATACGCACACACACTGTCTCTTCTAGAGCCTCTCACATGTGCTCATCTTATGCACACACACACGTCTTCATAACAACAACTGAAGATTTAACAAACATACTTTCAAATGCAGTTGCTAATGGCCGTAATATAGGAGATGTTTATATTGCAAGTCATGTATTAGGTTCTCCTTTTTGTTGAAGTCAATCTCTATGGCTCTAATTCCATAAATGTGGTGACATAGGCACGCACCTAAAATGTGATGGTAATGTGCAACGGGGGGGCAGAGAGAAAAGGCTAGCAAGTGGGAAGAGAACAGGGAGAGATTACTGGGCTACTTGATGCTAAGTTTATTTGAGGATGGAGGCGGCATCCCGATGAGTTTTGAGTCTGACATAGGACTGACAACGCCCTCAATGAGGTTCTTGTTGCAGTCACCTATGTTGCCATCAGAGGACAGTTTGGGGAAGGTGACGCCGCCTGTCAGGTCTATGAGATCCTCGAGAGCACGGGTGTTGCTCACATTGCCATGATGGATTTCGTTGACTGGAGAGAACTCGGGGATTGAGATTAGCTCCTCTTTTGAAGCTGGGCTGAAACACAGAGATAGACAGATGCTTTTGGTCACTATACACACATGGATGACATACGCCTCAGATGTCACACTTAGGGTGAAAAGCTCAAATGCTGTGATAAATCACTGCTGTGTTTAAGATATGCAGATCAACTGATAATAAGGGATCTGACATCTGATTTAATCTCAGCTCATAAACTAATAATGCACTCAAAATGTTATGAAATATGAAACATAAAGGGGCTTTGAGCCATGTTTCAAGGCAAGTTTGTAGGTAAACAGCTACTATCAACATTAAAGCCTGTACTAAACCTAACCCAAGGTTACACTTGCAAGAGACTTACTACCTTGTTAGTATCATATACCATTATTAAAAGCTGATGACATTCAAAGACTTCCTAACAAGCAAAAGTTTAAGGCAGGACATGGCTGAATAACTGTCCACAGATTGAATGCAAAAGTTAGCTTGAAGGAAACCTCAAGATGATTATCACTTCTCCCCCCTTCAATGTAAAACCTAAAAAAGATTAAAGTAAACCTGTAAAACCTGGAGGGACATTTAGCCATAGCTTAAGGTGAAACTACAACTTCAATAAAATATTTTAACTCTTCAAATAATAATTGTAATGTTAGGAAGCGGCTGAATGCTATCATTAGCCGCTGTCTTACTGAAATGATGAATAGAGTCCACAAAAATAATTCTTGTGAGACAGTTATCTAAATGAAATTAAATGTCAAAAACCGTAGTGCTGTTTTTGACTGACTGTCCTTCTTTGATACAAATTGTATAAATGATAAATGCTGCTGCCATCAACAGCTTATGTTAGCACTGGACATTTTGCTAGCTGAAATCAGCATGAGCTGTGTGGCTTCCTAGTCCCAAATGACACTCTTTATTTGTGTTGAAAGTATTAAAACACTTTCTAACTTACACAATTGCAGATATAAAGCTAAAAACATTGAGTATTATCCGATTTTTGACTTTGGTTGGACATGAATAATGGCCAATGGTACCTACATGTTTTACTATCCATACAAAAAGAGAGTAAAAATGGTCAGATTCCCAATGTCAATTTGACTTACAACCTTTGATTTGGTATCATAACACTTAAACACCATTTATACTCCCATCTTCAGTATGGCATTACAGGAAAATTGTCATTGTGTAAAAATGGTCAATTGTCGTCCAATTTGTGTTGTGGTTTGATAACATAGTACCAATGACTCACTGAGACTCACCTGACCTCCATAGACTGCACCTCGTCACAGGACTCAGTCCCTTTCACGTTCAGCGGCTCCAGCTTAATGACTGGCGGGGAAAGGTGTCCCACCGGCAGGGGTGTCACAGAGGGTCTAACAGCCTCCACCTGGGACCCTCCTTTGGCTTTCCTCTCAGCTGTCACCACTTTTAGGCTTTGTTGTTTGCTTACCTCAGCTGTTACATGGCTTCTCAACAGGGCGTTTCCCTCCCCCTTCACCGCTCCGTTCATCATACCCCCCTCTCTTTGGTTGACAGCTGTTGACTTGGTTTGCTCCTTAATTATTTGGTCTGCGGCTTTAGCATTAGCCCTGTTCTGCAAGTTTACATTCATTTGCACCTCTCTTCCCTGCTGCTTGACGACACAGGCTTTGCTCTCTGTCTTGATCTGACTGACTTCACAGGCCTGTTTGGTGTCAGATCTCACGTCAGGAACATTTTGTGTGGGTGTCACTTGATGGGTGTTGGTTTTAACAGGCGAACTCTTCAAGTTGTCCATCTGTGCTGCTGCTACCACTGCTGCTTCTTTCTTCACCGGGGTGCATGCCTTTGTGCTGCCCAGAGCTGTGACTGTCTCTTTTACCTGAAACTCAACCTTTTTGACTGTTTGCTCATTTACCTGGACATTACTTTGAACAGTCTTTACTTCACCTGTGGAGGGTAAGAAAATACCACAGTGGGCTTCACTTTATTTGGATCATCCATTTAACAACTAATTAACATAATCGGACAAGTTCATGCCAAAAATGTCAAAAGTGGCACCTAAAGGAATTGAGAAATACACTGAACAGTCCAGATAAAGTGTTAGCTCACTGATGCAGAGCAACCCCTGAATGAATCTTCCAAGGACATTGTCAAGGATATCTAATTTTACAGTCAGCTCCCATGGTAATGCTCTACAGTAAAAGCTGCCCAATCAGCAGGAGAAAAGTCCTTGGTTGTTGCTCTATATTCCAGATAATACTGTGACCCAGCCCAGATGGCTCTTAATTTATGGCCTAAAGCATAAGCAAATAAAAGAAGAAAAATCTTGGATGATTCAAGCTGGTGTGGACAAGGATCATAGCTTTCATTCAAGCCAAGGCATCAGATATAAAACAAACAAACGAAAAAAAAAGCAGGGACAACTTGAAATCTACCTTTAGTTACTGCACAGCTTCCAGGTAAAGAAAAATCTGCCGACATGCTCAAAAGAAGCTAACAAAAATATATGTCGCACTGAAAACCATACATGCCCTGCTTGCATTTTTACAGCTGCCAGGCATGAAAAGAGAAGGGAGAGTGAGCAGGAACGGCAGGCAAACTCAAGTTTTTGCAGGGAGACTTGTTATCACACTAACCTGGTGGCTTGGTCTCCACCTGCTCCTCCTTCTGATTCAATGTAGAACAGAGATGACGGAGTCAGTGTTTGAGGTAATTAGCACGCAAAAACAAAGTCTGACCAACAGTAGAATTTAATAAAGATGAAAACAGAAAATTAGACTTTCAATAAATTAAAGTTGAACAAAAAGGTCTTAATCAATCAGTGGACGTTCAAAGGCAGCAGGATTACTGTTCGAGATCAAAAGGCGTCTCTTACAGTACCTTTAAATCAGCTTCAGCCTTCCTGGTTCTCTTCATTATCTCCTCAATTCTCTGCAAAACAAAGAGCAATATTCAATCACAGTTTGAACATGACAAAAGTGGAAAATATGCTCTTTTTGAAGAGTGCTTATAAGGGTTTGGAAGATAAAAGTCACCTTTTTTCTTAGTTGCCTCTCCTCTTCTTCTTGTTGTTTTTGTAGTTCTCTGTCTTGCCGCTGACGCTCGGCTTCCTCACTGGCTTGGACCTTTGATTTTTCTTTCTGTTCGGACAAGAACAAATCTTTTAGTGACTAAGAACTGCAAGACAAAGACAAATCAGAAGCCAATCCATCTGTCAAAAAGGTAATAACTGCCCGGCATTGATCAATGTTCCTCTACCTCTTTGTCAGTCGAGGTTTGTAGCTTCACATCCTGCTCTTCTTTCTTGTGGTTCTGTTCTTCTTGTTTAACCTCTTGCGGGCTTTCCTCTGTTTTTTCTTTCTCCTTGACTTGTTGAGCCTTTGCCTCCTGAGCACGTTGCTTTCTCAACTGCTCTTCCCTGAGTCTGTTTTGCAAGTGCATAAATATCTTTAACACATTTTAAGGCTCAAAACCCTGCAGATTATTCAGTAATTTTAGAATGAACTCACCTCTCTTCCTCCTCTTGCTCCCTTTTTTTCTCCTCCTGTTCCTTCTGAGCTCGAGCCTGGCGCCTGCGCTCTGCCAGCAGCTTAGTTGCCTCCTCTGCATTCGTTGTGCCTGCTGCCATTTTCCCTGCCGATGTGCATGTTGTTGAATCTGTCAAACACAAAAGGACTGGTGTAAGATCATATAAGTGCACTCAAACATACTTTAAAGTAATGTCGCAAATACTCAGGTATCATCTGCATAGAGTTGACCTTTTTTCTTGTCGCCTTCCTGAGTGCTGCTTTGTGTCTTCTTTTCAGATGGATCCACTTTGTTGTCCTTTCTGTCAGGAGACTGACTTTTCTCGCGTGTTTCTGCTTTAAGTCGCTTATCAAGGGTTTCAACTTTTGATGATCTGACATCAGTGTTGACTGTATTCTTTTCAGCCTGAGGAGATGGACTTGGTCCATTAATGGTGGTGTTTCTCTTCTCTGCAGTCTCAGCTTTGGTTTGTTCACCGTGTTTTTCTGTCTTCTTGTTTTCTGCTTTCCCATCATCAGCTGACAGGTTTGCATGATTTCTTGTAGGAGAGTAATGGTACTGATGTGCATTGCTGGGAGACTGGGCACGCATTCTTGATGCCAGCCTGGATACAGACAGAGATGTTTTTCATCATTACAAAGCGCTTAATGAGAGGAGAGGTATTTGAAATAAAGATAATAGCCTGAGTTTACAGAAATGTTTATACAAAGTTTAAAATCTTACTTGGAGGTAGTCGGGGAACCCAAGTACTTGGTAGCAGGAGATTCAGATCTTCTAACTGGTGATCCACATCCTGGGGATGCAGTTCTTCTTTCTCTGCGGAGCCGCTCTTTCTGTTAGTAGAGTCAGGTAAAGATATGAGATCTTGCAGCCGGTAGCCAAGCTTGCTCAGTTGTTTCGGATATTTTTTTTAGGTCTGTCAAGTAAAGCTGTTGGATATGTGCCTGCTATTACCTTGGGGGTATTAGGAGTGGACTGAGAGCCTCCCTGAAGCCCAGCTCTGCTGTGATCTGCAGGATTCAGTGAGCTGCAGAAGGGTGACCTGTGAGGGCTGCAAGGCGCTGCATGATGGCAAACACAATGCTTATCAAATCAGATGATGACAGATAAAAAGTGACAGAGGGATATTAATACAGAAGCCAGGGCGGGGGGCTGACTGAACTGTGTGTGCTGCAACCAACTGAGGTTTACAGACCTGCTTTTGCTGCCAAAGTCAGTTGGCAGACACAATGCTGGAGGAGACAATTTAGCCTGAGAATTTGTTGGATCAATAAAGTTCTTCTTCAATCATATGCTCGGGTATTGATTTTGGTTCTGATTCAGCTAAAAAGAGATGAATGATTGTCCTGTTTTAGATTAGGCCAGACTGATGGAAACTGAAGTCATCATCGTCTTTCTCCTGCCAGTATTCACTCATTACACAATGTATTTATGCCATGCTGGTCTTTCTTAGGCATTAATCCTTAGTCTGTGATCTCTTCAGTGTGATACATGCACACACAGGCCAGAGCTGCGGCTACAAATACTGTACATCACCAACCCTATTCACAACTCCTCTACCTTCTTCACACCTGAACCAAAAACCGCATATGAAAAAAAAAAAAACCCCATGGACTCAGACTCAGACTCAGAGTCACAAAAGCAATCCCCTAAACATTGAATGCATCATACAACAAGAGAAGCAATCTTCTGGCTGTCTCTCATAACTTCACCTCCATCTGTCACCATCTGTAAAGAGTAATCTCTAAAGAGCACAGCCCTCTCATTGGGATGCCTGTATCTGTTTCTATTTTAGTGCACATTTTTCTATTCTAGGTCAATGGCGATTAAAATCGTCCATCATCACTTAACTGCTTTCATATTAAAACCAAACCGTTGTCAAAAATAAAGAAACAAAGATGAGCAGAAACTGTGATGCTAATACCCTATAATGAAGAACTGCAAGTCTAGGCTGTCTGTAATCACTGTAAGATCTCTAATCAGGGGGAAACTAATCCTGCGTTTGGTTGGAGAAAAATTTGAGAGAGTCTACACAGTGGGAGTGTTCTTGAATTAATAAAAAAGCAGCATAGCATACTGATTGAAAGCTCATGAATTAGTGGAAAGAACAAGCCCCTTCAGACATAATTCAGTCTAAGAAATAGCAGAAACTTTTGTTATTGTCTTATTCCCCTCAAAGTGCCTTCTTGCTGTTATACTGCAGAGTTACGTGCCAGACAAGATCAGAGGACTGTGTGCTCTTCTTGTCCCCTATTTTGTCTTTCTCTCTCCTTGAATAGTTTATTCCCTTTATTGTCTTAGTTTCCACTCAGTCTGAGCTCTAGAAATTTTGATGTATTCGTTCAGAACCAAGAAACTATGACTTAAGTTTGCAGCCATATTTTTAGGGCCAAAGTTCGCTTCTCTTTTGTTTTAAGAAAATAGTGTCACTTTTTGTATGAAGCCCACAAAAATGAGTCACAGCCACAGTCACATAATGCCCAAAGCAGTGACCATTATTCCGTCAGACTCCAGTAGATGTGGTCCTAGATTGATCATAACATCACCACTCTTTCTGGAGAACTGTGGCAATATATCGAAGGAAGAACTCCTGAATTATTGACACTACCCTCCTAATTGTCATCCCTATGACGTATTATGCTTCAGCACTGTCAAAGATTAAGGCAGCAAAGCACAAACACAGCAGACATACAAAGCCTTGCCATCAAAGACATTACTGTGCAGACGAACATTATCTCCAAATGCACCAGCAAACAGAACAGAGCAGCCTAAGAAGCATGCATCACAGGAAGGACACATTTGCCTTTGGTTTAATTTTGGGGTTTCAGCCTGCTCAAAGGCAAACAGACACAGACATGGTAACTGTTGGATGAACAGGAGGGGATATACATTTGGGAGGGCAAAGGGGGCTTAACTTTACCAGATTCGCTGACAGCAGGAAGGGGGGAGGCAATGCCATGGGAAAAGGCGGAGGCAGCAGAGAAAGGGAGTGGGGCATTCTCACTGTCACCTATAGGCAGCGGGCGGAGCAGAGCAGAGCAAACAGAGCGTTATGAACAGTTTATCTGAGCAGTTCCTCATTCAGTTGTGGAGACCTGGATGAGAGCTAACACACCAGCAGGGATGTCATCTGACAGTCAGTATTTTGGTCTCATGGTAAGTCATTAGTGTTACACTTCCTGTAATGAGTGCAAAGAGCATATAGCATTATAGCCTGTGTTGCAGTTATTAACTCAGTACTTAATAGAGGTTAAAGGGATATTCTTGCGAAAATTAATTTAGGGTCAAACACATCGTGACACCGAGTTAGACACCCCGTCGAGAGATGAATGTTGCCGACCGCTTGCTTCTTTAGTTATACCAACTTTAGTAACGACCGCACGATAGCAATACACAGCGGTCTAAGGAGCCATAAACAAACCTCAACCAACACGCCACTCTATAGCCACAAATAATGCTGAGAACAGCACCTAACTTCATCAACAGTTCATATCGGGTCCTAGCTATAGTACTAGCCAGCAAACATCTTTTGAACTTTGCCTAATTTCTTTAGCAAAAGAGACTAAACACAGCTCACCTACTCTCTTCCCGCAGCCACTTGTTTGTAGGGAGAGCTCGGAATAGTCCATCATCGACTACAACGGGGTGACTCAGCTAAAGGAAGAACATTTTGGATAATTTCTTTATCATTTCCTAAAGTAATAATCACCATATTAATTATTTTGCGCTGCAGACACAGTAGTTCTTCTGCCTTAGCGTCTCGGTCTGATTGCATTTCCATGAAGAAATAATCATAAATGTTCTTCCTTGAGCTGCGTCACCCCGCAGCAGTTGGCGATCGACTTGTTCAAGGTCTCGCAACAAACAAGCGGCTGCTGGAAGAGAGTAGTTGAGTTGTGTTTAGTCTCTTTGAAGAGAAATCAGGCAAAGCTAAAAAGATGTTTGGTGGCTAGTACTATGCCTGGGACCCTATATGTACTGTCAATGAGGTTAGGTGCTGTTCTGAGCATTATTTGTGACTATAGAGTGGCGTTTTGGTTGAGGTTTGTCGATGGCTTCTCAGACCGCTGTGTATTGCTATCATGTCTTTGCTATAGTGTCATTACTAAAGTTGGTATAACTAGAGAAGCAGCGGTCAGCAACATTCATCTCTCGATGGGGTGTCTAACTCAGTGTCACGATGTGTTTGACCCTAAATTAATTTTACATCAGAATATCCCTTCAAGAAGTGAAGATTGGTGCTATAGAGACATCAGTGCAGGTTTGTAACTTCATCCTGTCTCTGTGGGAAACCAGGAACTAATGTCTGCTCATGCGTACTTCAGCAGCCAGGCTGTTGGAGAGAGAGGCCCATGGTCACACGCACCAACAGTCACTGAAACACTCTTACTTTTAAACAAAACCTCCAACATTCATTCAAATGCCTTCAGTCTCCCAAGAATAAAAGCAAACTGCAATCCTTTGAATAAAAATAAAGGTTTTCTCCTTTAATCTCCCTCTTCTTAGTTTTGAATCTAATCATTCAGACATTCGCTGTTCCAAACACAATCTTTATTAACAACTATAAACTTTGTTCTGACCTGCTCCTGAGTGGCAGCCTCTGCTCCAGCGTTTGGTCCTCTGCTCCAACTGAAGGCTACGCTCCAGAGAGCGTTTCATCAGAGCCTCAAGTCTCTCCTGAATGCAACACAGCAGAGACAGACTCTTGTGTGATCACTGTTGCCTAAAAACTGTTTTTGTGTCATTTAAGTCTTAAACATTGTGCGTCCTCTGCCAAAAAAAGAGAAGTTTATGAAACGTGATTTTGCATGAAATCAGCTGACCCTCTCCTCCTCAAGCTGCTGCCTCCTCTTCTCCTCTACAGCAGCTCTGCGTTGCTCCTCTTTCTGCCTCTGCTCCTCCAGACGCCTCCAGCGCTCCTCCACTGTGCGCTCATATTGCAGCCGAGCTCTGCGCTCCTTCTCCCTGATCAGCTGCTCCCTGGCCGCTGAAATCAAAAAGACAAATTCTGCTTCAGGGTAAATGCCAAAAAAATACATGGACCATGGTATTTGCCACTGGCTATCCTTTTTCAGCAGGTCATGGAAAGTTCAGGATAGATAGGGATAGAAATTTTTATTGTTTTCCAACAAAATTTTCATCAATGTTTAAAGCCACTATGAGGATTTTTGTTCACATCAATAAAAGAAACTGAAATTCATATACATGTATTTTTATATCCAAAAGCAAACAGGGCCACCAGGGACAAGGTTAGTGATTTGTTTACTCTAATATTTAATGCCTGGAACCAGTTATGGGGTAGGTGTCAGCCAGGCAGCTACAGAAATAGCCATTTTTACAATGTCTACATTTAATATTCACACTAAATGAAAGATTTGACTTCCAAAAAGTCAGCAGGATGAGATGTTTTGTCAAAAGTCACAAGTCAAACATGTTGAGGACAAGATTAACAAATATAGCTTTGTCCACAGGGGGCATTCAAAGTGACAAAAACAGAAAGTTCTTCACAGGGATTTAAATAAGGGATTTTCTTTGTGATTTGGTGGTAACTGTCATTTCCTCTTGCCAAACCTTCAAAAATTTCATAAGATAAAAGAAAATTGCCTTTTAGAAACAATGATTTTGTCCCCAGATCTGTAACTTCCACAAAGATAGAAATGCATGTCTCTGAGAGGAAACTGCAGGGGCTGCATGATTTACTGTGAGTGGGAGACCTACTTTTGTGGATTATTCTCCGTTACTGTCACATCCTCTGAAGTGACCGAGCTAATCACATCAAAAACCCAGTGAACTCAAAGTAAATCGTCTACTGGCAGGATAATACTCCTCCATGACCAATTAAACTGTAGAGAGACAAAAGGCCACCACAGAAAACTTTGGAGTGGAAAAAAACTACACAGCAGGATGCCTTTTTATTCACTCCCTAAAAAACAGGACACATCTTACCCAGGCTTCTTTCTCTCTCCTCCCGTCTCTCTTTGGCTAGTCGCATCCTATCATCAGTCTTCATGTAGCCCTCTACAACTGTAAGCAGCAAAGATGCAAGAGGAAGTTGTCAATGCAGCAAAACTAAAGTAGGGAGAAAAATCTGCATCATAGAAGCCAAAAGAAGACTTACTTTGTTTACCTGCATGGTTGTTGTTGATGTGTAAAGGGGATGCGTGCCCGTTTATCTGTGGCTTCTTCTCTGTGCTGGATGGAGCTGAAGTCACCATAATAGAGAGGAAGAGATTGTTAAAGAGGAATGACATCAGCACCTCAAGACTGGCCTGCAGTTCTCCTGTATTACCTGCAGAGGGAAACCTTTCTGCTGCTCTGTGTTCAATACATTGTGTTGCAAAATGCCAAGCATGGTATAGTCGGTCCATGCCAAGGGCAAACTGCAGCAATATGTAGAAGAGGGGAGGAAACTGTCCTTGAAGGAGAGCCACTCTAGACTTGCTGGGCGTCTTTTTAGTTATTTCTACTGAACTCTCACACTGGAGATCCTCCTCTGAGTTATTAGATACATCATATTATGTGTCACTAGTAAAGTGCAATAACCCAAATCACTGTGGTCTAAGAGACTTTTTAATGATCGAGTTGAAAGAGTGCATTACGTGACGAAAGCCGGAGAGGATTACTCACTGAGTTTGCGGGCTGGGGAGTTGTGGCCGTTTGTCGGAGATTTCTTTTCAGGAAGTAGAGCGATGGATGGTGGGGCCATTTTTTCACCTATAAAACACAATAGAATACACGAATAGTTGATCTAAACATTAGAGCTGATATCCTCATTTTAGCCTCACAGATCCCAGTCACACAGATGACTGGAGTGTGTGTGTGTATGTGCGCGTGTGTGTGAGTGTGGTGTGTGTGTGATTGTGGATTAATATTAAAAGCTCAAAACCCATTGTCCATCGACTCAAATGAGTTTTCTCAAACACTTTTCAAATGAGGCACTTTTTTTTCACACCACTGATGGGTATGATGTCCAAAATAGGACATTGTATTCAGTGCATATACTGATCACATAGAATTTGAGAATTTCCCAGTTTGGGATCATAAAGTCTATCTATCTGTCTATCTATCTATCTATCTATCTATCTATCTATCTATCTATCTATCTATCTATCTATCTATCTATCTATCTATCTTTACTTATTTTAAAGCTCCTGTAAGAAGTTTTTGATTGGTGAAACAAACTCAAATCAACAATGATAACAATGATGAGACCATTGATGTCAAGACTCAAAATTTTTTATTATAATTTTTGCATGTAACTGCTGTGAGGGGGTAGGTACGCTGAAGAAACAATCTTTACTTTTCAGGCACCTAATATTCTTGGTGTGGGATAAATATTAATGTAAAAAGACAGCAATAGGAGAATGTTCCATCATTTGATGCCAGTTCATGAGGGCTAGACCAAATAGCAGTGATTTAAGTGTTACCACCTTTGAACACAGGGGGGCTCCAAAGTCAAGACAGATAAAAAATTCCTTACTGCAGCTTTAACCAAACTGTTAAACAAGCATATTTGAGGATCAATGAGACAGCTGAAATACACAAATTACACAGACTATTAGAATAATCTTGAAGTACCCAAATGACTGCATGTAAGTCAGGTGTTGGAGTCCTGAGTGCAGCAAGTAAACTTAAGAGGTAAAATGATCATTATTCCTTTGTCTTTCAACTCTGAAATGCTCACACGCAGTTTTGTCTATCTACTGTAATTGACAGAGCTTTCATTCTGAAGTCTGGCAGACATCAGTGACTGAATTTTACATATGATTTATGTCGGTGTTGTTAAATACACAAGTGCTTAAATTGTGACATTTGTCATTTTCAATGAAAATATTTTATGGATGAACTCTGGTAGTCTACTGAACTACATTGTGTTTCTTTAGCTTTTATTGCTTTGAGGAGAAAGATGCTCATTCTCTATGCTGGTTCTTTATCATATAGAGTTGTCCAAACATTTATCCTTAACCTGCAGTTTTTCAGCCTAGATACAAGCTGCAAAAAGTAAACCATGGTAGAACAATCTGCCACTGAGACAATACTGTTTAAGAAAATGTTTTTTTTTTTCTTAATTCATTGTGTTTCCAAGTTTTTTTTGAAATCATAAAGACTTGAAATATGTCCTAAAAGAACAAGTGAGATAGTGTGACAACAGACGCAGTCTTTTACTGTCTGGATCAGAGCAGAGTGACTCAACTGTATCAAACATGATTACTGACCCATAGGGAGATCTCTCCACTGCCAGGGCGTGGAGGACAGCCTATAAATACAGGGCTCTAGAGACAATGACCCAGTCTACATAACCTCAAGAGTCATCAGACAATGAGTTTTGATTCTCTTAAAATAAAAGAGTGCAATATACGCGTATGCTGTGTCACTGGCATCAATATCTCCACCCATTTGAACCACTTTATCTGATGTGGGTTGTGCCATTGGAAAGGGGGAAAAACCTACACTCACAGCAGCGTTGCCTGATTATGGTTTGACTGTGACTGGTGCGTGTTCATTATTTCAAATTACTTAAAGGTGACTGACACAATGGTAAATGACAGAAACACAAAAGGAGGTATCGCTTCTGTTTCTGTCACTTTATCCCCACAAGAAAATATTTGCAGACAATTATATGAATCTTTTGGATAAAATAGTTAATGTCATTGCAGACCCGCATCTATTGAACCGGCACAGTGATAAACAAAACAGTGCAGCAGCATCACGCACAGTGGAAATGCCAATTGCGTCATTCGTGTGTCTGCCGAAACAAACCCCGAGCATCGTGGTGCCAAAATAACAACACAAAGCTTACCCGTGATAGCGTTGGATGCCGTGGTTGTTTTCGCCATGTTAGTCGTCACAGACTGCTTACACCCAAATGTCCAGACCCGTGTGTTCACCCTGAACACTCTGCAGTGATGTCAATGCAGCACAGGTATCCGTTTTCCTCCACGGCAGCAGGAAGCGCAGCCACAGCAGAAAAACACAACCAGACACCATTCAAACAGGCGGCATGATGAAGGTCGAGATGAAGGCTGGGGATGATGAGCGGGAGGGGATAGGTTTCTGTGGATGGAGTAGAGAGTGCGAGAGAGAAAGAGAGAGTGATGCTGGGACTGGAGCAGAGAGGATGATAATGCGCACACACAATTGAGTTTACTATCGAGCGACCTCACGGTGCGTCGCTGCGTAAGCCCGCCGTGTTGGCACGACATCACCGATAGATGGAGGCATTTCACCTGTGCACAGAGCATAACCAAGTTCAACACATACTAGCGGTTAATGCATTTAGGCTATGATATGGAGCTTTTAAATCTTCCCCTGTTCCTGCACTACTCTTGGAAATGGAGGGAATGCCTTCGCAGTTAAGGCACATAAAACTGGAGCTGCAATATTGGGCAAAACTCAATGGCTTTCATCAACCCTTCCCTTCTAAGTGTTTGTTGCAGGAGTCACTTGATTTTGACCCCAGGGTCAGGCACAGGCCATTTCTAGCCCACTGAGCATTTTTTGGTCTAAAATGAAAGTTTTTCAGACATCTAGATTTAGACCAAGTTTAGACTAGCCGCCTATACTACTACTACTATTACTACTACTATACTATTCTTTTGGTGAAGTACTTGGAGATCAATTACGCAACCCACAGTTGCTTTTTGAAATACATAAATATGAATAATGGGTTAAAGTGCAATGTCTAAAATCCGTCTGAAAACATACAGAATCTAGACAGTTGAAATTAGGCCTAAACAAAACAGACATCTATTACTGAGTGGGAGATGACATAAGTCACTGGGCCAAAACACACAGAGTAAGAAACGACAGCATAGCACAACATCTGAGCTGGTCACCTGTGCCACCTTAGCTAATTCAAGAGATGGATGTTAACTTGACCTTTTGAATCAAAAATCAAGTGAAGGGATAGGCCCTTAAGTAGAACATCTATTTAGTATTGAGGAAAGATCTTATCTAAAAGTCTTTACAGATTGATCCATGGACCCAAAGAGTGGTACTGCAGGATTTGGAGTATTTGTGGACCAGCCTGGGTATGGATTTAATAAAAGAATTTCTAATGAGAGCTCTGTGTTTACTGCAGAACTACTGGTAGTCCTTTGGGCCTTGTGGTGGAGAGGATACTGATTCTGCAGCCGCACTAATGGAGGAGGCGGATCAAGGGCTCGTCCTGAGATAATAAATGAAATTTTGTTTGTCCTGTTCAGAGTAGAGAAGTTTGACTGTGAGGTTGGTTTTCTTTTCACCCCCAAAATTAAAGCGTTATCAAGATTTGTAAACTATTGGGAAACATAGCAAAGGGCTATGTGGGTGTGGCCACTCTGAAACAGTCAAACATGTTTTGATTGAATGTAGATACTATAGTGCTGAGGGATGAGACCAAAGACTGTATATAGAATATAGTATATACAGTCTATGGATGAGACCTTTTTAAAACAAAGGCTTGGGACCATAGACTGTATATACTTTACATTGGATGAGTAATCTCATTACAAATACTCTCATAATTAGCTCATATCCACCATACAAGGTAATCCCAAAACTACCTGGCACACTCCACAAAAGTCTCCCAGATTTTATAACTCAAATGTTGGCAGGTTTGAGGAAATGGGGGAGGAAAAGAGAAGAGGAGTGGAGGAAGAGGAAGAGTGTGTGTATGCTTGTGTGAGTGTGCTTGTGTCAGTTTTATCTGGTGGAACCCAGTTTTAAAGGCTTTGTTGCTACCCATAGTGCTAAGTGTATGTGCGGTTGTGTGTCTTTGTGTGTATGTGTTGGGTCTAAAACCTGCCCAAATACCTGAAAACATATAAAGAAGAGAAAGACAATGGTATTTACGCGAGGAGAATGGACAGAGATAGTATCAGGTACAATCTCAAAACCACTCTGAAGGTATTACTGTCCCGTCTCTTTTATTTAGGGTTGTCCCTGGTTACACAATGTTTCTAAAGGATGGGGGGAAAATATGTGCAGCAAACGTAAGCACTCTCATAAAGCATAATTATGAAAAACAGAAAATATTTGAGGGTCAAGGCGACATTGTTGCATCAAACGAGCTCCTTCTGATAGGAGCGGATCCTCCTCATTACCTCCCACGATTCACAGTGGAGGATACATCACACACACACACACCTGCTGATAGGAGAAACGAGGTCACCGAAAAGTGAAGAAACACTCATGTGCTGTGTAATAAAGCTATTGGATCCTCCCACGATTCACAGTGGAGGATACATCACACACACACACACCTGCTGATAGGAGAAACGAGGTCACCGAAAAGTGAAGAAACACTCATGTGCTGTGTAATAAAGCTATTGGAGAGAGAAGTTAGAAAACACTCTTATATGATGTGTAACAAGAGGTCAAAACAGTTCATACTTGTAGTAAACTCTTACATAAGAATGTGAGTAAAAAATGATAACTTCTATATACATTTATACACATTATTCTGACAGTATGTGTGTTTATGCATTCACAGGGCACACTAAAGCCAGAAGAAGGTCATTTTGGTCTGATGGTATTGTTTTTCAAACTTTCCTCTATCTTGGTTTTAAATAATCAGCCTACGTTCTTAGGTATTGCTGTGCCTTTTGTGTTTATGTAGATTAAGTAATGAAAGTATGTTGGTGTTTTCAGGCTAAAGAAGCAAAACTCACAGTTGTATGTCGTGAAATAAACTAATGCATTTTGTGATGTAGATTGAGACGATAGAGTAGGGCCTACAAACCCCCTCAGCCCCAGGACCTACTATTAGGACCTACCATTAGGTTAAGGCGGCCCTGCTTGGGATTGGTTCCGTTTTCGAATAATTCATCCTTTGGCCTCCACGACGACCACCTGCAGATTGTGTCGGCAAGATTACTGTTTCATATTCCAAAATACAAAAAACGAGATTGTGACACCGAATCCGACCAGCGAAAGGCAGTAACACGCCTAGTAGCGTCGAAACCGCCGGAAATAACAGAAGAAGAATGTGAGCGGAGCCGGAAGGACAAGGTTTGACAGAAGGACGGAGCCGTGCTGAGCTGGGACTGTTGTGAACTCGCTCTACGAAGATGCTGTCCAATATCTCCAATGTGCTGCGAGCTGGCCTCCAGAGAAATGTAAGTTCACACACCGGAAACCTAAACCGAGAGGAGTTTAACTCAGTCATGCCGTCTGAAAGCTCCTGTTTTTATCTTAAAATTAACTCTGCTCTCTGTTCTGACCTTGCGAGGCCGGAGGATAGCTCTCGGCTAACACAACTAGTCTCTGCAAGAAAGGACTAAACTCTGTGTTAAAGCTGTAAAATACAGAGAAAGACTGATCCACTGCTGCTTACAGACAGTATTTAGCTGTATATGATTTGAGTTTATGGCTCGAATTGTGGGCGTGCTCCTCAAGAGAGTACTGGGCTGTTTATGTTCCGCTGACTAACTTTCCAAAGATAGATTTTCTTATTTATTTTTATTCACATAATTTATATGTATAATCTGTTTTGGACTACCTTTCTGATGAACTGAAATAGATATATGTCTTTTTTGGGTGTAAAGGCTTGTCTAAGCATTTTAAAGTATACAGGTGCCATTTATTTTTGGTCAGTTTTGTGTCCTTTGCAATAAAAAAAAAGAAGATATATCACAATATTAATAATTTTGGCGCTTACTGCACACTAGAAACTACTTTTAGTAATTTAAGAAGATGACACATTTTAAAATAATCAATTTGTAATTATCAATGTAATTTATTTATATTACAACATTTGAATCGCAATAGTACATAAACCCCAATGAAACATACATTCAGTTTTTAGAAAGATATTTTGTAATTTTGCCTGTGAGTTTCAGCACAAATACAGCAGCAGGTTTTAAGTACACAGATAAATAAGTTAAAGACCACAAAGCTCCATTCTAAATTTGATGTTTTTCTTTATTGGATATCAGGACCGTAATTCACAATGTCATCGCCAACACATACAGTAATGTGTACCACACCATGACACCTCAGTTACAACACATATTTGTTAGTTAAATGTATGTACTGTTTATGATCAGCAATTTTACCATTTGCAGTTTTGAAAAGAACACATTTTAGGGTCACACAACTTATAGCTGCTGGATGCATATAACTTATACAGTGGCTCAAACTGTCACAGCAATAGGAGGTCCTTCATAATAAAGACATCAGGGTTCTAACTGCATGTTAACACATATTTTTTAACACATTTTACAAAGTATCTTTTTGTAACCTTACAGTTGAAATCCTTCTCCAGATAGCTCAGTGTTTGTTCAACTGCACTTCAAAAAGGGGACTCTTAATGTACATGATTATTATTGCTTACAGCATTGCTGTTATTGTCACATAGGTGTCTATATGACAATATACAAAAACACCAAATAAATACAGTTTATTTGGTGTTTTAACATGGACTACAAGTTCATTTCATTTTCTTTTATTCTAGTTTTATTTTTTATTTTTTAAACGTGTGTGCAACACAAGAAAGTAAACTGAAAATAAACAAACAAAACCAATGAGAATATTCAAAACAACAATAACAATATTTTTTTTTAAGCAATAAAATAAAATAATACTAATAATACTGCGAACCCAACACGTCCGAAAAGGAGTAGGATGAAACATTATGCTTTTTTTTTTTTTAAACATACCCCTTCTTCTCTACTCAGTAGAGTTGAAAAGTTAAATTGCATGAGTCATTTTTTATTGAACTTTGCCTGTGTTCTGTCAGATGCGGTCTTGAGGTCTCATCGGGAGTTTTATAAAACATCATGTTTTGCAGACTCATAGCATATTTGTGGTTTGTTAGGCTGCTTGCAAAATCACTAAAATGTTTGCTGCAACTGCAAATCTGTGACATTGGTGACACTATAATGTGGTGTTGAAATGCTCCTGACATGCTCTGACATGTTAATTTGGTTTGCTGTGAGGTTCTGATAAGCTGTAAACCTTGGCTGATTTGAGAACTTTTGTCTCTGTCTTATTTTATTTGGATTTGTTTTGCCTCTTTTTTTCTGTTTTGTAATCAACTTGTTGTCCTTCTCAGGGAGCTGCAGTTGTTATGTCAGCACGCACATATGCTGACTTTACCCCTGAGGCCACATTTGAAATAAAGGTAAGCTTCACACATCAGCTTGTATTTTCTGCGTAGATAATCAAAACAAACCACAGACTCTGGCTTACAAGGTCCTTTTCTTTCTCTTCTAGAAATGTGACCTTCACAAACTGGAGGACGGTCCAGCCACTCAGGTCGTTATGACTCGTGAGGAGGGTCTGCAGTATTACCGCATCATGCAGACTATGAGGCGTATGGAGCTGAAGGCTGATCAGCTGTATAAACAGAAGATCATCAGAGGATTCTGTCACTTATATGACGGACAGGTAACAATAACTAAAGCTTTTTCCAAGCTCTATGTTCAAGGTAGAAGAATTTTCTTTTCATGAATTCTCTCTCTGACGACCAACTTTGACAAGCATAAAAATGATTAAAGTCATACCTGTTGTTCTGATGCGTGTTAGTCTGTTCACCACACATGCATGCTTACCCAAACATCACATCATCTGTTGTTTGTCCTTGTAGGAGGCCTGTGCAGTAGGTATTGAAGCAGCAATTAATTTGTCAGACCACTTGATCACTGCGTACCGTGCCCATGGATACACCTACACCAGGGGAGGGACTGTAAAGGAGATCATGGCTGAGCTCACCGGTAAGACTACAAAACTGTATCTTTTTGGCATTTACAAACAAATTTGAGTTTCAGCAGCTTTTCCATCCACTTATGTGTGTTTTTTGTTTCAATTTACAGGCAGAAGAGGAGGCATTGCAAAGGGCAAAGGCGGCTCTATGCACATGTACTGTAAAAACTTCTATGGCGGAAATGGAATTGTTGGCGCTCAGGTACGTCGCTGAAGTCTGTCGGCAAGCTGTTGAAACCAAATTTTCCACCCTATCTTGCAGCTTGTGTTTTATTATGTCCTACAGTGTCAGATCTAACAGCTTAGTCAAGTTAGTCTGCTAATTTTAGAAAGGAGTGACGATATCACTGGAAAACAAAATTAGAAAAGGAAGTTTGATATCAACATGTCCTGCCACTAGGCCGTCAGTTTGATGCTCAAGTCTTCTAAGGGCTAAACACAGGTGTCATGCTGCTAATGTTGTGGAAATATAGTCAGGAAAATATCAGGAAAAAAAAGAGATTTCAGAATATTCTGAGCTTTGAAATGTGTGTGCTTTAATGTCATTTTATATCCAGACCTGAAGACTATGTGAAAGATACCTCACATGAAAGATTAAACTTTGAAATATGAGATTTTTTTTAAAAAAGAAAAATTTGGGTGAGGTGACTGCAGGTGCGGTGTGCTGTTATGTAATTAGTTTTAAAAAAAGGGTTTGTTTTCAATATAAATGAAATAACTCTGACATTTCTGAATTTTACTCAGGTTCCCCTTGGCGCTGGTGTTGCTCTTGCCTGCAAGTATTTTGGCAACAATGAGTTGTGTGTCTCTCTCTATGGTGATGGTGCTGCCAACCAGGTACGACAAAGAAATTGCTGCATCTTTTATGTCTCTGAGCTACGCTGTAAAGTGGGCAGTTGTAGTTCCACACAGGGTTGTAATCTTCTCCATGAAAAGGGAACATTTTACAACAGCCCAACCTATTTAAGTGCACAGACAAAAAAATACATATTGATGTTACTTGTTGTGTTACAATATGTAAATCCATGTTTTTCTCAGGGTCAGATATTTGAAACCTACAACATGGCAGCTCTTTGGAAGCTGCCTGCCATCTTCATCTGTGAGAACAACAGGTATGGCATGGGCACATCAGTGGAGCGAGCTGCAGCTAGCACAGACTACTACAAGAGAGGAGACTTCATCCCTGGTCTCAGGGTACTGCTCTTACTTATGGCTTCAGACTAACAGATAACAGTGACAAACTTACGGTTTCATGTTGGTGAATTTTTTTGTCATTTTCAACAAGATACTTTTGGTGATAACTTTATACAGTGCATTGGAAAAAAGGCTGCTAAATGGGTGTCATCTCATGAATTAGATACTGGGTCTAGCATCACTCCAAACCTTTGTTTACAGCACATTAATCTAGATGTAATGATACCTTAGTTTAATGAGGTCACTGAAACAAATTTAGTTTTAGTTGGTGGGATTTTATTTTCTTTTTCTGCCTGAAAACCAGTCATGAGAAATTTCTACAAAGTACTTCTGGACACAAAGTGTTTCTGTTTTGCACATAGGTGGATGGGATGGATGTTCTGTGTGTTCGGGAAGCTACCAGGTTTGCAGCTGATCACTGCCGATCTGGAAAGGTGAGCGAAAAACGTCAAACGTCAAGCAGAAGACATTGTTTTGATTTTTCTCTGTTTAATTATATTTGCTCTGTCTTTCTTTAGGGTCCTATTCTTATGGAGCTGCAGACCTACCGCTATCATGGACACAGTATGAGCGACCCTGGCGTCAGGTAAATAATTAGTTCCTCACATTTTATGACTTTACATTAGGCTCTTCAAGTATGTTGTAACTTATCATATTTTTATAGCATTTTTAACTATTTTAACTAGGGAATGGAACTATTTCTGATTATTTCATTCATTTATTTGTGCTAATCTGACCTACAAATGTTATCCTCACTGTGCTGCTGCCCCTTGCTTCTGCTACTGTAGAAGTAGTCATGTAATCCTCCTTCCGCTGTAGTGGCTTTGCCCAGCCCTGATCGAAGCCCAGGGATGGACTGAACATAAACAGTGTCAAAGCTATTGGCTGTTGCAGAAATTTGCCTCGCTCAAATAACACAGCAGAAAATCCTCAGAGTAAACTCACATTTTGTTCTATTTGTTGGTTTTGCGAAGGACCAAATATAAACGTTTTCCATAATCACAGCAGTAAGTTAAATTGATAAAATGCTGGTAATCAAGATTTTCAAATTCTTTGTTGGCATCAGCTCTAAAACGAAAATGATCGCATTAGTGCATCCCTACAACTTCCCTGCACCAATCTGTCCCATTTCAGCTATCGCACACGTGAGGAGATCCAGGAGGTCCGTGGTAAAAGTGATCCCATTTCCATGCTTAAAGATCGCATGCTCAGCAACAACATGGCCAGCGTGGAGGAGCTCAAGGTAGACACTGTTTTTAGTTTGTTAGTTTAGTAAAGAAATCATATTTTATACATTGTCCTTGACTAAATTTCCTTAATTTAAAATGTCATGTCCTTATTAATGTTAAACTGTGGATTAGTTTCATAATCTTCTTTGCCTGTGTTGTTTCATTAGGAAATTGACGTCGAGGTGAGGAAGGAGATTGAAGATGCAGCTCAGTTTGCCACCACAGATCCTGAACCTCCACTGGATGATCTTTGTAACCACATTTTTCACAACAACCCTCCCGTGGATGTACGCGGCACGAATCCCTGGACCAAGCTGAAGTCTGTTAGCTAAAGTTTTTTCATGACCACACTCGCCCTCATGATAGTTACTGAACAGCCCCGCCTCTCACGTATTGAAATGTAACATAACTAATGCCTCAGACCCAGAGCTCCAATCATCAACAGTAATTTTTCAAATCTATCCATTTAACAGCAGGGACCACATTCACAAAGATACTCCGAGGGTAAAACTTATGATACAACACTAATAAATAAAAAACTTAAAATGTATTATCTTTATGCTGTTTGTCTGGCCCAAAGACCCCGAATTAGTGTTTATTTACAGATTTCAAAACTTACAGTTCTAACTTCCGAGCCATTGACTGCCAAACATGCCTTACTGAGGGAGTGTACATCAGGCAGATATGGCTGTAAGTTTGATAATTATTTGAGGGTTTTGATGTTCACAACAAACTGCTTGATTTATTTATCATAGTTGCAGTTAATTTAGTTTCTTAATTATTTTACTTTCTGTACAGATTATTTAATTATTGTTCAACCCCCACAACAAATGGTCATGTTAAAATCACCCCCTGAGAATGTGGATTATTTATCCCATTAGAAGTACATTTAAAGATATACTATATGTTGTATATTTGCCAATACTTAAGTTTAATTTAAAAGGGATTTCTTAAAGCGCTTACTCTGTTTCACATTGAGAAAGTTTTGTAAATTTGGCCCCGGCTCAGTATGATATCAACTATTGTTTGATGGTTTTCTGTGGTTACATTTGAGGTATAGTTAACAAATGTTCATCAATCACTGTCCATTATTTAAAAGTAAAACAAAAAAGTTTGTACTCTCTATACTGGAGCATACATGTTGAACCATTCAGTTTTAATGTTTGTAGTTTCTTTAATCAACCCCATTGTTACAAAGACATCATAAAGGGCAGCAGGGTGAAAAACTTTTAATATGTTTCCATTTTTTTTTCTTTTCTGCTAGTACATGAGGGCAAAAAACACCAAGGGAAAAAGTCTAAGATTTAACTTTATCTTGCCAAACCAAACATGTGCCTGGCAGATCTCTTATTGCTCTCAGAGGGTGCATGTTTAGCTTTATGATTTGTCACACTCCCAAGCTGAGCAGGTGATTCTGTGCGTCTAAAAGTCAGGTGTTTTCTAGGCGTGTTCAGGGTGTATTTGTATAAACATAGTTACTTTGCAGATACTCAGGTGCTAAGGTGCCTTTCTGGAGTTCATGTCTCAAGTGCAAACTGTTCATTTTTACCAGGAGAAGCTCATATTCAAGTGGACATACATGAGGATGTTTGATCATCCTTAATTTTTACACTCAAAATGAACAAAGACTGGCCTAGCAGTTGCCTTTAACAGCTGTGCATTGAAACACTGTGACTTTTAGACATTGCATCCATCTGCAAAGCTTGACATTTCACATCAGTCTCCTTATCAAAGGAAGATGTCTTGTTATAAGCCGGTGGGTACAGCAGAGTAATCATCTTAGCTGTATGTTCCACTTGTACTGTAATATGCTGTGTAAACACATCAGCAGTGGTTCTTCATTTGCTCGAATGTACAGGAATATATGTCAATGGACATTTTAAATTTCAGTCTGTTTTTGTTGTCAAGTGCTTCAAAACATCGTGAAAAGATGACAGTTCTGACATCTCAGGTTGCAAAAATGAAATTCTACCAATCAGAATGTAGTGCAAGAAGCGAGCTGTGGTTTTGGCATATCTGTGACAAACGCAACCACAAAAATGCTCCGAATGTTTCGTTAGCAACGTGAGAAATATGTAATGGCAAAAGAAGACAGACTAAAGTTTAAAATGTAAACGCCTGTCTGGATACAACTGAAAAAGGCTACAGAGTGAGTTGTAAGTTAATAAACTGTTGCACTAAGGTTGGCAGATGAAGCAAGGAAACGCTCCATGGAAACATTTTATGTTTTGTGTGTGCGTCATTGTAATAAAAAGCGCAACAGGTATTTTATGTGTGGACCGAGTTCTTTTAGTATAGCCACTGGTTAAAAACATAAACCCCTGCTCATGCCCAATCTTTAAGTAGATTCTTTCAAGTATAAATGAACATTTCAGAAATCCACAGATACACACTTAGTATCCATTATTGTCATCTGATATATCTTCATCACCATTTTTATTCTGGGAACTGACCTGATGTTTGACATTCATGAGTGTTGGCCTTCAGTTTCAGATATTCACATCATACCTACTGTTAAGAGTAAATGTCAAGGATATCCATGAGAGTTCTTTACATGCCTATGGTCTTTTAATAACACTAATTTTAGTAAGGTATGGATTTAAAAAATGCTCACTGAAGTTTTTGGGCGTACATTTGTTTTTCAGCTTGACATTGACTGAAGTCTGACATTCTGAATGTCATGAAACCTGTCGGCCAGTTATAAGATAACAAACTTAAACGGGTTAATGCAGAGAACTGTTGCATTTGTTTCACATTGTAAGAGTTAAGGTTTGTGAATAGGTTGTTGCTGAAAACATTCAGGCCTGTTTTTTATGTCAGCTACAGGTATAATGTGTCAGTTTTTTAATGATTGTGAAGCAATTGTAACATTATGTTAAAAAGTCAAAATCAACCAAAGCCAGAGATTTAATTCTGAAAGGTTAAGGTGTTTCGATCAGGAATCCAAAGCATATTGCAATTCTTCAGTCTTAGAATGTGGTCATGATCAGAGCCGGCCCAAGCCTCAATGGGTCCCCAAGCAAAATTTGATTTTGGGGCCCTCTATTTCTGCCAATAATGATTGTTAATCATTCACACACCTTCACAAATCTCTTTGATTATCATTCCATAACATGCAAACATACCTTTATCTTGGCGTTTTCTCTCTTCTTCCTCTTTCTTGCTCTTCCTTTTCTCTGCTCCTGTAGGATATGTCCTTTTTTTGCGACACTGTTTTGCCCAACAACTACCTGCGCTTTGGATGCTTAGTGCACATTGCACAGCAGAGGACACACAACAGTAGTGGAGCTTTGACATATCTGCAGTAAGAATCACAGGCCTACATCAGCAGCAGCACTAAAATGTTTTTACTTTATTTTATTTAAACAATGATATATATTTGATCATACAGAAAGCATCACTCATACATGCAAAAAAATAAAAGATTCAATTGTTTTTTTTAAATTGTTCTAGAGGGCCCCCTATTGGCTGCTGGGCCCTAAGCAGGCCATAAGTTCCTTATGCCATCGGCAGACTCTGGTCATGATCACTTTTACTTTGATCACAGTAAGGCTGAGACAACTGACAAATTACAAACACATCTAATTCAAGTAAGATGAAGAAGAAAGAAATTAATATTACACACTAAAGAGCTCTGTGCCAAATGAAAGAAAAAAACAGAAAAGCTTACAGCACCTGGTATTCCCAGGCGGTCTCCTATCCAAGTACTAACCAGGCCTGACCCTGCTTAGCTTCCGAGATCGGGCGTGTTCAGGGTGGTATGGCCGTAAACAATGGTGACATCTACAAAGAGACGTTTTAAAGGTCCCAGTGCTCTACAACCAAAAGTGTTCAAAGGTACCAGTATGCGGCGGCTGCTGCTCTAATGGGGAGCAGACCTTGTTCCTTTTTTAAACTCAGTCCAGGATAATTTTTTCTCTAGCCACTCTGCTTTCTAAAGCGCAATAAGGTGCAATAAGGTGCATCTATGCCAAATGAAAAAAAAAAATTATAAAATGCTTACAGCACCTGGTATTCCCAGGTGATCTCCTATCCAAGTACTGACCAGGCCCGACCCTGCTTAGCTTCCAGGATTGGACGAGATTGGGCGTGTTCAGGGTGGTATGGCAGAAGGAGTTATCTTATTTGTGTTTGTACATTTTGAGTGACGGAGTTGATAGATAAAGACAAGGCTAAGCATTATTTTGAGGTGATTAGACCTAGAACATTGCTCACACCGATGAAAAGAAAATCCTTCGAGTCAGACTTGAACCAGCGACCGAAGGATCACAGCAATTTCCATCAGGAACATCCAACAGTCCTCCACTCTACCAACTGAGCTATCAAGGTGCTCTCTGGTCACAACTGCAGAAAACATAGTGGCTGACACAACACACTATGCCCACACAACTATTCGACCACATGGTCAATCAAAAGTCCAGCCCTACCTGCAGAACAAACAGAACAAAGCTTTGCAGTTTGTACCAAACAGTCATCGCCAGGGACCCAGAACTGATAATCAGGAATTTTAGGCTGGGTGAATAAAAAATTTATGGTTGAAAAATTAAGGAGGAGTTATCTTGTTTGTGTTTTTACATTTTGGTGGAGTTGAAAGATGAAGACAAGGCTTGGCATTGTTTCAATGTGATTAGACCTAGAACATTGCACACACCAATGAAATGCAGGTACTTCAAGCTGGAGTTGAACAAGCTACCTTAGAATCACAGCATTTCATATGAGGAACTTCCTACAGTCCTCCGCTCTATCAACTGAGCTATCAACATGCTCTTTGGTCACAATTGCAGAAAACATAGTGGCTGAGACAACACACTATGCCCACACAACTATTCGACCTACATGGTCAATCAAAAGCCCAGCCCTACCTGCAGAACAAAGCTTTGCAGTTTGTATCCAACAGTCATCGCCAGGGACCCAGAACTGATAATCAGGACTTTTAGGCTGGGCTTTTATTGATATGGCCAATCAAAAGCCCAGTCCTACCTTTAGAACTGAGCTTCACAGTTTGTATCCAACTTCCTACAGTTTTGAAATTGAAATTAGATCATATCCTATGGTGGCCGAGAACCGCCACTGCTGCAAGTAAAGAAGATTGAAAAAAAGAAGAAAAACACAAAGGAAGTTACTGATTCAATAAAAAAGTAACCAAAGCCTGCTGCAAATAAAAAAATAAACGGTGCCGATGAAAAAAAAAAAAAAAAAGTGAATGACGCAAATAAAAAAGTGGTGATGCAAAAACAAAAAAACCTTCTGTGAAAATAAAAGGATGCATATAAAAAAGCCACAAGGGAAGTGAGCTGCCAGGGACCAATAATGATCGGTGTTTCACGATCGAGGCACAGAAGACGATGGCGAAAAGACGAGCAAAGAAGTAAGTGGAAAGGTTATTGTTTAATTTCGCTTCGTAAACTCTTTAATGTGTCATTTGGTTAGGCCATGTAGCACCTGAGTCGATATGAAGTTGAACTGGAGGATGCCGGTGTAGCGTTAGCTTCAGCGAAACTAAACAATAACCTTTCAACTTATTTCTTTGCCCGTCTTTTCGCCGTCATCTTCTGTGCCTAAATCATAAAACACCGGTGCATCATTGTTATCGGTCCCCGGCAGATCACTTCCATTGTGGCTTTTTTTATTTGCACCGTTTTTGTTTTTGTTTTTTCATTTGCAGTGGGCTTCTGTATCTTTCTTTTTTTTTTTTGCATTCTTTTTTTATTTGCAGCAGTGGTGGTTCTCGGCCACCGTAATATCCTGATAGGGATCCGTGGTTCTGAAGGAAAAGGGCCTAAAAAACAAGGTAGTTCACAAGTGGGTAAAAACCGTGATATGTGCAAAAATCAGCTAATTAGCTCCAGAAGATGGCAGTAATGCAGTTATGATGACGCAGCTGCTGCTAAACCTGCACGTCGAAGAAGAGGGGGAGGCGGAAGAAGAAGGCTCTTCAAAAATCCTGCCAACAGCCTGAAACGCGTTGCCAGCCTGTGGCTTCGTCTTCCCCTCACTACAGCATAATGGAGTTTCTGTCTCACACAGCCATGAAGAAGGAGCTCTTCTGCACGCTTTGTGCCGCCACCTTCCTCCTCTTCCTCACCAGCACAGTCTCATCTGCAGACGAAGGCGCTAATGTGAAAAACTCCCAGTGTCACAACTACGCGGGAGGACACGTCTATCCCGGGGAGGCTTTCCGTGTGCCTGTGTCTGACCATTCCCTGCACCTCAGCAAAGCCAAGAGTGAGTGTGTTTCACATGCTGTCACCCATGGGTGACAAGTTATCATTTGCATATTAATCAAAACAGTGTGTGCAGTGGTTAGCATTTCCTCTTCTAACAGCTGCTGCAAGTTTTTCATGGTGACCGAGCATAATACAAGGAAAGTGAGTGTAACTTCAGCTTCTGTTGGTTTATACTTGTGTTTTATTCCGCAAAAGAGGTCAATAAAAGTCAGATCAGATGATTTTTGAAGGACACGTCACTCTTATTACATTCAAAGCTGATATCCCTCCGCCCCTTTCACACATGACAAGTAGTCTGCCAGGTCACAATAACATTACAGAGAGCTGAACAAGTAAACTGGATTAACTGGATTTTTTTATATGCACTCTAGCATAGAAATCTAAGATCTGTGGCCATCAATTTAATTCACCAACCAAGTGTTTTCTTAAGTTTGTCTAATGTCTTCCTGTGTTTTGAGACATAGCTGTGCTCCACAGTTTGCAGCATTTCTCAACACAGTGGTTGTCAACATGTCTCACTCTGGGACCCACATTTTCCACGGCCCTGAAGTCCCGACCCACTTTTATAGAATTTAAACCAAGCAAATTTATTTTTAATAATAAAAAAAAACTTTTAGAGACTCTAATCTTTAACATAAATCCACTTGTTTTATCGAGTAAAGTGCATTTGAGAGCACATGAAGGGGACAACATGAGGACCACAACTACTGAAGCTGCATGTACAAAAAATATCTAATAAATATCGCATTAAATATTTACTTTTTTGACCAGCTGTTTGTCGCCCATCCAGAACATGTTCGTGACCCACTTTTGAGTCAGGACCCACCAGTTGAGAACCACGGTCTTAACACATTGTTATATGGGGCATCATGGATCCATGTGATTTTTGATTGATGACTTTTTGGAGCCATGTGCTTCATTTTAAAACTGAAACAATACTCAACTCCAGGTTTTGCATTTAACTTGATATTGTGATGGAGCTGTTAAATACAGCCATGCTGTTATTCAGACTGGCAGCACAAACTGGAGTGCAGTTTGCTTAGATGATCCATACAATGAGAAATGAGTCTAGAAAAAGTGCTACATTTTTTGTTTGGTGGAGAACAGTTTCAGAAATAATAACTAATAATAATCTTTATCATAACCTGAATCACATAGGAGGTGCATAAGAAACTATGTATTTTTTCATCCCTACTGTTATTAAACAATGTGTTTTTCTCGTTCATCTCCAGTTTCAAAACCTGCACCGTACTGGGAAGGAACAGCCGTCATTAATGGTGAATTCAAGGAGCAGAAGCTGTCAGACTACAAAGGCAAATATCTGGTCTTTTTCTTCTACCCCCTGGACTTGTGAGTACCATCAGAGAGGCACATTATGTCAGCATTTGTCATGTGTCATTGGAGTTTCTGCACAGCTGAGTGTCCTTTCTTTAAGTGTGCTTGTTCTGTTTCTGCAGCACATTCGTCTGCCCCACTGAGATCATTGCATTCAGTGATAGAGTGCATGAGTTTAAAGCAATCAACACAGAGGTGGTCGCCTGCTCTGTGGACTCTCAGTTTACCCACCTTGCCTGGTAAGTTTCCCACAACCACAAAATTACCACACATAAATTTGACTTGAGGGACACATTGGATTAGAAATTCAGATGGTGTTGTGTCTTTTCTCAGTTGGGATTATTGACTTGTTCTTTGGTTTGTTTTTTGTTTTGTTAACTTGCTTCAAAGCTTCACTTTCTTCTAAACTTTTGTCCCCCATGCCGTCTCATTAACAGGATAAATACACCCAGGAAGGAGGGTGGACTTGGACCAATGAAAATCCCTCTGTTGTCTGATCTCACTCACCAGATTTCCAAAGATTACGGAGTCTACCTGGAGGACCAAGGTCACACTCTGAGGTACAGTTTCATCTCTACATTCATGGCCTTTATCCAAGGTTTATAGGAGAACGTCCAGTGAAACAGCTCTGTTTTCTTATACTGAGATGCTCAAGGAGTGATCAGTAAGTTGTAAGAGTAGGTATGAAGACATGAAGTTGGACCAATCTGTCTTCTTCAAACTTAAATGACATGTGATGTTTCTATAATTTGGTCTCTGTTCCTTTAATTGGTCTCATCCTAGTAGAGTCTCACTGTAAATAACCATCAACTTTATCTATTAGAGGACTTTTCATCATTGATGACAAAGGCATCCTGAGGCAGATCACCATGAATGATCTTCCAGTAGGACGGTCCGTGGATGAGACTCTGCGGCTGGTGCAGGCCTTTCAGTACACAGACAAACACGGAGAAGGTATAAGAAGTCCGTTTCATTCACAGATTTATTCAAAGTAACAGTGACAATTTGAATCTGTATTCTGAAGTGTTTAATGTTTTAATGTTTTTTTTTTTTTTTCAGTATGCCCAGCAGGTTGGAAGCCAGGCAGTGACACAGTGAGTATTGTTATACATAGAACTAGTGTAGTGGTAGTGGATCATTTTGGATGGAGACTAAATTTAGCTCGTAATGAACGCAAGATTTTTTAATTATGAAATGAGATGCTGCTTAATATAAGGTAAATTACATGATGAATCTACCTTGGCCTGGTTTCAAGAGTATGAGAAATATTTTAGAATTTATTACTTAACTTATCGTGTACTAATTTCTTTCTTTCTGTGCCACAGATCATTCCTGACCCTTCAGGCAAGCTGAAGTATTTTGATAAACTGAACTGATCGAGTTTCAACCATCCCAGTCTGTGAAATCCAATTCAACTAAAGTACAAATAAAACACGTTTTCCAAATATGCTGTCAGTTTGACCTGTTATATTAATCTGAGTTTTAGAGTCTGTATAACACTGGGAAGGAGCAGCTGCCAACGGTGTGAAACCACCCAGTAGCTGCCAGATGCTCAACTACAACAGATTAAAACGAGCCCAGATAAAAACATAGCTAAACCAGGTTCAGTGTCTGCTAGGAATCAAAATATGTTTGAAATCAAGTAATCAGTGAGGGGAAGTTTGTGCTAAATGAAGCATTTTCAACTTATATGTAACCATAGAAGAGCCTGTTAAGCAACACATTCCTGTTTTTTTCTCCAATGAGGAGAGTTCAGGAAAATTGAAGTGTAATTATGACAATGCAAGAACTACCAACATATTATTCACCAAACTTATTTATGAGTACTAAACAGGAGCACTCAAGGTGTTTGTGTAATATTTTTCTACAACTGAATTCATGCAAAGTTCTGCAGTATATAGAAAACTTGTTCACATTGAGTAATCGAGCATTGACCTGTAATGTTAACCTATTTATTCTGTATGTTTGTCTCTGTTTTAAGATCATAGTTATCTTTGAAAGTCTATAAGCAGTTATAATGCACGCATAGCACTTTGGTGTTTTTTAGTTATTTCACGTGCACATTTTGATGACATACTTTTGGGTCAAATCTAGAATTTGAACATTATCTTGAAAACAAGCATACTGTATGTTCCCTGTTTTGTGGAAACTTTGCTCCTCAAATTAGTCCATAGGCTCAAAGAAACAACAGCTATTTCTTTAGCTTTGACAGTTTTTAAGCAAATCATAGTTTGTTTACACATGACATCTACATGTGCCTGAGATGATTGTGATTGGATCTCAGTTATTTGCTTAGAAAATACAAAGTGGGAAAATTGGATGCAGACTTGCGGCAGATAAGGTAAGAGAGTGGATATAAACCATTGAGATAGGGCAAGTCAACATAAGTGTTGCCAAACTTTGTACAGAACCTACCATTCCTACATTTCTGTAGTTTATCAGCTAAATATAGAGTATCAGTTTTACTAACAAATTAGGGCACACAGAGTTGTTCCATGTTCAAGCTCAGCCTAGTGAATCCTGATGACTATTGCTACAAGGATGAGAAACGATGTGTCAAATCAGGCAAGGAGTCTGTCACTCATTATGCTTCAGAAAAATTGTGTACCTGCCTGGATTCAAAGGATAGGCCCTCCTGCAAATGCATCCCAAACAACTCCTGAATGCAGCCTAGGCGATTTTATGTCTGTTTACATATGTGTGATATGTTAACAACTGTACGCAGTGCTGATCACTTGGGGTTATCACTAAAGTCACGTGTCTGAACAAAGTGTAAACAGGGGTGATGGGCCATGAAGTTGTTCATTTGCCCTGAAAAGGTTTTTTTTTTCTACTTTAAAAGTACCGCTTGATCCAATTTATAATCAGAGAAAGAAAAATGTAACATCACCAGATAAAAACAAACAAATATATTTGATTAAAAGTGATTTGAGAAATTAGTGAGGAATGGAAACGTGTCTAGTACCATAGTTGACCAAATTTTAAAAAGACTATTTCCTTGTTAAGCTTTGAAAATGCAGCAGAAATTCACCCACAGTGTCATGTGAGTCTGGTTTCTACTTTGTCATCTCTGGAAATTTACTCTGAGCAATCAGAAAACACTGCTGCATGGAGCCCAGTTCAAGGATAGATAGCGAAACTAGACACTTCCTCTAGTCAGTTTCCCGCAAAGACACAATCTTACTCAAACACATGAACTGCAAAAGGACACTATGCTCATGGCAGACACCAGTTGGCTTCTTTTTAACTAGCTCTGTGACAGTCTGTTTTAGGTACAAACACAAATGCTCAAAGCTTGTCTGAATAGTGACTTTCCAGATTAATAAGTACAACATAACATGACGTCACATCACGAACCTGATAAACAGGAATCACAGATTTAATCGATCATCTGCTCACTCTTGGCCATTGATAGCCTAAAATGTCCTCAGTCATGCTGTCTCCTTGTTATTGGAGGAACTATCTAATAAATATTATATAAACAAGTTCCTGATATGTTAATTCCATTTTATTTCCTTATGTAAGCCATTCAAATGATTTATGGTGCACAGGTCAGCAAATCAGAGGCAAATGAGATCTGTTAAGTTTAAAAAATGACTTAAACTAGAGAGAAGATTTGAAGACAAGCTTAACAAGGACAAAAGAGAAGCATTAAAGCGACATTAAAAAAAAATGCACTTACAGTATGTTCTGATTTGGCTAACCTTTACTCAGCTCTACATAACACTGTGTCCACTGCTGTTCTTTTCCAGGTCTGGTTAATATTTACCTTTTAAACAACATACAAATGACACAGTGATCCACACAATGTGTCAACAGAAGAGAGAGAGTATCAGGATGTAAAGGTCTGTTTTGACCATATTTGGATTTATGATCATGTCAGCGGCTTTCAGGGACATTTAAAAGGAAGCTACTGAAGCTGCTGACCATTGTGTAAGACGCATCCAATGCAAGTGTTCATTCGCTGGAGTTCTACATTCATTGCCGGGGGGTGAACTCCTGAGGAGCGAATGAAGAAACAAATTTTGCTTTTATTCACATTCAGAGGACTAGTGAGTAAAGGAAAAAAGGGGAAAAAAAGAAAATGGCCAACTTTATATTACGGAAAGCTGAACCCAACGACGTATCCGATATCTTGCGACTCATAAAGGTAAGTTGGATAACAAAACATACTAATCTGATGTCAAACTGAACATTTTGTCAGGTCATGATTCAATGACTTCCTTTTTTCTTTCCATTCACTTTAAAGGAACTTGCGAAATTTGAAGAAATGGAGGAGAAGGTGTTGTTGACTGAAAAAGGTACTTATGATAGGCTCAATTTACATTTCACACAAACAAGAAAATTTTCTTAGTTTTAAAGAAAGAAGTTTTTACATGTCAAATCAACGTCCTACTTTCAGATTTACTTGAAGACGGCTTTGGTGATCATCCGTTCTACCACTGCCTTGTTGCGGAAGTCCCAAAAGAGCAGAGCTCAGAAGGTTCAACTTTCTTAATACAAGCTTCCTCTCAAATAAAGGACTTTATTTCCTAAGAAGCTGATTTATCCTTAAATCCAACTCATAACATGTTTATTTTCACTTCTAGGTTACACTGTGATAGCCTTTGCCATGTACTACTTCACCTATGACCCTTGGATTGGAAAGCTTCTCTACCTTGAGGACTTCTTTGTGATGCAGGAGTTTCGGGGTGAGTTTGTCAGTGTACAATACAATAAAGGTTAATGAGTAACACAAAAACTTTGAACCAATTGTTTCACTTGCACTTTGTTTTTATCTCTGACCAGGTCTTGGCATTGGTTCAAAAATCCTGAAGGTCCTGAGTGAGGTACAGTTGTGCACTTAAAATATCCTCAAAACTTAATCTCAACCTTGTTATACTTCTTGAGCCCTTGTGTTATAAGGTTTGTTTGTTTATCCTTCTCCTAGACGGCTGTAAAGACTCGCTGTAGCAGTATGCACTTCATTGTTGCAGAAAACAACACAAAGTCCATCGAGTTTTACAAGCGGAGAGGAGCGGCTGATCTTTCCTCTGAGGAGGGTTGGCGTCTGTTTGAGATTGAAAAGCCGGACCTGCTTAAAATGACTTCCAAATAAAGTTTACTGTTTCTGTGCTTGTACTACTAATGATAACAACATTGCTTTCTTTTAAAGTGATTGGATAGAGCCTTAAGAACTTATTGATCATCAGCTGTTAGCCTTTAATACTGAATGAAATGCGCGCAGCTAAACTGATATCTAGAAATCTCTACTGATTGAGGATAAAAACAGGTGTTAAGGAGTTATAATGTTAACAGTGCTGTTTTGTTGTGTTTTGTTTCAATCATTTTGGCCTTTTGTGATTTTCCTATTTGAAAACTGTTGAGAAAAGTTGAAAAAAAATAAACATAATATCATGTATTGAATTGTCTTCGACCTATTTTTTCCCCTTGAGACTCTTAGCTGTGCCCCAATTGACATACTTAGAACAACAGATCTGCAAGAGACATTCTTTCTTTTACATTTACTTTTACTGCCATTAATAAATCCACTTTTACACTTAACAAACTTAACTTGTTTTTATTTAGGCCAAGAAAAAGTCATAAAAACAAATGTGAAAAAGATATAGGATGTACCAAAAGAGTGATTCGGTTAAAGAAAGTAACAGCTAAAAGTAATAAAAATATCATAAGAGAATGTCCTTGCAATGCGTGGTCCCTGCCACTGTATATATTTTTTATTGCTGATGTATTTCACATTAACAGAATTCAATTTTAAAGGAACACCATAGGGAAAATGGAAGATTTATTGACGTGTAGCTGTCAGACTCTGAATTGTAATGCTCCCTTGCTCACCCCTCTTATAGGTAAAGCCACTGTGTTCTGCAAGGACATTTTTGTTCAATCTGTGCCGTCAACTATAACACATTTTAAATACCTGTTGTTTAATTTGTAGCAACTGTAAAGTGTAAAGTAAAAAAAATCATCTTTGAATTATAGTGTGAAATTCTTGCAATAAGTATAACACTACCTTTTATAGTAGTTGAAAGATAATTTTTTAAGGTATGCAGGACATTGTATTTTTGCTGAAATGTAATTTGCAGACATTATCAAACTCATTTTGACTGATACTGACACTAATACACATTATTTTCTTCAAGGATCAATAAAGTTCTTCTACATAAGCCAGCATATTTCACCATGTTGAAAGGCTGGTTATCATAAATTCAGTGTTTTTCAGTGAGGGTGCTGACAGGTTTTTATTTGTGCAATACTTTTTAATTCTTTTCAAAAAACTCTTGGTGATGTTCAGGAGATGCAGATGAATTGGTAGTGTTAAAGAGCAATGTTGTCCTTCTCCTATCAGCTATACTCTACAAGCATTCTAATTCCATTGCCTGCTCATTACATATTAAAATACATTTATGCAGCCAACATGTTGGAGGTCAATGCTCACTGCTAAATCAGTTTTCTTTCAGTGCACATGTCTGTATAAAAACACAGTATCTGTCAATTCCAGCAGATATGTGAAGAAAATAAAGGAACTTCCTTTATCCCCAAAGGGCAATTCATTAACCCTAGAACACTATCGCCGGGTGATTTCACCTGACCAAACATGTTTACGTGATTTTCATTATGTTGCGTTTGTCTGAGTAGCATGGGTCCCTGGGTAGCTTCAGCATTGCCTTTGACCTCTTTGAAGGCATATTTGTTTCCCTGATCCAAAACCTGCTTTTTCACCCTGCAGTAGTGATAGAGGGTAAGTAGGTTTGGGTGGATTTGATAGCTGCATGTAGGCGAATAAGGTCAGTAGTGGTCCTAGAATTGACATGCTATCTTTATTTAGCGCAGTGGATATGAATAACTATCACAAAGTAGTAATATTTTAGTCAGCTGGTCATATTTTGGTTCTATCTCCTGCAGCCGTTATTGTGCCAAGGACCCTGAGTCTTCACCACATTAATTTGTCATGTATTGTCGTATTTTGATATATTTTGATGACAAGTACTTTTTCTTGGGTATATTATTGCTGGTAAAAAAAAATCACAGTGATGGCAATAGTGATGGTGTTACAAATTTTAGTGATAGTGTTCTAGGGTTACAATGCAGGATAATAAATAGGCAATGTAAAATCAATATATAAATTAAAAAAAAATTTATTCTCAATTTTTTCTCACTTCTTTCTATATTACCCCCCCCCCCCCCCCCACTTTAATCTTCTAATGTCTGAAAATATAAATAAATAAATAAATAAATATTTTGTGGTGAATTTTTCTTAACAAGCTTTCCTCCTCACCAGAATAAGAGGTGAAGTTGTTGCTGAGATAGATACGGTTTTCACAGTTAGGATGACCGTCATAGTGTATTTTTTGTTTCAGAGGTCAGTTTACAGGTGCTTTCTGTTTGGAGGTCATTGTGAATTCATTTTTCCTGCCTAACTCACCTGCATGCGTCCCTACTTTTTGGAAAAATTGAAGAAGTGCACAGCTCATAACTGGTTCACACGAAAACCTCAGGGCTCAAACTGACTGAAACAAACACTAGAGTGCACTTTTGACATCCCGCGTCTGAACGCTGGCTCTCAGATTATGGCCTGTTTGGTGCCTGCCGGTGTGATTTCCACCACTACCCTTCCGCATTTTCCTGCTGCTCTCGGGCTGTGACGTGTCGTGCTGACGGCGGCCTCGGAGCTGGAGGAGCGGGGGGCTGTAGCATGACAAGATCTGGCTCCAGACGTCCTGCTTTGCTTTCAGCAGAGCTCCAGAAACAACCCCTAACCCCTCCTTCTCGGCTCTTCTCCGGCCCGCCCAAATAACACAAAATTCCCGACTGATTCCAGCCCGAGTCTGGGGGAACCAGGCGGCCTGGGAAGCCGAGGAGCGGACAGAGGCCATCCCTGCAGCATTAATCGGGTACGCGGGTCTTTTTTTACCCTAGTGGGACCTGTTTCGAGGGTTATGTCTTCATTTTACCGAGCGGGGTTGTCTTTGTTTTTGCATGCATGCGGTGTTTGATTTATTTCTTTATTCTCATTGAGAGGCCGCAGAGGGTTGGGCCTTTTCTTTTCAGGCCCAGGCCCTTTATCGAGGCCGTGACGGGTAAGCCAGGCCTATCCGGTTAGCTAGCTGAAAGAAGCGCGGTTTTGTTTTTTTCCGTTAGCTTACATGCCACTAAGTTGTTATCAACTTAACCATATAGCGTGTTGTTACGCTCACATGTGGCACAAATAAGTCCCTCTCTCCGCCGCAGAGGTTAATTTCAATCAGTGTGGAGATTAGCATTCAGTCGGACACCAAGCTAACAAAATGGCGGACGCTGCCGTTATAAAAACGGTTGTAGAAAATATGTGTGTGAACAAGTTAGCCACCACAGATCCGCATCAGTGCGGACCTTATGTAACACAACACTATAGTCTTTTATTCATTCTTGCTGGTTTCACCTTCTTTCTCTCTTGCCGCTCCTTTACGTTTGTTATGCTTATGGCAGGCGGACGTAGCGTGTGTGATGGAAGGCTAACGCAGCTCCAGTGGTCAGCTTCCGACATTACCGGGTTTACTCCGGCTTTAGACGTGAATGAATGAGGAGCTAACTTAGTCCGACCACCCTGGTATGTCTAACGTGTTTGCGGCATCATTTTGCACTCTGATGCTCTGTGTTATGCATCACATCTGTCATCATTTTGCTCCTGGAGGTGGGGGATGGTGCATGTAGTGGAAATTAAATCAGGCACTACCGTCCACACCACTGTTTACATCTCTGCAGCCTCCGGTCCTTGTGTGTTTTTCTTTTTGTGTTAGTGACAGGGAGAGGGGTTTGTCGCATATTGTCTCTCGCTTTCATCTCCACGATGATGAGAATAATACTAACTTGGCTCACATGGGTTCAACATTTGATAGCTGGAGTAGTGATGCAGTCACAGCAATTATGTTACCGGTCATTTCACTCAGTCCTTTGCCGCAGACACAAGCTGCCCCTGCAAAAAATGTGTCTTCTACATCGGTCTTTAGGCTCTCCTCTTTAGTGAGGGAAGTGCAGGTTTCATAGCAGGTGCCATTGAATTATATGATCATAGGAGTAAAACGTAAATCAAAATCATTGACAGACATATTGGTCAGTAAGTGCTTGGACATAAAACATAAGCATATTCTCATGGACATATGTAGGCTTTTTGAGAAGGGGGTACTATGAAGAGTTACTCTACTGTCAGAACTGATTTTATAAATATGTTGAATGAATTATTCACTAATGTTGTGTTTCAGATGCTAGATTTTAGTTGTAAGTGGTTAACAGTTTTGAAATCGCACCCAAGATCAAGTTTTGATACAAACCCACTTTTGGTAGATAACTGCTACCAAAACAAAAACATCAAGAAGACGCTGTATTAAGAGGTCTGAAGTCTTCTGAGATGAATGCATGAATTAGCTGTTGGGGTGACACTCACGTTGCAGAAGTTGTGCATCACTGGGCCAGTGGACTGTCTACCATGTGAATCACATGATGTCAAATTAACAATAGGCATGCTATATTTTTGCCCTGCAAGGGGATAATGGCTTATTGTTTCCCAGACTCTTGTTAATGGGTGCACACCTTTAACATTAAATCCAGTATTTTAGATGTCATCATAAAATCACTGTTGTATACCATTGTGTCTCTAAACAAGGACGGCATCATTATCTTTATATTTAAATCTCATATTTCAAATAAACTAATACATGAAAAACAAATATATGACACATTACTTTTGCTTGAGATGGTACCTATTCTCTTCCTCTTTCTTTTTCTCAGTTCACCAGTCATCTATTCATAACGCTTTTGAATTTTTGAACTTTTTTTTTTTTTTTTTTTTTTTTGTGAAGAAAATTGACTTGTTTTTGTGTTATTCACGTATTAATGTGAGAATCAGATTGAAAAGAATTGCTGTTAGGTAAAAAAAAAAAAAGTGAGAGCATGTAGTGACGGACTAACTAAAGTACGTAGGGGAAGATTTACACAATAAATACTATAATTATCCGTTCATTACCATTCTTTATTTGTTGTGAAGATTTGCTTTCATATGGTTCGATCACTAAAGGTTAAAGCTCTACTGTTTGTTTTCAGCTCTCCAGTAACAAATGCAGTGCGAGGACAATGGATGAGGATGTCACCAGGCTTGCCATACATTCAGAAGAGCCTAAAATAATTTTGCACGGATCGGGTAAATACTCATCATTATACTCCTGTGCTTTGTTGTATGCATGGTTTCTGATAAATAACAGGATGTTGCACATTGTCAGTTGAAAATAAGAGATAAAATTCAATCCACATAAAACAAACTGCTCCCATTGACGGCTGTTCACTGAGCTCTCCTGTTTCTTTCAGATGAGGGAGGTGCCGGCGGGCAGGAGTTTGTTGTGGAGCTTCAAGAGACTGTGTTGGTGTCGGAAGGCGAAGGGGAAGGCATGGCAGTTCACAGGTTTGCCCCAGATGAGCTAGTCATCCAGGACGCTGTGGAGGATGTGGTTTCTGAGTATGTGCACTGTGATGAGGATGAAGATGTCGCTGTGGAAACCTGCGTGATGGCCCTGGAGGGTGAGGAGGAAGGTGTTGCCATGGGAGACATCCCTGAAGATGGGCTGGACCCAGAGCAGCAGGATGATGACCAAGATGGCTGTGGAGATTATCTGATGATATCCTGTAAGTTTACTGCCCTGGGGGCTTGGACTGCATTTAGCTGACCTGGTGTTTCTTTGAAGAAGATACTTTGGTTAATTTTGCATCTTTAAAATTTTGAGAAGGAACCTGTCGATGTCAAAGAGTTCAAACAACTGAAAGCAGTTTCTCTCATGTTGCTAAATCCCTTGGAAGTGGTTTGGGACTTAAAGGTTAATCGAGAAAAAATTTGAAGTAGCATTATGGCAAGAGTAATGTGTAAATCAAAGAAGCTGTAAGTGGTTCAAGCAATATTTTGGAGGCTGAACTGCCTTTTTTTTTTTTTTTTTATCGAATTTACCAAAATAAGAACATTAAACTTAGGAGCCTGCAAATCTTCTTCAGACGTAAGAGCACATGGTTTGTTGTTTCAAATCCCAACAAATCTCACATTATTGCGAGTTTATGGTGTCAATGACAGCGGAAAAAAACTGGAACCATATCAGTTTGGCTAGCAAATGCTAAAAACTATCCTTAGCCCTCAAAAATATACTGATTAACCTGCCGATGTCCACCGAGGATTGCACAAGAAGTTCTGCAGACTGATGCAGTGAAGCGAGAACTGTTTGATATCACAACATCATTCACATTATGTGATATAATCTTTTTTTTTATCAAAAGTTAAATGCCATTCATATTTGGCATATACTGTAACTGAAGAAATTTGAAATGACAAGTGAAGATTTAGCCTTAAAAGGGTTATATGTACAAGTACAGTCATGGTCTTGAAGCAAGAATTACAACCACAAAAAGCTGTGTTACTTTTTGCTGACTTATTTTCTTGTTGCCCTGTCTGTACAAAATAATGAATGTTGTTACTGCTGACATTATTCTCACTGCCTTTTTAACGCTTGAGCAAACATGAAATTTTGAATATCACCTCACTCTGTTGCATAGATATCACAAGATTGTAGCTTTAAATTGCAACAGTTGTGCAACATCAACTCTGGCACTGTAGCACCGAGATTAACACTGTCAGCTTCATATGGCTTTTACCTCTTCAGTCTAAGAAGATGTTATATTTCCCCCTAACTAGTGGACGAGGCTGGGAAAATGGTGTCTGAGGATGGGACAGAGGTCACAGTGGAGGGAGCTGTGGAGGATCAGGAGGTGGAGAAGGATGAGGATGGGCAGGAGGTGATAAAGGTGTATATCTTCAAGGCAGACTCTGGGGAGGATGACATGGGTGAGTAGCAGTTAGGTTTCAACCTCTGTTAGAAAAAGTGAAGGGTCAAGTAACTGCCTGATTGCTTGTGATAACAGTTTATTTAGATAGTCTCAAAACGTACTCAAACATTTAACAAATATTATCTTGTGCTGTTGGCAGAACTGAAGAAATGAGATTTTGCAACAAAATGGACATTTTTTTTCTGTCAGAACTCTCAGCTGCTGGCTTCAGTACTTAAAATGTGTAGGGGATGTTTTAAGGCTCAGCTCTCCACAGTTTCACTAAGAGGGTTATATTTTTGAATATTTTGCAGGGGAGTCAGTGGACATCAGTGATGGAGACACAGAGAGCATGGCGCTAACAGAGTCTTCAGGCCAAACGTTAAGAGAGAAGATGGTTTACATGTCTGTTGGAGATCCTCACCACAATCAAGGACATCATGGTGAGCTATTTTGATTAGACAAGTGGAGTAGAGTGTCTTGAAATAAACATCCCAAGTTATCGGTTTTGTGCATGACAGTCAGGTCTAATCTGTTGGTGAGTAAAAAGTGGGTTAAACTGTAAAGGTTCATATGGAAGTGGTGGCTAAAGCTGAAAAGCCACTGACTCACCATCACTCAAAGGACTGTGTGTCTGAACAAGGAGTTCATGTCTGCAGCATGGACTGCATGAGTTGTATTTGAATTTATTTTTTGATTGTCCCGCAGGTGTCGACGACAGTGAGAGTTGTGAGAACCGAAACGGTGCAGCAAGCGCTCTGCTGCACATCGATGAATCTGATGGGATGGATGATATCAACAGACAACGCAACAAGAACAAAAGGCGGTCAGAGCCCCGCCAGGTACAGACGGGTAAGAAAATCACAAAGTTCTCTGATATGAAAGATTCCTTCATGGTCTGGATTCTCTTTCATTTACTGCTAGTTAATGAAATTAGAGTTATATGCAAATGAGAAGAAGTAGCGGAAACAACAATTTTAATTTCCTATTTTTTTCCCCTCCACAGCCATTATCATCGGTCCATACGGTCAGCCTCTTACAGTTTACCCCTGCATGCTTTGTGGCAAGAAGTTCAAGTCGAGAGGTTTCCTGAAACGGCACACCAAGAACCATCACCAGGATGTTCTGACGAGAAAAAAGTATCAGTGCACAGACTGTGACTTCACCACCAACAAGAAGGCGAGCCTGCACAACCACATGGAGGTGCATGCGCTTAGCAGCAAGGCTCCGTTCGAGTGCGAAATGTGTGGCAAGGAGTTCCATCAGCAGGCGGCGCTGTTCTCCCACAGACTGCAGCACCACCACAGAGAGCCCAAGAACCAGCCGCCCCCGCCGCCCACTAAAATGCATAAATGCAAGTTCTGTGACTATGAAACTGCTGAGCAAGGACTGCTCAATCGACACTTGTTGGCTGTCCACAGCAAAAGCTTCCCTCACATCTGTGTGGAGTGTGGAAAAGGCTTCAGACACCCCTCAGAGCTGAAGAAACACATGCGCACGCACACCGGCGAGAAGCCTTACTCCTGCCTGTACTGCGACTACAAGTCAGCCGACTCCTCTAATCTCAAGACGCACATCAAGACTAAGCATAGCAAGGAGATGCCATACAAGTGTGAGCGCTGCTTCCAGACCTTTACAGAGGAGGAGGAGTTAATGCAGCACGGACTGACACATGAGGAGAATAAGACCCACCATTGTGCCCACTGTGATCACAAAAGTTCCAACTCCAGTGACCTAAAGCGCCATATCATATCGGTTCACACCAAGGACTATCCACACAAATGTGCCATCTGTGGTAAAGGCTTCCACCGGCCATCTGAACTGAAGAAGCATTCAGTCTCTCACCGCACCAAGAAACTCCACCAGTGCCGGCACTGCAACTTTAAGATTGCAGACCCTTTTGTTCTCAGTCGTCATATCTTGTCGGTCCACACAAAAGAGCAACAGGCCTCTCCTGAAAAGAGCGAGGCCAAGAGGACAGAGACACACACTCCTGCTGCGGCACCTAAAAAGTCCGCGCCGAGCGGGTCGAGCAGCTCGGGCCCGCCTGGCAGAGTCAGTGCAGCCAGCTTAGCCAGCAGCGTGACTGTAGTTATCGGTAAAGGACAAAAGGAGAGACGAATCTACCAGTGCCAGTACTGCGACTACAGCACCGGAGACGCCTCGGGTTTCAAACGACACGTCATTTCCATCCACACAAAAGACTATCCACACCGATGCGAGATCTGTTCGAAAGGCTTCAGACGACCCTCAGAGAAGAACCAGCATATCATGCGTCACCACAAAGACGTGGTGCAGACAGAGTGACTGAGCCAAATACTGTGCCACAACAACGAACAATATCATAGCGACCATCACACCCCAATCACTGCACCCTCAGCGCGGCACCGCCACGTTACAGTGTTAACGTGGTGTGCGTGCGCGCTGCACTTAGCCCATTTTGTTGTTTTGCTCTTTTTGATCCTCAGCCTAATGTTTGCTCCGAAACATAAACACATGTACATAACATTAACACTCTGTAAGAGTTAGCAACAAAATCCCTCCGTAGACTTGCACTTTGAACTGCATGTCCCTTGCTGGTGACAGTGTGCATGGCAGATTGTGCAGGTGTCTCTTTGTAGATAAACATCTTTTTAAGTTTGCAAGCAGCAATCAGTTATGAGTCACAATGGTCCTAATTAATACAGAACTGAAGCTCATTTTGCAAAAAGTTTGTGTCATTTGTTAAAAGTGTACTAAACAAAGCAGTATGGATTAGCAACCTGTTCGCAGTAGCACTTACCATCCTGGTAAAGATCATGATGAATGCAGTACTCAAGTCATGCGTGTGTGTGTGTGTGTGTGTGTGTGTGTGTGTGTGTGTTTGCGTGAGTGAAAGAAAGAGAGAGTGGTGTGTGTCAGAGAGAGAGAGAGAGAGAGAGTGAATGACAAAAAAAAGAAAAGCATCTTTTTTTGCTTCTTGGTGCTTCAGACCCCACTTCTCTGTATCATAGTGCTTGTTGAGTTGACAGGATCACATGACTGGCTGTGTACAGCACCCAGAGAAAACAATCTTCCTCGGCTTTGTAAATGGGGTCTACCATCATGAAATGACCACAACATACACAGTAAAGTAGTGGATGTGTGTCATGGTAGTAAATCAAGTTCATATGCACCTTTTTATCACGATCATTACCTGATTGCTTGATCATCAAATACCTGTCTGATATATCAGTTCTCTCATCAGTAAATGTACTGTACGTTTTTCAGAGTTGGTTCCTGAAGCAGTAGAGAGGAAGCCCTGACTGACAGTATTTTTAACCCATTAATTCCACCTGGAGTTTAACTTAATGTTAATTAGAAAAATTGAATAACTTTGGATGAGAAAAACATGTATTCAACATTACTAATGACTTAAAAGAAACCTGATTTGATCTAATATTAGTTTAATCACCTGTATGACGCTGATTTTTGACTGGGTTTAGAAAAAAAACAGGTTCACATCAGTATCCCAGTCTGCCTGTCTGATCTAAATAGAAATCAATTCAGTATATTTGGTGCTGCTGCTCACAGACTATAGACTGAACTCTTTGTCCCCCTCCTTCACACAGATGTACTTTTACCAGTAGAAAGGGAAAATTATATCTTTTTAGACGCATCTTCAGAGGACAGGTGCTGGTGGTGTACTTGTACTAAGGCTTTTTACTTTTTTTTGTTATCACCCGTGATTATTTCTGTTTTTATATTTATTTCATTTACAAGTTGTTGTATAGTTAAGTGTAACTAGACTTCTATGGGACGTAAATTATTGTTTTGTATACAAATCTGTACAAAGCGTGTAGATGTAAACACTTGATAAAAGGAAATCTGAACTGTGTTGTTATGGATGTACTTCAGCGTATTTGTTAAAAAAGGTAATAAAAAGCAAAGTATTTTAACTGTTGCTTTTTTTTCCAAAGTTGCTTTTATGAGTAACTTATAATTTTACAAAAGAAAAAGAAAAAGCTCAGTCTCTCTTTGATCAATGATAGTGATAAATGATCCATGTGCCAAAAGGAGTTGTATTTTTGGTGTGGTGTCATTCTGAAGAATTCATTTTGTTTTCAGACCTTCAAAGAAGTTCTCAATTCCCCTTTCGATAAAAGTTTGCAGATTTAAATTCTTAAAAGGGTTGAACCTGCAGTTTTTCAGCCTAGTTTGACCCTTTTGTTGCTTTAAGAGCATCACCATTGTGAAACAAATGGCATGTGTGTGGGACACTAATTAAATATAGGCCTACTCATAGAGGGGGGCTCCACAGATAACATTTGTGCAATATTAATCTTGAACCAGAGTGACTTTTGGGAGGCATTTTTGCCTTAAATGGCCAAGATGGATGGAGGCAGGAAATGTGGAGAAGATAGGCAGCTGGGACAAGGACCATACCAGAGGGCCTGACCATAAACCACAAGGCAAACAGCACCCTGAAGATGACATACTACAGTGAAACTAGACTTTACACCATGTTTGGTTCCATTATGAGCTTTATTCATACAAAAACAACAAGGGTAAAGGAAATGTAAGTGGAGAGGAACCCCAACAAGATTAAGAATTTTCACAATAAGCCTGAAAACTTTCAAAAAAACAGGATCAGTGATGTTCAGTGACCAGGGAACATCTAGGCAGCTGAGCACTCTCCTAAACAGGAAGAATAAAAACAAGTGTTTAGGAATAAAATCTGTACCAGTCAAGGATTAATTCAACGTAAAACCCTTCCATTGATAATGTAAGTACCATTATTGGGAAGGATGGCAATATTTGCGGGTAGGACGCCAGTCTCCAGTGAGAACTGTCTGAACTTCCCCAGCTGATCAGCACTGAGGTCCGCTCCACGGCCTGTCAGACCACATCACATGAAAACGCTACAACATTCATCACTATTTCACTAAGAGTTAAGCCTCGGGAAAAACTGTGATGTTACCATAAAGTTTGTTGACGACGGTGTGTTCACCAGCCTTGGACTTGATGGTGTGAGCCAGAGCGTACTCGTCATATTTCACCTCAACCATGCGCATATCATTCTGATTGTCCCAACCTAATAGGTAAAGAGGGCAAAGTAAGTAAGGTACAAAAACAAACAAACCAAACAGTGAACAGTGTGAATATTTATGTGTGGGTGCAGTCATGCTCACTTGCGTACGTGAACCTTCCAGGCATGTCAGCCTTCTTGGCCAGGTTGTTCATTCTAAAGCAAGAACCATCAGCACTGAAAAAAGGAAAAACAATGTGTTTTTTTTAAAATATCTTTTCAGTGAAAATATTCTTTGCTCTAAACTCACTTGGGACTGGTGTATGAAATGTCCAGGTCCCCGTTTCCATTTGGGGTGAACATGGCCGTGCCCATCTTCATGTCGTCCTTGTGGTTGACAAACCATTCAGCATTGGTGGCAAATCCAACCAGGTACCATTTCCCTGCCATCTGCGGTGCAACCACAGTAAAGGAAAATGAACATAGTCAGAATAACTGAAGTGTTATCGTCAAAATACCAACCACAGCAGTATTCTCATTAATCCTGTAACATAGCAGAAACATTCATAAAAACCTTCAGATGATTAAGTTCCAGTCCAATGGGTTTCCAAATATGACTCATAGAAATCTATTGCATGTATACACCACTTCAGATATATGTTTATTTTTTAAACAGGCAAGTTGAATGGAGAAGTTTACATCAGCCAAAGTCCAACATTTCTCATCTACTAAGTTAAGTAGATATTTGCATATACCTAAAAAAAATATGCCTTGACATCTTATATTCACACTTAAATATCTTTGATTCTGTAAGATCTCTAGCAGGCGCCTTGAGTAAAATTTAGTGGTTGTTACCCTTGCTTTTTTTCTTACCCTCTGTGCATTGAAGTCTGCCTGGGGTAAGACTTCAGAGGAGACCGTCACAAAGCAGAGCGCGGCTCCCAGCAGCCTCACGAGTAGAGTCATATTCATAGCAGTGGAGGCTACGGTCCACAGGTTTGTTATTGCTGTTCTTCTGACAACCCTTTATATAGGGGAGAACAAGATGAGGCTTCTAGATGTTCCTCCAAGCCAGCACACAAACACACACGCACACCCACACATACGCATATGCACCTATATCCCAACCCTGGAACTGGGATGGGTTGAAACAAGTGAAGCCTAACTCAACACACATAAAATTTTGATGCCAAAAGCTATGCTTTCAGCTCTGCAGGGAGAGTCATTCTTGTGAGGGGTGGCTAGATGTAACATCAGAGAATCATGCCAAGAAGCTACATAACCCGAATCACTGATTGACAGAGATTATATCCTGTTTGCCACAACTTATTCTGCTTTGAAAAGCACTTTATTACATACTGCAGTTTGATTTTCTAGCGTTCCATTTTTGAGCGTGAGCTGATATACAACAAGAAAGGAACCAACGGGTATAACAGAGCAGCACAATAATGTGGTCGCCTGCTCTGCTTCCTTGTGCAGGTTTATTTGATTACTAAGATATTACTATAATCAAAAAGCACGCTTTTTCTTGATTCAGAAGCATGTCCTACATTCCTGTGAATAGAGGCCAAGTTTATAACGCCAGTTTGATGCAAGCCAGGTTATAAGCTGCTTTCCTCACATCTAAATTGCTGATTTTATTAACAGACAAGAGATGCTTCTTTCTGTCCTCCCTACCCTCTCCAAAAAAGACGGTGAAGACACTGACTCAGAAACCTGTTTTTGTCCACCAAGTTTTTTATTTTAGTACTATTGAGGGCCCCCTTCCTCCATTTAGGCCCTCAATAGAGAGTCCTAATTTTCCCCTCATTATGACTCTCATAATCATCCACAAACCTAAGCACATCTGCACTCCCCTTTTTTCTGGCCATTTGAATAATGTATAGAAGTTCTGAATACAGTATTTTATATGAGAATAGGCCAACTATATCATATATGATACTAGCCAGATTACAGGCTGACTACCTTAAATCTCACTTGCTGGAATTAGCTCTTAGCATCCCGTGACTGCAGGAAGTGTGCTCACATTCCTTCCAAAATAAAACTCGTCTACAAATTTTGCTTTCCTACTTTCTTTCTTTTCTCGTTGATATCCTAATTTGTGCTCCAGCATTACCTCAGTCAAACTGATGCTATGGCAAAGCAGTTGAAACTGTTTTGTGCACCTATTGGGTGTGAGAGGGGCTTCAGAAAGAGACTTTACATTTAGAGTTCAGACCACGTTTATTAATCTAGAAAAGTTTACTACTCTAAATGTCTGATCAATCTTACATCACACCTCCGGTTAAAATCAGCTCTCTCTGAGGTATGTTCTCTCTGATGATTGGGTCAAGATGACTTGTTGCATAAATTCACGTACCAAACCAGATAACTTCTCTCTGTCAGCAGGTTGGACACCTGTGCCACTCTGAATGGAAGAAATGCAGCCAGGTGCAGGCAGGCAAAGGCTACAGTACAAAAAGTACTCAGACCTACATACCTTTCCAGTTAAAACAGGTTTGCCTTTTGCCCTGAGATAACAAATATTTAAAGAAGTGTTGCATCAGAAAAATATTTTTGCTCCAAAGTAATTAAAAGACTCTAATTTAAACAGCTGCACACATCTGCATAGTAAAAACTATGGGGTCTCCACGCTTTGCTGAAAGAAAACTGCTGAAGTTGTATTTATACAGCATAAAAAGTATAAAATAAGCAAGTTATATGTATTTGGGTAACACTTTACAGTAACCATAATCTATAAATGGTAAAAAGATAGTTTATTAATGTTTAATCATCATTTAAAAACAGCATATAGACCAATTATAAATGGCAAATAGATAGTTTATTAATGTACGTTAATAGTTATTTTACCATTAACAAGCAATAACATTATGATTAATAATGTTCATTAATTATCAATGGACTATTTATTAAAGGTTTATATAGGGTTTAAATAGGTTGTAAAACATCTAGATTAGCATGTGTGTCAGTAGCACTTTGTAAATGGTTAATATTTGGTTTTTGAAACCATCTATAAACAGTACTTAGGTTATTGTAAAGTTAGGGTTAGGCTTAGCTTTTTAAAACTGTAAAATTTATTAATGGTCTATGTACTATTTATAAATGATGATTAAACATTAATAAACTATCTGCTTACCATTTATAAATGGTCTATTTACCATTTATAAGTTATGGTTATTGTAAAGTGTTACCTGTATTTGTAATGGTTAAGTTGTACAAGGAACCAGATACTGTCATACAACATATCCTTTTTATATAATATATAAAATATGGTACACAATATAGTAAAAAGGAAAGTGCCCTGGTAATTAATATCATTGTTATAATCTAATCAGCTGTCAAATATTGCTCACTCTTTAAGGTATTTGGTCATTGTACTTTACTTTCTGAATGTGTAATTTGGATGCAACTTTGATTTCGAGTATGGAATTTAAATTAATTATTTGGATGATAGCTGTCCTTTTTCTGACTTCTTGTGAATGGCTGAAGCCGCAAAGTACAGCTATAAGCTGTGATCGCCTTTAATCATCTATATGACAGAATATTTTGATAACAGCTTATTGCCTGTAGCGGTGTCAGTCTCTGCTGAGACATCTGTCCTGTGTACTGAAGAGCTCCAAGAACGGCATGCATACACTCAAGACACTTAAAATGAGCCCAGTATATATGCATACCGAACAAGCACTGAGGGCAAGAGAAAAAAAAATTCATCCAGCAGGTGATATAACTTTGAGTCTATAGGAACACTAAAATCAGTTCATCGAAAGATAGTTGGGGGAGAAATTATGTTGTATGCATAGTTATACTGTTCATAGTCAGAGCTCAATCATATGGAAAATATCCTCTGGCTCATCACATAGTATACAAAATCAAGTTAATAATGAACAACACTCCATTTTTGAGGCAATATATGTTTAAATACGTTTGTGTTCAGAAGGAGTTTGCGGACACTTTGGGAGTTTGATATGATGTATCTGCTGAATCATCAGATTTTTTTGACTAGAATTAAAAAGCTGGCCTGAGGATGGCACCAGAGATGAGCAGGAGCCCCCTGCACTACATGTTAAGCAGCATTGCAGAGTGAAAAAAGCTAAGACATAACGCCTCTGTGATCAATATTTATTTTATCCAGTGCAGTTTGATTAATAGATGCTGAAGTGTGTTTCTCTAACTACTGAAGCCCTGAATGGCAAAATCAACGAGTGTTTCCACATGAGGAGCGGGGAGAACAAACTTTTAAAACTTGTCAGACTGGGTTTTTTTTAACAAGCTGCCACATGGGACACAGAATAGATATATTTTCTTTTCTTAGGATAATACTCAAGATTTTAGGGTGAGAAGGCGCCAAGCTGAATTAATAATAATAATAATAATAATAATAATAATAATAATATATTTTTTTAACAACAAAAAAAAGAGACTGATGTTCACAGAATCCAAACATTTAAATCAGCTATATAAATGTGCAACTACTTATCTCTGATCAAAACCTTGCCTCACAAATCCTCGGCTCATCTGAAACCAATCCAAGTTGAGAGAAAGATGTTGAGTTTTCCTTTGAGTCTGCAGCACAGGGTTGTAAAACTGCACCGACTGGCCTGAGGGTGGCATCAAAGGACTGACTACCGAGCCACTGCATAAAATGAAGAGCAAGTGAAGGTGCCAAATGTGTTAGTTGACTGAGTGATGTAAATGGAGGAAATGTATTGATTTAAACAGTCTAATAATGGACCCACCATTATGAAAAGTGATAATGTGAAAGAAAGGAGAGTGCATGGAGTCACTGCAGTCTGGTCTTCATTGCAAAGTACAAACATTGTGTAGTTTGCTTCATTTATGCTCCATAGGAGGAAAGAGATTAACTTTTATACATACAATGTATAACAACAGTGACAACAATTATTGCCTGAAGCTAAATATAAATAAACAAATAAATCACAGTTGTAAACAGTCACTGCCTTTTAAAATGTGAAGCTCTGGACAGTGTAAAATGAGCCCCGCCAGCTCGATAAGACAGTGATGTGCAAAAACCATTACACTAAAAAAAATCAATAACACAGAGCGCTGTAGAGAAAATATTATATAAATGCAGGAAGATTGCATTAGTTATAAGAAAAAAGATGACTGAAGCTTTTCCATATAGTTATGACTTTACTCCACGACTGATTCTCAGAGGTCAGATGCAGTGCTCTACTTGTTTGTGCCATTTTTTTTCATGCCAGTTACCTCATATGTAATGCCAAAAAAAAAAAAAATCCCATCTAAAATAAGGAATTGATTACAAAACTAAAACAGGATATGTAATTTACAAATATATACAGTAGTAACTCTAACATCAGTGGAGTATTTTACTAGGACAGATCACAGTGCAACAAATTCCAAACAAATACTATTATGTAGTATCTTAAGCAGGCATAAGCGACGTGATACTTCTGTATTATTGTTATTATTTTTTAACAGTTGGACAGTTTGAAATTAATCGTTTGAACAGTTTGGATAAAAAGGACCGTTGTAAGTCACAAACTGATTTATATACCTTTAAAAAACACAACATGAACACTTCAGACATGCTAAAGCTACCGTCTGTTACCAGATGCTGGTACTGAATGTAAAACAAAACTAGACCAAGTCAGCGTGGCTGGAGCGAGGAGAAATCAAGGCATCTGCCATGGTGAGAAACTCAACCCAGTTCTGGTAAAAGCCACGTGAGTACTCCCTCGTGTCGATGATGAGCCCCCACAGGCGGCTCTGGCCCGTTTTGTTTCTCAGAGCCAGCAGAGCCTCCCGCTCTGTCACATTGAAGCTGATGTTCAGAACCTGAGCCAACAGTAAATAAAGCAGTCCACCTGTGACGATGCTGCTGTACCATGCACAGGTGAAGCAGAGCGCTGTGCTGCAAACAGAAATTACAGTATTACAAAACTGAACTGATGAAACTAAATGTGAGATTAGCTGCTGATTTTTCATCACTTTGTGGAGAAAAGACTTGTGAGACATGGCCCACAAGAATCCTTAAAACTATTTAACCATTTAGCAACATATCAGTAATTTTATTGAACTTAAATGTTTCAAAACTGATCCACTAATCTATGGCAGACAATATTTGATGACAGGATATAATGGCCAAAAATAGGGAAGTACATAATGCTGAATTACATGACTTTTGATGTCTGCCTCTATTCTACTCTTCAGGATATAAATCAGAGTTGTACCTGGGCTGGCTGTAAACACCTGGGCAGTAGAGGAGAGACAGCATGAGATACTGTCGAGGACAAATGCTGCAAAGCACCAAACTGATCCCATACAGAGAGGTCAACACGAACACACAGAGGGTCAGCAGGAAGCTGCGATGGTTAGCCTGTCCAACACAGCTGTTTATCCTACAGCGACACATGCCAACAAAACACACACAGACACACACACACACACACACACACAAAAAAAAAAAAATTAACTCTCAGACTTCAGACTATATATATATATATACCTGTTAAATGAGCCATGTTAAAGTAAAGAGTTGTAGATAGATTTGCTGTTTGTTTTGTTTCGTTTTATTCTTGGAAAAAAAAAAATCAAGCCGTCAAAATGTTTTAAATGTCAGTTTAAAATTTCCTGTACACCACACATTAAAGCTTTTGTTTTAGCCCGTGGTGTTACTAGTTAAAACCTTTTTTTTTTCAATTTACTTACTTACTTCAATTTACTGTTCAGGTCCCAAAAACTTTTAACAGTTGTTGAGCTACAATTACATGTTCACCACTGTTTATTGGGTTTGTGATTTTTTACAAAGTGCCTCTTAAATGGCCAATGTGTGTGCAACGTAATGGTTAATTTTAACCTTCTCTACTTATTCAGACTTTAGATCCTCTACATGTACTTTATGTGGGTGAAACTTTGCCTGAACTCACCAACCAACTGGTACTGAAGATGAAAACAAAGTATAGATGGAGCATTTACTCCCAAACCTGCTCTGTGTCTTCATTTCAGAGCACTTTTTGTGCCTTTTATGACTAAATTGAAACAGATCTGAGGATAAAATAATAAAATAAAATGGGGGGAGTAAGTGGGTGAGAGTGACATGCGTAAAAGGACAGAAGGTCAGAAATAGACAAGACCACCTCCCCCAAAGGGCACCTGATCATATCTAAGCTCAGCTGTGGCCCAGCCTGCTGTTGTTGCTTTTTTTTTTAACTTTTTGAACATCACTAACAACCAAAACTGAGTAATAGTTGATTCACAAGACACACAAGAAATACAAATACTCAATGCACAGTCCAACCCACCAGACACAATGGTGGTCCAAGCGCTGGACACAGGATCCACAGGTTCGACAGTGTCCAGCCCTCGGGGGTCGCATTATTTTACACACCGAACACTTGCTCCATTTAGCTGTAGGAGCCTTTTTTGTCATCTCTGGCTCTCCAGCTTTACCTGAGGGGGGAGCTGCTGATTGGGTGGATCCATTAAGGTATGTGGAGTCCTTACTGGTTTCCAGACTGTGTTTATGTGCTTCATACACGGAAGCTGTCACAAATCCAGGTCCCCTCTTAGTGTGAATAAGAGAAACAAGAGTGAGAAGCATCCCAGTGCTGGCAGTGAACAGCTGTGTCTGGCTGATATCCCCACGTGGTAAAATCTCTGTGATGAAGAGGTAGTACATGTAGAACAGGGAGTACAACGCAAGAGTGAGGAAGAAGAGGGTGCGCCTCTTCCTCCGGTGTGTGGCGTAGTAGTACCACAGCACCAGACCTGGCAGAGTCGTCAGGATGGTGATACCCAGCAGGTAGTGCAGCGCTGCGACCCGCAACAATAAAGGGAGAAGCAACAGAGCTGGGATCATGGAAATCTCCAGCCTGTCAGTTATAGCTGCAAGTACAGGAGACTGACATCCATGTTTAGTTGGTCTGTCCTTCAGCCACCTGCAGAGAATAGTAAACATGAAGTTATGGAGGTGGCTAATGTAGTTGCTTTTTCATTTGTGGAGAGTAATGAGATCTTTATTTGTTTTTATACTCACATATACTAAATATAGTCTAAAGTCTAAAATCAGAGATGCAAACCCAGGTTTTGCTATACTTTCCCGAATCAAAGATTGACATTATCTGATAATTTAACAACCAGAGAAGAGTTTAAAATTTAAACTTTTTCCATTTTTGCCATTTACTTGAATTACAAAGTTGCCACTCACTTATGTCTGTTACCCAGCAACAGTAAGCAGAGCTAGCATCAACCCCCAAAACAAGGAAAGGGTTAGTCTGACTCTGTCTGAGGGTAAAAAAAAAAAAAAAAAAATCAAGCTAACTGTGCACACACTTAGGAAAGCAAAGATCATATTAAACCTATTTTATGTGAGTGAGCTAATTAAAGGAAGAAAAACAAGTGGCTGTTTGAGGTTGGCTGTTGCCCACTCTACTGTTATAATTGAACAAACTGCTGTAAATCAAAGTACTTCACTGGATCACAACATGGGGCCAAGGGTCATCTAAAGCAGTGGTTCTCTACTAGTAGGTCCTGACCCAAAAGTGGGTTGCGGACACATTCTGGATGGGTCGCAAACAGCTGGTCAAAAAAGTTAATATGTAACGCAAATCTGCTCAAATAGCTTATTGGTGCAATTTGGTATGTATTTGATATTTTCTGTATATGCAACTTTAGTAGTTGTCGTTCTCAGTTCATGTGCTCTGAAACGCACTTTACTCAATAAAATGGGTATATTTTTTGTTACGGATTTGAGTCTTTAAAGTTTTTTTAATAAAAGATAAATTTGCTTAGTTTGAAGTCTTTAAAAATGGGTCACAACTTCAGGACCATGGGAAAATGTGGGTCCCAGAGTGAGACCAGTAGAGAACCACTGATCTAAAGGACTCTGGAGCAGACGACTGTTCCCCCCAGTTTGCCTCTTACCACACTGGTTCTTACTTGGGAACCATTCAAACAAACACACTGATACATAGAGCTACATAATTACCCCTTTTAACAGATAAAACAATATTTTTGCAATATTCATGCAAAACTTTTTAACTAAAGCCATTCATACCTGGTAAAGGCTTCATCCAGATCCTCACAGTCACAGCAACATCCACACGGGTCGATATCACACTCACAGCAACACATAGGATCATCAGGCTCTGGGGGCTTTAACTTCTCCCATTTCATAATGGCTGGTTTGAGAGGGCTGAAGTTAACAAGCTGTCAGTTCAACACGAAAGGCCGGTATATAAAACTTTGAGCTCTTAAGCAACATTACTAAACAATGGTGTGGAAAAATATTTAAATATGTAAATAGATCTGACTCATTTTCACTGGCCTCTCCTCAAACTCGAACTCACTCAAACTTCATTTCCAAGCAACAATACAAAACACTCGATGACTAACATAGAACGATAAACCTGGTGCTAAACTACGCCTGAGAGGAAGCTTTTAAGAACAAATGGGGACAATGAAAGATATCAAATGAATTGTATTGACCACAATGTCATGCTCAAGTTATAAATCGTTGGGTCCTATATTGACTCAACCTGTACCTGTAACTTGGATATCTGAGTTGATGAAAAGAAAGAACGAGGATTCTGATCCCAAGAGAGATTTTAATCTAATTTGTTAAAACAAGGCCACCTTGTCTGCAGGGACATATTATGTGGGCCAGCAAAGTCAAGTCTTCAGCACTGTTCTCTAGTTACTCACTTTGAGTTTTTATTTTAGTTTGGTTACACAGCTTTTTCATTCTGAATCTGGGATATATCTTTGCACAAATTAGTGATAATAAATTCAAAATAAGGGCATAAATAAGGAAAATAATACACACCTTGGAGAGGGTTCTGTGTTACTCTGCATCAGCTTGCATTCACCGATAAAAATCACAATAACTCACCATAAATTAATTATTTGACCTACTTAACACTTTTGACCTCACTCTTCAATCACCACAAGGCAAAGATAAACCCTCCCTCCATTCACTTACCTTTTGTCTCCACAACAGCAAAAACAAAACCATCAACACGTGAGATGAAGTATCGGACGTTCTCCCTCCAAGCGAAGATCGAATTTGAACTAAATCAAACGATGACAGGAAAATCATTCACAAGCTGACGTCGCCATCAAACTTCTTCTCCGAATGTCCGAATAAAGAACAGGGAAAAAAGTAGCCCTTGTTTCTCATCAGTCATTTGTGTTGAAAAAGGAAATTGGCATGTTTCTGCTCTGGGGAAGCTGCGATGACACCAAATCAGTGCAGTGGGATGGTTTTCATTTCTTGGATTCCCACGGTGGAAGAGTCCCAACACAAGGCAGCTTGGGTTCTTGCTGACAAGTGGTTTGATATTGAGTTACATCTGCCGGCTCACTTTTCCCAAGACTATCTTCCTCACATGTCATTAAATAGTTCACCAGTCTTTCTCTGGCGTAGCCCACTTCTACATCTGTTGACCAGCTTTTATCAGTTTCTATTTGAAGTTTTAATTCAGGCATGCTTGGTAAAAATAGGAGCTACCTCAAGTGTATGAGGGAGCCAGAGAGCCACGAGCCTTTCATGCCTCCTCTCTCACAGCTGACGGGCTATGTTGAGGTGTCCAAAAGCCCTGACAATCCACGCTGAGCTGGAGTGTGTATGAGAAGAATGACAGGCACTCATAGATGAGAGAGAGAGCAATGATCCACAGGGCAGCCCCACCCTCTGGGATCAGATTTCCTCCAACTAGAAACGGGCCTGGCTGCTCACTCACAGAAAACTCTAGAAGACTGCATCTGTGCATGTGCGTGTTTGAACTTCTGCTAATATAAGAGTCAAGTTTTTCCACATAAAACTGTTTGTGTGCTATGTGACAACCTTAAACTTTCACTAAAATAGAAAAGAACACTAATTTTTATTCAACGTCCCTCCCACACAAAAGTATAGAAGTAAAATGTAGAATAATAAAAAAAAAAAAACAGACATAGAGCAGATGTTGTAAACAGTTTGTGTGGGTTTATGTGGCGGTGAAATGCAGTTTTTTTTAAATTGTCTGTTATACCTCACTGCTCAGAGACTGCTGGGAAAGACCAGTGACATCCTTGAGACGAGCAGGGAGTGACTACCCTAATGTTTGTGAGGTAGTCAGAGACATGAAGCCTGAGCAAGTGTCATCTGTCTGCGTCCTAAAGACAAAACAGTCAATAACTGTTAATATTTTATAGTTCTACTGTTTGTAAAGTGGACAACTTAAAGCCATATTTTGGTAAAGCCCAAACACTACAGCAGATCCAATAAAAACAGTGCTGATAGAGATAGACAGCAATGGGGTCCCTTGATTTAACTAAACTAAAAGGAGAATAGGAGTCAGATGCATTATAAGCTAAAGGCCAGTGTATTCAGAGACTGCTGAAACCTCTTAACATCTGCACCAGCGTGAGTCTGGATGCGCTGAATCAATGCACAGAAAAAGATGCTGCTCTTGCTCCTGTGGGTTATGCTTCCATTAGTCTTGATGGAGCCCGGAACTCGAGATAACGGCTCTAATCCACTTTGAAGGAGTTAATGCTGGGAGTCATAGACGTCGGGCTGAACCAGGATCATACAGTGAAGATCACACAGAAAGAGACTTCGACATACGCTGCATTTGCAACCAAAAAGAAAAAAAAAAAAGAAAATTCCCAAACTTATTTAGATTGTATTGCTTAAGAAGACTGGAAGTTGTGATGGACTGTGAAAAAATCTGTCATTGGCCTCTCTCTGTGCTCTCCTTGGTTAGTCTTGAATAAGGCATTGTGGTGATAGTTGTGTCATTGTGTGGTTAAACCTACATGTAAGTCTTTATTTTCTCTGGGAGTTCCTTTCGATGGATGATGGGCATGTGATTGTGAGCTATAAAAAGACCTTTAGTCAAAGTTTGAACTCTGTGGGTCGTTATATAAAAATGACTATAATGGCTTTTTGTGTTGTCTCTGTGGTTTTAATGCATGGGATTGTTTGAAAAAATCTTGTAAACTGAAGACTTATGGCAATAACTCAGATGATGGATTTGATGCCTGAGCTGGTTGTTCAAATATTTCAAAGCTATTTCATATGCAGGGCTTATTGAAGAGAGATAAAACTTTACAAACCTGTTATAAATGGCTGCATTTAATGTGAGGGTATCAGAGGAAAGCGTGGGTGTGAAAGGCTGAAATATTGTATTCAATATAAAGATTATGTACCATACAACCCTTTTGACATGTGCTGTGATATGAGAACAGTATTTGAAAGTGTTTAATATGCTGTCTAAGATTATATTTGAATTTCTTCAAAAGACACTATAAATGGATTTATGGTAAAACTTCAAGAGGTCGGAAACCTTTCCCAGCCACCTTGCAGCCTCTACCAGTGTGTGTGCACCACCTAGAGGTGTCTCAGTATTTATTCACATGAACAAGTTAAACTTCTCCAAAATTAAAAACCGGATTAAAAGAAAAAAAAAAAAAAAAAAAAAATCACCTTTCTACCTGTTGTAAGTCTAAGTTGATTTCCAGAACTTCAGTGATAACACATACAGTTCAGGACAAAATTATAAGCCCCGCTATGAAATTGAAAGTGCTTCTATTTAAAAGAGCAATGAACTTTAAACATAGCATTTCTGAACATGACCAGGGTCAATTTTAATACCTCCTTTAAGAACTGGCCACACAGTATAAATGCTTCAGCAAGGGTTGGGGGTCTCACTTGTTAAGGCATCATGGCAAAAACAAAAGAAATCAGTTTAGACTTGAGAAAAATAATTGTTGATGCTCACAAAGCAGGAGAAGGATAAACAAAGTTATCACAGCGTTTCCAAGTGTCCAGAGCTGGAGTGAGAAATATCATCAAGAAATTCAGTGGGAGACACACAGTACAGAACAAACCTGGCAGAGGTGGGAAGTGAAAGATTTCAAAGACCTTGGAAAGGAAATAAGTGAGAGATGTGTCTAAAGACCTCAGAACAACTGCCTAGACATGAGTGAATGAATTACCCAAATCAGAAATTGTAGTCTCAAAGATCTCTAGAGTTCTGTACTGAACAGACTGCAAGGGTGCTGACCAAGAAAAACGCCACCTCTGCAGAAGAGACATCTTCAAGCCAGACTGAAGTAGAAGTAGTAGTAGACAACCTGGAAAAAAAACTGAGCATACTGGAAGCATGTCCTTTGGTCAAATTAGACCTACAATGAAATTTTCATAGGAGGTCTCATAAATTTGTCCTCAAACGTACAGTGGATGTTAATTAAATCTTCTTTGCTGAGTAGTTGTTCAAAAATGCACAAAATCAAGTCAGTTTTTTCCACATTTATTTCTGTAGACTGTAACACACATCGAGATAACAGTGAGACATCTGGTGCAACACAACCCTAACAGAAACATTCATTCACATTTTTACACAGAATGTCAAGTATATACTTCACAACATCACTATCAAACCAAAGAGGTAAGAGGTGGGAGATTTTCTTTAACCCCCTGATATACAGCAACAGTGCATCGCCTCCCTTTCAGAGGGACGTTCCTGTTAGAGATGAGTTGTCTGATATGATCACTGTCATACTAGGAGAAAAGACACAGCTCTTCCACTCTTTGTTGCAGCTTTAAATTAAGTGCAAGTACAGCACCTGATTGGGGCCCACTGAATTTACTCACAACACAATAATGTAGCATTCTGTAAGTGCTTTGGATTGGACTGAGTGAAGATGATGCTACATTTGAAACAAAAGCTTTATCTTTGAATGTCTTAGGAGAGTCAAGTACTGTGTCTCTGGAGTAAATGAGTCACAACTCCATGATGGGGGTATTTGTGCAGGGCATGGAATGTTTAAGGGTACGTAAACACAGAAAAATAAAATGAGGTCACACAACTGAGGCAGACTGGGCCTTTTTAACTGTACTATGTCGCACTGCACTGGGGTTTGGATATTTGGGAAGGGGACAAGAAGATAACAGACTCATTCCTCCAGGGTCCTGAAGGAGTTCTGCATGTCCTCCAGCAACTGGGCAAAGTCAGCTTTGATCTTAGCTTCCCCGTCCTTCACAGGATCCTGTAAGAATCAATGAAAAGATGGTAGTCTAATTAAACCTGATAACCAAATAAATTCTAAAAAAATGACAAAAATGAGGAACAATAATGTACCTTGAACTTCATGGAGCTGATTTTATAAAGCGTCTCTCCCATGTGCTCCCTGATCATGGCCCAGGTGATTTTGTTATCGCTCTGTGCTGTGGACTCCACGGCGTGTCGGGCCATGTCGTAAAAAGCGATCATGTTTGAGAGGATGCCGACAGTTTTATAGAAAGGGCAGAACCTGTGAGTGGGAGCAGAAGTCCAATATACAGACTCAATGTTTGGAAGAGAACATTTTAATGTAGAGAAGGATTTCATCAAAGTAACTCTCGATGTGATGTCCATTGGGGTCTTAAATAACCCAGATTCAAAAGTATACGTGATTTCTGGAAATTGGTAACATTGGCAAGGCTTGACAGCGTGTCCGTTTCACTGGCACTTGTGACTAAATATAGATGTGTGCGAATTGTAAAATGTATTTAAGGGCACAAGTGGGCATAAAAAAATCAGTCGAGGCAACAAATATTTTTTCATGTAAATACTGTGGCTTTAGGTTAGGTATTCGATGGACATTCACTGCAGATCTACCGGTGTCTTCTCTCTCTCTTCATAACCGGGAAAAGCAACAACAGCGTGGTTAAATCTACTCTGCACCTTCGCCGTCAACGTCGGGTGTTGAATAAGAGACCATCAACAAATTACGATGTTCTCAAAAAACGCTGTTTTCCTTCAATAGCTTCCATGTCATATGACCAATTGACCTAATATTAATTTTAAATAATAGTACTTATATCGACCAATAAGACACACATTATTTGATCAATTTTCATTGTGGCCCTAAAGTTCTTTGTGTGCTCCTTACTTTTTCAACTTAGGAGAACATGTGCTCCTTGTGAAAAAAGTTAGTGTCAAGCCCTGAATGGATATAGTTTATTGCTGTTTTTGCCCCCAATTATTAAAAAAAAAATTATATTTGGAAGGTTTGAAAGCCTCTTATTGATTCTTAAAAGTGTTTTGTATTCAGTAAATAGTTTTTTCCTCACCTGTCATACGGGGTGTAACCGTTCTGCTGCAAGAAGTCATCCTTTATGAGCTTTGCTACCTCTAGAGTTATCTTGTCGCTTTCAGCAAGAGAGGCCTGTAAACAAACAAAATGCTGATCAGTACACTTTCTTTCTAAGCTGGGAATTGACTGGGTTAACTGATTAATATGACAGCTCTCTAAAAATGAAAAATATCTGATCCAGGTGTATGACAGAATCCAATATAATCTGGTTTACCTTGCCTACAAGCTGTACGATTTCAGCCAGATCCTCCTCCTCCTGTAGAATCTCTTTGGCTTTGGTACGGAGAGGAACAAACTCAGGGAAATGTTTGTCGTAATACTCATCCAGAGCTCGTGTGTACTTGCTGTAACTAATCAGCCAGTTTACAGAAGGGAAATGCTTTCTCTGGGCCAACTTCTTGTCCAATCCCCAAAACACCTAAAAAGAAAAAAGAATACGAGCAAAGGTTGAAAACACTCAGAAAGGCTGGAGAACAAAGTACTGACTGCAAAATTTAAACTATACCAAATGAAGCGATTAAGAGCTGTTTGCACTTACTTACCTGAACAATGCCCAATGTAGCTGATGTGACAGGGTCTGAGAAATCTCCACCAGGGGGAGACACACTGAGAGGCACACACAGTATTTAGGAAAAAGTTAGTTGAATAATTGATGATGTTCCGTCTCGAGGCTATCTCCTTTCTTGTCCCATATGAAAAAAAGATGTTTGAAGTTATTTAAGCTAATTATGAAGCTGTCAAAGAAGCTGAGTCTAAAAAGAGCTATATCTGTTTATCAGTTACAAGATCTTGTGTTGTAACTATGAGTTTATTTTTTTCCAACTATCATAGGTTGGATAATACAAAGACAATAAGGCCAAAACAAAAGAGTTTCTAAATCTAGACATTTGACAGGTGGTGGGAGCCTGAATACACACAGGAAACAGGTTTTGCCAGTTCATTTTCATTGTTGCTGAAATCAGCTGGCTGCTACAATAGCTCACTCCAAACCACCACTTTGTAGTTCGAATGCACCGACTCTAAGTCACTGTGTGCAGCTGATTTAACTAACAGAGGTATTAATATGATCAACTCACGCTCCCACGATGCTGACACTGCCTTCCCTCTCTGGATTTCCCAGGCACTTCACACGTCCCGCGCGCTCATAGAAAGAAGCTAGCCTGGCACCCAAGTAAGCAGGATATCCACTGTCTGTAGACAAAAGACGTATACTGCTGTAACTGCTTCAATCAGCGTTGTCTGGAAGTGTTGTTGAAGACACTTGCATCCATCTTTGACTTACCAGCAGGCATTTCAGCTAATCTTCCAGAGATTTCTCTCAGAGCTTCAGCCCATCGAGATGTGGAGTCAGCCATCATGCTCACATTATAGCCCATATCTCTGAAGTACTCAGACAGAGTGATCCCTGCAGGGGTTAATTAATTCATTTAGTTTACATTAAGGTGTATGTAATGGATTCTTTAGGCTTTTAGTAACAGAAATAACAGGCATTTACTTGATAACTACTGCTATAATAATATTTACAATGGCACTTGATGTTTCCCAGTCATTCACTGAGAGAAGAGACAGTCTTCATAGTGTATTAGGTTAAATTGTGTATAATAACTTGAATGTAAAGAGCACATTGTTTTTTGTTATTTATCTAAGAATGAGCCTCTTATGTTAATATTTTTGTTTTTAGAGAGAATGGCCACGAGATACATCAATTGAAAGACTATTAGGACAGTGGTTGTTGTCTACAACGCAATTAATATGGTGTATGTTATGATCGTTAAAGTTTGACAAAGAGAGGATCAAACTTATTCATCAAACTCATTGTTCACAGGAGCTACTTGTCTTTGAAGGTCACTGTTGCCTCCGCAAAGGAAGCAGTGAGCAAAGAAGCATGTCAGTTTGGAACCTGGCCATCATATATCACTGAATATTCCGGTTTCTACACATTGTACCTTTAACTTTGGTTGGAAACAAGTTTTGTTGAAGCTTATAAAATGAACAATTAGGTTGTATCTGATAATATGTTTGGTTTGTACCAGTATAAATAGAGGCCTCTCTGGCAGCCACAGGCATGTTGGATGTGTTGGCAACCAGTGCTGTTCTCTTCATGATGCTCTCCACCTTTCCATCGACCTCCATAGTAAGCTGTAAAGCAACAGCATTGTTTGCATTACAGAAGAAATACAAGGACAAAACTCCTGTAGCTATAAATAATATCTTAATTTATCACTTAAAGGATATTCCGGTGTGAGATTAATTTAGGGTCAAACACACCTTAAAACCGAGTTAGACACCCCCTCGAGAGATGAATGTTGTTTGTTTATGGCTCCTTAGACTGCTGTGTGTTGCTATCTTACACTAAAGTTGGTATAATTAGAGAAGCAAGCGGTCGGCAACATTCATTTCTCAACGGGGTGTCTAACTTGGTGTTACGGTGTGTTTGACCCTAAATTAATTTTATGCCGGAATATCCCTTTAACGGGGGCTGAGATCTTCCAAGTTAAATTTATATGGGAAAGAAATAATTTCATTGGGGATTTTATAGGTTAAAACCTTTCTTCTTCTTCTGCTCACCTCAGGGAAATCCCTCAGCACCTCAGACATCTCATTTCCACGCTCACCACAGCCGACATAAATGATGACGTCACTGTTGGAGTACTTTGACAAAGACTGAGAAATCACAGTCTTTCCACATCCAAAGGCGCCTGGTATAGCAGTAGTGCCGCCCTGCACACAACTGTGCATCACAAAAGACCAAACAGTTTCATTTTCAGCTATCAGACTCACACAACATTAAACAAGTGACCACAAACCAGTTACTTGCTGAAGAACCACAGAGACAGGAGTTTCATGATGCACTCTTTAAAAAGTACTCACGGGAAAAGAGCGTCCAGAACTCTTTGACCGGTCAGTAGTGGGTGATTGGCAGGTAACTTCTCTGTGACAGGGCGTACTTGTCGTACCGGCCACACCTGCACCATGGTGAACTTCTCCTTCACGCCTTCAAATTCAAGCTCCAGAACCACATCCTGGATGCAACAAGATCAAAATTGAACAGTCAGGGAAGTGTTGACCCTGAGGAAGAGTATACAGCTTCTACATCAACACTCACAGAGATGTCATAGTTCCCTGGTGGGGCGACGTACGTCACGGTGCCTCTGTTGCGAGGTGGAAGCATCAGCTTGTGCTTAATAAGTGAGTTTTCAAACACCATGCCATAGATGTCTCCACCTGTCACATGACTGCCAACCTGAGGAGGAGATCAGGTGAAGTTAGTTCAAACAGCTGCAGAAGAAACACCAAAGTCTACATTACGCTGAAACTGTTTGTTTACCCGCAGACTCTGGCTGGGAGAAAAGTCCCACTTGTTGTCTCTGTTTAGAGCCCCAATGTTCACTCCTCTGGGGATGTAGATACTTTGAGTTAGGTCATTAATATCTTTCAGTGGACGCTGGATACCGTCAAAAATAGAGCCCATGATTCCTGGTCCCAACTCTACAGAGAGGGGTTTTCCAGTTCTAAGGACAGGGTCGCCAACAGACACACCAGCTGAAAGAATCAAGTTAGGGAAAACAACAAAGGCAGCAAGCTCATCAAGTTCAGACTCAGTAAATTGGCTCAAAATTAATCTTCTATTACACCAAATATGTGAGTTTAGATATACGAAAGATCTTGACATATGTTGTTACGCATTTAAGGAAGGTTTAAAAAGGATACATGTCTCCTCGTAGACCTGGATAGTTGCCATATCTCCCTCTAGACGGATGATTTCCCCCACCAGCTCACTGTGACCCACACGAACCAGCTCGTACATGGCAGCTCCCGCCATCGCAGTTGCTGTCACCACTGTAAATCAATGGAATTAATCATTTTGAGCAAGTAAACTCACATAAACGAGGCCTGTATAAAAAGTATATGTCCCCTAAATTGTTAGTGTTCATAAATTTTATCATCACAAACAGTAAAAAGGATTCAGAGGAGGACTTAGTGATGCTGAATCACTCAGGGATGGGCAAAAATATCATACGCATTTATATAATGAGCTGATCTAGCCTATATAGGTGTACTAGCATACACTTTTATTCAGTTATATAATGGCTCGCTCTCTTCAGTTTATACCAGTGTGTTAGGCCTGGTACCAGATCTGCTTGAAGTATCTTGATTTGAAGAGGATTTTTACAGAAACTTAAATATCTGGTTGCTTATTCTATATGTAGTTAAGTTATATAGATCGTGATGTGATGCAATCCAGGCTTGAAGGCAACTACAGGGTTTTATGTACACCTATCCCACTATTGCTGGTATAAATAACCTATTGTAATTAGGGCTGGGCGATAGAACGATAACGATGTACATCAAAAATTAATTTCCCTCGATATCGATATAAAACATGGTCAATATGCTTTTCGATAGTCTGCATTCTGCCATGTTTTGGTAGACTATATGACTAGCCAATGAAAAGGGGAGTTGCTCCAGGTCCAATTCGTGCTGAACCAATCATGTGCTGGATTAGATCCAAGTAGCAAAGAACTGTGTAGTATCAGGCTGCAGCTACACGCAACCATAGAACTTTAACACGTGAAGCCAACAGCACAGTCAGTGAGAAATAAAGAAAATGAGTGCTACCCCCGGCAGAAATGCAGATGAAGGCTGAACAGATGACAACATCGTCGACAACACTGGCATGATAACGTCGGTGGTGTGGAGGTATTTTGTTTTTTTTTAAGTCAGACATGAAGCAGAGTAATGTGCACTGCAACTTATGTCGAGTACATGTTCTCGCAAAGTCAGAGAATACCGCTAATCTTTTTCACCACCTGAAGCAGTGACACGCGGCAGAGCACGGGCAATGCCAAAGGTTACACACTCCAAGCGGAGCTAGGAGCCCATGGCGCCTGTGCAGCGGAAACAGCCGACTATTCAGTCTGCTTTCTCTAGCGCAACACCTTATGACAAAACGTCAAAGAGACACAAAGACCTCACAGATGCAGGAGCTTATTTTATTACAAAAGACATGCTGCCAATAAGAACTGATAAATTTCATTTTTATATCGTGATATATATCGACATCAACTGATATGAAGAAAACATATTGTGATAAGTTTTTTCCCATATCGCCCAGCCCTAATTGTGATGAGATGAAGCTGCATTAACAGAAGAGATCTAAATCAGACCTGGTCCAGAAACTCCATGCACATATCCAAACTGGCTCTCTCGCTCCTCGTCCCGGATCTTGGGAAGTTTTGAGGTATCCATCTTGGTGGTTTTTGACCTGCAAAAATCCTTCGAGTGGAAAAGAGCAGACACAGATGCTGTCAAACCATTTAGATCATTTACACCCAGCAGACTTAGATAACACACACAAACCATGCACTTCTTTCTGTCACTAACATTGAACGATGCGAATAATACAATGAAACATTAAATCCATTTTTTGCACAGCTTCCTGTGTAACAGGCCAACTTTTATAAGCACTAAACACAGCAGACAGCTATCACTGTGCTCTCTATGAATTGAATGACAGTGTCAGGTCAGCTAACTCAGCTTAAGCTGAACAAACTTACATGGTTTCCCCTTTCACCCGGGGATATACGATGTGGCAAGGCAAGTGACTGCTATCTTACTAGCAGTCACTAGCTTACGTTTGTTTGACAGATGGTAGCACAATGTTTGTCACCACACACACACATTTCTTTCCGAGAAAAGCTGATTTGGAGTGCGCGTATTAGTCAGGTTGCCAGCTAGCAAATACAAGCTACGTTTACCAGCATCATGTACAGGTAAAGCTAAACGCACTCCACGCCATCTTATATAAGGTCACCTGCGAGAAGAAAATAAAAATACAGCAAATAAGAAACATTCTGTAGAATATTACCTCGTCTTTTAACGCAGTTGTCCAGGTTTCTCCTACGTAGCTGGCTGAGGAGGAGCTTCACTGTGCTAATCACCTGCCAGGCACCCGACTGTCACGGGAAGAAAACACCTCCATTGTGGCTCAAGTAACGTCCCCAGTTCTGACGTTCTAGCTCGCCTTTGCTGCGTGTGGAGCCAATATGGCCGCTGAAGCGGATCAGTTTCCTAATAGCTGTAAACTTCCGCCAGTTTACTAACATCTACAAGGTACATTACTGACCTCTGCCGGAGAGAAATAAAAGGTTCACCGTTATGCAGCAACTAGGTTTAAAGTTTTTGTAAATACTTGATCACTTTATCATTACCTTTAACCCTAGAACACTATCGCTAAAATTAGTAACACCATCACTATCGCCGTTTTCCCTGAATGAATATACTCAAGAAAAAGTACTTGTCTTCAGATATATCTCTCTATATATAGAAACTGTAAACTTAGTTTCTTTTCCACCCATTCTTGGGTCATGTGAGTCTTCCCTGGTGAAGACTCAGGGTCCTTGGCACAATAACAGCAGCAGGAGAGAGAACCAAAATATGACATATTTTGAGTGAGTAAAAATGACCAGCTGACTAAAATATTGCTTATCACCGTATGAAATCACTACTTTGTGATAGTTATTCATAACCATTGCACTAAATAATGACAGCATGCAAATTCCAGGACCACTCTTACTGACCGTATTCGCCTACATGCAGCTATCAAATCCACCCAAACCTACTTACCCTCTATTACTATTGCTGGGTGAAAATCACCCGAACACGTGCCTGTAGGAAAAAGCAGGTTTTGGATCAGGGAAACAAATGTGCCTTCAACGATGTCAAAGGCAATGCTGAAGCTACCCAGAGACCCATGATTATCACACAAACGCAACATAATGAAAATCACATAAACATGTTTGGTCGGGTGAAAAACCCCCGGCGATAGTGTTCTAGGGTTAAAATGATTATTTTTTCAAGTTTAAACTTTTGTTACCTTAGCTCATCACAATCTTTTCAGCAATCCAGGTGCCCCAGTTTGTTTCAATGGGGACCCATTTACATTTGCCTGCTAAACCCTACATAACAATCACAAAATGTATATAAAAATAGCAAACAGAGATGCACAAATTATATTTTCAATACATAATTTCAAACAAAGAGTAACAGTGGGGTTCTTTCGCAACAAATGCTTTAAGGTATGTATGAAAACTGTCAGGGTGTGATTAAAGTGCTTAAACCACTAACAGAAAAGGGTGACACAGTGGAAAGGGTCTAAACAACTGCAAACAGGCTGATAAAATACAAACCTATACATTTTTTCACACTTACTATTAAATTAGACACTGTACTATTCAATTTTAGCATCTTAGTTTAAAGGCAAGAATAAGTAAATAATGGTAGAAACCTTCACCATATTTTTTCCCCCAAAATTTTAATTATTAGGTACATTTTTTTAGAGACAAATGACAACAATTTGATGGCAATACAAACCTGTTTCATACTGTTCATGATACAAAACAAACTGCAGGGCAGCTTGATGGGCACAAACTGAGGTAGTAATGACAACATTTCAAAAGGAGGTCTTGAGATTTACATCATCATTGTAGGGAGCGGTATGTTTAGTCCAATAAATAAAAACAACTGTGTAATTCAGTAAAACAATAAAACAAATAACCTTAAACTTTTATTTTATCTATTAGTGCTCTTATTCATTAGCAATAGGTCTTTTCACAGTTAGACATTTTGCCATATTACAATGGAGAATTTTCTTAAACCTTAAATGATGACTCTTGAAGAGTGGACTGGAGTGATGCACATGACCAAGGAACTGGAGCAGCTGTATGAAATTCAGCCAATTTATACTTAGTTTTCTTACAGACACATGTCAAATTTTATTTGACTAGGTGGTGCAATAATAGGCAGGCCTTTTTTGTTTGAGGTGCAAGTTTTAAGGAGAGTATAAGTTACGGAAACACATATTTTGGGTTAAAACAGATTACAAAACAAACTTATGGCTCACATTCATCATTGGTAGACTCTCAAAAATGTATTAAACATTAAATTCATCTATGTCTGAAAAATGTACAGGAGGTCTGAATGATGAACGTTTTCAGGAGCACCTGCTCACATAGACAGTCTCCTGATGAAGGATGACTGAGGCAGCACTTCTGAAAAATACAGGACAAAGTAACATGTCTTGAGCAGTGGATTGTATACAGTAGAGTCCACTAGGTGGGGCCAAAATGATAGTTTTCCATCTCGGTACTCTGCATTGAGTAATGTCAGTCCGACCACTCGTTTTCATCCAGCTCAGAGTCATCCTCAGAGTCACTGTATTCCACAGCAATACGTCGAGACAGGATGGTGGCCACATCATTTCCCACGGGTTCCCGCTTGTTCTGCTGCTCCTGCTGCTCTTGAACTTTCTTAAGCTGGATACCTGAAAGCAACACACACATACACGAACAGCATATAAACAGAGACATAATACGGTGCACTCATTATGCACAGGTGAGGATACAAATACCATAACCCACCTATACGGATAGCAGACAGCAGGTCACTCCTTGCATCTCTCACAGGCTTGGTCTCACCTCTGACCCCTTCACCAGATCCCGTTAGGTGTGAGGGTGCAGCTGGGGGAGGGAGTGGGGGAGGAGGAGGGCCTGGGGGAGGGGGGATCATGTGTAACCCTGGAGGAGGTACAGGTGGGAGTGAGAAGCCTGGGCCTATGTGGGAAACTCCGTTATGTGATGTTGGTGAAAGTGCATCTGAAGGGAAACCAAATGCTGTCTGAGCTGAGGGGATGGGTGGGCCTGGGGCAGGAGGTAGAGGGGGAGAGCTAAACAACAAGAACAGAAAAGAAACAGTTATTATTGAACAGTTTAACATTGAACTCTCTCTGATGATACAAACAGGAATCAAACATACTTGTAGTCTGCAGATGGATGCGTCGAGTTGTTCATAGGGGGCTCTGCAGTGTCATAGGTCACTCTCTTGTAGTTTATATCAATGCTGTGGTATTCATGCTCAACAGGTGGTGAGGAGGGCGGGTTATCATGTGACTTGGCAAAATTACAAACAGCATGGGCGGGCACAGGAGGGACGGGGTAGTCTGGGAGGTCAGGTCTGAATAAAAAAATGAAAGACAAAAAGCTTCTCATTCAGATGATATCCAGATGGTGGATTTTTTTTTAAGTAAATACAAACAGAAAATTTCTACAACAAAGAAATTGCTACTTGACTCACAAAGTCAAGTAGCAAAAAATAAGAAATACAATCTTTTTCCTACCATATTCTAACCCTTAAAAGTCATTTTTAAAACAGATATCATATCGCCTTCTTTGAATATTCAAAACTAAAGACATTCATTCATAATTACAGAGAAATGGAGAACACATTTTGTACATCACAGTGCTGTCATTATCAAACTTGTGTTTGCAGTTTTTAAAGTTTTACCCTGTTGTAGTTCATTGAGGAGACAGACATTACTTTGCCAAGTTATCTCTAACCTGCCATCAGGAGAGAGTGAGCCCTCAGATGAAGCTCCTCTAAGAAGAGTCTGTGGATGACGGTGATCTGGTCGAAGCTCTTTATCGAACGCCATCATGTTCCACTCCTGCCTGCGATTTCTCACCTTTCTCACCTTCTTCACCTCTCGCTGAATGGTGCTGCTCTCCACACATCGTTTTTGTTCCTGTGTAGGGTGGATGGGGGGGGGGGGGGGGGGGTTGGGACATGAAAATCCGTCTCCGAAACATGTGCATGGTAAATGTACAGGTAAATTCTGCTCACCCTCTGCCTCCGTCTTTCTTTCCGCTTTTCCTCAGTATCCTGAAGCATTTTCTCCTTCCACAGGTCAAAAAAGTACGAAGGGTCGGAGTAGAATTTCATAGCATTTTGGGAGTCCTCCCTGTGTGTTGACAACAATTTTAATATGTAAAGAGGCACTTTACCTGAATATATGAACTGTTGGAAGCTACAGTTTTCATTCACTCATGCAGTACCTGTAAGCAGTAAGCGCACCAAGGGGTGGGGGCTTGTCGCTGCGGTTGTGAATTTCAGCCACAGAGATGGGCATGCTGCCCTTTGACAAAACCTGCTGGTCTTGAACAGTAGAGCTTTTGAATGCCTTCCTCATGTTTATGTCCTGAAGCGAGACTACAAAACAGAAAGACAGAGGTTTTTTGGGTTTAATAAAAAGCATGGGTGAATGAATGACAGGGTAGAAAATAAGATATTAAATAAACAGACAGATGGTTTCCATTGGACTAACCCTCCTCCACGCTGGAGTCCAGCTGGGTGACCTTGACGGCCAAACGGTCGATACGGTCTTGGAGAGAGTTGGCACGCCCATAAAAGGTGTTGGCCTCATTAAAAAGCTCCCCAAAAACATTTTCTGCATGTGTACCTGCAACCAGAACAAAAAAAGAAGTAAAGAGAAACAGTAAAATAAGCTATCTATCTAGGAAATGCGTCAAACGTTTCAAAAACAAAAAACAAAAGTGCAGTATAGAGCACCAAGAGAACACAATATAAAATCAGATGGACTTGGAAAACACTGAACTCTGCATGACAATTCCCTTTACTTGAAACGCACCCATTTTTACCAATCATGTACTTATTTTCTGTTCTATGATTAAATAAGGCCTCAGAAGTAATTCGGAGTTAAATTACTGCATGCAATTCACAAGAAGCAACTTTAAAACATATTTTGGGCTTGTTTAAAACTAACTTTGAACACTATAAAGCTATGTATAATGTTCAATAGAGTGCTGGAAGTCACAGATTTCATTTCAAAGAAATATAAGATCAAAAACTAAACTAAACAGAAAAGGATTACATTCTATAATGGCATATAAAGGAGGTGCATTAATAATGTTATTTAATACATAGACCTATAAATACATACAGAGATTAAATGTGCTCTGTTTGAAAAGGTTTTATAAAACAGTAATTTGGTTTACTTCTAATATTTATCTGAATCAGCTACATTTCCCTACAGCTTTAAGAGTTAATCGTTTGATCGTCACACAGAACAGCATGAATGGCTGTAGGTTAAAAATGCTCAGATCCACTTAATGAAGGAGCTATCATTAGACTGCCTGTGTTTTTGACTCCACCCACTGACTCTGCGTCTTATCCGCCTGTGAAACAAAGCTCTACGGTAAGCTCTAAGCTTCTGTATCTTCACTAAATCCACACACACACACACACACGCACATAAAAACACACACAGGAACACACAAAGTAACACTAATCAGAGCACACATGCGCCAGATGTCCTGGAGTAAATTTGCTTCCTAAAATAGTCTGTACCTCTACATTTTCACTTGCTTTTTCATATTTCAGGGACAGTTTTGAATACATGACTGACACAACACAATATTTAAAGGACATTTTCTCAAATCAACAACCATTGACACCGCCCCTCTTCTGTCTTGGGGGTATACTGGGTATGATGTTTGTGTTTACTTGAATTTACAACACTATGGGATGATAAAGTCAACTGTACATGCACTCAAAAACTAAGCAGATGACTGCTTTGCATTCAAGTTAAAACTTGTATTTTCTGTCCACTTATCAGGTGTGACACTAGGATGTATGGTTACTGTTTTCTGATAAAGGAGATCAGGGGATTAAGAAGATTTTAGCACGCAAAATGCAAGTACATGTAAGAAAGCATGCTGTTTTTAAATCATCTGAGAGCTCACAAAATAGCACTGACTTCTGATAAACAAAAAACACATTGGTAGTATAAAGAAAAAGGTAAAAGTGAACATAAATGACATTGCCCAACTCTCAAGATACATTTTTTTCATGACTTTTCATTACCTTTTCAAGGATCATTACGGGGCAGTTACCGTATACTCAAAACTTAGTTGCTTAATGCTGGGTTAGTCATAGAAATGCCTTACAGATGGTTTGCCAGTCAGTTTCTGTGTTATACAGCTTCATTCCTGTAACCAAACCTTTTAGATGCATGTTGTGGTATGAAGCATTTTGATTCAAACAATTAAATGTGACTTACATTTTAACATACATTTAAAACATAGGATCTTACTTAGACTACTGAGCTGACGGATGATGGCAGAAAGCGTGTTGTTGGTTACACATTCCAGCTCGTTGCCAATACCATCAGGCACTGCAGCATGGCACAGGTGGCGAGGCTCAATGTTCCTCTTTACCAAAGGCATGACCCTTTTATCACATCACAAACTCAGCACCTGTTGGAGAACAGAGGACAGCTCAGTGGATTTGTAAAGCAGCAGAGTAGAACTAATAGCACATTAATCAACGATTATAAAGCAACATCAATGATAATCAATCAATGTATTGAAAGTAACCACAGCTAATGCATTCAGATCAGAAAACAGGTTAGTTTATAAAACTGTTATTTTATTTTTCTCCAGTATTAATAAAAAACAAAGTTGTTCGTATAAGCATTAAGATTTTTACTGTGCATCTTTCCTGAACTGAATATAAAAATCAGACAGAAAAGCGTAGGCCTGTTATTTTGTTCGACATATTTTGTTTGGATAACATCGGTTTAAAGGGAGTGGTAAAAGCATCAAAATCAAAACTAAACTATTCATGATTTTGTTCTATTTGTTCAGCTGAATAGTGAGCCACTTGCTATTTATTGTTACGATTTATCACCTCCTGTCAAAGTGGTAAATCTATTGAATGGTACTGGGCATTTCTGAATGGCTTTAATATGTGCGGCACAGCTGTTTTATTCACATGGGTTATTTTGATGAAAGAGGTGTGAAGACAGCAAATTTGCCAGTTTTTAAGTGACTTTGCAAATCATTATTGCATTAACTTGAAACAAGTGATTGAGTGATTGCCAATAATTGCAGGTGGGTTGAGTCAGAACACCATTAAATAGGAAGAACAATAACTCCTATAATTTTCATACTCTGTGGAACATGAAAAAAAAAAGTTTCAAAATCAACAAACAAACAAAAGAAACTGGAGAAAAACACTGAGGTGCTTTACAGATAGTGACTGGGGAATTTGTCACTGTATCACCAAGTCAGAGGACAATTTTTGTGGTTGTTGGGGGGAATAAATGAATGCATAAAACATGAATATATCTGAAATTCCAGGCTGAAGAAAAAATAAAAAGTCAACTTGCAGTGAAACCAAAGCTGAAAAAGTTCCCATATGAAATCGGTGATCTTTAACGGGATGGTAAACCTGGTTAGTAATGCCAGTTTCTACCCTCTGCACTTCCGTTTTCCTGCTTTGCCCTAAACACAATTGCCAAAACCTCTAATCTTTCCAAATGGTTAATGTGCTTAACCTGAACAAAGTGTGAATGACTAGGGCATTGCCTCAAGGAAAAATCCAAAATTAGCAATACGACTCCACACCCCACATATAATAATGCACAGTGTAAGAAGCAGACAGTACATACATTTTGCTGTTTCCTTAGCCTTGGACTGCTATCTTACATAAACTCCATTATGGACCCCATTCGGCTCTGAAGCTGTGGTGTCACAAAATAACTGGTAAACCAAGAGCACAGAAAAAAAAACTTTCATCCAGAAGGTGAATCTTTTAATTTTTCTGAACCTTTGTATACACAGACCTAGCTCTGTGCACAAGCAGTCATGATTTCTCTAGGGAGAAGTCATTAATTATCATTTGAAGAGGATAAAGTTCACATGAGTGCTTAAACATTTCAATATTAGTAACACAAAACACACAACCAAACTAATAGGCCTACATTGTTACTCTGTAAATTATTGTATTCAGTGGTTAATAACTCTCAACAGGCAGTAGAACAACTGAGACACAAAGGTAGGAAAAAAAAGTCCTTCCTCTTCCTCTTGTTCATTGGCAAACAAAAAAAAAAAAGAAAAAAAAAAAAGAGGATCGTTGTTGGCGCCAAAATCCCATAATTCACTGCGTGACGTATTGGCTGCGTCGCGAAAATTTACTTACCTGCATAGTTGCCAAGTCAAGAGTCGCTTGTAAAACTCGTGAGTCGCGGGATGCGGTTTTTGGAGGGCTTGTTTTTGACTAGCAGTTGCTTATTTGGGCTTGCTTTCCTGTATGTGTGAATTCCTCGATTATGTTACAGCTCCCCAGCTCCAGCAAAGCAAAACGCAAGTTCGATAGTTAGTTTCCCTTACATGTTATCAATTGTGGCGCAAAATCACAACAAAATAAAAGCCGCCACACTTTTAAAATGAGTTTTTCGCGCGGCACTAGCTAATGCGTCGCACATGATTGGTGCATCGCGCGCCGACTATTAGCAAGTTGTCGTCTGCTCCCCCCCAAAACTTAGGGTTTATTTTGGGTTTGTTTTCATATGGCTGGTTGCTTTTTTTCTCACGAGATCTGGCAACACTGCTTACCTGTTGGCCTCCGTTGCCATGGCGTCTGTAAAGGTGGATACCGATTGCTGAGGCCTTTTATTCGTCGCTGACAAGTCTTCGCAACAGGCAAGTAACTTTTTTCAATACACGTACATAAATAATAAGGTCTTTATAATGTTTGGCGTTAAAAGACACAGTAAAACACGAGCTTTTCTTATTGCTACCATAAAGTTGCCAAGGGACTAGCTCGTCAGTTGTTACACAACCGAGTTTTGCCAACTTACGTTTGGTTGTTCACGTCAGCACGTTGGGCTAGAGCAGCGACGAGTCCAAACTGTATTATCCAAATTAAACATCTCTTCTTTGGCCTGTCGCAGTCTTGTTTTGGACGGGGACAGCAGTCATCCTTGCGGGCGGGATCCACTCTGACAGAAAATCTCTCTGGTCCAGATCACAGCTTGAGCCATGAAGGGATTTAGTCAGCAGATTTACTCCTGTCATCCAATCACAGTCGTAATGCCAGCCCATTGACATCCAGCATTTTAATTTCAGTATTAGTCCTATTTTTATGGACTGTAAGTCATAAGCTGCCTTCTATGAATTTAATATTGATAAAGCATTTCCCAATTAATCAAACAGCTCAATCAGTTCATCTTTAATCACAGTGTTTGAGATGGCCCTTTTCTTCATCAATTAACTGCCAAGTGACTCATCATAGAGGTGGAAATATCACAAAATGTTGACCAAAATCACTTTTTTTTTGGACAAAATTTCAAAGGCAGAAATGATGATGTGAAATTTTTATGATATGATAAAAGCAAATACATTTAAAGAGGAAGTTAACTGTGAAGTGTTGTTTACTTGAATATGTGTAATTTTACCTTACCTTTAACTCTCTCTCGCTTGTCTGGTTGGGGCTTAAACTACCAAGTCTTCATAAACAACAGTATGTCAGCCCCAGCCAGTCTATTAACGTCTTTGTAGAGACAACCTGGATTAATAGTGAAATGAGACTCTGCATTGGATTTGAAAACCACACACACACACACACGCACACTGCTCTTTTTCTCACAGATGGCATCATCTGGATATGGCGGGAGGGAGTGTAACCTAGATATGGAGGCTTAAGTCTTTATTAAGTAGAACACCATGATGCTAAAACTCAAGGTTAGGACAGGAGAATTGCTTGTATGATTAAGAAATTGTGAAATCCAGCTGGCCCTTCAGTCTAGTCTGTATATTGATGGTTTTAGTGTGCAATTTGACTTCTTTTATTGCTTGAAATTTTATATGAGACTTATTTGCAAAAAATCTCTTCATCTCAATACTATCATTAAGATTGGAAGTGGGGAGAAACAACCAGAGTCCTTGTAGTCAATATGTGAGGAGACTCAAAAAAGCTTGTACAACAAACTCCGAACATCTAAATTATTAGACTGTAGCTTTAAAGGCCCAGGTGTTCACGTCATGTGTCTGGATAAATCCAAAGTAATGTAACCACTGGCTCAGATGGGGATGCCATGTTTTCATCCAGTGCTCAACAGGAAGGCAAATACATTTTGGTTACCTTGGATAAGTCGCTCCCGTTTTTGTGTCATAACTGGGCAGCTTCAGGAATGTAGGATTAAAGCACTGAATAAATCTGTACTTAGGTAACGGAGCAAACTGCAGAAAACAGCAGGGTAGAGATAAGGGAAATACAGCAACATTACAACACCTACACTAATCAAAACACCCTTTATTTCGTAAATAACAGTAAAGCTCTCTCAAGAGCAAATGTTTAAAACCTTCATTGAGGACAATCAGGTTATGAATGAAACTGAGCCAAAACGTGTCTCTTAAGAAGCTGTAAATAACAATTAACTTTTGTTTTACTCAGGTCTGATAATGCCTAATTCAAAAGCTATTTCTGATCATCTGTTGGTACATCTATTTTGATGGTGTCATTTTGCTTAATAGGTTTGGAACAAAGCATTTTAAATAGGAGTCTTCATGTTTCAGACTGTGGTATAATCTTTTGGCCAGCTCAGAAGTATTAACCCACATACTGTTCTTACCCTCCCCATTATCACCATTATTGACCCTGCTGATTTTTACACTATGTAGCCAACCACTGGCTTAACCACTTAACACTAACACCTCCATCATCCATTACACGCAGACACCCAGACTGCCTCTCCTCTGATATTTGTGCTCCTATTATGTCTTTCTAGTCCTACTTCATGTTGATCACTGCCAATGCCTTCCCAGTTATTACATACTGAGCGAGTGTCATGCACTCTCCTCCATGTACAAAGCTGCATCAGTTGTGTCATGGTATCATTTACAGGTAGTCTCATGCTCGCTTTCTTGAGCTGTTGCTTTTCCAACTAGATTTTAACTCCAGTGTTTAGAATAAGAATTTTTCTCCCTATGTGCAACCCAAGTTGTAAGTTTTCCATTCAGGTGGCATATTGTTTAAGCCTAAAATTCACAAATTTACATAATAAAAAGATGCTATTTTCAGGGTGTAAGCTTGAATGCTGTTATAACACTAAACTGTTTTTTTTTTTAAGGTTGCATCTAATTTAAGCATCTTAACGGACCAGCAACTGTGGAGACTGTGGGTAGTGACAGGTTAGAGACTTAAGGCCATATTTCAAGGTCCAACATTATATTCGATGGCACAATAGTTAGCATTTGACAACAGCTGATGTTATTCAGCCATTTCCATGCTAACATGAAATCTTGATGGTCTTACAGGATTAAATCTGCTCAAAGGGATAAGCAGTAATGTTAAGCTTTAATGGAGGGTGGATACCGATGTTGACAGTCATATCACAGATGCCCCTGGATTAAGATATATTTTTGACCTTTAAGATGTGACAAATGCTGAATTTTTGCTAGTTGTTATCTTTTTACTTCCTACAAAATCACCAAGACATTATCAATTGCGAAATGGTGATAAATGTACAATTCATAACCCAGAATATCAAGATCTGACATTATCCTTTAGATAACAGCATTTGAGCCCCACATGTGTGAAATAGATGCTCTAGTGTTGTGGAGCTGGAATCAGACTGAAAGAGAAAAGAAGTCACGTCTTGTAAACTCCTATACCTTTTGAAAGCAACACTTTTTTTATAGTTCGAAACTTTATCCAATTTGATTAACCTCTGATACTATTGCAGACTTTGAAAATTGAATCTCCGTGTCATAAATAATATTACACAGCTCACAATGGCAGTATGCAAAAACTACTTTTTCTCACCCATAATGTCTTGTTCGCCTGAGGATTGTTCAGCTATGAGGCTCATGAGGTTTATATTACTTTTTTTTCAAAGGTCCTGCCGCTGATCAGCTATGTGAGCAGTGAAGAGGACGTTTAAAGAGCCTTGATGATGTGAGCATGGCGAGCCTGCCTTCTTGTCAAAGGAGAAGTTATCCGAGGTGAGAGGTCGACTTTTGTATTTACTCTGTGAAAGGCTGACACTTTCAAACTTCTTTCAAATGTCACTGAAGAACAACTCTTTCATATTTGTGTAAACAACAAATGCTGGATTTTTTGGAGCTTTTCACCCTATTACGCTGTGTTTCTCAGCAGATGTAGTTTGTTAAGTTATCATGGAGATGAATCTGTTTTATCAATTTTATCAAAAGCACACCAGGACCTCTAATGTGCTTCGTAGTCAACTAAAAGTTTGCTCTTGGACTAATATGACTGAACAAATCTAGCCCCACTCAAAGTCCACCAACTAGCCCTTTTTGCTTTCCTCATTTAATTTTTGTCCGTTCATAACTTCAGCGTCTTTGACAAGTAAAACAAAATTCATCAAACCTCCAGCTGTACACATAGATATGTCTTTAGACTAAATAATGCCTTTCTTCTGCGTTAACAAATCATTAAAATTCTCCATATCTAATCATTGAAACACTTTTATCAAGTAATTATCCAACAATTTTTCTAATCTTTTTTTACAATGGGCCTTTACAAAACACAAAACCTTAAATTTTCCCATAGCAGAGTGCAGCACACCACACGACAGTGGGAAAAATAATCAGCCGGAGCTTAATGCCATATCAAAAGCCTCACAGTTCCTGAGCAGCCGCCTTTTGAGGGGGTGACTCTTAGAATGCCGCGGCTTGTTTGTCTCATGGTTTAAGTGGTGCACATAGCCATGGAAAGATCATTAAATCACTGTTTTACCACTTGGCTTAATCCCCTCAACAAAAGAGGAAGATACAAAAAAAGGAGAAAATGGAGAGAAAAAAAGTGGTGGGCGAGATTAAGTGGAAACTTGATGGATCTAAACTGACGGCTCTGTTTCCCAGCGTTGCCAAGGGGAGCTAAGAATCTTGATTCCACCTCTCCCAGGCAGAGAGTGGCTGCTGATCGGACGTCCCCTGTTACCCCTGCAGTGGCCAACCACGCTCGTAGTGTCCACTGCTGTGGCCATCTGCCGGATTACCCAGCAGGATATATTTTTATAGAGAGCATCCTATTCATATCCTGCCTGCAAAGGTTTACATTAAGGTTGAACTCGGGTGCACTTACAATGGCAGATGAAGTAAGCTCTGTCCTTCTTACAGCACCCCTCCCCATCTTCTCACTGTTTGGGAGACTGGTAGCACTGGGTTGAAAGCGCCTGCTTTACCGTGGCATGAAAGAGGATCTCATGCGATGCCACTGTCTGCCGCTGATTTTTTTTAACACGCTGACAATAAAGTGGTGCCCAGCATGAAAAAAACATTTGTACGTGCCAAGTGCGATTGTTTCTTCTAATAGGCATCAACAGGCCAACTTCTCTGTGTTACCATACAGGTGAACTCATTCCTGGGAAAATGTTTTTTTCTTTCTCAGCCTCGTAGGCGCGATGGCGTCCCCCTTTTTCCTCGGCCTAACGGGATTAGTCGTGCCAGTGCTACCCCGGCTGTCACGGTACTGTCTACTTCCCATCTCTCTTCTGGGCCTCTAATGTGATTAACCCATTCCCTGTGGTCCAAATGGTTCTGAAGGGGGGAGGGGAAGGGGGGTACCTCCTTGGCATGTTCCTCCCTATGCCTGACTCACCATCATTGGCACCTTTGTCAGGCAGGAAGGACCAAGGTCGAAGGTCCATTAGGATGTGGAGACAAGTACAGTGGCTGAGGGCAGAAATTCAGGCAGTCAACTACAACTTTTTTTTTTTTTCCAGATAGTTATCATTACAACATTTATATGACCTTATTACTCCCCTGATATGTATTAAGGATCCAGCTATTTTCACATGTAATCATTGGATCTTGTGTTACCAGCCCACTGAGTTAAAATCATAATCTATTCAAGCACCTCACTCATTAATGAAAATCTGTTCAGGCTGATTTGTATCATGTCTTTTAGCTTTCACAGACATCAGCCCTGAATATTTACAGCTTGCTTAAGTGGAGACAATAATGATCGCCTACGCCCATCATCTTGTCAAATGTCAGCGTGCTGAGGCTTTGCCTGT